GATTGTGGGGATGTGTGCGTGCCTATGTGAGCATGTCTGACAAGGGGTTGCACGGTTGACGATCTGCCCAGCCAAACTGTCTAGGTCCCATCTCCGAGCGCTGCGGTTTGGTTGAACCTTGACGCGCCAGCATTATGCGGGGGTTTGACGCCGTGTCTGTGAGTGGGGCTCGGTACGTTGCTCCCGATGCCGAGCTTTTTGACACGGCAAACTGGAGCGTTCTCGAGCCTTCCTTCGTCAACCTATCACTTGACCTGCATCTATCGTACACTCCGTGTCGCTGAAGCCAAAGACGTCGCCAACGTCTTTGATCCTTGTAGGCGTAGTTTCCTACTTGCTCGGTTGGCGATGCCCACATCTATTTGAACCATCTGTCTCACATTGCAAAAGATGAGGTTTGAAAGAAAATATTCGCGCGGAGCTGGCGCCTATTCATTATCTAGACACAATGTTTCTTGCGGCGATCGATAGATGTTCACCGAATTTCTGAGAACTTGCGACCTCTTTTCAACATTTGACCTGCCTTGTTCGTCACGAGTGTGCGCCTCCCAATCGCCAGAAGTGGCAGGACATCGCGATCCGAAGAATCGAGAGTCGTTGCGAATACCTCGTGCTTGTCCTTTAGCTGTACCGGAGCGTTGGCAAGATATCCAGGCGTTTTTATCTTCGGATGGCTCGGGTTCGAGTCCTAGCTCTCTGTGCCTCCAATCCAAGCATGCAGTGAACATGCGTCTGTCGAGGGACTTTCGTCAAGCCTTGCCCTAGGCCACCGATCGTCTCCGGGACTCCAACCTCATTGCTTTGCTGTCATATCGAATCGATATCTGAGATCGAGAAATTAGGAGGAACAACAACCATGTTTTTATCTTGCCCTAGCTGTCAGCATCTTTTTGTTGCTTCCACTTAGGGTGGAGATCATCGTTCTCGCGCAAACTTGCTCCTCGTGATGGACAGCTTGGCACCACATACACAGAGTAAGAGAGCTTAAGCTCCAATATGTAACTCACCGTCCCTGCCTCGCACAGCCTCTAGTGTGTTTCGCCAAGTTCGAGAACTATACAAGTTACCTTATCCTCCCCTCCTTTGGTACTTCTCGATTTTGTCTAAGGCTTACTGTACATAACCGAGCTCCTCCAGATTTATTGCTACTACTTTTTTAGGGATCATCATTGATAATCAGGTCGTCCTTTCTCAGGATTGACCCAGCACGCAGTCTCGTTGAGCCTTTGATCCTTCCCACTGGGATCGAGAGCTTTGTAGCTCCACTATAAGTTTTTAATGGCTCAATACATAAACCAACACCATCACACCAGCTTCCCTGGGCCACCTCCAAGCACCATGGACATGCCGTATCAGCCTATGTATCAGACGATCGACAATAATCCAAACGTACAATCACTCTTTGTGGAACCACAGCCTCAATCGCAATTCTACGGGTTTCCTCCACCAACTGGAGGTTCAATGGACTCGGGCTATGCTGGCGAAGACATCAATCCATTCGAGGACAATGTCGCATGTGCAGACCTCAAGCTGGTCTATGGCCACCCTATCAATCCGTCGCTCCCGAACTTCAATGCATACGGCTACATGACCAACGATCAACAATCAAATGCTCCTGGCCAACAGTTTATGCCAGTCAACTACACCGCACCCTTCGTTCATGACTTTGGATCTACGAACCGGGACGCCAAGAACTCGCAGAGTCCAACGACACCAACACTGATCATGGATGATGCTGTCAGTGTCAAGAGCGAAGATGGCTTTTCAGACGCTGCCTCGCCAATGACCATGACCCAGTCCGTCAGCCAGCTGACAGGGCAAAACAAGAGACGCCCTAGCACAATCAGACGAACGGTCACGGAACCGTCGTTGGAGGTCCGCGCCGGCAGCATGCAGCGCACCTCAGTCAAAGAAGGTCGTGGTCGAAACCGAAAGCGAATTCCTCACACGGCCGTGGAGCGTCGATATCGGGAGAACCTCAACTCACAACTGGAGAAATTGCGATATGCAGTGCCGCACGTACAAGCAGCTCAGCGTCGCCGGGCGAGCGATATCAACGACCCGATGAAGCCGAGCAAGTGTGAGGTGCTTGTAGGCGCACTGGAGTACATCAAAAAGCTGGAGTCTGAGAACAAGGAGCTCAAGAAGAGGCTAGGAGAATGAGTAGCAGACGACAAAACCGTAAAAAGATAATGACAAGGTGATTCTTGATGACAGACGTGATGAGGAGTATTAGAGGAAGTGTATAGCTACCTGCCTTTGGAAGGCAAGGTCGGCTTTTGACTTTGGATAACGCACTTCGTTCTGAGCTGTCGCTTAATAGAAAAACATTAATGATCAACCCTCCTGAATGCCTGCAGTTAGAAACCCTGGTGAGATCCAAGCAAGCTGAAACGAGAGATGGTTTGGGAGATTCGACAAGACCCCTGAAACGAACAGCTTGGCACGTGCGCGTCATATGGATTCCTTGAACCCTCGAATGAATGAGGTTCACTTTCTGGCAAAGCACCTGAATTGCAGTGCAGTCCACGAGTACCGCTGAGCATGATGGTTTGTGAAGGATAGATTTGACGACACATTTTCCGCCATACAACATCTCCGACATGGCAGACGAGGCTCCACCAGAGTTGGCAGCAGCCCTGCTGAAATGGGTACCACTGTCCGAAGCAACATCTCGTTACTGCCAGCTGACATGGCCAGGTGCAAGCATTTCAGACGTCCAAGAAGGTAGAGGGCTGGGAGGACGTACAAGACGGCCAAGTGCTGTGGGACATCCTTCGAGACATCGATCCGGATTACTTTCAAGACGGCCTCCCAGAACCACCAGCCAAAACACAAGATCACTGGATTCCTCGATGGCAGAACCTCAAACATGTCAACCGCCTTGTCACATCATATTTGCGAGACTCGAGCGGATCTATCGAAAATCCGGCAGGCAGCCGTGACCCAGATCTCAAGGCCATTGCTATCGATGCCAGTCCGAGGGATACCGTCATGGTGTGTTCTTACTGTACCCTTCTCTTCAGACACCCAGTCGACTAATCGTCTGATCCACAGCTGCTCAAAACCATGCTCCGTGCCGCCATGTACTCGCCCGAATCGAACCAAAGAATGGGTCGCATAGTTGTCGGCCTTGGTCCCGAAGTTGCTGTCACAATTGCCGCAGCCATGAAGCAAATGGAAGAAACAGATATGTCACATACAGACGCCGCCGACCGATCCGACTTTGAAGTCACTTCCGAAACGTCTACCCCTGCCGAGCCAATGTCAGAAAAAGCAGCCCTACCCATCAACGAGCGTGTGTCATTGGGTACTTCCGGCGAGCGTGATCCTGAACTGGAACAAGAGGAGAAGCTCATACAGGCATTCAAGGCCATCAAGGATCTGGAGAACAACAATGCGAAAGCTGCGACCGAATTGGAAGAGTTGAGACAAGACAAAGAGGAGTTGCAACAAGCATTCGATGCTTTCAAGTACGAGGTGGAAAACCAGGGTCGTAAGGCTGCCGAGAATGACACCATGAAGGACATGCAGCTGAAGGCAGAAAGAGATCGTGATTACATTGCTGAGCTGGAGGCAGAGCTCGAGACTTTGAGGGACAAATCGAATGCGCAGGAGCGTCAGATCGAGCGATACAAGACAGACACGGACGCAAAGCAGAAGTTGAGAGACGACATGCAACTCCTTCGAGCTGAAAGAGACGATCTGCTTCAGAAAACTCGCATGAACGAGAACCTCAAGAAGAAGATTCAAGCACTACAAGACCAGGAGAAGACCAATTCCACGCTGAGAGAGGATCTCCGTTCGGCCAACGACAGGCTCCAAGACTTGGATCGTCTGAAAGATCAATGTTCCGCACTTCAAAAGGCAAACGCCGAGAACCTTAAACTCATCGCCAACGGTGAACAGGAGATATTCGACCAGAAGACGACCCGTAAACGCATCGAGCACGAATACAAAGTTCTTACACAAAAGTGGGAAGCAGCCAAGGAACGCCAGGTCAAAGATCACGAAACTATCACAGACCTCGAGAACAAGTTGCAGACACTCGAGCTTGGAGGATCGAATACCAATGGTGCCAGTGGCGGCCTCGGTGAAGAGTTGGAGGCATCCGAGAAGGCACGCGCTGAAAGAGCAATGGACAGAAGTCAGGGCGACAATCTCCCCTCGGCCGACGCTACAATCCTTCAACAGAAGCTAGATGCCATTACTGCACGAAACAACAAGCTGGAGACCGAGTACTTAGATATCTTGCAAGACAAACTCGGTCTGGAAACTGCTCTGCAAGACCTCCGCGAGCCAACTCGAGAGCCGGAAGAGAACGTACCATTCTTGGAACAACGCAAGAAGCTGCAGGCAGCACAAGCTGAGATCCAAGAGATGCGCAACCAGCAATTCACTGCGAATACCGAGATGGCCAGTATCAAGGAAAAGCTTATGGCTGTGCAGAAACAACTTACCAACAAGGATGTGCAATTGGATGGCAACGCAGAGTACCAAACCCTGACAGATCGATACTCGGAGTTGCACAAGCATAGCGAGGGCGTCGAAGCGGAACTGGCCGAGCAGCGTGCACTGCTACGACATGCTCTGCTCAATTCTGCACAGCTGCTGAAAGAGTCGGCCGAGACTCGAAATGAGAACGAGTACAAGCTCTTATTGCAGCAGTTACAAGCAGTCAGGGATGCGCCGGATGATGACGAGCTCCTGGAGTCCACTGCAGCCCAACTTGCAGATCGTGTGGAACAAGCACGTTCTGATACTATTGCCGCAAACAAGGTATATCCCCCTTTCAACCTGCCAACTAGGAGATCGACTAACATTCTTTCCTTTAGCTTGCCGAAGACCGAGCGACAGAAATTAAAACACTCAAGAAGCAAGTCGAGTCGGGCGCGACAACGACGGCCACGGGCAACGTGCCATCTGCCGAATTTGCAGCTCTGCAGCGCGAGAACAAGCTCATGACATCCGCATGGTTCGACCTCAGTAGCAGACTGCAGAGCAACACCGTCATGTTAGGCAGGCGCAAAGAGAGCCCGAAAAGCTTTTTGGGCAAGCAACGGCAACTGGTAACACCTGGTTTGGTACCTGGACAGGTGAGATAAACAAGATGGGTCAATAAGGCTTCAAGTACTGACTATCAAGCAGCATCGGCGGTAGTGATGAGGATATAGAGAAGCATTTTTAGAATAGAGCGATATCCACAAGGCAAGCATTTGAGCGACCATGCAACATTTTTGGAAGTATGAATGATCATAGACGAAGCAGCAGCGACGACGATTAGCAATTGCAAGGTGAGGGTCGATTGATAGTCGTCACGGGAAAAAGTATATGAGTGGTTGTGGTTTGTGGCTAATCATCGGATCCTGAATCTGGCCAACCAGATTCAACCCTTACAAGCTAAGGTGATGTGGTGTAGTGGTAGCATGTGTCGTTGTGGAGGTTAAATTCCAGCAACGCCGACCCGACGGCGGTTCGATTCCGCCCATTGCCAGGATCTTTCTTTTTGCCCTTTGTTCTCAACGCATCTCCAAAGGCATTGTATGCGACGCGGACGTGAGTTGTCGTTTTGTCACTTGCGTGGTGATCTGCTCATATACGCGCAGAGGATTATCGACAGAAGCATGAGATGTAGGGATGGTGCATTACGATTGGGAAGAGTTGTTTCTATGCATTTTTCATCAAGAGTACCGAGATACAAGTGGCTGTTCCTATCTGACACCTATACTCTGTTTCGCACCGAAGCGGTCTTCTGCGTTCCATGTCTCTTCGGCTTTCGTGCCCGGAGGCAACCACGCGCCAGGCGAAGCATTGCTCGATGATCTAGCGCGCATACTGTGCTCAGCTCCATTCGGGACACCATATCCTCCGTGCGAAGGAAGCGCATAATTGACAGGTGACTGCGAGTAAGGCGTTGTGTCTGACTTTTTGTTGTCGCCACCAACGAGAGGAAGGAGGGTGTCTTTGCCTTCTTGCAGAGCGCGAGCACGCTTGTCTGCTTTAGCAGCATCACTGGTGCGGTCGTAGAGGTAAAGACCGAGGATCGTGAGACCAATGCCGAAGCCTTGGATCTTGGTCATTGGGTTGCCGAACCAGATGATAGCAAAGACGATGACGAAGACGCGCTTGAACAAGCTGGCTACACTGTAAGTGACGGGAGAGACGAGACCCAGCAAGACAAAAGCAACGAGATTTTGGCCAAAGTGGAAAGAACCGTTGAAGACGAATTCAAGGCCGAGACGGGCGTGGTCGAGGGAGCCAGGACGTTCGGATAACTCGATGGAGGCGTCGGCCAGGAAGTCGGCGATCATTGAGAAGCCCTCTGACCAGAACCAGATGGGCAGTGTAAAAATGAATGCAAGACCAGAAGAGTAGCACAACAGGTTGAGCTTGTCAGGCTTCTTATTGCGTACGTTGATACCATCGGCCTCGGCTTTGGCGGCTTCGTTGAACAGCTTCTTGGATACGATATTTTGAGTGACGAATAGAAGTGCACTGCCGAATGCATACACGAGACCCAGGAAGTTTGCTTTGAAGCTAGCGGAGCAGGCCATGATGACACCTAGCGTAAGGGGTACAAGCGACATGTAGGTAGCGTAGGAGTATCGAACATCGAAGATGAAGCGGTAGGCGAGGACTGTGAGTAGAGGTGACAAGCCCTTGATAGTGTGGACCAGCGAGACGGGGATGCGACTCATGGCGTCGGAGCTGAGGATATGGCCGCCGATTTGGAAAGCGGTCAAGGGAAGGGTGGTCATGATGAGCTCGCGCGAAGGCTTGCGAATGCCATTGCGTAGTACAGGGACTGCGTTTCGGAGAGGAGCGTGGATGCGGGCAAGCCAGGATAGCAACAGACACCACGAGCATACAAACATGAATTGGATCAGAGTCAAGGTCACGGGCTTGGGCAAGGCAGTCAGGATGGCCTTGGACGAGGTATTGGACATGATGGAGGTCGTGTACCAAATGGCACAGAGGAACTTTGGCCAAAGAGTAAGCACGCGGATGCGATTGTATTCGAGCTGTAACGTACAATGAGGCGCGCTGACACGGGGGCCTTGAGAGCATCGGCTATCTCGTGCGCGTTCTGGCTGACGCTGGCCCTCCTCCCTCGTACCGTGCGGATCGCCTCGCTCAAGCTCTTTTGTCTCCCGTGCCTGCCTACTGTTCCGCCGCTGGGCGTCCAACCATTCATGCCGTGCGAACCTCTACGTGCCTGCCAACGTTCATGGCTGTGCAGGTGGTTTGGCAGTCCGAGTGGTTGCGGCATGGGCGACGCTGGGTTGGATTCGATGGGCTCCTGTGTCGTCTGCAGCGTCTCGTCTGACAGATCTGGGAACTTGAAGGTCGCTGGAGACGGCGACGTCGAGGCCCGCCGGTCGAACTGCGACGTCGACATGGCCGTGGAAGCTCTGCGGATGCGGGTTTCTTCGGAAAAGTCGACTACAATCAATCCATGGAGAAGAGGTTCAGGAAGAGTGCACTCTCAAACCTTCGACACGAGTTTCATCAGAGCGATTATTACCAGCTTGGGTTGGACAGCCTGGCAAGGTGTTTGATCGCTGCCGTCATTCGGCAAGTCCCGCAGCCTTGTTGAAGCTTCCCCCTTCTTGTCCCTGTCCAACGTCCAAATCAAACACTCCCTTTCCACCAACGGGTCATGTAACAGATATGAAGCTTGCTGCTCTCCTTCTAAACGCGTTTCGGAGTACCCAAGAACCCGTGACTGTACCTGGCCATTCAAGTGCATGTTGCCTCGAGTTCTCCAGGTCATGGGAGGTTGTAGGTCCCTTCCAGGTGGGCACGCGAGGCATGATGCATCCAACATCACTGGATGCATCAAAGACTGATACTCTACTTTAGAAGCAACATGGGGTGCCGATCCGCTTGAGTATCTTGGTGGTTTTCGCTCTCTAAAGTATGATAAGGATACGAACTTTCCTAGCTCTCTGGCTCCCAATGCAACTGTCTCCTGGTCCACCCTTGCTGCCCAACAGCTATCTTGCGATTCTCACTCCGCTCAGGTCGGTCTGTCTGTAGCGTTTCCTGACATCGATCTGGCCTTTCTTCAACGCATCTACGGTTGGGCCGCTCTACAATACCAAGGCTGGGCTCGAGGCCATCTTCGTGTCAATGGCGAAGAGCCGCAGACCTTGACCCTTGCAACAGACAATCTCCTTGAGTTCTACCTCGATGGACAGCATCATTTTGGTGGAGATTACTATGCTTTCCGACGAGCTCCAGTTGTCTTGCATCTTGAGCCAGGAGATCATGTCATCGACATTCGACTTGTTCGCGATGTAAGAGCGATGGGCGGCATAGGTTTACCGATAATTGATGTGCAACTTGAAGCGCGATCCTCGACCAAAGATCTTCATCTTTCTACGGACAACGCTCTCATGCCTGACATGGTTGGTGGACGCTTGGCAAGCATGCTTGGTTCCATCCAGGTTCGCAACGACCATGTACACGACATCGAGATCTTCGCAGTCTCTGCCAATGATAGTTCTTACTTTGTGTGGTTGTTGCAACCTGATGATTTCTGGATTGTTGCTGGACAGACCAGACCTGTTTCTCTGGCCATATCATGCCAGGAAAAGTGCAGTCCGTATCTAGGCTTCGATGTAGAGTATGGAGTTGTTGGTCAAGACCGCTCTCAGGCCTCTGTGCTGCATCTGGATCATCATTTTACTCAGCGAGAGCTGCATGAGCCATTAAAGGTGACATTCTATCATCCAGGTGGAATGGTATCTTATGCTATTCTGAGGCCTCCACCATCAAATCTCTCCTGTCCTCTGGACTCGGAGGGGCTGTTGCCAGTGTTTTTGCAATTACATGGCGCTGGCGTAGAGGCTGATAACGACATTGTAAGGCATGCTCTAGATTCACTGACTGACATCTGTGCATGGGCTGTATTCCCTACAGGCTCAACGCCCTGGAGTGGCGACGACTGGCATGTTTGGGGTTTTGCAGACGTAGAAGCTGCCGTCGAAGCCATACCTGGATGGGTAGAAAGCATTGGATGGAATGGCCCAGGTGCAAACACGAAGCGTTGGCTTGTCGCTGGCCATTCCAATGGAGGTGAGTCGTCGTCGTTGTCCATGCATACACAAATACTGAGTCACACAGGGCAAGGGACGTGGTATGCTTTGACTCATCGCCCCGACAACGTCTTCGCAGCCGCTCCGATATCTGGATATTCGTCCATCCAAAGTGAGTGGATGCTCGAACACCGTCAGATTCTGAGCTAACATTCCAGACTACGTACCTTATGACTTGTGGCAACCACTTCCCCCTCCTGTTCGCGCCCTCTTGGAGGCGTCTTTGAGCAGCTATCGCCATGAGCTTTTGCTAGATAATCTCAAAGGGATCAGTATCCTACAACAACATGGCAGCGTCGACGACAACGTTCCGGCTTTCCATTCGCGATTGATGAACCAACTCATAAAACAGCAAGGGGCGAATGCGTCTTACATCGAGCTTCCAGGAAAGAACCATTGGTTCGATGGCATCATGACAACCAGATATCTGAGCGACTTCTTCAAGCAGAATCTCAACGACCTCGCACGACCCTTACGTGCCCCTGAGGCTTTCACTCTGGTAGTCGCAAATCCAGCAGACTCAGGTCCTAAGTTCGGAGTTGAGATTCTTTATCTGCGTCGCCCAGGCCAGCTTGGAAAGGTCCATGTCTCCTTTTCCTCATCGGACTGCATTCTCAGGAGTTCCAATGTTCTGAGCTTGCGCTTGCCCGACATCTATCCACGAACGCATGGCATTGTTGTTGATGGTCAAAGGATAGATCTTCCCCTCCAGGCCAGAAACAATGACTTGTGGCTGTATCCGGATGGTACTTGGAAGGTATATGTGTGGCGAGTAATATGTTTGTTGTGTCGATGCTGACCAGTACAAGGTTCTTTCTGAGCATCAATCACCGGCATTGCGAGACAGGAACCAGCTAGGCGGTATGGATGCTATATTCCGCACTCAAAACACTTTGCAAATCATCAGCCACTCTCAAAAGGCACGTCATACTGCCGTTCAGATATCTCGCAATTTCTGTCAATACCTCGGTGCCGATACCGAAATTCTGGAACCTGGGATGGGACGTCCAAGGCAGTATAGCAACATCGTTCATGTCGTTTTGTCGAGGGATCTGCCTGCCAGTCACCTCACAGGTTTCGCCCTTCAAGTGGACTCTCCCAACGGCATAAGCATTCGCACAACAGCCGGCCAAATGACGTACCCCAGCTCAGCAGGACTCGGCGCCATATTCTTGAGGCCGCTGCCAGCAGGAGCGGTGGAGTTGGTAGTATGGGGTTATGATGCAGACGGGTTGGACGTAGCATCACGCCTTGTACCCATGCTCCCAGGAGTTGGACAGCCAGACTTTGTTGTAGTAGATGGGCGGATGCTTCAGGAAGGTGCGGGCGGTGTTCTGGCAATGGGATCCTTTGATCATCTATGGAATGTCACAGAGAACTCGTACTTTACTTGAGATAGTAGAGGTTCGAAACAAGGTACCTATTGCTAATGCTGTCGGCCTTAACAGTGATATCTCCATGGACCTGACTCCGCTGTTCGACACCGTCACTTCTAGTTGTGCTGTAGGAAACTGAGTGTTGTATTCTGTGCGGGTGGACCGTGCACACGGGCTTCTTGTGGTCACTCTTAGGGAAGGCATCCTTGACCTCTGCCACCCTCCTTCCACCGACCACTCCTTACTACCTACTTCTTTTTGAATGCGGACATTGCGCACCCTCTTGGTCCTACCTTCGTCGCTCCTTCATCATAGTTGTCATTGGACGAGCCTCTAATTGACATCCTTGTCTGCGCCCACTCTTTGGTCTGCTCCTATCGTCAGCATCTTCTCTTTCAAGTAAGCTTCAACCCGCCTCATCATCCAACGATCTCTGGATCATACATCGCTCCTCTACCACCTTCCATCCTCCCTTGTCTTCCGATACCTACTGGAACCATCATGGCTTCTTTGAGCCTTGACGGATCACCTACTCCTCGCAAGAAGACTCCCCTCAACTTCTTTCTCCACCACGACGACCAGTTCGAAGACGAAAATACTCATATCTCTGGCGGTGCTGTAGGTTCTGACACTTTAATCATGTTTCATTCCTTCGACTTAACTTCTGCTCTGCAGCCGATTAAGCGCGAAACCAACACGCCTGTCTCGAATGCTGTGCCTTTGACTACTTCTCGCTTCAACAACCAGCTGCCTCCCCCTCCTCTCACCACTCGCAACTCCTCTTTCAAGGTGAGCCCGCTCCAACACATTCATCACTACTTCAACACTATACTGACTTGTGTCTTCTCAGCAGAGTCAAGTCCTTGCACCTGCCATGTCTATGCCTGCCAACGGTTTCGGCCTTGGTATCTCCCAGGCTGCTCCTGCTCGTAACGTGCACCTCGACGAACTCTTGGCCAAGCTATCTGAGCAGCAAATCCTTCTCAACAAGCAGAGCACTGCTCTTCACGCTCAGCGTGCTGGTGAGACGTCTCCAGACTCTTCTGGCTCTGGTGCCCTTACCAACCCTTACGCCGCTACACCTCACACTGACAATCAATTCAACGACATCCTTCAAGCTGACATGGCTGAGATGTTGCGTCTCAAGAAGGAGCTAGAGACTGCTCAGACTCAGATTGCTCGCATGGATCAGGAGTTGTCTCAGTCTCGCATCACCAAGCACACCCTTGAGCAGGCCATGGGCTCTCAGTTCGACTCGGACTTTGATCACATCCGTGACCTTCGTCCTCAGGGTGTCGCTGCTCGTGTCGACAACTGGGTCCAGTCGACTGAGCCAGGTGTTCCTCCCATCACCTCTAACGCCAACATCAATGCTGCTCACTTGGCTCCTCCCGCTGCTCGCGGTATCTGGGGCTCCGCACCTTCCTTCGGCCCTGTCGGTGCTGGAGGTCCCAATGGTCCTGGCGGTCCCGGTGTCATCGGTCAAGCACTCAACAACACTAACAACTGGCCCCTTACCGATCCTCGTCTCATGTCTGGTGCTCGTCTGGAAGCTACCAATGCTAACATGTTTTCCGTCGGCCCCAACGCTCGTGGCTGTCCTCCTGCTCTGCGCATTGACACAACTGCGATTGGTCCTTATCTTAGCGAGCCTTCCTCCGCTGAGATGTCTATGCGCGGTGCTCACAGTCGTCCAGCTTCGGCTTTCGGCAACCACCTTCACCCTTGGAGCCAGTTCAGCCCTAACATCAACGCATCTGAGCAGTCCGGCATCACTCCACCCTTGACACCACTTTCTCTTCAGTCGATGCAGAACATGCATAACATCACCGGAATGCCTCACCCTATGTCGGACCAGGCCCTCATGAACAACATGTCCTTCGGTTCCAGATCCAACAGCACCAGATTGTCTCCCACCGCCGCCGAGTTCCAGGCTGGTGGTTACGGCAGCACTGGATGGGCCATTGGCCACCAGGTAAGTTTCTTCATCAGTTCACGACATGCGCAGAGCCATGTCGACTGTCTGCGCATCCACTAATTGTTTCCAGTCTCTGTCAGAGCCTGGCAGCTACCTCACCAACGCCGAGCCCATGAACTACCGTCGTCTTCTGGACCGCAACATGAGCTGCAACTGGAAGTACATCGTCGACAAGATCGTCCACAGCAACGACCAGCAGGCATCTATCTTCCTTCAGCAGAAGCTCAAGGTTAGCACCCAGGAGCAGAAGTATGAGATCGTCCAGGCCATTATTGAACAGGCCTACCCTCTCATGATCAACCGCTTCGGCAACTTTCTGGTTCAGCGCTGCTTTGAGCATGGCACTCCCGAGCAGATCATCGCCATTGCCCGTGCTATTCGCAACAACACCCTCAACTTGAGCATGGATCCCTTTGGCTGCCACGTTGTTCAGAAGGCTTTCGACAGTGTGCCTGAGGAGTACAAGGCCATCATGGTCCACGAGCTTCTGCGCCGCATCCCTGAGACGGTTATTCACCGTTACGCCTGCCATGTCTGGCAGAAGCTGTTCGAACTCCGCTGGAGCGACACCCCTCCTCAGATCATGAAGTACGTCAACGAAGCTCTCCGCGGCATGTGGCACGAGGTTGCCCTCGGTGAGACTGGCAGTCTCGTCGTCCAGAACATCTTCGAGAACTGCCTTGAAGAGGACAAGCGTCCCTGCATCAACGAGGTCCTTGCCAGCATCGACGTTATCGCCCATGGTCAATTCGGCAACTGGTGCATTCAGCACATCTGCGAACACGGCGCCATTCCTGATCGCAACCACGCCATTGACCACGTCCTCCGTTTCGCTACCGAGTACAGCATGGACCAGTTTGCCAGCAAGGTTGTCGAGAAGTGCCTCAAGATTGGCGGCACCGAGTTCCTTGACCGTTACCTTGACCGTGTCTGCGAGGCTCGCGCTGACCGCCCTCGTATGCCTCTCATTGATGTCGCCGGTGACCAGTTCGGAAACTACTTGATCCAGTACATCCTCAGCCACGCCGATGCTCAGCGTCGCGAGGTCGTCGCGAGCCACATTCGCAAGCACATGGTCTCCCTTCGTGGCTCCAAGTACGGTTCCCGTGTGGCTATGCTCTGCAGCAACCCTGCTGTCGCCACCCGCCCTGGCCCTCCTACTGGCATTTCTATGGGTCGTAGCGCTGGCGGCTTCGGTGAGCGCCCCTACAACGGCGCTCGTGGCTTCCCCTACGGCGGAGGCTACCGCTGAATGTCGAGGCCTCAAGATTTTCCGACGCTCGGCCATCTTGTGGTTCTCTCGACCATGTTCGCGCCGAGAGTACAAGACATATCTTCACAACATCTTCCATGTCTCACTACCTAGGCTCTCGTGTGCACATTTTGTGGTTCCACGAGCATTGCTGGCAAGACCGACGAGCTGGCTGCATAATTACTGGAATATTATTGCACGTCTGATGATGGATGCGGAAAACGCATCATTGTCTAGCTCCAGCATGTTAGCATCTTTTCATTTACTCTCTCGTTCTCAGAGGCATCTGTCATGTCGAAGTTTTTCGCCGTCTACCGCAAAAAAAAGGAGGAAAGCTCGCTTTCGGCGCAAGCCTTTTGGATGGATCAAAAGCACCATACATCTCTCGTTAAACATCAACATATCAACAGAAGGCACAAAGAGGAAGAAAAATTGGGGATAAAAAAGGCAGGAGGGAGATTTTTCGATTTGAGACACTCGTTTTATTTTCTTTTTTTCCTATGTTTTTTTATGCAAGCTGGGGATGTAATGGGCGGAAGATCGAGCATTCGTGGTTTTCAGAGCAAAAAGGACGTAATATGACGAAGGAGACAACTCAAGTTGAAGTAGCATCAATATACAAAAGAAGAGACTTGATTGATACAAATTTGTTGCTCAAGTGTGATGCGATGGTGGATGGTAGTGTGGAGGGATGTTTGTTATGAACAGCGGACGGGTGATGTCAGTGTGGCTGGGACGTCGAATTCAGGGAGCGTCACCCGCTCAAGGTCACAACAGATGCATGTTTAAGCGGTGGCAGCCAATCAAGAACCAAGGAAGACACAGATGATGGCTTCGCTCACTCCTGGAGACCACCAAGGCAACCGACGACTTCCATACTCTCCCGTGCACTCGCCTTCGGCTCCGGTAATCATGACAGCGGCTAACGGCCACTTCGCCAGCGTCGGCGACGACAGCGACAAGCAGCTGCAGTCGTTCGAGCACGGCATCCAAGTCATTGACGAGAACAAGACATTCAACGCAAACCTACCAGCATACCTCGACGCCGAACATGTCCTGCGCCAGGGCTTCAACTACCACCTCATCTCCGTCTTTGGCAGCCAGAGCACCGGAAAGAGCACCCTGCTCAACCACCTGTTCGGCACCCATTTTGGCGTCATGTCCGAGTCGGAGCGCCGCCAGACCACTAAAGGAATATGGATGAGCAAGAACAAGCGCGACCAGGCCGAAGGAGGCGCCGTCAAGATGGCAGACAACATTCTGGTCATGGACGTCGAGGGCACTGACGGCCGCGAGCGTGGAGAGGACCAGGACTTTGAGCGCAAGAGTGCCCTGTTCGCCCTGGCTACCAGTGAGGTTCTGATTGTCAACATCTGGGAACACCAAGTCGGTCTGTACCAGGGTGCCAACATGGGTCTGCTCAAGACTGTCTTCGAGGTCAACCTGCAGCTGTTCCTCAAGGACAACAAGTACGATCATGTCTTTTCCCCCATTCGACCTTCAATCCTCTCTGACATTCTTCTCTCACAGCTCAACACCTCGCTCGCTCCTCTTCTTTGTCATTCGCGACCACATTGGCACTACTCCCCTGTCCAACCTGCGTCAGACCCTTCTTGCCGACCTCACCCGCATCTGGTCAACCCTCTCCAAACCCCCTGGCCTCGAGAACTCCAAGATTGAAGATTACTTTGACTTTGCATTCACCGCTCTGCCTCACAAGATTCTGCAACCTGAACAATTCGTCGAGTCCGTCGCTAAGCTAGGCTCGCGCTTCCGTGAAGGTCAGAAGAGTTCTAGGACGAACCCCTTTTCCGACGAGCAGGCAGAACCTATCTTGCTGCCCGAGTACCACCGCAGGATTCCTGCCGACGGCTTCTCCATGTATGCTGGAAACATTTGGGAACAAATCGACAGCAACAAAGATCTCGATCTACCAACTCAGCAAGAGCTTTTGGCCCAATTTCGATGCGACGAAATTGCTCGCGAGGTACTTGTTGCCTTTGACGAAGTCATCACCCCACTTGAATCCAAGCAAGCAGACGCTGCAAAATCTGGCTCACCCAGTGTACTCTCAGGCCTCGGCAAAGCTATGAATGGAGCTCGCGCAAAGGTGCTCCAAGACTTCACAAGCGAAGCAAGCAGATACCACCAGGGCGTCTACAAGCGCAAGAGTGCAGAGCTCGAGAGCAACGTTGACGCAAGGTTGAAGACTCTTTTCCGGGGCCAGCTCTCTGCCGCTCACAAGACGGGCGTCCAACAATTCACCGAAGCTGTTTCTACTGCAGTCAAGTCTGGTCAGAAGAAGGGTAGCAACTATGATTTCCAGAAGATTGTCAACGCCGAAAAGCAAAAGGCTCTTGAAAAGTACGAGCAGGAAGCATCGGATCTCGTAATTCAAGGTGCTTCTTGGAGCAACTACCAGCAAGAACTAGATCTGTACCGCAAAGATCTCGAAGAAGCCAGTGCAAGACTGCGCAAGGAGGAGATGCGCCGTCTTGCCTCTCGTGTGGAGCGCTGGGTCCGCTCCCACCTTGGTGAGTCTATCGGTGTACAGTTCAACAAGCTCGGTTCCGGCCGTGGTGGTTCCGGTGCCCCAGAGACTGGCGAGAGAGGCTCCATTGAGAAGGACCTTTGGGATCGCATCTGGCTTGTCTTTACCGAGACCGTCAAGCATGCAGAACTACGTTTCACCGAGCGTGCAAAGGGCTTCGATGCTAGTCCCGAAGAAGTCGAGGTTGGGCTCTGGCGTCTGCGCCGCAAGTCCTGGGGTGTGCTGAGAGCCAAAATTGACGAGGAAGTCATGGAAGGAAACCTCCTTCTCAAACTCAGAGAAAATTTCGAGGACAAGTTCCGTTACGATGAGGAAGGCGTGCCTCGTATCTGGCGTCCCTCTGACGACATCGAGGGTATTTACACACGTGCAAGGGAAAGCACGCTCGAGCTCATTCCTCTGCTCTCCAAATTCAAGCTACACGAGACAAAGTCCTTGCCGCCGCTCGAAGATTGGATTGGTCAGACACCTGCTGGTCTTTCTGCTGCTGATGAAGAAGATTTGCATCCGATTGGTGGCGTCGACGAGGAAGACGGCAAGACTCTCGACGAGGAATTGACCGTCCTCAGCGATGCAAAGAAGCAGGACCTCAGCGTGCGATTCAAGAAGACTGCAGATGGCGTATACGTCGAGGCCAAGCGCAGCGCTATCGGTGGCGTCACCCAAGTACCTCTCTACTTCTACGGTCTCTTGCTCGCATTGGGCTGGAACGAGATTGTCGCTGGCAAGTCTTATCTCTTTCTTCGTTATTGCCTTTTATCCACTAATGCTGTTGGCAGTCCTTCGCAACCCTCTCTACTTCGTCTTCCTCATCCTCCTCGGTATCGCCGGCTACGTGACCTACACACTAAACCTGTGGGGCCCTATCATCCGCATGACCAATGCCGCCAGCGCTCAAGGACTTGAAGTGTTCAAAGAGCGTCTGCGTGAATTCCTGGAGACGTCCGATACAGGTCGTCAAGCCATGGCTATGTCAGGTAGCAAACCGTCCGAGCGTGAACAGTACAGGTAAGATGATCCAGTCCTTTCTCTATATTCCTTCAGGCGCTGACGAGTACAAAACAGAATGGACACGCTTAGCAGCGAGGGCAAGAAAACTGCAACTACGGCTGCTGATGACGATGAAGACATTTGAGCAAAACTTTGGTGTCTCTCTTTTTGTGTCCATTGATGTTGTTTTGGAAAACCTCATCATCGTTTCATAGCCAGAAACCCATTGTATAATTACATAAGCGAAAGGAAAAGCGACAACGTCTGTCTCTGTATAATATATCCGTCTGATCTAGTCCTTTCCGGCGGTTCACGACAACCCATCGTCAATTGATCTCGTCATGAGTGGCACCATAACGTGCCTCCAAGAAGAACAAGGACCTATATTCAGAAGTATCGCGACTTTCTATCTACATTTTTTTGTCCTCTCCGGCCACTTCGTGATGCACAACCTCAATAGAAGCGACCTTCTCCATGCGCGAATGAACGACATCGTTCATCTCGTCATCATCAAGAAGATGTCCGACTTCTTCTAAAGTAAGTCCACGAGTTTCTGGGAAGTACATGTAAATGACGATACACTCAATGACCAGAATGACGATGTAGACAAAGTAGAACTTCCAAGCGATGTTCTCGAGGCCGATGGGATTGACGTATTGGTTCAAAACCTAGCAATATCATCAATATCAAGGTTCAGATAAATGTCTAGTACAAAACAAGCTCACCGATGCGAGAGACTGGAAGGCCATAAGCAACGCCATTCCCTTTGCTCTAATGTTAAAGGGCAAGATCTCGGCGGAGTACGCGACCGTCAGACCAGGCCATGCAAAACCTGCCATGCCGTAGAAGAGGAAGATCATGGCCAAGACTGCTTTTCCAGCTGCTTTGTTGCCGGTCTGACTGTATACGGCCGAACACGCCGTCCAGATGCTGAAACTCACCAACATACCACCAGCAGCGATCAGAAACAGTTTTCTTCGTCCGAGTTTGTCGACAAGCAGGACCGAGAACAGCACAGCAACCAAGAAATTGTATATCTGGAGCCCTCCATTAAAGAGAGCTTGGTCGTAGGAATCTGTCATGCCAACACTCTCGAGGATATCGTGGAGGTAATAAGATACCAGTCCATTGCCAGAGCATTGGGAGAAGAAAGAAACAAGCGCGATGAGTGTGATGCGTCTCCTGTTACCTTTGTTGGAAATCATGCCTTTCCAACCTTGCGCGGAGAACTCTTTTTCGGCTCGAAGGGTCTCGCGGATTTCAAGATATTCGCTCTGAACTAAAGAGTCTTGTTCGTTGCCGTTTGCATGGTACTGTGTGGAGTTTTGTTCCTGTTAGCCGGATTTACCTGAAGATGGAAAGAGATATGTTATACTGACCTTTGCGAGGACTTCGAGAGCTTGTTCGTGGCGGTCTTTGGAAACAAGCCATCTGGGACTTTCGGGAAGGAGCCATATGCCTGGAGAACAGCATGTTAGTAGGACGTCAGAGTAGCATGGGAAGTCGCTATCCACAGACCTATCAGCTGAATCAATGGCATGACAGCCTGGACAGCCGTTGGGATTCTCCAAGCTGCACTTGAGGTATAGGATGTTGTTCCGAAGACAGTCCAAGCGGCGACGATTGCACCGACGCACCAGAGCGTGTTGTACAATGTTGTAACCTTGCCTCGATGAGCCGGATGAGCAAGTTCCAGAATGAGCAGCGGTGCTGAGCCTTGTGCAATATTAGATCTAGCAAAAAGCTGTCAGTAATGGTAGTGGAATTTGTGATAGCAGTGGTTGCTAACCCCATTCCCACCAAGAATCTGCCACCAATGTACATGCCTGTGTCTACTGTTGGAACCACTTGGAGAACGACACCGACCAACAAAACAACCATGCCAACGGTAATGCCAGCCCTGCGGCCAAGAAGATCGGCAAGGTATGAAGAGAAGAAGATGGCAGAGAAAGATCCGACTTGCAAGATAGCGCTGAACAGACCCAATGTGCTACCACTAGGATTGTCAAAGTAATCCTGCCAAGGTTCCATCGTTTGTAGTCCGTTCAGTAGACTGCCATCATAACCATTCGTCGTGGCACTGAGCAGTGGGATGATGAGCAAAGAATAGAGCTTGAGCAGGCCTGCATCTTTGTACCATGTAACAGGAAGAGTTGTGTTGAAGGCTGGTTGCTCGGCATTGTCGACTTCCACATCATGCTTCGTCGCAGTATCCTTCAAGATCTTCGATGCCATGACTGTCAGGGTATATTCGTGGTGATCTGAAATGTCTATACCGAATGACTCGGCGACCGCCGTCTTATATGAAGTTGCATCGTGGCTGTCATAGCAATGTGGCTTGAAGGAATTAATTCCTCACTCATGGACACTTGATCAAGCCGAGGTCAATACATCGCTGCAGCACAGATCTGCATATGCATACCAGTAGTCTAGCGAGTGCCTTGGCAAGGTGTCGATTATGGGGACCCCATGGGCAGAACAACAGAGCGAATCTTGGGGGCCAAGGGTTGACTCAACCCGATGTCACCTTGTCGAGTAACTTCAAATATAGATCCTTGTATTCTTGAACCTTCCAAGAGACTGGACTGGTAGGAAGTAGCGGTATGCCAAGCTCTCAAAGCAGCAGGAGGTAGAGAAAGAGCGGCTGCGGACGCCGACAAACGGCGTTGTTGCCGACTCGGGGCAAGTGGAGGGCACGCCATGATTACAACCTGTTCTCGGTGTGCATTGCTCGGTATTGCTGTGAGAGGGGTCATGGAAAAAAAGGGTTTCGCAGCACATGCTTGACAGGACGTTGCTGTTCATCAAGCATGACTTCAAAAACCCAGATACCATAACCACGCAATGCAATAACATCAGAACAATTGATTGTGGGAAGTTGCAGAACTGGACGACTACAACACAATCTCGGGTAGCGTTGGTCAGGGACGAGTTGAGCCGGTCGAATTAACTTTCAACTTTGATGTTCTGCTAGACAGATCGAGGCTGTTTGCCTATTTGTCGCTTCTGTTCGTCAAGTCCTCGATGGTGATGGTGCGACCCTGATTTTAGATTCCAGTCTCACATCTTTCTAAACCACAACTCTTGCATTCCACGCTGACTCGCCAGGAAGTATACGCGCTGCGTGTCGCCATGATCTAGCTCATATTTGTGGGTGTTGAACCTGGGGTGGTTAAGGTTAGCATGCATCATCGGAAACAGCAAAGTGGTTGACAATGCGCTTTAGAAAGCATATTATTGTCCTCGGTGTTCATAAAAACCACCACACATTACCATTATTCTTGTACATATGAATCTATAAGAGCTAGAACTTGATCATAGTCTGCCTCAACGAGCCCATTAGGCTGTGTAAACGTGTTGTCGTTAAAATACTCTTGCTCATAAACAGCTTGTAGCCTAGCACGTGGAAATGTCCACCTCATCACATCATGTTTACGACATGTCCTTCTCGGCGGTAGGAGTGCTGTGAGAAAGAAAACCAGACTCAAGTGGTCGGGTGGGACTATTAGCTTGCGATTTCTTGGACTCTGTGGGTTTGTGGGATAGCTCCGATTCATGGCGGGCGTCAATCAGCTTCTTTGGAAGGTCGAGAAGGCTCGGCATGCTGCTCATGAGGCTGCTATCGATTGTTGAAGTAGGAGCTGTAAGAGTCGAGACTCTGGGGTCGGCTGGTATGTGTGTATCGTAGCCAGAAGGGCCAGTATCGGTACTGGTGGCCTTTCCACGACGAGCCTTCTCCAGGCTCTCACGATTTGCATGCTCGAGACCGGTGCGGAAGTAATCAATGTCCGGATTCTGATCGAGAACACGCAGACGCTTGTCGACCATAATTGGAGTCAAAGGAGATCTGGCAAGCTCGGGGAAGGCACTTCGAAGCTTCTTGACAATGGCATTGAGGGAATAGTTGCATGTATCAAGAACACACATAGCATGGTCGTGAGTGCCGTTCCACTCCTTGGGCAGAGGAGGCGTAGGTGGGAAGCGGTAGATTGTAGACTCTGAAGCTGGCGAGAGCTCGAAGGCGGGCGATGGTGCTTCATGAGTTGCAAAGGAGTGCCTCAACTCGGATGATTGAACGTTAGAAGGGCCAGTCGATGGGTGAGTGAGATTGTTGGCAGTGGATTGTCTGGTCAATACAGGTGGTGGACAGTCTGGTACTGGTGTGGGAGGTCTGCTAGCGAGCTTCGAGGACGAAGGAGGAGTTTCTTTTGCGATGGTGTACTTCGACTGCCCAGGAGGCTTGACGGGCGTCGATGGATCGTGACTGCATCGATGTCAGAGTAGGGTCTTGTCATGCCGAGGACGATATTGAACATACTTGGAAACGCTGGTATGCTGACGATGTGCCGAGAAGACACCCATCTGGGACAAGGTCAGTAAGATATGAAAATAAGATCAAATGCATTGAAGACTGACAGGCGCCGAATGGCGAGTCTGAATGTCAGTTGGGATTGGATGGTGAGATAGCGCAGTCATGGTCACCAGATTGAGGACGATGGCTGTTTGCAGAGGCATAAAGAAGACAAGATGGAGATGCTAAAGTGAAGAATCAGGCAACAGTATTGAGAAGAGAGAGTGCAAGATGGAAAGAGCGAGGCTGGATTTAGTTTATACGTGCCTGCCCGAAATTTCGCAAGTATGAGAGTGAAGAAAAAAGTGTCCAATTGTTGCCGACTTTTGTGATTTCAAATTACAAAGACAAACCCAGCAAAAGATGGTGTCTCGTTTTATTGTACAAAATTGTCCGCGTAAAAAGCCATATTCACCTCGCCGTCGCTGGAAAGTGATAATTCTCGTTGATCGTTAGGAGCCACAAGTCTACTTCTGGAGACCAATCTTCTGGAGAAGGCTGCCCGAAGCAGGGATGTTACCGTTGCCGCCCTTCTCAAAGACACCCAGGATGCTCTTCCACACGGCTCCGGGCTCTTGGCTGGCGTCAATGCCTCTCCAGATGTTGGTCTTCTGGTAGTAGGAGATGACGGGCGAAGTCTGGTCGTGGTAGGTAGCCAGACGCTTCTTGAGGGTAGCCTCGTTGTCGTCGGCACGCTGGACGAGGGGCTCGCCAGTGATGTCGTCGGTCATGGCCTTCTGGGGAGGGTTGAAGATCTTGTGGTAAGAACGGCCGGAAGCGGGGTGGACGAGACGACCGGTGATACGAGAGACGAGCAGCTCGTCGTCGATGCGGAGCTCAACGGCGTGCTTGAGCGACTGCTGGCGGGCCTTGAGCATGTCGTCAAGGCGCTCGGCCTGGGCGACGGTGCGAGGGAAACCGTCGAGAATGAAACCAGACTTGCACTCAGGGTTGTTCTCGAGCTCGCTCTTGATCATGCCAATCATGATCTCGTCGCTGACGAGACCGCCCTGGTCCATGATCTTCTTGGCCTGTCTGCCCAACTCGGTCTTCTTTGCAACCTGGGCGCGGAGCATGTCACCGGTAGCCTGCGCGCGTGTTAGTCGTTGTTGGATTGGCCTGTATTGGCATGATTGCGCAGACGTACCAAGTGGCAGACACAGTACTTCTCCTTGATCTTGGGGGCCTGGGTACCCTTGCCTAGCCATAAGTCAGTCGCGGAGAAAGCAGGCAAGAGTTTCTGAATCGCGCATACCGGCACCGGGGGGACCCATCAGGATGATTCTCATGCTCTCATCGCTGGACGAGGACGAGGCAGAGCTCTGAGCCTTGCCGTGAAGACGGGCCTCGAGCTCGGCAACGCGAGCCTCGAGCTTGTCGACGGTGCCCTTAAGCTGATCCACCAGTTGCTCTCCGAGAGGTGCCATTGTGATAGTTGTGTGAGGTGAATTGAGTAGACCAAGTCAAGTGGAAGCGCAACACCAAGTTCGGAGAATAGACCCAAATGCTCGCGGCTACTGCGCAAGTCGGCCTCGGTATGTGCGTCCTCTTGGCAAAATTATCCATTCATCCACAGCTTCCACAATTCCGACTTGTTTCATTCAAAATGAACCCTGTCACTCCATTGCAGATTCACTAGATTGCGCCAACCTATGGACACGGAAGCTGCAGCTTACGAGACAATTGCATTGTTCCCATGAGTGTGTCAAGTCTCAATATAAATCTCGAGAAATGGTCACAAGCTGCTTTACCGGCTTCTGCATATGCACCGAACTGTGAGCCGGTGGGGAAATTTTGCCATTATATTGTTGAAAAGATAAAGCTGCCGAATCATATATCTATCTACTCCTGAACTCGAGAGGGTTCTATTGCCACTGCCTCTACTCCCAAGTGTCAAGTGGCATGTATTTCATGTCTTCAAAGTCTTGCTGTATGTATTTGCACATGTCATCGACCTTGACGATGAACAGATCCAAGGCTGAGACGGTTCCGTCAGTACATATAGCTCATGTTCATGTACCGGACGATTTACTTGCCTGCGTCACACGGTGCGTAGTTGGGTGAGAGTTTGTCTTGCTTCTTCATTTTCTCTCTCTTGGCCTCAATGCACGAGTGAACATCGCCGTCAAGCCAGTTCCCCAAAGCACGCATGGTTTCGTTGTCCTTGCACGTCTCCCCGTAGGTTGCAGTAAGGATAGGGTAGCCAGGAGTCGACTCGAGACATTCTCTCTGTTGGTGGTCAAAAGGTATCAGCAGCAACTCATTAATGTCTTCGTGGTATAAGCAAGCACTTACCACACACTTGGCAGTGCCATCAGGTCTGTAGATCTTGTGGTTGGCATGCTTCTGCAGCCTTTGTTCCAAGCTCATGACTTTGAAGGCAGCTTCCTCAGCCTCAAGCTCCTTCTGACTGTTATGGTCTTTGTGATCATTAGGTTTGTCCACAGGGACAGCATGAACGACAACTGCCAGAGAAGCGACGAAGCCAACAAGTCTGAGAAATTGAACCATGGTTGATGTTTGGGAATGAAGATACAAGCAGTATATGGCTCCTGACGGTGTTTATATATTCGGAGATGGTAGCTCGAAACATAAAAGCGTTGAAATGTGTGAGCATGTTACGCGGTGTTTTCACTGCGCCTGACCAAACCTTACGAGCTGTTTTCTCGCTGCCCCTCTCATGAGTTGTTTCCATTCTTGTTGAGCTTGAATGCCTTCACCAACAGTGCACCACGTTCGCACCTAGAAGCAGTTATTGGTTCGAATTTATGTTGACTGTCAAATCTCATGATGGGATGAGATGGGATTGTGAGGGAGCTAATAACCATATTTGTATTACGACTCTTCAAACTTCAAGCCTCGTAGGCTCATCTGCATCGGGCTTCTTGTCAGCATTCTCAGGATGATCTTTACCCTTGGATCCAGCCTTTGAAGCCTCGAATGACTGTTCAAAGTCGGCAATGATATCGTCAATGTGCTCGATGCCGACCGATATTCTGATCAGATCCTCGGTGACTCCACTGCTGATCTTCTCTTCGTCACTCAACTGCTCGTGAGTGGTACTCCAGGGATCTGTTGAGTAAGAATCAGCAAAACAAGCGCAAGAATCTTGTATGTTCATCATCACTTACGGATTGCAAGTGTCTTTGCATCACCAACGTTTGCGAGGTTTGAAATCAGCTTGAAGCCATCGACAACCTGGTTACCAGCATCGGCATCACCTTTTACGCCAAAGGAAAGCACACCTCCAAAACCTCTTGGTAGGTATTTCTTGGCCAGTTCATGACTGGCATGGCTCGGAAGACCAGGATAGCTGACCCAAGAAACATGCTCGTTCTTCTCGAGCCATTGAGCCAACGCAAGCGAGTTCTGAGCATGTCTCTCACACCGCAGACTCAAGGTTTCGATACCCAGAAGTAATTGTTGGGCAGCAAAGGGGTTGAGAGCCATACCTCCATCTCGGAGGATTTCAACACGGACTCGCACGATGAAAGAAAGCTTGCCGAAAGTGTCCCAGAACTTGAGGCCGTGGAACCCTTCCGAGGGCTCACTCATCTGTGGGAATCTTTTGCGAGCCTCTGGAGTGCCCCAGTCAAAGCGACCAGCGTCGATTACCACACCTCCAACAGTGGTGCCATGACCGCCGATCCATTTGGTTGCGCTGTGAATGACGATGTCGACTCCGTGGTCGATTGGGCGGCAGAAGTATCCACCTGCACCGAATGTATTGTCGACGATAACTGGCACGCCAGCCTCATGCGCGATCTTGACGATAGCCTCGAAATCTGGCACATTGTATCTTGGGTTTCCGATGCTCTCAACATAGACGGCTTTAGTCTTGTCATCAATAGCCTTCTTGAAGTCTTCTGCCTTGTCACCGTCCACAAACTTTGTCGTGATGCCCAATCGCGGGAAAAACACCTTGAGCTGGTTGTAAGTTCCACCGTATAAGTTCGAGGTCGAGACGATATTGTCACCCGCATGAGCTAGTGCTGCAATTGCCATGAATTGAGCCGATTGACCAGATGATGCTGCGACAGCTGCAACACCTCCTTCCAACGCAGCCATACGTTTCTCGAAAACATCGACAGTTGGATTCATGATACGGCTGTAAATGTTGCCGGTCTCCTTGAGGCCGAACAAGCGAGCGCCATGGGCAGAATCGTTGAAGACATAGGACTGGCGAGGGAAGTTAGAGTCAAGTCTTGCATGATGGTCTGCCAGATGTTCATACTGTAGTTGCATAGATTGGTACAGCACGCGAATTGGAAGCACTGTCCGGCTCATGGCCTATTGGTGCATATGGTTAGCTCTCTACCGGAATATATGATGATCAAGTCTCCATACCGGCATGCAATTGCAAGGTCTCGAAATGGGGCTTCTTGTCGTCAGCCATGGTTTGTCTCTTTCTCAATAGCTATACAGCAGGATATTCAGCGAGTTGGCGAGGTAACAATAGAGGTTTTATCTGTCAAGTGACTCAAACATGACAGGCGCTGCCCCTCATCCAGGCGCGGGGCACGTCAATGGTTGTCGATCACGCAATCGATGCTCGTATCTTCCATCCCTCCGTCGTGCTTTGGATAGAGCGACATCGCAGAACAGGAACGAGTAATACTTGTTGCGAGGTAAAGATGAAAGGCATTGGCAGGTATGGAAAAATCGGTAAGTACGGACGGTGGGCAAGGAGGAAAGCTCAAGCTGTCACCACACCATAATCAAAACATGAATAAACATCACAAGAAAGCAAGAAAAGAAAGGCTCAATTGTTCAGAAAATTGGATGGATTCTTGTATTGGAAAAAGGTTTGCGAAACACCTTTGCGATGCCAGAAGGACAAATCTGTATCAACCTAAGGGCTTCTCATCAACTCCTCCTGCCCAGATCCTCCTCGATGACATTAAATCTAAGAAAAACGATTTTGTAGTACAAAAAGAGAATACGTGACGACATTAAATAATGCTATTGGCTGTAGTCAAGAGCATCTAGTCAACCTCCTCCATGGCGGACTCGCCGGCGGCCTCGGCAGCAGGGGCCTCGGTGCTGGCAGCCTCCTCGCTGGTCTCAGCCTCCTCGTCGACGTTAAGGCCGAGGGAGACGAGCTTGTGGATGCGCTCAGCGTAGGCGGCGGGCTCGTCAATGGTGAAGCCAGAGACGAGGAGGGAGGTCTCGTAGAGAAGCTGGGTGATGGACTTGACGGTGCGGTCGTTCTCGCCGTCAGTCTCAACCTTCTTCTTGAGCTCCTTGATGATAGGAGAAGCAGGCGAGATCTCGAAAGTCTTCTTGGAAGACATGTACGAGGACATGGAGGTGTCACGGAGAGCCTGAGCCTTCATGATACGCTCCATGTTGGCGGACCAACCGAACTGACCAGTACGGATGGCGCAAGGAGAGCCGACGAGCTTGTGGGAAACAACGACCTTCTCGACCTTGTCGCCGAGGACGTTCTTCAAGCTCTTGGCAAGAGACTCGTACTCCTTCTCCTCCTCCTCACGCTTCTTCTTCTCCTCATCGGTCTCCTCGAGCTCGAAGTCCTTGGTGATGTCAACGAGCTTCTTGCCCTCGAACTCCTTGAGCTGAGTGAAAGCGTACTCATCGATGGGGTCGACGAGGAAGAGAACCTCGAAGTTCTTCTCCTTAAGGGCGTCAAGGAAGGGAGACTTCTGGACGGCCTTGAGGGACTCTCCAGTGATGTAGTACATCTGCTTCTGGTGCTCGGGCATGCGAGTGATGTAGTCCTGGAGGGAGGTGACCTCGTCGAGGGACTTGGTGGAGTTGAAGCGGAGGAGCTTGGCGAGCTGAGGACGGTTCTGAGCGTCCTCGTGGATACCAAGCTTGAGGTTCTTGCTGAAGGCAGTGTAGAACTTGTCGAACTGCTCACGGTCCTCAGCGATCTCGTTGAAGAGCTCAAGAGTCTTCTTGACGATGTTCTTCTTGATAACCTTCATGATCTTGTTCTGCTGAAGAGTCTCACGGGACAGGTTGAGGGGAAGGTCCTCAGAGTCGACAACACCCTTGACGAACGACAGCCACTCGGGAATGAGGTCGGTGGCATCGTCAGTAATGAAGACGCGGCGGACGTAGAGCTTGATGTTGTTCTTGGTCTTCTTGGTCTCGAAGAGGTCGAAGGGAGCGCGCTTGGGAACGAAGAGGATGGCGCGGAACTCAAGCTGACCCTCAACGGAGAAGTGCTTGACACCGAGGTGGTCCTCCCAGTCGTTGCTGAGGGACTTGTAGAATGAACCGTACTCCTCCTGGGTGATGTCGGCGGGGTTGCGGGTCCAGATGGGCTTGGTCTTGTTGAGCTCCTCCTCCTCGATCTTGCTCTCCTTGACCTTCTTGGTCTTCTTCTCCTTCTTCTCGTCCTCATCATCGACCTCCTCGACCTTGGGCTTCTTCTCGTCACCCTCCTCGGTCTTCTCCTCAGCCTCCTCATCAGGGACCTCCTTCTCGGTCTCCTTGAGGACGTGAAGGTAGATGGGGTATGAGATGAACTCGGAGTGCTTCTTGACGACCTCCTTGATCTTGGCCTCGTTCAGGTAGTCGAGCTGCTCATCCTTGAGGTGCAAGACCATCTTGGTACCGCGGCCGAGCTGCTCACCCTCGGTGTCCTGGGTGAGGGTGAAGGTGCCACCAGCTGATGACTCCCAGAGGTACTGCTCGTCATCGTTGTTCTTGGAGGTGACGGTAACCTTGTCGGCGACGAGGTAGGCAGAGTAGAAACCAACACCGAACTGACCAATCATGGAGATATCGGCACCAGCGGTCAAGGCCTCCATGAACTGCTTGGTACCGGAACGGGCAATCGTACCGAGGTTGTTGACGAGGTCCTGAGAGCAAAGTCAGTAACAGTTCGACGGAGTGAGTGGAAGGATTTATCACTTACAGCCTTGGTCATACCAATACCAGTATCGCGGATGGTAAGAGTCTTGGCCTCCTTGTCGGGGATGATGTCGATGCGCAAGTCCTTGCCAGAGTCGAGCTTGCTGGGGTCGGAAAGAGCCTCATAGCGGATCTTGTCAAGAGCATCGGACGAGTTGGAGATGAGTTCTCTGAGGAAGATCTCCTTGTTGGAGTAGACAGTGTTGATGATCAGCGAGAGCAGCTGAGAGATCTCAGCCTGGAACTCAAAGGTCTCGGCGGCCATGTTGATGGTGGTGGGAGATTGATTCAAACGAGGACAAACACAGAGATCAAAGCAAAAAGTGACTGCTGGGATAGAGACAGCCGGGTATCTGAGAGAGAAAAGAAGATGTGTGGATGTGAAGAGGGGAAAGTCTGGAAGTCTGAGTGAGAAGGGATTTGTATCCCATGCGCCGCCGTCTCCGTAGAAATTCAAAGCATTCAATGGAACCGCCAAGCTTCGAAAGCTTCGTTGCTTCGAGCAACAACTTCCCTTTCACATCTTTGACAGCCGCCGAACCCACTAGAAGTCTCTACCACAACCGTGATCTTTCACTAGTTACTCGATTGATTACTGTGACATGTGACAGTTGGTGCATAGCAAAGTAAACATTTCCATGATCTTTTACCTATGTTGGCCTCGCAAGGACTGGCTGATTGAAGTCTGTCGCATCCTCCGTGAGTCCAGACTTTGCGGGGATACTGGTGGGCGGCGGCCTTGCCACCCGAATCTTCTAGTGGCTACGGAGTACAGTCTGCCAACCCTGACCATGGAGTACTACTGTTCATAACTCCTATCATACTCCGACTACAGTCAAGAGCGAAACATAGACTATACAAATGCACAATTGTCTTATGAAATAGAGGCATGTCCACATAGAGGCAATAACTTCTTGCCTGTTAGTGGAAACCATCTTGTGTCCTGTTACTATTGTGCAATTCTATAGCTATACGCGCTACATGTTTGATGCGCGGAGGGGGACATTTCTGTTGAGATTGTGGTACACATGCTCACGCGTCAATTGATAAGGATTGTTTCAAACTCTCTCACGGAACATGGTCCGGACTACCAAAAGATTGTTGTCTACCCGATGCACTTGACCAGGATCTTTCTTGAGCAGCGAGACACTTGCAGTGATTTCGAATTGTATTATGCAGTTTGATTGAAGTGGTGATTAAAATGCAATATAAGTGCCTCTGCCAGTCAAAAAGAAACCTCCCCATCAAGCATCACTTCTCAAAACATCCGGACCTGCAAAAGTCAACCGCGTCGCCTCTGATTGATGCCCGAGAAGATTGTATCCAATAACGCCCGACCGAAAAGAAGTAATTCCGCGCGCTCATCCAACCTCAGTGTTTGGCTCATGCAAATGATTATGTCGACCGACAGTGCTCAGCCCAAAAGGTATCCTGCCAGGTACTGCTCTCTGTCCTCATGAAGTAATCTCGACGCTTCTCTTGTCGGGCAGCTCAATTGGCTCTTGCTGTCCCTGTGTGCTTTGCGCAGCCGGCAGCGACCCTCTTCGTGTGAATTGAGCATCCTGACCAGTCATTCTCCTGCCGAGTGCGCGCTCGACCTTTGCGCCCAGAGCGATGGTGTTGATTTCGTCATCCTTCTTTTCGCTGAGCTGGTAGCGCTGTTTCTCGAGACGCTCGTCCGACATGCGCTGGAAGCCAGCCTTCCACGACCTGATGTCTTGGGTGCGAGGGTCGGCGGTGCCGACGGTGCTCGTCGAGGCGCGGGGCTCGTTCACAGCGATCTTATCTGTGTCGTAGGTAGTTGTCGAGAGCGAGTTTTGGTATGCCTCATGCTTGGAGCCAGCATCGGCTGTGTTGTTTGTGACGGTAGAAGAGGTGCTCATTGCGATTGACGGCTGTAGGGATGGTGCGCCGGAATGCGTAGAGAGTCTGAGAGATTGGTTGTGTGTTGAGGACAAGTCGTTCGACTATCAGAAATTGGAGATGTCAGAGATCAGCCAAGCGTTGTGTTGGCGTAGAGAAGCAAACACTGGAAACGGTGGTGTGAGGGGCTCTCAGACAAGCAAAAATCCAAAAATTGGTGCTAAAAGGCAAGTGGGCAATGGGGAAAAATGACAAGGTCTTTGCCATGACACGTACCATGACTAGATCTATATGCGGAGATTCAGGAGTTGTCAATCTTGTGCTAGACTCTTTTATCGTCAGCTGCATGGTCATTGAATCGTGCTTTTCATATCGGGCACAGCTGATGTCTCACCCGCTTCCTGGCCAGTGTGCTGTTTACTTTGCAACCTGGATTTGCTGACAAGTATCCGTCAAAGAGAAACGGACTGTGTTTCGATTAAAAGGCTACGAGACAAGATAGCGATCCCCGAAAATGCATTCATATTCCTGGTCAGTAATGTCGGATGACGGACCCCTTTGTACCGCTCGACATGCTAGATCATGCCGCCGGCCAGGGATCTTCACAGCACAACCACCGCACACGATATCCTGCCATTGACTCTTACGATCGCATGGACAGCGCATTCGCTGGCGAGAATCCGCTTGAATATACGCAGTAAATCTACATATTTCATGGCATAATCACTGCAGAGCAAAACCAATACGGACGTTTCAATGTGCTGGTAACGGATCTGTCCATCAAGTCGTGCAACTGTCACGTCAACGTGGCCTCGATCAGCGCCACGTGCAGCGGTATTTCTAAGGCAAGGAAGTACACAAACCACGCATTCCGCTTGTTCGTAGCACCCAAGAAGTCATGCTACACCGACTGGGACTGTCCTTGACTCATTCATTTCGTCTTATCGTTTCAACCCTCCTTGCCTGACTAAGGTCGCTACCACTTGCCTCCTGTCAGGAAGGCTCTCAACAACTCAAGAGGAGCCCTGCTGTTGTCCCTGGCTGACACTACTGCATACCCAGGAAGCTCGACACTCGGCGTGCTCAAGCCCAACGCTTCTGATACTGTCACCCAATTTCTTGCTACCCAGGCGACAGCACCGCACACTCCGACCACCTGCAGAACACTCCATTTGTTGATGTGAAATCGTTGACTCAGCGCAAGCAAGCCTAGAGGATCTTGACGATCGAGACTGTCTGGTTTACTACGATCAACATGATGAGGTATCTCGTAGCCAGATCTGACCAAGGCTGAGCTAGCTTCGTGTTTCCCATCAGTACCCGTAGTCAATTGTTTCCTTTCTTGGGTTTCAATGTCGAGGGCAACCTTCAAGTTGTATGCCCATTGGGGTAAGTTCATGTTATCTCTGTCAAGATTGTGAGCATCAATACCCCTGCCGAAGTCGTACTGCGAAGTCGTGTATATAGCAGGTACAAGCTTGAAAGGGGTGGGTGAAGACCCTCGCTGGCTCGGAGTAGGTATCTGTGGCGCTAGAAATCCCGAAGGCGAAGACAATACAGAAGAAATGGAGGATGGCGCAGCATCTTGCAGACAACCGAGTCGTTCGAGTGCAAGCTCGCGAAGCTCGCGCTTGTGTGAGTCGAACGATGTCTTCAAGTATTCTCTTCGCCACTGAATGAATTTTCGGACAGCACAATGTCGCAACCATTGAGCGTTATCGGGATCAAACAGCCGGTCGACCAACTGGGTAAGATCGCTTGAGACCAGAGGCTGCACATACTCAGAGGACATGAGCACGCTCGCATCCATGGTCTCTGTGTCCTCGCTCAAGGCTGACGATACTGCAAAAGGCGACGATGTCAAGACGTCTTGAGCATTCGCTGCCTGGAAGGTGAGTGTTCCGATCCCAGCTGCTTCAAGGCTAGATCGGATAGCTGTCTTTGTATCCATGAGATTGTCACTTTGGCATGTATCAGCTCTACCAATGACAGGTATTATGTTGGTTAATGCGGAGAGGCGCCGAAGAACATCGATTTCAGTGGGAGTAATTTGGTGAGATGCTGAATAGTGTCAGTTACCTTGAAGTCATGAATAGCCATGAGAAACTTACTGGGATGGAACATGTAGAGTAACGCATCGACTTGGAATCCTCCGCTGCCACTCAAGACACCGAGCAGATCTATATCACTCAATTCTCCTGACAGAGTGTTTCTTCGCAATGACGCCTCTATGTGCTCGTGGACGGTGTTAATGGCATCGTCCATATTCTCTTGGTCGTTTGCGCCGCTCATAGTCCAACCAGGGGTATCGATGAAGGAGATATTACGCTCGAGGATGGAGTCTCCCATACTCTTTCGGCGTCTCAAACCACGTCCTTGTTCGATGTCTGACCACCAAGACGGATAGGATTTGGTCGAGGCATGAGTTTCAAATACATCATGTGCAAGTGTAGTTGAGGTTGAGGACGAGTCTATCGCCACAACAGGGTCGACATGTACAATGTCCTCACACACCTGGACGATGCTTTTGATCAAACTTGTCTTGCCTATACCAGAGGGCCCAGCGACCATGATCCTAAGCCGGGGCATGCGCTTACCTCTTTCTGTGAAAGGTCGGCGCGCAGGCATGGATATGCTGGGCATGATCAATTGAGGTACACTGCTCAGGGGGACAGCCTGAGGGGTGGAATCAAGCAGCGTCTCGTCAGCGAAGACATCGTCATCGTCGCTCGAAGAGTGTAAGGCCTGGCTAGCAGTGTCGTCGATGATACTTCCTTCTTCGTCTGAAAGACGTACACTTTTCACACTAGGCGATCGTGGATTGCTAGTGCCGCCAGCACGTAGAGAGGTAAATGAACGACCCAAGGATGTAAGGGATTCACTTCGAATATGGCGACGGGTTGGAGAGGGAGTCAAGGGTCTTTGGGTGGGGGACATGATTGAAGATGTTCGCGACGAAGGCCGCTCTTCGGAAGATATGATGCGTTGGGCAGCTGCAGCGATCTTGGGGTGGACGGGGTTTCCAATCTTCCGTTTCTTGCCAGAGACGGTGTTCGACGGAGACGAAGACGACTCTGGGGTCGTGGAGGCGAAGGCAACCTCGAGGGTTTCATCCAGGCTCTCGACGCCATAGTTGTTGTCCTGATCCTGTTGCTGGTCACTCTTCTCGGCCTGAGCCTTTTTCATGTCCCTCTCTCTTCTGAGAAAGAAGGTGGTCGGTGGCTGCGTGTATCCCGGGATCGGTGCGGTACCTGCATCAGTACAGGGGAGCTTCTTTGACCGCGACCACGCTCGTTCGGAGTGGCTCATGATTGAACACGGAGGGCGGTAGACTTGTTCTGAAGATGCGTTGAGGACGCCGGTGAGGTCCCAGAGGTGCCAAGGAAAGTGGTTCTCATTATACGACTGATCATACGACTATTTGCTCAATAAGACGACTTGATGCCTGGTGACAAGTCCAAGTGGATGGATGAGCCCATGACATGATAAGCTGCGCATCTGATCGGCGGGGCCCCGCATGAACCGTGCGTATCTACAACGTCCCTCCCAACTTACCTTGCTGCTCGTGTGCCAATCTGTCACGCTACAGTTTAAGAAATGCACGGTATTGCTGGAAGATTGGCAGTATTCACTGTTTTTGAGGCTAGTCAAATCGAATTCACGGAATTGAACTGACAAAAGCAATGTAAAACATTGGTTCAGAAGGCTGTCATGAGAAGTGTCATCGTTCATTCTGCATATCTACCGTCGTTCATGAAGAGCATGCACAATAGCTACAGCCCAACTTGGCCTGCTTCTTCGTTCACCCTCAAGCCAAACTACGCCAGATGATCCGCGTGCTCCGAAGAAAAGTCACCGTTTTCGACATCCCATCCACACCTTCCAGAGCCCATCCGCAACCGTGTTAGTACAGACTGCAAGGCCCATAAAACTCCGCAACAAACAACAGAAACACAGTCGGTAGGATGGAAAGAGAAACCAATGACAAACACGCGCCGCTATGCATTAGTGACAAATGTCCGAAGTTTTGAGCAGCGTGTCGAGGTTCTGGAGTCCGTCTCCAAATCGCTTCAACGCTGAGAAATAACTTTTTCGAAAGGGAGGCATATCGCGTCATATTTTACAGATAAGGGCTGAGTCACGCTTGTTGTTTCAGCCCGTGTCGTAGAAAGCGTTTAGGCAGCCTGGGCACCACCACGGCCGCGAGAGGCGGCACCGCCACGGCCTCTCTGGGAGCCGCCACCACGGCCACCCTGGAAAGAGCCACGAGGGGCTTGGTTGGCACCGCCACGACCACCTCTGGCACCACCACGGTTGCCCTGGAAGAAGGGTCTGTTGTCCTTGGGACGGCGCTCCTCGATGGTGATGGCATGCTCACCAATCGAGATGGGGCTAGCCTTGAGGGCAGCCTTGTAGCCTTCAAGGGTCTTGAAGTCGACAAAGGCGCAGTTCTGCTTAAGTGTCAGTATCCATGAAGCTGGCTTTTGGTCAGGAAGCTTACCTTGGGTCTGTTAGCGTCAAAGTACGCGAGCTCACCGTGCTTCTCAATGGCCTCTCTCAGAGTGGGAAGAGTGATACTCTCGTGGACGTTCTTGACGTAAGCACGGTACTGAGGGGTGTCTTGAGCACCGGCAGCGGCCTGGCCCTTGTTCTGCTTCTTGTCGCCGACGCTGGTCCACTCTTCTTGTTGGTCGGCACTAGGAGCGGCGGGGGAAGACTCGCGTGCAGGAGCAGCAGCAGCCTCCTGGGTAGGTGCGGAGGGTGTAGGCTTAGCTGCAGGCTCGGGTTGAGGAGCAGCCTTGGGCTGGACAGGGGCGGCAGAAGCGGATGGTTGGGGAGTGACGACAGGGGTGGCAACGCGGTGAGCAGCAGCGGCGAGGTTGGCCCATGTCTTGGGGGCGGCGGGAGCAGCGGGCTTAGCAGGAGCGGCGGCCTTTGCGGGCTGAGCGGCCTGCTTCACAGGAGAGCGGACGGCGGGAGTAGGCTCAGGGTCCTTGGGCTTCTCGGTCTCCAAGTCTTGTGCAACAGGAACCTGAGAGGCAGCCTCGGTGACGGTCTCGGGAGCGGCCTCAGTGGCTTCAGCGGGTTCGGACTCAGCAGCAGCAGGAGCTTCAGCCTGAGCGGGCTCAGCGGTCTCAACCTTGGGCAAGTCATCGGCGACAGCGGTGGGAGCGGCGGTCTCCTCGGGCTTGTCAGCAAGGATCTTCTCCTCGATCTCCTTGTCAACCTTGGCAGCGTCCTTCTCAATGGCAACAGGGTCCTCGGAGCTGGTCAAGGTCTCGTGCTCGGGCTCCTGGACAGCAGTGGGGGCAGGCTCCTGAATAGCAGCGGACTCCTCGGTTGCCTCGGCCTCATCCTCCTCCTCAATGATGTAACGGAAGATGTCGTTCAGCACAAAGTAGCCGTTAGTCTGAGCAGCGAGAACGAAAGTCTGGGTGAACTTCTTATGAGGAGCCGACTTGTTGGAAATCTCACCAATGACCTGGATGACGATGTGGTCATCCGAGGCCTGCGAGTCGACATTGGTGACGCGGACCTTGCATTCGGAAAAGTCAAGCTCCTTGATGCGTTCATTGATGGCCTGTTTGCCCGTTCAGCACATGGACAATCTTGTGCGGTGTCGAAAAAGAGAATACGTACCCGTTGTCCCACACAGACTTCGACCTTCTCGGTCTCATTGCCAGAGACAAATTGTGAGCGCTTGTTGTAGAAGAGCTGCAGCCAGTCAACGAAAGTCCCCTTTATCTCATTGTATTACTCTCTCACGTACGTAGACTTTTTCGGGGCTGCGGCTGAGGGTCGTGTAGTATTGCTCCACGAAGTACCAGCCGACCTCGTCCTTGGGAATGTCGGCAGCAGAGTTGTTCGATTGGGAAGGCGCAGAGGAAGGGTAGCTGGGGGCGGTGTAGCCAGACTGATCTATCGAGCCATAACCATTCTGAGGGACGAAGGTGCCGTTCATAGCGGATTCAGAAGCCATTGTGAAGAAACCAAGAAGCGGACAGATGCAAGTAATTCGGCGGCGCAGAAAATCGGAACAATGTCTGATGATGCAACAGTATCAGCGCTGGGTTTTTCAATTCAAAGCCTCCACATCGAAGCAGCGGCAGGGTGCGCGACAGGTGTCTCAGTGTATGGGAGAGTCTCACCTCTAAAGTGACGATAAAGCAGCCCAGTATAAAACTAAGTCGTGCAGCTCGACGGATCTACAATTTTTGCGTCAAGCTGCGGTAGAAGCTTGGGGAGAGATGAGAGATGAGAGGAGAGCGCTGCAAAAGGATGGCGAGAGAGTGTAAGAGGATTGGAGCTTGTGGTGAGCGGAGTGAGCTTTGAACTGTGTCTATGAGTAGCAGAAGTTGTTCAGATGGAAATCCATCGTCACTTCCAACCAAGACTTGGGCCGTGCGCCGTGCACCACCTATGCCACAAACGGCCATGCCCACGTGATATAGATCTGTGTCTGCTGCTACATCTTCCGGATGCACGAAGCCATCCTTTCACCAAGGTGTCCTCAGTCCATGGCATATCGACTGTTTTGGTACTCTCGTGTATGGGCAGTGAGACTTGGCAAATGGTAGTCGAAACATGTTATCTGATTGAAATACTACAGACTTCCTTTCATCGAAAGGCCTTCGGTTCCTGCCATAGGATCCTTCCTGGTTTATCCCAATCTGCTAAACAAAGACAGTCACAGTACAGCCATACAAATGCACAATACTGTCGTGAAAAATGTTGTCTCCACGGAGAGGACACCATCAAAAGCTATCTCTATGGTCAGACTCATATTCGATTTTCAACTGTGCACTTCGATAGCTTACAACAAGAAGAATTGTACCTCAAGATGGAGGATGAATTCTGAGTTGCAAGATTGTGACCGTCTTCAACACACGGGGAGGGTCAGGAACAAAATGAGGCATGCGATGGCCCAAGCTTGCTCACCTTGGTTTTCGCCAGCTATACAATTCAGTGTAGAAGGTAATTTTGGCGCATGCCTGAACTTGCATCTGTTTCAATCTGCGGGTAATACCTGCAAAGACTGCCATGTAGAGCCACAACTCCGAGATGTGAATCCCGCAGAGCTGATGACAGAGAAAGTGCGCGAGATTCTGTGATCGTAGTATAGTGTAGTGTTATGAAGCTAGAAGAGAGCGCTATTTGCAGTCTTCACAGTCCTTTGTTGCCTCGCCCGCTGTAGCGGCAGAGCTTTGAGCAGGCTCTGTTGGCTTTGAAGATGTGTCTGAAGTCTGAGTCTTGGAGGGCTTGTCAGAGTGACCGAGATCTCGACCTGGCTCAATATGGTTCCTCAGACGTTGTTTCAACACCTTAGTCTCTGGAAATCCTCCTTCTGCCTTTCTATCCCATAGTAATATCTCTTGTGCTTCTGCATTCTCGTCGGATCCAGGAGGTACGTGGGTCAGATAGACAGTGAAGAGGCCGCCCGAGGCGGGAATGAGGGCAATCTCGCCAATTGCTGTTCCGAAGGTCGACAGCAGTTCCTGGCCAAAGTATGCTGCTCGTAGCATCCACTTGCATTGGGTGCAGTATGAAATGGCAACACGAGGTAGCTTGTGCGGCGTCGACATGATGAAGGTTGTTCAGACGCAAATGCAGCTCACGATGGTTGGATGATTCAAGCAGATCGTCGGATTGTAGGCCAGCAACTCCAGATATTGCACGCGGTCGAGAATGTGTCGCTGGCGATGGTGGATGTTGAAGCAGGCGTCCACGGGTCCCTTGATCTTGGTCGCACGCAAGTTCGTCTTTGCTTCTCCAGCCTCGTCAGAGAGCAATCCCAATCCCCAAGCATGTCACTCTCATTCATTCTTACCAATTTGAGTCAACCACAACAGTTGTGCCTCGGATGCGAGCGAAGCCATGTAGATATCCCATCTCCTCGGTAGGTTCAGTTCGGTGAGCAATTACGCAATGCGAAAGCGTTGCCTCGTTGTTTCCTTCATCCTCTAGTTTTCTTGTCTCCTGAAGACCATGGCTCTCCCAACAGTGCCAACTCCCTCTGGTCTTTACGAACAGCGGCCATCGCCGACTGCTGGAATCGGAGTTTTTGCCATCGCCGGTATTCCTTCAGGCACTCGTATCCTGTGTGAAGCTCCGCTCTTTGCGCTTCCTGACGACGACGATGTCATAGCATGCTATCTTGCAGTCAAAAACCTGCCCTTGGATCAACAATCTGCCTTCTGGTCTCTCGCCGCCTGTGCGAGTCCTCCAGGGGATACCGATTGGATCGACGAGTTGCGAGAAGCTTGTGATGGTACCTTTACTGTCCACCAGCCTGTGAACACCACGTGCTGACAACAAGGTTCAGAAGATATAAGCGATCACGAGTTCGACGACCTCGTCAAGAAATACGAAGGTGCATTTTCGATATACGAGACCAATCGCTTCACTTTGCGCTATCCTGATGGCTCACCCATCAAGCTGGGAGTCTTCCCGAACGTAAGCCATTCACCTTCCTAGACTCAATCAGCCATATTGACAAGCAACAGGCTGCGCGCTTCAACCATTCCTGCTCGCCCAACGTCTACCACCGCTACAATCCAAACATAGACCGGCTCACCATACACACCCTTCGTGACATCCGTCCTGGTGAAGAAATTTGCACCGCATATATCGATATTTGTCATCAGACGGCTGAGAGACGTCGCATTCTGCGTCACTGGGGATTCAATTGCCGTTGCAGGGCATGCGAGGCACAAGATCCAGCGCGCGAGACTCGGAGAAGTAGACTGGAACAGCTCATGGCCGTCATGCAAAGGAGAGAGAAGAAAAGGTCTTGGGAGAACTGGGGCACCTGGGATTACGCAGAGGCTCTTACCACTGTGGAAGAGGTCATCTCCATCATGCTTGCCGATGGCTTGGAAGAGACGGACACACTGGGCGAAGCCTACGAGAATGCGGCAGCGTACAACATTGCCATGGGCTGCAGAGAGGATGCTATCAAGTGGGCGCGAAAAGATTTGGAGATTGAACGCAAGTGCTGCGGCGAGGACAGTCCTGAATATGCCAAAGCGTTAGCCTTGCTACAATCCGCCCAAGCAATATAGCATGGTGCTCCCTCCTCCGTGTGCCAAAGTCTTTGACTTCCAATTGAGTCCATGGTACTCCGGATGCGCAGAAAGCAAGGTATACGCTGTAAGAAGGCACGATCTTTTTTGAAACTATCGGCATGTCTACAGAGAGCCTGTGATTCGGCACTTCGCAGTGGACACTATTCTGTTTCTGATTAGTATTGTGCATGTCTACAGCTACACGCGTGACATAGACCCCGATTGCGCTTTCCTAGGACAACCGTTCAGCTATAGCGGTAACAGGTCTATCCGCAACAAGAATATTAAGAGCATCAGCCAAATCATAAGTTTCAATGATAATTTTCTGGCACGAAAAGGAGTTGCTGCCATGATCACTCGTTTGTTCACCATCCAAAACTGTGACGTCGAGCGACCCTCACTTGAAGCTCCGAGGCATCATGAAGCGACTCCGCACCAGGGAATGCCCTCGGATATTGATGGCATCAGACAAATAGTGAAAAGCAATTCAGAGATCCATTTAGCCAGACACAGACAAATCCTTCCAAATACTTGTGCACACTGCTACCATGCCTCTCCTGAACTTCCATCTGTTACGTCTGAAGGGCGACATCCAACCTCAAACCTTCGTCGCTCAACTCCAGAAAGCCGAGCCTTCCACTAAGGTGATTGTTGCATCAAAGCCACGCCACTTTGTTATCAAGACCACCACCCACGATGCCGATATATTGAACAAACCTTGGGACTTGATGCTCCTTCTCCAGGGATCCAAGAACGCACTCCCGGATTCTGTCAGCCAGCACATTGCCTCGAAATACACACTTCCTGTGGGTATACCATCGAAGCTACTTGCTACATATCCAGAGAAGAATGCAAGACTCATCAAGGAGGCCTCGTCCGCTGGTCTCACGGGCTCGCTGGACAATCCGAAAATGCCAGACTCGAGTCAAAAATTGGAGCTTTCGCCCGAGCTGTTGAAGTTCATGGAGCAACTTATGAAAGAACACGACGGCCCGGTCACCATGTTGAACTTCTTAAAATTCAAGCCTGACGGTAAACAAAGCTACTACCAATACGGACAGCACTTTATCGAAGTGGCCAAGAAGCGAGGTGGAGATGCAAAGATCGTGGGAAATGTTCTTGCTGATGCCGATGGGAAGAAGAGCGGATGGGATGAGATTGCCATTGTGCATTATGCCAGCATCAAGCATTTCTGTGATATGCTTGCTGGCGCAGACTATCAGGCTATCAATGAGAAATACAGACTTCCGGTAAGTGGAGATCTACCAAAGTCTCTTTGGATGTCTTGCTGACTTGTGCCTAGGCTTTGGAGGATACACTCTTGGTCTGTACTACCGAGTTTGGTGTGATGAATACAAAGGCCAAGCTCTAGAAGAGCGCGTGGTTGTTCTGTAGCCTATACATCTAGATTCAAGACTTGATTGCACGTTGTACCATCTGCTCATTTACGCCGAGGCCAAGAATTTCCCGACACTACCAATGCTGGTCTCACCTTTGACCAATTGAGAGTGAACAACATCCTTGTCGCCGTTTCTTGCATCTTTTGCTGCTTCAGCCCAGGAGGCAGTATGTGATGTACCTGGTCTGACCATATGGCTCTCGTCCGAAAGGCGCACCAACAATTGCTCTGTCTCAGCCGAAACAGCTGTGATCTGTCGTCGTAGGTAAGAAGTGTGCTGCATTAAGGCTGCTTCCTCTTGGGCAGTAGATCGGAGGACACCGATGTAAGGTAGAACTTTTGAAGCGAGCCCAGCATTACTCAATTCGTCGTTGTCGTTTTCCGATTGTTGCCTCTCAAGTGGGAATTTGACTGGTTCTGAGTCGGTTTTGAGTTTTGTGTTCAGGACGCGAACAAGACGTTCTCGTGAAGTGAGGTATTTGTTGTAAAGGTCCCGAAGTGTTGCTTTGATCTCGTCCAGTGACTCCGTCCCACTGTCTCCTGGCACGTCCATATCTTGATGCATGGACTCTTCGTCTTCTGACAACTTTGAAAGTTCGCCTTCAATCCATGCAATCAAGTCATCCCGAGCTTTCCGAAGAGCATACGCGCGTTTCCAATCTTCCGTTACGGATTGTTGATGAGAATTGGTGTGTGCCTTGGATCGGCCACCGCTCTGGGCACGCAGCACGGCCTTTTGCAACTCGAAGACATGAGATTCTGCGTCTGCCAATGATTCGTCTTGGGACTGTTGTGCAAGCGGTGGTGGTATCTGAGATTGCATACCGTTCAACAGCTCACTTGGGTCTGCAAATCGTGAATTGTGCCTGACATTTTCCAGGTTGTCCAGTGTCTTTTCGATGACCAAAAGTTTGTCTCGTCGTTGCCTTTGACGAATGAGTGCTACAGTCTCAGCGACCGGGTTCTCTTGCCTCTCATCATTATCCTCTTCTCCAGGGGTACGCTGTAGAAGGTCCAGTTCGGCTTTCAAGGCGTCGTACTGAGATTGTGCTTTTTGGCGTGCAATGAGTGCTTGCATGAAAGCCCGCCGTACACCATTGAAGGGGCTGTTGAGTGCGGCCTGTGCAGATGTCTCTGTTGTAGACAATGTCACTCTCGAGATGGGAACGTTCTGATCCTGGACATATTGGCTCAAGAGTGAATCTATGCCTCGCCTAATCTCGGTGACTTCCTCGCGCGGCCTGATATATGGTCTCAGGGCCTCCGCAAGCTCTGGTAGAGGACATTGTCCCACCAAATCTGACATGATTATGTGTCGTTGTGGTTGTCGTTGTTTGTTGATGATTTGATGGAAGATTGTTTGGCTTGGCGAAACATTTGCACGTGAAATCTGTAGATGAAACCATGAATAAATTGATTCTGGACATAACTTCTGCGACTTCATTACAGGATCCAAGGTTTCTTAATATCTGTATACTGCGCACACGTCACTGCAATCATTGGCAATAGGAACACCCCTGGTCGCTGTACATCAATATGACCCTCGGCGGCCTCAAGGCAAGCCCCGGAATCGAAAGCAACTCGGACTGTCCGGATCTAGAACTCAGAGCAGCCTCCAGTAAATTCGTGCTTGAATGAGGCATGCATGCAACAGGCTACCGACAAACGTCCGCGGAGGCCATCACCGACAGTAATACCCTGGTATAATTATAGGGCACACAGGTGCACAATGGCGTCGGCCTGATGTAATGCTCCATCAGGTGATTGCAGTAGCTGCATCGACTGCTGCTTACCATAAGCCATAAAACATCAAGATAATTTCTCACCCCAATATGATACTTCGCACGAGCTCTCTAGCCAGCCATCATGACGGATGTACCGGAGCATATGAAGGACTTTGTCACTGCGATGCAACAGGTCTACCAATTTCCCATGACTGTGGATGACAAGTAAGACATCCATTTAGCTGAGACATGTCTTCGTGACTTGACACCATGATTGAGAGCGTCTCGAGACCCAAGGGTCAATCATACCAAATCTGATCTCTTTCAACAGGCTCGACTGGAAACCGCCGCCGATGAAGGATGGCCATCGCGGACGCTACCTATGGACTGACGCATTTGGCGTCCTCAACTTCATCACACTTTTCAAGGAAACAAAACAACCACACTTCCTAGCTTTGGCTGCGATACTCGTAGAAACAGTACACGACATACTGGGTCGAACGAGAGACCTATCTGCTCGGCTGCCAGGAGCTTCGGATCAATCTCCGCTTTCAGGTGGACTGCGGATAGGCAAGAATGAAGCCCTTGGAGCCGATGGAGATGGACAATACCATCATTATCTCACTTTGTGGATGTTTGCGCTCAATCGACTTTCCATCGCGACAGGCCAGATGAGTTACAACGATCAAGCCTTATCACTAGCGAAAGCAATACATCCTGCATTCGTGTACCAGCGGGACGCTCTGCATCCACGTGTAGTCTGGTAAGCAGATACTGTACTATCTAAAACATGATCGATTCTGACCAGTTTTCTAGGAAGATGTCAATGGACTTGTCTCGTCCTCATAGCCGTGGTGAAGGTAATTTAGATCCGATCAATGGCCTCGTCACATACCGTCTTCTTCAACAAACCAGCCGTAATCCGAGAATATTACAGGGCGAAATCGAGGACTATCAAAAAGTTGTCGACACAAAATGGAAAGCATATACCTCGTCAGATACGCTGGATCTCGGTATGGCACTCTGGGCCGCGCACTGGTACTCTGATCAAGATGAATGGTCGAAAGGACTTGCAGATGCTGCTTTGCGTGATATGCGGGTAGTTTTCCATGAAACACATTACCTAGACGTGCCAATTGCTCAAAGGCTCGCCTTCAGAGAATTTGGAACCTGTCTCGGCATTGGCGTATATCCAACGCATGATCTGAAACCTATTGCTGGTCAAATAGTTGCAGATTGGAAAAAAGCAGATAGAGTGCCTGTCCCGACCAGCAATGCTGGTTTAGAATCTCTCGAGCCAATCGATCTTGTTATGTATGCTGCTGCATCATGTCCAGGAGCTTTCCAAAGAGATTATCTGAATTAAATTATAGTCTAGTATTATGATTACGAATGCCGTCGTTCCTCAGATTCATCCATCGCATACGAGCTCGAACGGTCTCTTAGCTGTAAGACCCTCAGTTGTGTCCTTCTTCTGCATGTCTCTGTGCAGCATCTTGATCCGCATGCTTTGCTGGATCAAACACATAGATCGGGAACTCCAGGAACAAAGTTCGCTTCAGGATGACAGGCATTCTCTTATAAAGAGCTGGTGGGAAGGGGATGAGGATACTGGTCTGATGCAGGTAAGCAGCATACTCATTCCAGCCTTCACCCTTTTCGTATCTCTTCTTCGCTCCAGGGCGTTCTTGCAAGGTTAGACCAGACACGAACATCAGCAGTGTAGTCAAGAAGACTGGCCCAACCACGCTGGAGAACAGAGCTGCCTTTGCACCGCCATGCACGTAGTTGTAAGATGCAGGAGTCACAGCGAGCATATAGATGGCTGGAAAAAACGTCAGATCGTGTATACCAGACATTATATCTGGCAGACTTACAGAATTGGATGAGAATCTCAGCAAAGTAGTTGGGGTGACGAGACCAGGCAAAGAAGCCCACGTTGCAGACAGCGCCACGTTCCTTGTGGTTTTGCTTGAATCTGTACTTCTGGATATCGCTGACAGTCTCCATGATGATACCAATACCGAAACCGATGACGGCCAGAATGTCAGTGGCTTTGTTGAAAGCAGGTTGGGGATATTGGTTGACAATTGGGCTGTTCAACACAGTTACAGGCATGCTAACGGTCCAGACCCAGAGCGTTTGGAAGGTATAGAAGCCCAGCATCGGCAGGAACTTTCCACGTTTGTCGTCAAAGCGGTCGTCCTTTCCAGTCTTGATGATTCGGAAAAGCAAGAATCCAGCAAGACGTGCTCCCCAAATCATGATGAAGATGCTGTCGACGATTTGGCGGGCTTCGTGCTGGCCATACATGGAGACCGTAATGATGGCCAGTAGGACAAAATTGGTACCTCCGGCAACATCGTTCAACTGATCAGTCTTGAACCCAACAGAGATTGCGAAGAATATGGCTTGATATCCCAAGCAAATCAAGAAACTGATGGCCAGGTAATAGTTATCGAGGACATGGACCAATGCCATGATTCTGCTCGGCTTTGGTTGAAGATTTCCAGTCTTTGACGTCGAATCGCAAAAAAACTGTTTGAAGAAAGATTCGATATATTCAATATTGTATTCGTTCTACCTGTAAGATCTGCAGGGAAATGGTATACAAGAACTATTCAAGGGTCCTCCTGTGTGCTTTTTGTTGTAAGCTGCGGATGTCGAAGGAGCCAAAAAGCCAAAAGTCCATGCCGTCATCCAAGCCAAGTCTGTCAGGCAGCCCTTTGCCAAGGCTCACGATACAGCGCGGAGAATGAGATCTGATGGGGTCTGACTTTGTCTCTGAGATCCAAAACCTAGAAATTTAGTATAAGGCGCAGAGGGTCTAGGTCTGCTCCTCAAAAGTCAAACGAGGAGCGCAAGCTTGAGCATGCATACTTGCTCCCAAGACTGATTTTCACCATCAGTCGTCGAAACAAGCAAGACCCTGGATGTGCCATGTGCAAATCAGACAAGGAAAACGTGAGATCAACTGATGACTCTCCTCCATGTGCAATACACGTGTGGATGAGCGCGACTATCAATGATCGTCTCTGGGCAACCTCAACTGATGCCAGTCCTTGTTTTTCGATCACCAAGTCGAGTGACTGCCATGGAGAAAATGTTGCAGGATGCGACAAACGAAGTCGCAGCTGCAGCAATATTATATAGGATTATTATACCTATATCTTTGGCATGATGAGAAGTGTTATAGCCAACACAGACATAACTCGTTCCAAGAACAGAATGATAGCCAAGGTAGGCCCGTGGAGACACCATCCTGTCAGGCAGATATTGACCAATCCCTGAATAGATGAGAGGTGATAACACACCTGCTAGCACCAGCCAGTCCTGCTGGGGATTTTGGTGCGCACACAATTACCTGAACAAGCATCGAAAATGGTACGCACCACGATATGAGCACATCGCCGGTTGCGGAGGACAACGAGTCAAATGGCTGGTCGCAAATCTACCCACTTATTCATACTTCCAATAAGACATCTCATCCCTACTGCAAGTGAAACATATTGTTGGTGGAAAAAATCTCGAAGAAGACATGAACCGAGCTTCATTATTTCAAATGGGCATTCAAACGTGCAATTGATCATCGGTGAAGCAGATATCTTGGAGTAATATATGGCGACGCACAATGCATAGCGACGAGTGGACCACCCCCGCCGTCCGATCCATGTAATAACAAGCGTTCTCCAAGCTCAAGACGGAGGGTCAAAGGTGTGACAGCGAACGGATCTATCCACAGCGACCACAACGATGTGTGGAGATGTCCACGCAATACAGAGGCACAGTAAATAGGAGAGATGGATCTGCGATGGTGTGTCGGACTCGGAACGTGCCTACATGATACATCTCGTATCTGCATGGGTCCATCCTGGAGAATCTCAGACCCCTCCGAAATCTGTGATATGCACTCTCACCAAGCCAGTTCTCTAACTGACCGGCGCAAACGGGGAGAAGACCGCTAGAGGCAGACAGCTCAGAGGCACGGCTCATGACTGGCGCAGACGACCCGGCCTAATTACTCGATTGATCACATCTTCCAATGCTGGGACTCAATGTTGGCCGGCTTCGACATCAAGGTTACCCCACTGCCTACAGAAGAAACAAAAAGTGATAAATTGTCGTTACCGTGGCGGTGGGTACGCTGTTCAGTTAGCACAACGGGACGGCATGGTTGCTCATGGGCTTGACGCAGGTCGTGGTTCTTGTACGGTGATTTTGCTTGGGATTGGTGCTTGTCGTCAGTGTTGGTGGTTGAGCCTCTCATCGCAGGACTGTATCACCGTCAACAGCATCATTGCACGTCACCTATAAGAAAGCCAAATTGCAAAATAAAACAAAGGGCGAAAAGACAATTACTCAACAGAGTGATGCAATGACCATGTGCAGCTCGAGCAAGGCCTGCCCATGTCAGCAATTTGTTCGAGCAACGAGTCTTTGGGTCCTGAATGTCTTCGTGAACGTCACAGTCGGATGAGTTACATCATGATCGTTGTCCTTCTCGTTTTGTGTTTGGGTCGCCGAGTGTGTGCTTAGGTCCCCGAGTGGTCGTGTGTGGAGGGTGCTTTGCGCCCTTTCGGAGTCCCAGGACTTTGTGTCATGAATGAGAGAACGACCGACATGGCCAATCATTTCCATCTCGGGGAGAGTCGCTTGCAGTCCGAAATCATCTGATTGGTTGTAACGTCCCACAACCTGACCCTTGGGCCCTTAGCCCTGGCCTGCTCGGAGCCATTTTGCTGGCCCCTCGTATTACACGCGTCATATTTGGGCGCACACTTCAACCGAACTTAGCCGTCCAAGGGCCAAGGGAATTCGAGGTGCGACCCCGTCTGGCAAGCCTTAGACGTTGATGGCGTCGATTAGCGTACCTCTAGCTCGCCCGAGTCATGTTTTGGCAGGTTCATAATCAGCAGCCTCGTAAGAGTCATGAAACCATAATATGTCGTGCTCGGTGAAATGGACGTCACGATATGTGTGGTTGAGGTGGTTGCAAGTTCATGAGGTATTCAATAAGAGGTTGTGGGATCATACCACTTCTCATTCAGTAGCTTCTCGTTGGTTACTATTGTACAAAATATACCACCAGTCTTGAGAAGAAAACAAAAACAAAAGCAAATCATGTTGCGCCATGTACGCCTGTAGTGAAATCCACAAAAAGCCATCTCCAAATCCATGGGTATCATGTAGAAAGTGTAGCGATTGACGATGAAAGGTATTAGTGTTAGAAGGTTCATGAGTCCAAACTCCAGGTCGGACAAGAAAGAATACAGCCATCCGAATGACAGATGGGCGCATAAAGGACGCCAGCGTATTTTGGCATCGAAGAGGCTGGCCGCGTCGGGGAGGACGTGGTGCCCAAGCCAGATAATAATACAGATGAGGCAATGCGAGTCATCAAAGGAACCAGATTGTGTGATCGAGAGCGCCGACGACAAGATCTATGTCAGACGCAAGCTGGCGCTGCGCGCTTACTCGTCATCGGGAGAGGCGTGCGAGTCCTCGCCCTTGTGCACCTTACGGTGGCGTCTGAGGTTGGAAACGACCGAGAAGTGGCGACCACATCCCTCAACGTCGCAAGCAAACGCTGTCTTGAGTTAGCTAACTTGCGTGCAACATGTCAAATTGGATTCAAGACTTACGCTTTTCGCCAGTGTGGCTGTACATGTGGGTCTGGAGAGAGCTGGGACGAGTGAAGCGCTTGTCGCAAATCTTGCACTTGTGCTTCTTCTGCGAGCTCGAAGAAACCTTTGAGCTGAACTGGCCCATCATGGATTGAGGTGCAGGAGGCAAAGCAACGCCACCTGCAAGACCAGTGGGACGAGGCAATGTGCGAGATGATGTGTCGACAGACTCGCTGGCCGAGCTGTAGTCACCATATGAAGCCTCGCTGACGGAGCCATAGTATGAGGATGGGTAGGTGCTGGCTGACGAAATTGAAGAGTGGGCGGAATGTGTTGAGGGGAAGCCATATGAGTCAGATGAGCTTCTGCTCGAGCCCTGGTTCCCATAGATGTTTCTTGGAGTGATATCCTGGCTCATGGCAACCATGCCTCTGCTGGCGTCGAGGGCATCACTGAAGCTGTTGCGCTGTTCAGTCTCGTTGGAAGCGCTCAGTCTGTTGATGTCAATTAAACTGCTCTGGCGGTGCTTCTGGGCGAGCACAGGGTTTCCAAGGAAACTGGTGGAGGCTACTGACGGGTGCGAGGAGCGACGATCCTGGTTGTAGGTGGCATATGATGTGGTGTTGGGGTACTCGCGAGCGTAGTGAGGGGCAGAAGTAGGGGCGTACAGGGCGCCAGACGAGGGACCAGAGGTCACATAGGTCGAACCATAGGGGCGAGGAGCACTGAGACCGTCTTGGTCTGGTAAGCTGGATTGCGCATAGAGAGCATCCAAAGAGTCAATACCTGAAGCCAGAGTAGGAGCCGGCATGGCACTTGAGTGCATGGGCATAGATACACTAACACTGGGGGCTCTTGCCACCAAGTGATGTGCGCCGGGATCGCTGACCATCGAAGGCTGAGGCAACGATGTAGCATACATGTGGCTCGGCGCAGGGCCGGATACCCATGGGTTGGTGAAATGCGGCGCGGGGTAGCGCAAGTGGTCGTAAGACAGGCCAGGGACCTGCTGGCGGTTGTCGACAGCCATTGCCATTGTGGATAGAAGAATAAGAAGGAGTGTATGAGAGGGATAGGGCAAGGAAGGAACAATGAGCGGTGTTGATGTTGTTGATGGAGTGGTTGGTAGAGGGCGAGACTCGCAGCGCGTGTCGATGGTTTAAGGATCAACGCTGGAGATGGGTTCACAGAACGTGGAGAGGACGATCAGTGTGCGTCCAACGAGGGGATTTCGGACGGAGGGTAGATGAGGTTGGGGTGCTGATAGCAGACGAGTCTCAAAGAGGCAAAAGATTTATCGTCTTTGGGTCTTGGGACTTGTGCGGAGGTCGTAGTCGTTTCAAGTCATGGTCAAAAGGTGGGCCGGTTCATGAAAATGTAGAGGATCACCGTCGACGATCAGCGGGGAGCAGAGGTAGAAATACGCACCTGCTTCAGCGAGTCACCACTGACGTCGACTTACAGGCCGATGTGGCTGTTTTAGCTCCCTGCAGGGCTCAACCTTCGCAGCCAATCGCCATTGACTGCCTGTCTCCACCCTGTCCATTCCTAGCCTTGTTTAGCGCAGCGGCCCTCTTGACTCGTTAGGTTGTGGGTTTACGACTGTGCATACATATCTCCGAATGAGAGCGGTTCATTGATTGATGAGATTCACCTTGTGTCAAAGTTTACACTGCCACCTCCACATCTTTTGGCTTCTTGCTATCTCTGCTGGGCTCTGCTGCTGCTTCTTGCTGCTCCAAGCACCCTCTTCTGCTACTAACAAGAGATTGCCAACCTGTCGCTCCGTTTATCTGGAACTTGTCCTGTGCATCGCATCGGTGCAGCATTCTCAGATCATTTGTTTACCATTCAGCTGGCCTTTGCTGCCTTCAATTCAATTCCAATCCGACTCTTCCAGCTCGTTGCTTGCCTGGGCTTTGCGGACCGTCCGGCGAGTTGACTTTTGACTCGTTGTTATTTGCCTCTTGTTGTTGCTCGTCCGGGTGTCTGTCGTACCTTCGTACGAAAGCAAAAAAGCCGTTGTCGGACTCAATACCTCTTGCCATTGACTGGCTGCATATCGACGCTTGGACATGGCGTTTGGCTGGCAGCTTGGTGGCTTACGGAGGTGGAGATTCCGTCTGAAGCTAAGACATTAACCATAATGTAGCCCATTAACCCCTTGTCTTGTTCGTTGCCAGCAACGCCATTATTCCCTTGGGCTCGAGCTTCCAAGCCACTTGTAGCTGCTTAGCTGCGAAAGGTATGTTTCGAAAAACGCCGCAGCCGTAATCGGGCGTGCAAGCGTCCCAGAGCTTTATCGTCATGCCTCATTCGGATTACCCCAATAAACACCCGTCACTGACTCTTATACACTTTGATGGCGTTTGCTTTTGCACTTCGCCTAGAGAGTGTGAGTAAGCCACCAACGGCCATGGCCCACAACGTTGTCAAATTCCATGGTACTGTGATTAAAGATTAGTGGAAACATTGCTTGCCACAAAAGTCTGAACAGAGCGACGCAGCTGCCAGCGGTGCCCAGGACGTCGTTGCGGTCAAAAGGCACACTACATGCCGATCGTTCCGCCAGCCACACTTTAAGTGCACCGCTCTTGTTCGTACCCCTCGACCGTCGTAACCCAAGGTTGCAATATGCCGGTCGGGACTTTTTGCACCAGCTTCCATGCGACGGCTCTAAGAAGAAAAATAGACCCAGCAGTACGAACTACGAAGTCTTAGTTGGCTTTTCCTCCCAACGGTCGCAGAAAACACACTCAAGAGCATTCTTGCTTGATTGGTGGCGTTCCAGGACCATAATGCTCAGGTGCGCGTGTGATACATGCGTACGACGGTCTGCTAGTTAGCTGCATCTGATGAGTTGCTTGCGCTCCTTGCTCAGAAATCGCCCAAATTGGGATTCTTCAGCGTCCCCTTTTCGTTTTGCTATGGTCCTTATCTGGTCTGCGATTCATTCATACATGACTCTTTTTGCACTGCTAGTCCTGTCAAACGCGGGATCTGTCACGCGGCCCATTAGATGCGGCTGATAGTCGGGGTCATTCCCATAAGGCGTTGTGAGATAGAGTTGGGCCAGCCAGAATTGTGGACTTTTTGTGTCGTGCGAACGGAGCACTTCCCATGTGCTCTCAACATGTCCGAGCTATCGACGGTCCTTTCCCCGACCCATCTCGTTGGTGCTTGTCTGGACCATCTTTTGGGCTTGGGAAATCTCAATGGCATATCCCATTCGCGCGCGACCTTAGGTGGCTATTGAGCCCAGTGTCTTGGCTACGGTGGGATCGCTCAAACCTTGTTTCCCGTGTCGTCCACATGCGTGTGCCCACCCTCTCTCGATCTCTACGTCCGTAAGATGGTTATCTGTAGTAGCATACCAGCGTCTCTTTGCGCGAATTCTCTCTTGCTAATGCCTCTCTTCCATTCGTGCGATGCGGTACGATCAAATCTATTGGAATTGGTTGCATGCCAAGTTTGCGCTCCCCTGTCAAAATGGTCCGAGCAGAGAGATAGTGTTCCAAGCACGCTCTCACAACATGACAGGGGCATGCTCAATTCGAATGTCCACGTGCTGAATGCCCGCTCAGTCAAGAACTTCGTTCACTTGGTTCTATTGACAAGGATTACAGTCAATGCTATTGTATGCACGGCCAATCTAATCCAACCATGCATCCTGAAAGTAGGGCCTCTGACTAAACGCGTGACCTGCCCCTTTTATTGAATGTTCCATGCCAAAACGCCCAACCCCCGTTCCTCATCTCGTATTACAGCGACGTCGTAACTCCATCATTCTGGCAAGACCGTCTTGTCACCATCGGACTTCAACCGTGTCCCAATTGATGGTCTCCCTACGCGCTGCGGCGCATTACTGTCAACCGTGACATCTAGGCTCGACGTATCCACATCTGGCTGAGTAACGTGGCTCAATGGTGCGTTTCGACTCAGCTTCTCAATGTTCTCACGTGTGAGCTTGGAGGGCCGAGTCTCGATTCCATCGTCTTGTGTCACTGTCTCTCCCAGTACACCCAGCAACTTCTTAGGCGTAGCTGCGCTTGCAAACAATTGTTGATCGCGCAGCTGCATCGCCTTCTCTTCGTTGCGTAAGCGGTCCATGGAACGACTTTCTGCTGTCTCTGCTGAACGTGCAAATACCGTATCGTTCTGGTAATTGAGTTTGCTGAGCTTTGTTGCAAGAACGTCTGATGCTCCTTGACCCGGTGCAGGTACAAGTAGATCCGCTGGTGTCTTGATCTCCTCCTGCGGAGCGTCTTCCAAGGCAGCTGACGGAAGTGCAGGGCGAGGAACGTCCACAACTTTTGTAGAGACAGCTGGGTTTGATGACAAGGCCGCTTTGCGTTTCTTTTCAACAGCCCATTTCAGCAACATCTGCTCCAGAGTCTTGCCTTTCACAGGCTTTGCCAGATAATCGTTCATTCCAGCATTCTCACACTTCTCTCGATCGCCTTGAATTGCGCTTGCAGTCATTGCGACAATGGGCGTATTCTGGATCTGTTGGTCGGCAGCAAATGGCTCGCAATGTCGTATAGTGTATGTCGCTTTGTAGCCGTCCATCACAGGCATCTGTACGTCCATGAGAATAATATCTGGCCTTGGGCGCTCAGAGCTTTCTGGCTTGCTGAGATAGTCAAGGGCTTCTTGTCCATTCCAAACGGCATTGACCGAGAACTTGAGCTTCTTGATCGTCTTCAAGGCAATCTGTTGATTAATAGGATTATCTGAGCGTTTTTGGTCAGTAGTCTGTCACATAGCTCGCAATCACATCACTCACCTTCAACAACCAGCACGTGCGTACTCCGCCTTTCCTCGTCCGAAAGTACCATGGGCATATCAAGCTGAGCCGGAGAACCTCGTCGTGAATCGACAGAAGCTTGACGAATGCCAGGTTTTAGCGGCGAACCTGGTGGTTGTGGTCCGCTATATTCTGACATTGACAGCTCAGATTGCAGTCGGTGTGGGATCGGGCCCATGTCCAATGGTGGCGAGTCGCCTGATAGATATGGGGCCTTATTGAAGGGTATCCAGAACGATGCTTTGGTGCCGAGACCTAAGGAAGATTCAAGTGAGATCTCACCATGCATGAGCTCAACCAACTATTATGATCAGTGAATGCACGACAAGACTGTCCACAATTGCCACTCACGTTCTTGCTAATGGTCAAACCAAGACCGGTTCCACCGAAGCGTCTGGCGGTGCTGGAGTCGGCCTGAGAGAAAGGTTGGAAAAGTCTTTTCCTGACTTCCTCTTCAATTCCGATACCAGTATCTTCCACAGTGAATTGAACAGCGACAGTCTCTGCAGTCTCCTCTCTGATCTTGACCTGCATCGTAACGCTTCCTTCCGAGGTGAACTTGATTGAGTTGGTAAGGAGGTTTGTCAAGATCTGTCTCAGTCGGCCTGGGTCGCCCATAACCTTCAGACGTTCGAGCTCTTGGGTTTCGTCAATATACATCAAACCCTTACGTTCAGCCGCAAAGGTGAGCATTTTGTTGACATCGCGGACGACAACGTTCAAGTCAAACTGAACATCCTCTATGTCTAATCGGCCGCTTTCGACCTTGGAGAAGTCCAGAATATCGTTGATCACAGTGAGTAGGCCGTTAGCAGATCTTTGTAAGTTTTCGGCACATTCACGTTGCTCCTCGGTCAAAGTGCCTTCGGTATCATCCAGTAGGAGTTCAGACATGCCAATGACACCCGCGATCGGAGTGCGAATCTCGTGCGACATGTTAGCTGGTGTATGTTAGCAAAGACCTGAACTATCTCATGTTCATTCTGCATCATACCTAGGAACTGCGATTTCATCTTGCTTGCTTCCTTCGCAGCCTCGCTCTGAGCTAGCAGACGTGAGTTTTCTCTGTCACGTTCTCGAAGCTGTTCTTCTCTCTTCCTCAGGTCTGTGACATCCATACTGACAGCAACGACACCATCCACAAAAGCCTGGCCCTCAACGCCAGCATTACGCTCCAGACGTTGCAATGGGACAAACCTTGTACGGATCCATCTGTTGGTCTCTTGCATATGGATTTCTGTAGTCTCGTCGATTTGTTTGCCGGTAAGGATATTTTCGATGTAGTCTCTATGATGGTCACCGTCCAGGATGGCGTCTTTGTCAAACAGCTCATACACGTTCTTGCCAATGGCTTTGTCTCGGATCTCTTCATCAGACATTTTGGTATTGTCGTTCCAAACAATAGCACCCTCAAGCATAGACAGATCGCGCTGAGGGTTTACCGACCAAAGCGTGATTTTGGCCATTTCGATGACTTGTGAGAGTCGGAGTCTCGTCTGACGTGCATCCTCTCGAGCGAGCACCAGTTCGTGAATGTCAGTGCAAGTGCCGAACCTGACTAGCGTTAGCTCTAAACAAACGACGAAGATATGGGGAAAAGTAGAGTGCTCACCATTTGACAATCTTTCCGTTGTCATCCTTCATCGGCACAGCTCGTCCTAGCATCCAACGCCACTCACCATCGAAAGAATGACATCTGTATTCTGTTCTGTATTCCTCACCAGTGCTAAGACTGTGTTTCCATCGCTTGACTGTCAGCTCCATGTCGTCTGGGTGGAAGGGATTCTCCCATCCGTCGCCCAGACTTTGTTCAGGCGTAAGACCTGTATATTCGTACCACCTCCTCGAAAAGTAGTCGTGCGAGCCGGTTGGAGTTGTTGTCCAAATCATTTGTGGGATCATATTAGTAATGTCCTCAAACTGACGTTCATTCTGGACCTTTTGAGCGGTAATAGTATTGGCATACTCAGTGACATTGTGGAAAATGACAAGGCCACCGAGGAATTCGCCGGTTTTAGTGTCGTTGATCGTTTCGCCGTCAACATCGTATATGATTCTCTCGCCTGTTTTGGGATGGTGCATGCCGAGACGTCTGCCAGTGTATCGCTTCTGTGTCGTCATGAGATGCATGATGGGAAATTCGCTCATAGGTAGCAATTCAGAAAAATCTTCCTTCCAGAGAATGTAATTTGAGAGGAAATCGCGCTGGTCCCGGACTCCAGTGGGGCTGTCCTCGCTGTCAGGGTAGACCATTCTTATTGCGGCTTTGTTGGGAATTCCAAAACTCTCGTCCTTCCACATGGCAAAGGCTGGGTCACTCAGTGAATTCAAAAGAGCATCTTTTAGACGATTGGACTTTGAAAACAGCGACGGCGCAGCGGCAGAGGCAGTTAGAGACGGGGGTCCACTTGGCAAAGCTGATGGAGCAAACACAGAGGGGCTGCCAGAGAGGCTCGTGCGATGTTGGTGTTGAGTGCGACGGCCACTCGAACTAGAACTTGAGCCCGAGCCTAGACCAGAGGAGAAGGTGGTGTGTGTTCTGGCAACAGTACGATGACTTGAGCGGGAAGAAGAAGATTGGGTTTCGGCGGCAGAGGTGAAGACCAAAGTATAGTAATCCGCATCATCGGCAGACCAGACGGTGATGATAACAGTGGCCTGGATGTGGCCCGAAGCATCGTGGTTGACCTCCTTGGAGCGTGGAAGACCTGTGATGGGATTGCGGTTGGTGGAGAAGACAACATCGACGGCGGCGTCGTGCACAGTGGTGCGGGCGAGATTGGCGCGTGTCAGAGGTACGGGACTTGATTGCACGGCTGCTGAGCCGTCGTATGTCTCGGCAGTGGGTGTAAGGTCCCCACCGTCGGACCTGCCTTCTGACTGGGCACTAGCATCGATGGCATCCTGTTTGATAGTGTTGAGGAAGTCTTCCCATCGCATCCACACCGGGTTCGCATTCTGGAGAAGGTCCATTCCAAGGCAGTCCATTGGTACACCGGCCAAGACGTCGCTGGCACTTCTAACATCCTCTTGCTCATTCATTCCAGCACTGTCTAAGGGAGTCGTTTGCTGCAAGTCTATACCAAGAAGTCTACCCAAGGCCTCGTTGGCAAGCACAACCGTCTTTTCGCTCGAGAGGACCAGTACGGGCATGGGAAGGTACTGCAAGGCAGTGAAGGCGGTATCGGTCATGCTGGGACCCGAGGGGATCCTGATGGACATGGGGGAAGAGGGCGAGTGGTCTCGGTAGCCTTCGTCGCAGGCATTGGAAAGGTCGAAATAGCCACCGGCGTTGGCGGCCGTCAATTCGTCCAGTCTCATGTTGGTTCTCTGTCTGGGCGAAGGAGACGGCTGCCTCGCGTGTCGTGGTGCGTCTGAAGCCATGTCGATTGGAGAAGATGCGACGCTATGGCGCGCGCATTTGCCTGACTGTCCGGCAAGTCGCTGGTAGTCGGCGGATGCGGTGCAGAGCCTGTGAGTATGCAAGGGCAGTGTTGACGCTGAAAATGCGGTCCGCTATCGAGCGCGGGAACGACCGGCTCAGGGCTGCTCGAACTCCTGCTGAACGACCGACGTGCGCCGCTGTCTACTGGATGCTGCCAATACTCTGCCGACGTTTTGAAACCTTATACAGCCCAGGAATGCAACCGAGAATGCTGCCGGCTGCTCTTCTGTAGTAGCAATGTCTTCTATCCTACGGCCCGTGTAGCTTCCTGTTTGACCGTAGAGAATGGCCTACAAAAACATGGAGCGCCGAAAAGCAACAGCGAAAACCAATCCTCTCGCGAGTCGCGAGCGATACAATGCATTACCGGAGCGCTCCACGCCTTGGCCGAATGTCCCACTTGATCTACCACGGAACGTGTTCTAGAACGCGTGGTAACGTTGACAAAACAGATCCTTTTGACCTGATGACCGCAACCACCATTAAAGTCGGATCTGTGGAAGCGGCTCTGCTAGAAAATCGCATAGTCGTCCATGTTTCTCGAGACCGAAATCCACAATTAACTACATGTTCGCCGAGCAAGCTTGACACAAAAAGAGCACTTTCCTTTTGTTGTCTTTGGCGGGAGCGGGAGGCTGGGGGCGCCATCGCACCGACCACTGATCGACTTTGTTTCGATAGGGCTCGTCGAGCCGATCACTCGAATTCAGTTCTGTCGTGACAATCGACCATCCAACATGCCCTTCACCATACAGCAGTGTGCAATCCCTGCAGTGACTTTTCTCATCTGCCTCATAGCATACCCGTCACAATGGTTGCTTCGACGACTTGGCCCTCAACCCCTGACAAAACAGCAATCCATCATACTTCATCTATATGCTTTGGTCATCTTGTTTTGCTATTACAAGGCGTGTTTTACGGATCCTGGTAGAATCCCGAAAGACTGGATTTCGAGACAGAGCGAGAAGACCGAAGAGAAGAAACTCCAGGACGGACGCCAACGCCAAAGATGGTGCCGTAAATGTCAGGCTTATAAACCGCCGCGGGCGCATCACTGCAAGACATGCGAAAGGTTTGTCGCTTCTTGAAATCTAGTACATCTGGCCTCAAATCTAACAACATAAGGTGCATTCCCAAAATGGATCACCACTGGTAGGTCTCATCCATGTTTCTTCATCGGCAGCGTTCTCACTCCTCAGCCCCTGGACAGCCAATTGTGTCTCCCATACTACCTTTCCGCACTTTGTTCGTTTCTTATTCTACGCCGTCGCTGGTATGTCGCATCTCGGATGCCTTCTCTGGTCACGGATGTACCATCTATGGACACAGAGAGATTTGCCGAGTGTATGTGGTCACGTGTTGTATCGTCTGACATCGACTCATGGTTGCTTAGTATCTTGGTCCGAGTCCTACCTTATTGTTCGGCCTTTTCTTCATCACCGCCCTGAACTCTGTAGTCGTCTTTGCGCTTTTCATTCTGCTTGTTCGCACATTATGGTGCCTAGGTGCTAACACAACCACTATTGAGGGATGGGAGATCGAGAGACATGAGACGTTGCTTCGCCGTGCGAGGTATCTAGGTGGAGTTCTCGAAGGTCCCAATGGCACTAAAATACCCATCACCAGACAGGAGTACCCATGGGACATTGGAATTTTCTCGAATATCGCTCAGGGTATGGGTAGCTGGAATCCTCTTGCCTGGTTCTGGCCCTTCTCATTCACCCCATCCATTGAGAGTGGACTACACTTCGAAGATAATGGTCTTGAAGGTATGTCTATGCTGAAATATACTTAGCTCAAGGCTGATACGGCGCAGCTCCTGGTACTACGTGGCCACCCCCAGACCCAGATCGAATGTTTCGTATGGCGCCTACAGAAAGAGCTTTCGATCCTTCCAACGCTTTCACTCATTCAATGGACCCTGAAGAGGTCTATAAGAGGCAACAAGCTGATCGCATGCGTCCCTCTCCTGCTACAGATACCTCCGAGCTTCGACGCAGGCAGCCCTTCCACGTGCGTTATGATAAGCAAAATGCTCAGAAGCGTCGCGACGAAGACTATGTTTATGGCACTGACTATGAATCGGACTGTGAAGACCAAGAGCAAGAGGCTTATGACTGGCAACCAAAACCAGGAGAAGGTGAAGAAGGTTGGCGAAACTCGGAGGGTGAGAGATTGAACGACTTCGGCGTTGACGAAGACGTCGAGTTCTACGATGAGGACGAAGTGCCTCTTGGTGAGCTGATGAAACGGAAGAATTTGGCCAATGATGGCTCAAAATACTGAGTGACTACATGCATTCGTCTTGTTGACAACCCGAGTGGTTGATAGTATGAGTGCCGATCGCGGAGTCGACGTCCGATGTCGCAATACATGCTCAACTCCGCATCTACCTAGGTGCCTCTACGAGGTCTATATATCAACATGAAGGCCTCAAGGCTCAAGTCAGTTCATTTCATAACACACAGTATCTTCACAAGTCCAGTAACATGAGTCAGCCCAATGATAAATGGTCTTCTGAGGTATGCATCTATCTTTTTGAAGGTCTTTGTGACATGGGCGTCATGACAGCAGACGAAATGCCTAGCTAGCCACGCGTGTGGATGATCATGTTGTCAGTATTCTGCTTTCAGCAGAAGAAGCATTGTTGACGCTCGAATTTTGACAAAGACAGGCCTACTCGGCAGCCGCAAGCTTCGTTCCTAAACTCACCACTACCGTACTGTCCTACCTCGCACCCAAACCTACCGACAGAATCCTCGACATTGGCTGCGGCGATGGACCCTTGACTGCTCAAATCGCTGCATCCTTACCTCAAGGCCACATCTTCGGACTTGATGCATCAGCTTCCTTCATTGAGACAGCGCAAGAGAAACACTCTAGCCGAAATTGCACCTTCAAACTCCAGGATTGTCGTCGTATTTCCGAATGTGCTGAAGCAGTCAACGGCAGCTGGGATAAAGTATTCAGCAACGCTGCACTCCACTGGATCCTTCGCGAACCAAGTACCAGAGATGCAGTGTTCGAAGATGTTCACTCGGCTTTGAAGCCAGGCGGTGTCTTTGTGTTTGAGATGGGTGGAAAAGGTAATGTGGAAGCCGTTCACGCAACCATTCTTTCCGTCCTCACTGCCAATGGCATCCCCCTCTCTACTGCTCGAGAGTCTTGTCCGTGGTTCTTCCCCAGCGATGTATGGATGACACAACAACTTCAGAAATCTGGCTTTGAAGTTGAAAAGTGCGAGTTGGAATACAGACCTACTAAATGTACTGCCAAGTCTGCTGATGGATCTGGCGGTTTGGAGGGATGGGTCAAGTTGATGGGTGCAGAGATGTTGAATGTGGTGGAAGAAAGCAAGCGAGGAAATATCGTCAAGCAGGTCTGTGATATAATGGAGACTGTGGTCACACGAGAGGAGGATGGCAGTCAGTTCTTGAATTATGTTAGACTGAGGGCTGTGGCTCGCAAGGTTTAGTGGTGAGCCTTTGAGTCTTCTTTAGGACAACCCATGGCGTCAGATTAATGCTTTTTGTTTGCTAGACACTGCGACATATGCCGGAATTCTATCAGGTGTGCGAGTTAGATTGTATGTTGACACACGCCCGGGATTCTTTGAACTACAACTTCCACAGAAAATTGGTCCCCACCCTCACACCATCAAAGATAGGCTGTACATAGCCATGTTCACATACTTGCGAGTACTCAGCACTCTATCCTAGAAGTGTAATACAGTCTAGACATGCTAGAAGTGCCATGATGATCGGAGCACCGTCAAAAATCATCGTCAAGGGAGTGACCCTGGCATACGGTAGCCATATCTCCAAACGATGAGCCGATCTAAGCTTGGCGTTGAGTTCATTCATGTCAATCCTTTACATCCGCCTCAACGATGGACAAACATAAACTGAAAAAAAGCCGATCGAGTGGATATATACAGATAGATGGTAATTAGAAGCGATTGTTTGTTAGAGACATTTGCTACTTTGTAAAGGACGATGAATTGGTATCTGAAGGGTGAGGTGACAAGCAAGACATGTCACGGTTTGAGAAGGTAAAAGCGGGAGTGAAGTTAGATCCCGCAACGGGTCCATGATTCTTCACCGCCTGGCAGTTGAGGATCTTGGCCCGCGGGTTTAGAGAGGGCAGAGGGCTTGACAGCGTGTTCCAGACGGGTCAGAGTTTGGATCGCGAAAGAAAAGTCGATCTTGTATACGGATTACTCGGACGGCAACATTTGCGCACAGGAGACGCATGCGCCAGCGTCAAAGATAGTGAATGCGCGGAATCACAAAGCCCTAGAGACATGTTATCACGCCGCCGACGGTCATGGAAGTGGAAGCAACGAGTCTCGGGCATGCTGCCTTTGCGCCTCATGACTACGAAACTCCCCAAGCACCCTCGCCCTCTCCCCTGAACTCGCCATGGCCCGAACTGGATCCCGACATGAACAATGTGGACGAAGGAACGACCCAGCTCGAACAACAACGAAGCCTTGCGCCGCCGCAAACCCCCAAGAACGACAATCAAGCAGCCAGGGAAGTTGCGCAACAAAGTCCCCGACCAGACACAAATCATGCAGTACCACCTGCCTCCGACACCCAGCCTCTTGATCCAAAGTCGCAATCAGTTTCTCTTTCGCAAACGATACCCGAACAAGTGCAAAGTCGTCCCAAGCCTCCATCGAGGCCCATGTCCCTAGCACAATCGCTATTCCCCGAAGATTTCGAAGACGAACCAGAACACCGACAAGAGGCCTCAAATACGGCCGGCCAATCCGAACAAGCCGAGCCAGGAGCACTATCGCAGACACAGACGCAGACTGAGCAGCAAACACAGCCCCAGGCACAAGAGGCACAACCGATCTTGCCCGATCAAACTGTGCTCGACAACCCGGACCTACCACAGTCGCTCTCTCTGCACGAGCCTACCGACCAACTGGACCAGTCTGTGGATCCCCTAGATCAGTCGCAACCTCTTCAGCCGCAAACACCAATCAAAGACTATTCCGAGCTTGAAAATGCTGTCGCCGACCTGAACCTGCCGACGAACTCGCTTTTCCCCGCTGACCTTGCTCTTGCTTCATACGAAGCCGAAGAGGCTGCTCCCGTACAAGACGCTCAAAACGATCCCATGCAAGCTTTTGCGAAGCTGCAATTTCCCGATGGCGACTTCTATGTTAATACCTATGCGGTCGAACTGGGTCGTGATCTAAATGCTGCAAAGTTTGAGCGTAAGGCAGGTCGAAGACACAAAATGAAGTTGAACCGGGATGTCCAAATGGAACAAGATGCGGAAATGAACTTGGAGGATGAGGGTCGCCATATTGCTCGCAGCAATGTCAGCGAAAGCGGTGGCATTGTTGGTGTCAACATTGAATACGACAGCGAAGAGAACGAAGAGTCCAAAAGGCGCAAGCGCAAGCAGTTTCGCTCGACCAACTCGTCTCACTCTGTCGATCCTACATCGCTTCTCACTAACCCATACGACCTTTCGCTCGACTGGCAGCCTCAACAGGACAAACCTTTCGAGTATGAGTGTCCTTTCATCCCAATCCATCCTCAGGCCGGACAATCATTCAAGAACATTTCGCGCAAACACATTCGTATCGAATACAATCTACAGAAGGCTTACTGGGAAATGCTTGTCAACGGTAGGAATGGTGTGTTCCACGATGACACTCATGTCGACAAAGGCTCTGTGGTCAAGCTACACCACGGAAGTGAGATTCTTATCCAGGGCATAACCATCATATTTAAGCTGCCAGACAACGCTCGCAACGAGGACGAAGAGGAAGAGCCTGTCCACATTCTTTCTGACACGGACAGCTCTCTTTCCGACTTGGATAGTGTCGTCAGTGCTACCTTCGGTCACGACTACGAAGAGGAAGACGTATCATCTGAAGACGAGCCTCTACGCCTCAAACGTCCGGTGCAGAAGAAAGAGCGACCACGTAGAATTGTCAAGCTCAAGTTCAAGCTCAAGAAGAATTTCCCCGCCGTTGCTGGACTGCCTGTCGAGAAGGAAGACAAGAAGGAGAAAGAAGTGGAGAAAGAGAAGAAGAAAGAGAAGGAAAAGACTAAGGATAAAGAGAAAGAGAAGGAACCCGAAAAGGAGAAGGAAAAGGCACCCGAGAAGGCAAAAGTCAAGGAGAAGGAGAAGGAAAAGGAAAAGGAGAAAGAGAAGGAAAGAAGACCATCCAAGTCTGGAAAACAGTCCATCAAGACCGACAAGCCCCCGAGAGCGGAAAAGGCAGAGAAGATGCCCCGAACACCCAAGGCGGACAAGGTCGAGAAGCCAGTACAAAAGGTGCCCCTACCTCAAAAGACAGAGACAAGCGACAAGACCGAAAGGCCAAAAGATGCTCAGCCTGCCGAGCAAACCATTGTCACGCCCAAGCAGCCCGAGGCCGTTCCACCCGTCTTCGAAGAGAGAAGGGAATCTGCTGTAACCACGACCGAGATGCCACCTCCATCCCAGCCAGTCGATGTCAAGCCGTCAATTGAGCCCGATTCTTATGAGGCTCTTCAAGCTTTGCAAGTGACTCCATCTCAAACGCCTCCCGCCATACCTGCCGATTTACCTCCTGGTTCAATTCTCGCCGGCTTAGCACCGGAGGAAATTCCTCAAAAGCGAAAAGGTCCCGGAAGACCTCCAAAGAACGGTGTCATGTCCAAACGCGATGAGGCAATCATCAAGCGCAAGACTAAAGAGTTGCAAAAGTTAGGCAAGGTCGTTCCACCGCTTGCTGAACTCTTGGCTCTTGCCAGAGCAGAAGGCGGAAGTACCACAAAGAAAGACTCCAAACCAGAAGATGGACGTGAAGGAGAACATCTCAGCCAATCTGTCGAGATCGATCCAGCGCTTATGGCTATCCAAGAGCATAACAACGCCACACCTTCGGCCGAGGTCAAGACTGAGGGAGGTGTTCTGGTTGCTCAGCCTACACCTGACAAGGATGCGAACAAGCCGAAGAGGATTGTCAAGTCTCCGTCTCCACAAAAACCCGAATCAGAATACACCGAGGAAGAGCTCAAGAAACCAACTCAAACATATGTTGTCCTCATTCACGAGGCACTATCTAAAGCTCCGACCGGTGTGATGGATCTGCAACAAATCTACGACGCCATGCAGAAGATGTATCCTTGGTTCAAGTATAGGAGTACAACCCATGGCTGGCAGAGTAGTGTCCGACACAATCTCATCAGTAGTGAGGCTTTCGAGGAGGCTGGCAAGATTGGCAAAGGCAGACTTTGGAAGATCAACCCCAATGTTTCGATCGACAAGGAGAAGAAACGAAAGGCTCCAACGCCGCCTCCAGACAACAGACCACCTCAGCAACAGCAATACCCTTACTACCCGAATAATCAGTACCCATACGGTCATCCTGCAGCTCCTGCGTACGGTGCTTATGCTAGACCAAGCCCTTACGGTACACCTTATGGACCGCCAACTGTACAGAACGTGGCACGACCACCTGTTCCGACTACGCAACAAAAGCCCGGCACCTACTACTCCCCATATGCCTCGACCACACCAGGTACTGCCGCCGCTGGATCGCCTTATGGCCCGCCGAGTAGAGCCCCGTATGCTCCTTACCCTCAACCCCCTCGGCCGCCAGGCAATGCTTATGGCCAACCGCCGCAACCACCACCGGCGCAACCTGGTCAACCACAAGGCCTAGCGCAGCAAGGCCATCCACAGCAGCCCCAATCGCAACCAGGCCAAGCTCCTCACCCGCCTCCAGGCCAGCCTTATCAGTCGGGAGTCGGTCAAGCTCCTGGAGCGCCCAACGGTCAGCCGCAGCCCCCTCGACCTGTGATGGCTCCAGCACCTGGTCAGGCTCCTCCTCCAGCACACAACCAGAGCGGGATCACTTCTGAAAAGATGATTGACAATATTATGGACTACCACAAAAAGTATCTGAGCAACTTCCAAGGCCCAGAGCAGGACAAGCACAGGGCGATCTTCCGCAAGGCTACTAATAGACACATTCGCCGTGATCAAGAACACGGTCCCTTCGAGTCTGAAGAAGAGGAAAAGCTCTACAAAGCTATCCAAAATATCATCACCACAACACAGGCAGAGACAGCATCTGCTGCCCCTGCGCAGCCTCAGATGAACGGTCCGGCTCCTGTTCAAGGCGGACCGCCTCAAGGTCAGGCGCAGCCAGGTGCCCCACAAACTGCTCCAGGCCCAGCTTCACAACCACAAGGTGCCCCCAGCCAGCCACCTCAACAGAGTATGCCAGGCTCGCAGCCTGTAATGGGTCAACGACCTAACACAGGTTCCCATCTTGTGCAACAAGGATCCAGCTCAGAACAGGCGCTAGCTGAAGCACTCAAAACAGCCATGCCTGGTGCGCAACCTTTCAGACAAGGTCCGTCAAATGCTCCTTATCATCAAGGACCACCGGCACACCAAGGTGTTGCACCTAGACCTGGTCCGTACGCGCAGCCACAGCCCCCGCAGCAGCAAAGAATGCAGCCTCCAGCAGGACAGCAGCAGACGCCTCACACTCGCCCCAATCTCGCACCCACGCCTTCAGTACCACAAGTGCAAGCACCCAGGCCGACATTCACTCAGCCGTCCCAGCCCCCATCGACTGCAACAACGCCGGCAGCACAGGCCCAAGCTTCGACTCCTGTCAACTCAAAACCTGTTGCTCCTGCTCCGGTTCAGCCAACGCAACCTTCTCCTGCACCAGCCTCAGGCCAGTCGACTCAACAACCTCCTGCAACTGCTCAACAAGCCCCTGCGCCTGCTGCGACTGTCCAGCAAGCTCCTGCGCCTTCTGCGGCGACTCAAGCAGCCCCTGCTTCTCAACCTGCACCTGCAGTCCAGTCAAATCCAGCATCTACATCGTCGCAGGTGCCGACACCAGCTCCTGCGGCACAGCAACAGACCCCTGCGCCTGTGTCTTCGACCACTACACCAGCTCCAGTGGCTCCTCAGGCACAAGCCGCGCCAGCACAGCCCCCATCGATCGCACCAGTCGCTACGCCGACGCCAGCACCCGTGGCTCCGACTCCTCCAGCAGACTCCAACGCTCATGGAGGCCTCAAGCGACCAATTGAGATCGATGACGATGGTGACCACGAAGCTAAGAAGCAGAAGACTGACGAGCAGAAAGCTTAGAGGCGTTCACGATTAGGCACTGATGCAGGGCACGAAGATTATGAGGCGTTGTTATTCGCACTACCTTTGCTATTCTTGTTTTTTATTTGCTCTAACATTATTGCTTTTTTCCGGAGTTATACATCATGAGGCACAGTCGCGTGCCTCATGGAGGGAGGGAGGCATTCTTTTTACTTTCAAGCGACGGAGTGGATGAGTTTCAGGCGTGTTATTCAATGCATGAAGAAAAGAATGGGTTAGGCAAAGGCGTTTCATCCATCACATACAGCGGAGGCTACCATTGGAACACTTCTTGAGAATCACAAATACCCCTATTTTTTCCCACTTGCGCCTCTTTTTCCATGTTCATGATCTTCGATTTATCCCTGGCGAACCTGCTTTCCTTGGGTCATTGCTAGCTGTCTTGACCAATCGCTCTTGCCTTTCCTCACAAGATCAAAACGTGAAATTTGGGCCGGAAAGGGCGTCTCATCGATGGCTGCTTCTCGATATGTCCTACATGTGCATCGACCCTTCCTTCTTTTGCCCAACATATCTTGCGAGTGATAGATGTTCCTGCTATACTACCGCAAGTCGATTGCCTGTTTTCTTGTGTACAAGAGCAGCCATCAGAATAGCACAACATCAAAGCCTCTGCGCTCAAGAAAGACATCCCAGCGCTCGCCATTGCCTTGGTCCCAGTAGGCTCGCAAGGCCGCCGAAGCGGCATCTGCATTGCCCCAGCCGTAGTTGCGGATGCGATTCATGCAAGCTTCGATGTAATCCCTTAATTGTGGATCCTCAGCCTCACATCCTGCTGTGAACAGCGGCCAAAGAATCAGAACATTAGCGGGCGATTCTGGTCTAAGCTTTCCTAGCAGATCCAGCATAAAAGCTAGCGCTACTGCAGGCTTTGGATCGAGCTCTGGAAGCTCTTGTACGCGACGGTATAAGTGCAACAGTGCGGCGTGTACGAACATCTGGTGTACGTATACAGCTTCGACCACCAGCACGGGATCCTGTGTATGTGAGAGCGAAGGCGACGAAGCGCGGGTGAACAGGAGGGAAAGCTGTTGCTCGGTAAGTAAGATGTTGTCTGCTAACAGCATATCTAAGTCATCAGCCATCTCGGCATAGCCGGAGCCGAGTGAAGATCCTAAAGACTTGCGGCGGCGTTGCAGACGTGCCATACGACCTATTCGCGCAAGGACTGGCATCAGCTCCAGTGAGAAGCCGACGAACTCGTCAATGTACTGTGGCGAGGGAGTGCTGCTTGGAGCTCCTATCGACCAGAATTGACCATCTGAGGAGGTAGTCTTATCAAGGCTCATAATGCTGGCGAATATATCTACGACAGCAAACCAACGAATGAGAAACAGTTTTTGGTCGTCCAGATCTGCGACGGCTTCGTGTCTAGATTTCCCGAGAGCGAGGGATAGCAAATGTTCTGCACCATTGAGATGTGTACGCATGGCCATGGTGTTTCCAGCCATGACTTCGTTCGTACATAGGAAGAGAACAGTGCATATGGTTGAGAAGGCGGGTGCCTCTGTTGGATCGTTCATCGCCTTCCGTAAACCAGTGATGGCCTTGCGCAAGAAGAAAGATGCTCGATTCTGTAGCTCGATTGAATCATTTCCACGGAGGCGCCGTACTTGATCGCAAGATAAAGCTAAAGCTGCCGAGAGTAGATGTGGTGTTTGAGCCGCGACCGTTAGGACCTGTTGATGTATTGCAGGTGCCATCAATGGGAAAAGTGTAAGCGATGTATGTGTGATATAATGGTGAAGGAAGAAGTAAGCATTAGGAGACTCAGATGGACACAACAGTGGATACTGGCTTAGGGATGGTGGTAGAGCTGGTATGCATCAGCACCTCTGAATCAGATCAGCAATCAATCAACTTACTCGGTGGAGTATAGTGCTGGAAAGGCAATAGAGAGACATTACGCTCGATCGTTTCATCAGCTGGCTCAAAATCAAGATCGGATGGGAGATCGACCAGATTTGCATCTGCAAGTGTACTGTCCTCGGGGAGGAAAACGTTGTCTTGGTAGTCGTCGAGGCCAATGGAGTCATCGAAAGGTTGCAATGCTATGATGATGTGAGGATGTTGGATGAAGCAACAGTCACAAAAAGACACTTACCATTTAATGTTTCTATCTCAGGATTCTGTGGATGATCTGGAAGTTGTAGTAATTGCGGCTCGGTGGTCGAAATTGCCTTATCAGTAGTCTCTCCTTCAGATTGAGCGGCAGAAGGCTGTGTCGCATCAGAATCGGAAGTTGCAACTTTTGCATCGAGATTTATGACCCAAGGCTCTTTCGTCCTCGGCTTCTTGAAAGGTCGACCCTGCGTCCAAGACAGTTTCAACTCATACGAGCATCGCTCGGGATGTCTCTTGCACCTTCCGCAACTAGGCTTGCCCTCATCACATTTCACGCGTTTTCTTTTGCACTCTGAGCATCCCGTCCGTGATTTTGATCCACCAGCGGTCGCTTTGGGGTCGGACATGTTGATTGCAAATCCATCTGTATGGTCATTGATAGGAACTGAGAAAGCTGGATGACACACCCGGCGGGATGACTGGTGGTGGTTGTTAATCGGCTAGAGTTGCACTGTCAGCGGACCCCCACCCGAGGTCGGCGGTCGTTCATGGCTGCGGTATATCGACCTTCTCTCTGCGATTGACAGCGATGATATGGAGTCTAGATGCTTGGTGCTTCTCACATCTGGATTCTGATAGCGACAAACAGCTGGATTGTAAAGTTTAAGAAGGTGCAACTATGTTCGACAAACAGATGAGTTGATTTGAGAAGCAATATGTTCAAGATTACCCGAGCATAAAGCCTTATCAAGCTCTCTCATCGCGGATTGGGTCAACGTAACACAGCTTACTCTATATGGACATCTCCTAACAAGTTTACTTTTTCTTCTCCTCGTAGTACATGTGAGGATAAACCCGACGTCTTGAAGAGGCAGTTCGATACGTTCGTCGTCATGGTAGATGCAACTATGTAAAAGCGCAATAAATACCCAAGAATTCATTCAGTCTACCCTCTGCCATCTTCCATCAGAGTTCGTGCAACTACCACAATGTTTTTCTTGTCTCTATTTACGCACGTCTTCTGCTTGCTCATTTTCCTCATCACGAAGAAAGCAGTTGCCATGGATTCTAGCATGCCCAGAGACATGCTAGCCATGAAAGGTTGGTTGTCAATGATTCGAGGCATACGAAGTCTAACATGCCGAGCAGATATCAGTATGAGATCAACCTTGAACGCTTGAGTACTCCAGAGAGCCAGAAGAGAAAGCAGTGCATGCATCAGAAGAATGCCCACAAAACGCTCACCCATCAAGTTCTGCCACGGCTGTGAGACTGTACTTGAACTGTCACAAGGAATCCTAGACCACAAGTAGCTTCCAAAACATGCGCAGTCATGTCTCTGGTCATCAAACATGGGCAACACAGCCAGTCGGTAGCTAGGGGAACTTCTCAAGAGGTATGTTGGGTTCGGGTGGAAGTGGATTTGGGACAATAGTGCTGAATGCAGAGGATGTATATGACTGTAGGATACGGCATGTATTGAGTACAGAACTAGAAGCGGCATTAGGGACAATAGTAGTAGAGGAAGGTTGTTAGATCGAATTGAAGTCGCGAAATTGCTATGTCGACAGAAGCAGACGCCATCTCAGAGTGAAAGTCGTAGCCGTGGCACCTTAACGCCCGCCCAGGGAAAAACAGAACAGAACCAGGGTATGCCTCGAAGTTAATATGGTCTTTGCAGTCAAGATGTAGCGAGAAGAAGAAAAGGAGATGAACGAGACTACATGGCCATCTCAGCTTGTAATCTCCGAAGCTCGGCCTCTTCGTCGTCTTCCTCTTCTTGAGCGGGGGCTTTGCCTCTTGCTGTGAACAGTCAGTATGTGTAAGCACGCATCGTACATATTTGCAGGACTCACGTTCGGTATTGTTGACACTAGGCATGCGGTGGACCTGGTCGTGCACAGGCATGGTACCAGTCTTGAGCATAGTGTTATCCAGCTCCTCTTGTTGAAGGTCAGCAAGCTCTGATTCGAGCTCATCATCGTCGACAGCATTTGCGGTAGAGCCTTGAGTAAGAGCGCTGGCAATCTCCTTGCTAATGGCATGTTGTTCTTCGAGATCTTCCATGGTAGCATCGACCTTGTCGATTGTCAAGCCACCGTGAATGGTCTTCATGGCCTTGGAGGCATTGCCCAGCGCGTCCAGGGTCTCCTTGTTGATGTTGGCCGTCTCGATACTTGCGATCTGACCCTCGAGGTTCATGATCTGAGCGGATGTTTGTTCCAAGGTAGTCTCAAGTTGCTTCTTCTTTCGCAAGGCGTTCTTGGCGGCTGTAAGAGGAGTTAGAGGGCGGCGCAAGTTGCCATGGGCGAGGTGTGCGTACCAGTCTTGTTCGTGTTGATGAACTTCCTAGCCTTCTGATCCTCCTCATCCATCTGGTTCTGCAAGTGCTTCTCACGCTTGTTCAGCATCTCGAGGGTGCTCCTCAGCTGCAGAATGGCCTTCTTTGGGGCATCTTTCTTGGCGGCCGAGTTGCCGCCAAACCAACCTCCCAACCCCCAGCCGGACATGTTGCAAGATGCTTCGTGTGGTGGCGCTCGTAGGTGTAAGGGTGGAGGAGCTGTTGGCTATAGAGGTAGACTATAGCGAATGGCGATGGTCGGGCACGAAGGTGGGGGACGTGAGTGCTCGTGTGATGGCGGGGTAGGAGGATAGCGCGATGGTAGACGTCGGAGCCGAGGGTCGCACAAGTAGTGGCTCTAGGTGAATCGGAGTATACAGCAGCCGCTGGCGGTGATAGGCGTGTGATCTTGGTCAAGATTGTGTTGTGGAGAAGTGTTTGTCCTGCTGGCTGCCTCCCACTGTTCGCTGTGAAGCATGACGCACCCAGATGCCAAGCCCTGGAGATTGACACGCCGACCAATCGAACGCCACCAATCTGCACCAATCAAGGAAAGAACCACCTTCTGGCTAGGCTTCACCATCCTTGCCTTTTGTCGATATGCTGCAAGTATCTACTGCATATCTCCATGTCAGATACGATCCCAAATCATGAGTAATTCATCACCATTGCCAAGTCGGCTTTGCGCCGTCAGCCAGCTTCACTCGCTGTTTCCAGGCGACAAGGTTCGTTTTCTCGCATGGTAGGTATCCAATCGTCTTTTGTATTCTGCAACTTCTCTGAGTATCAAAGTGTAACCCAATACCATGAACCAACTGCTTCATTGCTCGTTTTTCACAAGTTTCCTTCTCAAGAACATCACACCGCTCGAGTCGACATCAGCCAGCTCCTCGACACCATCGACCACCAAAACCTTCAGATTGGTGCTTGGCTGAATATTATTGGGTACATCACTCCTTCTTCATCCAGGTCCTGGTCAAAGGTGCAAGCCATCACCGTATGGTCTGCGGGCGCCATCAATCTGCAGCAATACGAGACTGCTCTCACCCTCAGACAAACGACGTAGCCTGCGATATGGTCCCCCGCATTTGATACTGAACCAACATCTCCATTTCTGACGACATCCTGTTGTACCGTTCCATGTTTCAAGGGTTTATCCTCGTCTCTCGTTGGTGGTGCATCGCTCATCATAACGAGGCGATCAGCTTATGCGCTGATAGATCGTCAAATTGGCGAGGTGGTCTGGGTCTACAGGACCCTGTTCCAAATTCGATTGATGATATTCCGTATCCGTTGCCTTGAAACTTGCCAGCAACGCTTTGAATCGCAGGCCCACGTCATTACTGTTGATGATCTCACACTCTTGGATGTACGTCTCCGTCGCCGCCATATCTCGTCCACCGAAACCCTTTGGGCTATTGCCAATGAAGACCAGAGGACGAAAAGACAGAATCTCGGGCCAGACGTTGCAATTGAGATGAGGCGCGAACACCAAGGTATCTCTGTTGTTCTTGATCATCTTTGACGCCGCTGGGTCGAGCACGATATTGTTGATTGGTGAATTGCTCAAATTTGGGATATGTCGTAGGAGGTATCTCGTCTGCTCGTCGAAAGCAGGATCTTGGAAGCATCGTCTGGCCGGCTGGTGGATGGTACCATTGGATACGCACTGGTTCCTCCATCTCTCATCGACCTTCTCGCACATGTATACAAAGACCGCATACTGGACGACAAAACAGTTGGTGCGATGACAGAATTCTCGGGGAACCCAGTTGCCCAAGCCCAAACAGATCACAGTCTGAACATTGGTCGTATGTTTCACGACTTTCTGGATCTGGTCTCGAAATGCCTGCCACTCAGGCTCTTCTCTGATCTCCTGGAGTGTGCCCTCAATATCCTGGGACACACCGACGAAAGTCTGAGCGTGCGGTGAGCTTCTCGCTTGGTCAGCAGCTGGACTTCGATCATGCACTCCATTTGGACGTCCAGCTAGCCCGTAGTTTGGTCTGTGGGTATACACTCCGTTCGGACGTCCGTTTTGCTTGTCGTTTGGTCGACGAGTTTGTTCTCTGGTCTGGCGGCTTTTGTAAAGTGCTGGCGGTGGTGCATACTTGCTGCATAACGCTTTGAACGCCGCCGTACTGACTTTGTGGCCGAGTGCGGCCTCAAGCTTTCGTTGATCAGGCTCCACTACCGGACCCATTTTGCTAATCGTCTTTGTCGTACGATATGCTATGTGGGCTTGCTTGACTGATTGTGGGTGACTTTCACTCCTGTACCGTGGGTCCGGAACGACTATTCGGTCGTTGTATCGCCAACCGCATTGACTCGGAAAACAACATAAAGAACGACAACCCTCGAACTACTAAATTTATGTCTGCTTGCAAGTATGGCTGTTTCTCGCACCTTGGATCCAGTTGTGATCGTTCGAGTCTCATCGCGAGATCTGCACGGAAGCGTTCGTCTATCTGGGAAGAACTCGATTTGCTCAAGCTCTCTTCATCTACGACAATACTATGCAACGAGACTGTAGACATGAAGAGCGCCGCCAGTTCAGAACATATCTTTGTTATATGCTGCTGCCCCTGATAGATTGCTGGAGCATTCTGACATGAACTAAAACATCACTGCTGTACAGACGAGCGAATACGGAAGTCGCGTCAAGACGGATCAACACATATCAAATGCCTCATCTGCCCTTAGGCTTATCATATCACTTGATTCGGAAGGGTGTATAATATCAATCAGGATCGCACCTTGCGCAGCATTCAAAAGGCACACGTACACTGCCGCCAAATTACCACAAAGATCGATATTTCATACTTCACTAAGAACTACCTACGCCGCAGATGACGAATATGACAACAATCTCGCAAACACACACCAAGACTGTATTCAGAACCCCCATTCTTCACGTCTCTACCATACAAAATCAGCCATATCGTCTTTTGTCTCGACAGGAGGCGCTTTGGAAGCTGTCGTCTCGCTTTTACGCACGTAAAAGGAAGACCTAGAAAAGGCCTGCCTCAATATTTTTGCCAGCCTCGGGTTGTTGTAATCGTGAGCATAGTTTCCCCAATACACGATTCCCTCGCGATTTTCAAGAAACCGTCTGGCGGCGTTATACATGTTGACTGACTGCTGATTGATGGTTGTGTCTTGAGTCCAGTACACCTTTTTGAGGTAGCTATCGGTGATCAACCAGCCTATTGGGCCCAGGCTACCGTGGAACGTGTTCGTGTACAAGAGCTCTGGCTCATGACCTTCTCTGAGGATTGTGTCGAACAGATAGTTGGCCGGGAAGTGAGGCGCATAAACAAACGAGTGCATGTTTATGTGATTGTTTGCTTCGGGGCTCTGGACGATGGTTTGACCACCGCTTTGCTCGAGGATGAATCGGTCCTCGATCTGGAAAGCAGGGTCTTGAAAGATGACTGGCAGCGATCCTAGTTCCATCTTCTGCTTCTCTTCGATCATTTGACATAGAGCAATGAACACGCCGCACTGCTGGACGTAGTGCTCATTGTATGTCCAAGGACTTGTGTAACGAATCGAGCCCAATCCAAGACATACTGCATTCTTGATCTCTCCAGCCCTTGCGACAGCATTTCTGAGTTGCCTTCGAACTTTGGCGATATTGCCTAAGGGGCCCATTGGATCGTGAAAAGTTCGAGTATCCAGGATGAGTTGTGTCACGAGCATTATCTCGCGCCATATTCCTCGAAATCGACCATCCGCTGGTTGACCATCAGGAAGGTAGGTCTTAGGCAGAAATCCTGGATGATCTTCTAACCACTCCTGAACGTTTTCGCTCCACTCTCCAATGTTGATGCCTACTCGTCCATTATCTCCGGATTTTACATGGGGTGGTAATCGATACGGGTTTCGTGGTATGTTTGGTGGGATTCCAGCCATCTCGAAAGCGAATTATCTTCTCGACGACGAGACGAGTGGGAGTGTTTTTGTCACCTGCTGATCGTAGTGCTTGAGGCAAGATCATCGAGGCCATCGCCATCTTCTGAGCCACAACAAAGGTGTGCAAGTGCAAAGAGCATGTCCGCAAGCGGAAGATACCATTGCAGCATCTCTGATGTCGAGGAATGTGTCAGAGGAAGAAAGTCGAATGTCGCTTTGTGCGTCTGGTGGAGTCGTGATGCGAAGCGTTCCTGGACAGGGTTGCAAGACAAAGAGGTGTTGTGTGAACATGGAATCGACGAAGCTTTGTTTCACCGAGATCGTGCGCAAGGAATGTGCAAATCCAGGCGAGTTCCTTCCCTCTGGACATGGCCTGCACCCTGCCGGTAGGAAACATCGATCGTCATTGCCTTGCGTGGGTGAAAACAAATTTCCGAAACCTGCGGTAGCACACTTGTGCTCTACTCGGCACAAAGAAGTTATCCAGACACGCGAAACGATTCAAGCCGTAGAGGTCTTAAATTGCGATATTTCGTGCTGCGTCTGTAGCTCTATTGATCTACTCCCACAACACCTTGACGTAGTGATACCACTTGGTATAAGGCTTCTTTTCCTTGTACGTAGTCATCACCTCATCAAGCCCACTCACTAAATCCACAGTCAGGGGTGGACGAGCCCAAGCCTCATGTCTAGCCCAAAAGACCTTGTGAACAAGGTAGATAACGATAGGGATCGGAATGCCAACATACGCCGTGAAGAAATCAGCGACTGACCAGTTCTGCGGCCAGAAGACGGTGAAGCCGTTGATTAGAGTCAAAATGGTGAAGAAAACCATTGCAAACCATGCACCCCAAGGCTGCATGATGGTGTTGCGGTAAGGAAGATCAGAGTTGGGGATGTTCTGAGCGGTGAACGCCTTGCGGAAGCGTATGTAGGTGATGCAGCAACAGATCCACGAGATGAAAGCCGAAGTGTTGGTGAGGTTGACGAGCCAGTTAAAAACAACACTAGCAGAATTTGCAACGTTGAGATAGGCCAAGAGCGAAAAGAGAGATGATACTCCCATTGCGCGAATTGGTACACCGTTCTTGGTGCAGTGTTTGAACCAAGCTGGTGCATTACCAGAGAGAGCAAGTGAGTACAAACTTCTTCCAGAAAGGTAGAGGAAAGAGTTTCCAGACGACCAAGCACTGAGAATGATGCCTCCGTTGATGATAGAGTCCAGAACAGGGATACCAGCATTCTTGATGCCAACCACAAAAGCCGAAGACCCAGCACCAACTCCACCATTGGTAAGTGCCTGATCATCTGAGCGACAGATGACACCAATAGCAAGGACTGAGAATATGTAGAAGAAGATAAGACGATAGAAGTATCTTCTGGCTGCGATGGGGAGGTTGCGACGCGGGTCCTCGATTTCACCACCAGTCGCAACCAACAACTCCGGAGCGAATGCAAAAGGAAATGCACTGAGCACCCAGGTCGACAGCAGTGCTATGAAGCGTCCAGTGTTTCCTTCAGCAAGGTAGACGTTTGCGGCTCCAGGGTTGTTCCAGTAGCGAAATCCGAGCCTGTCTCCCCTTGGACCACCACCCAAGCAGATAATGAGTGATACAAGCAAGAGACCGACCATCATTATCACTTTCGTGCCTGCAAACCAGAATTCGACTTCCCCGTAATACTTGACTGGCAATAGGTTGAGTGCAACGATTAAGACCAGCATGATCGAAATCCAAACAGCGATGTTGATGGTGGAACCCCAGTACTCGATGACCAGCGCAGCTGCGGTGATCTCGTAGGGCACCAAGATTCCAAGAGAATACCTTTCTTTGTGTCAGCAAGACGGTAGCGTAATGTTGAGATCGATTGAGTTACCAGTATAGCCAACCCAAAGCAAAACCGAAGCTGGATGACACAAATCGATCTGCAAACATGGTCATGCTACTACCACGAGTAGGCAGATAGGCCGACATCTCAGTAATAGCTGAATATGTCAGAGTCGAGTCCTTGAACAAAGTACTGGACGTGATGACTTACCGGTAACGATCATCCAGATCAAAGCAGCCATGAAGACGAACGATCCCAAGATAAATGCTGGTCCACCTCTGGCAAGCGTCTGACCGCTACCTACGAACAGACCAGTACCAATGGTGCCTCCTAGAGCAATCATCTGAGCATGTCTTGATTTGAGACCGCGTTGTGTTGTCCCATAGGACTCGTCGAAGACGTCTCCTGCTACAGGTCCCGACGTCGTTTGATAGATTGGAACACCCTTCTCTTGGTCAATATCGTATTGTGTCTTCACACGAGTCTCCTCGCGTGATAACTTGTCGGATGACATGATTGGTCTGGTTGGTACCGCTTGGTCCTCGAGATTGAATGAGTGTCAACACAGGGTAAGGTAGAAGTCGAGTCTCAACACAACTGAACCGATCGAGTACTTTTAAGAGATGGTACAGGTGAAAGAAGCTCGATGAAGGATGTATGAGAGGACACGTCTACAGCGGCGATCTATTATACTTGACCATTCTCGTAGACAACCAAGACTGATGTTACTCCTCAGAAAGAGGTACGCAGGCCAAGAGATAAGCCCAGGATCGCAGACTGGGCAAACAAGACCGCAGCAAATGTTGTCTTCGGACCGTCTCCTTTACTCGCAGCGGCTTCTATTGGCGAATTCATGTCTGCAACAAGGATATCGAAACAGTTCAGGGACTATTTCGCCTTTTGAAGATCAGTTACCTAGCGATAAGCATATCCAGAACAGAAGCTATAATGATGGAATCTATTGAGTGACCTTTCTCTTATCAGCTCCATCTTTCTGTAGTCGATATCATGAATGGTAGGTGAAAGCCGAACGCGACTCTAACAAGCTAGACTGCTTGCTTAGTATCATGGAACAGCCATCACGTCCTGACGAGTATTGCAATGGTCATCTTGTGTTGGGACCCCACTCGAGAAGTTGGACTATATGAATGCCAACATATCGCCAAGCATTGGCAATCGCCCTTCTCTGCGAGTATGCAAAGGAGCAACGTCTGAATCTTAGCAGTGCATCTTAGTCTCTCGCTCAGACCTCACTTGATATGATAACAGTCATGCACAACCCTCTTCGCTTGCTCACGGCTCGAGATCAACTCCTGCTGTATACACTCCACGAAGCTTCGACGCAAGACTTGAAAGCAGCATCAGACGATATGTACGTTCATGAGCAACTGGGCGGAGTTCAATGGTTGACAGATAAGTAAAGATGGGGAAGTGAGGAGAAAATGCTGGTCCGTTTCTCGGCAAAGTTGCAAAATGCAGGCACGTCTTGACTCTCGAGCATTTTCTTGATCCCAGCACTGCTCGACATGAAACGCATACATAACGAGCGGATGAAGACGATGGACAAGTCCGAGGTTGATTGGAGTGAGTCCGAAAACTTGGTCATGGAAGGCAGACCCCGCTTCTGTACCCCGCCATGTCTAACTGTATTATGGGGCGATATGTCCGCAAATGATGCTATCGAGGCTTGAACATATGCTCAGACATCTATATAGAGGTTTGACAAAGTACTCTGGCCATTCATAATCAGATCCACACCAAGTACAAACAGCCAACACCTTCACAAATGTCTTCTGCAACGTCTTTCCGCCAATTGATTGGAGTGCAGCCATCAACAGCCAGCGTCGCCGACAGCACCCTCATCATCATTGACGCTCAGAACGAATATGCCGAGGGCAAGCTGAAGTGCTCCAACACGGCCTCCTCTAGAAAGGTCATCGCGTCGCTCCTGCAAAAGTACCGCCAGGGGAATGGGAAGGTTGTCCACGTGGTTCACGACACACCAGACGGCGCACCTGTCTTTACGCCTGGCACCAAGCTGGCCGAAGAGTTTGATGAGCTTGCGCCAAAGGATGGAGAGAAGGTCATCCACAAGAACCACCCTAGCTCGTTTGCAGGCACCGACCTGCACAAGCACCTAGGTGGTGGCAAGATTGTGCTTACCGGGTACATGGTATGTTTGACTACAGTCCTTCTCCTTGTAAATCGGTTCTTGACAAGCGCAGGCGCACGTTTGCGTATCAACGACGGCCAGACAGGGAGCGGAGTTGGGCTACGACGTGGTTTGTGTCGAGGATGCGATTGGTGACAGATCGATCCCAGGGGTCGAAGCTGAGGAGCTGACCAAGACTGCGCTGAATGAGATTGCCGATGCATTTGGCACCGTTGTCCAGAGCAGCGAGATCAAGTAGACTCGTTAATGAGAATGTCCTCAATCTTCTTGTTCATGCTTCAAGGTGTAGATGGTCAAGGCAAGACTGTGGCCGTCGGCGAAATCGGCCTCTGGCATCTTGTTCTGATGGTGCGTATCGAGGATAGCTTTCGCGGCGACAATGGCGTTGTCGCATTGTTCCAGCATTGAGGTGTCGCTTTTCGTATCGGCCGACAGTCGGTTACGAGAGCGCTCGGCCTCGTCGATGATCCAATGCATAGACGAGCTGACGTAGAGTTGTGACTTGACAGCGACCAGCATAAAAGGCAGCTCGAGAAGCCATTCGAGACAAGGTATGAAGATGAGGGCTGACTCGTCTGCTAGCTCCTCGGCCTGTGGAGGTTCCAGAACGGCGACACCAAGGGACTGGAGGAAGTCTTTGTCGAGCGAGGTAAAGCGTGGTTCCTGAGCATACAGCTTGAGCACGTCGGCGTGCTTGAGATTTGGTCGCACTGTAGGTATGAATATTAGCTGTGGGTCAGGAGTGGACATACAGTTCGTCTCGTACCCATGTCTACCAGATCCATAAACATGATCAGCTGCCAGACACTCCTCACACGATTTGCCCATGACAGACTCGGACTGCCCAAGGCGACACAGACGGCTTTGTTCAAAGACCATCCGCCCTCAGGCATTTGCCTTGCCAACAGCTGTTGGAGCCATCGACGCGCTTCGCTCTCTATCCATTGCTGCTTGCATCGACTGTGTTCGTCCAGAAGCTTCTGCACCGTGAGCGATCTGTCGACTGCTGGGAGCGAACTAGTCACTACGGGCTTGCTACCGTATCTTGTAGGTGCTGTGTGCTCAACTCTGGACCAGCCATCTTCTGTTTCTGATACGATCCGCTTTGGGTGGTACGGTTTGCGCGGTCTGCGCGACGAGTGCGGCATGCTTGACGTCGCACAATCAAGTTTGTTTCTTCTGCTAATCTCTCGCGAAGCATGTGAACAGCCAAGAATACCACCGCTTGGACCACCCCTTCAAGCACTACGACCATCTAACTTTCCTTTATCGACTTGCATTTCTGTCGGTCTCAGACAGGTACAATGTAGAACTGAAGTTTTGATTAGTTCGATTCCATGATACAAGGATTCTTCGTGTAAGCTGCAGCTGCATCAACTGCCTGCCACCCGATGCATCAGCACTGCCATGTTTGTTCTAGTCGTTGCATGGGTAGCTGAAAGAAGTATACGATGCCACAACCCATGACAGTGTCCCTTTGTAGTTCTTTCGGCTCCGGACCTTGGTTTCACAGTTCCCAGTTGCTGGGAATCAGGTGCCTGTTCATATCGTGTTACATAGTGGTCCTTGTAGTCTTGACGATGTGAGGGAGTTGATCAGTTGACTGGATATATGGAAAGAGACTAGCAGAGAGAGAGCTTCACTTTGTTCGACGACATTCTGCAAGGCAAATGATAGTACAAAATAATCTGGTTCCAGTTACTAGTCGTACACTGCAATATGTATAGTGATCCCAATAAAAATCAAAGCCTAGACGCCTTGCTTGCTTGCTCATGTTACCATCATCAATGCCTCAAAAAGCAAATGACTAGCTTGCCACAGCCTGCTTGGGTGTGTGCTGCTGGTCCGCATTTGGACCCCATCCCTCATCCATCTTGTCTGTGGCCTTTTGCATACGGTCAATACCACTACCTCCAACCTTGTTGCTGGCCGTGTCGTCTTGCGACTCGACAGCTGTGTCGCTACCGAGACTCTGCTTCTCTGCTTGAGCCCTGGTGCCTTCAGCTTCTCCGCTCGCGTCTATTGCGCCTGTCTCGGCAGGTCCTGCCTCATTGCCTGCTCTCTGCTGGTGATTGCCTTGCATAGACTGGCGGTTCATCTTCTTGCGGCCCGTATCCTGGCCGTTGGGAGCGATGGCATCGGAGTGTTCGTAGTTGTCAGGCTGGTCCATTGCACTTGCTCTTGGTTGCTCAGCAAGGCGCATCTCTTTCCTGCGCTGGCTGAAAACCTTCTCAATGTCCTTTCCTTCTTTCGTGGCTTCGATGGCTCGCCTGGTAGCGCTAACATTTTCCAGCGCTCCGTTGTCTTCCCATTTCTTCTCTTCTCTTGACACGCTGAGTCTGCCACGGAGTCTACCACCATTGCGACGCTCCTCCTTCTTTTTGACATCCCAGGCTTCTTTCATGACTTTCCACCCTTCAATAACCATCTTCTCGGTTTCTGAGAGGTGGTTGCTCTTGTTCTTTTGATCAGCTTCACGCAGAGCCTGTATGTCCTTCTGTCCTTGGATAATGTGGGCTCTGCGGACAAAAGACGTAGTGCCAGGACCACCGATGCGTTTGCTGATTTCCTTTCGCACACCTTGTCCAAGGAAGAAGGGAGGAGTAATGATGGCAGAGAGATCCTTGAGGACAAAACCACCAATACCTCGAGCACAGCCAATACCAAGACCGGTGAGCTTGCTCCGCTTGCTCTTGCCATCTTGCCATCCGTGCATCGGTTGTGTCACTAGGCCTGTCCATCCATCGTATATGCCGTAAATCAACTCTTGTCCTGCAGCTTTCGATCCAGAATGCATTCCAGTGATACGTATGGGTTTGCGAACAGACGCATCTCCATAGAGTCGCGGTGCATTATGGAATCCCTGACCGATTGCTAGACCTAAGTCCAATGGCATACTTGCGAGTGCACCTCCAGATTCCAGAAATGCGTCACCAAATTCTTCGGCCAGCTCTTGGGCAAGAGGCTCTTCTTCTGCAGACATGGCAGATTCAAGAGTACTATTTGTAGAAGTGTGTCTGGGTCCAGAAGGTCTCTGTGGATCCTGTTTGCTCTCCGGACCGCTCTTTCCTTTGGCGGCTTCTTTCAGTAATCTTTTCTGCTCCTTCCGCTCTGCTCTTTCCTTCTTTTTCTTCTCACGTTCGTCTCGCTTCTTGAGATTCTTAGCAACGCTGGTAGGAACCATTCCTACTCCTCGAGCAATTCCAGTACCTGTCTTCAGTAATGCACCGCCTGCTCCCGAAATGGGCTCTCCAGGACCATCAAAGTCATTCCACTCGTAATGTCGTAACAGACGAAGATCTTTCCATGAGAGCTTTTTCTGTTCGACCAGGATATCCGCTGCTAGTGCACTTAGCCTGAGACTCGATGACTTCATCTTCCAGACGGCCACTCTGTCTTCCAGTATAGAGCATCTCATGCTACGCTTTCCTGCAAAGGGCAAACTGCGATGGAAGCTCTTGACTGCATTCTCTGCACCGTCACCCTCGGCAGCAATGCTTTTGGCAATCTGCTCTGCGTTTTCTCGAGCCTCGTCCGTCAGGCATTGCTTGATTCCTTCTGCGAGTTTTTCTGCATCCAAGTTCTTGTAGGGGGTAGCTTCGTGAGCACCTGCCTTGGCTTTTGATACCATGGCTCCCCAGAATGGTTGATCTCCAAAGAAGGGTACAATCATAGTCGGCTAGATCATTTAAGTTAGCAACCACTCATAATTCATCTCGTGTGCTCAATCATGCAACGCATGTAGCTGTGAAAATGCACAATACTAATAAGAAACAGAATAGTGTCCAGTGAGAAGCGACAGATGATAGACTCTCTGTGGACATGCCTATGTTTCTGAAAAGGACTGTCCCTTTTTGTAGCCAAATGCGTTGCATGCTTTAGCATACGGGGAGGCTCAGGAATGGTACATACCTTTCCAGCCTTTAGGCCAGCAGCCGCCGTGCCAGCGCCACCATGGTGAACAACAGCTTTCACACGAGGAAATAGCCAATCGTGAGGTGTGTTTTCCAGCATGAAAATATTTTCGGGGGTATTGTCACCACCGAGACCACCCCATCCCTTGGAAACTAGCGCTCTGACGCCTGCGATTTTGACAGCGTCAAAGATCATCTGGGTAAACTTATCTGGGTCGTCTACGACGATTGACCCAAAGCCAATGTAGATAGGACTATCTCCAGCGTCGAGGAAGTCCGTGAGTTCCTTCGGTGGATCATAATCGCTCGCCAAATCGAGGAAGACGTAGCCAGCAATGTCGATCTCCGGACCCCAATCCTCAGGCTTCGGCACAAGTCCAGGGCTCCAGAGATACGTGTAAGGAACCTTCATCCGATAGAGTGCGCCAGGTGCCCACAAACTGCTGACAGGTTCTAAACCCAGAGTCTTAACGCGGAAACGATTGACGAGGTCACCAAGGCCTTGCCAGGTCATAATCTCTACGGCTGGATAACTTAACCAATTGATGCGCTCGACACTAGTGTCGCCGCCTTTTTGTGGATTTATGTTGGCGAGTGGATGAGGAAAGGATGATGTCGGAGAATATGGGAACGTAAACATGATATGCAGAGGTATTCCCAGACGTTCTGCGATATGGACGTGGGCGAATGAAGGAGGATTCGCAATGATAGCATCAGCGACAAACGGTGCTTTGGTTCCCATCATTTTCATATTGGCCTTGTCACCCTCATCATCAGTAGCATTGACGCAAGCTCGCCAAAGCCCCTCAAAGATCTCGGCCATGCCTTTTCTGCGACGGGCGATCTCGCCTTGCCTGACAGTCTCAAGGCTGGGGATCAGACCTGGGTTCTTCACCATGAATGCCATCAGTTCTGAAGGGTCGCCTCCGATGCTGAAGAACTCGAGCCCGACATCTTTCTCGATGAAGTCCTTGAAGGCTGGATGCGTGGCGACTCGTACTCGGTGTCCATATCGTTTGAGTATGCGGGCAATCTGGAGGAACGGTTGAATATCGCCTCGTGAGCCAATCACCATGATGACGATATTCAAGCGAGGCCTCTTGATGGTTTCATGGAATGAGGATGCGATGGACGCGGCGTCGTCGGAGAATTCATCTTCAGAGTCGTTGTCGGTTTTGATATGATGATCATCAGAGTCCGAATCGGATTCGTGCTCATCATCAGAGGGATGCTTGTGTGGTATTGATAGGTGGTTCTGTACGGTCTGGGCGAAAGTCTTTGCCATATATCCATTGCCGGCAGCCTCGCCGACAGAAATGTTCAATCGGCCGTCATGTTTCGAGCTTGGCTTGCCTTCCTGATTCTTATCCTTGCCGACGTTGAGTATGGTGAAGGAGTGTCCTCTTTGCATATTTCGACGTTTTTGTTTGCCTTTGTGTTGATGTCCTTCTGGTTCGCTCTCTGAAGACGACGACCAGCTGGAGTCATCGGATTGTGAATGGTGATGGGTGTGAGAATGTGAGGTACTTCGTTGGAGAGCATTCATAATGGTAGCGCTGCGAGGCATAGCCTTTGGTCTCTCTGTTTGCCATGCTCTCTCCAGGCTAGGACGGGTGCCTGGTAGTGACTGTGTGTTGGTTGGTCCGGAACCCTTGGTGGGTGTATCTGCGTGGTCCACTCTCTCTACATCGCGATCTAGGCCATTACTTTGCTGCGGCTGTTCAGTAAAGTAGCTCTCCTTCTCGCTGCTTCGGAGTGGGGCGGTGGCGGGCGTTTGGTATACCGAGTGCGATTGTTCTCCATCGATACCATGGTCTGGAAACTGCGTCTCGGGAGGTACAACGGAAGGAATCAGAGCTTCACCATTCTTATCAGTGAGGACACTCGGGCTTGTCTCTGCCTCACCAGGCAGCTTGCTCGATTCCGATTCTGCCATTGAGCAGCTCAATTATTTCGGAGTTGACCAAGTGAAGCTTCGTGGAAGCAAGAAGTTGAAACACCCGTATAGACAAGGTTTGCATCAATTCAAAACGACAGAGGGGGTTAGAACGATGAATGAGTAGATCTCTTGTTCTAACGTCTAAAATTCCGGTTTCCATGAGCGCCGTGGTCGATGATGAGATGTAAAGTCAGTCCAGATGCGTAAACAGAATGACGTCTGTCGCCGGATTCGCGCGCAACGCCGTATCGGTACCCGCACCCCACTGCGGCTCTTGCTGCCATCTGAGATGGCGAAAACTCTGTCGCTGTAGTCCATCTAGATTTACAAAAAGCTTTTTCCTGCAGTGACCAACTGAACATACTTGGTGACTACTGTGCCTCTTGCAGCAATTAGTGTATGCGGCTCGGGTTCATGGGTACAGCGAGACCTCGAAAAGGCACCCGAGGTTACGAAGGATGCTGTGCGTCTCACTACCAGCGCTAGCAGCTTATAGGACCGATCTACAGACGCTGATTCGTCTTATATCTATTTAGAATGGTCGAATCGGAAAAAGGGCGTCAGGGCGCAAAAATCATAGCCGTACCGGCCCCTTCCACACCTCTCCGCGAGTCAAAGGCTGTTACAGTGTAGCTGTCAGAATGCACAATACTCTCGCAGAGAACGTTGTTTCCAAGGAGAAGATCCCACCAAATGCTATCTCGAGCGACAGACTTGTTCTTAGAATGCAATTGTGCATTTTGATAACTTATGTACCTTAGCATGGGAAATGAATGAATCGCGATGTTGCACACGGGGACATAAAGGAAGGATCGGTGAGACGCGATCATTGGTCCTTTGTTTTTCTTAGCTGCGCAGATCGCCTCGCCGCAGACTTTCTCAAGACCGAAGCCCTTTCTTGTGTCCGTGATTTCTTGCATTGACATCATTTTCGAGTTCAAGGGTCATGTGCCCTAAAAGCACCACTACACTCTTTTCGCAAGTCTAGTCAACGATGTATCCGGGCAAACGGATGTCGGGGAACATGGAAGAAGCTATAGGTGCCGAATGGCGTGGGTCGCATGGATACCTGCCTCATCACGACGTCGAACAGTACTCGAGTGAACACCGACAGAGCGTCTCCGACCAGCAACAGGGCCTTTATGAGGGTCCACGCGCTTCCGCTACTAATGCGCGCTCAACCAAAGAGAGGCCTTGCGATGCCTGTCGCAGACGCAAGACGAGATGTGTCAAGGAGAAAGGCGAGACTAAGTGTGTCCTGTGCAAATTTCACAGCCAGGAGTGTACCTACTTGCACGAGCCAGTGGCCAGGACCAGAAAGCGAAAACTTCAACCCAATGACGAGATAGATAGAGGACACGACGGCCTTCATATCCTTCGGACGAACGAAGGAACTTGTGTCGAAGAGTACGATGACCTTCCTGGGGAAAGCTTGCTCAAGAAGACGCTTGGTCTCCAGAACAAGCACCATGCTCACTTTGTCGGCCTAACTGAACCTTTCTCGTTCCCACGGTTTTCAATCACACTAGGGAATTCGCAAAAATCTACGCAAGGTGGTGTGGTCATGATCCGCAAAGTCGACGATTTCAACGCTTTCACAATTCATGAAGACCAGGGAACCATCGGCTACGACACCGAGCAGAGTCGATTGGACGCGATTCAGCAGCTGGTAGAGCCTTATGGACAGGCCCTCATCGATCTTTACTTCCGCATCATTCATCCGTCATTTCCTGTCCTTCATAAAGGCGTCTTCCTCGAGAAGGCTGCACGTTCCTATCGCGAATTTTCACCTGCACTTCTGGCGGCTGTATACCTTATAACAACCAATTACTGGAGATGCTCGCCAGCCTTAGCAACCAAGCCTAAGCCAGATGCCAATCGGCTATACGAGTTGGCAATGGAGTCCTACGACCTTACGATTTATCGCCCTAAGCTTTCGTCGGTTCAAGCCGGTCTCTTGATCGCACAGCATGAATGCTATGATTCAGATGTCGTGAGTAGTGGGTCTAGAGGCAAACTTACAGCACAACTGGTTTCAATGTCATATACTCTGGGCCTCCATCTAGACCCTTCAAGATGGGATCTGCCGGCTTGGGAAATCAGCTTGCGCTGCCGTCTTGCCTGGGCCGTATATGCGCAGGACAAATGGGTGGCCCTCATCGAAGGCCAACCGCCCCTGATCTCGGATCGTGACTGGATCGTACCACCCTTGCAGCACAATGACTTCCCAGACCATGAAGAACATAACGAGGAAGGCAGTGCCGAAGTTGAGAATAGTCGAATCATTTTCATCCAGATGATTGAGCTTACTAGATTACTCTCTGATATTCTTGAGGCGGTTTTCAGCTTGAGATCGCATCATGTCATACAGACATCAGCCGATCCAGTTAGCACCCTTCTCAGCAGGGTGCAACCTTTACAGCGCCGACTCAGTGCTTGGTCCGATTCGGCAATGGAAGTGCTATGTTTGGAAAAAGCTTCTACTATGCGATTGACCTGCATAGGTGAGTTTCATCATTTTTCACTTACCTGCTCATCCATTTCTGACGTCTTCAGGATATTTGAGGCTTGCCTACCTTGCTGTTGAGGTCAGCCTGCATCGACGGATCATATGCCAAACCATGTCTTGTGCGTCAGATCCAAATACAGCTGCGGCATGCCGTATAGGTGCCAAGAAAAGTTGGTTGTCCGCGCTCGAATTCGTGGACAGTTTGAAAGCACGCCACCTCAAGTCCTTCTGGTACTTCAGCTCGACCGCATGCTTGACATTGCTGATCTCCTTCGGCAATGTTCTCGTCGGCTCGGCCTTTGACTCCTCCGAAGAACAATTCTATCTCGACAAGCTCAAGGAATTTCGCTGGACTTTGAAGATCAACGGCGAGATGGGAGCAAAATTCATGAATGTTGCCATCAAGTGGATGATTCTCGACCCCAAAGAAATCCGCAAGCCAGAGCGTCATGTCACAAGCTCCGTCACTACTCCTGGATCTAGGTCTGATGCAGGATTTGGCGTTTCATCACAAAACGCATTTGGAAGCATGGCTGTCCAGTCGAGTCAACCCCCTATCGGATCTTCTGATGTAGGATCAGGCTGGGTTGCGCCTACGACATACGGTACCCCCTCATTATTCGCTGGATTCAATCCTGGTATGCCTGTACAAGTGCCATACATTCCAGGTTATACGTGGGCGCCGCCTGCCTTCGAGAATGGTCAACCGGTGAATCACTACCTCGACCATATGCCTGGCTGACGGACATAACCGACTTTGGCTATTCATGAAGACATGCGCGATAAACCTCCCCACAAAGAAAAATGATTCATGCAGTGAGGCTGTGTACTCCGCTGATGAATCCAGCCTTTGCAAGAACAAATATCCTGCCACTCTTATTGGAGTATTTTGAAACAGCATGGACTATGAGACATGATATGCATGTTACGACGAAGAAATAGTTTGATGATTTCGTGGCACGGATTGGCCACAACTCGCGGAGCGGAGCTCTTCTATTCACATTCACTACTACACAGAACATGAACCACGAGAACTACGAAACAAGCTTTTAAAGAACGATCATGATTCTCAAGACTTTTTGCGAATGGAAATAATTGTTGCCAGATCATTGGCTCTTCGAGCACCAAGCCGAAACGTCAATTCCGTCTAGGGCGTCGGCTCGTGTCGCTTCCGGACATAACCGCCACCATTTCAAGCCCCGTTCACATACTTTGCGGAGCACACATCCCACGTTCTCACACAGGCCATTCTTTGCAGCTCCTCGACTGTTTGTATTCTGACGATCAGAGCTCTGCGCCTGTTGCACAAGTCAAGTACTATTCAGGTCCATGAGCAGCCAGAATCATTGAATTACGGATAATCCGTGAAAACATCGAAGGTCTAAAAAAACGGTCGTGGTCACGGACGACCTGTTGACTCGGCCTGAGCTGACACATGCAACTGAAGGTTTGATGAGGAGTCTTCTCCGGTGCTCTTCCGCTCTCGAGCCGTACTAAGCACTACGGGTACGTCACATACCGTCTGAGCACCTGAAGAGTCTGGATACGTCTACTCTGCAGTTGGCTGTACGAAGAATTGACACTCTCGACTTAGTTGATCTTGGAGTCCGTCTTACGGCTCTGAAAGGTTGTTCCAACTTGAGTCTGCTTCATACAAGCCATTGATGCTCAAGAGATGTCCTTTTTCACTCCTCAAGCGTTACCACGCCTCTTAGTGTCTGTTTTAGTTGTCGACCTGAGCTTTTAATGAATCTGCTCAGACGGTGGTGACTTTCGGACAGAACTCTCGTAACGCGCTACTCGAGGTGACATACACTGGGATGGCAAGAAGAGTGAACGATGTGTGATAGGCGGGAAAGAAGACCCATTGCCTTAACAGTTTGGTTCGCGGAATGACGGCGGGCGTGGGGGGTCGACGATCTGAAGGATGTGGACTCGAGGTAGGTGGAGGTATCCTGTTGTCCAGTTAGCTTGAGTCAATTGTGATTCAGCGTCGTACGGCTTTGACAACAAACGAGTTGCTCTGACTCGTCTGATTGATGCATGGCAATCCTGGGCCAGGCAATGGATCAGGAGACAGTATGCATTAGTAAGACTTGTGACTTGGTGATGCATAGTCAGCGCTCTGGTAAAGAGCAGAGACGGACATTCGACTGAGCAATTGTCCTCGTCTGAATGCTGTCGAGCTATAGTATTGCTGACACGAACATAGTTGCTGGCTCATTGACGTGACTGTAGTATACAGCCAGAAAGGCGTTAGCACCTTATGCATCTCTGCCAGCTTGTCCTTGCGGAACTCGCATTCGCTGTTTTTTCCAAGCGTCTTACAAGCAGAGCAGTAGATATCAGTTGGTCGTTAGCAGTGCTGGGCACTCGCAGCGATGCTGAAGCGGGTTGCTTCTGACGACAAGTGTACGCAACGACCTAAGATTGACGTTCGGCGGAGTGACCAGATTTCGAGTCCTCGGAGATGGCTGTAGCGTGTGAAGGCGGAGCTGGGCTCCCTACGGGTGTCCTCTTGCATTGCCGAACAAAATGGCTGTCGGCTGGGCTCGGACCCTGTTGCTCAAGCAAGCCATACAGCAACAATGTAATAGCGGACGCGACTTTCTCTCCTATGAAGCGAGGAACTGGCTGCGTCCTCCAACGACAGATGCGATGGGGGTGCGATCAACGTGGTGTCTCGGTAGGTAAGAAAGAGTAAAGGTCGACAACAATGGATCGGGGAATACAAGAAGCCTCCCAAACCATGACAAAGTCAATACTTTGTTGCCTCACTTGAGGTTTGCAGGTGAGCAGAGAAACAAAGCAGGTGCGAGCTGCGAAGATCCTGCCCCTTCGGACGGCAGGCGCGTCTATGCATTTATGAGGCTCAAAATAGGGCCAGAACTTTGAACTCAAGGCAGCACTGACGACTGTCACGCCGCAGACGTTAGCGAAGAGCTACTATATCGGACGCATCGGGTTGTGAATCAATTGTCAGTTCGTTTGTTGCTGTTATTGACGCATCGCTGCTCGTGGTTTGTGATGAGGCACACCAGTCGCCTACTGTTCTTGTCTTTGCAGGCGCATTCATTCTCACTCGTGACAGGCAACATAGAAAGAACAATTCGAGCCTCTATGGTGTCGTATTACGACAAAAACTTAATTCTGGTATGGTCGTCATTGACCCTTCTTGAAAAACAGATATGCAATGCTCAAGGAAGCCTGTAGTCAAGACACCACCATACCTCATATACACGTATGAGTCGACACTACGAAATGGAGTGCGCCCATCGTGGATTGCTCCAAATGCAATAGCACGAACCATCCCTAGGCACTCTTTCCATACTCGGCGATGCCCCATAGCTTCAGGGTATTACATCAACCAATCCCATCACGTGGAGTTAACAAAGGTCTTGCTCCAGGAGGTATCAGCCCAAATATATTGGAGTTGCCATGCAACAGGTGTTGTTATGCGTATGCACTGTTCATGTCTATTAGGTAAGCATTCTCCTTGACTGTTCCCGATCCGGTGCACCTTGATGAACATACTGTATTTAGCCACAGCTGTGCCGTTCGCATACAGGTCAAGTCGAATGTTGGTATCTCAGCACGATCGCGGTTGCACTGGCTAGCGCGAAGCATATCGGCAGTGGTAAGAAGCAACAATCTTTGCCAATGCCAACAGCCCCTCCCTTTGATCTAAGACCGTCACAGAATATATCACCTTTGAACCTCATGACAGCATGTTGTATGTCAAGATGCACAATGACTTTCCAAATAGTGTAGTCAATGACTCAGTCTTGGTGACATCCTCTCCATCTATGATTAGTCTTTCTATGGACTACAGCGTCTTGTTGAAGCAACACCATGGCAATCCAAGAACACAGCCAGGAGCCGTTTCGTGGCTCTCAGCCGTCCATACATGATAGCTGCTTGATGACAAGTACCAATTATGACACACGAGTAAGCCGCAGGGATACATGAGGACTTTGCAGCACTTGCATTGTCAGGCCACCTTACCATCAACCATGATTGATCAAGACACCACTTCTGTCATCGCAAACCACGGCTGGTCATGATAACATAGTTGATGGTTTTTCTGCCCACGCATCCTAACGTTACTGACATCCACGTGAACTCGGTACCGGGATAACGGACAAGCATGAATAGAGTTTGAGGCCAATGCCGGTAGCGTAAGTTTATGAGATTGCGACAACTTTTTGACCGCCATAATCCATTGCTGAATACGACATGGCATTCTGTCAATTTACAATTGTTCATGCCTGCTTTCGCGCCATCGCACATGCCACTTTGTCGTGGACAGCCTGGAATTGCGTCTGAAGCGGCATCGCCAGAACAGGTAAGCGAGAAACAAATGTCAATCGGGCTTCGCCAACCAGTTGCACCTTCCCGTGTGTACTCTTCACACAATGGAATTATCAAATGCTATCCCTTATGCATTCCAGGTTCGTCCAGAGTCCACTGCATTGGTCATCATCGGCTCGACATGCGGCAATGCCAGACCTACCTGCATCCAAGCGGCTATCACAGACGAGTGCCGCTAGAAGATGCCTCTGCCATACCCTGATGGCTGTCAAATCCTGAGTGTGGCATGTCGGCTTCTGTGGCCCAAAGGGCAGTGGTCTTGCGTTCGGCATACCAGGATATTCGCAGCGCTATTCGGCTGCTCTGATACTACCCAACATAGTATTCAAGCTGTTCAGCAACTTCAAGCAGCCGGCGGTCGAGCCCAAGAAACCAACTGGAACCGGTATTTGAGCAAATCGAAACAGTTGATCGAGACCTGTCTTTATCAGCTGTTACAGAAATATCAGCATGCAAGCAATATTCTTTTCAACCCAAAAAGTCTGGGAACTAGACGTGTTATCCATATACACACATGCCAACATGTTATTTCACTCGGATTCAAAATATGCAAAGCAAGATAGTCATCTCATTGACAAGATCTGTGGCATCAGGATTACTCCATCGCGACCAAGGATGGCAATCCATTTCTGACGCTGGTTGGCGCAAGTGGCAGAGGCGGAAGGATATTCGATCTAACACAGGAGTTGGAGAAAATGACGTTGCACTAAGTCGTAGAAACGGATTTGAGCCGGCGACGATCTGCTACAATACATCTATGCCCTGCTACGCTTTCTGCGTATGCTCAAGAGTGCCATAGTGTGGCTGAAGAAATGCCTGCTAGCTTTAAGCAAGAAAGTGCTGAAACTTGCAAAGACATTGTGACAGCATGATTGTTTACATCGTGATACTTCTACCTCAAGGCAATAATCGTTACCACGAGAACGCCGTCGATTTATGAAACTACAACGTTCTAGGACGGGGCAAGAGCACATTATCTGGGAGAAGATGTTTGTGTGGTGTAATAATGGTATTAACTATGCATTTTTGTATATCCAACGATCATAGACGTAGCCCTGCTAGTCTTACAAGCAGCTCAAAAGCTTGCTGGGTATTATCCATGACATGATATCATAACTTTTTTTAGGCCTTGTTGAACAGAACAGCTCTGTATCTGACGTTGCCATCGTCAAGGTCCTTCATGGCCTTCTCAATGCCCTCCTCAGACATGTCGTAGTGCTGGGTGATGGGCTTGATCTGGTGGTGGGCGGCGAACTCAAGCATTCTCTTGTGGATGAAGCGAGGAGCGACGACGGAACCCTGGATGGTAAGACCCTGGGCGAGGAGACCCATGTAGGGGATGGCGAAGTCACCGTCGGCGACGGAAAGAGGGAAGATGGTACCGCCGGGAGCCATGATGGGGAGGTAGATGTTCCAGTCGGGCTGGAAGGAGGTGGTGACAAGCAATTGGTTGATGGGCTTGACGTCCTTGAGCTCCTTGACGCCCTTGGTGGCGTAGAACTCGCTGGCGCCGAGCTTCATAGCCTCATCCTTCTTGGAGTCGGTGCTAGAGAAGACGACAACCTCGCAACCCATCTTAGCGGCGAACTGAATGGCCAAGTGACCAAGACCGCCAACACCGACGATACCGACACGGTCGGTGGGCTGGGTGTTGTACATGTGGAGGGCGTTGAAGACGGTGGCACCACCGCACTGGAGAGGAGCGGCAGCCTCATCGGGAAGGCTGTCAGGGATCTTGAAGAGGAAGGCCTCGCGCCAGACACCGTGGGTAGCGAAAGAACCCTGGTCAGCATCGGCGTAACCGTACATCTTTCTCTCGGGGCAGTAGGTCTCAGTTCCCTTCAAGCACTGCTCGCAGTGAGAGCAAGAGTCGTGCTCGTAACCCCAACCGACACGGTCTCCCTTCTTGAGGAGAGTGCAAGCAGGACCAGTCTCCTCGACGACACCGACACCCTCGTGGCCGAGGGCCATATCGGCCTTGCGGTAGTGCAAGTCAGTACCGCAGAGACCGGATGCAGTGACTCTCATGTAGACCTGGTCACCCTTGAGCTCAGGCTTGGTGTTGGTGGCCTTCTTGATGGCACCGGACTCAGAGCCCTTGTAAACAGTGTAGGAGTAAGTCATTTTGATTGTGTGAGGTAATTGAGGATGGGGAGGTAAGAATGAGCAGATGGCAGGAGATGGAGAATTGGTCTTTATTAAGAAGGTCTTTGCCCCTTCGACAGCTCACCTAGTTATCTCCGCCACTGCCTGCTTACAAAAGATAGCTCAACACCGTTGGGTCAACATTTCGCTTGAGCTCTCTTACCAATCTGCCATGACGTTTCATGAGGTCTCTAAGCATGGTTCCACCTGTGATCAATGGCAAGGGTTTTGGTACCACCGGATGGTCCGGCGAGAGGCCCGAAGATGAAATTTCGCAAAAAATCCGAGCTTACGTCACAGTTCTTATCTTATCATCGAAACACGTGGACCAGAAAAAGAGACCGACGTGCCGAGGTTTCATGCATGGACCTGCGCATTGATTGCTTCCATTTCTTCGAGAGCTTCGAGACCTTCTAATTATTGCTTGACATGGCTATATTTGAATCGACTCATTTGTATTCACGGTCAAGAGAATCTTCTGCGACTTTCAGGTCAGCAGCATGCTTGTTCATCAACGACCTTAAAACTGTGGACTGATCAAACAACAACGTAAGCGCTCAGAATGACGTCGGCAGGCGATGGGCGCGAATTTCGAAGACCTCGATCTTGAATCAATCATGGCCTCGATCGTTGTTCACAACAAATTTTGACTCAGGCGTCCCGAATCATAACCTACCTTTCTTCGCGAGATATTGTTCAGCCATCAAGTCGAAGCGAAAGTAACTACACCGCTGCATCAGTCGATGGCTGGCCGCAATCTAGCGATTCGCTTTGACACGAAGCAACCAAGAGGGTTTTGTCTTTGTGTTGAAGTCGTAAAGTGCCCCGTAGGTATACGGCCACACCTGCTTTTCTTTGTCTGCTAGCAAGAGGCCGGAAATGGGTAGGTACAACATTTTCATTGTCACGGCTGTTCTTTTACGGCTGCGCTTGAATATACATCTCTCTTGCAGCTCCGTGCGATCACTAGGTCTACAGGTACTACAGGTATCTTAAGGTGTATGCATGATGGGCATGTTTTTCTTGATCACGTTGTTGGCGTTCGCTGCAGTCGGCGCCGTTGCAGATACATGCAACCCATTGAACACGAGATGTCCCCCCAACTTAGGATTGACAAACAATACTTATACAATCGACTTTACGCAGCAAACAACGACTCCACCCGATTGGACGCTCTCCAATTATGCCAATATCAACTTTAGTTCCAAAGGAGCCGAATTTACCGTAGCTAAGCGATTTGACTCTCCTCAACTATGGACTAATTGGTACATTCACTATGGGAGAGTCGAGGTTGTAGCACAAGTTGCTCCAGGAACAGGCATTGTCTCCTCTGCCGTGCTCATGTCTGACGATCTGGATGAGATTGACTTGGAGTTCAGCGGAAACAACTTTGGGGATACTGTCTCGAAAGGACAGAACAATTATTATGGAAAGGTGGGTAAACCACAGACAAAGCAGACTGAGCTTATCACTAACTGCTGTTGGTAGGGTATTACTGGAGACTACGACAGAGCGAGTTTCTTCAATGTTGCATCACCTCAGACGCAGTTCCATACTTATACCGTTGATTGGACTTCCACATCCCTGACCTGGTCTGTTGATGGCACAATTGTTAGAACCCTTTACGCTGCCAATGCTGACAGCGGCTCTCATCAATACCCTCAAACACCAGCAAAATTTCAGTTGGGAATTTGGGCAGGAGGAGATTATGGAAACGCCTGGGGGACGGTTAGCTGGGCCGGCGGCTATACGAACTACACACAAGCTCCTTTCACCATGTACGTAAAGAGCGTCCAGATCACTAACTACAATCCTGCCTACGCCTACAATTACACGGACAATTCTGGGAGATCTGGAAGCATAGAATACCTCTCGGCACCTGCCGTCTCCTCATCTAGTACAACAAGTACACCGACTTCCAGCTCTGGTACTCAAAGTCAAGGTACAGGTTCTTCTGCGGCACCCAAAGTATCCACAACATGTGCTGGCATTTCACCCCCAGCACCAACTCAGAACGGAATTGTCTCTGGCTGTACTCAGTGGTATACCGCTAAGTCGGGAGATACATGCCTTGGGATTGCTGCCAAATTCAATATCTCCAATGAGCAGTTCATGGCATGGAATCCGGCAGTTGATCCTCCCCTGTGCTACAACATGTGGCTGAATTATGGTTATTGTGTGTCTACGGATTGCGCACTTGTAAGCACATCGTCGAAGTCGGCTTCTACAGTTGTATCGACCAGCTCATCCCGACCCACATCTGTGTCGACAAGCGCTAGTTCAGTCTCTACCATTGCTGTTACGTCTACGCCACTTCCAACCACTACTGTCAGTCCAACGTCGAGCATCAGCGCTTCTAATACTTCCACTCCGTCCAGTGGTTTCAGCACCACCTTACAAGGATCGTCTTTGTCAGCGACATCAAGATCAAGTACCTCGACTGCCGCATCACTTCCTGTGTCTTCCTCTGCATCATCTGGCGTTACAAGTTCGCAAAGCACAAGTACTGCCTCGTCCTCCGCCATTCCATCATCATCAACAACGCCAGGAATATTATGTCCTGATGCGGATGGACAGAGTCTGGTGAATCGTGGGAGCAACGCCTATTCCATCAAGTGCGCCTCCGACTCTAGCAAAGCGTCTTACACAACCGCTTACCCTCTTCACTCCTATCTGGATTGCTTGAACTTGTGTGATGAAGCAGCAGATACTGGTTGCACAGCATGGACATACGTTGGTAACTCGAATGGGAACGGCTCTGGCATTTGTTATCTGAAGACCGCCTCGGGCACTTTCTCGTCAGCTCCGAACAACTATATCTCTGGCGCTCTGTCTGCAAACAACTCCTCTGCATCCAACGCCTCTTTGGGTTCCACTATTTCTTCGTCTGCAGCAGTGATCAGTTCTTCGAGTGTTCTCCCTCTTGCTAGTCCTTCGGCCCAGCTTTGTCCTGATGCTGCGACGCAAAGTTTTGTTACGTCCCAGAGTGGGTCGCTCTACTTCATGCGCTGCAGCTCCGATACGAACATTGGATCTTACAGCAACAGCAAGGCCTCTGCTTCCTGGAAAGATTGCATGAACAGCTGTGACAGCGATTCGCGATGCGTCGCCTTCACGTACGTTGGCGGTAGTGGAGGCATTGGCTCAGGGCAGTGTTGGTACAAGGATGTTCTAGGCAGTGCCGTGGTTTCTGGGCCAAACTACATTGCAGGTTTCTTGGCTGCCAAAGCTGAATCATCTAGTGCATCTGTGAGTAGTATTGCAACAAGCAACTTGGCAGTACCTTCAGGTTCTCCAACGGCGAGCTTCTCGACTTCCAGTTCCAGTACCTCGACCGCTTCGACATCTTGGGCTACAAATTCGGCTGGAAGCAATTGGACCATCTGGCGCGCTAGCGATACCAATTATGGTGCATACACTAATGTTCCGGCGCCCAACTCTTTCATGGACTGCACGACTGCATGCGACAAGGACTCAAAGTGCACAGCCTGGACGTACGTCGGCGGTAGTTCTGGTCAGGGCAGTGGTACTTGCTGGCTAAAGAGCCAACTAGGCCAGCCTGTCCCAAGTAACAATAACGTTATCTCAGGCTCACGCTTGACTCAAGCTGTCAGAATGCGCCGGGCTGTATCTAGTTGGTGGAACAGTGTCACATCGATCAAGCCAACAGCCACAAAGACTGAAAGCACTGCCACCACCATACCTAAGCCGCCGTCGCAACCTGCTTGGGCTCGCTACTACCATGGTGGTAGATGGATGTGGAATGGCCATGGCGATTGGGAGTGGGCCTGGAACTAACGAAAATCTGTGTTGTCCCTGCAACTTTTGTCATGTTTTCTTGTTTTCACTTTCTCCTTGATATATTACTCTGTCGTTTTCGATCCATTTCTCTTGAACTTTACTGAGTGGTGACAAGCGTCATATGCAGTATCTTTTGACCATTGGTGAACCATACTTTGGATCGATTTATTGATGGTCCTTTGTCTTGGTATATCTTCTTTCACGTGCTTCATTGGTTTTCAAACACATTCTTTGTTTCATTGTGTGCTTCACTTCAACACTATTCACACCAACAATGCATTTGAAAAGCAAACACCGCAACATCTTCACGCCTTCCCTCCTTCCTCAGAACTTTCTTCCCAGCCCATTCAAAAACAAAAACATCACCACAACAACCATTCCATTCAAATTTCACTAACAACTTTCTCAACTTTCGATATGATTAATAAAGTCGCCACTTCCTTTGGCGTGGTCATGGCAGTCTTCCTCGTCCTCGCTCTTGCTATATTTGGCTTCTCTGCTCTCAAGCATGCACGTCACAACACTGCTTTGCACAATCAACAGCATCATGCTCAGGTAGATGCCTGGATCGCCCGCATGCGCAGAAAGACTTGGAGAAACACGCGCATTGATCGTGATGTGGAGATGCAAGCTCCCCCTGAGCTTCCTCGCCTTCCTGAGATCGCTCGTGTGCGCACTGATCCTTCGCGAGTATCTAGGATGGGTAGACTCAACCTTGCCCACCCGAATCAGAGGATCCAATTTTGTGAAGTTCCGCTGACACCTATTCATCAAGGCCAACGCGGCGAAACTCCTGCCGGGTTCTTCTAGAGGGTAAGTGCGATGTGATAAGTTTGATATATGAGACGCACTTTCTCTGGTAGCAGGTCTACCAAAATAACGATCATAATGCAAATATCAATCATCATGTTTCCATTTCTTCTTAATTTTCTTTGTGACTGAATCTTCTCTGCGTCGATCATGAAATTTCGCTCACTTGTAATCGGCCTTCTGAAAATGATGTGTAACATACGTGCCTCATGCTGATATGACATTACTGTTCAGAAAATTCTCGTATAGCACGCCCCTTCCAGCTATCCTTCAATGCTAATGATCAAGCAGACAAAGTCTCTGACTTTTCAGTCTTCCCTTCGAAGGCCACCTCTTGACCCAGCTGACGCTTAGCAAGAGCTTCCGTCCTAGATTGACTGTTCGGATCGAGGTAAGGTACCTCGCCAATACCGACAGCACGGTTACCAAATCGTTCGCCCAGTCCTTCGTAGTCAAAAGTAGCGCTGTGGAAAGCACTGCGATTATCCCAAATGGCTAGGTTTAATACGTCAGTGTATCATTTTGACGACATTGAATAGCGCAGCACTTACCAATATCGTTCTCGTTTCTCCACTTGAAACGGACTTGGAGATCATGGTTCTCTGTAATGGTAGCCCGGAACTTCTTCAACAGTTCTTCCGACTCATCAGCGTTCAACTCATTGATGAACTTTGGGAACGGACCAAGAGCGAAGATGCTCTTCCATCCAGTGACAGGGTTTGTTCTGACGACTGGATGTACGGCTGTGAGCTCCTTGCCCACATTCAGCGGACTACCACGCTCCTTCTCGTAGATCTTGACTTTGTCCGGGTTGGCAGCTGCGGCCTTAAGGAAGCCGTCGCCAGAGAAGGTGGCAGTCAGGCCTTCAAAAAATTTCTGGTATGCTGGTGAAAAACGATCATAGATCTCGTAGCCACTTGCCCATAGAGTATCCCCGCCAGACTTTGGAAGCTGAGTCAGACGTAACGAGGTGTAGTCAGCTGGCGCAGGTTCAAACTGTATATCTGAATGCCATTGAGCAGCATCATAACGGCGTTTGTTGCGTGCGTCGCTTTCTTTGAAAAGAGCTTTCCTTTGCAAAGAACTAATAGTACTAATCTCAGCATCATCGACACCAAACTCGCTGCTGTTGTTGAGCACAGGATGAATGTGTAGAGTCGACGTCGATGGCTTGCCAGACAACTGGCCAAGTCTATGGTTTAGTAGCTTCTGTAGGGCATTGGTAAGGTTGTCTTGCTTGCGGAAGAAGACAACACCTCGTTCCGAAACTACCATACGAGTCAGATATCAAATTGTCAAAAGTAGCAAGATCTAAGCTAAGCATACTAGTGATGGCGAGGTCTCGGATCAATTGGTCCGCATTGGGTGCGTTCAAAAGGTCATCGACAATGTTGACATCTGAAAACTCTCGGCCAATGACAGGAGTTGTGTCCTCGTAGGTGAACTGCTCAAGCGCGCCAGACTGCTTGAGGGGCTTGGGAAACGAAGTTTGATCTGCTGAAACCATTGTTGATCGGACAATCTGATGTAGGCTGAGACTCATGGACAGGAGAGGAACTTCTGCAGTCTCCGAGTCGAGCGGGAGGACTGATATACTCTTGAAGCATCCATGGCGTTAGACGGATACCAGATGCCGTACCCTGTTGCTGAGATCGCGCAATATTGATAACAAGCACGCAACACTTTGGTGATATGCACTTGAACGCGTAGTCATATGCTGATAGGGCGGGTTGAATCCTCACAGATAAATGCCTCCGCAATCAGCTACTTCAGTTCTCCTGACGGATGTTATTGAGATACCAGTGACCAGATCAGTATAGCTCGAGGAGGTTTGTCTACATCCCCAATACTGATGAATAACATGAATTACTCTCTTGATCATCAGGTGTTTGACTACAGGTAATCATTGAGCCCGGAAAGATGTGTGGCAGCGTTACAGCTTCCCCTCATGAATTACCGCAACGTTGTTCATAGGACGCCAAGATAATGACTGTAGAGCACGCCATCTCGCGACAGAGCAATTGCCAGCACTTTCAATAGGGCACACCAGGACTCGATGTTGGTTCGATGTCAATGAATGGATTGTTTCGCGAGCTCATTGCCTAGCGACCATCTCCAACTTGGGGCTCGGATGTGAATCACCCCAAGGCCAGGGTGACTCGTCAAGCTACATCGCCACTTCATTCACCTTGCCCAACACCAAGCAGGCTCCCGCTATTGTATCAACTTGTGGTTTCTGAAGTGGCTCTTGTCAATATCTTTTGCAACATATAGACAGACGCGCAACTCAATTCAACGCGTCTCCGTCGACCTACTGTTGCCTAACCGGACGCCTTCTGTTGCGTCGACCATCCAATATCTCACAGTTGATCCAGAACTTGTCAACATAACCTATTGCAGTTGGCTCAATGGCTCCGCCATCTTCAGTATGTACAGTGTTGGTGTTCACTTGTTCAACCTTTTCTCATAGTGGACTAGACCCCTTCGCCACATCGATTCCTTGTGAACAAACGACCTCAGAACCATGCCACGCCAACTCCATCGAAATTATCAAAGCAAGTGTTACAGGATGCGGCTGAATCTGGCACTTCGCGACCGACGTCCGGTCCAACACCCTCACAATTTGCGAGAGTTCCGCGGTTCGCCATGTCCACTGCAAGACGGGCTTCTTTTCCTCCACGTTCCCCATCACCTGCAAAGCCTCAGTTCTCCACCTTAGGTACGAGTACCTCGAAAGAGAATCTTCGCGACAAGGTCAAAGAACCTATTTCCCTATCAGACGATGAAGAAATGCTCGACAACGACAACCATGATCTCAATTTCACACCTTTAACTCAGCCGATATCTCAAGATTCGATACCAGAACCTGAGAAAGGACCATATCTCGCATCTCACCTACCGTCATCACCGAAACGACGCAAGGTCGACATTGGTGATCCATCATCAACCCCAGGACGATTCATCTTGCCGCCTGTAGGCACGAGCCGAACGACGTTTACGCGGACAGATGGAAATACACCGAGCAGTAGTAGACCGGCATTTCTGATGGCATCGATTCCAGCACCAGAAACTATTACGCCATTGCCCGACGCCTTCTCTCCTCGAAGAAGAGGGCAAAAGTTCATGCCTGGTGGTCTAGCATCGGAGCTACAATCATGGATTATCGAAGCAGCACAGACTGCAACTCAAGGCAGACCTCAAAGTACCTCATCAGTCGATGACTCAGTGCACTTAATCGACGTCAATGAAGTTAGAGGAGATGGACCGATGTTTGCACATGGTACAAAGCCTGGTAAGATTGATGCCAAGGTGTTATTCATCGATGGTCAAGCGAGCCAGAAAGCAGCCAAGGTGAAGGCAGGGGACAGGGTGAGCATCCGACTACCGACTTGGGATGTTGAGGTGTCGGGTGAAGCATGGACAGTAGGCGTTGACTGGAGAACCGTGAAGCCCTAAAAAGGCTCATATTGGTATAATGTGGTCTTTCGTGTGTCATAAGCAAGAAGCAGAGCCATGTTGTGGTGTGAGCGCAGACAGCGAGTCACGGCGAGAGGGCACAAATAGAGGTTGGGAGCCTGATGGTTAGGCAGGAAGAAGAATGCAATCAGCAAGCATGACTTAGCATCACAGATAGAGCTTTTCTGTAGTATAGCGAACCACGGACGGACAAAAGTACAGGTGATAAATTAGGAGGGTATGAGTGGGAGTCCAAGAGCGCGACACGAGGCAAAGCGTGTTTACAGTACCAGCCACCTCAAAGTCCGACCAGCCACTTTTTTTCTTGTTTGATTTGACGGCTGCAACAGCTTAACAGGACTTGACTTGGTTGTTGAAGTTGCTGCAGCTGTCATCTCAACTTTCTTTCTCTCCTTCAAGACTTCTGCAGGCTCTCTGGCTCAGGTACACCGCTCGTTTTGTCCTGTTCATTGGGAGACGCCAACGCCAAAGCAAAACGGTTATTTTGACACAACAATAGCAACGGCTACGTCACAATAATCTCAGCACGCTACGGAGACAAGTTACAGCAGGAAAGTTGAGCATAGCAGGGATTGAAACAAGTCTGCTGCATCACCGCCGCTTGCCAACACGTACACCTGCAACTTTGGTCAATCGTCGTGCAGCTCCCGCCGTGCTTTCTCAATCGCAACGGCAAGCAGCAGTCGACGACAGCTTCCAAGCAATCGTACCCCGGTTTTCACCCCAAACTGCCAAACACAGCCCCTCGACCTCCTCCGGCCAGGCGCCGGCTTTTCACTCGTTTACCTGTTGCCTGATTGTTGGCCCTGGTCGTCTTCGGCCATTTTTTCTCTACGACATACGGCTCAAGCACATCCGGAACCATGGCGACAGCATTGATGAATGGGATGCATACAGCAGGCATCTACTCGGACATGACGGTCGATGGTCCCGAGATCGGCACCTTGGTGGCTATTGTCGACCGTGCAAAGAACCTGCCCAATGTTAAGCGCATGGGCAAGCAGAATCCATACTGCGCCGCCAGGCTAGGCAAGGAAGCAAAAAAGACCGAGACGGATAAACGAGGAGGCCAGACGCCCAGATGGTGAGCATTGATGGCAGGATATGGTGTATAGGCCAAATTTCTGACACAGGACAACAGGGACCAAGAGCTTCGCTTTACCGTTCACGATTCGCCCGACTACCACAATCTCAAAGTTTCCATTTTTAATGATGACAAGAAGACGGATTTGATTGGAGAAGCATACATCAGTCTGCAAGATGTCTGCATACCGGGCGGAGGCAAGCGCGACGGATGGCACGCTCTGAACTTCAAGGGCAAGTACGCAGGCGAGATCAACCTGGAGTTGACATACTACGATACGCGACCCCAACCCGAAAACAAGAGGAGGGTGAGCGGCATGAGTGCTGCTGACAATGCACAACGCAAGGCCGCCATCAAACGTCGTCCATTGCCTGCCGAGCTGAACGGTCCCCCACCACCAGGCTCAATTGTGCCAGACCATGCAAGAGGTCCAAGGCAACTACCAGGACGACCAGCAGAAGATTGGACCCCCCACGGCCTTCGTCCGCGTCCTCAACATCATGCCCAATCTGCCCCTGCCATTCCGGATGCACACCACTACGACCCTGATGAGCTTGACCTGGACTACCACCCTGGCTACCATCAGCCCGTTATGCCCGAACTGCCACAGCTTCCTCCCACTCGCAGACATCGTGGCTCTGTGCCTTCTCAGCCCAGTGTGCCTCATGACTATTCAAGCCACGAACATTACGGCCATGGCCGTTCCCACAGTATTCCAACTCTTCCCCATTCTGCCTCGTCCCCTAGTGTCGTGCAGTCGGACCAGGGATGGCAAGAGCCTCTGCCCCGCTGTCTACAACCTACTGTCGAGGACATTGACGAGCTTGATTACGACAGGCAACTGCCTCCGGTGCCTCCGTCACACACTCGCAGCCCCTCGCACGCTCGAAGTCCATCACACACAAGAAACGCTCGTTCGACATCACGAGGACCGCCACCGAGAAGCATGTCTGTAGACGATTATGCCCCTCCTCCCGCACCAGGCTCATACTACAGCTCCTCACCCAACTTCAGGGCTTCTTACTCGGGGTTTCCTCCACCGGCGCCCTCTTCGGTCGCGGCTTCATCGCATTATCGTAGTCACTCACGCGCGGCTAGTCGCCAAAGCGTACCTGACGCATACGCCATGACTCCACCACGAGCACACCCCTTGGCCAACCAGATTCGTCGATCCATGAGTCCGGCGCCTTCAGCATACACCGAAGATTATGGACAACACAGACGATACAGCAACGAGCCAAACCCAATCATGGCACGCCCTCCTTCCCGTAATTCTCCCCTTCCTTCGCGCAATGTCTCACCTCTGCCACCGCGCAACAACATTGATGCCATTCGTCATCCCGTCCGTACTTTTGCCAGCGGCAGTGCTTCTCCCTCGCCCACTCGCAAAGAGATCCCACGTCCCTCGACATCTAACGGCAACTTCTTTTCTCCCGATGATTTTGACTCTCTTAATCCTAATGCTTCCTCTAATTCGCCCTTCGCCTCTGGTTCGAACCCGCACTCTCCTTATCATATCCAGAACTCACCTGGCGGCGACGACGACGAGGGCGCACGTCCTCTGCCAGATCCCAATGCCAAAATTGTCGGCTTCGACGGCAGAGTGATCGACCCTAGCGACCATTTGCCTGTACACAGCTGGGCACCCGAGCCGGAAAAGAAGACGCCTACCAAGATTTATGGCTCGAATGGACAGGCACATCCTAATGGCCTAGCAGGTCCACGTGGGGCAGCCGGTAATAGGACATCTTTTGGTCGAGATGTAGTCATCAATGTTCGCACGAGGGGTTCACCACCCAAGCGCCCCATGTCTTCGGCCTCGCACCATAGCCATATGACGGGCTCGCCGGGTCCGCTCTCTGAGATTGACGTTCCTAACCCCTATGCTGGACATGCTGGTTACAGTTCGAATTTCACTGAAGGGCGCCCTGGAGTCTACGAAGGCCATCACTCTACATATTCAAACTCTCCAAACCCAAGTCAGGGGTCTCATTACGGCGACATGTTTGGCAAGTACACTGCGCCTGGTGGTGGAGACCAGTTTGGCTATGAGAACCAGATGGCCCAACAACAGGGTGCGGTGTATGAGCAACATGGCTACGGAGCTTCGGCATTGAGCAAGGAAATGGCCAAGATTGACATTGGAGGGTCAAGAAGGCCGATCAGTAGGGGCACTGTGAGAAGAGGTGCTTGGCCTTGATTTTGTTTTCGCGTATTCACATTGACTTTTCTGCATGGCAAAGTCCTTGGCTGTTTTTTTCGTTCTGCTTGTTATGCAGATGCATATTGAGGCGTTTGGTTTTTTCGATTCTCACATGGCGCATGAGAGCTTGTGATGTTGATTGATGGAGTGCACTATTTGCGACGGAACCTGGAAGCGATTTGTAGAAGGGCACGGAACAAGGGATGTGGTATAGAAGAATATTAAGAGTGGACACAAGGACTATAACAAGAAGGAACGTTTCAGATATAAGCTTACACGAGTGCCGAACAAAGGTTCGTGTTTATGTCTCAAAGATCTGTGGATCCCTCGACGAGACGAAAATAAAAAAGCCGTTACGAGGTGAGTGAGGCTTGGACTCGGGTCGAGGGGTTGCAAACGAGTAGCATGCGGAAGGCAACCGAGGGTGAGAGGGGCAGAACAAAGAACAAGGCTGGCGCTTACGGCAAAACAAGTGGGGTGTGGCAGCAGCCAATCAGAGCGACAAGAGGGCAGACCGGTCAAGCTTCAGGGACCATTTGCCAATTCCGTGCAGTCAAGATATAACTCGGAGTCTTGATGCATTATCTATACGAGAGAGCGTTGGACTTTTTCTTGAAATCTTGTATCCAAGATTGTTGAGTGTGCAAGAATTCTTCAACCACACGGTCCAGGTCCAGGTCCAGGCAGAAATAGGAAAGCACGCGCGCCTGCCTGCTGCTTCCCCCGCGCTACTGGTATCAACAAGACTAAGAGCAGCGCCGCATCTCACGACACGACGCATCCTCGACACCAACCTCAGCAACCCCTCACGCTGCAAACATGACCGACGTCGGCGGACGCAGAAGCTTCAAGGTCTTTGGCCAGGAGTTCATTGTCGATGCGCGGTACAACGTCACAAAGGAGTTGGGTCAGGGCGCCTACGGTATCGTGTGGTATGTGTCCTTGGCCGACAAGCTGCTAGGAGCCCAACTGACCACGCCGACTCCAGCGCAGCTCAAGCAGGCCACGATCCGAAAGAGCAGGTAGCCGTCAAGAAAATCACAAATGTCTTCAGCAAGCAGATCCTGGCCAAGCGCGCCCTTCGCGAGATCAAGCTACTGCAACACTTCAGAGGCCACCGCAATGTCTGTCCTTGCGTCCGAATAACTTCTCCCTGTCCACCACGAGCTGACCCGTAACCAGATCACATGTCTCTTTGACATGGACATTCCCGGCGGTCCCGGCAGCTACAACGAGGTCTACCTGTACGAAGAGCTGATGGAGTGCGATTTGGCTGCCATCATCCGCAGTGGCCAGCCCTTGACCGACGCTCACTTCCAGTCCTTCATCTACCAAATCCTCTGCGGTCTCAAGTACATCCACTCGGCAAACGTCTTACACCGCGATCTCAAACCCGGCAACCTGCTCGTCAATGCCGACTGCGAGTTGAAGATTTGCGACTTCGGTCTCGCTCGTGGCTTCAGCAATGAGCCCGACAACGTTGCTGCTGGCTTCCAGACCGAGTACGTTGCTACAAGATGGTACAGAGCTCCCGAGATTATGCTCAGTTTCGCAGAGTACACAAAAGCCAGTATGTCGCAAGCCTTGCACAACCACCATCTTTGTCATGCTGACCACCCTTCCTAGTCGACGTCTGGTCTGTTGGATGTATCCTTGCCGAACTCCTCGGAGGTAAGCCCTTCCTGAAGGGCAAAGATTACGTCGACCAGCTCAACCAGATTCTACACGTCCTCGGCACTCCCGATGAAAGTACTCTCCAGCTCATTGGCTCCCCTCGCGCCCGCGAGTATGTCCGCGGGTTGCCTTACATGCCTCGCATCCCCTACCAGCAATTCTTCCCCCGTGCCAATCCCGACGCTCTGGACCTGTTGGAAAAGATGCTTGCCTTCGTCCCTGCCAAGCGCATCACCACCGAAGAAGCCCTCGAGCACCCATACCTCGCCATCTGGCACGATCCTAGCGATGAACCCGCTTGTCCTACAAAATTCGATTTCCGTTTCGAGGTTGTCAAGGAGATTCCTGAGCTTAGAACAATCATTTTCGACGAAGTCAGACGCTTCAGAAGCGAAGTGCGCGCTCCTCTCCACCAGCAGCAACAACAGCAACAGCAGCAACACTACGGTGACTACCAACAACAGGCTGGCCAAGTGCCTATGCCCGATCAATGGAACCCTCGTCAAGCTGAGGACCCACGTCCGCAGCCTCTGGGTGAGAGCACAAATGAAGGTCTCGAAAGGGAGTTGGAGTATGGTCTGGACGCTCAATACGGCCAGCAGCAGATGCGATAAGCGCTTGCAGATACCCTCCCTGGCAGACTCATTCTTTCATCTTTTATCAATTTTCCTTGCGCGCTGGTAGCGCAGTCTTCTCTAATATCATCACAGCCTCATCATCTCTAAGCACATCATGTTCCTTCCTCCTCCTTGTTTCAACATCTAGCACGAGGATACGAGCCAGAGTAGACACAGCTAAGGGGGTGTCATCTGCTTTTTTCTGATCTAGTTGCCTGAAGAACATCGAGGCTTAATGAAGACCATTTCACATCCACCTTATCTGGTATTGAATTCCATCCCGCCAGCATTCATGACCTGTTGATCGCACTGAAAGTTGAGGGAAAGATCTTCGTGAAATGTGAAGCCGACTCTTTAGGCGCACGTACCCAAAGTGCGTGTATTGTGTATCTGTAGAAGCACAAGGATCAACATCATGCCCCGTCCTAGAACTCTGAGCGCCCTCTACAGACCAACACCATCATGAAAGGCTCGAACTAGAACTCAAGTCGCTGTCAGAAGCTCTACCCAGCAATCCAACTTCTCGGGTACTGCTACTTGCATTCGCAGCCCTCAAAACGTCCTTCTTACTCAACACGACCCTCGCACACCAAGAACACCAACTCCTATCCACACCTTCTTGCTCTCTTTCCAGATACTTGCCTCCTTCCCTCTCATCCTCAAACTCTTGAACCACGTCTCCAACCAGCAACCTCCTCTTGACTTTTTTCTTGACTACACCTCCTATCCCTTCTATTTCTTGCAAAAAGTAGCCGCCGGTTCGTGTGTCTGCGGCATCGCATTCTATTTCTTTGAAGATTGTGCGGGCGGAGAGGCAGTGGGCTTCTCGACCGCATTGCACGCCTTCGATGCCCGTGCCTAGACCGGTGCCGATGCCGTGGAGGTGAGTGCTATAGCGGGATCGCCAGGTCCAGGCGCGCATGTAGGAAGTATCCAGGGTGCGAAGGGTAGTAGAGCAGGGGGTGCAGATCCAGACTTGAGAGGGACAAGTGCAGGGGCTGCGGTATAAAAGTGGAGTATGTGTTGGCAAGTCGTCAGAGCTGTCATTGTGGTGTTCGGTATCGGTTTCTGGGGTCGTGGTTCTAGTGTGTAGGTATAATGGTGCTCTGATACACGTGCGGCAGAGTCGCCGATGGCGGGATTTAAGTGCTGTGCTTGATGGGGCTTTCATGGTGCAGTTCTGACATGTTGTTAGTACGTTATGTTCTGTTAGCCCTCCTCTTTATAGAAGAGCTTACCCGGCAAACCACAGTCCCACATCGTCGACACTCTCCAACCATATCTCTAGCACACGTGCCCACTCTCCCACTCGTCAACCTCGGAATCCTGATTCCATCTGGTCCATGTGTAGACCAGAGATCATCTGTCTCTTCCCTCAATACACTTTCTGCTTTCCATGCTGGATCTGGAGTATCAGAGACACATCGCAAAGTCTGTGGGATCAGTTGTCTGCGATGTTGAAGCAGATTGGCGCGGAATTGGCGACACGTGCGGGATAGATCGTGTAAAGAGTTTAGATCCAAATGTCTCGCTATTTCAGAGATGATACTATAACCATCAATAATTAGTATATTAATCTTATGTGACATGAAATAGTAGGAACTAACGGATAGTTACCCAATACAGCAGATAGTGCATTCAGATTTGGATGATCACGATCATCTTCCTCTTGAATCTGTGCTGTGTTTTTTTCAGGAATATGCTGTAGTGATCTTGCAGCATGAGCATTGATCAAGTCACGCATATCAAATGGCGTCTTGTGTCCATGCTGATGCTGATGCTCGACCTCATCCGGGTCGTCCAAGTCGACAAAGACAACCATCAATCATGTGTCGTCGAGCGTCTAATAAAAGACGCTCTTTCAGACTGTCTTTTCCGGTGACGATAAAGACGTGCGAGGGCTTTCACCCCTTGTCAAAGAAGTGTTATCGTTGTGATGATCAATGGGAGGTTGCACATGTGTGTTTGCCCCTCTCTCGTCATCCTTCGTTCGGGAAGGTGGGGTAGATCTCCGACACGCGGTTTCGGATCTGATAACAACTTTATCGTTCCTTCAGCCAAGTACAAACAAGCATCACAGCAACGACTATCTGCCGTTCATCGGAGAGATGTTCGTTCTGTGACAAGACACATCAGGTGTTGCATTTGTCTACTTCACTGCCAACCAGAACTTCCAAGGATTCTCGTGCTCAATGGATGCTTGGTCATATGAGACATATTCGGGTCAACTAGATGAGTCTTGGTACGACCTCTTCAAAAATAGTGTAATTGTGAAGAATAGCTTTCCATTAATCATATTCATAATTCGTGACTGATTCGCATCAGTGAAACATCTGCAGATAGTTGGTCGAGGTAAGGTCAGGGTGATCTCTCAAGCAAGTCTGACTTGGTAGGACGATTTCAGATCGGCTCATCTGTGTTCGTCAAACCACCTAGCCAAGTGCTGCACATCCAGATTGCCAGTCGAATGACTTCGAGAGGCATTGGTCCTCGTCATGCAGTATGTTGGTTGTAAGTGTGCGCCTTCGGAGGAAGATGGATGTGCTGCAGATGACATCTGTTCCTGGTCTTGGTCCAGAGACACTGTCGTTGATTGTCTTGCATCTTCAAACATTGCACCGTAGCTTTGAGATGACTGGTCCGGCAGCCCAGATGAACGCAAAGTGGCATGGTAATGCTCAGTATCAACTGGTAGTGAGGTATGAACGTATGTGCTCGCTGACAATGAGTCGATCTCAGGAGCAATAGAGCCACTGTAGCGAGGCTCCGCATGCTGGCCCGGAATCAGAGGGTAAAAGTAGGACTGGGGAAGACTTAACGTCGGATGGTTGTCGGCAAGTGAAATAGAATGGCGCAACATAGGTTGATGTCCTTGAGCCGTGTGATCATCCTGAACCGGAAGGTCTAGTCCTGTCGTTGAGTCTGTACCAAGTCCGTACGCGTCAGAGGTGTCGTAAGTAAAATACCCTGGAATTGATTTTGGATGACCAGGTAGGATGCTCGGTGGGGAGTTATTCTGGGTTCTCTGCATGACGGCTGGAGAGCTGTTTCCCGACCTTGCTATGGGTCGATGTGAGGGTCCTCTATTATGCCTGTCATAGAAACCATTCAAGGTCGGCACCTGAAGATATTGAGTTCGTGGGGCAAAGCTTGTGATGTTGAAGGTATCTTCTGCACTTGAAGCAAAGTCTGCGTGCGCGGATGCTGGACTGCTTGAGACAGCGCCATCATCGGAAGGGCTGACTGGTGTAGCCGAAGTTGAGCGTCCACCATTCGCTCCAGACCTATGAGCAAGCTCGGGATGAGATGGACAGCGGAAGAGGTATATCTCGGGAAGCTCGAAGGGAAAGCACCAACTGTAAATGCTAGTAAGCACAACTCAAAACGAAAAGTTGACAGGAAACATACTCGTGACGTCTGTGCCGCTCAAGCAGAGCTGGGCTGTGAAAAGTACATGTACAGCCAGGGGCATTACAGGCATAAGCACCTCTCTTGTGCTTGCGTTGATGGCGTCTACCGATTCATCAGTTAATTCAGAAGGTGTGATAGCAGACACGAACTACCTCAAATGTTCTCGACGAGTGTAAACCTGATGCAAGTCAGCGGACATCTTTGACCAAGAGAAAGCGTTGCTAGTGTCACCTTTCCACAGAACACGCATCCATGTTCCAGCTTGCCTCTTGTTCCCTTTCTAAGTCTTCCTGTGGACGTCAATTCAGACAGCGTGCCTGTCTGCCTGCGACGAGAACGACCTCTATGCTCAACATCGACTTCGAGAGGCATCGCTCAAGGGAGTTGCTGTTCAGCGATGATAGTTGTGTTGACTTTGGATGTCTGTCGAATTGAATGAAACAGCAAGAACGGTGTAGGTCTGCTGGCACTACACAAAAGAGGGACCAAGAAAAGCGACAATCCTCATGAATAACAGATCAGTTAATGAAGTGTCCACGAGGAATTACATCGAGCGTCACAAGAGGCCAGACGCTGCTCCTGAAAAACAACATGCGTCGCTGGCAGAGCAAAAGATCGGCAGAGCAACCTTTTCCTCGTTCTCGAAGCTCCAGCGTCAATCACGATATATCTTCCGGATCTCGGCAACTGTGAGTAGGAGCCATAACTCCAGTTCATGCCTTGTCGAGCAGAGCACATCCCTGCATGCCTGAGGATCAGCACATTAGACCAACCAGATGCATGCGTCTCGCTGCAAGAGAAAGGCAAGTCAAGGGAAAAGGCCTAGGTCGGACTATGGCGTACGAAACACTCCAAACGCTCTTGCCGCCGACGCAGACCCATGATGCCTTTACAAATTGTGTCCAGGTTGCTTGCATGTACTTGTGTTGCCCTATAAAGACGGCTCCGACTGAGAGATTCGAAATGGAGACCATTATCCGTTTTGAGTAATTGATGGTTTTAACCACTCCTATAGCTGGGAGTGCTAGCTATCTTCTTTCGTCAGCTCGTTGTCCTACTATCGTCATACAGCACAGCTTAGACAACCCTGCCTTTACTCGCCGCATTGAACCAAACATTACTAGTCAAGCATCCAGAAACAAAATTGAGTCGTCACGAAGTCGCTGCGTGCAGAAACAGAGCGGTGCCAAAGACCAAATCCCAGACGCGGAAAGTGCTTCTTCTCGGGTGATGATCTGCAACTGCCATGCATGTCAAGATGGCTTCCAGCCTTGCCCTCATGTGCCGCATCTACACAATCTGCAGACTCGGCAATCAGTGCATGTTAGCTGAGATTCAGATATATTCGCACCTATAGCACAGAATCTGCGCATGCAAGTTGTTTGCAGACCATTTGTCTCTTTCGGCGATTTTGGCGACGGAGAAGCACACTTGCTACTAGCGTTTGCCATCAGATGCTGGTCTAGAATTCTGTGTGCAGCACCAAAGGCACTATGTTAGTGGCTAGGAAGAGCGAATAAGGAATTTGGGTGGCAACATCCAGTTGCATGGCTTTGCATTGTGAAGCTACGAAAGGAAGTAGGCAAAAGCTCTTCGAGTGCCGGAAGGTAAAAGATGAAACCGACCAATCCTTCCACGCTTCATGACCATTCAACCCTAGAATTGAACCGATGTATTTTAATATTGATCCATTCTTTCTTGTACCGTCATGAATTCCTGTTCGTCATTATGGAACGCCCGCTCGTGATTGAACCAACAAAAATGGACCGGGGATGCAGATGATGTTATTGCATGCCCATTAAACGCTCTCTTTCCCGAACGCGAAGCTTTGAGCTCGTCCTGATGTCGGACAGCATAGAAGAGTAGAAAAGCAAGCAGACTCATTCCGTGTCTGCATTCGTTTACTTCTTCTTGGGGCCGAACATGGGAGCACCAATGTTAGAGCCAGTAAGGCGGACGTTGGCAGCCTTCTGGATCTTCTGGACGAAGTCCATGCCTGGCCAGTCGGCACCAGGACGTTCAAGAGCGGCGACGTAGGCGACATCGACGGAGGCCTTTGAGGCAAGGTCCTTCTGGGTCATGGTGGCACCCTTGGGGTTCTTGAGCTGCTGACGGGCCTGCTGGAGGGCCTTGGCGACCTCATCGGGGACCTTCTTGGTTGCGACGATATCCTCGCTGCGGTCGACCTTTGTCAAGTGCTGGCCTTCGATACCCTTGCTAGCTGCCTGTGTCGCGTGTTAGCTGTGGTGAGTAAGGTGAGGGGAGGAAGTTGACGTACGTTAGCAGTAGCGTACTTCTTCTCGGTAGAGATGATACCACCGCTGCGCTGAGCGGCGTTCAAGGCGCTCTTTCCCTTGATGACGGTCTCGCGAGGGCCAGCAGCGCCGCCACGGGCTTTGCTGCCAATCTTGGTAACTTGGTCCCAGTCAGACATGGTGGATGTGAAATGCGTGTTGTGTGTGGTTGAAGGGTTGGGTGAAAGAGGTGTGTGGTGGTGAGGTTATGTGGGCGATTGATGTAGGTGGATTGGTTTGTATGAGGCAAAGAAGAGATGTCTGAGCAGCTGTGCGATGTTAACTCAAGTCGCTGATGATTCTCGGCGGCGATATGACATCGATCTGGTCCCTCAAAAATGCACGGACCTTTTCGATAGCTTTCCACAAGTTACCATCTTCGTGCCTTTGAACATTGAAACCATACTGAAGCTCACAACATCTTTCACAATTCATTGTGCGTCGTTATGTAAACCAGAACTACAGTCTCCCTGTGTGCCCAAGTCTGTAACTCTCAATTATGTCCATCGTCCTCCAAATACACAGAGAGCAGAGTATACGCCACACAAAGGCACAGTGTTTTCTGAAAACATAGGCATGTCCACAGAGAGTCTATGTCTAATCGCTTCTCAGTGGATACCACTCTAATCCTTACTAGTATTGTGCATTTTGACAGCGCGCGCGTTACATACTTTAGCACATGAGGAGGAGGTGCACTATATTTACTCGCGATCAGTACAAGAATAACGGAATATCATTCATTAATGGTCCTTCTGTGGACTGAATTCAGCACTCAAGCGACGAAACGTCGTTCGTTCCTCGCAGCCATCCCACTCAAGATACCAGAAGCAAGACTTGATGTTTTCACCGTGGCTTCATCAGTGTGGTTCAGAGCATCACCAACACCTCCAAGAATAGTACCAGTTGCGTTTTGAAGCACATGGCCTGTTTCATCCACAACGCCGTCAACAGTTCTAATGAGACCTTCAAAAGGATCAAGAACAAGGCCCTCAATAAGACAGTCTGCCCATTTCAGTGCAGCTCCAACAGGAAGACCAATGGATGCTGGACGATCAGATGCTAGGATATCGAATCCCTTAGTCCCTGATGGGTTGTAGTTCGGGTACCCTACGGCAGGATAGCCATTGACGATGCCAATGAGTCCGTCGTCTCCCGAAGATCCAGTAAGATCGGGCATGCTCGATGAGCAGTTGTAGGATTCAGTGCTGTTGGTTGAGTACGAAGTCGAGCTGGAGTACGACGACGATGCTGAGTATGAAGCTGTAGCAGAACTATACGCCTCGAGCTGACCAACCTGCGCAGCACGCTTAGCGTTGGCTGCAGGAGCTGTGGTACACTGAGTCTGATCAAGAGGTAGGTAGGGAACATTACCCTGCTCATTGGACTTCTTGATCAAGTCTGCGGCCTTTTCAGCCACAGCGTAAATGACAGCCTCGAGATGAGCAGCAGGAATGATTGGGAAAATGCTGGCGTCTACCACACGGATGTTTTGTGTCCCATACACAAGCAAATTAGGGTCAACGACACCACCATCGTCTCTGGGCATCATGGCGGCAGTGCATGAGGGGTGGAACTCAGTACCCAAAGCGCGGTTCAAGAACTCCTGTAGCTGGGCATCGCTGGCCGCATGAGGCGGGTCGTTCTGCACTGGCTGAAGAATCTGCAGTTCTGGTTGTTGGAACAACTCATCGTTGAAACGCAATGCATCCATCATGACAGCCATATCAATGGGGTTGCTGCCATATCGGAAATCGAGTGTAGGATAGTCGAAGGGATCTGTTCCGTTGATGTGAACGTTTCCACGTGTAAGAGGGCGCTGGTTGGAGATTTGAGTGTTACCAGCATTATCCTGCAGAAACTCAATGACAGCGCGTCCACTATTGTTGAGCGCAGGGATCAGAAGAGAACGCTGGCGAGTGTAGCCACGGATGACACTGTCGTCTAGCCCCTCAGCCAAATAATCTTCATCAGAGAACGAAGAGGCGTTTTGAGCGATCTCTTGTGCACGGTCCGAAATCTGAGGGAGCGAGAAGAAGCCATTACCATCTGGAGGCCCAAATGTGTAAGGTCCAGTACGGTTCTGGTAGTACACTGACCTTGCCCAGTCGTTGATGGTTTGGTTTTGCATGATGTTCGGGTACACGTAGCTTTGGTTGTTGAAGCCTTGTGTCATATGCATAAGCATGTGGTCCTGCAAGTTGTTTCCTACGCCGGGCAAGTTGATACGACTTTGGACTCCAGCCTTCGCAAGGACGTTTTTGTCACCGATACCAGACAATTCCAAGAGCTGAGGAGTGCGAATAGCGCCGGCAGCAAGGATAACTTCACGAGCTGCTACAGCTGTCCATACCCTTCCATCGCGTCCAGCTGAGACCTCGACTCCCACGGCTCGGGCAGCGTTATCTTCAGAAGCAGCGCAGCCACCATCAAACAGAATTCGGCGAACGTGTTGACCAGTGGAGACGTAGAAATTCTCACGACCTGCAACAGGATCCCACCTGGCTCGACGTGCGTCTGCACGAGACTGATTTCGCTGAGAAATGCCTTGAGGTAGGTACATAGCTCCTTTTGCGGTGGGCGCAGCAGGATCAGGTTGTGTCGGTACTCCCATGCGATTCAGTGCAGCAAAGAACTGTTGGCTAGCCGGGTACTGGAAGGTCGGGAACGAAACATTTTGGGGGCCAGCCTCACCATGCTGAGAAGCATCATAGCCCTGAGCATAGGTTGTTGCAACCTGGCTTGAAGGCTGCTGGTTGAAAGTTTCACTCTGTCTGACTGTCAAAAGCCGAACTTAATAGGAGCAATGTTGCTCTTACCCTTTGGAAGAACTCCAGAAGCGAATTATAGTCCCAGCCATCGTTCCCGAGCTGGCTCCAAGTATCGTAATCTTCTCGATCGCCACGGTTCCAAAGCATGGCATTGATCAGGGTGCCACCACCCAAGCCTTTGCCCTGTGGTATCGTTCTGCTGCCACCATCGAGATAAGTTTGTGCAACAGTTTGGTCACACCTACCATTTTGTTAGTGATGTGTCTAGCCGTGTCCATACGCATCATGTCTCGTACCAATTGAACCCACCACATTTGCCGTTGACAGATCCAGCCGCGCCTTGGTAGTACGGGATCATGATGCTCTCAGGATAGTTATCAGCTTCTCCAGTCTCCAGCAGTAAGACTTGGACATCAGCATTCTCGCTCAAACGGTTCGCGACTGTGAGGCCTGCTGGGCCACCACCAACCACGACGTAGTCGAAAACATTGTTTTCCGGCAATGGGACATTGAGTCCTCCAGAGATAGCTTGACTTGCGAACAGTCCAGTGATCGCCGCCAAATGGTATGTGAGCATTCTTGAGCACGAACTGGGGATGACAGTTTTTGATGTCGATTATGCGAAACGAGCGATGCGATGATGGTTGTCAAGGAAAGATGTTTTTAAAGAGAGTGGGATTGTAGCAGAACAATCAGATCAAAGACAGGACAAGAGGCACAAAAGCTCTTGGACCTCAGAAGGTCATACTTGCTTGCCATTTAAATCTTGAGGCTCGTTTGGAGGATTTCTCAGAATACGATTGCTGATCACCAAACACGAGCAGTGACACCATATGGAAGCCTGCCAGTGCCCGTAACAAGACGGCTGAGCACGCTTTGCACACGGCTGCGTGTGCATCTGCACGACCCAAGTTTCCAATGGGCGAAGATCATCAGGTACACAGCACCGTACCCAATTTGATATGCTCAAGGCCGGCAAGATGTGTGGAAGCATGACACACGAACCTGGTGCGAAGCTTGCATTTCTGGATTTATATCAGGGGTATATCAATAGATCGATATAGCCCGCTATCAATCGTAGTGGTATCTTCTCGTAACGAGCTAATGAAAAACGACGACACGATGAATTTTCTTGACCGAAGTCATGGTCCGGATAGTTCGGTTGGTTGTTTGCTCTGTACGGGCTTCAAAACCTGCAGCGAAGTCGAGATCTGTAAACGAGGCCATGCGGGATCGTCACTGGGGAAAGCACGCGTCCCTTGTTTCGGCTTGAATTTGAGACAGCGAACTGCTCGGTCAGCCACAGGTCATCCTTGAGATCTGCCAACCTTGACGGGTCAATGTCGATGCCTATTTTTTTCAAATTAATCGAGTCTGGTTTCAAGCGAAAATCATCAGAGGCCTTGTCATGAGTCTGCCGCGATTACGCGACCCAAACCATACAGCGTCATGGACGGCCAGAGATTCGATCTTGAAAATCGAGGACTGGCTTAGGGCAAGCACCGCTATGGAGACCCGGTCTTCCTATGCGACGTGGAAGGATGGTACCAGTGTTGAATAACATCTTCAATGGTGTTGGTTGTGCTTTCCAGAAATGTGTCAAGTTTCAATGACGCGTAAGGCTGTGCAATCCTGAATCGTAAGGAAATGGTTATTATTGTGTGGTACGTCAGGTGTCAGGCCGCAGTTCTCTCGCCAGTCAAGGAGGCAGCTGCATCTGCGTCTCTTCTACAAGCTGCAAGTCGCTCGGAGGAAGGAGCGGTCGAAGCCAGCCGAGAGATGCCTCGGCTGGCTTCTTCCCCAAAGCTCCTCCTTTGCTAATTGGCTTCCAACACCAAGACTAAGTCGACACAAGAGCCTTGGTAGAAGCATTACCAAGAGAGTTGCAACGACCCATAAGCCGAGTACAAGACTATTCTTTGAGCAGAAAGCTAGCATATCTTCCTCTTTCGCTCTTTCTGTTTTACTTTTCATCGATTCTGTGAACCACAAACATCTTGACAATGGCATCAACATACAACTACGAGTACTTTAACGTCACATTTCCTGGAGAATATGTCGCGCAGGTTGAAATCAACAGACCGGAGAAGATGAATGCCTTCAACGACACGTACGTAAGAGCCTTTTTTCTGACCATCAATTATAAGTACATGCACGAGTCATTTATCATATCAGCCATCAACAATCAGCTTGCACATGTTTACGGCCGATGATCAGCCAGAGACTAACTAAAGATTAGTATGTGGAGGAACATGGGTCAGATCTTCGAACGTCTATCTCACGACCAGGAGGTGCGCTGCGTGGTCTTGACTGGCGCAGGAGACAGAGCTTTCTCAGCAGGTCTCGATGTTCAAGCAGCAGCAGACGCAGGAACCTTGTCTGGAAACGACGGACTCGATCCTGCGAGAGTGGCACACCGACTTCGTCACCACATTGATGAATTCCAAGCAAACATCAGTCAGATCGAGAAATGCGAGAAGCGTGAGTTTATCCTGAACTGTTTAGAACGCTCAGACTCGATTCTGACTGTAGTTGAACAGCCGTGATAGCTGTACTGCATGGATTCTCTTTCGGTTTAGCACTAGACATGACCCTTTGCGCCGATATTCGCATCTGCGTTTCTACCACAAAGTTCGCAGTCAAGGAAGTTGATATTGGACTTGCCGCAGACATCGGCACTCTTTCTCGTCTGCCCAAAGCTAATGTCCCAATGACGTTCATCAAGGATGTTGCTCTGACAGCTAGGCTATTCACTGCACAAGAAGCCCTCACAAATGGCATCGTGTCCGCTGTGTACGACACCAAGGCCGAGGCTTTGGCCCAAGCAGTCGAGAAAGCAAAGCTGATCGCCAGCAAGAGCCCAGTGGCAGTCATGGGTACGAAAGAGGTCTTGAACTACTCCAGAGATCACTCGGTGCAAGAGGGTAAGTCTATATATGGTTCATTGTCGTTTGCTGTACTGACGACTCGTGCGTCTAGGCTTGAAATATGTGTCGGTGTGGAATGCAGCATATTGTAACACAGCAGATGTGACCGACTCGTTGACAGCAGGCATAAAGAAGACGAAGCCTGTTTATGCAAAGCTGTAAGCCACACAAATGAAAGATGGGAGGCAATGCAGGAGGTGAACAGGACTCGCTGTCCAGATGAGTGGATGCGATTCGACATGACGACTTTAAGTATATGTACAATAGTCTGTTTACCCGCCCAAGGTTTGCAGCACAGGGTATCAAAGTAGCGGAACAAAGCACAAACGAACAGTGGTTTATGAGAGTCGTCTGAGAGCAGCTGAGCTATTCTCGAGACCATCCTGGAAACCAATGGCTCTAGCAAGGCTAACGGCTTCCTTGTAACGCTTCTTGGCTTCCGCAATGTCCTTGTTCATCTCGGCAAACTCGCCTAGAAGATTGTTAGCAGATGGTAAGAGCATTGTCCAGGTAGGGGACGAACCAAGGTTGTGTAGTGCAACAGCACAGCCTACATCACACTCTTCGTCCCGAGTCGGCGGCTGAATATCAGCAGCAAGGTCAAGGGCTTTCTGAGCCCATTGTTTGGCATTCTCGACCAGAACAGCTCTTGAAGGAGATTTTGTCTCTGAGTTTTGAGGAGGGTTCTGCTGGGCAATTGAGATAGCAAGATTGTTCATGAGGATGACTGAATGGCAGTCTTTCTCGGCCTTGAAGTTCAGAGCTTGGAGGAAGAGAGGAGTGGCCAAGTAGTGCTTGTTTTGTTCTTCGTAGTTGTGAGCCAAGGCCTCCATGGATGCGCCCATCTCATTGTCGGACATCCACTCGCCCTCTTTCTCCAAGACGGCGGGCTCTTGTCTACGTTGCTTCTCGCGTAGAGAAGTTTCCAAAGCCCAAACGAGTCTCTCCTCTGCGGACTTAGCATCTTGGACGTATTGGTTCGAATACAGCTCGCCGAGCTTGACGGACATTGCGACGAGCAACTTCATGATGCGAGTGCGCTTCTCCTTGTGATCGTCGAGCTGACCAAACTTCTCTTCCCAAGCTAGACAGTCGGACCTGAGGATTTCAAGGACTTGGATGGCCTTTGGGTAGTTCTCAATCTTCTCCATCAAGCCGGCGACTTGGATCTTGACGCCAATGATCTCGTCGGAGAAGGGGTCCATGCCGAGCTCATTGGCGATCTCGAGGGCTTGTTTGTAGTATTTGAGAGCATTCTTGGGGTCGAGGTCGATGTTTGTGTACCAGATGGCTCGACGCAGCTTTATGGCGACGGGCTCGGGATACTTGTGGAACGAGGCGATGATGTAGGTGGAATAGAGGTAGTTGGCGTAGGCAATGCCAGCAGAGCTAGCGAGAATGGCAGCAGCAGCCAAGGAAACCAGATATGGGTGAGCAGCCCAGAGTTCTTTGGCGCCGCGAACGAAGGAAGCTTTGCCGCGAGATTGTTGCCATCCATGTGAGGGCCTAGTACGAAGAGCGATTTGAGGTCGTGTTCTGGCGTTACCAAAAGACGAGAGGCAGCGTCTACTGCCCGTCCGTAAGGTCGAGGCGCCTCGCAAGGCGTTCGCTGCCGGTCGTGAGAACATGGCGATTGTGCGCGTGTAACAATTCAGAAGCTTCCCCAATGCTCGACCTCTGGTCTAAGTAAAAGCGAAAGTGTTTCGGCTTCGGCAAGACGTCATCAACGCGGTCGTGCGCGTCTTCCATTTCCATTTCCATCTCCCTCGCCCCTCATCTTCGATCAACAAACTCCTTGCTTGAACACGCTATCACTTCACCATGTGTGGCAGGTACGCCCTGTCACTGCGACCCTCGGCAGTGCGTCGCAGACTGCACGACGAAAACATGCCCGCCGACGAGGCTCCCGACGACGATGATAATGACACTCGTCAGACTTACAACTTCGCTCCTGGCAACCACGGTCTGGTCTACCGCGCAGACGTCCCTGACTTGGGCGCTGGTACCCAACCACAAGACAAAGACAAGACTGCCCTCGTCGATGGCGCTGCTACGAAAGAGACCCGTTACAAGCTGCAATCCATGAAATGGGGCCTCATACCCTTCTGGACAAAGAGACAACCAGACTATGCCAACATGATGCGTACCATCAACTGCAGAGACGACTCTCTCGCCACACAGGGTGGCCTTTGGAACACCATGAAGCAACGCAAGAGATGTATAGTTGTATGCGAAGGCTTCTACGAATGGCTCAAGAAGAACAACGGAAAAGATCGAGTCCCCCACTTTGTAAAGAGAAAGGACGGCCAGCTCATGTGCTTTGCTGGTCTATGGGACTGCGTCCAGTACGAGGGTCAGCCTGACAAGCTCTACACCTACACTATCATAACGACCGACTCGAACAAACAGCTCAAGTTCTTGCACGATCGCATGCCCGTCATCTTTGACAACGGCTCCGATGCCCTCAAGACATGGCTTGATCCTGCAAGGTCAGAATGGTCAACAGAATTGCAGTCCCTTCTCAAGCCCTACCATGGTGAGCTCGAGTGCTACCAAGTTGACAAGGCTGTCGGCAAAGTCGGTAACAACTCTCCATCCTTTATCGTTCCCATTGACAGCAAAGAAAACAAGAACAATATTGCAAATTTCTTTGGCAACCAGAAAAAGCAGGCTAAGAGTACCAACGAGGAGGAGACAATCAAGAAGGAGGAAGACGACGTTCGGTCTGCCGCTGGCAAGATAAAGCAAGAGCCTGGCGAAGAACGCGCTACTGTCATTGACCCTCAGAACACAGAAGATAATGCTCCTCGTCCTCAACCCAGTCACTCTCCGGAAAACAAAGTGTCGACTGCGCTCAAACGCGAACACTCGCCTGATAATTCCGATGATCAAAGGCCATCACCAAAAATCCAGAAGGCAGGGGTCAACTCGAGTGCCACTAGTCGTCCTGCGTCCGGCCGTACTATGAGAAGCTCCGTCACCAACAATACTCAAGCTAAGTCACCACCCAAAGCTAAGGATGGCTCTCAGAAAATCACCAACTTCTTTGCCAAGTGAAACAATGATGGATGGCTCACTATACCGCCACCAAACTACCTCCGAACAATGATTTGTTTCGACACATTCTTCAGCAATCCACAACACAAGCAGTCGTTGTGGAATGGTATATGCCCTCTAGCTATTGCATCGCCTATATAGGGGCTAGGCCATGACGTGCAAGTGCACATGCATCAGCAATTGCGGCGACAGACAGACTGTCACAGAATGTTTCGATGGAGAAAGCGGCAGAGGCGCAGAACCGAGTGGTTCGCGACATGCTGCCCTAAATCATCCCTGCGCTGAAAAATGCTGACTGTCAACGTCAGACATGTTGTTGTTCAGGTACCTGAACACCCAAGCCCCATTTGTCGTAACCAGGGGTTGTTTTACGAATTTGTACTCTAGATGCGTTCGGCGAAGAGGATAGATTGACCCTACTCAAATTATACACGTGGTTGCCACAACCCTTCTGTGGGCAGAGTGGGCCAGACGCCAAAGAGCGATCGCACTTTACCGAATTTGTTCCATGCACGATTGATGGAGGACCTGTGTGCCTGCCGAGTCATTTCGAATAGCGATCCTGCAGCTCCAACTAGTTTTGCGTCTGAGTGTTTCCTTGCCTTGGTCGTCCACTACAGAGTTCGCGGGTGTTCGCTCAATACTTCCTATTTCAAAAGGTGGGACCCGAAATCAAGCGATCCCAGAGGGGCTCTGGGAACTTGGCAACAAGCATTATTATTTACTTTTGAAGATTTCTGTGATATCTATCGGACCGCAAGCGACTGAATACTGTAGAGTACTGTAGAGTACTGTAGAGTGACCGACAGCTTTCTCGAATGCTTCTCCCGCTCTTCTCCAGGAAAAGGGTTTCTACTTCCTTGGATTGGCCATGAAACAAGCGACGAACACGCGACCGCTCAGGCGCGACCGTTTTACGCATCATGATGGGGAGTGCTGATGAGCCTCCACCGCGACAAGTTGATTGGTGCGCAGGTCACAAGTCCGTTGTGGTGTGGCTGCTGCAGTGACGAGGTCGCTGTGTTTCGGCAAGCCCGAGCGCTTTGCGTTTCCAAATCTCTCTTGTCTGCAGCGGACTGTAGAGTACATGCTGCATGCAACTCATCCTAAGGTAATTTCATATTCCTTACATGTAGAATAGTTTCCCTTGGTATAGCTGGTTCTAGACAGTCACTTCAAAACAGAGGCTTAGTGGGACATGTATGTCTCTCTTAGGTAGTTCTAGTGTAGCGAGCCCCCCAAAAAAAAAAAAAGATTCATGCCAGATGGAGCTCAGACGGACGTCTTGACAAGCGGCAGTTGTGCCACTGCCCCGTAACAAATCGGATCCAGTTCGGCACAGCGGCACTTCGTTAAACATGCCCAATAAGTTGACACTGCAGCATCGCAGGTTCTCCCGACAGGGCTGCAGATCCATGAGATCTATTGCTTTACAGGCGCTTGTATCGACAAAATCGCCAGATGATCGTTCGATAGAAGCGCGTTATGACATGAACAGTGACACAGTCTCAACAACCTGTTGGACGGTTGTCGTGCTTGACTTGTCGGTCTTGTCCGCGCATGAATGATTTGATATCAGCCCCTGTGTCTTTCGCAACTGGCGCATGCCTCGCCGGCCCGTGCACCGAGGTCGCGCTCGTTTATTCCATCCACCAAGACGTCCCTGCGCCTACCTTACACATGTTCCACTTTGTTCTAAGGTTTATGCCTTCACCATCTCCAGATTCATGAATACCAACTGTCTCCCGGCCTCATCGCTTCTGCATGCAGTCATCATCTGTCACTTACGCCTTGCCATCTACTCTGTCGGGCTCGTCGCCGTGCCCAGACCTTGTTCAAATCAAATCGCGGCGTACACAGATATTGTGACTAGGATGGACTGATTTGAGGTTCCGTTCTCTTGGGTCGCTTGCTCGCTCGGAGGTGCTGTGTTTTATCATCTGCCCTACCAGTCGTTGAACCACTTTTTTCTCATCACTTCCTTCTGCCTGTCCATCCTACTCGTACTCTGCTTCTATACTTCTACCTTCCCCACTACAGCACAGACAAGCAAACGAACCTTCTTTCGTCACACCATCCGTGTCCATGTCAACGTCTTTGTGACAGTCTTTGCCTTCCTGCTACTTCTGAAGCTCTACACTCTCTTCACTCATGTCCTTCCTGTCGGCCCTCCTCTCGGGGAGCCAAAATCAGGTATCGACTCGTCAAGCGCTGATGGTTGTTGGCCTGCAAAATGATTTCACATCTCCCGCCGGCAAACTACCTGTCAACTCTGCTACTGGATATCTGGAGAGGATCAAGGAGCTCGTCCCTGCCTTTCGGGAGTACGGTGAGATCTTCTGGATCACAACCGAGTATCGCGGCAAGCGCACTGTCAATCATCCGTCAGGTTCTGGCTGTATGGTGATTGCAGATGATGGACTCGTGCTACCAGCAGTTAGCAGCGACGATGAGATGAATGACTATCCCTCCCGCCCGTCCGTAAGATCGAATCGCCGGATCAACCGCCTAGTCCAGCGAACCATGGACAGAGCAGCAGAGCTGGAAGCAGACTCTGCACTCCCACCCTCGGGTGTCGACCAAGACCTCTTTCTCTCTCAGGACAACCCAGATGACAACTGCTGTTTGCCAGGAAGTTGGGGCGCTGAACTATCGGCAGAAGTCAAAGACTTGGTGTCACCTAAGGACGTTAAGATTGTCAAATCGTACTATTCGGCCTTCACGTCTTCCTCTCTGCTACTCATGCTACGCGCAAAGCTCATCACAGAAGTCTACGTTGTTGGTTGCACTACGAATCTTTCCGTCTATGCTACAGCATTGGACGCTGCGCAACATGGTCTGTCGATCAATCTTGTCGAAGACTGCCTCAACTACAGACTCAAACACAGACACAATCGAGCTGTGCAGAAGCTCGTAGAGATCATGGGAGCATCCGTAACAACCTCGGCGTCAGTCATGTCGAGACTGAGAGGCGAGACACACACTGATGAGTCTGGTAACGAAACTGGGCCGGGACAATCTGATGTTGACATGGAAGATCAGTCAGGAATCGTACGTGAACCCTCCCTTCCCAGCGGCCTCGAACGCTATCTCGAGAGTCTGAGACTGGGCGATGACCAACCGAATATAACAGACGACGCAAAGCACACTCCCTCTAAGCATGCAGAACCTGCAAGCTCTCAACTTCCAGACACGACAAATCCTCGACGTCAGCCAAACACAAGGCTTGTTGGAGGCCGACGACACCATGATGACGCGCAGAACAGAAGAATCCAGCCAAAGTCGCGCATGATGCAAGCCGACCACGCTCGCGCAACCCCATCTGAGGCATCTCTAGGCGCTCTCGAAGATCTCATGCTGAATGAACTCAGTCGTTCGTCCCGAGAATCGGGCAAGGTGGAGACTCACGTGTTACATGACTCCCAATCAAAGACGGACTCGGACGACCTGGCCACAGCAGAAGTCGCTGCTGATCACTATCGCACGCGCAGAACAGCTGCAATGGAGACGCACGTTGACAAACAGACTGTACCTACACCACCAAGGCGGGTGTCGCGGAAGTTGCAGATCAGACAGAAGAACTCGACTCTACTAAGCTCTGACGACAAGATCGGAAGCGGCGATTCAAAGATACTCTACAACCTGCTCGAGCCTGAAGCTGCTAAGGTAGCCTTTCAGGACTTGTTCTCCGAAGTTCACTGGCAGCGCATGTATCATGCTGCCGGCGAAGTGCCACGATTAGTATGCTGCCAAGGCGACATCAGTGACGCTGACGGCAGTATGCCCGTCTATCGACACCCCTCGGACCAATCGCTTCCCCTTGTACATTGGAGCCCAGTCGTCACCAAGATCAAAGAGAAGGCTGAAGAAAGAGTCGGACACAAGCTGAATCATGCTTTGATACAGCTGTACCGAAGCGGACAAGATCATATTTCTGAACACTCGGACAAGACGCTGGACATTGTGCATGGCAGCAAGATCGTCAATGTCTCGCTCGGTGCTCAGCGCACTATGCGGCTTCGTACTAAGCGTCCCACAGCCTTGCAGGATCCTGGATCGAGTCACGACAAACAGAGATCCCGCGACACAACGCCCACACCCGATGCGCAGCTAAACGCCGAAGACGGTCGATCTCGCGTGACACAGCGAATTCCCATGCCGCACAACAGTATGTTCGTCATGGGTCTGGAGACGAATGGGTCTTGGCTGCATGGTATCATGCCTGACAAGCGACCGGCTGCAGAACACATTCCTGCCGAGTCCGCATATGGCAACATGCGCATCTCCATAACTTTCCGGCTCATCGGCACTTTTCTGTCAGCCGACTCGAAGCTCATCTGGGGACAAGGCGCTGTTGCGAAGCAAAAATCGGAGGCCAGACCGACCATCAATGGCAATCTTGAAGAGAGTCAAAGACTCATCAACGCTTTTGGAGTTGAGAATCAAGCCACAGCACCCGACTGGAACAGCATCTATGGATCGGGCTTCGATGTCCTGCACCTCAACTCTGAGCTGCCCGAACACGAGAGGCCCATGCTGTTCCTTTCTGGCGAAGCAGATATTGACTCCGATGTTACCCAATGCATCTCCAAACTTGGTATCGACATTGAGACTGTTCATCAGCCAATTGAACAATTGACCAGCGAACTTGTTGACGCCAACGGTGACCCTTTGGTTCTGACACCAGCGCGTCGACGTGCCATCTGCTTTAGGCAAGCAGGAGGCATGCATACTGAAGTGCAAGGCAAGACCGCCATCATAGAATGGTTGAAGGAGACTTATGCGTCGCAGGTTCAGTAAGGGGAAATGGACAGACTCCATAAGATTAGATGTGAGTGTAGCTTTGCTCAATGACAGAAACGCCTTCACAAAAGCCTTGGGTTCACCAGAAACACAACACAGACCATTTCCAAGCGTGTTTGAGCCTGTAACCATACATGCTGCAAATCCTAGCTCACAGAAGCATCAAGCTTCTTAGTTGTAGACTAGAACAGGCCATCCCTCGACATAATCGATGTAGTTCCAACCGAGTAGCTTTAGCTCATCGAGGTACATGGGGTTTTGGATGGTGTTCACGTAGTGGTAGTACAAGACATCACGCCCATGATAATTTGTGAGGACACCCTGACCACCAGGTCCATACTTTCCAAGTCGGTTAGCATATGCTAGGCGTATGATAGGGCAGCTGACTTACGACATAATCATGGCTGCCGTAGACAATGTAGCCACCACCGTTCTTCAAGTCTACGCCATTACGGTCGACAAAAGGTCCGGTGGCTGATCTGGAGCGGCCAACGCGGATAGAGTATCTATCGTAAGTCAGAATCAGACTTAAGTAACATAACACAGGCGGATACGCACTCTTTCCCAGGCGCAGGCAGAGCAGATACATTGTAGCCGCAGCATGAGCCATGACTATACCAAAGATAGTACCAGCTATCGTGACGGCTTAGGTATGCGCCTTCCTCTGCTTGCGGACTCACAGGATCCAAGCTCAGTTGCGTAGGGGTTGGAGACCAGACAACGCTAAGCAGATCCTGAGCTAGCTGGAACTGCCAGATGTCGCTCCAGAAGCTGCCATAGGTAAGGTAAGGGATCTTGGTCTTGGGATCGATGAACAAGTTACCGTCGATTGCGTTGGTGATGTTCAATGGCGAAGGAGCAGTAGTGTTTGACGTAAGGACTGCGCCATGATCGATCCAGCTGCCAGGTTTCAGTGTTTTCGAGGTAGCAAGTCCAATGCTAGAGAACTGACTGCCGAATTGTGAGACAGCGTAATAACAGTAGTAGGTGTCTCCAACTTTATGCACATCAGGAGCCCAAGGATCAGTGCTTCCGGTATTGTTGATAATGCTGGATCCCTCAAGAACTGAGCCAATTGGTTCCCAATAGCCATCCAACGAGTTGGGCTGTGAAGCACGGCTGATGACAACTAGTCCATGAGTTGAGAACGAGTAGTAATGGCCGTCTGGACCCATCACAATCTAGGACCAATCAGTTTGATGTCATAAGGACTATCGAGCCATGTAACATACCGATGGGTCGTGTAAATGGACGCCGCCCCAGCCATCATAACTCTGGTTGGCTCCGGGATTAGAAACGCCGCTAATGTTATGAGGCAGAGGCCAGGAGGCATTCGAGAAAGGATCAGGCTTGTTGTTCGAGGGTAGGGCGACTGCCTGGGTAGCTAGCGTGGCCACAGCCAGAACGCTAATCCTGGTGCTTAGAGAACGCATCTGGAAGATATGTCGCTTTCTTCGATATTGCTGATCTGCTGTTTTGAGACACTAGACATCCCTATCTTTATACATCGTCTACAGTCTTGGGCCAGGCAAATATGAGAACAATCCAGGCATCATGTCCCGCCGGAGAACATGGTCATGCTGCCTGGATGCATAATCTCTCATCAAATTACCCTTCAAAGCCCTGAAACACTCTCAAACAAATGCAGTCCTTCCATGCAATCGTTGGATGAATAGTTTCTCCGCATATATGTCCCCTCATCCGTGGGGCCCCAAAGCGGGGTAGTTGCATGGGGGATGGTTCAATTTCTCCGTTGTTTGCCAAAGTTTTGGTAAGGGGAAGACGTCGATCCTGTCGTATTATAGTGGTATTTGAGCTTGAAAAGATGAAGGCAGACTTGAAAGGCAAGTTCGATGAATAGCGGCAAGGTCTGTGCAGTGCTCAAGCAAGTTGCTACTACTTTCTGAAGTCAGAGCAGGTGTATCTCGGGTGAATCAATGGTGACTTCCTCTAGCAGAGTCGGCTGAATCTGACCTTCTGCCGTTATAGAAGGTTGCTTCAATCTGCTAGCTAATATCAATTGAACTTCTTGCAACACCTACCAGGGCATCGTATGGTCTCCTGTCTTTTCCAGTGCCGATATCATAATCGTGAACTTTTTCGGTGCTAGACTTAGCACGCATTTCTCTTCCCCTTTGTATCAGTCTAAAGAGCACTTGAGCTATAGGCGTATACCGTATCATAGTGACCGGGGTCGTGTCCGCGAACCAGCACAAGCAGCTAGCGCCTTGGATGGTTCTTGGAGGTTCTTGGTTGGGGGCTTTTACAGTGGATTATCAGACGAGTTGGCGAGACATCTTTTCTCTAGTTGACCACACGATCATGTGGCCCTACAACAAAACTTGCTGAGTATTTTAGAGGTGAAGAGCCGCAGGGAACAGGGAGATGATGACTTCAATGCGGGAGAAGTCGCGCGTGAGTCGTGACAGCACCAAGCACGGACGCAAGTTCGCCAGCCATGTCATTCCTTCTTGATCATCAACCACTTTCTCTCGAACCTCTGCATTCCGTGTCCGACTCGTGAAAAACGGCTGACCAACAGACCTTTGGCCCTCGATGATACCATTTAGGTATCTTTAGGAGATGTTCTGCTTCAGACAAGCGATAAGCGTCAGCTGTCTGATACCAATCTCTCCTCGAGCCTACCAAACCGCGCACCCAGTGACATGAGCCCTTTTCAGGGCGAAGCCGACGGCAAGATGCCATCGCGAGTGCTTTCCCCTTTGGCACTCATATCGCCAATCCCGTTGCGAAAGAGACCCTTCTTTTGAACCTCTGACGAATGCAAAAACAACGCAGCAGATCGGCCGGAGCTCCACGCTCTCCGCATGAACCTTCCGAATGCAGTCGCGTGTCAGTCACACTCTTGGTCCGTGGCCGTTGTCACCAAGAAACAATGGATCTAGGCTGTGTTTTCCGCCCTCTAGATTGGCTACAAGGCGGATGTCTTCGCAACTAGAGTTTACACGAAAGGCGGGGAAAAAGAATTACGCCTCAGAATTGGTCATGAGATTGAACATCTCCTTCTTATCACTTTTTGGTTTGGAGGATGCATATGGATCCTGGATAGACGGCATGTATTGCAGTAACGCCTATCTTTGCACTTTGGCTGCAATATAACACTCAGAGATTTCGCACTCTGCTTGTTATGTGGCATCCAACAGTTTTTTGCTTTCAAGTGAACTCTCGAAGTATCATCATCAATTGACGCAGCATACAACCATCAATTGATGAGTCGCTCATCTCTGCACGGAGACGCAGTCATGGACTCGAAGCCCATTGACGTCGGAAGACAAAGCTACGAGGATGCCCGGGACATGGTGGCATTGGGCCATACAGAAGAACTCACAAGGAAGTTCTCGTCATGGAGCATGCTCGCCCTCGCTTTCTCAATCTTAGGAACCTATGGCACATTCGCCCAAGACCTAGCATCTGGATTGAACAATGGCGGTCCCATCACAATCTTGTGGGGTCTTGTGCTTGTCTTTGTGTGTAACCTCTGTGTTGCACTCAGCTTGGGTGAGCTATGCAGCGCTATGCCTACTGCTCTGGGACAGGCTTACTGGATGCACTCGCTATGGCACACACCGACCGGAAGATTCGCATCATACATGTGTGCCTGGATTAACACCTTTGGCTGGTGGACGCTCAATGCTTCGCTTGTGGCCTTTGCAACCAACTTTCTACTCGGCATCAAGCTCATGTACGATCCGGAGTGGGCAGGTGCTGGAACAGGCTGGGTTGAGTTCCTGGTGTATTTGGGCATCACGATCGTCTTCACAGTCTTCAACCTGGTAGCCTGTAGGAATGACAGGATTCTTCCTTGGTTCAACAACATCGTCGGCATCCAGTTCGCTGCCCTCTTCTTCATCCTCAGTCTTGCTTTGCTCATCTCGGTTGGCACCAAACAAGGGCTCAAGTTTCAGCCGGCATCTTTCGCTTTTGGTGCTTGGATCAATGAGACTGGATGGCCATCAGGGTTGGTCTGGTTCACTGGTCTTGTTCAATCGGCCTATGGATTAACAGCTTTTGACTCGGTACGTACACTGACCTTCCACGATCGAGACACATGCTGACTCATGCGTTCAAGGTCGTCCACATGATAGAAGAACTCCCCAACCCTCGTGTCAACGCTCCCCAACCCTCGTGTCAACGCTCCCCGCGCTATCTGGCTGTCCGTCGTCCTAGGCGCCATCACTGGGTTCCTGTTTATGCTCGTATGTCTCTTTTGTATCCAAGACCTCGACAAAGTTCTCAACACGCCGACCGGCCTGCCATTTATGCAACTCGTTCAAGACTGCGTTGGTCTCGAAGGTGCTGTCGTGTTGATCGTGCTCTTCACAATGAACAGCTTGGGTCAGGGCGTTTCCATCACCACAACCGGCAGTCGATTGACCTGGGGCTTTGCTCGTGACAACGGCTTGCCCTTCTCGAAGTACATCAAAAGAGTCAACAAGAAGTGGAAGGTCCCACCGCAAGCCTTGCTGCTTCAAGGAGTCCTTATCGGTTTGGTGGGCGTGCTGTATCTGTTTGCAAACACAGTGCTTGAGGCCATTCTAAGCGTGGCCACCATTGCTCTGACAATCTCATACGCCATGCCTATCTTGACTCTCTTGCTTGTGGGGCGCAACAAATTGCCTGCTGGCGGGCAATTTGCACTCGGCAGATATGGACCTGTGATCAATTGGATCAGCGTGATCTATTGTGTCATCACAACAGTCATTTTCTTCTTCCCAAGCGGGCCCAACCCCTCAGGAGCAGACATGAACTACGCGATTGCAGTATTTGGCGTCATGCTCGTCGTCTCCATTGCTTTCTGGATCATCAAGGGTCGCAAGACCTACCTGAAGGTAGATCCGTCTGAGGGAGTCGTACTGGAAGCGCTGCATCTCGAGGACAGCTATGTAGAAGTCCCAGAATCATCACGAGCTGATGCAAAAGGGCTGGAGTAAAAAGTTGATTGACAGTCACCCTTTCTGTATCATGATGTAATACAAATTCTGTTCCTTTCTCCTCATTAACTTGCCCACATTCTCCTACTTGAAGAAGAAACCAGGATATGTTGGATCGCTCGGGTCGATGAAGAAGCTATTGCGGCCAGTAAGATAAGCATTTCCTCTGACTTCGGGTATGCATGTCGGATAATCTGATCCTTCCTCCTGATGCTGAGAGATGACTCTGGCTTCAAAAGTCGTGTTGACGACGGAATGATGGATCAATTTCTTGTTGCCCTTCAACCTTCCTTGTGCTAACAAGACGGCCACTCGAGAACCAGTCGCACTGCCGCAAGGAGATCTGTCGATAGCGCCTTCTGCATAGACAGTGATACTCTTTTGTTCAATGGCTTCGTTGCTGTCGCTGAGTGTCCTGAAGAAACAGATGGTATACAGAGGTGTACCTTTGTGGTCTCCACGTGTCCCAACCTCTGCCCTGATCTGGCGAGCAAGTCCGATGAAGCGTTGAGCATTGGCTGGCTTGATCTCTATAGTCATATCACTGACATCAACAGATGCACAGGCAGCTCCGCCCCAGGAGAGATCGACGTTGAATTGCAGAGCTTCTGCACCGGGTATCGATACGCTTACAGGCAGGTCTTTAGCATACTGGTAGCTGGGGACGTTGATAAAGTTCACATGGACCACTTTGCCGTCTCTAAAATTGACCTCTGCTGTCACGCGGCCGGATGGCACGTCGATGATGACTTTGACCGGCCCTTCTCGGACAGATTCTACGAGTCTCTTTGCCACGGCATATCGACCCAAGGCGATGGTTCCATGACCGCAGGCTGTTGAAAAGCCATCTCTATGCCAGAACAAGACGCCAAAATGGGCACCAGAGTCGTTAGGAGGGACGATAAAGCCTCCGTACATGTCGGCATGGCCTCTTGGCTCGTGACAGAGAGACTGACGCAATAGATCTAGTGGGTGGTTTGGTTGATTTATGATGTTGAGCCGGCGGTCCCATACTGTGTCTCCTGTCGTGGTGCAATGTGGTGGCAGGTCCGAGACGATACGAAAAGGCTCGCCGGCCGTGTGCCAGTCTTCAGTATGCACCCAAAATGCTCCTTGTTGAGACATGGTGTTTTCTGTGTTGTAAGACTAGGAGTTGGGGTGTTCTACTGTGGACAACCACAATGTATTGATAAGCGTGTCCAACGCTTAAAGATGATACCCCACTTGTGCAGCTGATGAGGATTTGTGCAGGCCAAAGAAGCTATGAACATCATTCAAATACTATACCATCCGAAACTTCGTATGGTTGCAACATCATTTGGAAGCACTATGAGAGTGTCTTGTACCACATTAGAGCCAGAACTATCATTGTGTAACATTAAAGAGAGAGCAGATGATATGTATTTCCAAGACAGGGTGTTACCAACAACTGAGATCTTGGCGTTGAATAGGGAGCAGCTCAGGGAGATCCGGGGCATCGTTTCTCGGGAAGGCGCTACCTGTCGTTTACCAAACAAAAGTAAAGGAGTAGCTCGCTACTTTCTCTCACGCCCAAACAAAGACCCTACTCGAGACGACCCAGGGCTCGCGAGCAGACGACAAGGAGAAAAAGATGGAATCGCGAACAAGTTTCTTGGTGCGACTGCTCCTACTGGCATTGCTGCCCCTCAGCTTCGCCCTCAAATTCGACATCCAGGCACATCCCGGAGCAGAGTCGGCGAGCAAGGAACGCTGCATTCGCAACTTTGTCGCAAAGGACCAGCTCGTCGTTGTGACGGCAACCATTAGTGGACACAGAGGAGACGGTCAAGTGCTGAACCTGCACGTGAGTGCCTCCAATTCGACTACAATAAGGATAATTGAAAGGAGATGCTGACAGCACGTTTCTCATCTAGATCAAGGATGCTGTCGGCAACGATTACCACAGACCTCGCGACGTCGCTGGCGAGGGTCGCTACGCTTTCACCTCTCACGCTGATTCCGCTTTCGATGTCTGCTTCGAGAACATCCTGACCTCCAGTGCGTTTACTTGATCCTGTTTATACCTGTTTCAGATCAGACTAACCATTTTCATGAAACAGACGCCGGAGGCCCGAACCCTAGCCGTCACGTTGAACTCGACATCGACATTGGTGCCGATGCAAAGGACTGGTCTGCCATCCAAGCTGGCGAGAAGCTTCAGCCAGTTGAGACCGAGCTGCGCAGAATTGAAGAGATGGTCGCCGAGGTTGTCGCCGAGCTGGACTACCTTCGTGTCCGTGAACAAAAGTTGAGAGACACCAATGAGAGCACCAACGAGCGCGTCAAGTGGTTCGCTTTTGGTACCATGGGTATGCTGGTCGGTCTGGGCGCATGGCAGATCGTCTACCTGCGTGCCTACTTCAGGTTTGTCATTGCATCACATTTGACAGTCCTCGCAAGCTTACACATTTCCACAGATCCAAGCACCTTATCTAGACGAGATGGACAGTATAATGCATTTCATGTCATTTCAGGTTGGAGAGCTGCGGCTACGTTATATGCAGCAATGGTTCATAGGTACTGTATCAGCAATTACAGCCTCTCTCCCCACCTTTGCGTGTCTCCTCTCCCTCGTTCCTTTATCTGGTCAGTACATGAAGCAAGAGCAAACTCGGCCTTTTTCCTGGCCCATCTCAACCCACGAATCCTTGTGAGCAGTCGGCTCACGATGTCATGTATGGCTCCACATCCTCCTTCGCACAGAGTTTGCCGTCAGCGTGTTCATGCCAGTCACACTTGGAGCCCTTTCTGGGGTCAGGGAAATCGTCCTTGGAGAGTTTGATGAGAGAGTGAGCATAGTCAACCGAAAAGTCGCCACCCTTGCTAATCAGTGTCTTCATGGATTCTGACAAGAAGACGCCCTTGGCTGCCGGCTCGCCACAGAGTGCGCGGAATGCAGCTGTCTCAGTCAAGAACTTGCGCATGTGGTTGGGCGTCTTGGTAAAGGTGTATATGTACTCGAGGCGGAAGGTAGGTGCTGTCATGTTGTTCTCGTGGTAGTACAAGCGGACCAAATCGATGGCTACCAAGGGTGAGCTGATGCACAGCCATCTCTTTGGACCATGTACTTACTGTTGTTGCAAAGTGGTTCGACGTCCCAGTTCTGACCAATAACATACAGACCGAGATAATGCTGGACCGAATGGAAGTCGTGTGGACCCTGAAGTTTGCCTCCATACAACCAACGGACGAAGAGTGCAAAAGCAAACTCATCAAGGTAGTCGAAAGTCAGCTGCTCATCGCTGGGAGATGGTGTGGTTGACAACAGCTTCTTGAAGAAGGGTACCTTGCTGGTGAGCAGGTGATTGGGCACCTTGAAAGCTTTGTGGGTAACGCCAGCACGAAGCACAGCGATCGGGATGTCTGCAGGTGTAGGAGTCTTGCTGCCTGGATTATCGGCATGGATGCTAGCGATAAGTGATCTGGGCAATTAGGTCAGTCAAGAATCTATCCATCCGCTACTCAGGACAACTGACTGGACAGCACCATCAGGGATCACTGGACTGGCCAAACCAGATCTGAGGTCTGCGGTGCTCGAAGCCTTGGTGGCTGGAATGGCGATGCTCGTGGGACGCTCATCTGCCGCACTGCCTGCACCCACTTCTGCTGTACTGTCTGGTGCTGGACTGATGCCGCGTTTGACAACAGTACCGAGGTCCTGACGGTCATCGATGCGTTCAACAGAGCGCTGCACGCTTTGGGATGAGCTTGTGCGAGATGCTCCAGGACGGGATGTGGCCACTGGAATTGCAAGGGTCGGATCGCTGGACATTGCGATACTGCTGACGAAGAAATGTGTAATGGCAGTAGGGCGCTGTATCGATGAATGCAGGTGTCAGGGATAATGATCATGTAACAATCGGAGTAGAGTTCGAAGGTGGGTGTTGAAGTGAAAGTTGGGTGGGCGAGAAGATCCAAGATGCAAGTGTTGGATGAGTGTCAATAGGGAAGTTGCGATTGTGTTTCGCCTACCCTCTTATGCTCGCCATGTAATGTTCTGCTCTTTCCTGATTTCATCTACAAGGCTCAAACCACCAGTGACAAACACAGGAAATGAGGCAACTGTTGCTTGCCAATCATCCCACATCTGATTCAGAATGTTACAAACGCCAGACTCAGGGTGGGACAAGCATAATCCACGCTGAGCTCCAGAAGGTCCTTTGATGGATATGACTGACACGCAAACCAAACCATGTCTAATTTCAATTTGCATCTCAATGAATGTTCAGACAAAGCTGTATATGTCTGTATGCTTGATTGTCAGGGCCTAGAGACTAGCATTCGACCATCATATCGCAGTGACAAAATTTTCTAGCAAAAGAACGATAGATGAGCTAGAAACTGGGAATGATAGTAAGAATATTCGAGGTTTGGACGAGTCTTACGAACGTTCCTCATGCCAGAATCTGTATGTGGTGCGCTCGCCTAATGACAAGATAAGGCGGCACATAAGCCATCCAGGAACGCAGCGGTCCTTAGTTCGGACACGCATTCGAAAAGAGCAAGTACGATAGCGATTCTTATCAAATTGTGCTGTGTTGTCCACAACGTTAAATTTGTGGAAATGCAGAGGCTCGATGATGATTCCAGGATGACGTCTGCTTTGCGCGCCAGAGATCTCGAACACCGAGGTCAGAACCCCAGACCAAAGCAGCAGCTGCAGCTCTCTTCATCCTCTTCGACTTGTACATACCTTCCTCACCATACATACACAAAATGTCTTCAGCAAGACTCGTTCTCAGATCCATTCGCACCGTCCCTCGCGCTGTGCGTCCTTTCAGCTCGGGTGCTGGACGCTTCAGTGCCGCTCGCCCCAATGACACAGTCGAAGAATACCGCAAGCACCAGATGGAGAAGCCCCTCAACCTACACTTGACCAACACTACTTCGACCATCGCCAATGAGATGCCCAGCATCGGCAAGGACAATGTCCCTCCTGAGTTGATCACCAAAGTCGATCCCGAATTCACCGCCAAGGACTCTGTGCCTGAAAACACCGAGAGAATGACTGGAGGCACTCAGTCGGGCAAGCCTGAATCTGGCGTCAATGCCGATCTTGAAGTAGGTGAACTCGAGGGAGGTTCCTTCCGTGTCGAGCCTTTGAGGAGGACAGGCGAGGATACCAACACCACTAGGGCTAGACTCTTATGTTCGTCGCCAACCACTTTCAGGCTCTTTTGACAAAGTCGAGCTTTTGCTAACGATTGTACCCTACAGACCAAAGCAGGAAAAGAGGCACTCTAGAGAGTGACCTCCTTATGTCCACCTTCGCCGATCGCTACCTCGAAACCATGACACCCAAGCAACTTCAGCAATACGATCTTTTCCTCGATGAGAATGACTGGGACATCTACTACTGGGCTACACAGGAGCCTACACCTACCACCATGGAATACGCCGAAGGAGGCAGTTCCGAGCAGGCAACTCCTGTAGCTCAGGGCAAGCCTGCCAAAGATGAACATGTTCGCCCTCCTGGTACTGGTGAGTGGGCTCAGACCGTTGGTCTCTTCAAGCCTGCCTATCGTCCTGTTCCCCAGCGTTGGAAGAACTCTGAAATCTTGGCAATGTTGAGACAGCATGTCAAGGACCGTAGTGCCGGAGGTGTTCTTGAAGGTGACAGGTCTGGCGAGGCTGAGCCGGACAGCAAGAGTGGTCAAGGTATGGCTTTCATGCCCGAGCTCAAGAACCTCGACAAATAAGCTTTGTCGATCTTTACGTAGATACCCCTGTATATACACAAACGCAAGCCCTTCCAATATCACTTCCCGTGAGCGAGGATACCGCGCACCTTCATCAACTTTCTGAATGCGGCTACTGCATGACCCGACTGATTTTAGGTCTTCGTCGATACAAAGGACCCAGGAGGCTGGGAAATACATTCCATGACGGGCGGCTAGCATTCCTGGAACGACAATGCGCTCGAACATGAGTCTTGCCCCTGGTAATGCACATACTACTCGAGTAGAAGTGTGCTTTCCTGATTCTGTATAGTCAAATCATCGGTGATATGGTCCGCGATCGCTTCCTCGAGTGAAATCGAGTAGCGCACTTGGAATACGCTGCGGCAAAAATCGCCCTAGATTCAGGTGGACAGAAGGTGAGGCATGTAATCTGAGGACAAAGAAAGCCTGCAACTGGGACATGCACCAATTAGGAAGATTGGTCATTGTAAAGGCCCATTCCATACAAAGTCCCAGCCACCCGACTGGTCTGCTCGACACGGCATATAATACCTTGCATGATCTGGCTTGTGTATTGCACTGCAACTAAAACAAAATTACAAGGCCTCACAGAAACATTACGTGCTGGAGGCTGAAGATGGTATCAATCACACACCAATACACTTACCCGATTCGACCTCTGCCTGTACGGCCCAATCTTGCACAGCTACCAAGCAAGGAGATGCAGTGGACTTCAGCATACGATAATGTGTTCAACCAATACGCCAATGTGGAAGGACTGGAAGTCGGGACATGCAACCCTGCAGCACTTGCATATCCGATCGCAGCACTGAATGAGCCGTCGCCTGTGGTGCCGAGTGTCTATCCCGAACCATCTCAGCACAATAGATTATGGAGTGCGAATTCGTTCGATGCAAAGGACATTCACCAACCTTCGCCGACTTTCAGCCCATGGTTGGGTGATGAGGGCGAGACCGACCTACTTGGTCCTATGAGATGCCAGCCGACAGCAAGGATTCCAAGCTATCATAACGACCTTTCGATGTCAGGCTTGAGGATATCTTACGACCCTACACTTGCGCCGTCACGAGTGGAAGAAACGGCGAGCGAGATGTATTTAGGCAGATCAAGAAGAGAGTCACGCACACCATCAACACCACATCGTCAGCAGCGAACATCTTCACCGGGCACGCCGTCATCTCGGCGGCGCCAACGGCGGACAGCTTCATCAAGAGGGCACAGTCGCAAGTCATCAGGACAGGTGCAGAGTCCACGAGCAACATCGAGCAGTTTCGTGAATTACACAGCATCAGACAGCGAGAAGCTGTTGAGCGGAGTAGCACCGTCGGGCAGTAGCAAGACCAAAGCACGACGTGAAAGGGAGGCGGTGGAGAATCGACGAAGGTTTAGCCAGGCTGCGCTCAAGGCGGTAGTCAAAGCAGGGGGAGACTTGGCCGAGCTGCGAGATGCAGGGCTGATGTTGGGGTAGGAGAGCAAGTGGCAAAGGGAATGCGTAATAGACGAGAGGCAATAATGCAGTTATTTAATGAATGGATTTGGAGATTCGAGCGCAATTTCGTCTTCCCAAGCAACGAGCCGACGGATGTTCGTGGTCGCGTATACAAACGAAGGGAGCCTAGTCACGGGCATGGCGGGAATAGGTACGGGTGTTCTTGCAAGTCCCTGCATCTGGCCTGTGCAACTAACTTTAAGCTAATTACTCCACGTTGCATGATCGCATCTCATTTAGAAGGCTGGGAACGTCTGGATGCGCGGATATGATGGCCTTGTGCCTGTTGTAAGTAACCTTGATCTCCGACTTATACATCTGTGACTGCCTCTACCTCGACATTTCTTGTGTGACGAGGTAGACGTAACAGACCAAGGGACAGTGTTATTGGCCGCGTGAATGGAGAGCTACTTTGAAGACGATAGTCCGCTTGCTGCCCTGCTCGAAGGTCCGTCACCGTCACGCCAGACGCGCCTGCCTCTTTGACCCGACGCACTCACTAATGCCATGCTGCAGGCCATGGCACCGCCGACGATTCGTTCAACTACCTCAACCAGGACCCGGCGCATACTCCTCCCTTCACTCCCTCGCTCGCTCCCCAGAAGCCCTCGCTCAAGCGCTTCGCCCAACCCCTAAACCTCCGTCTCCCTGCTCAGGGCACCATATCCAAGCTTCACCATGCTTGGTCGGTATGCCTACTGTCCCCGTCCCTTCCTCGGTCAGAACACGCTCTCTGACATAGCACAGCGTGCCGTCAACTCTCGCATCGGCCGAGCTGAGAACAACCGCTTCCTCGAACACTTCCGCTATCTTATCGTCGCCTCTCAACTTCTGAACGAATACCCAGATCTCGGCTCCTTGCACACCACCCAGATCAACGGTGCTCCATTCGCCAACACAGAACTGGCTCCAAATGCCTCGCTGAATGTCTCTGGAGTCGCCGCTACCGCCGGCGTTGCCTTTGTCCTCGTTCTCCTGCTCAACTGGCTTCGTGGCTCCAGATTAAGCAAGAGCCGTATATTGCTGGCACTGCTGTGTGCTGCCGTAGCTGGCGTTCTATTCTATGCATACGTTCGTCGACAATGGCTGCAGTACCTCAGACACCAGGCCGTGGATACCGTCTCTTCACTAACAACCAACGCTCGTGGCTTTGACATAACTACCTCTGCTGCCTTGTCCTTGATCCAGGAGGTTGAACTTGTGTCCAAAGGCTACAGACTGTACGACGACATCTGTCATATTCCATGACGTCTGCTAACGAGTCGCAGGAGCACTCCACTGCCTCCAATCTCCCGCTTTGACGATGTCAAGGTCAACCGAAAATGCGCCAAGTTGCGTGCAGCCCTCAACAAGGCCTACACCGAAGCGTTGCCTGCTTTTAGAGATGCAACCATCTCACTCAAGGTCTTGCTTAATCAAGATGATATGGAGAAATACCTGGACGTTTACGATATTCCGCACCACGCTGTTCAAGAGGCCGTAAGTCCTGTGCATGTCTCTTTGGAAGAAGACGATCCGGAATCTCTCAGAAGTCTCCGCGTTGTAAGCTACCAATACAGCACTCTGAGAAGAGTCGTCTGTTGTTCCCTTATGTCTCTTGAGGCTGATGGAGGCAATCCTGATTTTGCACGCTGGTCGGCCGCAACCAAGATTATGAACTCCCTAAGCACTACTACTGCTACTTGGGCACAGAAGTTGAGCGATCTTCTTCGTGAAGTTGAGGAATTTACAATTCCAAGAGAGGCAAGACTTTCTACCAGACCTGCCGGGGAGCGTTTACGCACACAGGTTCGCAAGATCACCGACCTCTCTCAAGGTATCAGGTCATTACAAGCCAAGATGGCTCTGATGAGAGAAGAATCCACCAAGGCGATCGAGGATTCAGATGACTTGACTGACCTTGGCCCAAACTTGATGTCGCAGTACGAATCAATTGGCGCCGACCTCAAGATGTTGATGCAAGCCTGGGAGAATGGCAAAGCTTCTCTTGCAAGTAATCTCGACAAGCAGGAACGTCGTATCTCGCAAGCATCAAGTGGCCTTCGTTCGCCGGCTCCAAGCCTTGGAGGACTGACCGCTGTTGAGGAAGGTGGGCCTGCCGATGCCTTGCGCGCACTGAACGGCGAATCAAAGTCAAACAGATCCAGCCTTGCAGGTTCAGGCTCTGATGAAGAAGTCTTTGAAGGTGTCTCTCTTCACATACCCCGCCAACGCAGCTCTTTGACCAGAGAAGAACGCATCGCTAAGATGCACGAGGAGCGAGCGCGTCTTTCCGAACTGCGCGACAAACGCGAGTCGAGCACCAACATGATCCGCGAGCTTCAGTCTGTCATGAATTTGCGACCAAAGCGCAACACCATGGGTGCACGCATCACTTCGATATGATACCTTACAGCTGTCAACGGACACCCACACTTATTTCGAAACCTACGAACAAACATCTTTATGACCATACGACAATTTCCTTATCAGTAAAGCATTTCTCTTCGATCATGGCTCGGTAATGAACATCAGAACCGACTGGCATATTTCAAGCACACATACCTTTCTCTTCCCTATGCATCCAACCAGCATGGATCTCAAAAGATACCCATACCTTTTCTTGTCGCATTCTTGTCGATATCATTTTCTACTTGGGCCGGTACTCGCTCTTCCTAACTTCATCCTACCCATATGGAAAGCATTTCTCTTCTGGGCGGCATTGTGCATATCACGCGTTGAATATATTTTTTCATAAGCGCATCTCGGCGTCATCATGTCCAGTAGCTATTCAATGGATAAAAAGACATTCATCTCACAACTTTCGATTCTCCTTTTTTATGAACCCAGTATACATTCTGATCTGCAGCAGCATGTTGATCTCGCCCACTCACTCCTCGTCCAACAATGCATGCTCTGCAAATCCTTGTGTTCTGACCTGGATCTTCATGCTTTCGAGTACGCTCTTCTTGACATTTTCATCTCTGATATCCCAACCCGTGAATAGGCCATGCGTAGCTGTGAAGTCATATGGTTTGACCGCTTTCCACATGTTGTGGATTGTGTCCGGAGGTAGAGGAATCATGTTTGGGATACTCCTGTTACAGGATCAATCAGACAGCCAATCGAAGGAGGATTGAGAGCGCAGGGGGGCCAAAAAGAAAGATGAAAAGAAAACAGGACAACTTACCACATGAAGGAGAAAGAAGTGGTGCCTTTAGGTCTGTCTTTACGGTAGAAACCGGACTGTATCGGTCATCGTGGTCAGCTCTTTCTTGTTGATATCCAATTTGGGATATAAAGGCATACTTACAGGCACATTGACAAAAGTATCAGCAATGAAGAGATGTCCATCCCAATGCAAAACCATACTTCCCTCAAAGTGTCCTCCTACTTGTATAGCAGTAACACCCTCTACAATCTCTTCATACTGGGTTTGTAGCAAAACCCTTTTGGTGGAAGGAAGAGGCGTACGGGAAAGCCATTGTTGATCGAGAGAATGGACGTAGACGGGGCAGTCGAATGTAGCTGCCCACGAGATGTGGGTTGTGTAGAAGTGAGGATGCGAGATGACTATTGCTGTCAAACCGCCCAGAGACTTGATCTGGACTGAGTTAGCAAGGGACTATGATGGTAGTGAATCGTGAGTGAGTTACGAAGTCGATGAGCGGTTGGTCGAGGTAGGCTATGCAGTCCCAGAGGATATTGCCGTGAGGTGTTTGCAGGAGGAGGGCTCGCTGGCCGATGCCAAGCTGTATTTGGTAAATAGAGTTAGTCAAGGGGTGGAAGTATCTACTGAGGTTGATGAGAGCAGATATAGAAAGGCCAGAGCTCGAGTTTGTACCTTCCTAGCATCTTTTGCCATTGTTTATAGTTCATCGAAAGATGAGGGAAGTTGGGATAGTTCAAGCTCCCAGTTCGCACTTTCCCACTTCGCCGTATGAGAAACTCCCTCCTCGTTCTCTTGAAGGTTTCCTTGAACAAAGCTCATACACATACCTTTGGTTCTGCCCAGATAGACCAAATGCGCTCGTCCTGCCCATCTTGCTTCCACTTGGTCTCATGCTTTTCAGCTTCGGCTTTGAGACTCGTCCAGGCTTGTCCACTGGCAGGTATGTATTGTCTAGGATCCTAATTCGATAGACAACCTCAAGTTAGCTTGTTTCTTCGAGATTGTCTTTCGAGGTTGCTCGTTTACGTCACAGATTCTGCAGTACCCGGATGGTGGATCTGATGCAGGTGTATCGAACTGTGTGCCGCAGGTTGGGCAGATCAGTAAGTCTTCACCTTCGATCATGATTGTTACGGTATGCGGTCCAAACTACTGGGATGGATGGTTTCCTGTTGCAAAGTGGTCGAAGTGTTGTTGTAGTGATGACATGACCAAGTTCATCCCCCACTTCAGGATTACCCCACCTGCCCCAAAAGTGGGGTCGGTATACAAAAAATCACTTCACCGTTCACGTAACTCTGTTTGAACATTGAGCTGGTTTCATTGCTTAAGTTGTTTGCTAGTGTACAGTCACAATTTATCTTTCCTCAAAACGCTAAACCAGAACTCAGAAGATACGTAGCAACATGTACAGACCATTAGAAAAAAAAAAGAAAATTAGAAGAAAACAACAACGAAACCCAAAGACCAAGAAGTGCAGATTGGTATCATCAGAAGGAGCAAACTCAAAGAAAGGGAGAAGAAAAGGGGAAAAGAAAGACCAGTGATATGCACGTAATGAATGTGCTTTTGTGGAAAGGCGAATACCGTCCGTACGTGGCTGGTCATATAGGGGTATTATTGTTTCGTCAATGGCGTTAGAAAGTTCTGAGTGTCAGACATCTGCCATCCTTTGACAGCGAGGAGATCATAGATTATAAGAGAAGGAGGTATGTCGAGATGGTCAGGAGAAATTAGTAACGAGGCATGCTTGTGGGTGCTCGTTCGATGTTGCCAGTGAGATGAGCAACGCGAGCTTTGATGCGGGCGACTCGATCCTCGATGGTCTCTTCGCCGCTAGTGTCGCCTTCATCCTCGGTACCAGAAGTAATGTGAGATGGGCGGCGAGATATCTGGTCTTCACTGATTCTGGCCGCTCGCTCGGCAGCATTCTTTCGGATTTGTGCCCACCTATCGAGGTTGTTCGCGACCGGCTGGGTAGTCTCGTATGTTGGTTCATTTTCAGGTTGACCATTGATGTTCTGTTCCATCGGAGTTTCCATAGGAGTCTCGGGGAATCCACCAGGCGCATCTAGATGTCCCGCCTCCAAGTCTGCTTTATGAGCAGCTTCTGCTTGCGCTTGCAGATGTGAATCGATCGACTCGCGAGGCGTCCAAGCAGGAGCATCCAAGAGCGGCCCCTGATCAAAACGCTGTTGGTCTTCATCACCATTGCTTCTGTGCTCGGAGTGCATAGGAGACACCATTTGATCATCAGCTGCAAGGTGTTGCTGAGAGAAACTCGGCTCTAATGGGCTGACTGCTGGGGGACTTGGTTCCGAGGTAGACGCTGCCAGATTATTCACCACCTTACGGCGTGGGAACAGTGGCTCAGCGGTCACCGGCACTGCAGGCTGAGCTGGAGGAGTGGGAGTAGTCGATTTCTTACGCAGTAGAGATAGTTTCCTTCCGAGATTCATTTCAGAAGGGGGTGCCAGGCTAGTCGTTGAAGCTGATGGCTGCTGACCATTGAACTCGCGCTTACCATCATCGCTTTTGTGGCCGCTTTTGCTGAACATTCGCTTGAAACCATTAGGACGTTTGTTCTGCTCGTGGGCCAGCTTATCCGGGCGGAAGGTAGCCGCCTTCGCTTCCCAAGCTTCTCTTGCAGCCTTGACAGCCGAGGTCTCCGAATTAGCGGGCCTGTTTCCTTCCATAGAGGGTCTGAATGCCGGATGGTTTTGAACGTTGTTGGTACGCTCCGGGACTGGTTTCCTTCCCACCTGAGTAACCTTGGGTACGGAGGGTACAGCCGGTACCTCTGTAGCGTTGTGTACGACTGGCTTCTCGGAGATGATGGAAGCACTAAGTGAGAGGGGCTCAGCATTGGTAGCTGGTGACTGCGTCGTAGGCAAGTCCTCTGCGCTTGCGTTTGGTTGATCTGGAGTTGCGGATACCTCATGGTCCGAGACGTGAAGTGATTCTTTTCGGGTGTCAGGAGAAGGCAAAGGCTTGTTGGTGCCTTGTGCCTCGGTGAGCATGGCAGCATTATCAGGAACATGTATATCTACAGGTGTTCCTTTGCCAGCGAAGTTATCGCCCAGATATTGCTTGCGCATTACTTCTTTGTCGAACGTGTGGGCCCACTTCATAGCTGGCGCCGCCTCACTTGTTAGACCCAGTGTCAACACGCTGTTAGTCTTCATCGAGGAAGCATCATCTTGGCGTCCGCGTCGCTGTCCATTCGATGTTTCTTCAGCTTTGACGTTCTGTCGAGCAAGATTAGCTGCCGCAGCCCTGATTCTTGCCTGCTGGTCTGGGGAGATGCTGGTCGTGGTTGGCGTCGTCGGTGCAGCTTGCTGCTTTTCTTGAGGGCTATCGTATCTGGTTGGTGGTATAGTCGCTGATTTCCTACGGTTTTGCTTTCCCCTGCGGCTGAAACCAAAGCGCGATTTCTTCTCAGCGATATAAGCACCTTCACCCGGTTCAGGAGCAGCGCTCTTGATCTGTTCTTCCAGCAAGATCCAGCGGCCGTGGAGTATGCCAGTCTCAATGAGGGCGCATCTACCGAAGACGGCTTTTCTTGCAGGTGGTTCTTCGCTGGCAAGACTTGTCATCCAGACCCACCAGAAGCAGTCATCGAGATCGAACTTTGTGATGCTAGCTAGTTCGCCGGGATTGACATCCTCTTCTTGATAGCCATTGGATGACCTTGGAGGTCCGCTGCTGATCGGAGGAAGCATCTTGTCTGGTGGCATCAACATCCTGATTGGAGCTGATTTTACGTTGTTGCCTTCGTCGACGAATCCAGAATTCAAGAAGTCAGCCCAAGAAGGTGTCGTCGGACGGCCGCCATCATTCGCACGGGACTGTGGAGATGACCTTAGTCCTGATATCTTCGGTTCCAGGCTTGACCGAGATGCAGCACCCGTCAGATCATTAGAGTCGTCGCCGAGTGACGAAAATCCAAAGTCTTGAAAGTGTGACCAAGATTCGTCTGTTCTACTGTTAAGAGACTCTAGACCAAGACTCATATTGCTCTGAGATCGCACAGCGATGGACTGATTTGCTGAAGTGATGCAGTGGAGAACGCGTTTGCATTCTTCAGTCAATGCTTGAACAGGATCAGCGTATTCGGAGAATATCTGCAGATCTTCATCTCGATACTCAAAGTTGTTAGCTCTGCGAAGTAGAGCAAAAGGACCAGGAGAAACGACATCCACAAGCATGACAACTTTGGGCGTCTGTTTTTGCATGAGTACAGGCGCTTCCGGAGGATACTCAGTTTGCGCCAGTAGTGCCTGGATAGAACGTGGTAGACCGTTGATTCCTGTAAATCCATCCAGAGCTTCGGGGTTCAGAGATCTGAGGTAGCCAAAGAACAGATGACTAGAAGCATCCGCAGATCTGACGCTAGTCAGTATCAAACCGTGTATATGTAGAGCGGAAAACAACTCACGTAATCCATGATTTGTAGCCGCCTTCAAAGCCCTTTCCATTGTCTGAGTGTTCGAATGCCCACCAACCTGCCATACGCGATAATTTTCTGCCTCCAAATCCATTGGTCTTGCCATGAGCGGCGATAGCGGTCAAGAGGTCGAAGAAGTTGTAGATGATGTTCTTCCTGGCATTCGAATCGACACTCATAGGAATGAAAGTATGGAAGGCATTTCTTGCCATGTTCGAATCTGTCTGTAATCAGCTGTTTGTTCTGCGCCGCATGGAATTGAAAGCACGAACCGCGTTCACCCAACGAGAAGCCATGATAGACTGGCCAGGTCACCACACCACCAGGCATGCGGCTCCAGCACCATTTGAGAATACTGCACAAAATCTGTAACCATGTCAGCCAGAGTCCGGGCTACAAGACTGAGCAAACATACAGCTGGGTCGGTCAGAATAAGTTCCCGGCGAAGGCTCGAGCCAGTGTAGTTTTTGTTCCCTTCACGATTGCCCTTGTAGAAATTGTTGATGAATGTCTTTGCTGGTACGGTATCGGTTTCTGGTCTAAACGGCAAGAGTAAGAAGGGTGTGTCCAATGCCTCGGCTAAAAGGTTCAGTTAGCAATCATCGTCCGTGATGCTATTAAAGCTGCGTACCTCTTGACTTGAGTATCAGCGTGCACACTTGAATGAGCTCGTCAACGTCCTCCGGATCGATTTGTTTGCTGGTCCACGTAGAAACGAATCTAGGCTTTGCTAAAGGCATGTGCCCTTGGCTCGAGTCCACTTGTTGTACTTTGTGCTTTGCGCTCGGCTTTGCATCCCTGCTCTTGAAGACCTTTGAAAGAAACACCATGGTGACGACAGGCGGGCTCGTCGGCTATCGACGAAATTGTATGGATGTGCGCAAGACAGTCAAAAGCATGAATTGATGTGTCCAAGGTTGCTGGCGGACCAATTGGGTGCGTCAGTCTGTATTCTGGAGTCGAAGAGCCAATGGTCAGTTTGTGCGCAGAAGAGAGGAAAGAAGGAGGAAAGGAGAGAAAGAAGTGGGGAGTGGCAGAAAGGTGTGCTGGCAATGGTTGATTCATGGCACCATCAAGTACATACTCCGGATGCGCGAGTTATTAAAGTAATTTGAAACCTTACAGGCGGTGATCCTAGTTTTCCGTCAAGCCACCCGAATGGAACTGCATGAATTGCCAGACTTGATTCGATGCGCTGCACATACGTGAGTCGAAGAAAGGAGGAACATGAGCAACTGGCCGGCCTAATCAACAGCTAGAACTTTTCATGCAGGTTAGCTGTGCATGCTCCGAAACGCCTCACAGGTCGAGGACTCCCCCATATCTGATAACATCGTGCAGCAACGATTACTGGCGTCCCTGTTTTCTCAACTACGTCGCCGGCGGCAAAGCCTGGTCTGTACCCGGATCTCATAAGGGTGCCAGCACATCATTGGCGATCAAGACTGCCTGCCTGCCTGCCTCTGCGGCTCTCGTCGCAGTCGCAGTCGCAGACCCCTGGTCCCTGATGCATCCTCAAGCGCGAGTCGCGCGCCGCAAGACGAGCATTTCTGAGACACTTTCTGTATAGTAATTTAACTCTGGCGACCAAGGGTGCGCTAATCAAGGGCTGTTTATCCTTCTCTAACGCCAACGGCCCATACCCGCAACTTAGTTTTGAGCAAAGACCAAGCATGTGAAATGTCAATGCGACTCTGCTCGCACTGATAGATTGCGGCATGCTATCCCTATATTGCGGCAGAGGACCTTTTATCGCGGCAGTTTGTCGCTCAATAAGTGTGCGAACTTCCATACTTCCGGCCAGCAGCCTTAGAACCAGAATATCGTTTGCTCTATAAAGCCATGAGTGTGATAGAGCATGAATCTTCTCAACATCCATGATGTCATGCATGATGTCAAGCTGTAACTGCTGAGATGGAATGAAACTGCTATTGTTCTCAAAGAGCACAGCTTCTTCATCCATCTCATGCGCACCTTTACTCAACTGACGAGATATTCATTGCGTCCACAGTATATCAAACACCCAGCAACCAGACAGTTCTCCATATCTACTATCAAAATGGTACGTATCTCGAATATCTTCCGTCAATGGCTCTTCGGATCTCCTGAATCTCGCATATGCAATATCACGTAGCAGTTCGCAGCGCACATTGTGAGTTGGAGGAGAAGAATCTTGCTCAGAATGCAACATCTGCTAGCCATATCCCGGATGCACTTCACACTCCCATCAACGCCTAGCTTTAGGCGTATGGTGACACTGGCGTCGAAGCTGCCGGACTCACCGAAACGTAGTGCCGAAGAGAAATGCTGACTGTATTCCTAGGTCAAAGACAACGACACAGTCATCAAGTGAGTACACCGCCTTTCGACCAGCAGCATTAGCCTAGCTTTTTGAGAAGAGAAAGCTGACCCGCGTTCAGAGAGTTCAATGAGCTCGTCAATATGAGTCCAGATCAGTTGAAGGAATGGCTCGGTGGAGAAGATTCTGCCGGCGCAGGCTGGTCCAAGGACGATGGCTCTGGTGAGACCATTGGGCATGAGAGGTGAGTACATCTGAACGATGAGACGGCCCAGCACAACCATTTCCATGAGGTCTAATATCTTTGTAGCGGTCGTAAGATCATCGAGATCTTGGAGAAGAATCCCAAGAAAGACCCCAGCAAGTATGACGAGGAAGATATCACGCACATGCGCAAGGTGGTCGCATATAATAAGAGACACCTAGCACAGGAGTCGAAAGCGAAGCAAGATCCCGATAGCAAGAGTGCTAAGTCTTTGAAGAATTGGGGCCATGACCCTCAGCAAGCCTAGATGCATATACGGCCTAAGGATTTGTTAGTATGACTGAATGATCACTTTACCCAATCCAAACTTTCAAAGCTGTTCTGTAGCATCTGAAGAGATATCCACTTGAAGACGATGGTTAGAAGAGCATATTGGTCGAAGCTGGCTGCATGATCTCGATGTCTGAATCTGAGAGCTCAAGAGGCTTTGCGCGTGGAGTGTGCAGAAAGAAGCTGGTTTCCATAGAATAATAACCAGAGCTCATGGGTCGAAAGAATTGAAGAAACCACGAGTGCTCTGTCTTTGCACATCGCAGCGAGACCTACGTGCTTTTGTGTCAATGTCGCGTGAATTAGTGCAGTCGGATCGTTCTGGCAGCACGACAAGCGCCAAGGGAGGGTGCAGAGCTGGGAAACTCAGCATGATCATAGCCGAAGAGGCCGGTAGATGTCTGTGCGCAGCGTTTCATGAGCGAGTGGGAGAGGATCAGACCAAAGCTTTTCCAATAATAGATTGACCGTTAAGTTGCAGCGCAGACTTACTTACCAGGAGCTCAAGCAAAGACGACGCGACCTGCATACCTTACACTGCATGTCCAGCAGGCGGTAAAGAGACGAGAAGATCAAAGCAAAGGATCCCAGCCAGGCTTCTGACAGCCATTCGCACCTTCCGCGTCCAACCAAGATCATCGCATGAAGTCTGAAAAGCGACCTTGATCTTTTCCACTTTTGCAGCCGCAGGTCGCAATCCACGCTCTTCACGCCTGCAAAGTCGACAGCATGGGCCGAAGAAAAATTGAAATCCGCCCGATCAAAGACGACAGGAACCGCTCTGTGTATGGGACCGCCGCTTACATGTTAATCTATCAATGCTAACGGGCGTGGCAGCACCTTCTTGAAGCGAAAAGGCGGCTTGTTCAAGAAGGCTTACGAGTTGAGTGTACTCTGCTCCGTCGATGTCGCCGTCATTATCTTTGGCAACAACAAGAAGCTTTACGAGTTCTCGTCCGGCGATATTCATGAGACTGTCGCACGTTTCCAATACGTATGTTACGACAATCGGCTCGCGACAACTTTCGCGACGACGCATTGCTGACTCTATACAGTATGGCGGCGCACACGAACACAAAGGCCCCGCTGATTTCGCAGGCAAAGGGGGCGGTGATGACGATGAGGAGGGAGATGATGAGCCTGTCGAACAAAACGAATCGCACTCGCCGCCAGAGCAAGCCTTGATTCAACATCCTCTCCAGCACCAACCCGGCCTCCAGCACATGAGAAATACGACGCCTTCTGCATCACCGCCTATACCAAATGGCGCTTTCCCTCAGCGCATGGCCACCCCTCAGCCCCCAACTGGGTCACGTCCTTCGTCTCGCGTCTCACACTTCCGCCGTACTAGTTCGAACCTGGTCCCTCAACACATGGGTACTCCGTCGCAAGCTCCTGCTCCTCAACCTTCCTACTCATATTCTCCGAACCCTCCGTATCACCCTCCTCCCCCGAACCCTGTCATGCAACGACCTACCCCACAAGGCTTCGCTGTCCAACCATCCCAATATTATGCCGCTTACCCTCCACCTACTCAGCAACAAATGCAGGTTGCTGCTCAGCAGGCATATCTGCAGGAACAAAGAAGGCAATCTTCCGTCCCTCCACACTTTATGAGCCAGGTTCATCCAGGCGCCCAGCAACATATTCCTACACCACAGCAGCATTATCAACAGAATCAGTCACACAGCGCACAACCTTCTCCACAACCCGACCAGAACGCTTTCCAGAGCCCCCCACTGCCCCAGCCAAGACCCTTGCCAGCTCACGCAAGATCGCATAGCATATTTACGCCAGTTGATGATAGCCGTTCACTTCTCGCTCAGCATTGGGGTGGGAGCAGTTCCAACTACCGAGAACCAGTAATCAAGACCGAGGCTCCCCGATCGCATTCGGTCGATGTGTCTTCTGCACCCCGTCAGAAAACTGATGATGCAGCCCCGAATACCAGCCAACCGACAGCAGGAGTTGCACCGCCGCCAGCAACGTCTAATCCTACCATGCAAGCGCCTCCTCCAGGACCTCCTCAACGTACGGGCTCTCTGTCTTCAATACCTGGACCTATACGTCCCGGAGGTGCGGCTGCGGAAGCAAAACGACCACGGTTAAAGGTACAGATTCCTAGTGAGCAATCAGATGGAGGCAGCGCGACAGCAGATTCATCGCCCAAGGATGGCAGCACGGCGACGGCCACCCCGATTCGTGTTGGGCAAGGGGTAGTTCTTCCGCCTCCGTCACCGTCGACGAACACTGTCCTCTCTGCTGGTGCATCTGGACCGCCTAATCCGTTCGCACGACCAGCACCGCCCATTAGTACAAACCCACATGTAAATCGCGAGCGAGATCATATCGAAACACCGCTATCTGCGTTACCTAGCCGGGTCATGGACGGAAACCATCTCTTGCCCAGTCCATCATCATTCTGGCCTGACGCTTGGTTCGGGAGAGACAACAATATGATGCCGAGTCCACTCAATTTCCAGACACCAGTGGTGTTGAGCGGACCGGGATTCAAGGAGGAGGACGAGAAGAAACGCAAGGCAGAGGAAGAAGCAGGAGGAGGTGGAAAGAGACCGAAAGAATAATTAGAGGTGGTAATGATTGCGCTCTTCCAAGAGGCACGAGGCGTCAACGGGTACAGTGCAATGTTGCGAGGATTTTTTTCGAGCATGAGCAAAAAGAAGAAGTTGCAGGAAGTAACTGTGGCATCTTTCTGACAGCCTATTTGAACAGTGATATCACCATAACCCAGCATCTAGATAATACTTTTAGGAGACAAAATTAATACGCATATCAAGGAATTGAAGACAAAGTGCAGATGTGAAATTTGGATAAGCATGGTCAATACGGCAGTAACACGGACTAGAGTGCAACGGTATATGATCGAGTCATGGGCAGTGAGTAGGTGGGGGCGGTCGTGGGGCTGGTAATAAGAAGGAACAAAAGCGGACTTGAGGTCCCTTGGCCGCGCGCTCAGCCATGCATGGCAGATGATGAATACTTGATGCCTGTCCCGGCCGCCTCTCCTACCTCTACTTCTTCACTCGATTGACACCGACACACACAAACAATGGCATACAATCGAGGGTACTCGGGCAACCCTGACGCCCTTCCAGCGTATGTTTGCGCCCGTTCGCAAGCTGCGCGCATCGGACACGGCTGATTGCTCTACTAGACACGCCGAACCCGAGCAGGCAGCGGCCATGCTGTCGCAAAATCACCCCCAAAGACAGTCTTCGACAGCCAGCTACCACAGTAAACCACAGCCACCGCCACCTCAGCAGTCGCAGTCGTACTCGCGCCCATCCAGTCACCAATCCCCCGCCATGGGCTCCGCTCCGCAGCGTTATGACAACTACCCCCCGCCCCAGCAGCCGCAGCAACAACAACAACAACAGCGGTACGGCAGTGGCTACGGCGCCCAACCAGGTTCAGCTGCTGCTGGTGCTCCTCCTCCGCCACGCAATGCATTCGCATCTCCTCCGCCTCCAGCCAACTACGGCCAAGGACCGCGACCATCTGGTTATCACAACCGTCCTCCGATTCCTCAAGCCCAACGTCCTCCCACTGTAGCACCGCCTCAGAATCCTGACCCTAACAGCCGTGAGGCTTTATGGCCGCTCTTCATGGCCGTAGACAAAGAACGCAATGGTCAATTGAGCGAGTCTTCGTTGCGCAGCGCTCTGGTCAATGGCGACTACACAGCTTTCGATGCGCACACTGTGCGCATGATGATTCGCATGTTCGACACAGATCGCAGCGGCACCATCAACTTTGACGAGTTTTGTGGCTTGTGGGGATTCCTGGCTGCCTGGCGTAACCTATTCGACCGCTTCGATGTGGATCGCTCGGGTAATATCAGCTTCCAAGAGTTCTCGGATGCTCTCGTCGCTTTTGGCTACCGTCTGAGTCCTCAATTCGTTCAGCTGCTGTTCAACACATTTGCGAGGACGACACGCGGCAGAGGCGATGATTCGTACCATGGTGGACGTGAGAAGACGCTCAGCTTCGACCTATTCGTGCAGGCGTGTATCAGTCTGAAGCGTATGACGGATGTGTTCAAGAAATATGATGATGACCGTGACGGATACATCACTCTATCATTGTAAGTTCTCTTCGTGTTCCGATGTTCTCGAGTATAGGCTAACAAGCATGCAGCGAAGAGTTCCTCACAGGTGCGCAAAGCCTTTTCCTCTTCAACTCCATTTCCCCTGTGACCGATAATGGCCTTTACTGAACCCTTTGGAAGAAATTCTACGACAGCGATAATATCTTTGATGCTTCCTTGTCGAGTTGCGTGCCGAGAGACGATGCCACAAAGTAACAAGGTTTACGTCGACATGATGAAGCGTGGAAAACGGGTATGTTTTTCTCAAGAGGCAGTATTTTATGATACCCCTATATTTTGCCAATCGAGAGTCTGAAACAAGAGAAGAAGGAGATTGAAGATCGAAGGTGAACGTGAATTGTGTCAAAGTGGACCCTGCTTTCATGTGATTAAAGATTGCGGCCAAACAAGTCAAACAAGGCGGAAGAGGCTCTCGGCGAAAAAGTCGCCGCATGTTTTAGGAATTTCTCAAAAAGTTGATTAGCATATTTTCACCAACCATAGCAACCACAATGGCAGCAACCATGGATACAAGCCTAGCATCAATACTCTCGGGTCTTACGAGTTCTCTGGAATCGGCCATCCCGGCGCTGCCCACCAGCGACTCGATCCTTCCTCCGGCAAATGGCATCACACTTCTGGACGCGAAGAACGAGCTCTTCCTTTCATATCTGCAGACCCTGGCTCTTCGCAATTTGGCTGTCATTCGCAGCGCTAAGGATGGGAAGACCAATGCTGGCGAATTCGACGATCAACTCGTGAGAGACCTTGTCAAGCACCGCGTCTACCTGGAGAAGGGCGTGCGGCCTTTGGAAGACAGACTCAAGTACCAAATCGACAAGGTTGTCCGCGCAGCTGAAGACGAAGCTCGCGGTGTCGTCCAAAAGGCTGCCGTAGCCAAACAATCCGCCGCCGCTGCCACCTCTGCAGCCTCAGACGACGAAGAAAACTCCGACGATGACGATGGCTCCGACTCAGAAGCAGACTCGGACGACGGCCTCGCTTTCCGCCCCAACCCTGCCGCCCTCACTCGTCCTTCAGAAGCAACCGAACCCACAAGATCAAAGACCGAAGCTCCAAGCGATGGCATCTACAGACCTCCCCGTATAAACGCAACAACCATGCCCACACCTCTATCCCCGCGCCGCGAAAAGGGCGATCGCAAACCCATGCGCAGCAACACAATCGACGAATACGTTGCCGACGAGCTCAGCGGCGCTCCCACCGCTCAACCTTCCATCGGCAGCACCATCACCGCTGGCGGCCGTCGCGACAAGTCGGCCCGCGAACGTAGAGAAGAAGCCGAACGCACTGCCTACGAAGAAGCAAACCTGGTCCGTCTGCCCAAAGAAAGCAAAAAGGAAAGAGCAAAGAAGGGCGGAAACAAGCGTGGTGGATTTGGTGGTGAAGAGTGGGATCTGCTGGGCCAGGGTATTGGCCGCATTGATAGATTGACAAAGAAGGGAGAAAGAACCGGTGCTGGTGGTGTGGGTGGCGCTTTGGAGAGAAGCAGGAAAAGAAAGGTTGATGACGATGGTGGTAGAGGCGGTGCTGATATCGGCAGAGACTTTGAGCGTAGGAAGAAGAGGGCTATGCGCAGAAACTAGAGGGATCGGTTCTATACGCTTACCTCTGCGGAATCTCGGCCTTGCCGTTAATCAAATCTTCTGTTCATTCTTTTGGGCCTTCACCGAACCTGGTTCTACGGACATCACCAAAACAATACCATGTTGGTATCACGGCGATCATCGACATCTCGAACAGACCTATATTCAAAGATCACTATGTGTTCTATCGCGGGTCGTATACTTACGCCAGCCATTGGCTGAATCATACGAAGTTTTCTCTTAGGACAACCCATCAGCTCTGCTTGACAAGTGCATTGATAATCTGGTGATCGAACTAGGCGAATGGAATTTTTGACTACTAACTTGGATACTGAGAGTAAACCCGATGTGTCTACTTCTACATCACTGCTTATGCCCTTTCGGTAATACTCCCTATTCCTCCCTTTCCTCGAACATCGTTGCGCCCTTTGTTCAGATCCCTATCGATCGACTTTCTGCTGCATTATTTCACTCTCCCCCTTAACACAAAAAGCGATCTAGCCCTGCTGAGCATCGAGATTAGCAACGACTTTGCTCATGGCGTACACATCAAAGTCATAGTTGTAAGGATCGTCGATGTCGGCTAATGACAGAATCGCGTCAGCCCCATCTAATCCGTTCAACCAGTCTGATCGACGCAGCGGTGACATGTCAGGACCAGCTGGATTCTGACCCTGAAAGTTCAAGACATTAGGGTTCAATGGACCGATCGTCGGTTTGGCGTTATACAACAGGTTTGACTTGTTCTCGATGGCCATGTTGTGAGTTTGTGGTGTCGAGGGCATGTCACAAGCGCCTTTGGAGGTCGTCGACGGGATTGTAGAGTACGTGTATCCCTGGTCCAATTCATACTCAGCATCGACGTCCATCGTTTCACCGTCGTCAGAACCACGATGAGCAGTGTTTCTGGGCGCAATCATGGCCTGGCGTTTAGTGGAGCGCGAACTGCCGGGGGGAGATACTGCGGTGCGTTTTGTACTCGAACGTGCCTTTACAACAGGAGTAGGCTCAATGTCCATGTCGTCTTCTGCGTTTCCATCGCCACCCTGCCATTCATCATCATCCTCAAAACCGTGATCTTCTTCGCCGCCATCATCCTCGTCGATAGCATACACGTCGTCTTGCTGAGACATTCTCTTGTTTCTTGGGGCTCTGGTAGCTCTGGTTGACCGCTTGGGCTGGTCTAAAGCAGAGTGTTCTGGCGACGGAGAAGGCGATTCAGCATAGCTGACTCGTTGCTTGGTGCGTCCGCTACGGCGAACACCGGCTGGCGAGATACGCTGAGCAGGTGATTCCTTCTTATTGCTGCGTTTGGTCGTTTGAAGTTTAGGCGCTGGACGTTGGTTGTTGGCTACGGGGGAATCATCGTTGTTGATTTGGGCACCACGAGAAGGTACTTCGGATATGATTTGCGATTGGGTTTCTACGTCGTCCATCTGACTGGCTTTTGGAGGTCTTCCACGTCTCTTCTTACGTGGAGAGGAGCTGGACATGACCTCTGCTGTGCGGTCTGCTAGGGAAATAGGCGTTGCCAGAGAGGGAGGGCTAGAGTACGCCAGAGATGGAGAGTCCGGGAACTTAGGTGTGTGTCTGAAGGGGGAAATAAGTAGATTGGTAGTAGGTCGACACGGGGTGGCAGAAGTATCGCCGGTTTCCCAGATACTGGATTCTGCGCGCTTCATCAATCTTCTTCCCTCGAACATATGATTGGCCTTCGGGATGCCCTGCGGTGAAGCAGCGACAGCAGACTGTGGTTTGTGCGCGTTGACGTACTGCTGCAATCTGCGCATTTTGTCTGCATGGACAGCTTGTTGCTTTTCTCTGGCCTTTTTGATGCCGTCCAAGATGAGCTGACGTCTGTCTCTGGTCTCTGCACCCCTCTGACGCAGTTCAACATACTCTTCGTGTTTGGTTCGGACTCTATCAATCTCCTTTCCTTGTTGAGGGCCAAAAGCGTCCCTGTACTTGGCAGCAACCGTGAGTTCCTGATGTAGAGTCTGAAGGCGATACTTGATGTCCACAAGATCGTCGTTGCATGCCGTCAGTAGGGTCAATCCATTCTCGACCCAATAAGCAGTCTCTTTATCCTCTTTGCAATAGCTACCGCCACAGAAAGTCAATGAGGCGTCATTCAGGACGTGGTAGTTGTTGCAAAACAACACTTGTGTAGCAAGAATGTCGACATTGCATTTTCCAAGCGACTGACTCTTGTGGCCGCAAGGGTGCGAAGTGTATCTATGGTAACACATGCTGTGTCACTAGGCGTGATAGATGGAGATGGTGTTTGAACTTGTCATTGGCGTATGTTGCGAAGAGCGAGTGCGTGTTTTCAAGAAAGAGTGTGGGTGCTCGTCGGGTTTCAAGAGAGTGAGTTGGCTGAATGGAAAGAGCGAGCTAAGTGAAAGGATGGCGCGAGACAACTGAAGCAAAGCAGCAAAGTGAATGATGGAGAGTAAATAGATTATGTGAAGGGAAGTGTGTGCTAATCGAAGGGAAGGTGCGTGCCGACTAAGAGAGTAATCGCAAAGCCGACGAAAGTAAACATTGCTGGAATTGTTTTCGTAGCTTGAATGCGACCATTTGCTCCTTCCCGAACCAAGCTGAACAACTGATTCCAGATCTTTGTGCGTTGTGTTGTTCAAGCTAATTCCAGTCCCAGATTATCGAGATGATATTTGCTTTGAAAAGCACAATAGTACCAAGTCTAGTTTCAGTTGTGTGAGAGACGTGCTGAGCTTACTACGATGCTAACCCTTCAAAGGTGTTATCAACAGCCTATCCAGCTCAATGTAGACTTCCAGTGTGAGATGTATATCCTGACTGAGAAGAACTGTACGCTATAATCAAGAGAAGTTCTATCGTGCTGCTTGACACAGAGTGTGCGATAGAACGCTAGATCAACAGACTCATATTTGTGCGCCATAGGGGGTGGACCAATCGTTGTGGTCACCCTGCACTTTGTAGTCGACTACAATCTCAATTTCATACCTGTTCAGCCAGCGACTACGGTCCCTACGCAGTGGTATGTGGACAATTTGACATATTGTAGCTGTTATGATGGCCAATCTGCAGTATGCTCTTGTCGACAGTAAAACTGATTGTGTGAGAGAAGTGATGCATAAGATAGTCGTAGGGTTACAAGGGTCGGCAGATCTAAGGAGGGCTTCTTCGATCATGGAGCGATGTCATGGATGTCATTCTTCCAGAAGAAACAAAGCCCACGTTCCAACCAAAAAGACAACAACCCTTGCCAAGACGTGGAGAGATCTGTCGCCAAGAGATGTGACAGATGCAGCCTAAAACCGAACACAACTTGGAGCAAGCAACGAAATCTTGAGCGTTGCTAATTCCGGTGAACGCAGACCCCACAAATCCTACTCGCGATACTCGGCCGCTCGCTGGCCGAAGGCCAGTCGAATGTAACAGGTGAGAGGGCGGGAGCGAAGAGATTGCTCGGCCGAGGTGGAAACGGAGACCGAGACGGACATTCGGCTTTTAGAATGATGTTTTGGCGCGCCAGGAATTGCACTAGAGGCGTTATTCTTCGCATCATCTGCAGAACAAAAGCAAAGAGTCATGCCGCTTTGTGTCCTTGTCCCCTTTTCCCGACCTAGGATTCCTCTTCGCCTTCTGACCTAATATCTTGTATCTGTGCTACCATGAGCGACGCAGTGCGACATACAGAGGTCGCACGGGACGAAGCCGCTGCTGAGGCTGGACCTGGAGCGGCCACAACGAATGCGCCGCCTACTAATCAACTTACAGACGACATTGAACACAACAGCACATCTTCAGTATCCACCAAACGCGACGATGTGCAAACGCAAGAAAAACCACAATTGGAGCGCAAGGACTCGACACCGTTGGAAGAGCGGTCAAAGGGCAAGATCGCTTTGATCATGACTGCCCTGGGCATGGCCGTCTTCCTGGCTGCCCTTGATGTCACCATCATTACGACTGCCCTGCCCACCATCTCGGAATATTTCCACTCATCTGCCGGCTATACTTGGATTGGTTCAGCATATCTGCTAGGAAACGCTTCGAGTGTACCTCTATGGGGCAAGATTTCTGATATCTTTGGACGAAAGCCTATCCTGATTTGCGCAAACGTCCTCTTCCTTATTGGGTCTCTTATTGCTGCTCTTGCAAACAGCATTGGAATGCTCATTACTGCCCGTGCCATTCAAGGTGTCGGTGGTGGCGGTCTGGTTACCCTTGTCAACATCTGCATCAGCGACCTGTTCAGTTTGAGAAGAAGAGGCGCCTACTTTGGTATCATTGGAGGTGTCTGGGCATTGGCTTCGGCCATTGGACCAGTCATTGGTGGTGTTTTCACAGAAAAGGTTACTTGGAGATGGTGTTTCTACATCAACTTGCCTCTCGATGGAGCCGCTCTTATCATCATTTTCTTCTTCCTTGACTTGAAGACCCCCAAAACCCCTCTTTGGGAAGGTCTGAAAGCAATCGACTGGAGTGGAGCCCTGCTCGTCATTGGTGGTGTTCTCCTTTTCTTGTTCGGTCTAGAGTATGGCGGTGTGACCTATCCTTGGGACTCTGCAACTGTTCTTTGCCTCATTATCATTGGTGTCTTCACTATGGGACTGTTTGTCATCAACGAGTGGAAATTTGCCAAGTCTCCCGTCATGCCTCTCCGCATATTCCAAAACAGAAGCAACATTGCCGTCCTTGGTGTGTGCGCCATTCACGGCATGGTCTTCATCTCGGCCTCATACTACTTGCCTTTATACTTCCAGGCTGCTCGTGGCGCCACTCCCCTTCTGTCAGGTGTCTACATTCTTCCACAGGCTCTGTCTTTGTCCTTTGCTTCAATGGCGACTGGTATTTTCATCCGCAAGACGGGTCAATATTTACCTGCCATCTGGTTCGGAATGACCTTCCTCGTCCTGGGCTTTGGACTGTTCATCGACTTCACAGCTAACAGCAGTTGGGCGAAATTGATTATCTTCCAGATCATCGCAGGAATTGGCATAGGTATTTACATTCTCCTTGTCGCTTTTCGATCTATGAGCTGACACCGTGTTCCAGGTCCCAACTTCCAAGCACCCTTGATTGCGCTCCAAACAGGCGTCCAGCCTAGAGACATCGCCACAGCGACAGCAACCTTCGGCTTCGTCCGCCAAATCTTCACATCCATCTCCGTCGTGATCGGCCAAACTGTATACCAGAACCAGATGAACAGCAAGACAGCGAGCTTGGTGGCGGCCCTTGGCCCCAAAGTCGCAGACCAATTGACAGGAGGAGGTGCTGGTGCCAACACTCAACTCATCGACAGCCTTCCCCATGGACAAAAGCAGGTCGCCCAAACCGCTTTCGCACAGAGCTTGCATCCCATGTGGATCATGTACACTTGTTTCGCGGCGCTCGGTCTGGTTGTGAGTTTGTTCATCAAGAAGAAGGAGCTCAGCAAAAAGCATACCGAGACCAAGACTGGACTTGACGCACAGCGAGCCAATGCCGAGGCGCAGGCGCAAGAGGATGCGGAAAAGAAGTACGCAAAGGAGGCTGCAAGAGAGAGAAGATCGCATGATCCTGAGCAGGGTGAAGCATGAGAGTCTGGCCGATGGCTTTGACTTGTTTCTTTCTTTTTGCATTTTTGATGGCGCATACTTGATACCAAAGCTCACGACATGGCGAGCAAAACAGCATGTCCTTTTTTCAAATCCAGTACATATTCTGCATCCCCTGTATTCTGTTAGATCTCTTAATTAACAAGCTTCACACTTCCTGTCAGTAACACGCTCAGTAACATATATGTCAAGTGTCCAGAAGTTCGGAGAATGTTTTGTTGGCTGTTATCTCTACCCAAGCTTCTTGACTCTCTCCTCCAACTCTTTAACCCAGGCCTCGACTGCAGCGCTGTTCTCGAGCATACCGCTCTCTGCTCTGGCAACGGCTTCCTCTACCTTCTTGAGGCCGTCTCGCCATTCGCGAATCTCCTTATCCGCTTCGTCTTGTCTTTGTTCCACCTCGTCCAGGGTTTGGCTTGCTGTCACGGCGTTGGCGTGTAGTGTTCGCAGAGACCGCAGGCGGGTCAGTAAGGGAGGTAGCGTAGGGCTTAAGGATGTAAGGGTTGGTAGGAGCGCATAGAGGGCGCGTAGTTTTGCCATGTCCTCTGGGGATTGGGAGTCATGGTCGGTATCTGTGGTGGTATTCGTAGGAGTGGCTTGCTGTTGCTGGAGTTTCTGGACCAGAGTGTCGATGTGAGATTGGGAGGATGAGGAAGTGAGCAGGGCTAGTTGGCGGTCTAGCAAGGATAAAGTGGGGATGATGGGTGTAAAAGTTGAGTTTGCGGTGGAAGCTTCAGGTGTATCGAGGGATGTGATGCCGAGCTGGCGTTCGAGGAGCGCGAGGCGGGCATCAAAATCGGCGACCTTGTTCAATGCCTGCGTGTCGGTAGTCTCTTTGTTGACCCCTTCAGGGCGGGTCGGCTCTGGCACTGTGACAGCATCTGCCTTTGCTGTTGTTGGGGTTGCCAGTCGCTTGCTCAAACGAGCTTGCGCGGATTGAGATTGGCGCATACTGTCCAATGCTGTACTCAATTGAGCCAGTTGAGCAGCGACATTCTCGTCCTCTGGGTGTGCTTGTGTCCCGTTTGTCTCGCTCTTCCTCTTGTCCAGTTCGTTTTGCACCTCCTGCATCTCTCTGTTTAACCTTGCCAGCTTCCTTTGCAGACTCTCGTTCTCATCCTCGCTGTCGTAGTCGTCGCCATCTTGACCTTGTTCCCTGTTGCTCACAACATATGCTCTTCTCTTACTGCTCACACGGTCCGAAAAGTCCGTCTCCCTTGCGTCTACTCGTGAAGACTGAAATTGAGATCGCGCTTCGTCAGGATGGAGTTTGTTGCGGCTGATGTTGGGGTTCGCTTCTGTGTCGGATGTGTCTGACCATGCTGTTGACGTCGGTAGTGTAGATGCATCGTCTGTCAGGTCTGGCGTCTCGTATGTGTCTGGAGACTCGTCCTTGGGTTTGGCATTAGCTGCGTACCTCCTGGGCGGGTCTGAATGTTTTGTTGTTTACCAAGTCGGGCAGAGCGGCATATTTGCGCACTTGGGCCATTTGTGAACTGTTATTGAGTAGTTGTGAGATTTGACAGCCGTCCAGCAGATGTCGGGTGAGAATGTGGTTATATTCGTAAACGAATTGAGCGTCGATCAAATCTCAGGGTCACTTCCAAGGTGGATTTGGGTTGCGCCTTGGTCAAAACATGGCGTTTCAACACGGCCATTGTGATACAGCACAGTCACGTGAAACACGATCGAGATAGAACCTCCCCTAGATCCATATGCCACTCACGATGAAGAGTTTGATTATATTCTGTTACTTCGTTCTACAACTTCACTGGCCTCGTGGGCTGTTGGGAAGTGTCGACCAAAATCTGGGGTTGACTTGATTGTGGAACTATGGGCAATTATACACAGCTAACCGTGGGCCTCTTTGATGAGCTTCGGTGTCCTCAAAGCCGACATGTAGCCACATGCATGTTTAAGACAGACTCGCAATATGCGTAGAGTCCTCGGGAGCGAATAGTATGTGGACAGAGCGCCGACCTGATGCGATTGGTCTACGGTAGCTCGCCCAACGTATCAACAGCTCTTTCCCTCGATCTTCTCGATTCCTCAATCTATCCATTGACGCGCGTCCTGTCGTGGTCGCAATCGTGTTCGGGGGACGAATACGTCAGTGTTCCCGATGTTTCTTTGCAGCCTCTCGTATATTCGTCGTGGATAGCGGTCAAGATGTGGATATATCCGACATCGATTTGGGGCTCTTTCTCCTGCTTGGAAAATAGCTTCAACAGAAGTTGCTTGGAGCACTGGATTTGTTATGAATGTTCTGGTATGGTGTATCAGTAGACGGGTTTGTTCAGAAAAGAAGTTTATGCAATGACAGAAACCGAGAGCTTGAGTTGTCAAAGCGGTGCGATGTTGAATCTCACCACCAAAAGGTAACTCGCCATTTCGGTGACATTGATTTCTCAAGTCGCGCATAAGAATGCATGACAATGTATGCGTATTTCGAGTCTTCAAGATCGGGTCGCGGGCTCTTATAATTTCCGAGTATGCGGAGTGGCATGTCGATGACAGGCTCGTAAGGGCGCACATGGTGAGCAGACAGAATCGGTCGTGCAGCAAGGCTGGAGATGGCCTGCGCTCAAGGCTAGATCGATGACCGCGACGGCGACGATACGATGTTGGTTTTTCACGCAAAATACTGCGTGGCGCGCATATTGCGCTGGGCTGCGAGCCTACCTGACGGCATTGGCAGCCAAAGCTGATGTATGGTGCGTGGTGCAAAGATATACGAGGTGAAGAGTTGAGGTGAGGTTGAAGCAAAGTCGTTGCGGAAAAAGCGCTGCCGAGGGCACACGGGCTTCAAGACCCATCACCATCTGGAGACATACTCTATCGCCATCTCGATACTGCCCTACCCTCATCGACCTCCGGGATTCATCACTACTTGCAAACCATCTTCTCTCTTTTTCTCGGTTCTATAAGATCGAACATGCTCTAAACTCTATTGAGGAGCGATGCGCCATCAGATCGCCTGTCCTTCATTTGCCTCCATATCCTGATATTGCCAATATGCATCCGTCCAGCACTACCCATACTACACTGGACGACTCAGAAAATCTCCCAGATACGATGAAAAAGACGGTATCAACTATCTTAGGCAAAGAGATGGCTTTGGGCCCTTCAGCTGCTGTGCCAGATCATGTCCGATCAAGGCCATCAGCCCAATATACCCATCTCGAAAGTCCCGAAGATTCAGGGTCTACCCTATCTTCTGTCGAAAGCGAGACTTTGAGCTCCGTTCCCGACATGCAAGGCGCAAGCCTGACCAAGGTCGATGTTAATGGTATCCTCCGATATGGCTCATTCGACGCTGATGAAACTGGTCTCTCATCAGTTACTTCTGTGCCTTCCATTAACAAACGCTCTTTTCAAGAGATTCATAGCTATCCAGAAAGTCAGATATCTGACGACGACAGAGCCACGAAAAGACAGGCTCTATCTTCTGAAAGTGCTCGCCCTTCAGATCATGTCACGCCTAGCAGTCGCTCATCACTATTGTCAAACATCCAAGTCGAAGCCCGTCCGAATCCAGAAATTTCTGCTTCTCTGAGAGATGATCGCATACAGTCGGCACCAAAAGCTCCTACACCAAAGACGAAGAAATTCTCAAAGGTTTCTAGATTCACGACACATGCTCGTCCAAGGTCGTCCATTCCCATACACATGTCCTGGGAAGAATACGGCAGACAATGTATTTCGGCAGCTCATTCGTCGCGTCTCAACCCATATGCCCTCCATCCAGGGGAATACAGACTCTTGCGAAACCACATTACACAAGCTCAAGTCACAACCTATCTGAATATCCGCAATGGCATTCTGCGTCTTTGGGTCCGAAATCCCTTAGTCAGCGTTTCTAAAGAGGAAGCAGCCGGGTGCGCAAAGGATATCCGCTTCTTTGACCTAGCTCATACGTCGTACTGGTGGCTAGTCAGAAACGGCTATATCAACTTTGGCTGTGTCGAGGTGCCTCACGCAGGAGTCCTGAGCGCCAAGCGAAAATCAATACCGAAACAGAGGACAGTTGTTGTTGTAGGCGCTGGTATGGCAGGCCTCAGTTGTGCGAGACAACTCGAAGGGCTGTTTGCCCAGCTCGGTGATCATTGGACTGATGCTGGAGAGTTGCCTCCGAAAGTTGTGGTTTTGGAAGGTAGAAACAGAGTTGGTGGCCGTGTCTACTCACATCCGCTTCGAGAGCAAGTACCAGATAGCTTGCCAAATGGTCTTCGAAATACTGCTGAAATGGGCGCTCAAATTATCACAGGCTTCAATCACGGAAATCCCTTGAACGCAATTGTTCGCGGACAACTCGCCCTTCGTTACCACCTTATGTGGGATGAGATTACCATGTATGACTCCGATGGACTCGCAGTCAATCACGAACGCGACATGATGGTGAATAAGATACACAACGATCTTCTCGAGCGAGCCAGCGACTTCCGCGTCAAGCCAACGCCTGTAGAGACACTAGAAGGACTCCCGGATTATGTTGATGTCTGCCAAGATCCTGTGGAATTCAAGACGGACAGGACCAATGCTCCCACCCTGAACAAGGAAAGACAACAAGCTGTACCTCCTGGCTTTGCTAAGCTCCAAGGACGGACTCAAGTGGTTGCTGGCAACAGCTCGAGTCGAACAGCGGCACAAGCTGTACGGTCGGCCGGTTGGCAATTACGACCTGGCATAACAAAAAGACATTCTCTTGCCCTTGAAGCCATAGCCACCGAGTCTGACAAGCCAACCTTAGGCGCAACCATGGATGAAGCCGTTCGTCAGTATCAAGAGCTTGTTGAGTTGACACCACAAGATATGCGTCTACTCAATTGGCACTATGCCGATCTTGAATATGCGAACGCTGCTACAGTCTCCAACCTCAGCTTGGGTGGCCACGACCAGGACAGTGGTAACGAATTCGAAGGCAGGCATTCCGAAGTGGTGGGTGGATACATTCAAGTGCCTCGTGGTCTCATGATGCTGCCATATCCTCTCGACGTTCGCTGCGAATCAGCCGTGGAGAAAATCACCTACAATGCCAACGATGACGACGCAGACGGTTCAGCAACAGTGTTATGTACTAACGGAGAAGTGTTCGAAGCCGATCAAGTCATTCTTACCTCTCCACTTGGGGTGCTCAAAGCAGAGACCATAACATTTGAGCCAGCTCTGCCAGCGTGGAAAAAAGGCGCCATTGAACGAATGGGCTTCGGACTCCTCAACAAGGTGATACCATTACTTCATTCTTTTCAAATTCTACCACTAACTCTGCTAGGTGGTCATGGTTTTCCCACATGCATTCTGGGATAGCCAATACGACATGTTCGGTTTCCTGAATGACGCCGAAAACAAGGACAGTCTAAATCCCGACGACTATGCCGCCCGCCGCGGCCGCTTCTACATGATGTGGAATTGCGAGAAGAACAGCGGTCGGCCAGTACTTAGCGCTCTCATGTCTGGCCGAGCAGCTCACGAGGTGGAAATCACGGACAATGATGTGCTGCTCCAAGAAGCTTTGGAAAAGCTCAGGCGCACATTCGGAGCCGAGAATGTTCCTGACCCCGTTGAAGTCATCGTCACACGATGGAAGAAAGATCCTTTCGCGAGAGGCACCTATTCTTTCGTTGGACCTGCTACTAGTCCACTGGACTACGACATCATGGCAGCGCCTGTAGGAAATTTGCATTTCGCTGGAGAAGCTACTTGTGGTACTCATCCTGCTACCGTTCACGGCGCGTATTTATCAGGACTAAGAGCAGCCGCCGACGCCATTGATACGATGATCGGCCAAATGGCGGTTCCAGAGCCTCTAGTACTGCCTCGACAGAACCTTTCAGTTGCTGGCCTCGAGGGTGCATCTGAACTGGCTAGTACGGAGTCACCAATGAGGGATGTCTTTTTAGGCACGCCCTCTGAAGCTCCCAAACGTGTAGGCAGACCTCCAGGTAGACCACCAGGTAGACCACCAGGTAGACCACCAGGCAGGCCCAAGAAGGTTGTCGAACCGGTACAACATCTCCCGGCAGTGACACCGAACCCGCCAATACAGTCAAATCCCTACAGATCGTCCACCAACAGCAAGTCTGTCGAAGACGAAGCATACGAGGCCGCAATCATTGATGCCATCCTTTCGGAACTTGGTCCCCGCCCAATAAAGCCAGCTAGACCCGGCGCAAGCGTTAACCCATACCTTTTGTTCACGAACGACTCTTGGGCACGGTGCAAGGAGGAATTGAGTCTAGCAAAACAGAAAGCAAGTGGCGACAGCACAGCCAAAGCTCTGCGTGAAGAGATTCGTACTGAGGTTGGTCGACAATGGCGAATGTCAAGTGATGAGGTCAAGCGACCATACATCGAGCAAACGCAAGCGGCACAGCAAGCGGTAAAAGAGACGCGTGCACAGTACGAAAAAGCAGCAGCTCAGTGGGACGAGGATGCCCGGAGAATTAGACTCAAATATCAGGAAGAGCATCCGCCTACCAACGGGAACGAGTGGTCAGGCAGCACCAGTATCGAGGTGGCTCCTTTAGCACCTCCTCGACGCAAGCAGACGGTCAACTACAACGAATCCGACGGCGAGTGAGGTGCATACGGCATGTCTCTTGGCGTAGTTGCTCGTGTTTGAGTGGTGGAAAGTCTTTAGTCAGCGTGTATGAATAGCAATGTACAACAATCAACATTCAACTTAGGCGAATGGTACGGAGATGGCGATGATTTGCAGAGGGCACGTCGGCTGGCGGCTATTCTTGCGCGAAGATCGCTCTTGGCTGCACGCGTGATGGCCGCGTGGGTACGCCCAAAGTCAAAATTGGGGTGTTTAGCGGGTATGGAAGCCTTCTACCAGCCGATCATTTTGACATTTCGCAGATAGACTCAGCACCTCTAGCTCACTCTTTTTGGATGGAGAGCTTTGTCTACCCGCGTTGTTAGAAACTCACTACCGCATACTTTCCACATAGAGTCTCGACATGATTGCCGTAGAGACAGGGGCCTCTGCGCTATGGCGCATGGAAGCGTCTCGCCCTATGGCGGCTTTGGAAGGTTTGATGGAGTGACATAGCGGGTGTGCTTACCGATTGAACCGCCGTCGGGTCTATCAGCAAGCCCGGGGGCACGGCCAGGACTCGGTGATGTCAAACAGCAAAAACCTCCACATATTGGATGGTAGGACCCGCTGATAAGGCTCGTGTAGGCCAGCGTAGACTGGACAAAGCCGAATGCAACCCAAAGGCCAACATCAGACGAGGCAATCAATGCGAAAGAAGTGAGGTCTGAGACGTGTCAGGGAGGTATCTCAAGCCACTGAATCGATTGTTGGAAAGGTCGAATCCTTTTTCCCCGCCATCAAATCCCCAGAAACCGCTCGGGTAGTCAAGTAGGCGAGTCTAGCACTTAGCCGTTGCATTGCCTTCAACTCACACTCTGCGCAACTCTCGAGTCTCTTTCGCTCGGCGCCAGTAGCTGTCTTTCTCGCTCTTGCCCCCTTGTCCTGTCGTTGTCGCAGCACGATCTCCGTGTACACACTGTCGCCGCCGATACGTCCTCATACCCCCAAACAGTCGTTGAGACATCGGTCAATTGCTTGCCCGAGGACCGGGATTGCAGTCGCGCCTGCCCCGACTTTGATGTACACCTTCCTGGTGGAACTGTAGGATGTCTTTCTTCGGCAAGCTCAAAGGAAACGCAGTGAGTGCCGTGTGCCAGTTCCAGAGGTTTGCGCCACGTTTGACTGACGATCACGACCATGCTAGACACCAGCGAGTCCGACTACAGGCACCCTGCCCCCAAAGAAAGATGCCACCATTCCGCAACCGACCCCACTAGAGAAGCACATTGCTGATCTGGCCGGTCCTGTACGGCCGGACGGTAGCGACAAGTTCTTTGGCTTCGAAAACGTATGTCAATCCATCCTTTCCTGGCGCAACAGCAGCAGCAGACTAATCGCGACTTGCCAAACAGTACGGGAGCACATGGTACACGTCTACCTCGACCGTCTCAAGACATACATGACTGACTTATGCGTAACAGCTATGCCAACTCGATCATTCAATGTCTGTACTACTCAACCACCTTCCGCGAAAATGTCCTCAACTTCCCCCCACTGCCGCCAACGCCCGAACAATCCGAGACGGATGCAGACCGGAGCATGAGCCTCCAGAATGGCCTGCCGGCTCCTGGAAACCACCTCTTGACTGCTGCCACGAACAACCTCACTTCAAGCTCGCCCGCAAGACGACCCATCATTCTACCAAACTCGCCTGAAGCCCAAACAACCAAGCCCGATGACAAGGACTCTCCGGACTATAAGAAAAAGGTGGCCATGAGGTCGGGTCCTGTTCTAGAGATGCAAATGAGCAACTCCAACGCGTATGGAATGTCTGAATCGCTCTTTACCTCACTAAAGGACATATTCGAGTCTATCATTGGCCATCAATCGCGCACAGGAATCATCAGTCCTCTCAAATTCCTCGAGATTTTGAGAAAGGAGAACGAGATGTTCCGTTCTGCTATGCACCAGGATGCACACGAGTTTCTGAATCTGCTACTGAATCAGGTCGTCGACAATGTAGAGATGTACTCGAAGATGCTGCCGGCCATCAACGGCACACTCAACGGCAACGGCAGTGCAGAACCGAGCATGGCAGGCGCCATGTCTGCCATGGCGAAAGCGCACAATACGGCCGGTATGAGCAGCACTGGCTGGGTGCATGATCTCTTCGAGGGTCTCCTCACTTCAGAAACACGTTGCCTCAGCTGTGAAAACACATCACAGAGAGATGAAGCGTTTATGGACCTGTCCGTCGACCTGGAGGCGCATTCTTCTGTAACATCATGTCTGCGAAAGTTTTCAGAAGAGGAGATGTTGTGCGAACGCAACAAGTTCCACTGCGACAACTGTGGCGGTTTGCAGGAAGCTGAAAAGAGAATGAAGATCAAACGACTACCACGCATTCTGGCTCTCCATCTGAAACGCTTTAAATACACCGAGGACCTCCAAAGACTCCAAAAGCTTTTTCATCGAGTTGTTTATCCTTATCACTTGCGATTATTTAATACCACGGACGATGCAGAAGACCCGGATCGATTGTACGAACTCTACGCTGTGGTTGTCCACATTGGAGGTGGCCCATACCATGGACATTATGTCTCTATCATCAAGACTCAGGATCGTGGGTGGCTTATGTTTGATGACGAACTAGTCGAGCCTGTTGATAAGAGCTTTGTAAGGAATTTCTTCGGTGGTGAGCCAAAACCGGGAGTGCAAGACGCCAGGCAACTTGCTTGTGCTTATGTGTTGTTCTATCAAGAGACGACGTTAGAAGCAATGCAGAAAGAGCAAGAGGCCGAGGCCAGACAGGCTGCCGCTGCTGCTAGCATGGCAAACAGAGATTCGGTCTCGAGAGAAACACAGAATGGTCTGATGATTAACGGCCTTCGCAACACACATACAGTGCAGTCACCGATCGAAGAAGAGCCCAATGCCTTTGCGAGCCTCGCTCATGCTTCTACTGCTCCAGCTCTGTCGCAGCAACGTTCAGCTTTCAGCGGCCTGTCGACGTCACCTTTCCTCGGCTCCGGGACTGGATCTCTGGACAAGAAGGCAGCGAAGCAGGCAGAAAAGGAACGCAAAGCACAGGAAAAAGAAGCGCGCAAGCTCGCAGATGCAAAGAGAAAGGAGGCGGCCGAGGCGACGAGAAATGCTTGGAAGAAACAGAACGAGGATTACCTTGCTGCCATCGAGCTCAGCAAACAAACGGCGGCCGAAGAGGCTAGTCGCGCAGGGAATGCGGCTCCTGACATGGGTACACCAGCAGCAGACAGCAAAGACCGACCAGGTCTCAGCAGATTTAGACACAGCTCGATGAGTCTACGACAAAAACCAAAATTCTGGACTTCGGGCAAAGAGAAGGAACCGGGAAGCCCGATGCCAACACAGGCTGAGGAAGCAACCCCAGCAACAGGCGGAGAGAAAGATGTTAAGAAGAATAGGTTCAGTTTAAGCCGAAAGAAGTCGACGGCGCTTTGAAGATCAGTGTACATATCACATATTAGGCCTGTTCGCGCAGGTTGCTGTAATGCACAGGGCAGTCTTGGACATATAAAAATCAAGAGTGTGGCGACGTCCTCATGGCACTTGAATCATGGTGGCAGACGGTATGCCGGATGCTTTGGCAGCTTGTTCAAAATGTTGATAGTTTTGTTCGAATATCATGTATGTATCTGAGGAACGACTTGTTCAGACTGAATCTTCCAGTCTCCACAACGCGCCGTGGCATAGTCTCTGTGCGTGTAACATCCCGTCGGTGGAGCAGAGTTGAGCAGCCACGTAACCCAACTTGGACCAAATGATGCGGCGTCCTGGTGTCGTGACTTGCAGCGTAGCGACATTGTCTGGTCAGCTGCTTCAGTCGCACTGTTGTTTGTGGGAAGGACGAGAAGAATCTGAGGATGGGAGGTGTGGTATAGGATTCATTGGTCGTGTCTAGTGGCAGTTCTTGTACATATGCTCATCCCAGTATAAGCTCGTAGACGATGATCAGCGTGTTGATGACAATCAGCGGTACTGTGAGATTTGGTGTCAGCTTTGAGATGGATAGAATGCGACTGGAGATGTAAACGTACTCCTCATGAGGGTGCGGACTGAAGCGATCAGGTTGATGACTTTCGACTTGATGCTGGTGTTGTCGGCAGGACCGCCGAACGCGGGCTCTTGTTGTACGGATCCCCAACCGACTGCAGACTTCCTGTTAGCTCCAATGTGTCGTCGAGACGGTGTAGCTGGAGGTATGCGTACTTCTGGCAAGAAAACGATCTTCGGACAGGATAGCTATAGCGTTGACCAGCAAGATGGAGACTGACAGGGTACACGTATTAGCTTTTGATGGTTGCCAATCGAGTCGCAAGAAGGGTTACCATAGAACAGGCCTCCAAGGCCGAAGAAGAACATGATGGTGTTGGTAGCAGAGGCTTTCTGCGACTGTCGATGCTGGAGGATGCTTGCGCTTGAAGCAACAACATGTCTCCTTGTCGTCCCCACCACCGCGCGTTGCGGCCGCCCTCCTCCACACGAAGCCCCTCGATGAAAGCTGACCTGTCCTCACAAACATGCGCCAAGAACTACACCATGTCGCGCCAACTCGTTGGTATGTCTCGATTTCGTTCTCGCCATTGTTATCTAGCTTGACGAACGCTGATGTCTCTCTTCCATAGATGTCGTCCTGGCTGGGCTGTTACCCTTGACCATCTTCGTACATCTTTATCTCGCTCCTTTTACTAAAGTGGAGGAAAGTTTCAACATACAAGCTATTCACGATACTTTGATTCATGGCATTCCAACAAGCAATCCTGCTGCCTTCTTCAAATCGCATTATGACCACTTCACCTTTCCCGGTCCTGTGCCTCGCACTTTTGTTGGTGCTGTCGTCATGTCCGGCTTGACTAGACCTTTGCAGATAATCTTCAACATGTTACCGACCGAAGGCATTGACAAGTTTAATTTTCAGATTGTTGGTAAGACCGTTAGGCCTTCAGGTCCTTAGATGTCATTTTTCTGATGGGTCAAAAGCCAGAGGAGTGCTTGGACTGCTGAATGCAGCAGCTCTCATCCGATTCAAGCGCGCAATCGACACAGCATACGGCAAAGTGGCAGGAAGATGGTACATCATACTTCAAGCCTCGCAGTTCCATGTCATGTTTTACGCATCACGCACCCTGCCCAACATGTTTGCTTTCAGCATTAGTAAGTAACGAATCACTCAACGAGCACCTTCCCACCCTGACCATGTCAGCAACCTTGGCGTTGGCCAGTCTTATCTCTGCTCAGGCAGTTGCGACACGCACTGAAAAGAGCTCCAAGCGCAGGCGTCTAGCTCTCTACCTTCTTACCGCTTCAGGCATCATTTTCCGATCAGAGATAGCTATTCTGCTGGCCATGCAAACTCTATACTTGCTGCTTCAAGGTCGCACTTCTTTGCTCAACGAGGTCATTCCTGCTGGACTCTGTGGCGTGATCATTGGACTTGGTATAACTGTCTCGGTAGATTCTTACTTCTGGCAACGCTTCCCATTGTGGCCAGAGTGGATCGGCTTCGTCTACAACACCATTCAAGGGAAATCCTCCGACTGGGGTGTGAGTCCATGGCACTACTACTTTGTCAATGCCATCCCTCGTCTTTTACTGAATCCAATTTCTTGGTCTCTCTGTATTCCTCTTGCTCTGGTCAATCGCGCAACCCGCAAATCCAGCTTGGACATTATCATACCTCTCCTCGCTTTCGTGGCTATTTACAGCATCCTGCCCCATAAGGAGTGGCGCTTCATCATCTACATCATCCCAGGACTTACCGGTGTAGCAGCTGCAGGAGCATCGTGGATATGGACTCGCCGATTCAAGACCTTTATCTACCGCCTCCTGAGTTTGGGCCTCATCTGCTCGACTTTGCTGTCTTTCGCAGGTAGCTTGAGCTTGCTCTACATCTCCAGCTTGAACTATCCCGGCGGCGAAGCTCTCACACGTCTTCACGAAATCGTGCCAAGCGGTAGCGGTAGACAAGGCCAGGCATGGGTGTACATGGACAACTTGGCCTGCCAAACTGGTGTCACACGTTTCCTGGAGAAAGATGCAGGATCAACATTCATGTACGACAAGACGGAGAACCAGACAACACTCTTGGACCCTGGCTTCTGGCAGAAATTCGACTATGTGCTTGCCGAAGACCCTAAGCGCATCATCGGCAGCTGGGAGGTCATGGAAACGGTATATGGGTACTCTGGCATTGGTCTTGGTAGATTGGCGGCAGATCAAGACAGTGCGCCTCCTCTTTCAGCGCGCGGTGTCTTCACTCAACCTCTGAACATGCTGCTTCAGACATACAATATGGTCGCACGAACAGCAAGCCAGAAGCTGACTGGTGGGCGATGGCCCGTCGTCAAGATGGAACCAAAGATCTACATCTTGAAAGCACAATAAGAACATTCTTCGTTAGCTAGCACACACCCATCAAAAAGTATTAAAATTTTCCAGCCCCCATCTTTCCAGCATATCATACATAATTCGACACCTCGATCAAATTGCCATCTGGATCTCTCGTGTACACACTCTTCAACTTTCCTACGGCACCAACCCTGTCTACCACTTTACCTTCCTCCAAGATTTCTAGCCCTTCTTTTTGTAGCTCGGCAAGTACTTCTGTAATGGGTGTTGTGGTTATGAAACACAAGTCTGCAGTGCCCGGTTTCGCGAGAGTGGCTTTGGGTTCAAACTCTGCACCTGCTTGGTGTAGGTTTAGTTTCTGTTGTCCAAAGGAGAGAGCGTGTCTGTGTTTGGAAGAGTGACGTTAGTTTGATATGGACGATGTTGGTGATGAATTTTTGTTTAGCAAGAGGAAGTTACGAGTCTAATCCTGTGTCTCGTGTCGGGAAACATGCTTTATACATACCTCTCTACTCCCGGTCCATCCTTAGAAGAACGAAATACTTCGTGCTTCATGCCCAGCAGGTTGTAGAACTTGACTGTGGCATTGATGTTGCGACAGGTCAAGACAACGTGATCCAGGGCTTTGACTGCGAAAGGCATTTTGACTTGCTTGAAGTAGATAGCTGTGGAGATATCAACAGGCAGGTTACAATACTTAGATTGTAACTACCCTGTAGGTCATACGGGATGACCGGAGTTGGTATGATGCGTGCCATACGCGGCTGCGGGGCTGTTGAACCTTGTTCGGCAAGGATCAGCGATATTTGAGTACATAGATGTAACGAGCGATAGAGACAGCAGCACAAAGTAGTTGCATTCAAACAGTACAAGAGACGAAAAAAACCAGAGAATTGCGATATGATATACTACTGCCAAGAAGGTCTTCTAGCTGGTGATCCGAATTGAAACTCATCACTCCTCAACAGCTCAGTCGAATGCACAACTTCAGTCGTCTTGACGATACTCGGTAAATGCGCTGCAGAATCATGTACCGGTCCCCAGGGTATAGTCGTCTTCAAGCTCTTGAGCATCTGCGACCCATCCTCGAGGCGGTTCAAACGGTGGCAAGTTGGTGAATCCGTGCTGACTTGATAGATCAAGCCAAATCTTGCCAGCAATGTCTCGTACGATGTCCGGAGATGGATTGCTATGCTGGCTATGATGCAAAAGTTTTGCTCGATCTGCCACCAGGCTGTCGGGGCTATCATGTCTCTAAGTGGATCCTGAGTTGTACGATAGCCATGTAGGTATACCATGTTGGCGACAGAAGACATGGTTACGAAAAGACCGATGCCGACCAAGATACCCAAGGCGATCAACTCGTGTAACGGACGACTCATGCCCTTGACGAAGGTAAGAGGTGTAAGAGACAGAAGCAAACTGGTTATGACCCCGAAACCTGGCTCATGTCAGTGAGCTTCTTGCGCTGAGATGGTAATCCCCTTACCTAAGGTGACATATGCAGCAAGTTGTGTCCTCTCAGGCGGCCAGCATTGTGCTGCCAAATCGTCGTTCCATAGTGCAGAAGTTGGTTGACACTGCACCACTTGGATGACATTAGTCGAAATCGTACAGACCACTTGGACGAACATCGTCCAGCAGAACACCCATTGCCATTCTCGGTCCTGTCTTGTTCTCAAAGCAGTCCAGGCAATAGAGCATTTAGTCAAGCAAATCGACCACACACAGAGAGGTTGTGCGAGGAAACCAAAATGTCGGGCCTTGACTACTCTGACTGAGTCCACAAACACTGTATGTCTCCCCAGACCGTAGTGACAACCTATGGCGATGAGAACGAGATCGGATATTGCCAGTACCTGAAAGAGTCAGGATACAATGGGTCTAGAGCGAGGAGCACTCTATATTTACTGACCAGAGCTGCAGTGATCATGCCATCGGCCCAGACGAAAGGCGAATAGCGGCGAGCTCGTATGCGGGTAGCATACAGCAACAGAGACAATGCCAAAGTTATTACTGCGGGGACCAATGCTACGGCCTGCATGCTGGTGTTATGTCCGGCGAACTGCTGCTGCGGTTGATCGGCAGACATTCTGTGCTGTCCTGAAGCTCAAGCCCGGTTCTGAGACCCCTCAAGAGCTCGACAGTAAGCGGAGCAGTTCGGAGGCACGAAGTGGGTAAGGCAGGGGAGATGGGATACTATAAATCACATGGCAAGGCCGCTACCTGCAACTGTTTGATGGCGACACAATATGAGATCTTCTTGTGACTGTTGAAAAGAGCTTCGTGCATTATCTTTAACACATGTCTCAAGCTCGATCTGTGTTGGTGTCCTGCAGCACATCTCCTGGAGGGCAACCACAGTGAAGAGCGTGGAGATTGTTTCTGACTTCGGTTCCCTGCAGGTGCGTCTCCAAGGAAAGACACGCGCGCTTAGTCCGGCACATGGGCATGCAGTCGTAGCTGATGCATGAACTTAGAATTCGTAAGCAATCAACGAATCAGAGCCAACATCAGGACGTGATACTGGGCACGAGTTGAGCCGCTCTATTGGAGAACAACCCTGCTTCTGTTTTTGACAAGGTAAACATCTCGAAGTGGAAGGCGCGAGCTCGCACCTGTTTTGCTGCCTGGAGCGAACTGCATTGCACTAATGCATGCATGCAGGAATTGTGGGCAAGAACAGCCCGTCCTTACTCTGATGACTAGTCAGCTGCGGTTGAGACATCGCTATCATCTATGAAACTTTCGAGGTCACTGCAGTTGTTGTATGGTCTGGCTAGCTCCCGCTCCAAATGCTGTTCATCAAATCTGGACGATAGTTTGGATGTTGTGAGCCGTAACAAGATGCGATTTTGTTGCGGTTAGGGCAAGCACGAGAGGTCGGACCAACAACAGGCGGCTCACTGAACAGGGCTTGACGCAACAGGCAGGCAGACACTTGATGCTCATGAGATTTGCAAGGAAGGTGCAAGGATCCGATGATGCGAGACCATGAAGGCCCGGATCGGCAGGCGGATTCATTGCGCACCCCACAGCAACGTGAAACAAACGGACATTGTCACGCCTTCCAATGCTTCACTGACCCTTTCAAATCGTCCTGTCAGCTCGCCGTCCCTAGGGCGAGTCAAGAAGTACCGAATAATTGCTAGAAGAAGTGGTAATCACAATGAAAAGTCATGGCAAGTTCTCTTGACATTCGACCTTGATCAAGTCACGAAGTCAGGGTAAAGATGCACACCCGGCTAGGAGAATGATCGCCAGGTACAAGTACCACGCCACCTCGTTGTCCTAACGTTAGAGATAGATATCTCTATTTTTGTGTTCTTGCGCCAGAACTTCCTCTATCTCCAGCGATGGAGTATACCCGCCTAAGGTTATCGTGTCGAAGATCAACCCTTTCATATCGTTCATGAGCCGACCACGATCATTGCGACAAGACAGGTTCCACTTTGCTCTCGTCCAAACCAGCATTTGGCCCGTGAGTCGCATATTCGCAGGCCGCTCTTTCCAGAAGCAAGAGACGGGTCTTCCTCGTTACGAGAAAACACCTTGCGATGCGTGCTCTTCCGCTGCAGCATGGAAGGACTTCTCTGCATTTGCCAGTGGGTCATCGGTCCTGATTGATTGCCTTCTACGCCGAGTAGAGAAGTGAAGAAGACCAGGCTCGCCTATATAGGTAGGCCTCTCAACTGCTCATTTAATCCTCCAGGAACCTCTGTCTCTACCACACTCGCTACCTCTCGTGATCATTCGTCGCATTAGTTTGCTCGAAGTCTGATCTATCACACTCGCTCTATACTTACTCATAACATAATACGGAGGCACAGTCAACATGCACTTCAAGACTTCTGTTGCTGCTCTTGCTTCTATCAGTGCTTTGGCATCTGCCCAGGCTCCCAGCATTGGCTAATGGACACAATCTGAGATCAACAACGGCACTGCTTGGAAAAAGGTCACCCAGATCGCCAGGAGCAACCAGAAATACAACCTGGGCACGCGTGAAAACTCCCCCTGCCAATGGGATACCATGAATATCGGAAGAGAGTTCCGCGATATGTCCAAAGAGGACCGCAAGTCTTTTACCGATGCCGCTACCTGTCTCATGAACACACCTCCTCAGCGTATGCCCGCCGATCGGGCAGCTAGTTACCCTGGAATCAAATCTCGCCATGACGAATTCGTAGCCACTCATATAAATATGACCCTAATAATTCACGCGACGGCGGATTTTCTTGCATGGCACAGACACTTCATCAAGCACTACGAGCAAGATTTGCAGAACCTCTGCGGTTACACCGGTACACTTCCTTATTGGAACTGGGCTTTAGACGCTCCTGCGCCCCAAGATTCACCTCTGTTCACTGGTGACGAGTACAGCATGGGTGCCAATGGCAAGTACATCCCCAACCGCAGCGACACCTACCTCTACACTCAAAGCGTCAATATGCCTCCGGGCACTGGTGGCGGTTGCATCGAGAGCGGCCCCTTCTCCAACATCACCATCAACCTTGGACCCCTGGACCTGCCTAATACCAAAAACGTTGACAGCGACTACGAATACAACCCCCGCTGCTTGGAACGCGACTTCAACTCATTCTTTACCGAGCGCTACAACACTTTCTCCAACGTCACCGAGCTCGTTCTCGAAAGCATCTATCTCGAGGACTTCCAAGATAGAATGCAAGGCTATGCCGCTGGTGACCCCTTTGGCGTTAACGGAGGTGGTCATTGGGGAATGGGAGGTGCAGCTGCTGACTTCCATTCTTCGCCTAATGATCCTCTGTTTTTCCTTCACCATGGTATGATTGATAATGTCTGGACAACCTGGCAGAATCTCGACATCTACCGTCGTCAGTTCATCATTAAGGGAACTTCTACTCTCGGAAACAGCCCTCCTAGTGCTGAGATGACTTTGGACGATGTCATTCCCTTTGGCTTTGTTGCTGATGATCGGGTTTTCCGTGAGTTGATGGATACTTTTGCCGAGGGCTACTGCTACCGCTACGAGTAGATCATCTTCTGCTTTTTGTCGGCTGTAGCATGAAAAGCAAACTTTTTCTGTAAATACTTTTTTGCCTTTCTGTGCATAGCGATCTATAGGACTTTTGTAGACTACTTCATTATCTATATTTCGTAATGATATCATTTTCTGCATCTCCTCCTCAAGCTGAAGAGAGGTGATTTGGATCCTTCTATCAGTTCTCATACTCCTCCGTAAACTTTTCTGATCCACTCAACCCATACGCCAATATCGCCCACGAGCTCCAAAGCCTTTGCCATCTTGCGTGCCGCCTTGTCTTGCTCCTCTTGACTGCCCTTGACCACGTTCTGTGACAAGACAACCACTTGTCCATCAGCAGAGACACTAGCACTGAGACTTGCCAAACCGGCTTCAACTCCTGCGACCGGGAAGACAAATTCAAGAGTCGGTGAGGGCTGCGTGGACAATGAGATATCGATTGCAACAGCATTTACTGTGCTGATATTGGTCCCGCTAAGAAGATCGGCCAGTGACAAAGACGATTCGTCCTCCTTGGAAGGTGCAGTACTCTCTGTCTTAGCAAAAGTACCCTTGAGCAAACTTCCGAGATAAGCCCATTGTCGCAGTACAGGCAACAGAGCAACCACCTGGCGAGGATGTGCGAACGGGATGAACGTCAGCAGATAGCCAAAGTCTTGCTTAGGCACATAAAGCGCATTTTTGTGCTGCACATTCACACCATCGGGAGTGAGCACAGTTTTGATGGTTGAGGCAGCGGGTCCAGAAGATTGAAGGGGTTTGTTAAGCAGCGGCACGTCAGACGGCTTCTGGAGAAGCGATCCTTCGTATGTGTGCTGAATCTCCGGTATCTCGGACATGACGCTGGCAGAGCCAACGGACTGCAGTATAGCCGCCGCAGCTGTCCAGGGCATACTCAGTGGTGGGTTGAGTCTGGCTACGAAGCGTACGGCAGGCAGCTTCTGGACACCGGTGCTGGGGTTACTGTCAATAGCCATAGCGTCATTGTTGTCTTGACTGTTGTCGGAGAGGTAAGTAGGGGCTGGATCTTGCCAATCAATGCTCTGGGTGCCAGAAAGCAAATCGGTAGGATCCGTCGTCTCTTCAGCAGACTTGAGTATGCGGTCTGCAATCCAGGCAGACGAGACACGGATAGAGGAGTACGGGTCAGGGGTACCCGCCTCGGCTGTGATGTCCAAAGCAAAGATAGTTTCGTCGGCCTCTTTCAACGGATTCTCGGCAGGCTGCGAATCAACGTCCATGGCGGATGCGTCTTTTGCCGACTCGACAGAATCAGCTGGGTATATGTTGCTCTTTTCCATCCAGTAGTCCAGACTCAAGCCGATCTTTCTGCGCGCGTGCATCTGAGGACGACCACTCTTTTGGCACAAGACATGTCGTTCTGCTCTCAATTCCGGATTCCCGCGCTTCGCCTGTACGATGGCATGGGCTGCCTGTTTTTCGTGTTCGTAAAGCTTTTTCAGACTCTCGTAGACACCAGTGACTGCTTCGAAGCAGTTGAGCTGATTGTATACACTGAGTTTGTCCAATCTTGCCAAAGTTTCTAGGTTGGCAGCGAAGCGATCGAGTTTAGTGTTGATGGCAGAGGTGCCAGGTGCGGGAGTCAAGTCTTGGAGAAGAACGCTCGCGGCGGCAGCCTGGTGAGCTGTTACGGCGGGGTCCTGGCTGGAGAAGGAAAGGTCGATGTGGGTTGGAAGATTGTCCTTGAACTGGAAATCGATCAGGACATTGTTCTTGCCTGCTACAGCGACAGGCCTGTTGCCCTCAAATTTCCGCGCTTCCCTCTTGGCTTCGACTTCGACATCGAGTCCTGCCCAGCGTCCAACTCTTCTCACACCCTCTTCGCTGACTCTGCCAAAGCGGCGATGATGTTGAGGACCCAAAAGCTTTGTGAGAATAGTATCCAGCTTCAATCTGCGTTCTTCGTCTTGGTTGGGCTTGTGAGAGGAGATGCCCAGGTCGGACAAAGTCAGGTTCATTGGTTGTGAAGTGGCAGCGGCGTCGAGCAGGGCAGATGGAGTGGTCATGTCGAGGCCGGCGAGAGCAGCGGGAGATGCAAAGGCGAGCAGGTTGTTGGAGGGCGAAGCGGCCAGCAGAGTGTTAGACATGGCTGACAGGTTGCTCGTCTGGCTCAAGCTACTGGTCATGGCAATGCCGCCCGTAGCGGGCTTGTTTGCTGAAGCATGCTGTGATTGCGCCGTGGTGGAAGAGGAGGCTTTTGCAGCCGTCGAAGGTACGCTGCGAGGGGTGTGGGTGTGGGCAGGGTTGCTGGTGGTGTTTGAGTTGGTCAGTGGAGTATGGGCATGTTTTGGTTGCGAGCTCGCGTTTGTCGTATTCGGCGTCGTCATGGCGCCTTGGTTTTGGTTAGCAGATGGTCGTTGTGATGGTAAAGGCGTGCGTCGGCCTTGACAAGCAGCATTGTTTGCGTCTCGATCGACTTTCTACTGTCTATACCAGCTTGCGAGCTGTCGGCGAGACGCGACAAGGTGCCCGCGTTCGCATCCAACATGCATGACCGCACATGGTTCCTGTCACATGCGACCAACCGGGCACTTTAGCAACTTACGGTTATGCCCGCCAGCTATTCCCCGACTTCCGTGATCGCCCGAAACGCCATCCCCGGCTACTCCATAGCTACCTAGGTACCATGCGATCCACACAATCGCCGCCGACTGGGGCACGCTTCTATCACTGTCTCACTTGGCAAATGACCTTGATGTTCGAATAACATATGCAATTCGCTAGAATCAACAAAAACTGAAAGGGTTCCTAGGCCTGATGTCTCGCTGCTTCTCAGAGCTCATCCGCCTTTCATTCTCCTCTACCCTGTGAAATTATCGCCATCCAATTCTCTTATGCGTCCCCTGAACAATCTGCTGCGACTGTCCTGAAGAAGTGTGCTTCCTTGTGATTTGTTTTCTCTCCGTTTCCCTTTTGCTTGCCGTGGTCGCGTGAAATGTCCCCTTTAGGGCTTGGAAATGGGTACAACCATGTCAAGCTCGACGTTGTCGGCGTTGACGGCTGTCTTGTGCACGTTGGCGCCATCGACCTTGCCACAAAGGGTCTCGACGATGATACCAGTGATCTGGTAAGGGTCGGCACTCGAGGCTGGTCTGCGGTCCTCGAAGTAACCCTTGCCCTGCTCGGCAACGGCGCGGTTGACACGAACACTTGATCCGCGGTCGGCAACACCCCAGGTGAACTTATCCATCGATGCTGTCTCGTGCTTGCCGGTCATGCGGAGGGCGTTGTCGGTACCGTAGACATCCATGTGCTCCTTGTGACGCTTGGCCAGCTTCTCCATGGCCTCCTCAATCACCTTCAAACCGCCCTCCTGACGCATAGCCTCCGTTGAGACGTTGGTGTGGAGACCAGCACCGTTCCAGTCACCAGGAATGGGCTTGGAGGCGAGAGTGACCTTGACACCAAAGTCCTCAGCAACACGGTGAAGGATGAAACGGGACACCCAGAGCTCATCACCAACTGTATCACAATGTTAGTCTTGAAAGCAAATTCCACACGACGACAGGCACAACTTACGGTTAATGCCCTTGCAAGGACCGACTTGGTACTCCCACTGGGCGGGCATAACCTCGGCATTGGTACCCGAGATGTTGATACCGGCGTAGAAGCAAGCCATGTAGTGAGCCTCAACGATATCACGGCAGAAGACTCTGCCAGTGCCGACACCGCAGTAGTAAGGACCCTGGGGAGCGGGGAAACCGTTCTTGGGCCAGCCGAATGGCCAGCCGTCGACATCGAGAAGGGTGTACTCCTGCTCGAGACCGAACCAGAAGCCCTCCTTGGCGTGAGCGTCCATGAGAAGAGCAGCGTCGTGGCGGAAGTTGAAGGCATTGGGCTTGCCATCAGACATCCAGGTCTCACACATGACGAGGACGTTGGGCTTGCCACGGAAGGGGTCGTCAAAGACGGCAACGGGGCGGAGGTAGACATCCGAGTTGTTGCCAGGGGCCTGGCCTGTTGACGAACCGTCGAAGTTCCACTCTGGAAGCTCGTCGAGTTGGACACGACCCTTGGCGACTTGCTCGTCGGAGCGGTCAATGGTCTGCAATCTTTGTCAGTACAGATTTTGCATGAGGGATATAATCAAAGTCGCTAGCGGTGCGCGGTTTTGTGGATGGTTGCATCTTGGCGGAGCGGTGATCCGCAGGGCGAGCGCGCGCGACTTTCTGACTGTGCGACTGACCTTGCACTTGGATCTCATGCCATTGGAGCCATCGATCCAGATGTACTCAGCAATGACACGCTTGGGCGACTGCTCAAGGCTCAGGTACTTTTTGAGCTGTGGTAGTGGTCAGCGACGCTCTCGAAGAGCACATTGCTGTGCTTCTTCTGAGATATCCTCACAGTCTGGGTGTTGGAGAGATATGCTGAATCCGGCTGCGCGCAGTAATTAGTGACTGTTGAGCGCGTGCACAAGATCTTGTCCGGCAGTGACTCACCATGATTGCGGTTGTGTATGTGTGTGTTGACTTGAGAGTCGATTAAGATAGGGACAAGAAGAATGGAGGCACGCTGCTAAAGGCAGACGGCTAGCGAATGGATCGAGGGAGGGGAGGGGATGAGGGTGGAGAGCAAAAGTGAAAGGTCGGAGCAAGGGCAAAGGCTGGGGAAGTTATTTGAACCAAACGACCAAGAGCAAGAGCGAGGCAGCTTTTGGTGTTGACCACGCGAGCTCGGCCTGCGATAAGAGTCCCTGCCTAACACAGGTACTTCATTCAGCCGCCCGCTGGCTCCTGCCGCCCCGACGACGCCATCGTTGCTTCTGTCGCCGAACCGCTAACAATGCCATCCATATCAGTCTTTATCGACACCCCTCGTGCCCCTCCTCTGCCTCTCAATTCCGGTTTCCATTCACTGCTCCATCCTGCTTCTGCCGTGCTGCTGCTGCCATTCTAGCCCAACATCCGTCTCTACGTATCACAGCGCCGGCCGTTTGGAACTCCTTGACTGTTTTGATTTCCTAAAAAGCCCGTCCACCACGTATGTTCTTCAACGATCTAGCTATTCCTCGGCTTTTCGCTTATGACCGGCCCAAAAAGCTGAGACCCTTACTCTACTTATCGTTGATCCAAATGCTGTGTCTATTTTCGTCATGTTGTTGCTTCTATTCTTTATCTGATAAACCCTTGCTATTGCAACAATTTCATATCTGCTCGCACCCTGCTTACGCCCTGCTCTCTGCCCCTTCACAGCCTCGTTCGTGCCGCGATTTTTGGTGATCTGTATCGCAGAAGGATTGCGCGGACAAATGCTGGAGATAGTGGCTTGCACCATGTCACCGATCCCCAGACTTGATCCATCCAATAAACTTCTTCCGCCTTTTTGTAGCGGAAACCCGGCGCAGAGGTTCGTGCCTTGTTGAACCCAAGGAATTCTGGAAGCCCAGATTCCAACTCTGTCTCCAGGGTCTTGTTGAACACAACGCCGGCCTGGATCGGTATCGAAGCACATCTCTGCCATGCCTGGACAGAGAGAAGCGTGTGATTCTTCTGTAGGCTCAAAGGAGCGCTACGCCTCTAATGCGCCCTGTTCTTGAGTTTGGTTGTTGGACCACTCCACCGCACAACCTATGTGGGCTTGAAGCCGGGCCTAATCAATTGTGCTTATCGCAGCCAATGGGCTCGCGCACGATTTGATTACAATGACATTGATCCCCGTGTAACAGTGCGCGCGCCGTTGCCCGAGCCCGGAGTGTTTGTCAAGTTTGCCGCCAAGTTTACCGCCTGTTCTCCCTCCCAACGCCGCTTTCGGGGCGACATTGACAGGCCATCTGAAACTACGACTCGTTCGCCGGCTTCAGTTGTCCTCTTGAAACAACTCTTCAACGTTGGTATGCGCATGGGCTCAAAGAGAGCAAAATATTACCCAATTCTTGGCCTTTGTATGCGCCTTATGGACTGCGTGCTTCCTGCAATGAGTCATGAGCATATAAAAACAAACATAATTCACGCAAACCGTACAAGAGCCGCGGCTGCGACGTTCTTCTCAAGTAAAAGCGTGATTTAGTAGAGGGCGCCGAGGGTATATCCTCGGAGTTGTGGTGGGCTGTAGGCCAGTTACGCTAGCAGCATATTCTGGAGTCGTCAACTTTTCAGCAACTGGGTGCGTTCCTCTCCCTCACCTCAACTTTCAGCACGCTCTGCAAGAGTTGTTCAACAGAGTTGTTTTGTTGCTCTTTCAACAAGGCACCAATACTCGGCTTTCCACCCGTCCGCAATCTTGATTTTCCAGAACTCAGGAAGAAAGCGGACGTACACTTTGCTGGGCTGACGTCCTATTACGAGAGATTTATCAGAACGACGACATAGCACACCCTGTCCGAAGGCTCTACTCCCAACCTCACACCTCGACTATACCGGCCATGCCCCATTGGACAATACATGTTCCCTAGCTTGGACTACGCAAAGAGGCAAAGCGTTTCTGACCACAGTATTACGAGATCGAATCGTCCCCGGAATCCCCAGCTCGATCTGTTCATCGATCTCGCCGCAAAGGACATCTGCCGGCATATTTGCCTCGACCCTCTGTTGCACCCAACAACACTCTATTCCTTGGCTCGTATCCCCCTCTTCTATCGTTTGCGTCAGATATCATGACATGGGATCAATGCGCCAGCAGACACATCCTCTCCAAGAATAAGTACCTCTAACATGCGACTCTGCAACGCATCTAGTCTATGGTGTTTGAGGTCTGCTTCAAGCGAAGGACTAATAGGTAGGATTGGTAGTGAACACCCTTGATTTAGGTGACTTTGGTTCTATGGCTGCAAGTTAAAGACCCTTTCACGAAAGACGAAAGTTGGCTCAATATTATTCTCGCGTGGTTATCACACATGACTCCATATTACCAGGCGCCTGGACAATTTATGAAGGGTCTGCAACTCTCGTTCTCTGCATCCTGTAAGTGTGTGTAGTACACGTAGGAAAGTTCTTGTTCATTTTCACTATTCGTCCGCTCACAAATAACGGTGTCAAAATGGTGACATATATACACGCGGAAGTGTGGTTTCAATCACTGTTCTATGGCCAACATTCGCAATTCATGTTACCGTGTTTACAACACATTTTCACTTCCAGCACACAAGACGCGTCCATCAAACCCATGAGTGGTTAGGACAATTCCGAGTTGTGTTCTTGTCAGTTCAGTGCACAACGCATCCACAACTAAGAACAGCATGTATCGCATGTGAAAACAGGCGATAATTGCTTAGAGACCAAGACAGCTACAACACGTTCAACACACGCTGAGGTCACTCTGCAACCTGTAAGCTTGGTCTGTCTCGATCCAAGCAAAGCCTGTTGGTTGCTCGCGCACAGCGGCGCGATGTGTCTTGTGCAAACTCCTTACTACCACTTGTGTGGCCACTATGGTCGCCCTTTGATCGCTCCTAATGGTCGTTGTGCACGCGCAGAGCGCCTTCCAGGAGCATGCTGGGAGCCACAGGATATCGGCGTCAGCAGTCGGGAGGCAATGTGTGGCAATTGCGAGCGCTGGCTTCGAGTTACAGACACTGAACAGTCCGAAACTACCAGAATTGGCCCCGTCGACTGCCACAAGTTCAATCAGCTCGTAAAGCTTCACAAGCAGACGTGCGATCGCCGGTACTGTCCTTTGTTGTCCGCACTATCTTTGTCACTCGCTGACGACAAATACAGCGCAAGCGAAGCAAGCAACTTCTCTTCAATCACTTCCGCCACCTATCTACCGATCGCAAACGACCTGACTCTGCGCAGACCCAGCACAGTCAGCGAGATATCTGTCACTTCTACCACAGCCAGTGTACTGTCTACTGGAGGCCGTCCACCAATTCTCACCATCAATTCTCCGTCACGAGTCTTCCGCACTCCTACTTGGACCAACATCGAAGAGTGGACCAAACAGACTATTCATGACGACAATCCTCAAAAGCAAGAAACCCCTGCTTCATCTGATCAACACGACTCTTCATGACTTGACGAAGCAACATTCATAGCTCAATTGGCACGACAAGCATGAGCACCATCACGAGAAATGGCATACCAGATTACAGAAAATGAATCAAATGTGCATACCGAAAAGAAATTATCTTGATGCTCCCATCTAGAATTGATTCATTTTATGACTCTATGAAAATGCAAGAATGCTTCCGAGACCATGCGATGTTTCGCTGAGAGCGCATCAATTCAAGGCTAGAGATGGGGCTCTCTCTAGATACTATCCAGGAACGTAAAACTTTTGTGCATTTTTTGTGGCTGTAAAATGTGGTTGGCATCGAGCATGGAGTAAGGGAGAAACCACATGCCCCCTGATGTCGGCAGTCACTCTCCCCAATTGGGTTCCTACAGATATGCAGAAACTATTGTGCATTTCTATGGTTGGAATGTCGGTTAGCATTGGATGTGAGAGGCAAGTTTACTAGGTTCATATACCTTTTTTCTATTATCCCTTACTCTCTTCTATGCATCTTTGCCGATTGAGCAGAAGCCTCGATCTCGAGGGGGTCGTGCTTTCTCTCTGCACAACGTGTTAGTTTTGAACGTTTGCTAGATGTCTATTGACATACTTCTCGATGATGCGATTGCAGCTTGTGCTGTATCGGGATGAATGATGTGATGAGTGGCTGGGCGAGGCAAAACAAGGCCACCAGGGCATCCGGTGTATTGGGCGACATCGAGAGCCGGGTACCATCCAGTATACGAGGCAGGCAAGTTCTGCGACGATGGCTGGGTCGATGTCGTAGCAGTGGAAGGTACATTGTTGCTAAAGCTGCTGCTGTTCTTGAAACTGCCGTCGCTGCTGACAACATCGCTTGCCAAATTCATACCGCCACGAACTCTCGGTCCTCTCTTAATCTTCTTTCCAGACTTGGAGCCTTTCTCCCATGGTTTGAGAACGTCAGTCTCGATAAGTTTGGGGACTGTTGTTTGGTCGCCTGTAGTAAGTCCGGGCGTTGAGCTAGAGTTGTTAGGTGGAGATGGCTCGCCATACGGCATATAACAGGGTGCGGACGTAGGACCGTCGACTGGATTTGGAAGGGTCCATAGTCCAAAAGGTGCGTTGTGGCTCTGATAGGCAAGTCTTGTGACTCGCATGCTGGATCTGTCCTCGCATTCGTGCATGCTTGCTGGTGATGCACTTTTGTCGATTTCTTGAATCGATTGATCAGTGATATGCATGTCGGGAATCGACGCAAATGAAGTTTGGAGTCAAAAGAGAAACCACTGAGGGCGGCTGAGGTATATTAGACGACGAGACGAATGCTGGAAAAGGGTTGGATACAGGGTACGAGTACAAGGTCGACGCAGAGATGAGCAAAGGGTCGGTATAAAAGAGATATACGACGAAGGTAGATTGTGTCTTCGAGGTTTCGTCGAGTAAGACATTCAGGTCTCCGAGACTGACGAGACAACACGAGGCGAATACTAAGAACGAATATGAGCGGCGTTTATCAAGAGCTTGAGACGGTTTCACTCCCTCTGACAACCTGTGAGACAACGTGACAGTGTGCATCGATGAGGGCTTCACACCCATCTAAAGTGAAGACACATACTTACGCTCTCATATAACTCGTCAAGGTAGTTGGTTCACCCGTTCATGGCTTCCCAGCCTTCAAGGCCTCGTTCCCACCGATCATCCTCCCACATGTCCATCTGACCTGCAGAGTTGAGCCTATACATCATCTTCGTCCCTTTTTTGCTCCATTGTACATCTTCGCCGTTCACAAAACGTGCAAAGGCTGCATTTAAGTCTTTGAGGACCTTCTTTTCCGCTTCAGTCAGGCCTTGCCCCATACCACCTCCCCAAAACCAGATTGCACGATCGGTAGAGTGAGTGACTTTCCACTCTGGAGGCGCAATATAGTCAGCGCATTTCGCACGCCATTCAATACGATAGCGAAGAAGGTCTTTGCCAATCGTAAATCCACCTTTTGCAAGTTGGTTCGCAAAGCCACGCTCGAGATCGTGCACCTGTACGTCGGCATACAGACGCCCGAACAGATCAGGCCAGTCCTCAGCGAATGCGGGAAGCTTTTTGTCTGGTACACGAAGTTCCATGAGCTTCTTGACCTTTGACTCTGGGTAATCCGCGACCAGACGTTCAAAGACAGCGTCGTAACTCCAGTCAGGGGTCCGCCAGGCCTTTCGCTTTGTTAGCTCCTGAAGATAGCCAGAAATGATATATACTTACTCCATAAAGGTAGTGCTCATCGCGCACTTCTCCATTGAATATCTTGATTCCCCTGTCTTTCAACTGCTTTGCGAACGAGCCATCGTTTATGCTTTCGATCAAGTTTTCGCTGATGAAAGAACCATCTAGCACGGGACGAAACTCATGGAGTCTCATGCTGCTCTGAACAGCAACCAATTGGCGAGCTGGGATTTTACGCAGTTGAGAAAGTTTTTCCTCTGCGCTTAGCGAGAGAGGAATGCCGAGCCAGTTGAGTAGTTCATCGAATTGTTTTTGACGACTCTCGGTTGAACGGGGCTTCAAACCGGGTCCATTCGAGAGCATGCAGACTACCAGCTTGTTAGTATAATGCATACAAAATCAAGGCAACACGACTTGCCTCTTTTGATAATAGAGGATCTTTGTGGAAGATGCACATCATAAGCAAGCTGCTGGAAGGTCGAATATGAACCAGCTGAATAACCTGCAACGGTGATATTGTCCTTATTGCCACCAAAAGATACAATACGATCGTGAACCCACTCCAAGGCGATGCGCTGGTCCCAGAACCCGAAATTCGAATACGTTTCACCATTAGCTCTTGCCTCATCTTCTAGCTCTTGTCCCGCAAGAAAGCCGAAGGCATTCACTCTGTAACCAGGCATGACTACAATAGCTTTGAAGGCGGTCTCACTCAGTAGCTCTGCCAATGCCTCCGGTCCCATATTTGGGTCCTATGATGGTCAAACAAAACGTCAGTATACCTTCCCTCATAGATGCGCGGACCGAGAGATTTACCCCGAATTGGAGCCATCCGCCGAACAGATAGCAGAACACTGGCCAGCCTTCTGCAGGTCGATCTCCAGCAGGTATCCAGATGTTGAGTTGGTGGCAATCCTCACTCCAGATATCAGGGTTAGGCGGTCCAAGAAAGCCTGGTTGAGGACATATTCCAACTTGGCCAGCGAACTTGGCAGGCTTATCCTTGGTGCCATAACGATGCGATAGGGAAAGAGGTCGAGGTGCACGGAGCCGTTCTACGGGATGCGCATATGGAATGCCTCCAAAGTAATGGCAAAGAACATCCGAAGATGATTTTTTTGTCACATTAAGGCCTTCGATGCAACCCAGTTCACCAAGGTCCAGTTGATACGGAGAAGTGCTGAACTTAGCCATGTTGTGCAGATATTAACAAGATAATGCCAAGTCGTCGTTATATGGTGAGACCTATATGTTGGATGTGTAGATTGTGATTAAGTGCAAAACAACCGACATATATAAGTCTTCTTCGGCCAGCACGCTTGATAGTCTTGCCCGGTAGGCCGTTGAGGGATCGATCGGGGAGCATCTCCACTCCCGAAGGGCAACTTGAACCGAGCAGCGACGTCTCTTTCTCTGTCCGAATCCTACCAAGATTGCGCTCTGTATACATGACGTTGTATCTTGCTGCCAAACGTAATGAACATTTGAGCGCGATGAGATAGTGACTGATCTTACAATTTCTTTGCAGTGCTTGGACTCAATTGCTTGCGCTGAGCTAGTCTCGACTATACAGCTCGAAGAAGTTGGCGGCCTACCTCGTTCATCAATATCCTTGAATCATGACCGTACCAAGGTTCATACCTTCTTCAATAAGCAAGAGAACATCCAGATCTGAAATCCACATGAAAGTCCAAGGCAATGATGCTCCTCCCAGGGCATGATCTCAGAGTAGATTCACTTTCAAGGATCTGCTTCAGGACGTGATAGGAGGGCATGATGACAACACTCAAATTGGAGCCAACGCATGTGAATGGCAATGAGATTACGCTGTCCAGATGCTCTATCGAGTAGCATGTGTCTTCAGCACCTAGTGATCTAATCAAGCGTGTGAATGGTTTTGCTGGCATGTTTGCCAACATTAGATCAGGATCCATGCGGTTCTGACCATCCGATTGTGAGCTGGCTGACGGCAATAGCACATGCGTTGGAAGACCGCATGACAAGTTCGTCCATCCCTGGACTACAAAAGACCACCTCTCACCCTCGATAGTCCTTCTCGTTACAAAATACTCTGTGCCAAACACTTCCAAAGGCCTGTCTTTCATTGAGTCTGATCGGTATAGCACACTTTTGTAGCAACACCCACCACTACTTCGGCATACCAGTACAGGGCAAAGATGTCTTTGTCTCCAGTCAATCAGGACTTGCATTATGTCAAATTGCTCGCTCCATCCACCTTCAGGCAACTATTGCGACAGAGTCCGACGAGTTCCGAGCCACCAAAGAGTACGAAAGTCGACCCTTCTCAAGTTGTGGACAGTGGACACGAAGAAACCGATGACGAACCCTCTCATACTCAGCCTCCCACCCCAGTTGCATCAATCGAACACTGGTCTAATCATCACGATGCCAGTCAAGATATTGTTCAAGACTCAGATGGACCCACCGCCGCCGAGAGCAACACTATGCGAAACGCCGATCGAGGAGCTGTCGGCAGCTCCTCTTCGCCATTTTCGGTAGAAGATGACTCCTTTGACCACCAATACATGAGTGACAGCGACCTTATCGAAGAGACCTTCCGTCGAGCTCAAGGATACTCCAAATTGTCAGCCATCACAAGAAGAACCTGGGAGACTGAGCGAGCAAACACTCTCTTTCAAGAAGGCAAACCAAAGCACTTTGAGTGTTCAGAGCATCTTTTGAGTGGCAACCCATGTTCCACTCTTCAGGAGTACCTTCCGTCAAGAACAGCAGCGCGTCCTGTTGTTTCCTCTTTCTTTGGTCACAACAAGCGTGAATGGAACCAAATCATCAAAAGCGTCCGAGTCTTTCTATGCAGGAAATGCTACCAGCGCTACGAGCACAAGCTCCACCCGCACTTGGCCTCCATACAGCTACCTCTTTGCAGAGAGTTGATCGACAGACTCGAGAGATGGCGTCCTGGTTGTCTTTTCAGGGTCAAGCTCACTAAGGCTATGGAAGAGAAGGTGGCGAGATTTGAGAAGAAGATGAAGATCGAAGGATCCGCCAGACCCGATGTTGCAGCAGAGATTGATGCTGAGGATTTGGAAGACCAGACTTCAGATGTCAAGAGAGCCACCAAGACGCCCGTACTATTTGCCATCGAACTCGAGAATCGCTTTGGTGGTAACAACAAGACGACAGAAGAGCTTCGCGCTCTTTTCGATTGGCTGGAAGCCAAGTTGGCAGATGAAACCATCGAGGATCTTCCAGCCTTCGAGGCACTGCTCCAGACTCGCACACAGGACATTCAACAGTTACAGGTCCAACAGAAACGCAGACCTGCACTTAAGAAAGCATTGCTTATGAAAGTGCCAGCTGGACTTGCTGCTGCTTCACATCAACCCACCAAGCCAGAGTGTACACCCACGCCCGCCTCACCAGAAATCCTGAGCACTTTCGACGGATCGAGAATCATCGCGCCTTCCGCCCTGGCTGACTCTGCTTCTCGTCCGAGGATCGTCCTCAAGTTGGTCCGAAGCAAGAAGCGAAGTGGAGACAATACATTGGAAGAAGACTCCGCTGCTTCTGCCAAGAAGGCAAAACTCACAGAGTCGGACGATGAGGTCAAGGATGCTAAGCCGCACTTGCCTGATGGAGAAGTTGCAGAGGAGCGTACAATCGACGATTCAGCCTTGGCATCTAAGGCGCAACAACATGTGGAAGTCACGGACGGCAGCATGCACTTGACATCCTTGACTTTCAGCAACATTAAGTGTGTCGACGCTGCGCCATCCTCTTGATCGGCTCATCAAGAGTATGTTGTGCCTCAGTTCCTAAGTTCAGGTCATCACCTTGGAGGAGATATTGACAGAGGATGATTTAGCTTGATGCTATGATGTTCCTTTCATGTTCTCGAAATTCGCGACATGTCTGAAGGGAGACAGTCTTGTTATTCTGTTTACTTGTCTTATTATTGTCTTGTTTCATTCAAGGATATCATGTCATATAAGTCATGAATGCTGATGACTGAGTTCAAAAACCATGATACCTTGTTGCCAACCTTCATGCTATACATCCGCCATTGCCGAGAACAAGATCTTTAATCCTCCGTCTCTGTAGCTGTGGTTCGTTGGGCCACTGGCTGACTATGCCTTTCGTATCTTGTGCATTTGGCAACCATGGTTACTCCTTGTCTTCAAGACATATCACAGTTCTAGCGGTCGTACCACTCATCGCTTTATCACGGTATACCTTGAAAGAGTGGTCAGGATGCAATTTGCCACTTGTTACATTCCGTGCGCAGCTTTCACTATGTCAAGGTTTGGTCAGTCAGCTGTCCTCACGATGGTTTTTCCAATACTTCACTTGCCGAGTCATGGTTATAGCTTGCATATACTCGACAGCAGCTTTATCAATATCCCCTGCTTCATTGAGTCATGAAGCATTCTTTCCAGAGATCAAACGACTCTCGCACGTATGATCGTACTCAACATCGGGTCGGCAAAGGTTGTTATCAGTCTTTCGGCTCGACAAGCCTCCTTGATGGTCTCTTACAACGTGATCTTGCTTGATGCCCGGTGGGCATCGAGAAGCAGAAGGGTTTCGACATCCGGAGATAGGTGGAGATGGCGTATTGCTGGGCTTGTGGTCTTGTCAAGTGGACAGATGAGGCTGAGGCGGCCAGACTGTATAGCGAAGGGTCCTAATGCCGCGGGGCGAGCAGTGACATTGTCTGCTCCAGCCAATCGTTTGACTCTTGGACGCGGCTGGCGGGGTTGTTGCTGCAAATCTCAAGTACAGTTCCAAGACGACGCCAACGACTATCAAGCATCTATACCGCCAATAAAAGCAGGCTTTCCACATCGTTGGCCTGCAGTGCGTGGCAATGGTCAATCGATCAAGCATGTACCAACTGATCTCGCGGAACTGATGGCATCACCTTCTTCTGAGTCACCCTTTCGGCTGGATTGACTGTGACGGCTCAAGTGATGTTGCAGGTAGAGCCTCTCGAAGTGCTCAATGCATGTTTCGTTCCGAATTCTACGTCTCCGTGGGGCTTTTGCGTGTAAAGCTTCGGTGTGGGACAAATTGACCGTTCTCATCCGGTAGGATTTCGACGGGATGAAGACCTTACCAATCTAATCTTGGACGTGTTGATGGCCGTGGTCTCAGTAGTCATGTTAGCCTATTGATGACCAATCGAACAAACGTGCATTGGAGCAAGACATGCTATTGTGGAACTTTCGAGAGTGGCACGGCGTGGTGATTATCAAAGACAGAGTAAGAAGGCGCAACTCCTTCGTCCAAATCTTGCACTTGCCGTACTAGGGCAAAGGTGTCCATGATGTTCCGCAAAGTCTTCCGATTTGAGGGCATGGTCTCTTCGAAAACTCAATGACAGCAACAGTAACGGCTGTTGTTCGGCAGTTGAGGCACGTCAATAAAGTTGGCCACGACTCGGGCCACGAGGGACTGTGTAAACTCCGAACAGCGAGATGGCACAAAGACATGTCCCTCGTGTCCCAAAGTCAGAGGACGGCACGACCCATGGACATAAACCGCACCAAGCGTAAATCGTAATTATAGACTTCACGTCAAGCCCAAATCGGATTAAACGCTCCGACGTACGTTCGAGGACCATGAGGGGTAATACCGTGAGAAGGGTACAGTACGGATAAGGACAAGCCTCAGCAAGGGAAGCATGTCACTCATCCTTCAATGTCCAAGAACAGGCTTTCGCATGGAGCGGCATACAATCCTCCAATTATGTGTTTCGTGGAGCATGCAGGGAGCAATCCTTCGCCGCTTGTGGTCGCATCCCCCTTCTCTCCTCCGGAACGTTGACATATGAAGGTTCGTGTGCGAGCGACAGTTGGTGGGCACACGCATAGAAGGATTCGATGAAATTGTGCCCTGAAGAAAATCGCTGATGCGTTCAGCTGACAATGAGCAAGCCACAATCTCTTATAGGCAAATCTGTTCTAGAAAGTCGCTGATACTTCTTCTCCCCTGAGACCACGTTGAAGTTTCTAACGGCGCATATTGACTTTCGTATCATGGAAGCCACCTTGTCTCGCATATCTCATGACTTTCTAGAGCTTCTTTCTGTTAGCAGTCGCAAAACGAAATAGAAGATTGCTTGGGGGTTGGGACGGAGCTTGAGATGAGAGTACTTAGTAAAAAATAATGGGTTTGACTGTCTAGCTATGGAATTGAATAGGATTCGCTGCTGTGGTATAATAACAAAGTGGTATCAAGCATCAAGAAGTAAGCAGCGAGAGTTATTTCATGAACGCACCATACTGCACCAAAAACTCCATCCGCTCGCTGTCACAAATAAACAAAAGAAAACACAAGTCGCATTGAATCATGATAATCAAACAGCCGTGGCGAGAAGGAAAGGATTGCCTTGCTCGTCCAACCACGAGCCCTTCTCTTCGTCTGTGGCTTCAAGAATACCCTCAGCCCTTCGAAGAGTCTGGACGTCTAGGCTGGTGACCCAGTTCTTACCAGATAGAGGCTCTCGCACTTGATTGTCGATGCCGAGCATCAAGTCGTCTTTCCAGAGTCTCCGCGGCCCATCAAACACACAAAGAACTCGTTTCTTCATCTTCATCTTTTCTGGAGGTGCATTCCAAGAGGGAGGGTAATCTTTGCGTCGTTTATTGTTCTTTGTTCCAGAGTGGATGGAGACACCGCCTTTGGAATAAGTCATCCCCTGGCGGGCCGCATCTCTGTTGTTGCTATTGGCAAGGACAGGAGAGCTTGTCTCATCTTTGATGTAACGCTCCTCTTCATCGTCATCCTCGTCGTCATCATCAAAGACGGGTGGCCCGGCGAAGTTCGAAGCGCTGCTCAAAGAATGTCTCTCCAGGGTATCTCCATCTGCTGTGTTGTTGGTGGTGTGGGGGAGAGAGGCTGGATCAAGGTAGGGTCTGTTAGATTGAGGTTAGTATGTTTATGATAACAACATGTGCATGTGCAAGGCTTACCAACGCATCCTGGCTTCTCGGGTAGTGAGAGAGCAGCATAGTTGAATGTATCGTTTAAGAGCATCTGATGGTCGTATTGATTTTGGTGAAACACGCTGGTTCCGACTCCATGGACCGGAGTCCAGCTCGAGGAAGACTCGATACCCATGAGTGGAGATCCTCTAGACGAGGAAAGCATCGAAGCAGCCGATTCAGATTTGACCGAACGATTGGGTCGAAGATCGAAATAGTTAGTGGCGGTATTTGTAGGCGAATAAAGAGGTGTCGAAAGCTGGACACTGTGTTTTGTGTATTTCGAGGAGTTCTGGGATTCCAAGATGTAGTTGGAAGGTGCCTCAGTAACCGTACTCTGCTCGAGGCTGTACGAGTTGAAGTTGCTGTTAGGTTGCTGCAACGGGTATTGGACGGCTTGATAGGTTGATGTGTGCGTTGGGAGTCCAGAGAAAGCGTATAGAGAATACTGCTCTTCTTGTGTAGTTGCCATGTTGATGGGGCAAGGACTGAAAGCAAGCATATCGTTCGGTGCTTATACGGAGAGTTGTATGTACCAACAGCCTGATGTCAGAGACGAGGTACCACGAGAGGTCAAGAGGATCCTGAGGAAGGGGTAAGCATTGGTTAAGTGTGTGCTCTAATCATCCTTTGGGACCTACAAGAAAAAGAAATGGAATCAAGTTCCCGAATCGAGCAACCGCTTCGAACAATTTGCTCACAATGATAGGGCGCAGATATGCGAGGTGTTGACGAATGCAGCGATTGCCCGGAAGATCCTCGACAGACAGATGGGGACCTTACCGCTTGGGGAAAGGCGGGACGCAGTAGGTAGGAGCGGTTGTCTGAAGCTCAAGCTCGTCCCTGTTCGAGGCCAGTCTTGACTGTACAGACACAGCTGAGCTCGTATACAGAAGGAGAATATCAAGAAGACTGGACTGTTGATCTTCTCGCTTCGAGGGCGAACGTGAGTCTTTATCTAGTTCACATGGGCTCACCAGATGGCATGCGGCAGTCTTTGCGCCTCTGGAAACGGAACCGCAGCACACGAACCACATGCTGTTTTTGACTCAGTTGGTGGACCCTGGTCATGGCCCATGGCAAAGGAATGGGCGCTGTCGCTTCTGCCCTACGGTTTGAAGAGGCTTACAACCTACACCATGGCGTCGCTGAGGAAAGTTTATTGGATCGTGTATCTCATGGCTGCAGATCAGTCCGTCTGGCAGCGAATAGAGTGACGATATACCAGCGTCAGATGTGCTGTTTTGGGTTCGTTTGCTCCGCTCATTGACTATTCGGCTCCAGCCCAACCAAAGTACCGGGAGATGAGTTCGACCTTGTCAGCAGTCAAGATTGCACGACCGCAGAACACGCGAGGATGCATGACAAGAATGCTTTCACTCGACATGCAACAGTAATCTCCCTGTGGTGCAAGCTTGTCGCGCCAGCACTCTGCATGGTCTCCCCGACCGTTTTGGTGTCGGATATGTCCTAGTGCCATGGCAGCAATTGGCAGGAGTCACCGAGTGAGCTATACCATATCGGATGGAGGTTCTGCGAGGAGCACACCCAACGATACCAATGATACCGAATGGCGCAACGACTAAAAATTGGCGTGCCGGAGTGCGCGAGGGCTAGGCACGTTTTTCGGGGGAAGAACTCCCAAGCAAAGATCCGTGCGCTGGAGGCGATCTTGCCTCTTTAGGGAAATGATAGCTAAGCAGAAGCAAACCGTTCTTGGACCAGCCATGAATCTCGTCAGAAGAGACTTCGACCCCAGGATCGATTTAGGTTTTGCAATCGCACGCGAGGTGGAAGTTGAAGTGGCTGTCCAGAATACCTTGAGCCCGGTGTCAATGACTGGCTAATTATGCGAAAGCTAGCAGATTTGCCAGAGCACGGATGGCATGTCCGGCAAAGGTGGTGATAAGAGAGCCGCGACTCTTCATGAGCGCATGGACTTTTGCAGGCCCGCTTGCATTCTGCATTCGACTCATACGAGCCAAAGCAGCTGTTTTGCTTTGTAATGGCGAGTCCAGACCATAGATGTGAACTTGCAACGAAAGTCACTGAGGGCTTCGGTGACTCTTCGTAATCGCTTCCAATACAGTGACAGAGAAACAGGCCTATGGCTTGCTTTGGCGTATTGCATAGGGCTCATGCATGTGGGGTAGAAAATGCATCCTCACTCCACGGCGCTGTTATAAGGTTGGGTTTGCAATATCAGCGGAAGGATTCAGACTCAAGAGACAGTCCGGCCAAGTACTTGGAAGGATGTATCCTTTTAGTTTGAAAAGCCCAAAGCAGGATCGCATGAAGATCCCACTCGGAGTGGTGCTGCGACGGTCCAGTCAATGCACTTTTTACAAGAAATTTGGCAAAAAATAGAACCGGGGGTCGGAGAAATATTGATGTTCCTGCATGTAGAGGGGGTCATATTGACCTCCTTTGCGAATTGCAACTCGCTGTATCCCCCTTGCAAGTACATGTGTCGCACCGCGGCAGCGGCTCAGTCAGCTCAGGGATTGCAACTTTGACAGACATCGCTTGTGGTTCGACACGTGTTGGGGAACGGGATGTGCCTGAGACCTGAGTTCAGGCTGGCATGACAGGCTGGATTGGGAGCTCGGAGGATTTGTCAATAATACACAATGGGTACAAGAACAGCGGAACCCGCAATAGGTACATGCACATGTACAATGCTCGGATAGGACTCAGAGAAGCCTACTCAGGCCAAGCTTGGAATGATGTGCTTGGTTTGAGCCAAGGTGAAGAGTGGATCATAGCTCTTTGGGCTGTGATCCGCTGCGCTTGACAGACGCAAAAACTCTGGCCGATCGTGGCTTGTTTATATCCAATCACGACAGGAAGTTTGGCCGAGATCTTCTTCGTAATCTGCAGAAGGCTTTTTGGGTCGAAATGATTGTCATCTAGACTAGATGATGCTTGGAGCAGCGCAACGAACATCGGTGACGCTTTGGTGCAGAATGATACTTCAATAGGTCTAGTTCGAGTTATGGGAACTGCTGCACTTCCTGTTATCTGGTTAGAACCAAGGTTAAGGAAGTGTTCTTGCATCATCCAGCCAAGGAGATGATCTAGAGAGGCGCTCGTCATTGATAAGGAGGACCATTTTGCTAATGAGTCGACGACGAAGCCACAACGCGGGTCGTGTGTTCTGCTGCTCGCTAAAGAAGGAGACGTGTTCAACAGAGAACTAGATAATCACTCGCCACAGCGAGCGATGAGCATGAGTCTACCAAGATGCGTGTTGATGTTGATAGAAGTTATCAGATAGATGGTTGCTAGATAGTGCAGTGCAGCTTTCACACAGACCGCACCCCGCAAAAAGCCAGCGCGACGACGACGCACGCGAAACGCGACGATGCTCTTTGCACCGAATCTGTCCGTATCAACAGCTGCTTCGGCGTGCTCATCTTACCGCTCCCCTCTGCCATCCGTGTCCATCCTCACAGATTCTTCATTGCTTCGACCGACGGCTAGCTCACTCAGATTTGCACCACAACTTTTCGCATCATCCTCTCGAAGCTCGCTTCGCCGCTTCTTCCTCTGGTCCTCGCACTCTCTTGACGAGGCTCAGAACAGCCCTTCCATCGCCACACATCAACTCTAGTCACTCATCATGTGAGTAAAGATCTTACAATCTGGCTACTGCCTGCTGTGCGCCATTTTGAGGTCGCAAGCCAGAGGCTGACGCATGCGCTCCAGGGAGACTTTTGACAACATCTATCTCGATCTCTCCAAGCAGACTGGCAAGTGTCGCTTTGCCGAGTCTGGTCTAGGCTGGAAGCCATCAGGTCCTGGCGATACCTTCACCCTGGACAAGGCCGAGATCATCTCATCACAGTGGAGCAGGGCCGCAAGGGGTTTTGAAGTCAAGATCTATTCAAGAAACTCTGGTGTCATTCAGCTGGATGGTTTCATGCTCGATGTAGGCCGCCTTTGCATCCCTGCTCTCGCGCTTTCATAATGCTGACTTTCTACAGGACTACGACCGCCTGTCCAGATGCTTCAAGCTGTGGTACAGCATCAACCTTGAACAGAAAGAGCATGCCCTACGTGGCTGGAACTGGGGAAAGGCCGACTTTGGCAAGGCAGAACTTGCCTTCAATGTGCGCAACCAACCCGCCTTCGAAATTCCTTACACCGAGATCTCAAACACCAACTTAGCCGGCAAGAACGAGGTCGCAGTCGAGTTTTCACTTCCTGGCGATGGCGACGAGACGGGTACTAATGGAGCGCTTGGAGGTGCCAGAGGCAGGGGCAAAAAGGCTGGCGGCTCTGTCGACCAGATGGTTGAGATGCGCTTCTACATCCCTGGAACAGCAACGCGCAAAGAAAAGAAAGAAGAGGGTGACGAAGACGGCAGCGAAGCCGATGGCGAGGACGATCAGCAGAATGCCGCCAACCTCTTCTACGAGATGCTCATGGACAAAGCAGAAATCGGCGAAGTTGCCGGCGCTACCTTCGCTACCTTCCTCGATATTCTGCATCTTACTCCTCGTGGACGCTTCGACATTGACCTCTACGAGAGCTCTCTCCGACTCCGTGGCAAGACTTATGACTACAAGATCCAGTACGATTCAGTCAAGAAGTTCTTCCTTCTGCCCAAGCCTGACGATGTTCACCAACTCATCTGTATTGGCCTTGATCCTCCGCTGCGCCAAGGTCAAACTCGCTACCCATTCTTGGTCATGCAATTCAAGCGCGAGGAGGATATCGTCCTAGACTTGAACATGACCGAAGAAGACCTCGAGAACAAGTACAAGGGCAAACTTCAGCCCCGTTACGAGGCACCCATCGCCACTGTCATCTCAAAAATCTTCCTGGGCTTGACAGGCAAGAAGATTCTGCAGCCCAGTCGCGACTACAATTCACATCACCAGCAATCGGGTGTCAAGTGCTCGGTCAAGGCCAACGAGGGTCATCTCTTCTGTCTGGAACGCGCTTTCCTCTTCGTGCCTAAGCCTGCTACTTACATCGCTTTTGACAACGTCTCCGCCATTACCATGTCTAGAGTGGGTGGCGCTGTGAGTGCTTCCCGTACCTTCGACATTACCGTATCGCTCAAGGGTGGCGGTGAGCACCAATTCTCAAACATTAACCGTGAGGAGCAAAAGTCGTTGGAGAACTTCTTCCAGCTCAAGGGCATCAAGACTAAGAATGAGATGGAGGAAGAAGGTGCCCTAATGGCAGCCGTGTTACAAGACGGCGACCTCGACTCCTCTGACGATGAAGTCGTTGCAGCTCGTGGTTCAGCCGATGAAGACGATGAATCTGTTGATGAAGACTTCCACACTGAGTCAGAGTCTGATGTTGCTGAGGAGTATGACAGTGCCCACGACAGCAGTGGCGACAGTGACGAGGAGATGGCCGATGCTGGAGGAAGTGACGCGGAGAGCAAAGTTGAGCCTCCCAAGAAGAAGGCGAAGACAGCAAAGTGATTGTTACATTCGCACGCAACCTTTTCTGAACATCTCTTTCCTGAAGCTCGGCATGGCGTAGGCGTTTTGGAGACGAGGGCGTCTGAGGCATCCAAAGGGAGCGACAGAGGTCGCTGTTACATAACGAAAGCAAAAGTATCTTTGATACAATTGTGTCAGAACAAATGAAATCTGAACGAACACTGTCCACATGCATGCAAGTATACTGTGATACGGAAGGTGTTGCGCGTATCGTGCAAGTAAAGAAGGCAGTAACAGGGCAGGGGGCACGCGAACCTCCACTGGAAATGCGACGCAAAAAAGGTGTTCTGCAACAAGAACGTGTCACAGGTTGACTGACATCCCAACAAGTGCCAAACCCGGTCAGATGTATCCAAAATACCATACCGATGCTCAACAAGCTTCAAGACCTCGTGCATACTCGATTTGCCCAGCTCTGTCATTTTTCTGAGATCAAGACGACTCAGAAACTCGTGCTGATAGGACAACCCTGGCCTCTCCAGATTCAGCCCCATGCACTCCACTCACTCATTCGCTCAACCTTTCACCTCTGAAAGCGTGCATTGACAACAGAGAACAATGACTGGCAAACCCAGTAGCACACGATGCGGTCAAGAACTGGATGGTGAGTGCATCAATAGTTTTCATCAAGACGGAGGTGTACGAGTGGCTAACGTGGTCCTGCTAGTCTGACATGTCGCAATCGCAAGGTACGCTACGCTTGCCCGAGAAGACTTGGAATATCGTTGACGTATTCGCAGCTCAAATGCGATGAGCTAAAGCCAAGTGAGTATTGCAAATCCACATCTTGTCCATCTATGCGGCCGCGTTCTGTCAGCCACACACCGCGAATAACGTAGACTGCTCTTCACAAGCTCGATGTTCACGTTCAGAAAGTCAACTCTGACTGACGAAGTTTCATCATAGTCTGTGGACAATGCGCAAAGGCTAGTCGTCAATGTGTGCCTAGTCCAGGCGTTGTCTTCAGACATCAGCAGAATGCATCAATGAATGGATCAGGCACAAATGACGATAATGTCGGTCTCAAGAGTTTCTATGGATATAAGGAAACATTTGGAAAAGACAGTGTCTGGGTAGCCATCCCACAGAATCGTGAGTGTCATGGGACGTGAAATCAAGAGGTTCACTGACATCAGGTAGTCACGTTTGTGCACACCACTGATCCATACAACGAAGCGGACACGACACACTTCCATACTGATTCGACAGCTACTGGATCAGCATCGCGGATTGACAGCAGTTGGAATACTACAGCCGAATATTCATATCCATTCGTGTCAAGCTCGACACATGGACTAGAAGCATTGTCTGCTGCAGCATCAGGTGACCATTACCTCCAAAACACTACTCGACAAACGGATGCATCTGATTCTTTCTCACCGCCCATCGATCCGAGGCTTGATACAGAGCTTTCCGAAACCTGCATTGACTTGTTCACACCTCGACCAAACTCTGTGCGAAGCGACTTCGAACCGAAGAGCGACGAAGACGTGCCATTTCTACTGCGTCACTTCTCGGAAGGGCCAGGTGAATGGATGGATCTCTTTGATCTAGGATCGTTCTTTGCAGTCGATGTACCCTTGAAGGCAGCTTCTAGTCCTTTACTACTTTTCGCATCCATTGCGTTATCCGCCAAGGCTTTGGGAAGAACCAGAATCACGGCACAGCAACCTAAAGGCTCGGGCTCCAAGCGTACTCCAGCAGAATGGTCTCACAAGGCTCGGTACTATTACGACCAAGCGATCACACTGCTCAGACAAGCACTAGAGAATGAGACCAGACAAACCTCTGCTAGACAGCAATCACCAAATCCCGCCATAGTAGCGACAAACGCCATGATGGAACTTGGCGCTGACCATCACTCAGAACCACCAGCAGTCCTGCCTCGGACAGACTCTGACGAGCTGATCGCCACAACAGCCATATTGTGTGTTTTCGAGTTCCTTGATGCATCAGGCACAGAGTGGTCGAGGCATCTAGATGGCGCCAAAAGCCTGTTCGATATTGCCAAGGACGGTACAATGCCTTTGTCAAGCGCTACCTCAGGCCATAGTCCAGTACTTGGTCTGAGACCACCTACTTCCACCAAAGGACGTCGGGCTGTGTTCTGGAACATTTGTCGACAAGAGATGTTGAACGCCTGTGGGTTGAAACAATCACATACCAAATTTCAACATGCTAATCAAGATTCTAGTCATCAACAACACGAATACTAGATTAGATACAAACGACTTATCCATGTGGCGAGATGCTGGATTGCATATTTCACAGTCAGGATATATCTTGCCATCAAACGACCCTGCAGTACATGAGCCCATGGCCGATGACATGATTTCAAACGCATTAATCTGGCTCATGATGAAGCTGGTGAATTTCATCTCTGCTGGCGACGAGTTTCCACACGAAATGGGCCTGGGTGTTCGACAAATAGCACTCTTGGAATACTGGCAGGGGTTGGAACAACAACTTGATGTGTGGTTTGAGGTAAAGTTCAAGCCGACCAGATCCAATTTATAGGCACTGACTTGTAGGTTTCGTAGGGACTGCCACACAGCTTCAGGCCGAGCGCTACAGAATGGCCTGATAAGAACAACGTAAGCCTCCAGACGGATCCACGCTTTATACAGGCTGATTGACACTGCAGCAGGGCAATGTGAGAAGTGCGACCAAGATTCCCTTAAAATGGTTCGCTCGACCCATGTGTGCATCCACGATACAATCATTTCACTTTGCAAAGATCCAACTGCTTCTCAACAAACCTCATGAGTCTACAGGCACAAAGCATATCAAACACTCAGGTACAAACAGCAAAAACACATGGTCTTTGGCTCAGCGACACGCATCCTACGCATCGATCTTGAGACAGAGCAGGAAACACGCCGAGGAAATTGTCAGCATCGGTCTTGGACTGAAGAACGACAGCGCAAGGATCCACAGCGTTCAGCCTCTATATACGGCTGGACAGGTATTGGGGATGCGGGAGTCCACAGCCAGAACGATCCCTGGTGAAGGAAACTCGACGGACGAGGTTGATGCTATGCGTGGTTGCGTGTTGAACTTGCTGCAAAGCATTCAGCGAGAGACAGGATGGGCAACAGAATATCGTATGCAGCAGCTGTTGGAGGAGTGGGGTCTACCAAACGGACAGGACTAGGATTATTCTACCACGCAGAGAGGTGTCGTGGTCGGAATGCAGTGTCACTCCAGCCTCGACGATACTGCAATGCTCGTACTTCGTAGGATCGCAGATCCCGTAAAAGTCACGGCACGGATATATATATATATTCGGACCGTTAAACAGTGCTTTGCTAGATACGTCCGAAACTCAAACGAGGCGCACGTCTCGACTTCCGATGTGATAGCTTACGTCCATAAGATACCTACTGTCTAGGGTATTGTTCCAGAGCACGAGGGCAGGAAGTTTAGGACAAGGGTTGGCAAGAGATGGCGGGTTCTAAGGAAGTTTGGTACTGTACGTGGTTGCGGAGAAGACCGATACCGATGCGGCACATGCACCAAATCTGGAAAGATGACACGCAGGAATTGGCGCAACAGCTTCTCTTCAAACGAGCTCTAGAGCCTCGTGAGCGAACTGGGTATGAAGATAGCGGAGTGTTGCATGCTTTCTGTAGCAGATGATGGGAGCGCACGAAAAGAGAATGTTTCATCAAACAATAGACATGACAGCGACTGCTGCAGCGGTTCTTTCAATGAACGACCAAACGACTGTGGGAGGCGCAAAGCTCGGACGCTTGGCGTGCATGACGAATTCGAGAGGGGAAGTTTGACGAGCGAACGGCAAGTAGGCAGAGAGGACTCGACAAGTCGTCGCGTCGACTCTCGAGTCCTGAAAGCTGGCTTGTGGAAAGAGGTTGAGAATAATAGGAAGCAAGGATATCTGAAAGCAGTTGGGAAGACGCTTGAGGGTTTAAAAAGAGACAATATTGGTGAATAATTTGGCTTTTGATAGGTCTGAGGACGCCCAAAACCTCATATTCTCCACAGGCTGCACGGCGCACGCGCACCGCCGGGCCTACACTCCATCGTCCAAGGCTGCTGCTGCTTGCTGCTGCCCCGTAGTTACAGGTCGCCGGCTGCCGTCCGCTCTTGCTTGACACACGACCTGCGCCTTCTTGTTACGATATTGACTTGTCGTCTGCCGACCGATCGACCTTGTCCTTGCACCCACCTGACATTGACGGCCGCATCACAGCGATCGTCCTTGCGACACACAGCCACTTGGTGCACGCCCGCTGCCCGCCGCTTGCGCGACCGACACCGCGTCCCCCGACCAGTACACGACCCCCCCGGACACACAATGCCCTGCGCATGCCGAACTGGCCTCTGTTACTACTAGCGACCCCGGAACTTGCTTGCTTACTTGCTGAGATCACCACCTACTTCACTGCAGTCGTTTCGTCGCCCTTCACGCCCCTCCCCCACCCACCCCGCGAAACCGCTTCGCACCACCGACCACGGCGGACAAGTCATGGATCAGGATCCTAATCCGCACGTCGTCCAGGACACGGATATGTCCATGTGGGATGACCCCTCTTTCTCCAACCTCTATGACAACCTAGGCACCGCCGCCGAGTCGCCCTTCGATGGCGCTCGCCTGTTCGACATGTCGGCCGCGACTGTGCAAGCCGACAGCCCTAGCTATCACATCAAGACCGACGATGGTCAGCACGCACATTCCCACCAACAATACAATTCGCGATCGCTCGTCTCGTCGCGCTCAGCCGAAAGCTCATCGCAAGACTCGTCTTCAGAGACGAGTGGCAGGAAGCGCAAGAACACTTCGGCCACTTCCGAGTCTCCACCAGGAAACTTTGAGGCTATCAAGCTCGAACAACAACAGCAGCCCATGATGCAGCACGCCGGCAGCACCACTAACATGGCCTCATTACACTCTCTTCACAATCTCTCACTAGAGCAGGACTTTGCCAACCATTTTGGTAGCGCTGCAAGTAGTCCTGGTGGCCAACCTATGGACTTGGTTGACCGCACATACTCCCATCACATGCACATCAAACCCGAACCACCGGTACGTCCCCAAATATTGCCCATGTGGTGCTTTGGACACTGACCCATCAGCAGGCTGGAACCCTCGAGCCGTCCAATTTCTTCTTCGGCTCAAGCACAGCATCGCCCGCTTCGGTCAAAGCAACACAAACCCAAGAAGCTTCACCCAGCGCCATGTTCAACAACCCTACACCCTCCTCGGATGGAAACGACATGTTCAACGCAAACCAGATATGGAACAACCCGACACAAAATCAGAACCCTGCGTGGAATAATGACTACGCCCATGCTTTTGCGTCGCCCGGCGCTCTGGCTATGACGCCTTCTCCTGTCATGAACGCTCCCAAACCAGAACTAAACAAGGCTTCTACCGCCCAAGGCGATCGCATTCCTCTGCACGTTGCGCCCATCCCAGCAAAATCTCGAGTCGAGACACAAATCAACATTCGCTTGACCATGGACTACCTGCCGCCGCGCGTCAAGATGCTGCATTTGCCTACCCACACCATTGCAAAAGCCAAACTGCTGGCCAAGGAAGTCCATCTGGCTGAAGACACGCTCGAGTTACACACCATGCTCGTATGTACCAGTGCAATGAACCAACCCCACTTGCGTGAGAAGGCCATGAAGCAAGCCGCTCTGCAGGACAATGCACAAATCCAAGCACGAGGCCAAAATGCCGGCAAGAAGGCAGGCGAAGAGGAAGTGGACGAGAACGACAAACCGGCCAACGGCGGAGAAGTGCGAATCTGCAGCAATTGCATCAACCGTGAGCGTAAGAGAGCTGCCCGTAAGAAGCTAAAGAAGGAGGAAGAGCAAGCACACTGGGAGAAGTATGAGACAGAGCGCGTCATTGTCTTCAACACCAACGAGTACAAGCCATGGCAAGACTGGCAGCAGTCGCCAGCGCCCAAGGACAACAGCGTTACAGCCTCTGATTATTTCCGCCCGCCAGAGACGGCAATGCAGGTCGTGGCTCCTATGCGCATTGCTTGTTATTGCCGCCATCAGAACGAGAAGGACGGATTCCAGGTCATCTTTACCATCAAGGACTACCAAGGCAATGTTGTGGCCCAAGACATCTCTGACTCGATCCTTATCACCGATGACCACAAGACGCACCCTATGTCAAGCGTGCCGGGCCAGGTATGGTACGACGGCCAATTCCCAGCCCAGGCCCCTTTCACATCGCACTCGATGGTCGACCTGCACTCCCACATGCCTGCAATGTCTGTCTCAAAATCGACAGGAAACTTGCAGAGTCTTGGTTACGGAGCGCAACAGTTCCACCAGCCTAATAACATGCACATGCAAAACTTTCCTCCGTCACAAGCCACTACTCCTGGAACAATGACACCGCGCAATTTGTCCCGTCCTGGTTCGCCCAACAGCGCAGGCCAAGCAGGTCCCAGCAAGAAGCGTAAATCGTCATCTGCTCACCGAAGAGTCCCGAGCACGCTTACCATGACCAAGATGGAGTCAAATCAGCAAATGGCTCAACCTACTGCTCAAACCCCCTTCTCACCCACAAATGCTGGCTTTGTTGGCAGCAATAATGATCCGACTTACATTACCATGCCGCACTCAGCCTCGCGCAGCCATTTCCACACAGGGCCATCGACCCCTATAGAAACAACCACATTCCCGTTCTCTGCTCTCAATAGAACAAACAGTATGGACGGCGCTGCATATCAAGCCTTCTACTCTGCTCCAAGCTCTGCCCACCAGAGCCGAGCGCCGAGTCCAGTGTTGGTTGGACCAAATCTGGCTGCCTTCCAAAGGCAGCAAGCGCACGGTGGAGCAAATGCTATGCCAAATCGTCAGAACCCATTCGCCATGTCAAATTCATCTATGCCTGGCGGGATGAGCGAGCCGGATCGCCCTGGTCCCATTATCAACAAGGTGACACCCTCCGAAGGCCCGCCATCTGGTGGTATAGAGGTTTCGGTGTACGGCAGTGGATTCACGCCTGGCATGGAAGTCATGTTCGGCGACCAGGTTGCTACGGCTACCACTTTCTGGGGCGAGAAAGCTTTATGCTGTGTTCTGCCCCCAGGACAAAACGGAATTGTCCCTGTGGCGATCGCACCATCACCCATGCGACAGTACTCAGCGCCACCACCGGGCCAGACACAAGTCTTCAACTATGTAGGAAAGACTTCAGAGATGCAAATGATGGAGATGGCTCTTCGCTTCTACAGTCAGAAAGAGACAGGTCGTGCTGATCAATGGCAAGCGCTAGCACAAGGTGCTGCCAATGCCTGGATGTCGCAAGGTTCTGCTGCTACAGGTCTTCAGACGGCACAAGGAGCACCTTTCGAAGGTTCTATCGCAGACATGCGATATGCGTAGATGTCTTCAAGGGAGGATCCGAGCTCCACTGTGGCCTAGAGCACTGAGCGCTCACGATCGCAACCTGTAGCCGACATGTCACTCCGGCATAGCTTTCGACCTTCAAGTTGACGATGCAACAATGCGGATATGTACATATGACATCCATTCCTTATGCATCACCACCACGACTCCCTTGTTGCTTGAGCACGGCGTCTTCATGCGAATCATTGCTTTCCCGTTATCTTTGGCGGAGTTATGGTTAATCGGTAACGAACAAAAACCTATCCAGATCATGAATAAACTGGTACGAACGCGGGAAGTTGGAGTTTTTCCCAACTGGAGGTTTCTTCTTTCCTTTTTTCCCACAACAAAGGGTGTTTCCTCTTTCCTTTCTATTCTTTCCTTGTTTCTCTTTACATAGGGTAAAGCCAGCTACCCTCTACATATTTTTGTTCATGTCTCATACATAACATTCTCTCTTATTTTCCTGTTTCCTTGTATGAGATGTACCTTTTGACTCCAACAGTCAAAATACTCTATGTTCTGCTCGAAGCCACCGCTTGTATGTATGTATATGAACAAGGCTGTATGTGATGTAATTCAGAGCAGGAGCAGCTGCCCACCTCAATAAAGAAGGATTGGCCGAGTCATGGTCAAATTATACTAGAAGAAAATTGGCTTCCAAGCGCATCGAATGCACCTTCCAGCTAAATCTGATTTGAAATGATAACCCAGCCGTCATGCCATGTGCTAAGGCCTGTGACAAATAACCACTTGCTCGGTGGCCATTTGCAAGGCGGTCTTCCTTGCTCAAGTCTCGCGTTGTTGAGTTGCCGTAAACAGATCAGTCAATGGTCATGTCAAACTTGAGGTTTAACTGCAAGTCTGTAGAATGCACCCAAAATATGCTGATGATTCTGCCACGAAATCACACATCAACTATCATGACAACAGCCGACGTTGAGGTCTGCAATTTGATCAAGCGGAAACTTCACTCGAGAAGGAAGGAGCCAGGCTAGAAGCTGTCTACGACCACATTTCAAGCACTCGTCAGGATGAAAAGCAGCGTCACGCAGATTTGTTGGACCCTGGCTTCCTTTTTTTTTTCTAAGTTATAGTGACCATCTTCGCTGCAGTAAAATCCAGCAAGTTCATGCCATATGCAGTCATCAGAGCGACTGCCGCTGGATGATCGGCCGATATAATCTCTGTGCTTGTCTCCTATTCGTACAAGATGTTGGTTACCAACAACATAAAGACAAGCGCTTACTGTCCAGTGATGAAGATCCGCACCGGTATTTGCAAAACGCTATGCCTGTTATAGGAGCGAGTCCATTGATGACAATTTGACGGACAAGCGTGCGTGGATACCTTTTTTCACTCTTGCGCAATGAAAGTTGAAATAAGCTCACATCGGAAAAGCGAACTCACAGAGCCCAAGCGCTCTGTCTAAGAGATTGCACCTGCCAAAGCGCACGGGCGAGCAGCACTACACTGGAAGCAAGACACTGCAACAATGCGAGAGAGACTTGAGTGTAATGTCTTGACACGCTTGTGCTTGTTGAGTGGCTTCATGAGGATGCAGTGACTGTGTCCTGCTGTACATGCCAGGGGTCGAAACTGAGTTGACACAAGAAATCTATGTGTCTAAATTCTCAGTCATGATCAGTCGAGGTATGAACGTTTTTCTTTTCTCACGATTGTAGTGGCCTGCATCAAAATCGTTTGGCTTCACAGGCGAAGCGAGCCTGTTGAAGGCTTGCATATCGCAAGCGGTTACGAGGAATCATGGTGTGGGTCCAAGGATACATTCCAGGGGAGCCGAGATTCATGATATCTCTAAGCGACGGAATCCAGGCGCCCATGTGATGTTGAGTGGAAAGGGTCCGCAGTTGCTTTAGCTTAGTGACTGGCTGTTGCAATTGCTAGAATGGGAACCTCTCGTTGGCCAAATTTCTTGTTCTACTTTTAAGGTTGCAGGTGACAGTCCGCACTGACAGGAGACAAAGACCTGGTCGAAGGTCTCGTTGATTGGCAATAGTACGACAAAAAGAGGGCTGGATCACCTAGTTCCGTGTTATAGTAGCTTTACCCCCCATCATTGCATCGACGGCGTTGCTTAATGCGTACAAGAGCGTGTAGGTGAGTGTCAGAAGACAAGAGTCAGCAGGGTATTTATCGATGCAATACTGACCCCATCCGTTCTCCTGCATGAACATTATTGAGAGAGAGAGAGGGTCCTTCGCTTCTGGTGCAGCATGTGCTGCATGGTCGCGCTCATCTTTATTTTCCGCGTCGATCACAGTTTTTCGCGACTTGCATGTGTAGCTTATAACTATATATTAGCTTCTTTGCTCCGGCAATAAGACCTGCTATCAGAGGCTGAGTCCATCCAAGCAGCCCTGAAAGGTCCATTCAGAGAAGACTGTAAAGAGTCACAATGCATAGGAACAGATCGATACAAACGAGACAAGTCCTCTGTTTGACGGTCTGCGCTCTTGCAAGTGGAGTTGCGGGCGAGTTCGGGCTGTGGTGCACAACACGGAATCAATTTCGATAAACCTGTAAGTGATGCAAGACTCTCGACAGCTTTCTGCCTTGATAGGGCATGCAGAATATAGATCTGCTGTGTTTGGTGCAGTCAGACTGTAGGAAGAAAGGATCAGGCTTTGACGAATACGCAGGCACTGTGTTGTACGTATATACGATATGCATGATAATGCCGGTCCGGACGGTAAGCGTGCAAGTCTGTTCACATTGTCTGAGTGGTTGCCGTCTTCGTGAAAAAGCCATCTCCTTCCCGCGAAGGGAGGCTCTAGCGGAAGCGCATTGTGATAGGAACTTTGGGTAGCCTCAGACCTGACCCAGCCACTCGTTTTTGGGGCGTGTCAGGTTTTCTTGGGGCCTGCGTCGATTGGACCGATCGCAATTCGACGCTTGTGAATGTTGTGCGGGTCTGCATTGCGGACGCAGAGTACGACACCCTCATTCTCATTATCTAAGGTAAGCCTGTAAGACACTTTTCCGATGTGCGATTCGCATACCGTACGACGACAAGCCTTCAGTCAGATCTCCTGAGATGGCGTGTCAAACACAGACACACACGAAAGGCGCTCTCTCAGAAGGCGTTGTATGCAGGCAGTGGATACTCGTCCATTGGTCTGATGTGTTGGCAGACCCTGTGTCGTTACGCAGAGCAACTTTTACCTGACTGCCGCTGAAGCCGAGCGGTGTATTCATTTGCAGCTACGCTCGAAAGAGGTTTTAGTGCATCCAATTCCTCCGCCTATTTTCGAAACTTTGTAAGCGACGAACCCTTCGCGTCCTTCATTATTGCTGACCCATCGATCTCTTCGTCTTGACACGCTCTTTGACTGACGCGTTTTTCTCCCTGCATGCACCTCGTCTGGCTCGTCAGGATAATCAAGGAAGCAAGACAGTGCCAGGTGAGTGGTGTCAGAAGCGACCATCAAGGACGCAACCGGGAAAGGCTGCTTCCGATCATATTGCATCGCTTGGCTCGGAGAGAGCTAAGCATCCACAGTCTGATATTGCATCGAGGAGATATCGCCCGACGTATGATCTCAAGCTGATCCTCATAGCAAGCGATAATCTTAATAGGCGAGGGTAAAAACAAAGAGACATGAACCTGAAACCACATTCCGGTTGAGGAGGCTCTCAGCGGGAAAACTGACACAAACGTTGGTTCCCGGATTCCTGCGTGGTGGTAGTGCAGACGTTACTGCAGGCGCCGGCCGATCAGAGGGTTGCGAACATGGCAAAGCAAACATGGGAAGCCCCCCAAGGGCCCACCACGGGACGGTGCGCAGTGGGGAGTGCAGCCAGCAGACAATGAGGCGCGAGAACCGCCCGTTAGCCTACCACACAATCTCCCAATCTCGGTCTGGGCAAAGATATGGAGCTGACATTACTTCTATAACAGCAATGAACAGAGGACCCAGCAGCAGAACTCACCTGTCCACCAACACCACAAGGACCGGCCGTGACCATTGATACCAAACAAACTGCAAGTCCCAGGAGCCGGAAACGAGCAATGTAAGCCATGCTGGATAGGAGCAAAAAAGGAAAGCCTAGCCAGACTCTTGTCGAGACCAAAGGCAGTTAGAGTTCCCAAGTTTAGGGCACAGGAGCACTTCGCTTGCGTGCGGCAGCTGCGGCGTGCGGCAAGAACGCCCGGACCTCCGCTGATCTGACTCGTCTGTTCCCTTGTACCTGCCTTTTCCTCCGCGACTCCCACCTTCTTTCACTCTTCAGATCCGAATTCCTGGGTTGAAGTCTTTTTTACTATTTGGAGGAGAAATCGTCCTTCTTCATTCTTGTACTCACCCTTCTTTGGCGTCGAGCGAGTCGTTAAGCTTCCACAGTCCGACACGCTCGCTTCTTCGTTCAAAGGCAGCGTTTATTTTGGACACGATTGGTTGCATTCGAATCACGCATCTCTTTCCTTTCCATATACAACAGCCAGCAAGGGTAAGTCCTCATATTTTTCCATTCCTTGCTTCGATCTTTTTGTGGGAGTGTCATGGCCACGCCGATGCGATGGTAGCTCGTCCCCAGTCAGTTGTTTGAATGCTCTTGCACAAACCTTCTTTTCTTCTCCAAACCATTGTCACGGACCCGGCTTCAATTTCGATACATCGTTGCTGACCGCCTAAATCTTCAGACCGCAAAGACTTTGCCATATACTGTGACGCATCAGGTTCATCTATACCGGATTTGTTCTCATCGCCGTTATGGAGCCCAGAGTTATTTCAGTCCCCAACGAGACTGTAGCTTCCTTCTCGCGTACCACGTGCGATGGAAGGCATCTGCTCTACAAACTCAAAGTTCTCCAACAGCCCGAACGTGCTCGCGCGTGTGGTTCCGGCGCCAAGTGTGCGTGGCTATAACATTCAAATCTGATCATCATACTGACGCGACATTAGCTTCTGCCGACCGTCGTCCTGTCGACCCCCCTCCGATCGTCGAGCTCCGCATCTATGATGGCGAGGAACACAAGGAAAATGACATTACCTTTGCCATGAACGCCAACTATTTCCTCTTCGCGACTCTGGAACAAGCCCGTCCTATCGCTCAGGGTCGTGTTCCTAACAACGATCCAGCCCGATTGACTGTTCTGACTGGTACGCCTGTTGCTGGCATGGTATACCTGGATCGTCCCGATCAAGCTGGCTACTTTATCTTTCCCGACCTCTCCGTCCGTCATGAGGGAAAGTATAGACTCGGTTTCAGCTTGTACGAGGAGCTCAAAGACCCCAAGGATGCAGACCAGTTGGATGAAGCAGCTGCAGCTGCAGCTGCTCAAGGAGAAGCACAAATCACCCATCGCCTCGAAGTGAAGTCCCAGCCCTTCACTGTCTACAGTGCTAAGAAATTCCCTGGACTTGCTTCTAGCACCCAGCTCAGCCGCACAGTAGCCGATCAAGGATGCCGTGTGCGCATTAGACGTGAGGTTCGCATGCGAAGACGCGAAAAGGGCAAGGACTACGACGGCTACTCAGATCGTGGCAGACACTCGGCTACTCCTGATGCCTACCAGTCCCATATGGCGGGTGCTCATCCTGGCGCTGACGCTGCAGATCGCGAAAGGTCGGCCAGTATCGCTAGTCACGTATCTCTTGCCGCTGCCCCCTCATCCCGTCGTCCGTCAGGTCATGATGTGTGCCAAACATACCCTCAGCCCCCATACCCTCCACAGGTCTCCACCCAACACGCCGCGGTACAGCCAGCTCCTCCTGCACAGACCCAGTACTCCCAGGCGCCTGCTCATCAGTACGCCGCACCATATGTGCAGCCACAAGCTCAGCTGCAGCCACCATCTATGCAGCCTCCTCAAACTCAGATGCACTATGGACAGTACCAGTATCCCCAGGCTGCAGCACCTCCTGCTCCTACTCATCAGCAATCTGCTTACTATGGATATGGTCACCCAGCTCCACAGCATGCTCAATACGAGGAGCCAGCTGTTGCAAGAACCATGAGTGTAGACTACCCGCACGGAGCACCTGCTCCTGTCCACGCAGACCCTCGCCGTCACTCGATGATTCAGCCGTCTTCGTATACTCACAACAGCCAGCCTCAGACATACTCGAATCAGTACCAACACCCTGGCTACACTCCTCAGCAGACGCCTAAGATGAGACAGATGAGTCAGGCATCAGCAGCCAGTGCGTCGGCAATCGCACCCCATGTATTGCCACCAATCAACACGTCTCTTGTACCTCAGAAGCTCGAGACTTCGCCACCATCGAGCGCAGTGTCTCAAAGCCACTACTATGATATGGCTAGAGCTTCGGAAAACGGACAGATGAATGGCAAGCGCTCGTACGATCGCGTGTTTGATACGCGCCACTTGAACGGACCGCTGAGACAGGGAGCCAGACCATCGGTGTCGGGATACGGTCATCTTGTTGCTGACGACGGAAACGATAGCGAGCTTGCGGAGCTGGAGAGCTTGAAGATGAGCTACAGACGGGCGGATGGACGCGAGATTGCTCGCCCTCTGCCCCCTAGCCATAACTAAAGGTTAAGTTGCGAACTGCGAACTCAAATGGATACAGATAAGGAGTTGACAGGCATGTTTCACTTGTACAAGGGGTGGGAGAGCGACTCGACTAAGCGAAGGCGCGGAGATGTAATTGTGGAGGGAATAGAAGTGCCGCAAACAATCAGAGATTATGGAATTAACCAACGAGCCACGATAGACATGACAAGCAATGATGAACAGACGAATCAGAGGGCGCAAGTGAGACGATTAGCAACTGAATGAAGTGGTACAATATCGAGTGAGATTGATTCATGTATTTAGACGACGCGGATGAAGGGACTTGGGGTCCACGGCAGGCAGGGTCTTCGTTGCGTTCAGTGCGCTCCGGAGAAAAACGGTGGTTCGTTCTGTTGTGTTTGGCGGCAGTGTCATGACAACGAGACGTCAATCGACATTTCAATGCAGTACATGTTTCTCTATCAGAGTGGACTTGAGACACGACTTGGACTGGGAACAAACTAGACAAGATCTCGAAATTCTGGACAAATGCAGGGTTGCAGCTGAAATCGAGGGTAAGTGCGGAAAGAAAGATAGTAGGAGCCAGTTCGAGGGGTCCAGGGTGTAAACAAAGGCAGCAGCGGCGTTTGGGTCGATTGCAACGCTCGTTCCAAGCAGCAAAATCAATCGGCTGACGTGGCTGTGACAGGAACGAAGCAAACAACATGTCTGAAGAGACAGGAATGTACGGCGAGTTCGGCCAGGCGCTGGAGCCGGTGGGCAGCGGGAGCAAGCGCAAGCGTACGATGGAATGGGCCATGGAGGTGCCTGAGGCCGATGTGCGTCTACTCGTCGAGTCGCAGTCGAGTCCCGACGAGAGACAGCACGACCATGATCATGACCAGGATTACGACCACGACCACGACCACGACCACCATGACAGCCACACACCCAAGCGTAGCCGCCCATCGCCATCACCCAAGCAGCAGCAGCAGCAGCCTCGCAGCATCCGCCGCAAAGACGCCCGCTACGGCCTTTCGTCGCTGAACAAGCGCCAGGCTGAGCCCGCCGACGTGCGCAGCGTCGACAACACACGTCCCTCCCGCTTCCAAGAAGGCAGCATGTCAGACAAGCCCAGCGCCCAGCCGCCCAGTGTCTTTACTCGCGACCACTCGATCCACGCCCTCTCCGGTCTGGCCAATGTCGACGATCTGATGACCCAATATCACCAAGAGAACTCGACTCCGGCAGTCTACCACTCCCTCAGACCTGCCGCCAACCATCCTCTCCAGCACGACTCGGTCGACTCTGGCCCAGCTCCACCTTTCAGTGCCCCTACCTTCGACTCGATTGCTCCCTCGACAACCCCATCTGTCAAGCCCGGCGGCGGTCTCTTCCGTTTTGGCAAGATGTTTGCATCAACCTTCAACCCGGCAAACGTATGGGAGTCCTTCTCACGCACCTGGAAAGAGTCCAAGGAAGATCTTACTGTTAGAAACATTGAAGAGAACCGCAAGCGTGCTCAGGACGACAAGGCCATGTATGAACAGGCATATCAGGAACTTAAGAAGTCCGGCCAGTTCAACTTCACCGTTGTGCCCAACAAGGCTCTGACCTCGCCTCGCCTCGGTGGAAACAGCCATTTCGACTCACCCGTACGCCAGCCTCTGACTTCTCCCCGTCATGCTGCCGCCTATGCTCATCTACGCCCTGATGCCGACTTCCCCTATCCGCGTGATACCTCTCTTGATTCGGCCACCGATTCTGCTGCACCACCACAGTTGGCTGCTCTGTTCAACCGAGACAGCGACCCGCCCACAGAGCCAAAGTCACCTCAACATCTGTCTCCCGAGAAGCCTTTGAACAAACGCAAGTCATTCTTCACCTTGCGTGGTGCTTCTCTTCGTGCACCTTCCTTGAGCTCTCTCAGGCGTGGTCGCTCCCATGTCAATTTGAGTGAGACTATTGTACGCTCCTCAGAGGACAACGCCAACAGGACTCCGTCTATGTCACCTGAGAAGCCTGTCCCTCACAATCACCTCACCCTCCAATCGCTGCCTCGCACTCAGTCCAAGAAGGAGCTCAATCGAGCAGTGAAGCTGAACAAGCGTGTCAGTGATCTCGAGGCCAAACTTGCCGACGCTCGTCGTGAGTTGAACAACGCCATCACCAACGCCTCTCCTCTTCCACCCCTTCCGTCACGCTTCGAGAAGTTCACTCCTACCTCCAAATCCAAATTCACTAGGGCTAGATTTGGTTTGAGTGGTAGCAAGTTACCTTCTCTTCCTTCGGAAAGCCTGATTCAAGCAGAGTCTCTCGCTGAAGCCCAGAACACTCCTTCGCTCGTCAGACCGAAGCCGACTCACTCTCAGTCCTTTGACTTGACTCACCTTCGAAGCCCTGCGCAACAAAGAGAGTCTGTCATTGTGCTCGATACTCCTCGCTCGGAGATCCAGTCCTTCTTGCCTGTCGATTACGACGATCAAGCTCCAATGGATCCAGCCGCTCTTGCCTCGTCCGAGATTGCGGACCAAAGTGAAGCTGAGAATCGCCCTAGCTTGGATGACAAGCTCAGAGCCATAGATGCTAGCATCAAGTCCAGAATCAAGAAAACCCCTACCAAGAAGCGCAAGAGTGCTTCCAAGGATGACGATACTTACAAGCCTCCAGCACACGAAGAGGAAGACGAACTAGAGTACATCAAGGAGAAACCAAAGAAGAAGCGTAAGTCCACCGGCAAAAAGGCAGCCATTGTCGAGCCCGCAAACGAACAACCTGGACCCAAGACCGGCCATGGTAAGATGAACAAGACCAACACCAAGAAGCAGGACAGCAGTAAGCAAAACGCTACCGAACAGCCGATTGAGGTACCTCCTCCTGGTCGTGCAAGTCTGGATACTCTCGATCCTATCAACGAGGAAGAGAACATCATTGTTGCCCCCAGGGTTGACTCGACCAACTCCCTTGCCCCCTCGCAGCACGATTCCGCCATTTCCACCGCCGACGCCGAGTCCATCCACGGACGCACGGAGTCTCTCAAGTCGATCCTCGTCAACAAGTACGAGACTGCCCGTCCCACCTCTAGAGGCTCGAACAAGCGTCCCTCGTCCTCGCAACGTCGCTCTTCGCCTCCACCTGATGCCATCTACACAAAGCCTACGCACGTCACTATCCAGAAGGAGCACATCGTCACTGCTACACCTGGCGTCGGCTCAGTCCCCGCGTTGCCTACCGCGCTGGGCAGAGTGACCACGGAGAAGGCTGATGCTGGCGCTGGCAACAAGCAGTGGGACTGGCCTGATGATGTCTTCTGATTCGCCAACTGAGCATTGGACTCCACATGCTCGTGCGGGTGTCAAGCATTGTATATACAGAGCATTGACATATCCGTCCATCGGCAGTACATACGATACGGCATCAACCCTTCACGACCATCTGGGAGGACCCGACTGCTTTCCAAGGATACCTTCTGAGTTTAATTCCTGCTTTTCTTGCACCTTGACGATTGTTTTCTCTTTTTGCATGCCCACTTCATGTACTTTTTGACAATTTTTGCGTTCCCTTTCTGCTTTTACGGCCTCATGCAACGACAGTCACGATTGATATCAAATTTTAATGATGCACAAGCAGAGAAAAAGCATAACTACTCACAGCTTTGGGGAAGGGAGGCCACGATGGACAGGCAGAATTTTGTTACTTCCAAGGGAGCAGCAAGGCGTCGTTCCTTCCATTTCTTGTCCAATGCTTTTTAGAGTAAGGAAAGTGGCACTCTAGGTAGTTCCTCCTCACTTTTGTTCTTACGATTGCTTTCTCAAAAGTGCAGAATAAATGCTTTCTCCAATTTTGTCCAAAGCTGTTTCTTGATTCGAGTCGTGAATAGGGTTGAAGAGCTAAGAAGACAACCTCCAGTCGACCATAGTTGTGTCTATGTGCGGTCAAGGCAAAATGCAGAGTCCCGTGTTCTCGTCTAGAATATTCTGGTTGATGCCAGCACGGCTATCTATCGTTTGCTTCTAGTGTAAATTTCTTGATTTTTCTGTTGCCATCTTCTACTCAAACTCTTTTGCCTTGAGCGAGCAGATCGGAGACTTTTGGTGGCAGGACTAGACTGCTTCGATCGTTTCGCTTGAAGAACTCGATCATGAGGTGTGCAGTCTTTTCTGGCACGTCTTCTTGGATGAAGTGGCCGGCTTCTGGAATGACCGTGAGCTGAAATTTGCCTGTGATGTCAAAGTTAGCATGTGTTTTCTTTTGGTCACTTGAGAGGAAAGTTTGTACCTTGCATCTGGCCCACCATGAGTTCTTTGTCCAGTCTGTCTGTGCCTGCGAGGACTAAAGCCTTTGCAGCTCTGCCTCTGAGGAAAAGTCCACTCATCCCTGTGAACCAATCTTCCCACCAGCGCTGTGTGCGTGCTAGGTCTGTCCTCCAGATCCAGCGATCGTCTTTGGGGACTAAAAGACTAGGTACACTGGCTTTCGCAGACTCCAAGTCTCTGATTGTGCGGCTGCGGATGTGCCAATTGATTGCTTGGTCCACGGATGCAAAGGATGAAGGGCGAGAGGCGAGATAAGTCTTCATGTGCATCAAAGCCTCAATCGCAGAACCTTCGACTACATCCAGCACTGCAAACCCAACTAATTGGGCTCCCAGTGTGCCATTTGCAGCGATGCGAGTAACAACTGCGCCGCCTAGAGAGTGTCCAATCAATACCGATGGCGGTAGAGTCTTCCACCCTTGCCTCTGTTTGACACCTTCAATCATGGCAAGCGTATCAGCAACCAGTGTCTCAATACTAAAATCGAGAATCTCCTCATTGCTGGAAGGAGCAAAGACGGCGGATCCATGTTCTCTGGCCTCGAGACTGCAGATACCTGCTCCAGGCATTTCTTTCCTGACCGCAGCAGCAAAACACGCGAAACTCATTCCAGTTGCACCAGCTCCATGATGACAGATGAATAGAGGCCCTTTAGCTGGATCTCTTGGTGGAGTCAAATATACGTGGTACTTTGCATGTTGAGATTCTTTCTTTGAGTCCAAAAACAATTCCTGCTCGAAGTATTGGGACCATGGGTTTGGTGTCGGCGTTGGAATGCTAGATTCAGAAGGACGCAAAGTATCAACACTGTCGTTTGTTGATGCTGAACTGTCTGAAGAGGAGGAATTGCCTTCATCTGCTGTTGTCAAAGGCATTGCTGGCGGTTTGAGATTTGGTGCGTTGTGCTGATTCTTGATGTTGGGTAGTGCACGTAGTAGGTCTGACATCTTGTGTGTTTTTCAGAAAGATTTGATCTTCTTAGAAAGGTGTTTGTGCCAAAAGGTCAAAGTGAGAGTTTCGAGATGTGTTATTGTTCGAAAGCGAGACGTCATTGGTGGTCGAGCTTCTTGATCAGGGTCACCCTTTTCTTGGCTTGGACAACTGAGACAATTGAATGACATGTCCAACAACGATCATCCTCCGTATGAGCGTCCTGTTCACTGGGTCACGACATGGACTTGATGTCTAGCTCAGAGGATATAATACACACGATGTCATTGTAGTGTCGAGCACCGCACGATGATGGCTACAAGTTTTTGGATGGGGAAATGAAAGCATAAATTGGCCCGACAAAAGGGTATATATATATACAATGATGCAAGTAAGAAGATGAAGAAAAGAAAAGAGAGAAAAGGAGCCCACGAAGAAAGCAAATGCAGAAAATTTACCTCTTGCTCTTGCGCATCCTCTTCTCTCGTTCGTACTGCTTGGCCTCGTGACCCTCCTCTCCTTGAATCTCGGCAACGAGCCTCTTGTACTTCTTCTCGTACTCTGCATCTCTTTCCTTCTTCTCGCGCAGCTGTTCGCGCGCAATGAAGTTTGCATCCTTGCGCAGCTCGCGCACGGCTCCCTTGCGCTCGCGCTTGTACTCCTTCTTGAGCTTTGCGGCATCGGCGCGTTCGCGATCTGGGTCGTAGTGTTTGTCTGGGTTGAAGTTTTCTTCGAACTTGGGGATTGAGGTGCGGATAGGGAGAGGGCGGTGGTGGTGAAGTTCGAGAGGGCGACGGCGCAGACGGGCTTGCGAGAGCATGATGGAGAGATGTTGAGATGACTTCTTTTGCCCCTTGAGGGCTTGGAGAGCTGATAGGGCGGCTGGGGAGAAGATTTGGCCAAATGCCAACTTGGCGCTCCAGAGTTCAGCCATGGCAAGGAGATTATTGACGTGTGGTTGCAAGTCTTTCTCGCTGGGTTGAGGACGAAGTTGCAGAGCCTTGATAGTGTAGCGCACAGCCTCAGGGATGTAACGCTTGGATAGTGATTGGTACTTGGTGCACAGAGCCACGATGAATGCACCAGTGGCCAAGTTGGCAGGCGCTGGAGCGGTCATCTCCAACCAACGTCCCATGAGGGTAATCGCTGGGGTGACTACCTGGTGGAAGTGGTCTGAGGTCGGGTAGATGGAACTGATAGCAGTCAAGATGACCAAATCTCCAGCGTTGAAGACGCCGCTCTCGTGCATGGCAGACATGTGTGTACGGAAAGCCTTGCCAATAGTGCCAGGGTATGTCCTTGACAACGAGTGCAAGTGGCGGATCAGAATTTCGATGACAGCAAAAGATTGCTTCTCCTTGGCCATGTACGAGATGTGATCGACGAGAGCAACAGAGAAGTCTGCAAGCTTCTGCTTGTTGTCGGCAGTGAGCGAAGGGTGGTAAAGAGCACGGATGCGTTGGACGGCGACTGGGATGTCCTCGACAGCCAATTTTCCAAAGATGGCCAGTAGTTCTTCGTGAGAACGAGGGCACTCATAAGTGTAGGCAAGTCCAGAAGGAGCGGCTGGTGCAGCTGCCTTCTTTTCGCTCTTCTCGTCTTTGTCGCCCAAGATGCCACGAACAAACTCGTCTTCCTCATCACCGTCTTCGTCAGCAGCGGCTGCTCCTTCCTCGGCATCCGAATCTTCCTCGTCTTCGCTGTCTTCGTCGCTGACGTCTATGTCGGATCCGCTGGCAATCAGATCATCCTCCATCAAGAACTCATCCTCATCGTCGTGCACCACAGTATCTTTCTTGCCATCGTATTGCTGAGTCGGTAGACCGAATTGAGCGGCATCGTCGCCCATGTCTTCTTCGTCTTCGGGAGCGACCTCAGTGCCAACCTTCTTCTTCGACTTCTTGTCCTCGACCTCTGGCTCTTCCTCAGACTCCTCACCTTGCATACGACGGAGGCGCGATGATTCTAGCTCCTTCAAGCGGTATGCTTCTTCGATAGCCTGCTCCTCTTCTGTCTTTGTGCGAGTAGTGGGAGCGGCCCTCTTGTCCATGGCCATTTGCCTAAGTCTGACATCGTACTCTCTTTCGGCCTCTTCGCGAGATTTGCCTTGAAGCATGGCCAAACGTTCAGGGTTCATGCCGGCTTCCATGGTTGGCTTCTCGGCCTTGGGTGGAGGCTTGACTCCTCTAAGCAAGGACAGCATCTCCTGCAATCCCTGATCCAGCTCTTCGCGCAGATCGTCATCATCTTCCTTGGCTTTTTGTCTTTCGTATTTGTGCATCTTTGATTTTGCGATGACCTCCTTCATGACCTCTGCTTTTGACTTCTTGCGTGCCGGTTTGTCGGGGTCCTGCCCCTCGGCGTCCGACATTTCCTCGTCATCGTCGTCTTCCTCCGAGCCTGCAGAGGATCTTCGGCGTTTCAAGCCACGGTCTGATTCGTCGTCAGAGCCCTCGAGGCCCTCCATGTCGAAATCGTCCCTGTCAAGCTCAAGAGCCTTTCCGCCGTGGGTAAGAGCAGTCTCTTCCAAATCGTCATCGGCTTCAAGATCAAACAGAGAAGCGCCACCCTTCTTGCGCATCTTCTCTTGGGCAAAACGTTGCAGGGCGCGCTCTTCGGGGGTCATGGTGGGGTCGTTCTCGCCGATACGTCTGTCAATGATTCCACCAGTCTTGTTGCGGCGCTGGATCTCGGGTAGTAGTGTAGCACGACGCTATACAGAGTCAGTCCAAGTCTTGCAGGGTAGAGCGGAAGGGCTTACAGCTTCCTCGCCCATGCTCTTGGTAACACCGGGTCTTTGAACAGCATCTTTCTTGGGATGAGCAGTAAAAGACTGGAACTTGGCGGGGCGGTTGTTGGCCTTGACCTCGAAGGGATTGAAGCTGTCGCGGATTTGCTGAAGAGCGGCGTTGCGCTGGATTCTGCTGTCGTTTTTTCCTTTTCTATCCTCCTGCTTTTGCTTCTTTGACTTTTGGGGACCGGTGACGCCCTGCTCCCGCAGCGACGCCTTAAGACGTTTTAATTGCGATGGCGGCATGGTGTTGTGTTGTGGTCAAGTAGCTCGCTCCAACTTTTTTTGCCTTGAATTCGCGATTGGAAAGTCTGAGAGGCAGCATTTCGCTGACCGCCTTCGGCTCGACCTCCCGAGTCTCCGCCTCGTACACAGCTCGCGTCCGTGCGCTACATACCTTCTACTCGAGTACCTCTTCTGCATCTGCAATCATCATGTCTTGGGAGATACAAGATCGCCATCTATGGATCGGCTTCGGTGTGTTGAGATTGCCACTATTTGGGGCAGAAACTGATAATGCTCAGGTGTCTTTCTCTTTGTCGCCGTCAAAGGCATTGAACGATGCCTTCGGACTACCGTCCAACTAAGCGAGATCTATGATCCCGACCATGCAAAGGCTGCTAATGGCACTCAGGCAGAGGATTGTGAGTGTATGGTTCTCATATAGTATTCTTCCAATTCTGATCTCGATCGTAGCGATAAGTCTCGAAGCCTTATCGACTCTGGTCACATCGCCGAATCAGGACATCTCCAATTCGTAAGTTGAACAATTTCCCTCGAATGCGTTTCTTACATGGTGATTGTGCTGGGATGCAAAACACTCCTCTATCGACAGATTGAATATGTACTGTGTCATAGCCGTATGAGCCGGATTTCTACTTTGAGTCGTAGACTCCAAGAACGCAAAGTACCACATGTTATAACATGACACTTTCGCGACACATATCCAAATCCACAAGGATGTGAACAGACCTTGGTAGAGTCCCCACTGATTCGTGTCGTCTCTAGTGCAACCTCCCTGATTCTCTCTCGCTTCGCTCAGGACGACTCGGCAACCTCATCTTTGACCAACGACCTCTTCTCCTCCTCGGCAGACACACGTCTTCGCGCAAAACGCACCCTCGACCTCTTTGACAGTCTAGCCGCTGATCTCTACCCACTCAATGACTCTGTCATTTCTACCCTCCATGACAAATCTAACCCTACAGTACAAGTCATGTGTCGAGCTTACTTGAAAGCAGCCAGAAAGTATCGGCAAGGCAGACTAGCAAGTCTAGTAGAAGTTGCAGAAGCTGTCGAGGAGTCAACGAGAATTAGCCATGGTGATGTGAGGCAAGCACACCGCTATCCGGAAACGCATTTTGTGTTCCCGCAACACGGGGAGAATGTTGAAGTAATTTCTCCAGCGAGGTTTCAGCCTGTGTCGCAGAGGGTAGAGTCTTTGGTGGATATGTTGGCGGAGCAGGCTGTAATGACGCGTCCAATGGTGAGATTTGCTGCTCCTGGTGAGCAGAACAGTGGTCTTGCTTCCTCCACTCCACCTGAGTTGCCAGCTCTGGATGGAATAGATGCTGTTGATGATGAGGTTCCGCATGCTGCTGCTGCCAGAGCAAGGTTCCAGGCTTCTTCCAACCACGAGGCCGAGGTCAGAAGACAGAGGAGAGAAGCCATGGTCTTGCATGAAGGCGGTGGTATCATTGGAAGTGACGATATCATTCATCCTCGTACAGATAGTCGTCGACAATGACAAGTCAATAGTGAGCTGCGGTAGTTGAGGCCCCAGACTCTTTTCACTTATCACTTCTAATTGTCAGATTGAACTGAACATCATCCCACACCAGAGTCCAGTGCTGTGGCTCAACTCGATGAAACTTCTTCTATGTCTAGCATAAATAAATTCCAGAGGCACTGAGTTCGATTTTTTGCCTTGGTTGGTCGCCATAATGATTTGGGTTCTCCTAACTTTCACTCTTGGTTTTGTTTTTTTGCTCTAGCATAACTACACTTCGGCGTCAGTACAAGCAGTATGGCAGTGGCTCGTACTTTTAAAAGTGTTCTTGTATTATCTCAATGTCTACCCGTATTGCAATGCGAAGAGGGTGCCGTATATCCCATTGTCAAATGACCCCCATGGTGATGCCTATACTCCAGATCAATGAGAGAGAAAAAGCAAACCCGGCCTGCCCTTATATACGCCGAAAGACCTTACTCATGTATACAGAAGTTGGTAAGTCTCATCATGCCTCTACTCAAACGTCATCGACATCTCCTTCTCCTTCCCAAAGTCATCGTCATCATCTGCCCACGCATTTCGCTCGTAAGACATGGGCGTGTTGTTGGATACTGATCGATTAGAAACAGGCATTGTGTTTGATGACTGCAATGCAGGCCTGATCGGGAATTGCGACATTGTCGGTGATGCCACAGGCGATCCGTGCATCGAGGTTTGACGGTCGCCAAATGTTGGTCGAGGTCGCTCGGGACTCTCGAAAGTCATTGATATCTGGGAGTCGTTGTGAGCATTGTACCCGAATTCGTCGTAATCGTAGTGCTGGTTTTTGTTGAGTCCGTTGGCTTGGTTGATACTACTCGATGAATCTCGAGCACCATCGGAAAAGCCACTGAAGCTCTTGGTCTGCCTAAGACCTGGAGGTGGACTCTTCAACCCCTCGCCGTTGGTAGAGTTAGCTGTGGTGTCGATTCTCATCGGAGGAAGTGTGCCCTTAATCTCTTTGATCTCGACACCTTGGGCTGCGAGTGCAGCGACCTCGTGCTGAAGAGCATCGATATCGAAAAGTGTCCCCTCGTTGGAACCACCAGCAGACTCGTCCGCCGGTCCTGCCTTGATCTTCTCGTCATATGTCTCCCATTCCTTCTTCTCAGCATTCTTCTTGTTTCGACTGAAAAGTGCTTTGAATCCTTTCTTTTCGGGTTTCTTCTCGAGCGCCTTCCTGGCCTCTTCGATTTCGTTGATAAGTTCTCGTTGTCTTTTTTCATGGTTATCCGGATCTGGATCTTCGATTTCAGTGAACTCTTCACTGTCAACCGTCCAACCCACTTCTTTCAAAAGCTTCGGCATGGCTTTACGGTATGCCATGTGACCTGCGACAATCTCCGTAACATTGTAATTTTCGACACCAGGTATGTCAACTGAAGCAAGTCCAGCGACTCGCATAATACCTCCTGCTGTGGCACGGAACAAGTAGCCCAAAATCCAATCATTCGTAGCGTAGCCGTTGACAAATCTGCCAGCAACAACCGACTTTGCTTTGATGTATTCATCTCTCTTGAAGACTACTGGACTGCCGAAAAGGTAGACATTCTGCACAATACCGTACGCTCCGCGGTTGGCGAGCTCTTTGAGGCAGGCATAGATGACACGTGAACCTAAAGAGAACCCTACAAGTGTGACTGGTCGTACACCAAGATTGCGATCGATCAGAGAATCGGCGAGAATAAGACCAGCCATGTCCGCACGAGCCATCGATACACTCCATGGGTTGTCGATGAGGTATGATAACTTCGTAAGCACGAGTGGTAGTGACATGGCAGACATGAGAGCAGTGAGCAGTGTGCTGCCAAGAATTTGTTGAAGTCCTTGGGTGAGAGCCTATTATTATTAGCATGGAATTACAAAGACGAGGAAATATTCACGTACCTCAGTCGCAAGGATGTTGATGGTCTGACCCATGCTCTGCAGCATTTCTGGCTCCCAGTGTACACTGTAAATGTCGCCCATGATAGGATTGACCGTACTAAAAGGCAGACGAACATCATCAACCTTACCAGTCATCCAACCAGCTACAGTGACGATGAGGTTCACGCGTTTGTTGTTGTGTAATGGTCGATATTCGAAAGTTTTGACCGGGCCTGTTCGTCGATTGCTTGCACGAACTGCAATAGTGCCTCCAGTTGTGACTCCAATGGACGTGATCAGAGCCGCGCCACCAACACCTCCGAGGAAAGTACTTGTTCCAGCAACACCAATGGTCGTGAAGCCAGCAGCAAGGCCAGCACCGATGACAGGAGCGAGGAGACCGGCACTCAAACCAATGACAAGACCACCACCCACGGTAGCCAGGCCCATCATGACAAGTCTCCTATTCCGTGCCATCTTTTGACGTTTGTCGGTGTGTTCTTCCTCGTTCCAATTTTCCTTGTCGGCTTCTTGCTGCATTTCCAGAGCATCTGTGATTCGTTTCTCGAACCGACAAATCTCAAGCCAGTCTACCGACAGAGCACTTCCGACCAATTCTAGGAGAGCCCTTGAGCGGCCATCATAAACACTATCGGCTAACAAAACCAAAAACAGGTCGCAAAGAACAGTCCATCGAATGTCAATGTCGATGTTCTTTGTATCGGGCAATTGTGATGGATCTTTGACAGAATAATCTGGCGGCACTTCTTGCTCGTATGGTGGAGGTATTGAAGGAGTAGAGGGGCCGCTGAGTGGAGGGGATTTTAGTGATTGGGAGTCGGAGAGATTTGATGGTGCGGGAGTGTCCTCCTTGGTCTTTGAGGGATTCTTGACTCTGGCGTTTTGCATTAGGGGAGTCGTGAGATCTGCTGGTTCGACGCCGTGTTCAGCCAACTGCTCAATCATGATCTGTTCAGCAGCGTCCAGATCCATGTGACTGTAAAGTCGAACCATAATCTTCTGGGCCCACATCTGCATGGATTCTATGGCGATGTCGAGTTGTTTCTTTGTGGAGCGGGTCTTGTCGAGTCCTTCGAGATACTTGGTCATTTGAAACATGGAGACACGTACGAGTCCGACATATGCAATGCGTTGTCCTTCAGTCAAGAGGTCTTTTGTAGCTTGCATCTGTGAAACGACATCGCGGCTGTCGTCTTCGTCCAATGTATTGGCACCAGCATCGGGCTTGAAGAGGTATGCGGTGTCTTCGTCTAGACTGGTGGCAGATTGAACGTCATCGTCAAGCTGGACTCTTGTATAGCCCTTTGCTGCAGCATTCCCGTATGCATAGTCCTCGTCCTCGAGTTCGGCGACCTCGCGCGCAATGACTTTGCCCCAGTCATCGTATATGGTATGGGTAGCAAAAGCTGGCATATCCTGCCATTCCAGCTCACTCTCTTCGGGTTGTCTCTCTTGGGCAGGAGCAGCGGTCACGGCCTGATGTGACCATTCGGAAGCGCCGGCGAGGGGTTGTGTGAGCGAGTCGGAATTGGCGACAATGACGGCTTGCTGGGCTTGATCAGGGATGACGGGATCGATCGCTGGGGCAGCAGGCTCGGTTGTTGTTGTTGTATGGACGGTAGGGTCCGCATCAGAGGGCGTGTCGTGTGCAAGGTCATGGTGCTCAATGGAAACTGGTTTCGTTATTGTCGCATCGGTTGAAGGGGTAGCATCTTGGGCCTCAGATGTGCCGTTTGAAGAGGCTAATTGAGTCGCATTGGGGGCTGCAGTGGTTGAGGAAGGAGCTTCCTGGTCTGAGTCGTCCTCTTCGTCATAAGTCCTTGTCCTGGTAGGTCGGATAGGGAGGCCAAATTCATCGACCTTTGGAGAAGCAGGAGGTCCATCTGTGGACTGCTGCTGAGGTTGGTCGTCGGGCATGTTCTCAGACAATATTCGCCAGGCGTGGCGATAGTTAGGCCACGTCTATAATTCCATGGCACGCGCCTGCTGTGGTCGGGTCGAAAGTCTCAAGAAGATGAATTGAAGCATCAAAGGGTCGGCTTCCGGAATGGCAGGTGCAGCGGCAGGAAGCCACGTCCGTGAGCCCCCGCATCAAGCCTCAACTCTAAATATTTTGCTGTCGCTCTTGCCTGTTTCGGCTTTTTTCATTGTATACCATTCGCGCCGAACTCTGCCATCTCTGTCGCGACCACTCGCTATTCTTCTCACGTTCCGGATTCCTCCAGCTTTGGATCACTCTCCCTCATCCGATAACTCCCCACAACCTCCTCCACTATGCGCGGTAAACGTTCAAAGCAGTATCGCAAGCTCATGCACCAGTATGAGCTTTCCTTCAACTTCCGTGTTCCTTACCAGGTCCTGGTCGACGCCGACATGATCAAGGACACCTTCCGTTTCAAGATGAACCTTCCTCTCTATCTTGAACGCACTCTTCACGGCCAGGTCAAGCCTAGTAAGTTTCTTATCTTGTTCATTGTCGCATGGCCGAACTAACATCCAAAAAGTGATCACGCAGTGCTCAATACGCCATTTGTACACTGCCGAAGCTCCAGACGTCGCCTCCAAGAACGCATGGATTGATACCGCAAAGTCATTCGAGCGCCGTCGCTGCAATCACCACACTCTTGACGAACCTTTGTCCACATTAGAATGCTTGAAATCCGTCGTCGATCCCAAAGATAGCAGCACAAACAAGAACCGCTATGTTGTCGCCAGTCAAGATCAAAAAGTCAGGTCCGCCATGCGCAAAATCACCGGTGTGCCGCTCATCTACGTCAACCGAAGTGTTATGATTATGGAGCCTATGGCAACACAGACTGAGGAGTTTAGAGAGGCTGAGGAGATGGGCAAGGTCAGAGCAGGCTTGAAAGGCAGAAGAGGTGCCGCTCCCGAACAACCTTTGAAGCGCAAGAGAGAAGACGAAGATGAGGACGAGGATGGTGAAGCACAGGGCGATGCCTCCATGCAAGGCACCGAAGCTGCTCCAAAGAAGCGTGTCAAGAAGGGTCCCAAGGGCCCCAACCCCCTCAGTGTCAAGAAGTCAAAGAAGCAGACGGCGAAGCAGGAGGCAGAGAGACAAGCAATCAGAAAAGCCGCAAAATCAGATCCGCAAGCTGCTGAAAAGGCTCTCGACGCAAATGTCGCAGTCGATTCGACGGCAAACGATGGTTCAGAAGCAGCAGGCAAGAAGAAAAGGCGAAGAAAGCACAAGACTACTAGCGATGCGGCCGCTGGTCAGGCCGACGTCGATGATGCTCCTCCCGCTGTTGCCATGGATGTTGATGCATGAGTTTGACTTTACGTACTTTTAGAGATACACCAATCATACCTTTTCCAACGCGAAAGGAGGTTTTCTATTTGCTCCACAACACAGCTTCTATTTCTTGTCCGCTAACATAGCCGTTCAGGCTCATCACTTACGAATGTGTTTGATTGTTCAAGACATCAATCGAGCTAGACTAAATACATTGGCAGATCGCTCGCTGGTATAAGTAAAACAAAGAACGCCTTGTCTCCCCAGAAGGTTGGAAAGGAGCGAGCATTACACTGATAGAAAGCAGTGTGGATGTTTCCCAAGAACGCCATTTCTCAAACAAAGTATATTTCTCTTATTCATTCTTTTCTCTTTACCACAACATGAAGGTAAGGAAGGCCACAAGTACTGGCAGCGTAAGAGATATTGAAGAAGATGCAATGGCCGTCGGTAAAGCGCCGCTGCTGAGATTTCCGGTTGCGTAGATCAGTTGGAAACTCAAGTCTGAAGAGTTGAAGCAGTTTGATGCATTTACTTCTGGGACGTCGGCTGGATCTGCGAGCGTCACATCTGCGCACTATGACAAGCCTGTCAGTCTCGTTCTGAGATTCCAACTCTGAAGTCACTTACGTTGTAGATGGCTGCACCATGCTGGGCGGTCTCGATAACCTGGATAGTAATGTTGTCGCCGATGTTGAACGTGAGGTTTGGCACAAGCGGAACCTGTGGTAGGCAGAATGTGCCTGGATATGCGGTGTTGACAGGGCCGGTTATTTGGAAGGCTGGAACGACTGGATGCGACATGTTTGGAGGCGCTACCTCTCCCGGTCCATTGATGCCAATGTTGATGTAGAACGTTGCTGTTTTATGGCCTAGAGGAAGGTTAGGCTGCGCCATGATGCTTTGGTTCGATGGATAGCTTACCTTGGAACCAACCAGGTTGTATAGCAACAGCACCACCATTGACTGGCCACAGACTTCTGTTCGTACTTGTCGGCATGCCTCCACATGGGTACATCCACTGCTGACTAGAGCAAACAGATAGTGTCAGTGGCATTTCAGGCGGACTCGAGCTAGATCATCGGAGCAGATATCGAGATGCTTACCCGTAGGGAAATGTGTACTGTCCATCGACATAGTTTTGTCCCAAGGCATGAATATCGTTTTGAGGCAGCGTGCCGTTTGTTTTGAGGTTATCGCCTCTCCATGGAGGATATGTGATCACTAATGAAGACTCAGCGACCCAATCTTGGAGAAATACGACATTCCACTTACCGGTATGACACTGCACAAGGCCTAGGCGAAGGACCATGGCGGCCAAGATCAAACAAACGGTAAGCATCTCGATTTCAAATGCAAAACGTGGAACTTGGCAGCAATATCACAGACACAGAGAACCGAAACACAGGAGGAGAACCCAGCGTGAGGAGACGCTGAGTCCATAACTTATCTTGCTTGAACATAGGAATCCTAGCCGCCGTGTGATGGCGACGCACTTCTAGCAACAGTGATACTCGTGGTGGACATGACAGCCAGTAAGGTCGATGCAATGGTCGTTCTGCAGAGCGACCTTTCCCAATGCAGTTAGCCATAAGCATGTAAGCGCTGACTCCTCTCACCAGTAACCTCACCTTTCTTAATTGCTTTCGAGGTACGGCATTTTCTCAGTGCGACAAGGGAAACTTGATGAGGTAAAACTTCGTGAGATCATGACTGCAAGGCTTGTTTCGCGATTGCAAGTGCAAATCTCGTTTGACATGGTATGAACGATACCTTACCGCCCGCGTCCAAGTCATGTAGGCATATCTCGCCATGAATGCAGAATCAGGCTTCACAAGACCTCATCTCCGGGTCTGGAAAGAGCTCGTCGGCTATATTCTGATTGGGTCGAGTGGTCATGAGGCACAACATCTGCACCCAACTTTCCTTGATGTGTCAGGTTTGCGGCAGTGCAAGCGCTGATGCGCATGACTGTTGCTGTCTTGGTCATACAAACTGCTATCAAGCTCTTTGAAGTGGAGTCTTTTTCACTATCAAGACTTCTCAAGCTGCAGATCGGAGTGTTGGCCGTCTTGGAAATAGCAGCTTGGGTGCACACGCGCGGCTATCTGATATGGGGATATATTCATGCCGAACCCCTCCTCAGAAGCTTGTCATCTTTGGCCAAGGATAGTGCATCTGTCCCGCCGCGTGCCATTTGGAGTGTACAAGCGCCAGAGTGTCGTATGCTTGTTTCAGCTTTGTTTCTTATATTTGTACCATCGGACCCACGAGATCATGGAACGTGACATCTCTCCTCACAGCGCTGCTTCAACACCTGGATACATTGGAGCAAAACGGCTGCCTCCTTGGGAAGTTTCTAACCTTCCCCGAGTACCTCATATATCCAATTCAGCACCGCCTCTTTCGAAAGCAGAGGTGGATGCCTTATCGTCCTTGTGGGCGACAAGAACAACAACAGATCACCAGAGCTCAGAAATGGATCAAAGATTTCCAGATTCGGCATTTGCAGCACCCTCTCCACCCCAACGGACTGAGACTGGATCATCGTCAGCGAGAAAACCTTCCATAGCGGACAGTGCAAGAACGGCATCGCCTCAGCCTAGCGAGCATAGGCATATGAGTCCGGCGTATGGTCATGTTTACGAAAATGATCACTCAAGTAGTCGACAACAAGTAGTGGCTATGCCTGGCACCATGTCGAGTCGTTCTGTTCCTAGTCAGCACCACCCAATTAACTCCAAGAGATCCTCCAACAAACGGCAGCACAAGAAAAGCCCTAAAGGCACCAAGGAGTCTGTGCCAATCGGCCATCGCTTCACCTCAGCAGTCAAAGACTTATTCCGGAGGGAGCCGATTGATGACAGCAATTTTGAACGTATTGGAGAGCGACACTGGTCAGATGATTGAGTATGCCATGAAGACAAACTCATAACGTACCCATCTGGAGGGCATCAGACAACTTGACCAGGAAGGATCGAGCACCAAGCCTATGATGCCACTGCTTCACTGCCTCTGTTTTTTTGGTTGGAGAACGAGAACCTATACTCTGCAGACTCGATCGTAGCAAAAGCTAGCTGCTGCGCTTGAAAGTAGACGGAATAACCTCAGGCAGTGTCTCACTGCTGGGAGCTGCGATAGGCGACGACGTCTGGATTGTCTTAATTCCGTTCAGTATGCCGCGACATGTATATAAACGTTGAAAATAGTGACGGGGCCTATGTGCAGCTGAAGTCTTTCTATTTACAACCTCGTTTGTTCTCTTTTGTTCTTAGCAACCCATGGCGGAGCAAAATCGACTTATTAAGATTGTGTTTCACCGCTCTCGATTCACTGATGTGCTCAATTTATACGATGAAATCGGTTTGGATCATCATGCATACAGACAAGCCAGATCAGCAGATGCTTCAGAGTGGGTGGAAATGATACAACAGCAAGGTGGTGGATATGTGCTTTGATGAACAAGGAGCATGTACCGCTGGTTAGCGCTTGGTTGGGCATCAGTGCCACGTCAATGGGCATGGCTGTTTGCCACATGAGTATTTGGACAAGAAGCGCAAAGCGTAGAGCCGAGACAAGAACGAAACATCGAGACAGAAAGAAGAAGAAACTGGCAGTGCTCAGAAACCGGTATTTGGTAAGTGTCGCATGGCCAGAAGAACGAGGAAAGCAGTCTTGTGTCGCCAGTCGGGCAGCCCCACTCGGGATCGGCAAAGAGGTGGTGGTTTGGCAGCGACGAGATTCAGCCCGGTCGCAGCTGCACAGAGCGCTGGTGACGAGCCGACTTGATCTTCTTCCACTCACAAAGCCTCTGCTGCTCCAGTCCCCAATCGCTAATCTGCAGCTGCCTGTCTAGCGTCCCGAGCGTCCAGTGCTGTCTCTGGTCTGTCTTGCCTTGAATCCCCCGAAAGCCCCACGCCTTTTCCTCGTCCGCCCCTGCCAGCCCAAGCGCGGCCGACAGCTTTTCTCCCACCACCTGACATCTCCAACACAACCACCACCCGCCCACCGGAGACTTTTGTTGCTGCTGCTACTTCTTGCGCCGTCGCGCTCTGGACTTGGTTCTCCATATACCAGGCTTGTTTTCCTTCCCTCGGACCTCTTGGACCAGGACTGCTCTTCCGGAGCGTAGCATCCCGTTAGGCTTCAGACCACAAGGCACCGAATACCAGCCACGAGGACGTCGGGATTGCGATTTGAGTTGTTTTCTTGCTTTTCTGCTCCACCGCCATGGGTACAAACATATTGCGAAACTGGTTCGTCCCCAAGGATGGCATTAACCGCCAGGTCATCTCTGCAGACATACAGAAATATCTAGGCAACGATGCGACCGTTCGCCCAGGCAAAGATAAAGAGGTAGGGATCGAAATGGCATATCGGCGCTCATCGCTTCAACAACAGGTTTGCGGACGTGACTGACGTGGTCACAGATCGAGGGTTACTGGATCAAAGCATACAGAAACCTCACTACCGTACGTATCTACGCCGCGAAGCCCGCACCGCATCTTGCTAATATCCTTCTCAGGAGATGATTAACGATCTCCGAATGGCCTCGACCAAGTGGGAGCAAGAACAACGCTCTGGTCGTCGTGGTACGTCTATACCCTTCACATCATCTTGATGATTATCCTAACTTGTGCCTAGGCGCCTACGAAGACTCGCACACATATAGACAAGGCACAGACTCTGGAACTAACGGTAGTGGTTCCTATCGCGCCAGTACAAACTCGCCCCAGCTTGGTGACGGCTATCTTCCTCCAAACGGCCATGTTCCTCATATTGCCCAAAGGATGCCTGTCCCGGAAATGGCTCCCTATGATGATCCCAGACGGATGTACCCTCCCCACTCCGCGGCTCCCGTCACTACTGGCTTTGGAGATCCCTCCATGTATGCTTCGCACCCGCCCAGGACGCCTGCCAATGGATATGGTCCCCCAGGAGATTTCTACAATGGCCATCCTGGATATGCTCATGATGCTCCTCCGCCCCATGTCAGAGGCCCTCCTCAGTATCCTCCCTCGTACCCCACAGGGCATAGAGATCCCAGGGATGATCCCAGATATGCCCAGGAATACCAGGATCAGATGAGATATGCTAATTATCCCCCGGCCTCTGTCGCACCAAATGGAGCTCCAAGTCCTCAGACCACAAGGTCGGATCATTATCTAACCACGACCACTATGCGCGGACTAACCCCACCTAGTAACTACCCTCCACCGCGCATGCCACAATACGATTCCTATGGACGCCGTAAGTTTTTCACAAGATACTCACATCATTCCATGATGGATAGCTAACCGTCCTGTGCCTACCTACAGCCTACCCTGCGTCGACGCCAATGCCTGTCCAACCTTATGCCCGTCCATCTCCTTCAGTGGATCCATCGTATGCTCGTGAACGTCCGTCTGCTCCCCCCGGTGCGGATCGTGGCGCTCCTCGTCGTAGAATCAACTAGGGTCATGATTGGTAATGTTCCTGTTGTCCAAGGATGCAAGTCCGCGCAGTTGAGATCCAGGATGGCGACTGCCCACTAAATGATATGATTGCTTCTGGATGTTTCTGACTGGTCCGGGCCACTATTCGGCAATCATTCTCATTAGCCTCTGCTCCGTGACTGGTAGTCTCGTCTCCCTGATTCATCCGGTTACACCTGGCTCTGAGGATAGGGGTTTTGATGCTGCCATCATATATGCTCTCACATCTTTTGGTGCATACACTTTACTCCTTCTGGATCAATAGATCTCCTGTCCAGATTCATAAGGAACCACGACGATTGGTTTGAGTGTGTTACGAGAATTACGAGACGCGGTCCAGCGCGAGGATAAGATCCGATGGAGTTTTTCTTTTCTCTGCATGACAAGCCCGGTGTTGCTTGTTCCCGGCGTTTTGCTTTACGAGGTAATTCATGCTTGGGTCTGAGCAAAAGCCTTGGGGGTTTCCCAGGCACGATTTCTTTGAGATATTATGATGATATTTGTTCAGCCTGCGCATTACCATATTGGATATCATCTAGGCGCAACCTGCGTTTCCTCCAGGATGGATTTACAAATGCCAAAGTATTCGGCTTCCTTGTTTTATATGGGCTCATTCGAGCGTTCCGAACATGATCTTTCTGTCTCTTCGTGAATGTTTGCAATGTTGGTCGTCTTGTCCTCCCCAGCATGGTGCACCTCATGGATCAATTATATGCATTTATATCTGTTCTCTTATCCACTATCTTATGCTTGTTTCCTCATTCCATCTGGGAGCATGTACAACCAGTTTTAGAGTTGGGCTTTTGCCTTTACCACTCTGAAACCCCATCTCGGCGCGTGGACTCTGATCTCTTTGCCTCCGCTTCTGGTTTGTATAGCAAGCACGACTTCATCTTTCGTGAGCTTCACCAGCTGTCCCTCATCTTTGTGTCGGAAACCACTATCGGTAGGCCACAATTGGACAAGGTCGCCCTCCTCAAGTTTGACAGGATCGTTGCCGTCCACACCGGTTTGTTGATCGTGATAGGACGCAGATACAATATGCTGCATTGCAGCCTGCCCATCTAGCGAAACAGCTTTTGATGAATTTTCGGCTTCCCTGACTGTCTTCTTGAAGCGACCTAGCCATGCCCAAGCCTTGGGGTGTTGATCTTTGGAAAATGATTGCTTAGGGAGCATGTCGCCGATCCAAATGAAGGGCCAAGCAGCTGTAATGCATTGATCAGTCTACTCACTCTAGTTTTTGTATTTCTTAGGATCTTACCGTGAATATCTGCCAGACTGACTTTGTCTGTTCCCCCGATCCACTGTCTACCATCCGCAAGCAAGGCCTCCAGTATATCAAATGCATGCCTGATGTGTGCCAGTGCCTCAGGATACCCTTTCGCGCGATTTTCCTGCGACCAGCTAGTGCCCGTGAACTCAGATCGATCTTTCAAAAACTTCTCATCTTTCATAGTCGGCAAGTCAGGCGGAAGTGACTGAGCTGCCTTTGAGAAGACACCAGCATCGACTGTGAATTTCTCTAGCAAAGCTTCCAGTCCTTTGTTCTCGGGCATCGATAGAGCTGGGTGCGATGCCGATGCTGGGAAGCTTTGCTCCAGTCTTGCCAGGATCAGGCGGGTGTCATAGTACACATCTCGTCCGATGGACAGCAGGGGGATGCGACGGTAGTTGATGCCCAACTCAGCTAGGTCTGGGCGTGGTAGAATCAAGGGTTGAATGCACTCAGCGTAGGGAATGCCGCGTAGCTTGAGATACCAGACGATTCTCTTTGCAAAGGGAGAAAAGGTGTAGTGGAAGAGGATAATATCGTTCGGGACCTTATTAGACGACATCTTCGTGAGAAATGCTAAGCTTGGTGAATGTTCGTTGTGAATTGAGGTGTGGTTTTACATGAGTGTACTGCTCTTCAAGCCGAGGCTATATTGGAGCATGCTTTCAGGCCTCGAGATCAACCGAGCTTCGATGATTGAGGCGCTGGTCGGGGATAAATTGTTGTGAGGACAACCCTGATGCGGGAATGACGAAGCGGGGTACCATGAAGGGTTCAGCATCAAAGCCTAGATGCAGCCACAACTTGCAGATCAAAACCGTAATCCCTGAGCACACAATCACGACTCGCATTTCCAGGGGTTGTGAGTATCATGAAATCAAGGCAAGCGGCATTATTGGCAGCAATTTGGTAACAATAAGAACTACAATTACTGCGATGCGGGCAAGGGCTGTGGACGCCGTGGTTGCTGGCAGAGTAAAGTGAGGGCGTTACTAGAGACCGGGTGTCGGCATTCCGGGTCTCGCGTATGCTGATCGTCCTGGGCATCAGTCTGCTTTGCGCTCTTTGATCAAGTTCGAAACTGGTAAAGATGGCCAAAGGTGAGTACAGGTAAGGACACGAGGTTGCATCTGAGCGGCACTGTCTCGTGTTGCGAAAGAGCAGAGACGGCGGGAAACACTGCTCTTTGTTTTAGTTTGTAAGCTCAGAGTTATAATTGGACGATACGAAAGTCGTCGTCACCCTCAGCTGCCACGATCCAACGTCAGACTTCTTTGTTGCCTATTCAGTCTCTTTGCCTCTCCTTCCTTCTCATCAACTTCATTATCGAACCGACTTTCAAAACACTGCAAAACCACTCCGCTTTCGACGCATATCAAATCCACCATTTTGACCATCACCACAATGCTTGGCCGCACAGTCGGCGCGCTTGCCGCCCTCTCGCTAGGCGCGAACGCCATTCTTCTTCCGCCAGGTATCAGCAAAATCTCCGACTCGCGTTCTGGTGCTGTGGGAATTGCCCTCGACCCCAAATCTCAGGCCGTCAAGGTCCACTGTTCTGAATGCGCCTTCCCCTCGCCCCAACAGGAGTCTGTCGAGGAGAAGGGAGATGATGGCATTGTCTGGATCCAAGGCGGCTCCAAGGACATCCTTTTCAATTTCACCATCGATGGCAACGACAAGGATCTCCTCTTGAATGGCGTCAAGGTCTATCCCTTCCACGGCACACTTTCATTCGATGAACCTACCGTTGGCCAAATCCAATCTTCAGCCTCCCTGGCTGACATCAAGAATAACCCCGAGCAAATCACCCCCCTCCGTGTCTCATCGGCTAGTATGAGCGTGCACGAGGAGACCATCTCTGCTGTCAATGACGTGCTTGTTAGCATCAACTACCACGTCGGCAGACTAGAGTCGCAACCTATGGCCCTTGACGCCGTTGACCTCAAGCTCCTGAAGGGCGCTGATGGTTCGCTGATGATCGTCTCGGTCGATGCTGCTCCTCCAAAGCACCATTCAGGTCCCAAATTCGCACCTGGCAAGCCACCCAAGGAGTGTGGCATGCTTCCTGCTGCTCTCTGCAGGTGGAAGTCTGTTGTTGAAGACAAAATCTCCAACTTCAAGCCCGGTATGCCTCACGCCCTCGGTGGCTGTGGGGGTCGCAAGCCTCCTCACAAGCTGCCAGGCCACATCAGACCTCACCTTGAGATGCACCCTGACGTCGATGCCCGTCCTGACCGCCATCACCCTCACGGCCCTGGTGCTCATCCCCGCCCTCACCACGGTCCCCACGGTCCTCATCACCGTCCTCATCACCACAGACACCACCATCTCCTCCCTGCCTTTTTCCACGGATTCGTTGCCGTTCTGATTCCTGTCATGGCCGGTGTGACTATGGGCATGGTCGTCAGCCTGATCGGCATGCTCGTTGGTCGCTTGATCTCGTTCTTGTGGATCAAGTTCGGTCGCGGAGGTCAGCGCGGCTACGCTAGTGTCGCTCAATCCGAGCAGGACACCGAGAACGCCGAGAAGGGCGTCGTCGTTGTCGAGAGCAATGTCGACGAAGAACCTCTTCCCAAGTATGAAGATGCGCCTGCGTATGATGAGAAAGACCTTAAGTAGATGTGCTAGCCAAAAGTGGTCGCCCACTCTTCTGCAGTCATGTTATTTCCTTTGTACTCAAGCATGTTACCTATGCCGGTCGGCCGGCCCGCCTTCGCTACATCTCTATCAATTCCTGTACCGTTACATAGCTTTTTCTTGCCCTAAATTCAAGGACATATGTTAAGAATTCAAATCAATCAGGATGCTAACAATCGAAACTCGATCATTTTTTGCCTGTGAATGACTCTTGGTGAACAGTCAAGCCTTAGCACCGCCAGCACTCCACATACTAATTTTCTTTTTCTTTGTAGCGGATCATGCCCTCATTGCTCAAGTAGGCTTTCGGCTTAGGGCTTTTGGCAAAGCTCTTGCATCAAGCCGCACGTACACGCAAACAGGGCGGGCCGCGTCCTGATTGCTGAGTCAAGCGACCAAGGAAAGCAAATACCCAGTCTCGGGACTTCTCGGATTGCCGTTCTACGCCGTTTATGGCTGTCTACAACGCACGCATACACAGCGTGCACCCACTCGTCTAGGACAAGGTTTTGCGCTTTTCTCCTTTTGCATTTACGTCTGGGTCTGTTTCTGTCTTTTTTATCTTTTCGGGATCGGATAGTTCTGCCTAAAATGCCAATTTCGCTGCGAAAGCGAAAGAATGCCACGGTGTAGGTAGGTATGCCGCATTCTCATTCGGGTCCGTGATGGGGTTGCTTGACTCTGACTTGGTTACATCGGGTCTGCAGACTGAACTTATGGTGACATTCGTACTGTTTGCTTCCTGGTCGGTCAGGGGTGGAGAACACAGAGAGCGCTTCTAAGTCCGCTGGACAGTGTGCATATCATTCATTTGCATATTGTCGGGTTGCAACGATGTGTAATTAGTATCAAGGCCACAATAGGCAGTCTGCAAGCCACGCAATATCTGATGTCTGAATGCTATCATACATGATAGAAACATATTCGCTGAAAGGCGTGCACACCGAACCCACCAGCATTGCAGTCAACAGCGAGCTTCACCGAGTTCGAAATAAGCAGTCTGCAAGCCACGCACTTTCTATCGGTTGCCACAGTACCCTTGGACAGGGCGTGTCTACGTGTTTGAAGCTTACAGACTGCGTATTTTGACCTTGGCCATGACTGCGATTCGCTATATAATCTTTGAATATGCAGATGCATGGATGTGCGCGCTATCCAACAGATGCGAAAAACAGCCTGTGGGTAATAGTAAACAGCTGGAGATTGTTTTGCTTGCTTAGCTGCTTGTTTTATCGCTTGTTTACTTGCTGGCTGACTGGCTGCAGAGTGCTAAGAAATATGCAGTAGGAAACCCGGATATGAGACTTGCTTAAGGTGCATCACACATGAAGACCATGGCCTTTTGCCTATTCTCAATGTTGAGAAATTGAAGCTGACTTGTCGAGTTGAGTGATGGCGCTCAAGAAGCGTAGGATCGCAATAATGGAAAACTTTTTAGGACCACGAATCTGCGATAGAGTAGAGATATCCACAAGATCCAGATTCTGTGATAGGGTAGAGATACAAGCAAGATTCGAGTTCGCCTTCGGCTCCAACTCATCCTTGCAAAACATGTGTTGTTATCTATACTTTCAATACCTTTACGACCAGCGGCCACCTCCAATGGAAAACAACGGCAGTTAGCTTGTTGTACCGGTTCAATGTGCCGTAGCTGTATGGACAGAGCAATGTCTCATTAAAGTCACTGTTGCGAGACCGGCTGGGGCTTCCCCCATTTCAGCAAAAACGATAGAGATTGGTAGAACGTCCTTGCTCTCGAGAAAAGCATTTGCATCCAACAATCTCAACGAAAAGTAGATTGCTCTCACATTGAAGACACACCCTAGACTGCAGTCTTGGTTGCTTGAGTCGAGGATGGGTCCACCGAGTGCAGGATCCTACTGCATGACTTGTACCTACAGATTTGACGAGTTGGCGTATTGCCCCAATAGGGAAAGAAAGGATCCCGCGGCATGGTTTGAGTTGTTCAGGGGCTAGGCCGTCGATCGACTGCATACTGGTACTTGTTCAAGAAGAGCGGTGGATGAAGGTGCTCTCGCTCAGGATCCGGACCTCTGGAGCAGATTAAAGTCTGCGCTGCAGCGCTGAAGGCTTGCTTACGTGTATGCTCGCCCGTAGGCTAGCTGCAGATGGATGGCAGATCCAGCTAGCTTCGATTGTGTCCCATTCTATCCATTGTCCCTAGAGTGACAAGTGCCGAACGGGTATCGAGACTAGATAGTTTAGACTGCCACCAGCATCTTTGGAACCACGATCTGGAGTGGGTCGATGAATGCAGATCTGTATGAATATCTTTTGGCCTGTGGAAGGTCTTCGCGGCAGTCGATGGCGCTCACGACCTAGTCTGCAAGTCAGATCGGAGCCGCAACATTCATTCTCTCTGTGGACTAGTCTGTTGTGGGCCGTTTTGTGGACACTTAAATGTGATAGACATTCTAATGTTTGGAGAGGCGAGCCTCAGATCTACTTTGAGGATATGGTCGAGTCAGCGCCATGGCTGCACACCAGTGGGGGAAGCGTGAAGTCACGCTCCATGCTCAAAGCGCCAGAACGATTGTCCTGGGCAAAAGACCACGGTCCGAAAGAGCATCTGACCTTGCTCGTCGATTAGGCAGATGGCCCCTGGTCTCGCTTCTGACACATTGATGGTGTCAATATGTCGCCTTCTTATCTGTGACGCTGACGGGTTGTTGCAACCAATGCTCGGAGCACATATGGCACGAAGTTGGGGCCTACGGTTGAGTCAAAACAGATAGACAATATGGCAGATTGCGGGACGGTTCGTCGTCGGGATGCCCGCGACGGCTGCCGAAGCGTTCGCACGTAAAGAGCCGAGATCTTGTGAATTTGGAAGATGAACTCGGTAGAGACTTTGCTCAGCCCCAGTGGTCATCAAGATGCTAAGGTTCTGGTTATAGATCGGCTAGTAAGTTATCAGATTGAAGTACTTAGTGGACCTTCGGGATTCATCTTGGCCATCAATCTTGATTGATGACTTTCTTGTTGACAGTCATGATGATGTGGTCCAGAACACCATGGCGCATTGACGACGAATCGCGGACATCCTCGTTCTTTCAGTCCCTGGCGTGCCTGTACCCGGATTCACTTTGATTGCAACTATGGCGCGAGGCATTTGGTGATCTGCGAATTAATATACTTGTACTACAATCGGTGATGACGGAGCCCAAATCCCTTCAAGGCGGTGACGCGATGCTCCGTCCGAACTGCGACTGGGCGGCAATTGATAATAATGTTGTGGCTTGAATTCGCTTCTATCCTCGCGCTGCCGGCTGCAGGCACGGTAAGCATCAGAGACGTGTCAAGGCCCCGCGGACAGGACAAACCGGATGGTTTCGTCTCATTGGAAGTACGAATGAGCAATGTGACATGGCACAACGAGGCTGAGCCAGCCGCCCGTGGTTTGAGAAGACGGTGTGTGCTTCGAGAGCGGTGACGTGCGCACAAAAAGCATGATTCGTCCGCAGTCACAGAAGGGGGAATTGCGTTGGTGCGGTAACACAATCACGCGCGAAGGATCAAAAGGCTGTCGACGACGGTGACAAGCGGCACACTTGTCTCGAACCTCCTTTTCCAGTTTCGAAAAAAAGGCAGCTGGCCGATCTGGCAGTAGCGCGAGTCCACGGTACAGTATGACAATTCTGAGAATTCGTGATGGTAGTCAATGTGACCAAGAATACATCAAGCATTGTGAGCCCTCGTCCTTGCCCTATCGACACCGCGTCGGCGCTCGAACAAGACAACGGGGCATTGGTATCTCGAGTCATGGTGAAATGTCAAGACTCAGGGCAACCATCGTCTCATGTCAAACCCAGTGCAAGGGGCTGGACAGGTTAGTGGCCGCTGTGGCCGGGATCCGAAAATGTGTCTTCCTGACCGCGGATTGTGGAGATGCAGACGTAACGCGACACTCTGCCAAGAGATCTCACTAGCACGTTTGGGCCACGATCTCCCTGTCTATGAACCGCACAATTTTCTTGGCGATGAGTCCGCTCTGAGCCGGACCCGCTAGCGTATTAAACTTTTCGGCTCTTACTGTATCTACACGTTCGTAGATCGCGCGAAATTACACATGCGACTTGTGGCAGTCACCAGCTGAGCCGGTTTGATTATCGTTGATTGTGGGCGTAAAACGGTGTGCGCGATTCAATAGGTTCTTTGTACTGATATGATTAGTGTTTCAGTCAAAGTAGAACGCGTTTATGTGAAGCATAAAAGGTATGCCTTACGGCTGCCTGTCTGGGTATCAGATCCGCGTCAAGACTCAGGCTGATCGCTGTGAGCTCTGGTTCCCACGGAAGGATCTCCAGGTGGTGCAAGATGTACAAACCAAGCTTCAACTTGCCATTATTACGTTTCGATTATTCGATGATCTTCGTCGAATAACTTCTTTTTGCTTCGTACTCGTACCCCTAATAAATTGGCTCTTCCTTGCTTGCTTAATTGATCCGCTAGCGGCCAGAGTGCGGCTTCATTGATTAAGGTTCAATGACAGGTTGGGATTCGATACGTCCGTAAGAGTGGGCTCATAGGAAGAACTTTCAAACGCTCTCGTGTCGTGCTGTCAAAAAGTGGTTGATGGGACCGAGGTGATCTTAAAGGATTTGCTAGCAACGTCCGCTCCTAAGACCTTCTTCGTTTTAAACTTCCGTAACCGTGTCACGATTGTTACATGTCCCCACCTTGTGGTGTCGTTGTCAGTTCCCGACACCGCTAGGAACAGACGAAAAAGCCTGGGAGGCTACTGTCGCGGCTGTCTGACCAAGTTTAGGTTTACGCAATCTACTCTCTAAATGAACCCTTCGTTTTTGCCTGTTGACAAATCTTGCATTTATGCTTGCGTCTTTGATGCTCTATCCTAAAGTAGAGATGCTTCTTGGCTGGGTGGTGTCGGTTTCGGTTTCTCTGAACATTATTGTATCTGACGTATATATATGGAAAATCGTCAAAAGAGCAAGACATTTCGGGTATCTGTGGTTATCCCCATATGCGCTTCCAAATCAATTCCACATGCCTGGCTATCCCAGCCTTGATCGATAAGCATGTCGCGATATGCAATTCCTTCTCAGCAAATATGTCTTTTGTGGAAGGGGTTAAAAAAAAAAAAGAAAAATTAGAGACCGAAAGAGTAGATTCCGTGCAACGTGTACACCAAACTCGCTGAAGCAGATGATCGTGAATTGGCTTTTTGAGACGTTCATTGCATGTCATCGTCACGGCTTCCAGCCCGACTTTTGTCGCGCTTTTCTCTGAGCTCGGGACAGCGGCGCCTGTGGTTGATGAACCAGTTGCTGACCTGTGTGGGACGTTAGCAATGAGACCGGAATAATTGATGGTGCGCAAGCCTTACCTGAGTCAAATTGATACCAGCAACTGCGGCGAAATGCCTCTTTTGCTCTTCGCTGGGATATGGGTTGTGCATGTTTTCATCGAACCATCGCTTCATGATCTCTGTCGATTGCTTGGGAAGATTGCTTCTCTTCCTTGACTTTCCATTCTGATACTCGTAATGTGAAGGAACAAAGAACGCGTGTGAATAAGGGTATGGGGCGTTGCCATAAGCTTGAGGGACATCAAGTCTGGCCCCTGGAGGATATTCCTCACGGTGCATGTTGTTTGGTGCAACAGGCATATAAGATGGGCGTGGAGGCTCGACGGCATATCTGTCACGAGCAGATTGAGGTTGATACTCGCCATAACCAGAGTGTCTGCGCAGGTCCTCATCCTGCGAGACGGAAGAGGCATTGCTGTACATACTTGAGCGGTTGCGGGCTGTCAACATGGGGTCAGACGTAGCATAGGCATCAGAGCGAGGAAGAGCAGGGCTGGGATAAGTCCTGGGCAAGTCTGCCCTCTGGCCACGAAGGTCTGGAGAGGCGTGATGGCTGTGAATGACAGGACTGCGGCTGGATGGGGTAGGTAGGTCAAACTGCGAGCGGGGTCTTGTCTCCTCGTGGCGAGCCGGCATATATGGTAGACTTGTGGGGGCAGAGTCAGAAAATGTTCGTTCCGGAGTGCGAGCATCCCAGCCCGAGTCGGTCCGCGTCCTCTTGTTAGGATAAAGAGCTGCTGGCTTGTATGTAGGTTGGTGATCATACATCGGCTCTCTAGGCAGAGGCTGCAATGAAAGACCTTGAGAAGGAGGAGTTGCGGGCGGGCTCATTCCCGACTCTCCAAGAACCTGAAGATTTATGAGTTCAGGTCTGGCTTAGGTGTGTCAGTTGGTGCTTACCGATCGCAGTGAAGGCAAAGAAGGCTTGCTGCTCTCGCCGCTGTTGTACGGCGGTGAGTGTGACGAGGGACGAGTCGAGTGTGATGCGGACGGGTAAGAGGCATGATGCACAGGAGCGTCTCTACGGATTGAATCATGATACATGCCGAAGCTGTGTCGAGAGCGATCGATAAGAGTGATGCCGTCCATGGTGTCGGCGTTGTTGGAGATGATGAAGTGGTCGAGAGAACGGATGGTTGGATGGTGACCAAGACTTGTTGCTTTTAGGCAAAGGTGGTCCAGAACGTGAGAAGGAGCGAATCCAAAGAGAGCAGGACGTTTAAAGGATAAGAAGCAGAGTTCCTAGACTACTACCAGTCGGATGGGATCACGGGGCGGAAGGGCTGCAGGTCAGGTCGAGTCTTGGGTACAAAAGCACATGTATCGGGCGGTGGTGCTGGATGGGCGGTGCAGCTCTCATGTATAATTTTGGACATGAAGCACGCTCCATCGTTTTGAACGGGCCTCCCTGGGAGCCGTCAGTGGGTGTGCTAGCGTCCTGCGCCAGCAGAGACCAAGTGCAAATCATTGTCGGTGCATTGATCGGAATGGCTTGACCTAGCTCGCCGGCCAACCTGTCACAACCGTCCCTGGCGTCTTGGGACGAGGCACCAAAAGAAGACAATGCAGATGCCGACGCCATAGCGGTGGGTAACGGAAGCTCGCGCACGAGCCGTCGCCCGGGCGGAGGTTTAAAACGCCATGCACCGTGATGTATGTCTCGAGCGTGTTCCGGAGTCTGTTGTTGGCTGCTTTGATTAGTTATGCTTCCCATGATCCCATCCACCCATGCAAGCCAGCCGGGCACTTGGAGTTTGGCGCTTCTGCGTGCCTGCTGAACCTACCTGATCGGAGCCTGGCGACGCAGGGTTTTCTTTCCTTCTTGCCTGTCCTCGTATCTCGTCCGCTGCCTAAAACCCCTGACTTTGTCGTGACGCTTGTCAATCTCGTCTTCTCTGCCCAGAATGGGAGAGTAGCAATCTGCGCTCTCGCTTGGCATGCCGCTACATCCACAAGCTTATGTACTCCATCCATCCACTCACTACTGCCCTGTGGTGGTACCAAGCGAAAAAGAAGGCTGTAGTCGTCGCCAGTGACTGGCACTCGCAGCTGGCTCTTTCAGCAAGCGACAATGATTATTCGGTCAACGACTTTAGTCAGACACAAGTCATGTCTCCCCCACAGACAAGGCGCACGGCACGTTTGGTATATCAGCACGTTCTAACTTAGATCCGTGACAGCCTGTCAGGTACATGTGCCAGCTCGAGTCCGAAAAGTCTACTCTGCGTCGTAGCTCTGGCAGGTGGAGATGTAGCTTTAGATCACTCATTATCATCTCCAGTACCAACGCTTCGGGCCTTCACATCGGCTGCAGTGTGCTGGTGATGTAACCTTCTCCCCACCAGACAAATGACAACTTTCCCGGAGTGGACTTCCAGAAAGCCCACCCATGACAATCATCCTTGAAATTTGTGAGCTAGGGCAAAAGGGAAGTGCAAGTCGACCCTGGGATCTGCGCGTCGAGTATTGGACAACGTACGCAACGATAGTGCAGCCGCAGACGACCGATCTGCTGGGTTCGGTGTCTTTTGCGGCCTCAGTCAGCTAGACCGCTCTCTTGTGCCTTTGCACCGTTCTGCTGCGTGTACGCATTCGGAACAAGGTGTCCTTTGGCTAAGCTGCCTGCCTGACAGGGATTTCCGAGTCAGCCAGCGTAGGACCCGGTATCTCTGCGAGCCAAAAGTGAACCCAAAACGGCGAAGACGCCACCATGGAAGAATGATTTGTGTTTCTGGCGTCTCACATCTGGGTAGAGTTGACAGTAGCGGCCGCACCACTGACGTGCAGGCCAGGGCTCATTCTCTAGAGGCAGCTGCACGACTCATGATGATTTGGATGTGCATTGACGTCTCTTGGCATCTGTGACCGTTTGGTTCAGTAATCTCCTGTCTCTGCTCTGGAGTACGGAGTCCGCACCAGGTCTCAAATGGACAAGGTAGACAAGTACAGTGGACGCTCGTACCACTATCTTATTAGACAAAGTGACATCTTACAAAGTGGATTCCATACAGTCGCACTCCTCGGAACATAGGAGAACAACGGCGCGTCTCTTGCGGCTACGTCGGCGGTAGCTCAAGTAATCTCTCTCCTGAACAAGCTTCATCTGCTTCGGATCTCGTGGCCGCTCTAGCGGCGCTGCATACAGGGATTAACAGGTCCACACATCAATAGTCGATGCTGATCATATTTTCCGTCACGAGTGCTCAGCTGTTTGAAGTATTTCCTGAGATGTCGAATCGTTCACTGCTTTGTGCACGTACAAGCGAATGCGTGTCCCAGCTGAACAGGATGCTGCCTCGGCCTGAAGCGGACGTTGCGCCTGCCGCATGGGATGCAGCTGTTCTCTCGCTTCTGCCGTGCCTCTGAAAACTGTTGACTGCTGTTGTCCTATTACGACTGCGGTGTCACGCATCTCACATGAATGTAAGAGGAAAACGTTGCTTCATGCACGCTTCATTGCGGGACCCAAAAGGAAGCCGGTCCAGCAGATTGATTTGATCTCCCGAGCGGCATGTCATTCTCTCGTTCTTGAACAAGGTGCGGGTGTCCCCGCTTTGATAGCTGCCAAACCCGATCTTTATGCCTTTGCCGCTACCAGGGTCAGCCAGCTGCATATGCACGTTGCTGAGGCCTTTCGATTCTGCGAGCACAGAATGCAAAACTGGGACGGGCTTTAAATGTCTTACCGAGTATTCGGGCTTCTGCAAAGTCGACTATCGTGCCTCGCTCTTGCTCTTGGAAACCCATAACACCTTGACGCTGGGGAAGGGCGTGCATCACACGGCAGCTTGGGACATTCCACATGCATGAGACATTTTCTGCAGATTTGTTCAGTGTTCTCGCTGTACACCCACACCTCGATCACAGGGGCTCAACCCAAGCGTCCTTTCTTCTAGCTTGCGCGCCTCGCTTAACAATTTGATGAACGAGAAGGACCGTGTTCCGACATGGATATTGCACTCACCGATACCTCTGAGATCGTGCATAGAACGTCTCTGATTTGACGAGCAGGAGTTTTGATGTAACCGCCCATGCAGCGCTAGGCTATCCGCCCCGATCTATATCACAGGCATGTGGGCTCGATCCATCACTTCCCTTACATGGATGATGCTACTCTTGCATCCAGCGGCACAGACGCTGTGAAACACGGTTCGTCAGTTGTGGATAGCCCGATCCCGAACCAAGATCAGAGCCTCCCCCTTGCTATGCGCGGCATTCCACCACAGATTACCTTTCCATGTGCCTGTTCTTATGGACGTTACACGCGTTCATCCTAGACTACGGCACAATACGGTTATTGCAACTGTCACTTACACCTACCTACAGCTGGTTGGGGTCGATGGGTCGCATTCTCAGGCAGAAAGGGGCAGCCACCATTCCCTGTGGCGCCATTGCATCGCACTGCGATCTTGGATTCCCTTTTCTCGGGTCTTGCAATTGTAGATCTGACAGGCGCAAGCAAGCAAAGTATCCCTGCTTGTTGTTCGCCAACCACCCTAAGACATCACTCCAACTTCAAGGCGACAGCAGACTGGTTTGTTGGCAATATATGCGATTTGTGACGCCATGATCCTGGTCTACGCGTCAAACAATTCCAACATTGTGCAACCTCGTCACGTTCCCGACAGAATGGATATCTTCGATGACAGGGCCCGGCCCGCCTTGTGAGTGAAAGCGCTCCTTGGGATTGCTGGAAAGTTGGTACAGGAGTTCTACACTCCGTGTTAGCTGCATAGGCCTTGCCTTCCGTCGTGACAGAAAAGCCGTGCATTTGATCGATCCCGAGGTTCGTACGCGCTTTCCTTCCACTACCCTGTACTCCCTACGAACACCATGCATGATGGATCAATGTCCGATCTCGGTAATCCATTCCCACGATGCTGGGATCTGATGAACTCATACCCAGGGCTTGACCTTAGAAAGAAGTCTCTGCGACGTGATGCTGTTTAAGACGCATGTGCACCAGCCTTGTATTGTTTTCTCGCTACGAGGGAAGCAGTCACATTACGATGTCCTTGCATTGCGTTGCCGCTGTGCGTTAACCTCATCGAGTGCCAGCGTGATCAATAAATCACGTTCACAATCCGCATGTTCACGTGGAAACAGATTCATGCTTGCCAATGTCTTTGGTACTGCTCACTAGGCTCTCTGGCTGTGTACTGTGTACACCCTCGTCTTGTTGGCGCAGACAGCAGCGCAAGAAGCCTGTCTGGGCGTGTCTAGACATAACAACACCGCTTGACTTCGCCAATGCACACACATCAGCAAAGCAATCTGAAGGTAGAACGTAGAACTGCACCCGCTCATTGCCGCGCCCCCTCGATTTGCATATTGATTACCAAGGCCCAAACATCCATCAGCCTACGCGCAGGCACTCGAGGGCTACCCACATGCACCACAACGAACATGCATGAAAGAGGAGTTTCTCTTCCTTGACACAAAACGGATGCATTGAAAATCCACGGCGAAAATGCCACAACCATTTATCTGGCACTTTTCGGTCGTAAGCGGGCGAGCCCAAAGATCGAAAGGACGAAAGGACGTCTCCCGAATGAGCCGCTCGGTTGGTTGTGATGGCGTGTCCCGATGGTATGGTAAGTCATCTGTAGCTGAAACCCGGGCACCAAGCCCAGAGACAGGGGACGAGAAGACGAGGGGATAAAAATTACCACTCTCGAGCTTTCTTACTTCGCGTTGCCTTCCACTCAGTAATTTTCATATTGTAGCGATGCGGAATGCTATAATCTAGAAACCCATCATACTGGTAACGAGATCAATCAATGTATATGAGTTGCCTGTGATGTGATACTATGAAGTAGTTGTTCGGGTCGACCTCTTCTGTTAAATCTACTTTTCATTGATTTCGTATCCATGAGTCTAGGTCGTATGCGTGATGCAGTCTATATACCGGTTTTGATGAACGTGGATGTTTTCCGAATGATCCCAAACGCCTTCGCTATGTAATGTGTGATGTCAAATGTATCCTCGGCGGATGTTACCACGAGAGGAGGCGGCGATTGTTCCGCCAATGAATGAACCGCAGTTGCTTAAAAATTTCGGTTCCAACGAGGTCTCGTACAAGGAGCATCCATCTATGCAATCAATACGAAGGTGACGATCAATGCCGTAACCAAAGAGAAAGTTGAGAGTCCGCTGCGAGTAGAGCCGGAACTGGCTGGAGCCGAGGCAGCAGTGCTCACGTTCGTCCTGCCAACAGCATTGGTGACACCATTCAGCCTGTCTGCAGTCTCGATGGCCGGGCCTACATTGAAAAAGTCGACCAGAAGATATGTTGGGGCCCGGCCATAAGTGGTGGTGCACTCGGTCGCAGAGGTTCCCAAAGCACCAGTACCGCCCGATGCAGAGTTCGTGGTGCTGATGTTACCAAGGTCGGGAGACTCAATGGTGGTTCCAAAGAGATCTGTGGTTTCATAGAGGAAGTGGTTCATGAGTGGCATCAAGTTCTGCTGCAGAGCAGAGCTTGTGGTGACAGTAGAGGGTCGGTTGGCTGCGCAGGAAAAGTTGGATGGAGATGTATTGTCGTAGTTGTTTTCGAAAATATAGGCAAACTCGTCCATAAGGTAAGGCGCAGCGGAGTTGTCGCTGAGACTAGCGACGAAGTTGAGCAGACGTTTTCCATCATTGATGAGGGTTTGCAGGGTGGGCCACTCGGTTGGAGCCGTGGTTGATGTGGGAGTGTATGCGTAAGATGCGATTCCGGCAGTGGTATAGGCGCTTGCCAGGTCCGAGGCAGATGTGTCATCAGAGTTGACGAGAAGGACAGTTACGACCTCATTTGGGTTTCCATCCATCCACGTCTTGATCTCCGAAAGCCAATCACTCAGCAGTCCAGCATCGAGAAGAGTACAGCTTGTGTGACACATGTGTAATGAGCCATTGTTGTTGTGAACTTGGCCAGTCAACAATCTGACACCAGCACTGAGCTGAACAGTGGAGTTGTAGAACTGATTTCCACTTTCTGAATTACCAGTGGATGTATCGCGTAGGAAAGGCGAGTTGTGAGCGCCGAGATAGGTCACATTATTGTACGCTTTGCTGCACAGGTCCGGAGAATTGTTGCAAGCTGTGGCTCTCTTGGTAATTGCTGAGGAAGCAACTCGAGCAAGAGTCGGCAGCAAGAAGAGGCTCGTTAGGATATTTGTGCTAGACATCATGGTTGCTAGACAAAATGGGTTAGTCAAAGAACAAAGAATGGCTCATGAAGAATGATACCTAAGGGATGCGAAACAGGTTTCAGATTCTATCTTGTTCTGAGAGATGCGAATATTTGATGATGTTCGAAAGTCGGGAGGCAAATGGGAAGAAGATTCAGAACAGAAGGTACTCCCGAGAGGCAAATGCTTTTGGAACACCACGAGACAAGATGAAATGCAAAGGACAAACAATGAATGGGAATCTGCGAGAGGAAACACAAAGAAGTCGAGTATAAAAATAAGACCTGTGTCGTGGTAAGACGGCTGCGCCTCACGAAAAGCTGTCGTAATCACTGGGCAGGCCTTTTTCGCATGCGTAATGCTCGAAACACTCCTCGGCCGATGCTCCCTACATATGCCATGATTTGCTCGCCACAATAGACCAGGCGGGATATCAATTGCGGAGTTTGCAAGGGTTCTCCAACCACTGTTAGATTGTCTTGGTCGCAAAAGATGGATAGAAGTTGCAAGAGACGTGGGGCGGATGTTGGACTGCCAACCACCTGACGACAATCACCAGCTGATGATCTCCTCGTACATCATCAACGAGAGACAGCAGTGCAAAAGTCACAGACAGGTTCACAGCTTGCAATCGAATTCGCCAGGTTTCTAGTGTACGCAATATGGAGTCCGAATCATCAGTCATTCTCAGAGCGCCCGGCGTGTCGCAAAACACTCAGGGGACGCAGCCCCAAGGGTATTCACCGCCCAGCCTTTCGTTTATGGAGGGTACATGGCACGTCACTCACAGCACTCTGCCCATGTGGAAATCCAAGCGCAATGTTCAGATCACGTACAAGGCACTTGCGCCATCAACACCTGACGCTACTCCTGGTCAGACGGACCGCCTGGACGACGTTGTGTCATACCAAGCGCTCGATTCTGATAAAGTGCACACAGTTCACGGCGTGGACAAAGCTAGTGGTGGGATTGGTGTGACGGACGTTTGGGACTGGCGCGGCAAAGGATGGCTCATGATTGCCAGCTCTCATTGGGAAGTTCTTGGATGGGCAGACAAGGGAGCTGGTCAAGACAGCTGGGTCGTCACATATTTTGCAAAGACTCTGTTCACACCGGCTGGGATCGACTTCTACAGCAGAGGCAAGGAAGGGTTGAGTGAGCAGACGGTGCAGGATATCAAGGCTGCGCTTACGCGTGTGGACAACGAAGATGTGCGTCGCTTGTCGAGCGAGGTATTCGAGGTAAAGATGGACCACTCGGCGCAAGGAGAGACATAGAACAGCGGTACATGCACATGCAGATGGTAACAGGGTATGAAAAGGCGCGCGGCATGATAGACAGTAATTGGAGGATGAAAGAGAGATGGAAAGAAGCAGCTCGGTTGTGGGTATTTTGGACTTGGCGTGAAGAAGCTCTATTGCGGTAATGTACAGTAGGCAATTGTTTAGTTGCTGGAGAACCAAGTCTTGTGGCCCTGTGTGCTGTGTTAGAGATGTGGTGTAGGAGGTATGGGTTGGATGTCGGGTCGGACGCACGAGGACCATTCTGCCCATCATGTACATGGTAGCGGCCGAGGTCGAGGCCAGCAGAGCGTAGTAGGGGTAGAGCATCATCTTAGCGCGAGGGCCCTTCTGCCACTGACGGAGACCGTCGTGGGTCTGGTGCATGCGCTGCCAGTGAGGGACGTTGTTGCGGCGGTAAAGACCGGGAGAGTTGAGGCTGCTCGAGCTGGTCAGCGATCGTGTCGGGCAGTCAGGGCGGGCACTGCGATAGGCAGTCTGATGGCGCAGAGGGGCAATTGACGAACCCAGCCATTTCGAAGGTTGATTAAGCGGAGATTGAGTCGTGAAGACAGCAAGACGATAGCAGGAGCGTGCTGGGCTTGGACGTCTGGGTTGCGTGATGGACTGAACGAGGTTGTCGGCACTTTCCGTCTGTCATGTCTGCTCCCGCATGCGACTTCCCCGAGCAATAATTATTGTTGTCAGCCTCAATGCCACAGCAGCTGCTCTGAACGGCAGGCGTCTCCATGTCTTCTGACAGAGGCTCGCCCGTGTTTGATCTTTCCTCTCGTTCATGCCACCCGGCGCGCCTGCGCTCCACAGAGGGTTGGCCCGACCTTCAGCTCTAGCCTCGCAACTAATTCCTCGATCTTTCCCATGCTGCCGCCGTCTCGTTCAGTCCAGCGCTCCTGTTTCTCGTTCGACTAAACCGCTTACCGCCGTTCCTGCCGCCAATGTCGACCATGTTCGTCAAGAGTTAGAGAATGCTCGCAAGGGTAGCCAAGCCCTGCCTACAAGAAATGCTCTTTTACCTGGACCCTCGCACACTGAGCGCAAGAACTTCCTTGCCCGCTTGACCTCATGGATGCCCTTATTCCGTCGCCTGCAAGCTAGTTCAGACGCCTTTTCCACCATGCGTTACGAGGCCGATGTCTGCAACCGCCTGCTCATGCCTTCGCTTGATTCTGGAGAGACACGCTTAGTCGATCAACCCCAATATCTGCAGAATGTCAATCTTTGGCTTGAATTGCTTCGTTTTCGCCTTCGCTTGGATGGTCAGCAGGGTGCCATAGACATTGTTCAAGCGATTGTCCAACGTCAAGTTGTCTTGCCCACACGTGGTCCTCTGGCTGACCAGCTCTGGTCAACTCTCCTCTGGTCCGCCGTCCAATACCCGAAGATGCTCCACCATATTTACCCCTATCTTGTCGAAAGCCTTCCTCGCTCTGCCCTACTCGACATCGATCTATACACTCGTCTTGTGGGCCCTCTGTTACGCCATAATCCCATGTTCGCTGCGACCTGGCACAAGCGCCTGCAAGCCGATGGTTTACTCCCATCCGCCTTTGTTTCTGTTTTCGCTCGGTTCGTCACAGATGTTTGCGGCAGTAACCACAAGTCGAGGGCTGTTGAAGCATTCAAGAAAATTTATACTTCAGCTAAAGTAGAACATGCATACGATGAGTGCATGCTACCCATCTGTCGCTTGCTTGACTTTTCTGATGCTGTGGACATGCACGCCTTCTTCTTACGGCATGACGACTACCCTTCATCCTCCATGCAATCCATGCCTGTGATAGCTCACTTGACCGAGCATAGTTGGCTTGCCAAGTCGAATATGAAATCGTCTGTTAGAGATCGCTTCACCACTCAGATCCTCGAGGCCCAGTACGGCTACAATTCTCTGAAGCCTGCTGAGCTGGACGTGCCACGTGCTGAAGCTAACATGCTTTCTCTGACTCGCGAGAATTTGAGCAGTATCGTTGGCGATGTTCATAACATTAGAGAGAAAGAGCTGAATGATGCTTTCTGCGCTCGCCTCTTTGCCACAACGGCATTCTCCATCGACTTGATCATCACTGGTCTGCGCATGCTTGGACTGAAGGCAGTGGGCAATCTAGCGCTCCGAGAGATAGCTGCACGCGCGCCTAGCCCAGCCGACTTTAACACAACTATTGAGGCCATCAAAGCTGCCGGCATATCTGTGGTTGATTCTGTCTTCAGTCGTGCGCTGCAATTCTTCGCTAGTCGACCAGACAAACACCAGAGCTTCGAATTTCTGGTTACAAGCGACCAGCACCCTACAGCATATGAAGATCGAATCCTGCAGAAACAACTGTTCGCTTCCTTCATAGCTTCTGGTGATCACAGTCAGGCAAATGCTGTCCTAGACGTACTCACATTGCAACACTCTCAGCCTGAACATTATCACGCAAATTTGATTCTGCAGACGTACGCTCACAGTGGACAGCGAGCATCGACAATACAGATTTTGCACGAGATGCGCTTGCATCGCATTCCAGTGTCGGATGCATCCTTACGAGTGATCCAGTGGGCATTGCTGAGACCTCGACTTCGATCCAAAAGACCCATCTCACAACGTCATGATGAGTATAAAGACGACTTAGACTTTACCACCAATGTGTTTTTGGAGACTTTGCGCACCGGCCAACTCTTGAATCCTACACGATGGCATGAGATACTAAGGCGATACGGAATGGAGAACAGACTGGAATCTCTCGAGAGACTGTCTATCTGGTTGGCCTCATGGTATTCAGGTCGCATCGATTCTGATGATCGCGCTCTGGGTGGAAGTCTCCCCCGAGATCAAGGTCTTGTCGAGGCAAACTCAAAGCCACCAAGCAAGGATGGTCAGCATCCTCTGGCCGTCATCTTCACTCCCCACCTCTTGCGTGCTATTGTTGCGTGGGGCTTCAAAAGCGAGGCATCGTCACCAGAGAATACTACCTCTATCAAGCTTGGCTCTTCAGCAGACTCGAACAGCCATAGCCAAGGCTCTGATACGGGAACAATCCAGATTCCAAGAGACTGGACTAGAGGTTTGACACTCATTCGCAACCTTGATCGTCTTGGGGTCGATCTCCGAGGCAAGGGGTTGCGCAGAGAAGTCAAGCTTCGACTTTGGATTCTCTATGGACCAGGCAAATCAACAGTGGCAGCTAATCGGCAAGCCCAGAAGATGAACAAGTTCTCTCTGGTACACCGAGTCAACCAAATACACCGAATCATGGGTTTCAACTGGCTTAGACTGCCTTCAGAACTTCGGGCCCGTTCTGATGTAAACCACTGGACAATGTACCGTGCGCTGTTCGGTCAACCCCGGAGAATGAGATCTAGAAAATCAAAACAAGATCGTGGCTGAAAATCTGATACTGGTAGATTGATCGCCACCATTCGTCTATTATTTTACTCCTTCATCGACTCAATCACATGAATCTTGCGCATATTGTCCGTGTTGTCAACCCAAGTCGTTATGCTTGCAGGTATTTGTTTCACTGCATTGTTCGGGCGAGCGACTAGTTCGCCCTTGATTTGATGATCAGGAACAATGCTCGCCCATGCCTTAGATGTGGTAGGGCTCGCCCTTCAGGTCTTTCTTGTCATCGTGAGGACCTCCACTTCGAGCTTTGACACTTGTAGTATCGATCTGCACCCTAAGGATGCCAGTTGCAGTAAGCTCGGACTTCGTAGGTGGTGTTCCAGCAGTCGCACAGCGGTCTGTAACGAGAGATTTGTGATAAGCTCCATGGCTTGCATCATCTCGTGCGTGTCGTTGACTTTGGTTGCATGTTCAAACACTACGGGGCGAGTACATAGTCATCTAGGAACACATCTGCGATGCGGATCGGAATCCTGATCTCTTGCTGTTCAGCGCCATGGCGAAACAAACGGGCAGCAGATGATCCACGAAGATATATACCATCTGTAAAGGCCCCTAAGCTCATGGCGCCGAGTATCGGCAGAATGATCGGAAGAATGCGGCTTCGTACTTTCGATTGGAGGTGCATTGAAGGAGACATGCAACATGGGTGGCGCATCCACGATGTTGCGTATGGCATCTTTGTCGTATGTCACTGTACATAGGTAGAAGTGTCAGGCACTATACATATCTATTCGTCTTGGCCGTTTGTGCACCTTCACCTCGTTTGGCGTATCTTTTTGGCTTGCTCTTCCCATCTTCGGGACAAGTGTTTGTACTCGTTGTCGGTTTCTTGAAATGGTAGACTGAAGAGTGCCTTCCAACAAGGAATCTGCAAGGAAACAAGGTAGCTGCGAGGTTAGCTTATCGATCCCACTTTCGTCACATGGCGGGTGCTATATTGGGAGCACCATTGTTTTGATCCTGCCTGATTCGGCCTCGTGAACTTTTCTCGGGGTTGACAGCTGCATGAGAAGATATCCGATGCAGATTCGTCTGAAAACTTGAACATCTGAGTCTTTCGAGATGTACTTGTACCTCGGTGGGTAGCTTGTAACTATCATGCGTACGATATCTTGTGCTGATCATATCGCGTCACGGAAGTGCGTGTTTTCACCAATTCATCAGTGAAGAACCTGGCATCCAATTGTAGTTTGAGAATTGGAAGGGTGTTTTTGAGAGCTTGAGATGCTATTGTGTTTCTTCACTCTCTTTTCCGTCAGCTTATGTTTACTTTCTTTCTCAGTGCACTTTCTCAAAAAGATCTTTTCTTCTAACCCGTTCTCTGTCATCCATCTCTAACTACATTCACTTCGCAGTTCTCTCTCGACATCTCTTAGGTCGTGTAAGCTGTTGGGATCTTTCTTCAATCTCTAATTCTTCGTCGGTCTTTCAAAGATGCCGCCTTCTTCTCGCTCTAGAGACAAGAGCGCCAGCAAACTCAGGTAAAATCCATTTCACTGTCATCTACAACCAACCGAGTTAACATGTGGACCAGCTACATTCGCTCACCTACGGTCACTGTCTGTGTTGGCATCAAGAAGGAAGAGTTCTGTGTCCACAAGGAATTGATCTGTACCAAATCCACCTTTTTCGATAAAGCACTCAACGGATCTTTTTTGGAAGCAAGTACACGTCTTGTCCGTCTTGAACACATCTCTGCGCCTCTGTTCTCTATCTTCGTCTCCTGGCTGTACAGTGGTCGCCTCGTCTATGTCAATCCTCCCGGAAGCGACACAACCATAGCGGAAGACTTCTTTCCACTCCTGTGTAAAGCAGACACAAAGGAGCATGAACAGAAAGAGCTAGAGCAACTCTGTTTTGAGCCTGCCACCCCTGCTGCTATCCCTTCGACTAAGAAACACAATACTGTCAACAAAAACGGCAAACACAAACAATCACAGAACGATCATGTCAACACCGAACGAGAACACGCTGGAGTTGGCAATCTCCAACACATGGCCTCCAGTGATAACAACCCAACAAGTCAAGATCCCGTCTTGCTAGACATCGATGAAGAGGATGCAAGCACATGGCCTCTCGATGTTATGGCAAAACTTTACATCCTTGGAGACTACCTCGGGGTGCAGCAATTCAACAATCATGTCATCAGTTCCATTGACGGACCCTCGACCTGGAACCGTGGCTTGAACGACGCCGACGTACCAACAAGACCTCTCATCCGCTTCGTCTATAACAACACACCTCCCAAGTCTCCTCTGAGGGATCTCATAGTCGATCTGGTGGTGTACGGACAGATCTGGTGGGAGTCAAATGAAACTTGGGAAGATCTTCCCGCAGAGTTTCTGGCTAAGGTCATGGTTTCTCTGGGCAGAAGACTGCCACCAAAGCAGTGCCGTGGCTGCTATTCGCGAGCCAGTACCAGAAACGGCCTGTCAGAGGTCGATGCGGATCGTGTTTATCTGACGGCAGATGACATGCCTCAGTTCGGGGATAACACATGCTTCTACCACGAGCATGAAACTGAACAAGAGCGTGAGAAGTGTCGTCAGGAGGAGTGCTAAGGAACGCGAGTTTCAAGTACAAACATTTGTCTCCCCGAGAGCGGGTTTGTGCCATGAAACAAGGTGGTTGATGGCTTCATCACAAGGGCTTGTTGCTCGTTCCAGAAGACAGAAGTATGGAGACGCGTTGGCACGGAGATGTGTGGCTCGGTTGGATACCGAATGTGATCACTAAATCATGCTGTGGCCAAGGTTTGACAGGAAGCAACAACATCACAGAAAAGGAGCACAGGAGATAGAGCAGGATCGTGGACGTAAACACATGTCATTTCTTCGATGATGAAGTAGTGAGATAAAGAAAAGCCTCTTGCAGTCATGTATGCCAGTGACGCTCGAAACCCATTTTCATAATATTTGCTCTTCCTCTTTGCAGATTTAGAGCTTGGTCATACGCACATCAGAGATTTATGCGTTACCGTCGACCTTGGCGATGTAAGCCAGGAGGTCGAGGACACGGCGGGAGTAACCCCACTCGTTGTCGTCTGTGAAAAAATGTCAGCAAGAAGTACTTGGACTCCGAAAGAAGAGATAACTTACACCAGGAGACAAGCTTGACGAAGTTGTCGTTGAGCGAGATACCGGCCTTGGCGTCGAAGATGGAGGACTCGTTGGCACCGCACATGTCGGAGGAGACAATGTCGTCCTCGGTGTAGCCGAGAATGCCCTTAAGCTCACCCTCGGAGGCGTCCTTGATGGCCTTCTTGATGGTCTCGTAGGAGGCACCCTTCTCGAGGCGGGCAGTAAGGTCGACAACGGAGACGTTGGCGGTGGGGACACGCATGGACATACCGGTCAGCTTGCCGTTAAGCTGAGGAATGACCTTGCCGACAGCCTTGGCGGCACCAGTGCTGCTGGGGATGATGTTCTGGGCAGCAGCACGGCCACCGCGCCAGTCCTTGCCGGAGGGACCGTCGACGGTCTTCTGGGTGGCGGTGTAGGAGTGGATGGTGGTCATGAGACCCTCAACGATACCGAACTTGTCGTTGATGACCTTGGCGAGGGGAGCAAGGCAGTTGGTGGTGCAAGAGGCGTTGGACAGGACCTGGATGTCGGACTTGTAGCTCTTCTCGTTGACACCCATGACGAACATGGGGGCGTCAGCGGAGGGAGCAGAGATGACGACCTTCTTGGCGCCACCCTTCAAGTGAGCGGAGGCCTTCTCGGTGGTGGTGAAGACACCGGTGGACTCGACGACGTAGTAGGCGCCGGTCTCAGCCCAGGGGATGTTGGCGGGGTCTCTCTCGGTGTAGAAGGTGACCTTCTTGCCGTTGACGATCAGGTCCTTGCCGGAGACCTCAATGGTACCCTTGAACTGGCCGTGGACGGAGTCGTACTTGAGCATGTAGGCCTGGAGAAGCTATATTAGCTCCTGTTTCTGTGTGGAGGAGTGTCGGGCAGTCTTACAGCGTACTCGGGCTCAATGAAGGGGTCGTTGACGGCAACGACGTGGACGTTGTCGAGCTCGATGCTGTAGTGGCGGTCAGTGCCCAAGCTCCAAGCTCTCGCAAGTGAAGAGATCAACTCACGCATTGCGGAAGACAATGCGACCAATGCGACCGAAGCCGTTAATACCGACCTGTAGATGGGTCAGTGACAGCTCCCGGATGGAGGGGAAGCAGAGCTGCTGGCGCTTCTTACGTTGACAGGCATGTTTATGTGTCTGCGGGGTAGATGTTAGAGCTGTGAAGGAGAAGAGAAGATAATCAAGGACTTGACAGAAGTTCTTGGAGGTAGTGGCGGAACTTACAGGATGTGTATGGGTGGGTTTATAAGTGGTGTGTGTGATGAAGGAGGGATGGTTTGGACGATGACCGCAGAGAAATTTACGTTGGACGGTTGGGGAACACTGGGCACAGTCGACTGATTGCGCGCTGACTCCCGGAGAAGCTCATGCCGCTTTCGGGACGTCAGAGACTAGCAGTCAAAAGTCTTAGCCTTTTGCGAGCAGAATGACCTGCACGAACAACGAGCATTTCAATGGCTCATCAGATACACTCTCGATGGCTTCGGTTCTAGCGTCTACCGGTATACCATAATCTCTGCCGGGAAGGTGTAGCTCTCCAACCTGCCACCCGAATATCCCCGCTGCCCCTCAATCACCCGAGCGGGCAGGCGCGCTCCGGCTACTTGAGCCGTTCCTTCTCCATCTGCCCTGTTTGAACCGCTGTGCTCACAGCTGCAAATGCGCTCTGTCCTGGGCTGTCTGTACCGCTGTATATCCTCGTTCCGAGGTGGTCTTTTCTCATTGTCACAGTCTCTTCACGTCTTACAACGCTAGGGCGCCTCTTTTCGGCCCTATCGGCCCTTCAGACTCGGCATGATCGGCTAGCAATCCCACCCACACGTGCTGCAGCTATACAACATCACCTTCGTGGTTGCGTGAGCTTCGCCATCTGCACATGAACCTGCCGGTGCTACCTCGTTGTCGCGTGTGTCTTCACCACAATCCTTGATCTGTTGGCATCTATGTATCACACCAGCCGAACAATCACCGCGACCTGTCTTCGTCATTAGCTTCGCGATCCCCAGCGAACGACAGTTAGCAGCGTATCGTCTAACTATTCTGGTGTCAAATGCTAACATGTGTTGAATGAATGAATGACCCAGCATGGAGCAGTCACCTCATCATGTCCGGCCATGTAGACTGGCTGATACTCTCCGCCCGGCTTGAGAGAGTCTTTATAAGATCCATATCCTCGCTTCGAAGGCTCAGCCTGTTTGCCCACAGCTCCTCATTCACGAGAACACGGATCAATGGATAGGCAGTCATTGGCTTTCAGCAAGCGCGGATGCCACTTGCCGGGTTTTGACCTACTACTCGAGAAATGGTGCTTTATATGGCAGGTGATGTTGCGATCAACACACAGAAGGAAGAAGGATCAGAGGCAAGCTTGCTTTGAGTTGAGATGGCTGGGTCGTCCGATGGCGGAAGCGAACACCATTCCCCCGCACCTTCAAGCTTGCCAATCTCCCTCTGGACCCTTGAATTATGTGATAACATATGAGCGTGCACAGCGTCAGGAGTCGTCCTCGTTCGCAGTTGGTATATGGGCAGTTTCTCTTTGTTGATTCCATGCATGGCCACGGCAGCTTTCGTTCTTGCTATCAAGTTGTGTTCAAGTTTCCTTGCATCACCCATGCGGATCTTCTCCAAACTGGGCAAGCTCCCGCAGTACGGACACTTCCACTCCACATTCTGCCTTCGCAACTGCCCTTTTCCAACAAGCGTTATCTTGATCTGAAGGCTACTACTACGCAATGATACGACATGGCAGTATTTAAAGAGGCTCGACAAGCCATTGCTTCGTCCACCGTAATTGCTCCCATCGATTTTGATGACCAATGGCTCCGGCATTTCTTTCAGCATTGGTCCTGACTGGACTTCCTCTTGCATTGGGTCAATTCGTCAAGGCTCCAACGAATTTGACTCACGCGACTGGTTATGCGAATGTCTCCGTCCGCTACAAGGAGGTTCCCAATGGCATCTGCGAGCTCAACAATACCGTCAAGAGCTACTCGGGCTATCTCGATGTGGACACCAACGAACACTATTTCTTTTGGTTCTTCGAAGCTCGTAACCAAAATCCCAAGGATGCTCCTCTCACAGTCTGGATCAATGGTGGTCCAGGATCTAGCAGCATGATTGGCCTGTTCCAGGAGCTTGGTCCTTGCAGAGTCGAATCTGATGGCACAGTCGTCAACAACCCCCACTCGTGGAGTGAGTCAAGTAACATGATTTTCATTGACCAGCCTGCCCAAGTTGGCTTCTCATACTCTATTCCTGTTCCTGGGTACACCGATCCTAACTCCGGTTCTATCATCACTCTCCCCAATGCCACCTGTCCTGAGTACGCAGATAGCTGTGGTACATATTCATACCCCAACGAAACTCTCACCGCCAATTCAACTGCTGGTGTAGCGCCAAACTTCTGGAAAGGTCTACAAGGCTTCATGGGTGCTTTCCCGCAATACTCTCGCCACGAGTTTAACTTTGCTACAGAGGTGAGTTAGATGCGAGAGAATTGTTATGATTACTAGCTGATAGACTTTAGAGTTATGGCGGACACTACGGAGGGATCATCAACCAATATATCGAAGGACAGAATGACCTTATTGCAAAGGGCCAGCTTCCTGATGCTCATCATATCAACCTCAAAACACTTCTCATCGGCAACGGCTGGTATGATCCTCTGATTCAGTACCAAGCTTATTACAACTTCACCGTGTTCCCCGGAAATACATACGACTACAAACCATTCAACGAGAGTGTCTCAGCCATGATGTACAACGCACTTTATGGGCCAGGGAACTGTGTGGATATGACCAAAGATTGCTATGCTCGCGGCATCAACGAAATCTGCAGCTTCGCCGACAACTTCTGTGCTAACAATGTCGAGAGTGTTCTCGATATTTACGCTTTGCGCGATGAATACGACATTCGTGAACTATCGCCCGACCCATTCCCACCTACTTTCTATGTGGACTACCTCAATTCTCCCATGGTTCAGGAAGCTATTGGCGCTTATGTCAACTTCAGTGAGAGTAGCAGTGCTGTCTCGTCAGCTTTCGGAAGCACAGGTGACGATGACCGTGAGGATGGCACTATTGAGGCACTGAAGTCGCTAGTCTGCAGAGACATCACCGTTGTGCTCTATGCTGGTGATGCTGACTACAACTGTAAGCATTGCTTCACACGACCCAAAAATCCAACTAACGTGTTTCAGGCAACTGGCTTGGTGGAGAGGTCGTTGCCCAGGAGGTCAACGCTCCTGGTTTCTCAACTGCAGGTTACACCAATGTCACCAGCTCAGACGGTGTCGTCCATGCACAAGTCAAGCAATCTGGCAAGTTCTCCTTCGTTCGCGTCTTCGAATCTGGTCACGAAGTGCCTTTCTACCAACCACTCATGAGTCTGGAGATGTTTGACCGTGCAATTAACGGCAAGGATATCGCAACTGGTAGACGCTCGGTAAAGGGTGGCTACAAGACGTCTGGCCCAGCCAAGAGCACGTACCGTGAAGGCAACTCAACTGTGCAGTTCGAAGTCGTCAACGCAACCGCCACATACAACACTACCCTCAATGCGCCAAACCCACCATCGAGCCAGAAGAGTCTCAAAGCTGCGAGCAAGAGACGTCTTTTCAAGCCTGTCAAGAGAGTCGTCGACCTGACTTCCTAGACGTTTGTCTAATTCTACGCAAGAGAATCAAGAGATAGGAGCTGAGAGCAGCTCGCTAAAGATCGTGAGTTCGAAGCTTTGTAGAAAAGTCTAGCATTTCTTGCAAATAGTCCCTATCTTGACCAAACCCTCTCGAATCCAGAACATAGTCTTCCGAGCATTTCTCCGAAATGGTTCGCGGGTCTCTCAAAACAAGCCTATCTTCGTGTCTAGAAACTCACAGAAACAAGGCGCAATATACATCGAGTACAGGAAAGTGCTCATGAGAGAATACAAAAGAATGACGAATTAGAGAAAGTACAGATTTGAATCATTTGTGCACCTCACCCCATCCATACTGTTTGTTGCCAGCATTACCGCCTTCCCAATAACATTTCGAATCTTCAAACTCACCATCCATCTTGTAGAACATCCACTCGCGAGCGACGTGCTCGGCCTTCTTCTTGTCTCTGATCTTCATATTGAATTTGAATGGGAGAGGCTTTGCGATCAGCAAACTTGAGTACTCGAGCGTGGGATCAGGCTTTGAGTCCTTTTCGTCGGCGGTGGAGTTGAACATGTTGTTCACGGCAGGCATGTCGGACGTACCTGCCATCGCAGTTCGAGCTTTGGGTGACGAAGGTGGAGTATCAGGGCCAGTGTGCTGTTCAAAGAAAGCTGGAAACTGGCCAGGAAGGGACGAACCAGGCAGGCGCAGCTTGTAAGTAACAGTCTTTGCTCGAGCCAAAGCCTTTGGCCTTTTGACGGTCTTCTTTCGAGACAGCCTACATGTGTCTGTCGGTAACATCTTTTCAGAGAAGTGCTCATCAAGTTCTTCTTCAATCTCGGTCTCGGAAGGGGGTGTTTGTATGCCTGTTGGTGTCATTACTGGTACCTCGTCCTCCTTGTGGACTGGCAGTGACGACGGAGCAGGTTCTTTTGGTAGTAGCGCGGCATCCTCGGTTTGGGCGTCACTAGCGCTCAGAGAGAACATCCAGGCAAGACTGCCGATACCGACGAAGAGGTCTGCCTCGGCGACCCCCATGCCCGCACAGATACGGCGACCATAACCAAACTGGCTGTACTGGGTTATGGTAGGGTATCTGCTCAAAGGCTCTTGGTAGGTAGGATATTTCGTTTCCAGCCATCTCATTGGGTTGAACTCGTCGGGATTAGGGAACATCTCTGGGTCACGACTAATGGACCATTCGAGAGGATGCATGACGGAGCCTGCAGGGATGAAATAGCCTTCGTAAATGTCGTCTTTGACAGACTCGTGGGGGATGCCGGTAGGTACAGGCGGGCGCCACTGAGACTTGAATTAGCCTCCTACTCACATAGAGAATATGGTATATATGGCCAACTTACCCGCATAGTCTCCCTGATGAAGGCTCGCAGCACGGGCATATTGGGCATATCGCTAAGTGTTGGCAGTCTGTCACCACAGACCTTGTCGATCTCCTCGTGTAAGATAGGTTGGTACTGAGGATAATGGCACATGGCAAGACAGAAACTCTGCATGGGAGCAGCGATGGTAAGTGCGCCAGCGATGCCATGCATACCTACAGCGTAAGCACCTTCCAAGTCAGACGCGAATCCAGTCGCAGCCTTGTTCTCCAGGAAGTGACGCATCCAAGACTCTGGAGCAGTCTTACTTTTGAGCTTCTCCCTGACTTCATTCTGCAAGATGGTGAAAAATCGACTTTCAGTCCTGTATCTGCGAAACTCCCAAGCTTTCGCTGGTACAACAGCCTCGGGAAGTTTCTTGAGGAAGCCTAGTTTGTTTGTGAGTGCACCATTTGGAGAAACACCTATGAGCAGTTCCCTTGCCCGCTGTTTCAGTTCGTCAGAGGGAGCTGCACTTCCCCACCCAAGCCTGCAAGTCACTCTTGAGATGAAGGACTCCAGAGCATGATTGTAACGAGAAGGATCCGTCATAAGCTCAAATAGAAGACGAATCGACTCCAGTTCAGGGTAGTGGTAAAACGAATTGGCTGACGATTTGTCCATGATTTGCTTTGCGAACTTTCTCTGCCTCGTCCACAACTCTTGTAGGTATCAGCAGATTGTAAAAACTTCTCATTAATGAGTACATACCGTTTCGAGACATCAAAGGAAGATAATGGCCGCTGTCACGATTGTCGGCCTGGAGAGATGGAATAAATGGACGTTCAGAATTGTTAGCGGCACGCTTGCCGAGAAGATCTTGGGCAACACGATCCCGCGTGATCCAAACATGGTTCTGGCCAGCGAGGTTCGTTTGGTAGATGGGACCATACTGTTGCCCCCATTCGTGGAACTTGAGAAAACTGTTTTTGTCTGGCACGTCTGGTACGCTGCCGATGATTGGGAAGCCTGAACTGTCAGTAAAATTGGCGAATTAAGTTACAGGCACCTATCAATAACCTTTGGGGCCTGGCAGTCTCTGTACTCCTGCCGGCAGCTGATCCTTTTTCGAAGTGTTGATATAGTTGATGAAAGATACCACCGCTATTACAACGACCACCGCGATCAGCGAGATGAGTGCCATACTGGCTGATTATGATTCGAGATTCTGTTGAGGGGTTTGAGATACAAGGTAAGATATTAACAAATGAGAGCAATATGCTCCAGCATAGAGCGAGAAGAACGGGCAAAATCAGAGAACAGGAGACAAAGGTACGAATGAGGAAAATTCAGTCAGAAGAAGAGGCACAGAGTGCCGGGATTATGTACTGACAATTCATGGAGACCGGTTGCAAGTTACTGTCACCCACACATCTTGGATGAACGGGATGTATCAAATCCGAGACCCCCACGAGGTACTTCTGACAGAGACAAGATCATGGGCAGGCTTGGAAGGAGTCGACATCAAGTTGCCCGCGATCGATGCTATTCCTGTTTGCTCCACATCGTTTTGATAGATGGATCGACCATCCAGTGGTTCGTGCCATGGCGGCCCAGCCTTGGGCTCGGACTCGCAGTGTTTTGTCTATCTGTATCCCAGGGATACACACTGCCATGGAACCACCTGACTTGGCGGAATCGATTTGATCGCGTGCCCTACACGACTTTGTGCGCGCTGCATTCAGTGGTACAGCTTGATCTAGCGAGGTGGATACACATGCAATCCAGCGTAGACAACATCATCAAGATCAAATCTAGCTATCAGCAATCGTCGCAAGATTGAGACCGCGTGTGGTTGATGTTTCGAATCTTGTCTCCTTGAGGATACATCTTCGTTTGAGCCTAGGCATGTGAAACGAGAGCCTTTCCGCTCACGTTACAACTTTCCCTGATCGTCGCTGGCCTATACATCTCGAGATACGCACGCGGCACATCACCCGAGCCAAGTGGTCTAATTCGGTGTCTTTGCTCAAAAGAGAAATAGCAATCGCATGACAAGTGTTTTGCTCTGCAGGCGCGAGCAGTCGTGCTTGCAGATCAAATCGCACTGACCTCTCAAAGGCTTATCTTCGGCTTGGCCAATCGGAGCTTTAGCGACGTGCCTCTTGGAATGTGCAGTGCTTCGAGTTTCAACCTCACCTCGCAACTTCCGATGAGGAGACCCGAATGCTGCTTACTAAAAACATCACTGGCCGCCTGCTCAAGAGCTGCAGCATTATGTCAGTGTGGGTGTGGAAAATACATTGACAGCAAAATCGATCAGCATCCAGTGCTTTAGCGACCGAGAGGAGGTGCCCTCTCACTGCGATTCAATCCATCTACGACAATCAGCAAGCACACAAGCTGAGCAACCATTCTTCCGTCTTGGCATGCCGAGCGCATATGCATGTTGCTGTGTCAAGTTTTCAATACCAATGTGCATGTCTTGGAGCCTCTTGGGCATCCCAAGTGACACTCTTCGAAGGCCATAGTCAGTAGGGTCCTTGGCCACCTTCCTATGACCTTGGCAGAATCCAAGAGCATTCACAGGCACCAATTTGTCTCTTTGTGTACATTCGGACATTTCTCTGCCACTGTACCGGGCCGTAGATCCGAACGACCTGTCATGCAACCGCTGATAGACCCTTTAGGCAGAAGCTGCTCTGTTCTGTTGAAAGTTATCTCAAAAATCAGCCCTACCAAGCCATCCACATGAAAGTGGCGTCTTCAATGAAACCAAAGTTCTTGTGTGGCTGCATCAGTCAAATATGTTCACATGACAGAACGTCATCCTTGGTTGTATCTGAATCACATCACTTCTGATGCAGATGGCTCAACATGCCCAGCAAGAGTTCAAGCGGTACAAGTCTCCATGGGCTTCCGGAATCGATCCTGACCAGCTTGCGAAGCTAGGTCTGAACCAGCTGTGCATGGAACAACTCAGTCCTCTGACACCCTGGCTTCGTTCGCTTTGATTGCCTGTTTCGATTGCCGGGCTCAAATATGCTAAGCAGCGTCTGTTTCTGGCTTCCTGGATGCAGTATGAACATTGACGCTATGTTTCCTCGTGCCCAGCCCATTGCTCATGCTCATATCGTACGGAGTCCATGTTCAGGTCAACATGCTAGCTGATCTTATTCCTCCAAGCTAGATAGGCTGCATATCTTTCAAGAGGGGCGGTCAGAACAACCAACGATTGGTCAACTTGTTTCTGACACACGATCTTGGACGTCTTTGTGTCTATGGAAAGACATTACAGGACGAGAGTGACGTGATGGTCAGTGTAAGCATGCTCTGGAGCCATCTCCAGCTGCAAGCAAGCTACCTAATATATGTTGCAGTGATTGATATATGCAGAAGATAAGCCTCAGCCTTCAAAATTCATGCTGTCACGTCTGTAAGACTGCCTATCATTATGTGTGTTGGCATCGTCGTTATCATTGCCAGTGGGGATGGGCGATCGGCAGATGTCGATATTCACTTGCATCTTCATGCATAAATTGTATGCAGACCCTATCAACGCAGAGTGCAATGCCCTGAACAAGAATTTGAATGCGGGGCCCGCTACTTTGCATGATTATTATTCCTTTCGTGTTGTGTCTCTGCATTGTTGGGATGATCAATGACTCTGTAAATCACACCAGAGCTCAGATACAAGTTTGTGCTCTCAACTACCGATCAATGCTGCAGGCAAGCTGTTGTTCAAAAGTGCCGAGAAAGGATCCGGGACCCTTGCTTCTGAACATTGCAAAACAAAACCTGTTCATCACCCACTACAGACAAAAGGCTTCACACAGGGCTCTCACCCCATGTCTTCTACATGAACCTGACCCGATTTGAACGGATGACCTTGTGGATGTCCCGAATGACACTGGAATCACACGCGCTACCGCTGCGCCACAGGTCCATTGATGAAAGCAAAATTTGAGGTTGACCGAAATTGAAGTCTGAAAGCACGCGAGGGGTGGAGCTTGAAGTCCGTGCGCTCATGTGGCTCGTGCGAGCGACCTTCCAAATGCTCAAACGCGTCCACTCTCTGTTCCTCCAGATTTTGTCCAATCTCCTCCTTGTCTTCGACCCAATGCTCTGCGTAGTATCCATTCTTTGCTTGTGATCTCTTGTTCTTCAGCCTCGCCTGGACTTTGCCGTCGTTTCTCATCAATCACGGTGCTTCCGTTCAACGCTTTCAATATCACGTCGTCCGCTGGTCTGGCAAAGTACACCAAGCTCATTCGTGTATGATCGGCTTGCTGACCTGGAGGGTTGATGACACGGTGAATGTTTGATCGTAGTATCCCGGCAGTGAATTTGACCATCGCGTCGCCCAGGTTGATGACAGCATGTCCCTGTAGTGGTTTCACATAACACCACTCATTCGAGTTTGGCGGCAAGACCTGTAGCCCTCCTAATCGATTGAACAGGACAGTGACACTTCCAAAATCAGTATGTTCGCCGAGTGCAGTTCTACGGTCGTCCATCGGCTGAGGCGGTGCATGCACCCAGCGAACCTGATCGCCAGAGACCGAGCCGAGTCTATGCAAAGAAGTGAGCTTGTCGTGTGGCAGACCCAATTGATTGTTCAACAGGCTCAATAGTAAGTCCACAATGGCGTGGGAGTGTTGCATGAAAGATCTCAACAAGTCTCGATGAGGGTCCAGTAGCTTGGGAGCTGGCAATGGTTCAGAGAGACCTAGAATATCATCTTTCGAAACCTGGAAGAGATGTCATGTCAGCCTCTGATCTCATAAAGCTCAAAGTGTATCTTACATTGTAGAACTCATTCCTATCTTTCGTCCCTGCGGCATCAATAACACCTTGACCATATCCTTTGTAGCCAAAATAGCTTCCTTGGTCCTTCAAATCATATTTGACCTTTTCTTCGACAGGCAGGTCAAATACGCTTTTGCCGACCCTGAACAGATCTTCGGCATCTTGGAGCAGTTGTTCGCCGTTAACGTCGACCTCGAACTTGCCGATGTTGTCATTTTTGACTTGAGCGCTATGTTCATCATCTCCAGTGGCAGAGTCCGCTCTGCTAACTTCTTGCCGGACGCTTTCGGTACGGTCGTTCGATACAGAGGACATTGGGTGACTTTTATGGCTGTCTGAGGCGCCACGGAGGTCGAGATAGAAGAAACCAAGCTCACAGCAAGCTTTCCATAGCTTGTCAATTTCCTCTGGATCACCTTGTTTGAGTTTACTCAGACTTATACGCAGGAGTGGCGCTGTAGGCACATGCTCTGGGAATGGCGGCAGGTTCAAAAAGTTCAAGTCCGCCTCGGACTGCTCTGCTAAGTCGTGCATGACAATGTGGTGAACAGGCTGTTCTTTCATACGATTTTCTGGTTTTGCATGCCGTTTTTGAAAAAGCTATAGATTTCGTCTTGGAAAATCGTGAGGGGATAACACTTTCGAGATCGACCACATCACGAGTACAGTACCTCCGAGGTTCCCCTCATCTGACGACAACGGTATTTCGGCACATATGATATCAGATCAAGGGTCTGGAGTTAGCGAATGGCTTTCTCGCGTTGACTACAAGGTCGAAGTGAACATTGAGTGCTCTCAGATATCTGCCGTATGCAATGTCGCAAGCTTGCACAGGGCCGATACAGTGAGTCACTAATATACACAAAGCGTCTCTGCAGTGCGATCCATCTAAACACAGATCGAATTATTATTACCAACATGGATAACGATAAGCACAGTCACGACTTGAATTATGCTCAAAGACGGTTAGAGAGAAGGTATCAGACTCGTATGCCATTCAGATGCGGTAACTGCTCTGGGTGAGGGATTGCTTAGTCAGCTAAGTTTGAGACTTTCCGCGATTTTCAACTGCCTGCTTCTCATCATTACTAATATCAACTTGAACACAATGCCATAGTCCTAGAATACAACAAAGTCTCGTCGTAGACTTTGACAACTCACCGTCATGGAAGACCAGACCACGCCGAGTTCGACTACTGGGTCAATTCAAAAGAAGAGAGCCCCACGAGCCTGCAACATCTGCCGAGCTCGAAAGGTTAAGTGCGATGGAAATCTACCATGCGCGAGATGTTTGGACAGTCGTATTGATTGTCTTTATCCTGGTGGTGTCAAATCGCGGTCATCCGCAAGCATCAGATCAATTGCGCCAAAGCCTTTGCCAAGGCAACAGCCATTGAACTCTCAGACAAGAGAAGCACCACAATCAAATTCGCGCATTGATGAAGATCCAGTCACCAACAAGAAACAGCAAGAGTTGCGAGCTGGCATTGGCGCATTTGACGACAACACGGAAGCCTACCAGTTCTATGGGCCTTCAAGTCATTTCTCATTCGTGCAACGTCTATATCAACGCATTCGGCGTCAAGGTAACGCCCCGCTCAATGTGTCGCGTCAGGTGCCAGAGGGTCTCCGAAAATGGGGTATTGAACGTCAGATATTCACGTATGGAGACGAGGGCTCCTCTTCCAAGAACTCAGTTCCAGATGGCAGTTTTCTACCAAAAGAGCTAGGTGAGGCGTTCATTTCAGCTTATTTTACTCTCATGCACCCCCAGGGACCGATATTGTCTGAGCGCGATGTCCGGCAGACATGGGAGGCTCTCTGGACTGGACCTAGTTATGCGCCGAATCAGAGCAAGAAGCTCGCTCAACAGAAGGCGATTCTGTACATGGTTCTGGCTATCGGTGCGAGATTGACTGACCATGAACCTTCTTCATCGGATGCCTGGGCTCAACACTTTTACGACCGTGCAGGCGTACCTACAGACTCTTTCGAGGAAACATCTCTTCTTGGGACTCACCTGCTACTGCTAAGAGTAAGTTTGGCCCCATGAAAGTTATTGAGAAGTATCTCATTTGTGGTAGGCCATGTACGGAATGCAGATCGGAAGACCAAACATGATGTATCTCTATCTTGGTCATGCTTCTCGATCTGCTATGGCACTAGGCCTTCATCGTGCCCAGGTAGTGGCAGGCAACAATTCGTTTCTGAACACTCTTCGACTGACCTTTTGGACTACCTTCTATATGGAGCGCATGGTGTCGATGTTCACTGGCAGACCTTCTTGCTTCGTTGACGAATCAATCGACACTCCCCATCCTACCGACTGTCAGCATGCAGAGGACGGAAGTCAGAACATCGAATACGCATACATTAGGGCCATGGCGGCGCTCGGCAAGATCAGTGAAAGGATCATGGCTTGTCACTACTCTCCCACCAAACCAACACGAGTTTCTGATTTGACAGAAGTCAATCGGGTCAATAATGAGTGTTCAGGAGCGCTGAATGAACTCCTGGAAACTCTACCACCATACCTGCATTTTTTCGATGACAAGACACCGATTGGTGAGACTTGGCAAGAGGTGCAGAGAATCTGTCTTGGGGCTACTTACCATATCGCGTGCATCTTGATGATGCGGCCGGCTTTGGTGTATGTCACATTCTTTGAATCAAAACAGCAGGCCCAGGACAGTATAGGTGACCGCATCGACATCCAACGAGACATCAAGCGCACCGTCTCTTCCGCTAAGGACTTGATTTCATTGGTCCACGACGGTTTCTTCAACCGCTGCCTCGCGATGAGAAGAGATGGAAACATGGTCTACTTCATCGTCTCTGCATGTCTCGTCCTTCTCTTCGATGTCCTCGACACTGAGACCACATCTGCGCATGCAACAGAAGTGTTCCAAGAAGTGGAGAAAGGTTTGAAATGCCTAGACCAGATCGATCACATTGGTTCCACAACAGGTCGAGCCATCAGTCTAGACGTGATGAAAATCGCAAAGGATGCTCTCAAATCTACAGAGCCGACGACTCATCTGGGAACAAATCTGATGGAGTCGTTCACCTGGCTCAACAACGAGATGTTTGATCAAGCACCCTATGACTCTGCAAGCTCGTGGTTGTATAACTCTCTTGAGATGCCGTCGTTTGACTACAGCACGGTTGGTATGACGGATTTGTTTGGACCTAATGGTGGTGCGGATCTTATGGTACCGATGGCATTCGACATGATGGGCCAGGGACTCCAGGTGGCTGATGGTAATTATGTTCCATCGCAAACTGCACCACAAAATCAATGATTGGTATCGATACACATCTAGCCGTGTTACAGACCCGAATAAGAAACCTAGATGTGTAGTGACTCAACGATGTTCTTCCTGGATATTCTCTACCTTGTAAGATATCACTCTAGACAAATCATCGACGCCCGAGTTCCTCATTTCAATGGACAGAAGGCCTATTCTAAACCAAGCAAGCACACAGTGATGCCTTCCATCAAGGTAAGAAGCACCAGAGAGGAGTCAATAATGCATAAGATATGATGACAGGGTCGTACCTACAACGAAGACTTCCCACCCACGGAATTCATTACTCATCCGCGCAAATCATACATTGTATGGATGGTCTGGTTGGGAGGTGATACTAAGTAGGCCAGGATATAGAGCATTAGATAGGCAAGAACAAAAGACGGACGGAACTGGAGGCATTGGGAAAGACACCGAATGGTCTGTAGAATTGTGTCCGTAGGGACAACAAAATACCGAAAGTCTAGAAGAGCTAGATTGAAAATTTGCTGATTCGAAATGATCATTACAGAGACAATTCACGATCACGGACAATTGTCGAAGGAGTCACATCCAACAGTCGCGCCTAGACTCTTAAGATATAAGTCGGCAGCGACTGATAGAGCGACTGGACATGAGCAATACGCTCTCAGAATCACGACATGACAAGATTCACAGGACAGCATATCACGATAGGCAAGCGCGAAGGGTTGAGCCTTTCCACGCCTTTGTCCATGCCTAGAGATGGCCTCTTCTCAAATGAGACGAGTTGATCTCGCGAATTTGCACAAAGGCAAATGGTTTGTTCGGTGGAGAAATTGCATTCAACTAATACGCTGAAGAGCACTCCCACCCAGCTACCACGCTGACAAAAAAAAAAACCATGATGCCGGATGCCACCTTTCATAACTTTTCTTTTGTCGAGTCTTTTCCTTCCATCAGTCTTCACAAGCGACGAGCTTATGCGACGAGCTGGACAACACCACCGGCCTCCTTGATCTTGCGCTCGGCCTCAGCAGAGACGTAGCGGGCGCGGACGATGATGGGGATCTTGGGGAGACGGCCCTTGCCGAGGACCTTGGAGTAGCCGAGGGGCAGGAGGTCGAGGACGGGGGCAGAGTCGGAGTCGGCCTTGCCAGAGAGGTACTTCTCGCGCTGCTCGGCGGGGACGAGGGACCAGAGCTTCTCGAGGTTGATGACGGGAGCCCAGAACTGGTTCTGGAGCTTGTGGAAGTAGCGCATACCGACCTTACCGCTGGAGTGGTTGTGAGTATATTGCAATGAAAGAATTAGGCGAGAATGTCAAAACTTACAAGTAACCGGGATGGTACTTGTCCATGTTGGTTCTGTGGTGGTGCTGACCACCGGCAAGACCACGACCACCGGGGTGCTTGCGGTGCTTACCGACACGACCGTGACCGGCAGAGACGTGACCGCGGTGCTTGCGGGTGTTGGAAAGGCGGGTAGGCATCTTGACTTGTTGTTGCCGTGAGTGTCGCGGATGAGAAAAGAAGAAGAGCAAAGAGCGACGCGCAAACTTGCCAAAGTCGAATTTCGACTGTGGTCCGAGCGATGCGGACTCGTTAGCGCCGAAATTGCTTGGCGACTTCTCGCTTAAACTGCTCCAGCTTCACTCTGACACGTGACCCAAGTCTGCAAGGTAAGGTAGGTCTGGAGAGCTGTTGCTGGTCTTGGCGATGACATCAATGTACTCCCCAATCACATGCGCGATGCACAGCACCCTCGTACTTTCTTTCGCTCCTTGAGACAGCTCAATCACGACCATGGCGGTCCTCAACACGCTCTTCCTTACTTTCAACTGTGGTCGCGAATTGGTCAACAGTGACTTCTTCGCGGCCAGTATCAACCAAGGCCTCTCCCACGCCCAGCTTCCCCCAGATGTTATAGCTCTCTCGCTGCAGGAGATTGCTCCTCTAGGCCAGTCCTTCCTCGGAGGCTCGTTTCTCTCGCCTTACTTCGAGCGTTTCTCCGAGACTATTCAGAAGCTTAATCAACTCTGGAAACATGACGAGCAATACGAGACGATACTCTGTAGCAACGTTGGAATGACGGCGCTGATGCTGTTTGCGCGACCCGAAGTCGCTCGCAACATCAAAAGTATTCAGACGGCTGGTACAGGAGTTGGAGCATGGGAGATGGGCAACAAAGGAGCTGTTGGTGCGCGCCTGGCCTATGCAGTTGAAGACGGCAGTGAGATGGACCTCACCTTCGTCGCAGCTCATCTGGCTCCTCATGAAGAGGCCTGGCAGCGTAGAAACCTGGATTGGCGCTCCATCAACGAGAATCTCGTCTTCACCAAGATTACGGGCGCTGAAAAGACACGAACACGTGCGACCAATAACGAAAACGTTCAAGACGAAACGGAACCCTTGCTCTCTTCTGCTACCGACGACCAACACACTTCGCAAGAACAGGAAAATGCCCTCATAACCCCGAACTCGTATATCTTCTTTGCCGGTGACCTCAACTATCGCACCTCGGATATTTCACCCCACCCCGACAACCACCACGCCTTTCCACGCCGCAATGACTCGCCCGAAGATGCCACCCATTACTCGCACATCATGCCCAATGACCAGCTTGCCCGTGAGAAGGCTGCTGGAAATACGTTGCACCATCTTAGTGAAGAGCCGTTGAAGTTCGGACCGACATACAAGTTTTCGAAAAAAGCCCAGAAGCAAGCTGCACAGGCGGCCGAAGGCGTGCAAAAGCAGATGCAATCAGGTGCAAATACAGTAACAATGCCCGACGAGGTCGATTGGCACTGGGCAGAGCACCGTCACCCCAGTTGGTGCGATCGCGTACTGTATCTTGCACTGCCTGACCACGAACCCGCCGTCCATACCTACAACTCCCTCTCGCTGCAACCTTCGTCAGATCACAAGCCTGTCATCTTGTATGCCTCGATACCAACCCATTCGTTGAAGTCGTTCAATCATGACATCAAAGCACCATATGCTATCAAGGCAGGGTGGAAGCAAAGGCGTGAGACGGCCCGACGTAGAGAGCTCGCTGTCGGAGTTGTGACATATCTCGTGATGACCTGGGAGGGTGAGGCATTGTTGCTCGGAGCAGTGTTGGCCGTGGTTGGCGCATGGGCGGCCCTGACTTCGCTGTTGTAAAGACTGAACGGAAATGTTATGCAGTATGAGTGATGAGAAAGATACCCTTGATATAATCGTTACATGTTCAGTTCAATATTTCCGTCCAGCAGCCTTTGGCATCTCTTCTCATGATTATGATAGCCTGAGAGTACATGGGTATCATTTTGTGTAGACCAAAGACGTCTATCTCTATATCTATTCTTTCTGCAAGTGACTTGCTCTTTTGACGTAGGTCCGACTCAGTTTTTCGAACCACGCTCCTCCAGCATCTTCACAAAGCCGTTCGAGAATCTCTCGACCTGCTCATATGCGATATCGAAGCCTCTGGCGCCGCCGTAGTAGGGATCGTCGACCTCTTCCTTACCCTTACCACCCCACACACCGAACAGCATAACTTTGCCAGCCTCTTCCTCTGTCAATTTGCCCTCCTTGATCATTCTCTTTCTCGCATTCAACAAGTACTCCTCATTGTTCCTGTCCATGGCAAAGATGTAGTCAAAGTCTTTGAAATCAGAATTGCGGAATTTGCGGGCTTGGTGTGTGTAGAAGGACGAGGTGATCTTGTGGGCGTTCAGGACAGAGATGGTTCGTGGATCGGGTTCGTCGCCGACGTGATATGCCCCCGTTCCACAAGAGTCGATAGAGGAGATCATGGGGTGTGCATTGGGTCGTGTGTGGTTTGTGATGTGACGGAAGACGCCCTCGGCCATTGGCGAGCGACCTTGTACATGTTGTTAGCATGGTCGTGGAAAGGAAGTGCGAGGGCTTACAAATGTTGCCTAGGCAGACAAAGAGAACCGACACGGGCTTTTGCGCTTCTGAGATTGCCATGGTTGTGTAGTATGGTATGAGGAATTGTGGTGTCTACAAAAAGTTGAAGGAGATGCGTTCATCGATCGGCATGTGAAAGTATAACACTCGGCCCGATCGGGAAAGTGACGACAACGGGGTCCATCTTTCCCTGCCTTTTCTCCGAAAGGGACCCTCTTCTTGCTCCGTATCTCATCTGCTCATGTACACCTGTTGAGAGTCACAAACGAACATCACTCAGCATGCAGACCAAAGAAAGCACCTCAGAGAAACGTCTTGACCGGACTGCCGCGCCGTCTTCTCCGAGCAAGCCTAGATCTTCACCAGATCTCCTGCTATGGACGAGCTACATTGCTGTTGGCCTGGTGAATGTTGCTATGGTGGCAGACAGGGAATATGTCCAACTACCCCATATCCTACACGATGTTGTATACGGGCCTTGGAGTATGCTGGTCAATGTCCTTCCGTTCTGTCTGGTCGTTTACCGAGACTATCAGCGAACCAATACTTTGCCTTCGCTCTCACTTTCACGTAAACCTACATCTGTACTTGAACTTCTTGTATGGATGAGCTTTATAGCCTCCGGACTGGTGACTTTTGCTGTTTGGGCCAACGACACAATTTTCACGCTTCCTAAGGCTTTGACTAGCTCTTTACCTGGACCTATGACCACGCTAGCTATATTGTATTTTCACATCATCCCAGTCGGTATGGTCGCCCACTGGAACTCTCGCAGAGACAAACATCTTCTGCCTAGGAGCGAACCTTTCTCTTTGCGAGAACGTCTCGTCTTTCTGAGTTACACACTCTCTAGTCTGACCGGCTTGGCTGTGTGGGCCAATGGTACATTCTTCCAGCTCCCTGAAGCTATGAGCAAGTTTCTGCCTAGTCCGCTACTTATACTAAATACACTATACCTACACATGATAACAATCGCTACATTCTTCATGCCTCAACGCCTTCCAGATTCGAGTTGAATCTAATCTGGTTTCTTCTCTTGTACTCGGGCTTCTGATATGCTGGATTCTCATAATGAGCTGCTGTATGAGCTTAGATAGAACTCGTGATGGCCACGTGGGAGCTGGTATGAGTGAGTCAGAACACAACACGTTTGAAAGCTGTTTAACACTTGGTAGACTCACTCCCTCTATCTTCATATTCCACAAAGACAAGAGATGTCTACTCAGACGCCAAGAGAAAGATTCAGACATTCAAGCCTCGAACGCAGCACAAGCCTAGACCGAGCACTCAGCGACCACCAGCAGCGATCTCGCGATGTATGGGACCAGGTCACAGTCCAGATCTTCCACTTCCTCAACAACCTGTAGTTCGCACAGAAGTTGACAGTGTCTTTGGACTTGAGGATGCCCTTGATCGTCTGGACCGCGAATGCATCGAGCTGGAATCCAACAGGCGAACGATAGTGTGGATGGAAGCATGGAGATCTACTGCTATGACTTTTGATGTTATAGAATTGATGGCAACAGACCTGAGAATGACGTATCACGGAAAGGTAGATATCGATTGACAAGGGGAAGAAAAGGGATCGGAAGCTTGATCACACTGTCTGGTTTTCATCAACCCCTCTTCTGGATGTTTTGTCTTGTCTATTAGTGTATGAGTTCTACTACCTATAGCCTACAATCTACATCGCGAGATCTCTGTCCTATCTATGCACCTTGAGTCTGTTCAGACCGAATCCTTGCTGCTGCGCCCTAATCTCTTTCAGCTCTCTTTTGGCCGCTCCATCAACCATAATGTCCTTGTTCTCGACAGCATCTTCGATGACTTGCGTACCTTCTGTCCTGGTCCATCTGAGCAGCAAAACCATCACACCACTTGATACAATACTCGCACACACCATGCCCACCATGACCAAATTGCTCTTTCTGTACTTGTGAGGACCCTTTGCGTCTGCGGGCCAGCCGGAGTATAACGCGTAAGTGCTCACGATAGAGCCAAGATTACCAAGGCCAGACACGAGAGCCGAAGCTGCAGCAATGCCGACTTCACCATGACGTGGTTGGAAGACAGAGGTGCTCATGGCCATGATAGTAGGAACGGTGGGACCGAGACCAAAGCCAATGATCAAGAGACCTCCATATCTTGACCAGCTGTCGTTGCCGCCAGCGAAAGTGGTGGTGAGAAGACCAGCTAGGATGACGAGACATGAAAGACAGAAGATGAGGTGGCGGTGGGTGTGGAAGCGGTCGCTGAGAGGTGTGATGAGGAGGATGGCAATCAGATCCATGATCCAGATGGGTGCGAAGAGCAGCGATAAGTTGATACTGCTGAGACTAGGGTTAATGGCATGGATAATGACGGTACCGTAACTCTGAACACCGATGCCTGCCAGATTTGTTAGCATAAACAATCGTGATATAAGAAGGTTCGAACACATACCAACGCCTACGACGCCAAAGTACATGATGACCAAAGGCCAAAGGCGCCAGTCAATCAGCACACGGCCCAAGTCTCTCCAGCCCCATGAGGGGCGATGATATACTCTTGTTAGTTCTTCGTAATGAATACGAGCATCTTCTCCGGTAAGCACAGGTGGGCTTCGCGGTAGAAGACGTCTCCATCCAACAGGTTGTTCAATCTTCTCACCAGGTGGATGTGGGCGATCGGGCAACCACCAGAGCAGGACGATGCCAAGGATGACTGCCAACAAGCCGTAGATGAGGAACATCCACTGGAAGCCAACAAGACCACCAAGTCCATCCATCTTCTGGAAACCAGCACTCACTAGACCAACGACTGCGGCAGAGAGTTGTGCTGCAGTATAGTAATGTCCAATGCGCTTTGCGCAGCGCGATGGTGGATAGTAGAGACTGAGGTAGTATGTCATGCCAGGCCACATACCAGCAATAACAATGCCCAGCAATAATCGGAGCAGATACAGACTCCACGCTGCTTTCATAGCTGTCATGCATGTGCCAATAACACCAACACTTAGCACGATTCTGCTCATCCACACGTGCGGGCTCAGTTTCGACATGATGAGGTTCGAAGGACAATCGAAAACGACATAGCACACGTAGAAGAGCGCTAGACCGGTAGAGACTTGCTTTGGCGTCAGATGGAGCACTTGGGAAAGGTCATGACCTTGTTTCGAGTTCATGGTTTGTGCCAGCCCAACATTGGAGCGAATGGCCGAGCAGAGGAAGTAAAGAATCCAGAACGCTGCATCGATGTCAGTCAGTGTCGTCTTTCTAGGAAGTATAACAGTCATACGTGGGATAATTCGGCGATCGATCTTCCTGTTGTGTTGTTAGATGTTGTCGGCTAAATTGTTAATTGAGGTGTGCAGTATTAACATACCTGTAGACACGCTCGATACGAGCCAGATCAGCACCTTCGGATCCCAGCTCTTCATCATCAATGATAGGTGCCTCTTTAGAGCCATAGCCAGCCAGCTGCATGGCAGCAGCTTGCTCCTGCGAACTAGTCATGATATTGAGTCGACTATGATATTATCTTTTCCAAGGGCAAAGATGGAGCCAGTATCCCAATGGGGAAGACTACGATCGATAAGATAAAAGTTTTTGGACCTCTCAGCGTCGCATGTTCCCACTTTATGGGTCGAGCAAGTATTTAGACGATTGGCCAAGAGGTGAGTCACGGTGAGAAGGAGAAGGGCCTTGTATCAAAGTTTGTCCGAAGCGAGTCCGGTGTATGGTTGGGGATGAAAATCGTACGGTGGTTCATCTGATAGCAGAAGCCACATTAGGGAGCTTTGGGCGGGAGCGGAGATTTTTGTCTTGACCCGGTGCCGTAGCGTCGTTCTTGACTTGCCGACCGTAGAGCTGTGTTCGTCCGATGACTTCTGGTAGTTCTCACTAGTTCTGTTCACACTTTTTGGACCTGAAAACGAGAGGGTCGCACTCTTACTCAGTCCTCCATCTCTAGACCCAGCTTTGCAACCAAGGCATGCAGATTAAGAGTTTGTGATATTGTTGCTGCTGCTCGGAGGAGCGAGCGCCGATTCGGCATATCATAAACGTCATGCCGCCGTGAGTGCATGTGGTCAGAGCTTCCAAATGTTCAAGTCGACCATCAACTCTTTGGTGCAGCCACTCTCGAAACATCAGACAAAGTCCAAAGACAAGATGATTCTCACACAATGCAGACGGACAGTGCTGTCCGCATCGTTCTCGGCATGTCGCCGGTCTGTTTCTACTCTCCCTAACAATCCCCACATTGTATGTTGCAAGTCCAGGCCAGTCAAGTCATCCATCTGACACGACATGGCAGTATGTACACCCGCAGTCACCTACTGTCAATGTCCTTTCCTTCCTGCCCACGTCGCCTCCCACAGGGTCACTTGCTATTGGTGTCACATCGCAAGTTCCGCCAACACCAGACTCGTTGCGTGAAAACCAATCATTCATGAAAGTCTTACAATCAGTGATACGAGAACATGCAACCAAAGATCCCGAAGTTATCGCACAAGCCCAGGCATATGCCAGCTCAGCAGGGTCGGCGTTGGGTTCGGGAGGTGTTTTCTTCCCTCAGACGCAAAGCAAGCGCAGCAAGAGACGCACAGGATATGGTGGTGGAGGCGGCACCGGTGGAGACGGAGCCGGAGGAGCGTCGGCTCAGGGCGGTGCTGGAGGTGCAGGAAGAGGAGGGTATATTCACGTTAGCGACCAGAGAAATCCACCAGACTATGGTCGTGTCGCCTGGCCCGAAGACATTTTCGGCAGTCTCGAAGTTGACGGAGTCGGCAACTTTGTGGGCGAGAATGGCAGCTATCAAGAGAGTGGAACGTACAGATGCATCACACGGGAGGGAATGTAAGTAAAGTACGCACGAACTGCCGACCGAGATGGATTTGCTAACAATGGCATAGTCTTGGGCTTAGCCCGTATCTTCGCGAGAAACTTGTCGCACGACTGAAGCAACTGGAGGCAGAGAAGAGCAAATGAAGCGAAGCAGGTATAGTGTAGAGACAGATCGCGTGTTGACCTTCCCAATGTGCTGAGGTCCATAACTTCCATCGTCCACTTTTACAAAGCGCAAAACGTACACTATAGAAAGGCACAATTGTTGCCGAAAGCAGAAGCGTGTCCACAGAGAGCCGGCAAGTTGTCGCTTCCCAGTGGCCACTGTTAGGTGTCCTAGTATATGATGCATTCCTATAGCTATACGCGTTACAGAGCGGAATTAGCTGTGGAGGGTGCGTGATGAGGGGCTTTGATTCGCGGGGCAGCTTGGCCCGAGTATGATCAGACAAAGGTGCTGGACAGAGCAGCTGAGGAGCTGGAAGCAGATGCAAGACTCGGATAGTCGAAAAAGGCAAGCTGCAAAAAGCCGAAAAGGGATTCCCCGATTTGGCCAACGAGACAGAAGACGGTCGATAGAAAAGAAGGAGCAAGTGGGCAGTCTCGTGTGTCGCCTGATGACATCGGTCGGTATACTCAAGTCCGTGCTTTTCTGGAGTAACTAGCGAGGAAGCAGCGAGGGACACGAGGGGACGACCTCCTCCGCTTGAACCATACCCTCATGCCAAACCACAACTCACCAAGCACCGACAATTCTCGCAAACATCCCAGAACACGACCGCCCAACATCCACAGCCCCGTCTGGTAACTCCAACACCAGACGTGGCCAGTTTGCTAGCCGACAAGTGCGACGTCGGCGCCCATCCGCAGCAGCAACCATCCGTCATCACAGCGCATCCCGACACCATTCAAGTGCGCCCTCAACCATTTTAGCCGCTCTGAAGCTCCTCGTTCAACCCGTCGCTCCTTCTTCTCCTCCAACCTCGTTGGCCTCGCAGCCGGCGCATCGCTCTGCCCATCATGGCCCAGGCCTTCGACGACGATGACCTCTCGCTTTCGATGACCCGTCGCCCGACCAATGGCTCGCAAAACGACGACTCAAATCCCCCGACTGCTATGCCCGCCATCTCCAAGTCCCAACCTGCTCCCCCGGCCACCAACAAGAGACGTCTGGGACAATATGACATCGTCAGAACATTAGGCGAAGGCTCCTTCGGCAAGGTCAAACTCGCCGTCCACAAGGTTAGCGGCCAGAAAGTCGCCCTCAAAATCATCTCTCGTCAAAAGCTCGTCACTCGCGACATGGCTGGCCGCATAGAACGCGAGATTCAGTACTTGCAATTGCTGCGCCATCCTCACATCATCAAGCTCTACACTGTCATCACCACCCCAAAAGAAATCATCATGGTCCTCGAGTACGCCGGCGGTGAACTCTTCCAGTATATTCTGGACCACGGACGCATGGCTGAAGACAAGGCACGCAAGTTCTTCCAGCAGATTGTGTGCGCCGTCGAGTACTGCCATCGTCACAAGATTGTTCATCGTGATCTGAAACCTGAGAACCTGCTCCTCGACGACGCGCTCAATGTCAAAATCGCCGATTTTGGTCTGAGTAACATCATGACTGATGGAAACTTCCTCAAAACTAGTTGCGGCAGTCCAAACTATGCAGCTCCCGAGGTCGTCGGAGGCAAGCTATATGCCGGCCCTGAGGTTGACGTATGGAGTTGCGGTGTTATTCTCTACGTCTTGCTTTGTGCTCGCCTTCCTTTTGACGATGAATACATCCCGACGCTTTTTAAGAAGATCCAGTCTGGCACGTATCATACGCCAAGCTACATTTCGTCCGGCGCCGCTCGTCTGATCAAGCGAATGCTGCAGGTCAGCCCTGTCAACCGTATCACCATTGACGAGATTAAGCTCGATCCGTGGTTCCTCAAGGACCTACCCGACTATCTTACACCACCTGTCGAGGAGTTCATGGACCAGGGTATCGATCCCAACAAATCAATTGACCCGGCCAAGTTGGCCCCCACAAAACCTGCTGTGGTGCAACAGAAGTTGCACGAGAGTGTCGTTGGCAAGCTAGGCAAGACCATGGGTTATGCAAAGGACGACGTGACCGAGGCCCTCGCTAAGGATGAGCCCAGTGCCATCAAAGACGCCTATCTCATTGTGCGTGAAAACACAATCATGAAGGCCAACCCTTCGCTCGCACATAACCCTGAGCTGCAACCATGGCTTGCTCAGTCACCACCGACCTTCCAAACCACTGTTACTGGCCCACCGAATGTCCGCCTACCGGCGCCCGGAACATCCAACCCAGCCTCAAATGTTGATCATCCCCGCCACGGATCCACCAGCTCTACTCATGAAGCTCGCACTCCGGCAACGACAATCGGTATCTTGCCTTCGTCGCTCCCATCCTTCCATCAAGCATACATGCAGGGAACTACTCCCAGAGCTGCCATACCCGAAGGCGAGCTCGATCCATATGCCCCCAACAGTGTACCTGGAGGCGAAGGCAAAGAATTGACAAGCGAGCAACGCGCTGCCGTCCTCAAACGGTTACGGCCTCATGTCAAGGGCAATCAGATTGGAGGTCGAGATAAGCCCGAGATGATGACACCCCTGCCCAGCAAGGACAAGAAGGTCAAACCAACCAAATGGCAGTTCGGTATACGCAGTCGCAACAGCCCTTCAGAAGCCATGCTGGCTATCTACAAGGCACTAAAAGCAATGAATGCTGTTTGGGAAGCGCCTGTCATGCGTCGTCCTGGACATGGTGAAGGTAGCCCGCCACGCAACCGCCGGCGTCATGCCAGAGACGGAAGTCAGAGTCCTGAGTACTCCGACTCGGACCCGGAGGCTGGCACTGACCCTGAATATTCCACTCACGAAGAACGTGCTAGACGTCGTTCTCGTGGTGGGCACGCATCGGACATGTCAGACGATGATTTCGGCGAGGAACTATCTCGCAGCCAACGTCACAAGTCACATATCCGTGAAGCCTTCGGACCCGAGAACGACTGGGGCTACAAGATTCCTGAAGACCCGTGGATCATCAATGCAAGATTCCGTAAGGATGGCATGTTCCCTCCTGGTGTAGCACATCCATCATCGACGCACTCCAGTCGCGTGGACTTGCACGAAGGTATCCGTCGTCGCAGCTCAACAATGGGCAGCAGCACTAGTCTGGCCGCCTCACCCGCAGGCTTCAACTCACCCGTTCAACCAAGTAGCATCCATGGCAGCGCTCACGCATCCACTGACAACGTCGCCGCCACAGGCCCTGGTAGCTTTGGCCAGGATAGCCTTCGCCGCCGTCATTTTGCACCCAACGAGAGCGCCTGGGTATACGTAACAATCCAACTGTACTGTATCGAACAAGATAGCTTCATGGTCGATTTCAAGTGCGCCGGCTACGAACGTCTCGTGCGTCGCTTGCGACGAGAAATTAAAACGCATGCCGATGGCGAGACTTCGGATGTCTGGCGCGATGAAGACCAAGATGACGAAGACATGGATGAAGGATACATGGGCTGTGGGCGCATACCCGAGGAAAAGGACATTTCAAGTCCATTCCCCTTCATGGATGTGGCTAGCAGTCTCATTGTGCAATTAGCCCAAGGCGCCTGATCTTGTTCCCCATGTACCTATCTTCCTCTTCTGTTAGCCATTTCCACGAGCCTCTCTATCGTGGAGGCCTGTTGATCGCAGTCTGATCAGCACAGGGAGGTTTTTACATCTGCTGTTTTGTCTTCTTCAGCTGGGCGTTCTCGTTTCTTCTTCTCACATTGGGTCCAGAGCATTTAGGGCATCTTTTGCATTGTTCATCGCCATATCTCTGTCGCTAACAAAATTTTTTCGGAGAGGCAGGAATGGTCGTCTATTTTTCAGGCATCAACATCATCAAAGCCAGATATTTCACAAGCAAGTCAAATCTTGCAACTAGATAGAAGGATTTCTGAAATGAGAAAGACAGTATCTTTTGAGTCAATGTGCTTTCCTTCTTTCTTTGTAATGATTAAGATACAGTTTTATCCGTTCTTGCAAAGGGTTGGATATGATTATTTGCGACCACGCAGCTACACCAACATTACTCCGTTTCCCGATTTTGTTGTTTTTGTGGTTGATGCTTGGTGCGCTCGACGCACTTATTCCTGCTTTTCCTCGGTAGCAGCAGCAGCAGCAGCATCAGTCTCCTTTCCCTTGTTGAACAATTCTCTAAAGTCATTGTTGCTCTTCGGCTTGGTATCCGTCTCGCCAGTACCGCTCATAACCTTGTCTTCTCCTTCGAGCGACTTTGCGGAGCTAGAAGAAAATCCACCACCACGTTTGAAACCGAGCCCACCACGTCTACTCGGACCGCTTCTCTGAGCAGGTCTCGAGATACCAGCTTGAGCAGGCTTGAAGGAAGTGGCTGGCTTGGTGGCCTGGTCGGATGTAGGCTTGGCCTTGGACTTGTGGAGAAGCTCTTCGACGGTGCCGATGCGCACTTCTGGACCCAGAGGGCTGCAGTCGACTCCCAGGCTGACTTTGCCGGCATCTTGAAGATTGACAAACTCTACTATAGCACCTCCCTTATCGCGGCGGACGGTGATCTTGCGAAGTGGACCAAAGTTCTCGAGGAAAGTTTGTATGCGGGCATCGTTGACTGTGTCGGGAAGATTTAGCAGAGCCAATTTGCGTTCACGTGCTGTCTTAGCGGTCTCTTCGTTGAGCTCCTCAGGTAGAGCAGTAGACCCCCTGCGTCCGTTAGCTGCTTCGGCAGAGCCGTTTTGACTGCCCTCGGGCGCAGGAGATCCACCCGCGTTGTGTTTGATGACTGTGGTTGCAATGTCCTTCTTCGCCGAACCCTTATCTGTAGCCAACGTGACACGGAGAAGGCGAGTCTTCAAAGGCTTGTTATTCAAGGTCATCGCCGCTTGAGCTTCTTCGGCTTTGGAGAAGACGATGAATGCTGTACCAAAGAACCTGCCTTGAAGATTCTTGATCATGCGGACGCTCTCAATAGTGCCGTGCTGTTTGAATAGATCGCGAATTTCAGACTCACTAGCGGTGAAGTCAATGTTGGCGACATGCAACTCCCGGCCCTCGGTCATGGCGCCCGAGCGGGCCTTTTTGGCATCGGGATCAGAGATCTTAGCAATAAGACGGTGCTGACTGTCAAGGGATTTGTCGTCCATGACCGTAGCAGCACGGGCTTCTTCAGCCGTAAGGAACTGTACATAGCAGAAGCGGCGTCGCTGGTTGTATTTGAGTGACGGCAAGCGGACACTGACGATGGTGCCAAAATCTTGGAAAAGCTCACGAATTTTGACTTCATCCCAGTCGGCAGGGTAATTCGTCACGTAAAGAGTTGAAAGTGTTCCAGACTGTATGCGAATGGTGTTGCCATCAAAATTCTTTCCGTCTCTAGTCTTAGCTGAGAGTGTATCCTCTTCAGTTTCAAATTCGATGGTGGCGTGCGCAGTCGGGGCATTATCGTCAGCTACTATACCAACGGAGAGGATGGTTCCACAGTCGCTAAAGAATTGTCGTACGCGCTTTTCTGTAACATTGCTTGGCAAGTCCTTGACGGTGATTGTGTTGTGCTCTCTGTCGCGTTTGATTTGAGCTGAAGCCGAAGCCGACACTTCGTTATACGGCGGATGAATCGTGTCCTCTTCTCCAGTCTTATTCCTCTTGACAATATCTTCGGCCTCTTGCTCGGCTTCGTTTTCGCGTTTCCTCTTAGATGTGGTCGGCGCTTCTTCCTGGATGGTCTCGAGACCATTCGTTTGAGGTTGTGTTTCAGAGGCAGCAGCAGTGGCAGCAGCATCAGCTGCTTCTCTCGCCCTTTTCTGAGACAGGAAGAACTGTGCAGTACGAGCGTCTGCCTGAGCTTCTTGCAATGCCTCCGGGCTCTCATGCTGGGAGAAGTGGTTTGGCCACACTTCAAGAATCTTTTCTGGCCAGTCGAGGTTTCTTTGCTGTAGAGCTTCGCGTAAAACAGAAGTAGCATTGTGGGGTGCTGTTTCAGGCGTTTCGATGCGAACTGCCTCAGACATGCGTTCATGACCCCATACCATGATCTCGACGCGATACCAAGAAAGCCAGAAATCAGCACTAGCAGCATGAGTGGTTTTCAGACGCTCAAACACCATTCTTGCGTCTTGATAGCGTCGAGCCTCCAGGAGGAACTTGACGTGGATCTGCTCCAGACGGAAAAGGGGATCACCTTTGTAATCACTGCCGTAGGTCTTTTTACCAGCAACACTGGCATCCTCAAGAGTTCCTGTGATACCCATATCGGCCATGTCAATCTCGTCATCTGTGTTGTCTGGCGCAAAAGCTCTGCGGCGAAGGTAACCACACCATGAAGCATATACCTTGAGGACTTCTTCCATGCCGCCTATATCGAGAAGGCCACTGTTGGTAGCCTTGTGCTTGACTTGCTCGACTTCATCGTAAGGAAGCTTGTCGACCTCGGCCCGCAAGACACGCCTTGACCACAAGTCACCAGACCACGGACAATGTCTAGTGGCTCGTTCCAAGATCGTCAAGATAATGGGACTATGTGAGTTAGTCTTCAATACAAAATCGGCAAGGTCAAGCCACCACTCGATCACAGTGGGGAAGCGCAAAAGAGCTCTCTCGTACAAAGAGCATCGCAATTCGAAATCGAATGGTGATCGACGTTTGTTCTTTCGATCCCAGACGAGGTACTCTGCGAAAGCATTGTAGAGGGCAACTTTGTCGCCGGATTCGGCTGCCCGCTGCAAGTTTTGCTCGTGTGTTTCTCGAAGTGCAAGTTGTTGCTTAGCGGGGGCGGCCATCTCGTTGGTAGCGGCCATGATTTCTTCCCAGTTGTTCGCATTAAACTTTGATACAATGGGCCAGAATTTAGCAGAAGTTTCCGACCAGTTCGCATGCGGAGTTCGGAGGCGGCGCATGAAGATATTGTTAATGTGCTCGATTGCCTGAGGAGATGGATTTTCCGGAAATTCCTGTAGCACAAGATCGATGTAACGATCCCATATACGATGGCTCTCGTCTATACGCCAAGCTGTGGCCTCGATGGCTCTTTCCCACACGCTCAAGCAAATGTCACGACTGAAGACTTCCTTGCAAATCTCCTTGTCGATGTCGGTCCATATATTGGGGTCTCCTTCGGTGAAACCATTTGCGATGGAATAGGTCTGCATGACCCACTCGCCATAGATGGACCAGAGGGTGACGCTAGTGGGTTCTTCTTGAACAGCCTTCTGACATAAGTCCATGACAGCAACGCGTTCTTCGCTCTGGCGGGCCAGTATGGCCTCATCGTTGATCCAGTCTTTCCAGATGTCTTCACCAACAGCGAAACGAGAATCCATAGCCTCACGCGCTTGTCGCATATCAGAGAGAAGAGTGTAATCCCTCGGATCGTTGATGACGACATTCGAGGTACCGTAGACATGAGCAACAAAGCCTTTGTGGAAGAGATTGATGAGTTGTACGTGGGAATCGTAAGCGTAAGAATTTTCGGCCAAGTACTTGACCAGTTCAGTGATGGTCTGAATCTCGATTTCAGTTAGTGAAGCAGCTGAGATGGCACGCGGCTCAGGCGTTTGCGCCGGGGCTTCGGCCATGGCAACCTGAGTAGAAGAAAGAGCAGAGCGGGTGAGTGGAGGGGCAAAGCTGGTGCGACGGTTGCTATAGATGTGTCAGCATCATCAGGTCAAAGAAGGCGCAGGTGACTGACATTGATGGTAATTGTGAATCAACCAAGGAGTGTTTTCTTTGCAGTTGGTGATGCTGCATTGAAGCAAGATCTAGAGTCAATGTCAGAAATGCACTCGTTTGTAGGCAACTGCGTCATGTGACGCGGACCATCGCACCTGCCAGAGTCTCCATTTGCGGCGTTGACGAGTGCCGACCCGAGACGTATTGAAGTTGTGGTCGGTAGGCCTGTGGCGCTGCGTGTGAGCTTCTCACATCCGGGGCTTCGTGGTTGCTTCTGAAGTTTCTCATATCCTGCGCGCCATTGTATGCCGAGACGTATGCGTTCCTCTGATATTGGTTGACAGAATCATGTCCTGGTGCAGGCGCCGAACGCGGTGGCTCAGGCGGCGGCGATGTCATGGAAATTTCATTGCTGAGGCCCGATGCAGTACGCCTACCACCAGCAGGGCGTGGTTGCGCCCTCGCCCTGGCAGTCGCTGCCGGATTTGATTGTGTCGAAGCCTGCGGTTTCGCCGGCGACTCTGATGGCGACAGCAAGGCATTGATATCCATGGCAGAAGATAATCCGAAATCCGACAATATGGATCAAGATATTCAAGGAACAAAAACGATGGCCCGGACTAGCTAAAGGAGGAGGAACACCACTTGGATTGAGGTCACGGGAGTTGACAAGAACCGGAGCAGCAACCTTCTTGGATGGAAGTGACTCCGCTGACGGCACCTGTAAAGGAAACAAGGGACCGCACCAATAGCGCAAACAGCAGTTTGCAGACAGCGGCTTCAGGTTCCGACGATTAGGATCAGAGCGGGAGGGGCCGCAGACTCGCCAGCTTCTAGAAGCGCGAGGGAGAAGCGAGAGATAGAAGGCTGAAGAGAGTGAGAGAGAGAGGAGGAAGAGGTTGCTCTCTCTGGCACGGTTTGGACACAGGAGTTTGCGATCCTGGAAGCGTGTAACGGTGTTGCAAATGCGCCGTCCAATCAGCACGAGAGTCAGCTGCGGAGTGTGGAGTGGATTGAAGATTCTGAAGATGCAGACGTAGGCAGATCGACAAAGGGGCAATAATGAGAGTGTCGGGCAGGACGAAGAGGCTGTTTCGCAGAGAGACAAGAGCAGGATCAGAAGAGTCCAAGCATCAGGCACACAGTCATGGGCCAGGGCTTGATTATCAATACAAAAATGTTTAGAGCATGACTCGTACAAAGATGGCAGCATCAAGATGTCACGATCCAAGACTGATGCGGCTACAAGGTCAAGCAATCTGAAAATGATAGGTTACAGTTTGATCATGCGGTCTATCGTGCTAGCAAATGGAAACTTTATGATCAAAACAAGATTGAGTATCGTGCGAAGGTGCACAAACAGGTTCAAGAGCAGCGAGTCAGAGCAGGGCACGAAAGGACAGGGTCGCTATGTAAATTGCTTGGCGGCTCTGCGAGTGCGCTAGCGCGGCGGGCGGGCAAGGAAGTTCTAGAGAATCATCAAGCCCGTCGACGACAAGGGCAGACGCACGTATCACACACAATGAGCGCCCGTACGCCTTCACGGCGACTGCTGCAGAACGGTGAGTTGCTGCTTGGCTCTTGACGGCGACCATTTTGCTGACAGGCGCACTAGGCGGCCTACAATGTCTCCATGCGCCTTCTTCAACAACACCACAGACTCTTGGACGCCGCTCCATCTGGGGCTTCTTTGGCAAGAGAAAGGACGACAGCAACATAAGTTCCAGGCCTGGCCAAGCGACCAACCCCGTACTGGACCAGTTCCTCAAGAAAAAGCCAACCAAGCAAGGCGCCGAAAGCCTGCAGCGTGGTGACCTCGCCGAGACATCCATCTTTGAAGGCGAGCGCCAGGCCCAGGAACGCGAGGGGGAGAAGGCAGCAGAAGCTGAAGCTGGTGGTCGCAATCTGAGTACAATGGCCACTGTCCTCGATCCCCACCCTGTCGCACGCGAGCGATGGCAGCGCAAGATGGTCATGCGCGACATTCGCAAGGGTGGTCGCTTGAACAAAGAAATGTTTACTAAGCGCACTGAGAGAGAATCCGTCGGCAAGAGCGAGAACATCAAGACAAGCATCAAGAAGCTGGGTCCTATTGCACGCCAAATCGCCGGCAAGACTGTCGACGACGCCATTGTCCAACTGCGCTTCAGCAAGAAGAAGGCTGCCATCCCCGTCCTCAACTACCTCGAGTACGCTCGTGACGAGGCCATTGTCGCCCGTGGTATGGGTCTTGGTCAGCCTACTGTCGCCGATTCGGACAAACCTGTCGACATTCGCCTCAAGGACGGCAAGAGACACACCGTCGAAGATCCTACCAAAATGTACATTGACCAAGCATGGGTCGGAAGAGGACCCTACGGAAAGTTGCCAGAGTACCGTGCGAAAGGCAAGATCAACATTCTTCGTACTCCCTGGACACACATCGGTTTGGTGCTGAAGGAGGAGGCTACCAGAGTGAGACAGTACAACGAGCGCGAGGAGAAGAGGAAGAAGCAGCGTGAGGCCAAGGTCTGGACTCCCCTGCCCGACCGCCCGATTCAGGGTCAGAGACAGTGGTACTCATGGTAGAAATGCCAAATGTGCCGTATATACCCTTGTACAATATTTCTTCTTCTTATGCTGTACTTGCATTCTGGGCTCTCTTTGATTATGGGGTTATAGGGATAAAAAAAAAACTACATGACAACTTTTCAAGCATCTGTGTCTTTCCAAGGAGACTATTCGGTCATAAACAAACATAGCCATACTACAAGTCCTCGAACTTGGATGTATTGTACAGATGCTTGTCTGTACGTTCCAAGATCTCGAGAGCAGCGCCCACAGCAATTGGTCCATCGGACGTGGGAATGCAAAGCATACCAAAGCAAGGCTTGTACTTGGCCACCCCACCCTGATCGATACGTCTGAACTTCATGAGTGTGTCCCAAGGTTCGTGCGCGTGTTTCTCAGCCGTATCTGGGTTGACATTGGGCACCTGACAGCGAGCACAGTGGCACAAAACGTCAAGATTGACCTTCCAGATTGCTTCGCGTTGGTGATCAGTAGTGCGAATGCACACCTTCTTCCAGCTGTCCTCATCCCAAGCTTTGTTTCCTTTGACAATGATGTTGGGTCTGAAGCGTTCGATGGTGAGCTGATCCTGGCCAGCAGCTTCGAGTCTGGAGTTGAGGTCGGCGAGAGAGGCTTCCGAAGCAATTTGAATGCTCATGACATCGGCGAAATGATGCTCTTGTTCCTTTCCGTACAGATCAGGACTGCCATTTCCACGAGCAATTCTAGGAGTAGGACCCTTGTAGATCAGAGCAACGGGCTTCTTGAAGTACTCGCTGAAAATAGAATTGATCTCGTCGCTGTACTCCCAACCATCGGTGTCTTCACCCCAAATTTCGACCTTTGTAAGCTTGGTGTTCTCCTCCAGCCATTCAGCGGTAGGGTAACAAGGTATCTTGATGTGCTTGTCGGTATCGTGGATGCTGACATGCAAGTCTGTCCACTTGCCTTTGCCGTCTCCACTGAGGCCAGTATCGATCAAGGTCATGGAAGGATCAGAGCGGATTGTCAAGAACTGACGGGTCTTTGCATCAACGAACATCCATTGGCGGTCCAGATCTAAGCCAGTTTTATGAAGTCTGGTATCTTGGACTTCTATACCACGGCATGACTTGATGGGGTAGATGCGCAAAGAAACAACCTCGGTCGAAACAGGCTTCTTGCTGGCTGTCAAAGCACGAGCAGCATCCTCGTCATAGATGTAGTTGGCATAGAACCAGAGTGAGACTACGCCCACAACAACGAGGGTGATTAGTCCAATGCCCATAGTGTGGATATCAATACCGGGGATGAGCTCGATGCTCCCCGTGCCATCCTTGTTGAATTGACCCATGTTGACGAACAAGACCGGACTTGTCGATAACACAGAGCTCTGTATCTTTGGCTTCTGAGACTTCTGGAATCTTTTGCTGCAGAAGAAAAGGTGTTTGTTTCAAGGCAAATTTATGTCAAGACAAAGAATGAATTCAGCAGCATCTGAGAGGTTTCGCGAAACTCATGGAGTCGCCGCTAATTCCAAACTCTAATTTGTGCTCGGCGTCATGCACAAGGGTCTGTGCGCACATCATTTTGTTGACCTTTAACAGCTTGAATACATCCTGGCTTCTTCTGCAAACCAGTTCATATTTTTATCTTCTCAATCGGTGAGTTTTTGTTCTTTTCCATTGATCTCATAGCTCACTGTCTCGTGTCTTGGTCTGTGAAGATGTGGAGAATACATTTGTCCAAATTTCGAGAACGTTTGTACTCCACGTACTGTAGCGATATGCTCCCCGTAGACCTTCTTGACGAGGAACTTGACGTCTAAGAAGGCGATCTATGGCATTGATGTTGACTGAAGCATTGGTGATCTCTTTTCCTCAAACATCATTTGACATCCATTTCGTCAACACATACACATTTGAAACTGATCTCGATGAACATCTGACTGATATCTGGTAGTACCGCGATTATGCCTGACAAAGACGCCGGCACTCCTCGTGTCTTCCTCATCCGCCACGGTGAGACCGAATGGTCCATGTCCGGCAAGCACACAGGCAAAACCGACATTCCTTTGACTGCCCACGGCGAGTCTCAAGTCCGCAGCACAGGCGCCATTGCCGTTGGCAACAACAAACTCATCGATCCCTCCAAGATCGGCATGTGCTGGGTCTCTCCCCGTACGCGCGCTCAACACACCTTTTCTCTGCTCTTCGGCGACAAGCAAGAAGCCGCTCTCAGAGAACAAGGAAAGGTCCAGACCACCGAGCAGCTTGCCGAATGGGACTATGGCGCCTACGAAGGTCTCAAGCCCGCCGAAATTCGTGAGTTGCGCAAGTCTAAGGGCTTGGACACCGAGCGCAAATGGGACATCTGGCGTGATGGATGTGAGGACGGAGAATCGCCTGATCAGGTGGCTGCTCGTATCGATGAATTGATTGTCAAGATCAGAGAGCTTCAGGGTCCTAACATGAATGGCGAACAACCTTGTGATGTTGTCCTGGTCGCTCATGGTCACCTTACGAGATGTTTTGCCAAGAGATGGTTGGGTTACCCTCTGGACATGAACCTCAACTTGATGATGGAACCTGGCGGTGTTGGTGTGCTGAGCTACTCTCACCACAAAGTTGATGAGCCGGCACTCTTGCTTGGTATTGGCTTCCCTGCGCAGTCATGAAGACCTGCCTAAGCAATACGACAACAGAGGTTAGGTCTACCAAGAAAACGATGCAGAGCTAGATTTGTGGTAGATCTGAATGGAAAGCTCAAAGTATAGATTCGAAAGCAGATAGAGAAAGACTCGCGTTCGTATATCTTCCAAGCATATATAAAACAAACCAATACAGCCTTCCCAACAGGATCGCGCCCTGCCCAAAGAACATGAAGCTTTCTCCATAATATATACATTGCATTATGTCATCAGGCATTCCTTCTTCCAGATATAATCCTGCTTGGACTCGCAACATCCAACAATATACTCCTCACATCCTTATATCAGCAAACATTCTCATCGACCAATCAACCTGGACCTGCAACACTTCCCTCACAGAGCAACAAGCATTCCTGTCCTCCTCCCTCGTCATTCCACGAGGAGTCTTCCTCTTGAACTCCCTTATCCACTCATCCCACAGTCCCCAGCTCAGCGCTGCCGCTCCAACCGTGCCTTCAATCCCGTACCTGTTGAACGCATCGCTCACAGTCGGATTTTCCGTCATGATCTTGTTGGCACCACGCAAAGCCGATCTCTTACTTTCTCCTTGCGTACTGTTGAGCAGTTGAGTCAAGCTGCAGTGGAAGAAATCTACCCAGCGGCTGGGAAGTAAGAAGAACGTGTCTGGTGATGAGCGGCTTGACAAGACATGCAGACAAGGGTGTGCGATCGAAAGGACGGAAAGAGGCATGGGCTTGCCGTCGATGGTATCACTGGGATTAGTGATGACGGGTAGACAGACGGCGTCTGGTGCAAGGAGCTGAGTCAGTACATCTTGTGTGGAGGGAGGCAGGTATATATGGTTGCACCATGGATGTTCAGGGTGCAACTCAATGAGACGACGTGGAGGGGCGTCTGCCTCATCATCATCTTCTAGTTCGGATCCTGTGTTGTCTGCCTCAGACGAAGGAACCACAGCGGGAGATGAATGATGAGGGTTAGAAGGAGAAGCAGCGGCTGCTGCGGCTGGAGAAACGTCACTCGGACCTGCCTCGACAATCAAAGGGGCAGGTGCGATCGCTCTCAAAGCGGCAGCTGGCTTGGACTGTCGTGCATCGACGGCAATCGCAGGGCCGGCTTGAGTAGCTGGTAAGACCTCTGCCAAATCACCACCCCACTGAACTTCTTCTCCAGTACCCTTGAAGCCGGCAAGCCACATCTCAGGCAGGTCATATCCCATCCAACCAAGCTCCTCGCCAGCGATTCCGGCACCGCTTGAGGGGACGTCGAATTGAGATGAGGCCCGATATATAGGCTCGAGCGGTTGCTGACCTGCAATACTGACTCCCTGCAACGACTCAGTAGCAGTTCCCGGCGGCACGGAGAGCACCGGTTGATCCAAGGGCGGCCAGTCAAAGCCGAACAGACCCTGCTCCGTCCAATCGGCATCAATCCCAAGATCAGAGATATCAAACGAAGGCACAGTCGCATGAGATTGTGTCTCTCTCAATGCAGGAGCCGGCCTCGCAAAGTCCTTCTCCGAGTCCGGCTCACGACGACGTTTCTTGCCTGCGCTGTTCGATGAAACCGACTGCAGAGAAGGGGCTGCAGAGCGCAGAGGAACAATTGGCGAGTCTCTTGGTGACTCTGTCATGACTGGGAACCAACGGCTCAATACCACGTCAGTTCCCGGATTTATATACAGGCTCCCCCAAGGAATCAGCGAGATCCTTTGAAGAGCCAGGGGTATAAGATGCTCTGGCATCAGGTACGGGAAGTAGGGACCTGTTATGCCAGTGCCGATTATATCGAAGGAATCAGACTCTCTTTCTCGCCAAGCAACAGCATGTGGCACGATAGCCATATAGCCTGGTGAGTCTGGGAAGATGACAATATAGAAAGCCGGTGATGATGAATCTCCAACTTGAGTCATCGTTCTGGTTCCGTATCGGGTTGCGGTGTCGATTTTGTCCTCGAGCAGAACCACGAAATCAAACCATATAAGGCGTACAGGCTCTGAGGGGTCTTGTGGTATACGAACTGCACCATCGTGTGGAAAGCCAGGGTGGGCTGGGAGATGTACCACACCTAGGTCGAAAGACTGGAGCAGCCGAAGTTTGATGATGTTGGCTGTGACAAGTTCAGGGGATGAGTCCTTGTACTGATCCAGACAGAGGTATCGCAAACCTCGATTGACTCTGCGAGTTTGTTCCATGGTTCAGTGTTAGATGATTAAACGAGGGAGTAGACGTCTTCAAGAACTTGAATAATCCCTGATTAAGTCTTGCTTTTGGATCTGGAAGAGGAGAGAAAGAACTCAGGCCATTGAAAGATATTTATCGATATCTCCGGTCGGCATGCAATTGCATGAGGCACAACACATCCTGAGCGTGATCATGATCAAACGCATAAAACCTTTTGCTCTCGAAGGAGTAGTTATCAATGCCTCTGCACTTTCTGCCTATCGTCAGTGCAAACGCATCACCACCGCTGTAGTCAGGCTTCCCTTTTTGCACACAGTTGCATGCGCAACAACAATCCATGGATATGAACGAGGAGAACGCATGACAACCTTTCCCCTTTCGTAGATGTTAGTAGTTTGACTGCCAATCGTCAGTGAAATAGTACACAACACCAATTGAACATACTCCATTGACCTTTTGCTCGTACACATAACTCCACAACACAGATCATGTTTTTGTGCGTGGTAGAGGAAATACATTGGCTGTATACTAGTCACAGAAACAGGCGGGCACTATTGTGAGATTAGCAGAGGCAATCAAAACTCCCACTTGCACACTGTACGCATTTGCTCACCGTTACACGTGCTTGCAGGATATAGAGAAATGACAACATGACCAAATTGCGGTCGAAGAGTGTCTAGTCACATGCAAAGATCAGATTTCGATCAGGCGAGAGACCAGCTGCTGAATTCGAGTCAAAGCAAGCTTGTATACCGAGGCCACAAAGTCAGCAAAACTCCGTGATCCTCGTGATAACAGGATAGCCCATCTTGATTTTGGAAGCCCTGCTCGAGGAGTGTGACTTACCGCTTGGTCTGAGATGTGTTCACGTATAGCACGTTCCTTGGAGCATGAGAATGGTCTGATGCTTCACTTCTACTCAGAAGCCCTTGATTTAGGATCCAATGGCTGTGCTACAACAACTCATCAGGAACGGTAAGTGGATCAAAAACAAATGTGGGAGCCGCTAGAGAGAGCGCAAGGTTGTAAAATCAAGTTTCCATTTATCATCATTTACGAAGCGCTCCGTAGCATGCATTTTCTGTCATTAGTTGTTGATACAGTGAAACCCATTTCGGGCTGAAGGTGGAGTGTCCAGCAGCTTCTTAAGTGCAGGTGTAACCACCGTCAACGCGCAGATCGGCTCCAGTGACATAATTAGAGGCGTCACTGCAGAGGAAAACAACAGGACCCATCAGATCAACCTATGAAGCAAGTTTTAGCATGTTGTTTGATCCCGCGGTGTAGAGAGAGCACTTACGGGGCGGCCCATCTTGCCTTGAGGAATCAAACTCGTCCACTTGTTACCTAGATCGGGGTTTTCGTTCAAGATCTTCTCGGTCAAAGCAGTGAGCTGTATTTTGTGTTAGTCTCATTCTTGGGAGATCTTGCTTTGGTACACACCATGTAACCAGGCTCAATGACGTTGACTCTGATGTTAGCGTGGGCCCACTCGACTGCCAGCGAGCGGCCGAGGTGACGGACAGCGGCCTTGGAAGCGTTGTAAGGAGCCTGAGGCTGGGGAACGTTGACAATAGCGCCACTCATGCTTCCAATGAAGACGATGCTACCAGGAGCCTTGCGCTCCATCAAGTGACGGGCAACGCCAGTAGCGAAGAGGTAGGTGCCGTCGACGTTGACACCCCAGAGCTTTCTAACACGGTCGATAGGGTACTTGATGGCGTCGAAGTTCTCAGTGAAGCCTGCCGAGGTTACGAGGTTGTCAATCTTGCCGTGCTGGCTGACTACATCGGAAAGGACACCCTCAACAGAATTCTCATCGCTCACTGCAGGAACGATCAGTCGCGGTTTCTATGCCCATGATCCAAGAAGCTCACCATCGCAGTAGTGGCCAGTGACCTTAGGTACTCTGTCGGCGCCAGGGTTTTCGTCCTTGAAAACTTTGACCAGCTCCTTTGCTTGCTTCTCGGCTTCCTCCTCTGTTGTTATGGTGTCAGTCGTGGGTAGGTCGAGAGTTTGGACTGCTGGAACGCACTGTTAAGATCGACGAGGGCGACATCTGCTCCAGAAACAACCAAAGCCTGAGCCATAACCAGACCAAGACCTCTTGCACCGCCAGTGACGACAGCGGTCTTGCCTTCGAGGGAGAAAGAGGCAAGGGTTCTGTGGAAGTGGAAGCCTCCACGACCTTGGACGGGTTCTTGTTTGGGGACAGCTTTCTCATCGAAGGGAATTTCGATCGAGTCATCAGTTCTGGAGAAGGAACCAACGTGCTCTCCCTTTTCTTCCGGGATGGGCTTCTCATGATCATGCTGATCGCGCATGAGGGGTGTGACAGACATGTTTCTGGCCGACATGGCAAGAGGGCGGGCGGGGGCCACCATCCGAGTGGCCTGGCGGAGGATGCTTCTGCTGAACATGATGAAGGGGGTTTAATGCTGTCTCTCCTGTCAGAGGTGCTGCCAAAACTTGGACGCTGATACAACGAAGTCGTGAACAAAGAAACTTGCTAAGCACAAAGCGCCCAACAAGCTCAACAGCAGTGATGCAAGGACGTGAAGACGAGGCAAGACTGGCCATGGCACACCTCTGAGTGAGAGAGCTTGAGCAGCACGGCCAAGGTCATCGAGAGCTCAGTGGTTGCTCAGTCCCAACAAGACAGCTTCAACGTGTCCATGTCGAGCTGCTAAAGACGCTTGGAAGCAATGAAGGATAGGTTTGAAGCACTCACCAAGTGTAAAGAAAAGTCAGTGGTGATTACGAGACGTACAAGAGGTGAAACTCTCGAGATTGACAGCTTGCTAGAAGGTTGGGAAAGTTTGAGTCGAAACCAAGGGGACGTGTTTTGGACTCGATAGCTCTGGTGTGACGTAAGTCAATTCGTCTTTCAAGGGTCTCGTCCACGTCGATCAACCGCTGCCCACGGGGGGCCGGGGAAGCAACGACCAAGGACGACCACTTTTGGCAGACTTGGCAGATTTCATCGCTGGAATCGGATTCACAGACTTTGGCCATGGAGGGACGTCGAGTCATTAAACAAGACAATCATATTGTTATGGCAATTCTTCCTCTACCACATATTGAATATCACAATTAGTCGGTCGAGCTCTTGTGCTCACCGTCGAGTGCGGCGCTCGAAAAGTGATCTGTCTACTTCCATGTTTTTCTTATTACGATCAAGTTGCATAACCGTGGCGTTTTTGAGCTGCATCGTGCCTGCATGTCAGCCAACTTGCAACCATAGCCGACGAATCTACCACGTTCTTTGAGAATCCATCCTTTTGTTTCTACATTGTGTTTTGGCCATTGAATAATATACAAGAACGATAGTATTCCTCTCTCCTCGAGAATTCAAGGACTCGAGATTTTGGGGCAGTCAGTCCGCAGTGACGATAATCAGACGCTGCGCTCCTAGGCACGCATGGTTTGCCTACCAGTTCTCTTTCTCTGCTCCTTTTCTCTTTCTCTCTCAAGGAAACGCTTCTGTTCCTCTGCGCTCAGGCCCTTGAGCTTGCGATCGCGCTGCTCCTTCTTGGCCTTGTCGCTGAGCAACTTTCTGTCTTCGGCGCCCTCTGCCTCGATAACCTTGCGCACCTTCTTCGCCTCCTCCTCACGAGTCTGGCGGATACGGCGCATGACCTCGGGGCGGAAGTGAGCGCTGGAGACGAGTTGATCGGGCATGCGAAGGAAGTAGGAGAAGAGTGGGATCGTGTTGGTGCCAGAGTTGAGCTTCAAAGTGAGTGTAAGGCGCTTCTTGGGGACCAGATCGTCAAGACTATAGGCTTTGTAAGTATCGATCCAAAGATGGCAAATCTGCATCTACTCACGTCTTTGGGGCGTCAACGGGCATGTCAGTGACGATCAGAGATTCAAGATCGTCGCCGCACTCCTTGATGACGTCTGCCAGCTCCTGTGTCAAGAGTGACTCGGTGATCTCGGCGCTCTCGCTCATGACACTGACCCAAGGAGGAAGCTTGGGGTGGTCCTTGGTTGTAGTAAGAGAGACGTCGTAGCGCTCCTCGCGGACCTTTCTCATTGAGTCTTTGTTGACAATGGCAAAAATGAAACCGTCGTAGGTAGTGTCCTTGAAACGCTTCTCTTCCTCGCCACGAGCGCGGGGAATGAATTGAGCCTCCTTGCCGTCAAAAGTGTAGGCAGTGATCTCGGCCTTCTCGCCGCTGCTAGCCATGCTCTCGAAGAAGAAACCAAGACCGAGCTCGGTGATCAGGGCAAAGGGGTTGTAGCGCTTGAGCAGGCTAAGCTTCACGTCGACACAAGCGACGTTCTGGCGACCAGTAGCGTAACTGAGGAAGACATCCTTGGACTTTTCACGCAGAACTTCGGGGTTGATCTTGTCACCAGCAGACATGGCGACGTCGGGAGAAACGCTTGTGAGATCGAGCTTCTTGCCAAAGCCAACGTGGGCGAACTCGTTCTCGAGAACGTTGACGTGGCTGCGAATCCAAGCATTTGCGCGACGGCGGTTGGCGCGAACACCCCAGAAGTGGACGAAGATGGTGAGCAAGAGGAAGGGGATGACGATGGCTTCGGCCTTGAAGTCACTCCAGGTCACGCGCTCATGGACGTTGTACCACTTGGTGAAGGGACGATCCGAGATATCAATCTTTGCGCCAAAGGTCTGGTAGGCGGGACGACTAGTGATGGTGCTCGACAAAGAAGCTGGCTTAGGAGAAGGTGCGTCCGCGAAGTCGGCAAAGTCTAGCAGTACCTCAGTCAGTACTCAATGGTGTGCGACGTGGAACCAGGACGAGACGCACCCGAGTCGGCTGATGGCACTGCACTGGCCGGAGATGGGTTTGCGCCTCCAAAGAGACCCTTGACAAAGTCGGCCATCTTGTCAATTGCCTGGTGGTGTTAGCAAGATGGTGAGATGCTTGAGCTCAAGTCGATCCCCAGATACAGCTTGAGGACACAGCACTCGCTGCCTTTATACCGAAGTAACGCCGTGCTATCTCACTCTCCTTGAGGCATCTGGTGATGGTTCCAGCCATAACAATCAATGCACAATGCTCTGCGAAAGTGGGATGTTCATGCAAAAAAAATCATATTAAGGCAATCGGGTGGCTACCCTTCTGACTGATACTGTGCATCGCGACGACTACCACACTATGTATCTTCAGAACATGCAGAGGCAGCCCGACGCCGCTCATGCACCGACATGTTCTTGCATTTGCACATTGATGGACTTGTCGCTTACTATATCTTGTATCACCCGAATCTTTCTTACCCGAGAGACAAGGAGACGATGTGTATCTCTACAAAATTCCAGAGCTATACGGAATTACATTTGACCGAGGTATCGCGGGAACTACCCCACCTAGTGATACCTTGTATATAACGACATCATCGTAGACGGGTTATAACTACCATCACTACATTTGATGCGCCGTCGATCCTGTCCGTACATCTCTGGTTTCCTGCATACTAAGTCTTGTCGTAAGATCACCTAAAATCTGTTCAACCCACTTGGTATCCTAATCAAGGAAGCTTCTTCTGGTATAGGTATCATTCCACAGAGAGTCAAATAGTGGTTTGATAACCAGACAGCTCGTACAACATGCCTTACACACTCCAACCTGGTGGCTACATCAGCCCCACCTCGAACTCTGGCTCCGGAGACATCGAAGTCGACCCCAGTGCTCCAGGAAGTGTCATGCGTTTTGCTCTCGGCTTCGAAACCATGGCAAATGTTGTTGGCGGAACATGGATGGTCTTCTTCCCACAGAGCTTCCTGGGTATGCTCGTAAACTCACCCTCCGATATGACACCTACTGCAGTCACCTGGACTCAAGTGACTGGTGCTTTGGTGTACGCACTCGCTGCTCCTTTGGTTCTGGCCTTCCCGAACTCTAGACGTGGCATTGAAAGCAGAGCGCCTGCTTACTACACTCTCGGGGCTGGCGAAGTCGGTGTTACGGCTGTAACACTGTACAAAGCTTTTGCTGATGGGGGCGACAGTGGATGGACCAAGAATGCTCTACTTGGCGCCAGCTCTGCATTGCTGCCTGCTCTGGCATGGAGACTCTACGTGCTTTTTGGCAAGCCCGAATGGATTGGCAGATACCGTGAAGTTTCACGCAAAAACAAATAAGAGAATTGCTCTAGCATCTCAGGAGGAATTGTAATATGTTATTATTCTGACGGCTTTCCTTCAAGAAAGTTCAATGAAACTCGCCATTATCATCGCTAAACAGGCAATAGGAAATTCAAGGTGTGAAGACAATGCGCTCGTTCTTGTTGTGCCAGTGCTCTTCGATCTCACTCAGGGGTACGACCTTCACATTCTGTGTTTTGAAAGTCTTGAAGGCGTTCAAGATCTTAGGGATCTCTGGTCGCATGGCTTCGCGAGACCAGCTGCCAGGGCCAGCTCCACGAATGGTAATGTCTTTGGACCTGAGTACATGACCCGGCAGCATCATCTCCGTGCCGGCAAGACCTCCGATATGGATGTACTGTACTGGGCGTGTGAAGTTGACGGTAGAGAGAACGTGCTGCGCAACAGGTCCGTACAGATAGTCGAGGATGACGTCCACTCCAGCAGCAGCACTACAATCGGTGCTTGAAACATTGTCATCGAGAATAATCATCTCGTCAACTCCAACTTCTGAGAGTGTTGCCGCATTGCGAGACACGCCAATGACCTTTCCAGCACCCAGGACGCGTGCAACCTCGACAGCGACCTTGCCGCTAGCGCTAGTTGCGCCCATGACAAGCACGGTGAAGTTCTCAGGCAGCTCCTTTGTTCGCGCTCTCAATGCCATCCAGCTAGACAGCGCAGGATTTGCATAGCCAGCGACTTGATAAGGATCGATGCCATTAGGAAGTTCTACCATCTTGCGGCGCTCAACGTTGAGGATTTCTTGATAGGCACCGCCAGGGAAACTAATGAAGTAGACCAACTTGTTGTCGGCAAGACGGCGACCGATGCCATCGACGCCAGGAGTGTAAGGCAAGTCTCCAGAGGCATAGTGGTTACCGCTGGCGATGGAACGGACCACGATGTGCAGGCCTGAACACATCACTTTGACTGGAACTCCATCTGGTTCGGGTGCTGTAATGGGGACTCGAGTGTACTTTGGCGATCCTCCCCATGCAGTAACGACTGCAGCATGCATAGTGCCTTTGCTCATGGTTTGGTAGATAGTAGTTGCTCGTTGCTTTGATTGTGTAGATTGTCGTTTGAGTGGTTGAGTGGATGTTTGCAGATGAATTAGCATGTACTGAAAGCCTGATGGGAGTATTCGCTCCCGAAACAAGCTTCCACTCCTTGCTTTTATATCATGCTTGATTGCATTGCGAAGCTGACAATAGAATTGCTGCCTGGTGATGATTTCGGAGGCTCCACGGGTCTGAGGTGATTGTCGGACATCTCGGCCCCGAGCTCGGATCCGAAGCAGCATCTTCCATCCTTCGGCCTTTATCATTGTCCGAATCTAAGCTCCCCGTGTGCCAAAGACGGTCACAGGCTGGCTGTAGAAATGCACAATACTTTCGTGAAGAACGCTGTCTCCATAGAGAGCCCATCGTGAAAGGCTATCTCTTTGGTCAGACTCATGTTCGAATTGCAACTGTGCATTTCGACAGCTTACAATGACCCCTTTACCTTAGAATGGAGAAAGAGTTATCCCTTATAAGCCTGGGTCATGCCATCTAAGAAACATTCACTCCCAAGATGTGACACACTTGCGTTTGATGCTATCAAAATGCACAGTAATTTCATACCTGGGAGTGTGTCCGGAGAGAGTTTCAGGTATCTCGGACTCTCAGTGGACAAAGCTAGAAACAGAACAGTATCGTGCCCCAGTTCAAGCCTACACCTCTGATTTCCGGCTTTGCATCTCGTCTTGCGCTTTCTTCATCATGCCCTCTTCGGTTTCCAACTGTGATTTACCTCCAAAGATCAGTGATCCATTGAGGAGTCCTCGCAGTGTAAAGGCGAGATTGGTAAAATATGCAATCACCAAAAAGACAGTCAGTGCGCACGTGAGGGCTCTGAAGGTGGGAGAATCCATAGCTGAAGCCAACTCAAGCCAAGCCGTGGTGAGCGTCACAGTCGGGAAGACTATGGACCACCAAACTAACGAGTAGCTTTGCTGTCTCCTCACGAAGACGTCAACAACTCCAACTATGGCAACACAGAACCAGAGGTAATCGAAGCCAAGTAGGAGTAACGCCATGAACAGGCCAGCGCCGTCTATACCTTGTGCCGTTTGCTCAGTCCAGAAGGTGCCGGATGTTGGGGGCTTGACCGCTGAAGGCTTGTACTGTGCAAACCGCATGTACGTGGATGCAGATTCACCTAGCAGTTGGAATGCTGTTGCAAGTTGTCCACATGGTCCGATCTGGTATGCAATGGTAAGTATGTGCTATTGCTGAATGATAGTGTTACACGTACCAAGATAAATAGCCCAGCTCGCTTTGCAGCAGGGCCCCAACCAGCAGAAAGTAGACGATGGAAGAACACAGTGTACAGCAGGACAGCCATGAAGAAGGCCACACCAGCAGCAAAATAACCAACGATGAGTTGCGGCACGGCAAGTCTGGAGGACATCTCGAAGCCATATATGGTAATGAGTCCAGCTTCAGTAGCAGCAGTAGCGAGTCCAACAGGCGCCATGAACAAGACAGGAGTCATGAACCTATCGGCTTGGTTTCCAGTATAGAATAACACAGCCAGAACCACTATTGCTGTTATAAAGATCCAAGCTACACCTATCCACCACACCACATACCCGACCAAGGTAAACGCATGACCGCCCCATGGACCCTCGCTGACTTGAGTAATGGTGAGAGCGCCGATAGTCATTAGTGCAATGGGAGGAATAGCATAGGTTCCGAGTTCGTCCGGATCGCTCATAATGCGTCGGACAGCCACGTGTGGATAGACGACCCATTTTGCTATGATCAGAGCCAGGAAGGTGAAAAATAGCACAATTTCTGTGACATAGAGGATAGTAGCCAATACTACAAGCCAGTGGGCGGGATATGGGAACGGTCCGTTTAGCACCAGAGCTATACCTCCGGATGATATGCAGAGAGCGAACCACTAGACAAGTCAACCGCTGTCGAATCACGAATCATGCCAGGATCATGTACCATAGGACTGAAGTTCTCCAAGGCAGTACCCCATTTTGAGGTCGCATGTCGATAATGTCGAATAGAGCGCTTGTGTAGCTTGTGACCTCTATGAGCCTTGTGCTGTTCCGTAGCCTCATCGTCCTGGAGTCCATAGTCTATATAAGACCATGGTATCACAAGATCGTCTTCTGCCGAGAATCTAGAAGTTACCATCTTTGATTGTAAAAAGAATGACTCCAGATTGGTGCTACTTGCTCAGATGTCAGGAAAAGACAGAAAGAGCAGCCCATGTTCACCTCTTTCCTTCTATCGAAATATGATCTTGACACCACCATGTCCGAAGTGATTGACGTCAAAGGACGGTATCTATTTGATAGACATCCATGGAGCCGGCATACCCGGTGACGTGACAATGAACAGGACAACCCGTGGATTAATATAGCTTTCGGTTAGTTGCGGGCATTGCTCCAGATTGTCAGATGAGCAGTGCCTATTGAGCTTGCGATCACATCGCTCGTAATCAGCGCCCGTATTCTCAAGGAAGGGCCATCGATCATTGCATATATATCCTCAAACTGCGAGCGGAGTGGAAGCCGTGAGTGTGTGAGGTGTGAACCAGTCGGACAAGTTTTTGCCGAGGCTTTGTCGATCATTTCGCGTCAACACAACCCTGTCCATTTGTTCATGAAGGATCACCATAAGAAGATTGGAGAATGCTCGCGATTTACAGTAGACCGTGAATTATGAGATGATGGCAATCTCCTATACAAAATTCGGGGTGCATCGTCTACGAATCTAGTTGTAGATTTACCAAACTATTTCAGCCCCATGGTTACATCTAAGCTCTAACCTCTTGGTGCTCAATGGCGGCACCCTTCTTCTCGTCATCTACATCAATGATGCTTTCTACATCCTTCTCAGTAGAAGCTGATGGAGCCTTCTCCTCAGTCCAGCCATCCAAGCTCTTTGCCTTGAACAAGTTAAGGTAAAGTGGGAAGCACCATGCGATAACGAAGCCAATCAAGGGAATAAAGAAGGCCTTTTGAGTTCCGATATGGTCGGCGACAGTACCAAGGACGGGAGGGAACAAAGCGCCACCAGAAACAGCAGCGACGATAAAACTGGCTCCGCGCTTGGAGTGACGACCAAGACCTCTGATCGCCAGCGCAAAGATCAGGGGGAAGACGCATGATTCAAAGAACAAAACCAGAGAGATCGATGCGATGCCAGCGTTGCCCTTGAGACCCATGGTCAAACACGCGAAGAGTACTACACCAGAGAGGAAACCAATGAGGACCAGACGAGGCTTTGTGATCTTGAGCAAACCACTCGCGACGAAGCGGCCGATGGCGAAACATCCCTGGGCAACAGCAAGAAGGTTGGCACCAGTAGCATGGCTGGTTCCAGGACGAACGGCAGAGACGTAGTTGATGAAATAGCCTGCATATGCGCACTGTGCTCCGACGTAGCAGAACTGAGCAGCCACTCCGAAGAACAAGGTGTACTGTTTAGACAAGGGTTTGTCTTCGTAGGCGGTTTGAGCGCCACTGGACTCTGCCTGAGCAGCCATATCGGCGTCGGTAACCTCGGGGATCGGAGCGAAGAAGAAAACGACGGCAAGGATGAAGACAAACACGGCGATCCCTAGATAAACATATTGTACAGACTGAAGAGAGGTGTCGTCGACGTTCTTGAAGATGACATGACTGGCCAGGATAGGGGCGACAACGGTTCCCACAGCCTGGAAGGCTTGCGCAAGAGTCAGACGCAACTCAGAGTACTTTGCAGGACCACAGGTAGCGATGAAGGGATTGGCAGCAGTCTCGAGAGTTGACAGACCGGATCCGACGATGAACATGCTGGGTTAGTGTCAGTAATCTTGATATGTTTCAACCCCACGCTGATGGCTGCAACTATCGTAGCTATAAGAAGGCACAATCGCTTTCGAAAACGGCACTGTTACCAAAGAGAGCTGGCGAGGTACCAACTCTCATTGGATGCTGTCCTGCTCCCCATAGTATCGTGCACTTCTATAGCTGTACGGATTGCCTCCAGCACACGCAGAGATTGGGCTTCTAGAAGATACTCACGATCCGCAGAATCCGCCAAAGGAACGCTTAAGACCAGATGGCCAGAACATCAGAGCACCAACACCGTATATGCAAAGTCCCGTGATGAAGGCCCATCTGTAACCGAACCTTCTGACGATCCAACCAGAGTAGGTGAGAGGTCCAATAGCGTAAGCACCAAAGTAAGCAGCCTGGAGACCACCGCTCTGACCCTTGGTAATATGGAGAGCAGTCTGAAAGTGAGCGTTCAAAACGTCGAGAAGTCCATAAGCGAAGCCCCATAGGAAGAAGAGGATGGTGACAAGGCAGACAGGCAGGATCGACTGCTTGAGAGTGAGGTTATGAGCGCCAGTTACTGCATTATTGCTTTCAATGGTTTTGACACCATGCTTCTTGACCACAGAATCCGGTAGAGGTGCAGCGATCGAGTTGTTGCGGCTCGCCATGATGATATTGTCTCACGACTGTCCCTGAATGGAAGATAGAGCAAGAAAGAGAGATATTGCACCAGCAAAGAATGGAGAAAAGGTCCTGGTGTAAAGAGCGAATGGACTGCGGATGCTTTTGTACTCCTATGTGCGATCATCCAGGCTTTATATATTAAAGAGGGGGAAGAGCAGTAAGGATTGAGCACAAGACAAACCTTGGTTCCACTCTCCGCAACGATATGGTCGATCTTACTGTGGAGCCCCAGAACCCCAGTCCAATCTACTCTACGGAGTCCAATCACCCCACGACCACACTACTTTACCCGTACGCAACGCAGGCCAAGTCGGCCCAAGTATTTGCCATGCGGCCGAAAATGTCGGTGCTGGCCAACGGAATCCTGGAGTATCCACCCTTCCAGCGCCGGCTTCCAGTAAAGAGTCTTGGAGATCGATAGCCGAATGCTCAACCTTTTCCGCATGCTCAATCCAGTCGACATCTAACAACTGACCTCTCACGGTGAGCAGTGAAGATATGCACAACTGCTATCCAGATTGAGGTGTGGCCATAGAGGGTCTGAGACCACATTCTCTGCGGATGTCACCTCTTTCCGCTGATATTGTGCATCCCTCTAGTCACATTGTGACGGCACCTGGCACGCGGGGAGGACAGAAGCAAGTTGGAAAGGCGCTAGAAGGTTGGGGTGTCTTGGAGTCTTGGCTGAGGCACTTGAGACGTTCGGAGATCGTGGCGGAGCAAAATAACAAGGCCGTGGTTGGAGTGACAAGGCCGGCATGTAGGACAACAAGGCTTTCAATACGAATTGCGAGTCATATCAACTATTGTGCGTTGGCTGCGAATCTGAAGTCTCGCAAGAAATGTCCTCCTGGTTCAAAGTGTTGTTGTTCCAGGTTCTCTGCTTGGCCTCTCCTCGGTCCGGCACAAGGGTCCTCCAGCTTCCGAAGAAAAAGGGAAAAAAAAAAAAGTATAAAGATCTGTATCAAGAATCAACGATCGTGTTGCATTGCCAAGCTACATACATTCCTCATCTCAGCCGAGAGATACTACTAGTTGGACTAATATGCCAATTTGAACGTTCGTTCAACAGCTCAGTGAAAAGTCGGGCCGATGCCATTCAACCAGCGTGATATTCGACTGTCGGAGCACATGCCTACACATCTCGGGGTGAACGCCGCCGACTACCCGCAAGATGTACCGGACCAACATTAAACAAGAGTTCCAGAACTGAGGATACAGCTGTGAAGCATCGACCGCTACTGCGAGTCGCTTGTAGCCTTGGCTGCGACCTCTGCGACTACATTCGTCTTGGCTCTGCCTCTTCTCGAAAAGCTATTGCCATGGTCGCTCTTGTCTCTGCCCGTCTCGACCTTACCCTTGGTCGTGTTGCGCTGGCCAAGAGGTGATATGGTCTTGTTTCCTGCAGATCCGCGTCGGTTGTAGGCCTTGTTGCTCGAGCGGATACCTCTGCCTGGAGAGATGGATGCACTGCCCTTGATGATGATCTTTGAGCGACTGGGAGCAACGTTCGCCTTAGAGCGAAGGTCGGCAAGCGTTTCAGGACTCGCCTGAGGGAGTGAAGAGATATCTGGTGATGACGATGGTAGAAGAACTTCAAAATCGATAAGGTTTTCTTCAGCTTCGGCTGCAATGGGTGAATTGAGAGTCTGCTTTCTGAGAGGCAGAGATGTAGGGCCGCGCACAGGAGTCTTGGCTGCACCCAATTTGACACCCCCAGGAGGAGATGATCCTGGAGCTGAGCTGCCAGCAGTAGCGGTATCAGATGCAACATCAGATGTGGTAGCGCCGTTCTGTGCAGTCGAGCCTGAACGGAACTGCTGTACAGCCTGCTTGGTGGTGGGAGTCCCGGCAGGACGCGATGGTGGAATGCGAACGCGGACAGGGTCGTCGCTCTGAACAGCAGAGTTCCCTGTATGGTGACTCTCGACAACTTCCCACTCTGAAATCGAGCTGTTGCGTTCGGAGCGTTTAGCCCTCGACTTCTTGCGTGCTTGCTCTTTGCGCCACCAAGCAGGCACCGACTTCAAACCAATCGACTCGAGAGTTTCCTTATCCTCGGGTATCTCATGTTTGTACATGCAACCTTGCTGCGTAAAGCCACATTGGCCTTGATTCTGGATCCAGTAAGTGCAGTAGATCTTCTTGCTCGGATCAGGCTCTACTCCGGAAGGCGGAAGGGGGTGCTCGTTGTAAGGAGGTTTCGACTTAGACAAGCTAAGTGGTTTGGGCGTCGAGCCGAAGGTAGAGGCGGGTGCGGAAAGAGGCTGCGTGTGCATGTGCTGCGAGAACCACGTCAGGAAGTAGAGAAAGTTTCAGAGCTGTTGTACTGACCTGAGTTGCGTGATAACTGTGAGGAGCCACATCCGGCCGAGGTGCAGACCTCATCGCAACTAGGGAAGGGGCCACTGTTTCCCTGATGCCAATAGCTCCAGCATGCGAAAACTTTCTGCCAACAGACGAATCATGTCCAAGAAACAGCATATCCTGTGCTTGGAAAGTACTCAAACTCAAAGGAACGCCGACCAAGCGAACATCATCCGGGAGTTCGTCGACAGGCACCAGAGGAACAAGAGAACCGTCGTTTCGTTCGATGAAGAACTTGAGCGTTGGGGCCAGAGTCGATTGTGTCGGCATGGCGACTGGATGATGAGAGCCTGACCAAGCCATGGAGCCTGGCGGAGCATAGGCAGACATGTGGAGGCCTGGCATAGTCGATAGCAAAATTTCGGTCTCAATGAAGCTAGTATGCGAAGGCTCAGGAGCGATGTTATCGCTTGAGAAAAGTGAGGAGAGACCGTCGCACGTATAAGGAGAGGTAGGTTTGTACAATCAAGACGTGGTTGTCAAAGGACCAGTTGTTGGAGAAGGGAAGCAAGCGCTTTCCTTTCGTCTGCCAACAAAACTGAGTTGGCAGCATCTAAAGGTCTAAATCAGGTTGCATAGTGATCAATATGTTCGCAAACTGCATCTGCTGAGCTGTATGGAGCTTTCTTGATGGCTGTTTGATGGTAAGCGCGATATGATTGGATGGTCACACGGGTTCACGCATGCAGTAACAGGCAACTGACAGATCTGCGGACAGAAGTTTGTGACCAGTTTTAAGAAACACTACAAGCCTGACAAGCTTGTTGGTCTGTCTTGCTTCTGCTAAGGTGTGGACATGTCTTGTAGTCAGAAACCTTATAGCCATAGATATGATGAGATACATATGCGAGTCTCAAATTGAGCTTCTCCAAGTAGAACTGTGATTCGCTTGGTGAGCCTTCCATATTATTAGATTGTAACGTTGCACGATGGAGGCAAGAGCAGGCTTTGTGCAGCGATCGGTGACACCACGACTTTTGGCCTAGAAGCATGACGACGAATTTCAACTGTGTGGATAGTTGATAGTTAACAACAGCTCAGGCTTGATTGATATGTCAGGTGCGGATAGTTGGCAGCAGTATTCGTTTAATGCACAAAAGGTTGTTTGGCGATGGGTGTTGGCTGGAGGCTTGGCACGCCCGAAAAAGCTAGACCCTGTTTCGGCGTGCGATATCGTCCATCTCGACGGCGTCAGTCATAGCTGCATTCATCGATTGAGGTCGTCAAGAGACAGATTGAGAGACAGCATAGGTAAGTTTTATCATTGAATTGCTCTTTACGGCTATGAATCAATGGCGATGATACTTGTTCTGACTTGACCATGACCTTGTGTAGAGAGCACTTTATCTGCATCATGTCTCTCCAACACTTCGATGGTTTGGAAATTCCGGCTCCTGCTGATTTTCATGTTCATCTTCGCGATGGACCTATGATGGAGCTGGTTACACCGACTATCAGACAGGGAGGTGTCAACACCGTCTTCGTCATGGTAAGCATATCATTGAGCTGTAGGAAATGGAACAAGAATCTAAGCTCTTTTACCACCAAAGCCCAACCTGGTACCTCCAATCACCACCGTTAAACACGCCTTGGACTACAAGAAGAGACTTGAAGCCATTGAGCCAAATGTCAACTTCCTCATGTCTTTGTACCTGCACCCCGACATCACTCCCGAAGTGGTCAAGGAGGCTGCTTCCGCAGGTGTTACGGGCATCAAGTCCTACCCAGCCGGCGTGACTACAAACAGTAGTGCTGGTGTCGTCAGCTACGAGCCCTTCTATCCTGTTTTCGAGGAGATGGAGCGTCAGAACATGGTTCTGAACCTGCACGGCGAAGTCCCCGGATCCAAGGACAACGACATTACCGTGTTGAGCGCCGAAGAGGCCTTCCTTCCCACGCTCAAGGACCTCCACAGGCGATTCCCTAAGCTCAGAATCATCTTGGAACACTGTACCACCGCAGCTGCTATCGAGGCAGTCAAGTCTTGCGGTCCCACCGTCTCGGCTACCATTACTGCTCACCATCTCTTCTTGATTGTTGACGACTGGGCTGGTGACCCGCACTCATTCTGCAAGCCTGTGGCCAAGACCCCCAAGGATCGTGAAGCTCTGCTTAAGACTGTTGTTTCGGGCAACCAGAAGTTCTTCCTCGGCACCGACAGTGCTCCTCACCCCGCTATCAACAAGCGTGGTGACAAGGTTGCAGCTGGTGTTTTCACGCAGCCTCATGCAGTCGGGTATGTGCTGTCTGCCTTGGAGCAGGGCATTGAGCGCGGCGTTCTTAAGGCAGATGATGTCACCGAGGAGAAGCTCAAGGGATTCCTTGGATTGAATGGTAGAAAGTTCTACGGAGCTGAAGACAAGAAGGGTGAGAAGGTCGTGTTGAGAAAGGACGCCGTCAAGGTGCAGAGTCTGCTGAAGAACGCTGATGGCAGCGTCGAGGTTGTTCCTTTCAGACGCGATCAAAAGATCTGGAGCGCCGAGTGGAAGTAAAGGAACGAATATTTGGTGATTGCTAAAACTTGTTTGGTACGATAGAGCGTGTTTCAAGCTAAAACAGATAAAGGCTTTTACAAATGCTACTACGACTAGTCCGTCAATTGCATGTTCATGCATCGGAAGGGATGTTGAGGCTCGTCCTCTGCTTCTTGCCTCGAGCAGGTGTATTCTCGCCCTCATCTCTCTTTCGCTTGCTTTTGCTACGGCCACCTTTTGGCCGGTATGTTTGGTCGTCGTCCCTAGCTTTTTTCGGCTTGCCCGGAGTGTCATCGACGGCAAGGTCGTCGTCATTGTCTGCAGTACTCCCTGGGCTTCCTTCTTTTTCTCTAGCACGTTCAATTGCTCTATCGCCAACTTGCTTGGCGAGATTACGTCGTTTGTTGACTGTCGCAGGGGTCTGAGCGGCACCACCTTCAGAGGCGGCATCAAGGTCGGAAATTGTGCCATGTTTCTTGAGCCAATTGTGGACGGACAGAGGGTTCCGCAGTTCAACCTCGCGGTCGAGTTCACGCTGTGTAAGTTTGGAAAGGGGCTGAGGTGAGGGCGGGCGAGGGTCGCTAAGGGCGGCAGGTTCTAGCTTGTTGTCAAGGCGAGTGAGATAGGCATCTTCGTGCGACGAGGACAAGAAGGCTGGATCTGCTTCGGCGACAAGGGATGGGACGGGATGGTGGTATCGTGGATGGGGAATTTGGGCCTCCATGTCGACCAGACTCTTAGCGTTTTTACGAGCCAGCAAGGCTTCTATATCCTGTCGTATGCGAACAAAGTCCAGTTGGGGAATCTCGTGGTTGTGGAAGGCGCGGTGAGCATTGGCTATGATGTTGTTTGCTGTGTCGAGGTTCATGTCGCGTTCTTCCTGCGGTTGCTGGGATTTAGGAGCCAACGAAAGATCGAATCGCAATTCGTGTGGGATGGACAAGGATGTGTTCAGGTCGAGAAGGAGGTCGAGCAATTGGCTATTAAACAAGTCAACCCTTGGTCATGACACGACGGTGGACGAGGATGACCTACTCGTTCTGCTCCTGCAGCCTCTTGGACAGGTTATCGAGCTTCTGCTCATCAACGAACAAGCTGTTGCTCTCTTTCATGACGTCGTCAAAGTGCGTCTTCATCTTGCGATACTTCTTGCGCCATGAGCGGTATTTGGGTTTCGACTCGGATGCTCCTCGTGCATCCACCGATGTGGCTCCGGGAGGACCTGCAACAATCTCGTCGTCCGACATGACTTGCGTTGGTGCGACTGTGTTATGTGTGATGAGTAGGAAGGTAAGGTCGGTAGTAACAGCTGACAGCTCGAAACGCACCGCGCGTCGGCTGCCATCCGCCGTGATATACACTGCCAAGACTTTCCGCCCGGTGGAGTGCTCCTTCCTGCTTTATCACATATTTACGATATCAACCATGATCTTTAATTCCAAAGTTCGTTCGATCTTGACTCGATACACAAATCTCTCTCCAATCACCCTGACAAACAACTCGTGCCAACCTACACCTGTCCGGAGCGGCCCTCGTTCTTCGCTTCGACCTCAACACCCGTCACAACCAATCTGCCTGCTGCATCATGGGCCTGGCGCCACTGCTCCAAGTCGCTCAATGCTACTCTGACTAGCGAGTTGGTGCTTGATCCATCTTCCAGAACTACGACTTCTTGTTTGATGCGGTACTTGCCCCATCTGGGCAGCACATACAACCACAAGTAGTAATACACTCCACAGAGCAGAAGAATTCCAATCCCTGTGACGCAGTAAGTCGCATACCAGAAGCTGACATCTCCACCTGTTGCTCCTCCTGTTGGAGGATACCAAGGCATGATGAGCAAGTACAGATTCTGCAGAATTGTAAACACCACAGCAGCGTCCCACGCTCGGAATTCACTTCTTGGGACCCCCAACTTCTTACGCCGGTAGCGCACCACGTACAATCCCACCGACATAGTAAAAGCGAACGCAGCAGCCGGATAAGTCTGCAGGTCTGTGATGAAGTTGAACGCATCGCCCGCCGGAGGTGCCAAGATCATTATAACTGTGACAGCCCATTTAACCATATACGGTCCGATTGGTGTACCAAATGGTCTTGTGGATGCCCAGAATTTTGGGAATGGCAACACTCCTTGTCTGCAGGATGATCAGTCTTAGTACTTACTGATCTAGCCAACCTGGGTACTCACCTTCCGCATTCTCGAATGAGACGAGATTGTCCAATCTGCACGGCAATCAGGTTTCCAAATGCACTCAGAGCAATAAGCAGGTTGAAGACTTTGACGCCCTTGGCATGACCAAAGACATTGGTGAAGAAAAGACTTGCAACCGTCACACCTGACGCCTTGATATCGGCTTTTGGTACTAGTCTCAGTGTCAGTATATGCTTGCCGTTTCAAAAGACATCGGACAGACCAGCCGCAAAGTAAGCAACATTCGCAAGGATATACAGCACTGTCACAATGATCAGAGAGTATGATGCATTTCTCTTGATCGTCTTTACAGGATTCTACGACGAACGTCAGCATTTTCGACTGGATCTAATGCTCGGTGGCCTACTTTTATCTCGTTAACGATGTTGAAGGCATTCTCATAGCCGGCATATGAGAAAATGATCTTGACCAGACTGTTTGTCAAGCCGTATCCAGTCGCGTTGCCTTCAAACGCATGTCTAAAGTTCGCTCCTGGATCTTGGACTCTGGTGTGGCCACCCAAAACAACAAGTCCAGTGATGGCGATGCTATAAAAACTGCTGTTAGTGGCTGATCTTTCGGGAGGATCATCGACTCACAACACTAATGTCAGAACTTTGATCATGCCAATGGCATTGGATATACGGTAAGAGGTTTTGGTGTGAAAAATCAATACTGGAACCTCGTTAGATCATGTCGCTGTCTTGACCGTATTTTACGTCTTACACAATGTGACCAACGTATAACAAGCAATGGCGACGCCCTTTTTCTCCCAGGCAGAAGGCGTGTGGTCTCCTATCTTGAATAGATACTGAGCCATGACTGATCATGACAGTCAGTTCAGTTACATCGATTTGACGCAGTATCACATACCAATGGCGTTGCCACTGCTGAACGACAAAATCACTGTCTGGACAGCGAAGGCAATGGGGAAAAAGTATTTTGGTCGCGGAAAAGCTTGCTCCAAGTACACGACCTCTGAGCCCGATCGATTCGGGAAGTAGGATGCATACTCAAGATACACTGCAAGCGATGTACCGGACGTAAGGAGCCCCAGAGCCCAAAAGATTAGACTGGTTCCAACAGAGCCGGTACCTTTTAGTACAGTCGCCGCTGCGCCTTTATCAGCATTGGTGCTCGATGAATGTGTGGAAATGACGCACGCGTCGAGTAGACACCGGTTCCGATCATCTTGCCAACGTTAATCAAGACAATTGTCGCGGGTCCAACAGCATATCCGAGAGAAGATTTGGTCTCGACGGGCGCACCAGACACTTCTTGGTAAGATGGTTGCGATCCATTGCAGCCCTGTTCAACCACAAATTTCAGGTCGCCTGTGGTTGACACTATCTCGTGCGAAGAAAAGACATCGTTGCTCGAAGATGTTGCAGAATCTTCTTTCTTTTCGCGAACAGACCGTCGAAAGAAAGACATTGAAACTGGTCCGAGAGAACTATAAATAAATTGTCTGCAAGTATAGGAGAACGACCGACAAGCTGTTGACTACATTTACAACCATCGAACAACCGAAATATATAAACTAACAGCTGTAGCAGCAGACACGAACGATGGCGACATTGAACCTAAAGGTTGAGGATTGCACCATTGTGGAGACATGGTGGTAGTTCTTTCTCTCAAGCCAGACACAGCCATGCTTCAAGAATCCTACAATATTCAACGAGTGGTTACATGCAGTGTTTGAGGAGCCAAGTTGGTCAGGTGGAGACATGGCTGCATCGCAAATCCATAGGTGCTTTCGCGTGCTATTGCACCATCTGACGAGCAACTCATCCCAATCACGATTGGGTAACCTCAAAACGCTCTACCCGGTTGGTTCATAGTACCTTTCCCGCTGTCAGTCAGTCGCTGACAGAAACATAAACTGGATTAGGTTCATGAGCATGTTTGAACTCGACTTGCAGCTAAGGAGTATGTATCCATGATGGCTTCGGGCTGCCATCACATCACCAACACTCCGCTTTGATAAAGTCACAAACGAGCTTCAATTATATAGAGAGTGTATAGAATACAATGGTATTTCGATGACGTGTATTTTGATCGTGGTACTCCACAAGAGGTGGTGTCCAAGATAAATATTAAGAACTATATTACTGCATTAGAATATATCCTTAAATCCCATGGCATACTAAATATTCTTAGAGAAGACTTGCGATTAAGACTTTTAGTAGTATTAGTATTCACAGTACTCTTTAGAAGGCTACTAAGAACTTTTTTTATCAAAAGTAGTTACCTACTCTATATTGCATAAATTTGTGCGCCCAAAAGGAAGACGGAACATCAAGCGGGAGAAGAATTTCGGAACCGAACACGCCCTGGGTCCGTTAGCGTGTCTCAAACTCCTCTCCTTGTCTTAAGACGCCCCAGCGTGAGTACGCTTAATCTTCCCAGCCGCCGAAACTTTGGCTCCCGATCCTTGAACAGTCGCACACTATTGTTACTCTAGTCGATCATTGAAACTGACAACTCGAAGTTTCATGACATGATTCAGATATCTCACAGACGATTCATGCTGTCTCTCGCCAGTTTAATTAGCGTCTTTGAGATCCTGGATGCGGTCGTGATACTTCCCCACAAGCTGAGTACTGCCATATCCGAATGATCTACCTTGGAGAAGTGAGATAAATGAATTCAAAGATCCATGATACGATAAGGTTATTACACACATGGTTGCACTGTGCTATCTATGTATGGCATCTTCCAACCGACATAACACTACTATTATGGTCCTGGACATGGACACACGGTAGGGACAAAGAAAGCTTTTGAGCATTTGTCACCTACTGCGCTTGGGCAGATCGTTGCTATCGTTCCGCCATTTTCACGAGTCTCTGCTTCGGCAGTCAATTTTAACGGATTCTGGTCCGAATTCAAGGCTTGAACACGGTTGAAAATGATCCCAGCGGCAATGGCATGACTCGACCACAGACCATAAACACACTCGATCGGCAAATATTGCTGCTCTTCCTACACCTACGGCAACGATAGTCCCGCACTAGAGTCGATGAATTGCCTGGCTACCAGTACGGTTAGCAGTCTACCCCACTTATACTCGTCGGATCAAACAGTGTTTGAAGCCTTATAGACCCAAAGATAAGTCCTCTCCTCAATCCATCTACCGTTTCTTACTCTTCTACTTACACGTACTGACACCATGGCTTCCTCGATGGATATCAGTGGTCTCCCAAATGTGATGGATCTGCGGAGCAGGTCGTCACAGATGCTGGGCGTCTCAATCGCTTTCCTTGTACCTGTATGGGTGTCCATAGCCCTTCGTATCTATGTCAGAGTCTGTCTCGCGAAAGCTTTCGGTTGGGACGATGGAATAATGATATTGGCTGCAGTGAGTCCCTTGCCAATGCCATGTCGACTCCTGTAGACTTGTCACTGATTTCTTCACAGATGTCTTTCACCTCTTTCGCTGCATTGTTAATCGTCATTGCTGAGTATGGTTACAATAAGACGGTCGTTGAAGCATACACAACATCGGACTTCATCGGCATTTGGAATGCCCTCACGACAGCGCTTGAGGTATCTTGACCCTTCATTCCTTCTTTCTTGCTTTGCATACCCATCTCAATCTCATCTTGCTTCTTTGCAACACGTACGAAGCATGGGTAGAAGTTGTCGAAAATGTGGCTTCTTCTCCGACTCGAGCACAGGTCATTGATGCGAGCATCATCTTGGATCTGCTGATAATACTCGAAGACAATCAAGCAAACGTCACACCCTTGCAAGCAAACATTCTCATTGTTGTTTCTATGCTAACTGGTCACAAGTACACCTTGATCTACAATTCTCTCTATGTCCTTACCACAATCTTGTTCAAGATATCTCTTGCCATCGTCTTCCTTCGCATCGTTGTCGTAAAGTGGCAGCGCCGAATTATCATAATTCCAACAGCAATCTTCACGGCATACAGCCTTGCCTACATGTTCATCACCACTTTCCGGTGTGGCTCACCCAGAGAAATACTACTCAACACTGCAAGAGGAAAATGCCTTCCGGCCAGTATAGTTTCGCCGCTGCTATATGTCTCGGGCATCTCCAACGCTTTGATGGATGTGATGTTCGCATGTCTGCCTACAGCTATCCTCTGGCGCAGTCAGATGCCGAGAAAGACCAAGATCTCCTGCTGCGTACTGTTGAGTATGGGAGGGTTCAGCTGCGTTGCCTCGATCGTTCGGATTGGACTGTTGAGCGGCGTGACCGATCAAGCTCATTACTTGAGTAACGCTGTCAATACGGGTCTAGTATCCATTATTGAACCTGGATTGGCCATCACTGCGGCTTCCCTCGGAACGCTGAGACCCTTGTTCCAGGTCGTGGCAGAGAAAACATCACTCCCCTCCTGGCAAAGCTCTAACAGCAAGCATACTGCCAGGTCAGCACACTCAAAAGAATACAATGCATCGGGAGGACTCTCGCGGACTACTATCGGGGCGAAAACTATGCAGACGGACATCGACAGCATGACTGAATTGGACACGATCGAGCATGGTCAAGTCGTGACGGGCAGACCAGAGAGTCAAAGATCTCAGAGTTCACTTATAGATCATGAAGGTCAAAGTGCTTGGACGACGTATGATGGGAAAGGCGTAATGATGACTCGACAGATCCGCGTATCAGGGAGGTAGGAGGTCACAGTACAATCTTCTTATGGCGTTTGAGACTCGGTGAAGTCCTCTACTTCTGCATAAAAACCATATATCTCTTTACTACACGGATACACCTTTATAGACTGTCTTGCTGCTTTGTTTATGCCTTGCTATCCATGCAATTTCTTGGAACGCACTTGCAATGACAGCGAAACTTGGAGTGATACATATCTACACTGGATTCAGGGTTGCCATAACTAAAGCCTCCCTCTTTACATCGCTCTGATCTTGGCTGCGTACGCCATGCTCTCTGTTAGCAAAGGAATGCATCCCATTCGTCAAGTCGAATCAAAGCAGAGCTTGATGCCAAGAAGTGCACTTCGATGATACACTGGAAGAGGTGATGGTCAAGACCAGCTTTGAAGACCATGTTGGTGCATCACGATGCATCCTCGACCATCGAAGGTATACCAGTAAATCCAACTCTGCTTGGGATAAAGGGTATATTGTTGATAGAGAAGTGTCATCAAGTACATACGGCCACAGTCAGCTGAAAACTGGGCATCCCGTCCGCTCTGCCATACATAAGCAGTTGAACGGCAGATTAGTACTACGGTGGGTGACCACGTGGGAATCCCTGCTGCTGTATGTTTTGCTGTTTTTTGTCACACTGAATACATCAGGAGCATCTTTTTGCTATTGCTTCACGTTTCGTTGCTGCGAACTAAATTTCCTGCCTAATTTTGATGGTCCTTCGAAGGATTCACCAAGACTTTAGTCATCAGGCGCTAATGCGCAGCTCGTCTCACGATGACTGTGCTCGCGTGCAACCTCCCATCTTCATTCACAACCTCGACGACAAAGAACTCTTTATGTGTACAGTCAAAAGTGTATCATGGGTTCCAAAACGCCAAATGAACATGAGCAAGGTCCAGGTGGTATGTGGAGACGTAACATCTACAACCTTGCACTTCTCTGACACCAATAGCAGGATCCTCGACTAATGGTGCAATTGCAAACATTAATCCTCCGAAGCCAGCAGCAGCGACTGGCTTGGTCTCTGGTGTGCTCGAAGGGCAAGATGAAGGTGACGGCGATGGCGATGAATCAGACCACCACGTTGGATGCGACTTGAAGGCCGACAACAGTAAGCCAAGCCCTTCTTATACAACAGAAGTGATTCTGATTTGCGAAGGCAAGACCAAGAAGAAGAGAAAGAACAACAAGAAGAAAAAGAAGGCGCCTGGAAAGGGTCAACAAACAGCACCCCCGAGGGTTGCGCTTGCCAATATTTTCCACGGTAACAAGTACCCCGAGGGCGAGATTGTCGAGTACGCGATCAGCGATGACAATCTCCAGAGAACAACCTCTGCGGAGCTTCGTCATCAAGATGCTATCAAAAACATGGACGATGAATTCTTGAGTGACTATCGGAAGGCTGCAGAAGTTCATCGTCAAGTTCGCCAATACGTGCAAACAATCGCCAAACCTGGCGTCACGATGAGCCAGCTCGCCGACGAGATTGAAGAAGGCGTACGAGCATTGGTAGACCATCAGGGCCTCGAGACTGGAGACGCACTCAAGGCTGGTATGGGCTTTCCAACTGGGTTGTGCTTGAACAATGTCGGTGCACACTGGACCCCTAATCCTGGTGCCAAAGAGGTCGTGCTTCAATACGATGATGTCTTGAAGGTGGACTTTGGTGTTCACGTAAACGGCAGAATTGTCGACAGCGCGTTTACCGTAGCTTCTAATCCTGTCTACGACAATTTGCTGGCCGCCGTCAAAGAAGCCACCAATACTGGACTCAAGGTACGTTTTGTTCGGATTTTAAGGTTATTATACAAGCTCACTAGTTTCAGGAAGCTGGCATCGACGCCAGAATCGACCAAATCAGTGGAGACGTACAAGAAGTCATGGAAAGTTACGAGGTCGAGCTGAACGGCAAGACCATCCCTGTGAAAGCGGTCCAAAACATCACTGGCCACAATATCTTGCGCTACAAGATTCATGGCGACAAGCAAGTCCCGTTCGTCAAGACTGAGACCAACCAACGCATGGAAGAAGGCGATATCTTTGCCATTGAAACCTTCGGCACCACTGGTAATGGCTATCTCACGGACGATGTTGGTATCTACGGATATGGTCGCAATCAACATGTCCGTCCTACTGGCCTACAATTCGCATCTGCAAAGTCGCTTCTGAAGACCATCGACGAGAACTTTGGCACCTTGGTCTTCTCGAGGCGTTACCTCGAGCGTCTGGGAGTCAAAAACTACCATCTAGGCATGAAGTCACTCATTGCTAGTGGCGTTGTCGAGGACTATGCGCCTTTGGTCGATATACCAGGCTCTTATATAGCTCAGTTTGAGCATGTGAGTACAATGATACGAAATCAATGGATGACATGCTAACGTGCATATAGACTGTCCTGCTCAGACCGAGTTGCAAAGAAGTAGTCTCTCGTGGAGATGACTACTAGACAGGCTGTTTTGTTGCTGAGTTTTAGTATTTCTTGATTTCACCGTTTGAGTTCGATCTGCTCAGCCTTTCAACAATGACGGATACGTGTCTGATCGCATTTCAACATGCTCTGCTTGTTTCATATCATATATAAGCCCGACCAAAAACACTCTTTTACATCGCGATCTTTCATATCCCTCCTCTGCCTTATTCCAGTCTCACACACGACTCGGACGCCCGCTAGATACCCTTGACACAGCGATAGCAAAGGTCACCCATGCAGCCAGATCAATAGTAAGGCCACGAACGGCATTGACACGCAGCCATCGATCGAGATTGTTGATGTTGTCACCATTCTGATCGTGTATGTCCTTAATGCTAGGAGCAATCGAAGGCACGAACAGTAAATTTCCAAAAGCAAAAACAGCACCCGCCTTATACCATCGGAATGATTGGGTAGCAATGAGCGATGCAGGTTGAACATAGAGATTTGCGATTGCAACTCCCATCGTAGTACTCAAAAGCCTATCACGTATGGTGTTGCGTGGCGAAAGAAGCTGGGAAAGTATGTTGATAACATGGCTTTGCTGTTCTCTCAGGTACCTGGCTCGTTCATGAGTCGAAGGAAGAAGTGCCGACTCCAGGCGAACCATAATGAGCATGTCGCAGAAATGAGTGGAGCTGCCCTCAACACGACGAGGGGGTCGGTGAACTGTCGAGAAGCCATATTGGAAGCAGTCCGATGTGAATGTCTGATGTTATCCCGAGTATGTATTTTATGTGGTATTCCTGTGGTTGAAGGATGCAAGGGCTCGGGCCACGTTTCGTGGTCTCGGCCGAAAGCTGTTGATCAAATTATCCCAATTTGGATTGAATAACGTCGACCAGGGTGTGTTAAGTTAAAGGAGGACATCTAACTGCTTGCATCACCCCTTGTCTTAAATCAATAGTCCACAAAGAAAGTCTATTAAAGGCTATCTCCATGATGACACCTACATCTGTAATGCATCTACGCACTGGTGGCGTAATAAGCCCCGTACTCGCGATGTAGCAGCAGTCAGGCGCGAGGTTGCGACGAGCTTCAGCACGCAGAGAGGATGCGAAGCAACCCAGTTATCTTCGTTGCTGGTATGACCCTGGTCGTCTCAAAACATTCTTGTTTGGTGCCGTTGATCCAATATCTATGGTTTCAGAAAGCGATATCGGACTCTACAAGTACTCAAGATGCCTAATGATTGATTATGTTGTCTGTGTTTTGGTCATTTGTAAGGCTGTGTTGTTGCACTCAAAATTGCTCGGGATTGCAGTGCAGTTAGGAACAAATCCTACTGAATCAAACCTTCATGAACAAGCGCATGTACAATTTACTAGAGTCCAAAGCAAGAATCAGTCTATATATTCGAGATTTTTAGAATCTTTGAACCAAAAATGGAGCTCGTATACTAGAACTCTCTAGCGAGCAATTGGATGTTAAGCCTGTCGACTCGAGCTGCGACCATAAAATACTGTAGGTATTCAGAGTAGGGCTGACACAGCAGGTGTCTAGACCCTGAAGCGGCGGCCCGAGCCTTTGTCGACCGAGGGACACAATATTCTAACTTCCTGTTCGTTCCTGACCTCCCAGTCTTCAACCTCGATATTCGAACAGTCCGAAGCCGGACGTGCTCTGCATGTGCGCTGAGGATGATACAAGCACGATGATCATGGACTCTACTCCTTGACATCACGGCATGTCTTCGATCGCCGCAGGTCAGGTGCATCGTGACTGCCCTGTAGATGTTTACGACAACAGGTCGACTTGTCTCAAGACTGTTGCGCATGCTCCAGTCCGCTGAGCTCTAGGCGTGCCTCTATAGGTATACAGTTGTAGCGACACTTCTTTGTTAGGTCAAGGAACCACTTATTCTCATAGTGAATCATTAGAACTTCAACGGCACCGTTTTCCAACGGGGCTGAATGTTTGTGGGATGTCCTCGACGCGCACACCTTTCTCATTCTTCCAGTCGCAATTGCCCTGATATCGAGTGTCTGTTCCTGCTTCTTTTCTTTTGTTGCATCACATTCCCGCGTCGAACCTGCATCGCAGGTGACTGTCCGGCCACCACAGCCTTTCTTCGAGCACACTCCTTTTCTTGTCAGCCTTGACGGCGACCATTAAGTTTTCGACACAGTACTTGTTTTAATCGACACACTTTTTCCGGCACGATTTGCATATAGCATCGACAAGAAACTAATCATAAAGACCTGACACACCACTTGCGCATCACATCAACCGCGCGAAGCAAGCCTTCACCAATACAACAGTCGCATTGACTTTCGTCTACATTGAACAGCCACAGCAACACCGACCTATCTCAAACACCAATTGAAGCAGCCATGAAGCTCGCTTTCTTCCTCACTCTCTTCAGCTTCGGCGTTTCTGTTCTGGCAGCATCTGCCGCCGACTGGCGTTCAAAGTCCATCTACCAAGTACTGACCGATCGGTGAGTCTTCTCGCTCGCTTTAGAAGTTGCTGCGATTGACTAAGACCTCTCGACAGTTTCGCACGTCCCGATGGAAGCACCACAGCGCCCTGTAACCCAGTCGGTAAATACTGTGGTGGCACTTATCAAGGGATCATCAAGCAATTGGACTATATCTCAAACATGGGATTCACTGCCGTGAGTTCACCGAAATGTGGCGTCGAGCCGTTGACCGGCAAATGCTGAACCGAAGGACAGATCTGGATTTCCCCTATCACATATCAGATCCAGACCTGGACCCCCTATGGCGAACCATGGCATGGCTACTGGCAACAAGATCTGTATCAGCTCAACAGTGCTTTTGGCACCGCAGATGATCTCAGGGCTTTGGCCACAGCTCTACACAACAGAGGGATGGTCAGTTGAGAATGCACAAGCAAAACTCAGAACCATCACTGACTGTGCTCTAGTATCTCATGGTTGACGTTGTAGTCAATCACAACGGCTGGAACGGCAACGCGAGTTCAGTCAACTACACCATGTTCAAGCCTTTCGACAACGTTGAGTATTATCACAGCTTCTGTAATGTCGATTACAGCAACAATACCAGCATTCAAGACTGCTGGTTGGGTGACTCGAACGTAGAGCTTGTCGACCTTCGGACAGAAGATACTGTAGTCGCGTCAGAATACCAGACATGGATTCAGCAGCTGGTCGCCAATTACTCCAGTAAGTCCGTGGACATTGATCTTGAACCTTGACTCACGCTCTACCAGTTGATGGCCTTCGTATCGATACAGTCAAGCATGTTGACACGGCATTTTGGCCCGGATTTGGAGAGGCCGCTGGCGTTTTCATGACCGGCGAAGTGACTAACGGCGATCCGTATGGTCTTTGCCCTTACCAGAACTATATGGACAGTGTTCTCAACTACGCAATGTACGTGCAAAAGAATGAACATACCTTCTCCTTGCTTACATCATTCTCAGGTACTATGCAGCCACAGATGCATTCTCCTCAACTGCTGGAAGCATGTCCAAATTTGTCAGTCAGCTCAACGGCATGAAGAGCCAATGTAAAGACACCAGCGTACTTGGATCGTTCTCGGAAAATCACGACCAACCTCGCTTTGCATCATTGACCAGCGACATGTCCCTGGCTAAAAACATCATTACCTACACGATCATGGGCGACGGAATTCCCATCTTGTACGAAGGCCAGGAGCAGCATTACAGCGGCGCCCAGGATCCCTACAATCGCGAGGCTGTCTGGCTGAGTCAATACAACACTGGTGCCCCTCTCTACACCCACACGGCGAGTGTAAATCAGATTCGCAACCATGCGCTCTACGTTGATGGGGACTGGCTCACCTATCAGAATCGTGTCATTTATAGCGACAGCGCCAACGTCGCTATGCGCAAGGGAGACAATGGATACCAAAGCATCACGATTCTAACCAACAATGGTGCTAGCAGTGCTAACTACACCCTCAACATCACCAAGACTGGATATGACAGTGGCACCACGGTTGTGGACGTCCTGTCCTGCGAAGCGATGGAGGCAGGGCCGAACGGAAATCTTACAGTGTCAATGTCGCAAGGTCTTCCCAGAATCTACTATCCAGTCGAACTTTTGGATTGTAGTGGCATTTGTGGATACTAATGCTTGGTCGAGCCTGCGATGCGCTTAAGAGATGACAATTCCGCTACATAATGCCAACCACCAGGGTCCAGCCTTACAACATTGCTAGTAATTCGCTCGGTCACCTATGCGTTTTCGGTGCTCGAATTCAGTGATTGGATCGGTAATAGGCATATATAGGGATCATACATAATTCCAACCAGGTTTTCTATTGAAAATTGCATCGGTCCATCGTCACAATCGGCATCCCTGGCATCGATGCAAGGTGTTGAGCCGTCACATGAATTTTTATTTTGTATAGCGTCACTGTCGGAGCTGCGGGAGCCTGACACTTTTTTTCCTCGGAAAGCGTCATCTTTAAACCCTGGAGCGTCATACCCTGTGATATTGTAACGGTTGCCGGAAGCTTGTCTCATATTCGAGGATTGACTATTGGAGCTATCATGCTGCAATTCTCAGAAGTCTAGACACAAGATTCAAGATTAAAGAAGCAGATAGACAGAGAGTGGACAAGCCGTGTGGACGTATCTTGATGAAACAGAATATTCAATCGCGAATTTGACAGTACTCCGAGCGTGAACACGGACCTCGTGATACACGATATCCGGAGTGATCCGCGTTTAGCGCTCGGTCCAAAGCCTAATCTGGAAACCCTGGGATTCTCTCGAGTATGGTGGCGTCACAGGTGGTTAACTGCTTGCCGTTGTGTGGTGAGAAAAGAGGGACAAGACGGGATCTTTTCAGAATGGGACGATTTGGGTAGAGCAATGACGTTGATCGAGGTGATGTAATGGGCGGCTCTGCTGGCACGCCCAGCGAGGATATTAACCTCGACCTCCTGCCTTCCAGCCACAGACATTCCTGATCATCTCATCAACAGTCCATCACCCAGCGACTCCAGGCCACCTATCCCAGCCACCAACTTCTGTCAACCCTTCGACTCCACTACCTAAACGACATAGTTTATCTCAGCCCTAGTCAAAATGGTCGCCAAGATTCTCAACCTGACCATGCGTGGTTTCCAGGTAAGCTTTCAACTTTGAGAGTATCAAACGACATCGTGGATTGACACGCCATGTAGTTCATCTGGGCCCTTCTCATCATGTCGCTTGTCGGTAACATGATCGCAACTGCATACTCTGGCAACCCTTCGATTGTCAACTACGACATGTTCGTCTCGGTCTTCGGCATGCTGTCGCTGTTCTACCTCATTCCTGCAAGCATCAAGGAGTCATTCATGATCCACCCTCTCCTGGTCGTTGGTCTTGATGTCCTCAACGCCATCTTCTACTTCTGTGGTGGTGTCGCTATGGCCTCCTACCTTGGTGTCCACAGCTGTGGCAACTCTGTAAGCTAGCCCCTCATTGGTATTTTGACAACATCAACTAACAAAGCAACAGTCTTACACCACCAGCAACTCCATCACCAACGGATCTCCCAACACCTCCAAGCGCTGCCACGAGGCCCAGGCTGTCACTGCCTTCCTCTGGTTTGGCTTCGCTGCCCACGTCATCTCTGCTGTCTGCGCTGGTCTCCAGGGCCGCAACTCTGGTGTCAACATGCGCGGTGGTGCCGGTGGCATCCGCAAGGGACCTGCCATGAGCCAGGTCTAAGCGACCTCTCGCAGAGAGTTCTTTTCTCGAAATGAACCACCCACTCCACTGAACGCAGCAGACCATGCTTGAGACGCCAACATGTGTGGCCTGAGACTGGTTCTCTGTACAACAGCTTCTTGGTTACGACTGCTAATGGTCAGTCGATATCCTTATTTCGTATTCCTGTATTATACTATCACGACTTCTATGAGACAAGAAGCGGTGGAAAGGCGTTATTGTTTTGGTCATGGTATGCGCTGGCGATGGATGGTAGCGCACTAATGTGTATTTCTCTTTTTGATACCATAAATCGAAATCACCTAATTCTTCCTCAAATCCCAGTCGTCCCTCAATCAATCACTCTTGAGCTTGCCGCCACCGCCATGTGTTTGTCACTCGCTGAGCTAACATGATTCAGTGAGGAGAAAATCAAACGTACAGATGAGCTTTCATACTGCAAATGTGGGTTATTGCTGAGTGTGTTGTGCCAACTCTTGCTGCTGACGAGCCATGAGTTGTTCTAGCGGAGCACTTCTGCCAGGGACCGTGTGCTTGTCACGTACGGTGTGCGACGAGCAAGCAAGTGGAGCAGGGCACGGGACGCCGTTGTACTGAGGAACAGCGCACTGCTTGTCAATATCGACGTGTTTTCTCGTGGCAGAGACAGCAGATGGGTCATTGTCTGTGGCTGGTGAACAGGTGCCATTAGTATCAGTGTTGGGAGCAAAGCGCGGGTCATGGACGGCAGGCTGTGCGTTAAACTGCATGGCCATTATAGAAGTGTCGAGCAGATTTGTGAAGATGACAGGGATGTGGTTTTGTATATAAAATAGAGATGGAAGCAGGGACAGAGTCAGAAGACGCGCGAGGTCGGTTGCGAGACCCGAGGTAGCGTACCTGCCTAGGTATGCGACAGGGCTGTTGCCAGATTGGGCGACGCAGCGCCAAGCATCTCCTGGTGTTTCAGCGAGTTGCTAGCACCAGACAGCTTGGACAACAAACTCCCTCCCAATCATGGGCTCGCAACAATAGTCTGTCAGAAAGAGAAGGATCACACAAAAGGGACCCATGGCAGACACTCTACACAACGCGCCAATTGTCCTCGACAATGGCAGTGGCACCATTCGAGCCGGTTTCGCAGGCGAAGACGCGCCCAAATGCTATTTCCCGTCCTACGTCGGCCGTCCCAAACACCTGCGTGTTCTCGCTGGTGCTCTCGAAGGAGATGTCTTCATTGGCCAGAAGGCCCAGGAGCTGCGCGGTCTGCTGAAGATTCGCTACCCATTGGAACACGGAATCGTCACTGATTGGGACGACATGGAGAAGATCTGGCAACACGTCTACACCGAAGAGCTCAAGACACTGAGTGAAGAACACCCCGTGCTTCTGACCGAACCGCCGCTCAATCCTCGTTCCAACCGCGACACGGCTGCCCAGATCTTGTTCGAGACCTTCAACGTTCCTGCTTTGTTTACCTCCATCCAAGCTGTCTTGTCTCTCTACGCCTCAGGCAGGACCACTGGTATCGTTCTGGACTCGGGCGACGGTGTCTCGCATGCTGTCCCCGTTTATGAAGGCTTTGCAATCAACAACAGCATCCGCCGAATTGATGTCGCTGGTCGAGACGTCACCGAGCACATGCAGACGCTGCTCCGAAAGTCTGGCTACATCTTCCATACCAGTGCCGAGAAGGAGGTGGTGCGCATGATCAAAGAAAAGACAAGTTATCTGGCTCTTGATCCCAAGAAAGAAGAGAAGGACTGGGCTACAGGCAATGCCAGACAGGACGGCAAGACGGTTGAGTATACCCTGCCCGACGGCCAGAAGCTCAAGGTACAACCACGTGTCCCTTGTATATACCTTCCTAAGCTTACCATGCTCTGCAGATCGGCCCCGAGAGGTTCAGAGCGCCTGAGATTCTCTTCGATCCTGAAATCATTGGCCTCGAATATCCTGGAATTCATCAGATCGTTGTTGATGCCATCAGCCGTACTGACATGGACCTGAGAAAGTCTCTCTTCGCAAACATCGTCTTGTCCGGAGGTTCGACTTTGACCAAGGGCTTCGGTGATCGTCTCTTGCACGAGGTGCAACGTCTAGCAGTCAAAGACATGCGCATCAAGATCTTTGCACCACCCGAGCGCAAGTACAGCACGTGGATTGGTGGCAGTATTCTGGCCGGTCTCAGCACCTTCAGAAGGGTCAGTACCATCTCCATTGCACAACCAGCCTCAAGACTGACGTGATATTGCAGATGTGGGTGAATATCGACGACTGGCATGAGAACCCTGAGATTATCCATACCAAGTTTGCGTGATACATTACGCGATTCTTGCAATGCTTGACGACAAAGCTATGCCACGTTCTCGACAAGAACGACAAGTCATCTCTGCAACATGTCCTCCCCGCACACTGGTTGTGACACCTCATCGCTCGCTCCTATTTCTTCGAACGCCTGGTCTGGATCATCAGGTGTACCAGTCATCGTCGAGTAATCCGCTTGAGCACCTGACCGAAACGCTTGAAACTTCCCAGCTCAGACTGCTTTCCCGAGCATCTCCCCGCAGGCGCCATCTCGTCTGGAGACCGTTTCGTTCTTCTGGAAAGCAACACCCTGGCTCTAAATGCGGAGAAAGGTCAGGCCAAGAAGGAGCTACATTCCGCCACCTCTTCATAGTGATGCTCCGGAGCTGGCCGCCTGAGCAGAAGGGCTGAAGGATTGGACTGAGCCCACACCCCGAGCGGCTAGACAAAGGTCCAAGACACAGACCAGGGCAATATACGAGCCAGGAGAAAAATGAGGGGAAAACGTTTTTGCGGGGACTCAGGTAAAAAGGCACACCATTCCCGATAGCCGTAGTCCGGGGCTACCAAACAATACACTACTCGACTTTCTTGTCAATACATTACCAAATAGTTTCAGTGACTTTCCATAGACCATCGACGGGCCAAGACAGATGGAGAGAACGAATAAAACAGAGACGAGTGTCGCGTTCGCAAGGAGCAAGAGCTACGATTGGCTTGTACACTGCTTAGCATGAAGACGATCCACATAGCCTGACCAAGCACGATTCGAATCAAGGAGACACCGATGATTCAGAGCAACGAAGTTCATCTCTTCTCGAAACCACATGTACATGTGCTACGATATGCAGTGGCGACTTTGAACTATTTCGGTGGCAGCGAGTTGTACGAGCGGTGTGTAACTGTTGTCAAGGGACAAAGAAGGTCACACGCACCTGAAGTCGGTGTAGGAGAGCCGTAAACAGCAGGTGTTCGATTGAAGCTTCCATCGTTGACAACGAGACATTTTTCAAGTCGGTACGGAAGAGCTCCGCTCCGTGGGTTGCGTGACTAGGTACTCTCCTGGCTCATCATCGTGAGCTATGGTGATGCAACGAATCCCTAGAGCACAACATTGAATGATCTCCAAGGGCATTCTTGCTCATCGTGCCACTCAGCCTCACAACACATTAAAGTAACACCGCAGCAGAGTGACATCTCTTACGACAGCAATATTGGCATCATCACTGCAACGAATGTTCTCATCATCCTCCTCTCCGTGTTTGCGATTCGAACCCGTGGGTCGTGCTGTCACAGGAGGCGCCGTGTGATTTGCTAATAACCGCGGACGCCTTACTGAAACTTACTTAGCCGTCGTGAGCAATTCATGGGGTAATAGCGTCGATTTTTGTATTTTCTGGGGGTAATGGAAATAGAAGTACCACGTCTTGGCTTGCTTTGGTCAGTGAGCTCATTCCACTTTGAGTTGCAAGGCCGATGAGGGGGCCGTCGTGGCAGACAGCTCAGACAGGAGTTCTTTGCAGAATTTGCAAAGAAAAACGAGGTTGTAATTTGAATATCGGGCAGCTCCGAAAGAGCTAGAACCTACGAAAGGTTGCCAGGCAGCTGATGTGACTGTGCTGCGCAAAATGATGTGGAAAAAAACTTTTCGGTTCAAGTCATTCGGGTAACGGATTCATCAGCTTTGCCCATGAGCCAAGGCCGCATGATCACTTTGCCGTTTGACACTAAGCATCTAGGGGAATAGCATTAAAAACTTTTGCCCACGCGTAAGGTGGTGCAATTTTTGGCCCAGGATGCGTTGCCTTTCGATCGTGATGTGTCAACACTCGATCCTGCTGCTGGTTTTTCATATATAGACCCCCGCTGCTTGCCCCTCGTAGCTGTTGATTCATATCACAATCTCAAACCACTTTCCATTACAACTTCTTCCACATACTACTGGGTCCATTGAATACTCTCACACGTCGTTCCGACCAACAATTATAACTACAATCACACATTCATAAACATGGTCTCATTGAGCTACCTCATTCACGAGCCTCACCCCTCAGCTCCTAGAGGCAGGAGCACAGCATACCTTGGCTCTGGACGAGGAGGTGCTGGAAACTACGCTCGTTACAAGGTCGAGGATCTTACTGTCGGTCAAGAAGCTACTGGCCCTGCATCCCGTGCTGCCATGTCTCCTCCTCCACCAAACCAGAAGTACATTGCTGGCAGAGGTGGCATGGGAAACACTTTTACTCGCCAGGAAAGCCAAAGAGCAATCTTCTCTTTTGACGAAGAGCTTGCTCGCGATCAGAAGCTCATGGATGCTCGCGCTAAGGCTCCTGTTTACCACACTGGTAGAGGAGGCTCAGGCAACTTCGTCGATGAGATGAAGCCTTCTGCCAGCCGCCAGAACAGTGCTGCTTCCATCTCATCAAATGGCTCGTCTGTGTCCGACAAGGCCCGCCGCTTCGGTGGTGCCCTCAGAAATCTGAGCAGAACCTGGAGCAGAGACTCTGGCCGCGAGTAGACCATTATTTCATACTCTGCTTCCATCACGCCACGCCTCTTTACGACACCTTAACGACCACCCAAAAAGTTTTTGCTTTCCATCATTTCATCAGCATCAAAACAACCAGCGAGGAGTTCTATCATCTGGAAGGACGTCCTCGTGCAGAGGGCTTCCAAGCATCGAGCATTTTGTGTCTTTCTTACAACCAAACGGGATCTATTGGGAGTCTTTGAATCATCATCATTGTTCGATACCCAGTTTTGCATTTGAAATGGCTACTTTTGTTTTTGGCCATCTCTGCAAAAGCATCCCTTGAGAGGGCATACCTTTTCCCACTCTTCAATTCTTGTTCAAAAATTCTATCTAGCTATTTTCTCATAATGTATCAACACCTCACTTTTTTGAAAGACTTGATATTGCCACTTGTTTCCTCGTAGTGTCTATGAACAGTGTATTTGAGTAATTCAGATGACCGGACGCCTCAAGTATTGTTTGTGTGCCTGACCCATGCCAATATCTCCGCCAAACCCAAGAAAACCTGGCATCATCGATGTTGAAAATGACGTCTACGCGTTTCTGTGCAACCAACTTCCCAGACAACCAACCGGACTTCGACCCACATGTTCTTCCTTCCTCGGAGCTCTCTCCTTGCAGAGTTTTCTTTCTTTAATCTGCTTTGCTGATCCGGTTCGGTGTTCGCAGTCGCTCAAGACCCGATGATGGTTGTTGTTGCCGCTTGCCGGATGGTGTTCCGCTCCTGCCGTTGTTCTCAAGGGAAACCTTCCATCAGATTTCTAGAAAGACTTGGCAAACATTTGACTCATGCTTTCAACATGACCTGAGTCAAGTATGTGCCAAATGTGTGCGACTTTTTGCTCACGCGAGTTGTTTCGAAGCCATCCACAAAAAAAGTTCACCAAATCATCTTAGTATGCTTAGGGGTAGGCACATAGCCATCATACAACGTACGGCCATTTCTCGATTTAGTATTCAACATGGACTTCTCAGACGACAAGGTAAGGGAGCAAGTCCACGGGTGATGAACGTGGCTGTAAAGGTGGCAATCTGCCTACACAAATGCCTCGATATAACACCAAAACTGACAATTTGGAATTGAAGGATCATCATCATGACACGCATGCTATCCCGCCTCAATTTATACAGGAGCAGTATTGGCACTACAACAAAATCAAAATCTCGGATCTGGAACAGGACGAAAGTGTGGTGAATTGGGTTAAAGGTTTGAGCGAAGAACAAGCAAAAGTTCTCAGACCGGTCAGCACGATCTCGAAGTCTGCGATTGAAAAGGCGTGCATTGCTTTTCGAAATGCTGCGTTGGGGACTGAAGGGGATGAGACCCCACTCGAGACTGAGATTGAGGATGTGACTGTCTACGAGCATACAGACTTTCCAGGTGAGTTATGGTCTATCGAATGCATTGAACAGTTGATGCTGAACGATGGAACCAGGCTTGCAAATAGCGCCAGGCATCCTACCGCCGGAGACGCAAGTCCTCTGGATATCGCAAATTATGCACAAGTACATGGCCAACCCAAAACACAAAATCAACCTACAAACAGATTTCGACATCGAGTACCCAACACCAGAAGATGAAAAGTCGGAAGAGACTCCATCTTTGTTCTCATACGACCCTCAATCTACACACGCAACACCAAAGGATCCGGAATCTCAAAAGTCACTCAACATGGCACAAATGCTATCAAGGAAACTTCGCTGGTTGACTTTGGGTGAACAGTACCACTGGCCGACCCGCAGCTACCCTAGGAATGGACCCACAACATTCCCTTCAGATCTAAGCACGCTGGTAAGCGGTCTCTTCCCACACATCCGACCGGAATCTGGCGTGTGCTTGTTGTACGGACAAAAAGATTACATGCCGGTCCACCGCGACGTCAGTGAGCTGTGCGAGCGTGGACTTGCTTCGTTCTCTTTTGGCTGCGACGGCATCTTTGTGATCGCAAGAGGCGAGACTGAGCTAGAGGAAGGAGAAGACATAAAGAAGAGGACCGTAGCCATCAGGGTCAGAAGTGGTGACTGTGTGCACATGGATGGAGAGACTAGGTGGGCGTGGCATGCTATGCCTCGCACGATACCAAACTCCTGTCCGAAATGGCTGGCCGAGTGGCCTGCAGTAAAAGGCGACGCGGCAAAGAGAGTCAGTGACAAAGAGCGCAAGGCTTATCAACGATGGAAAGGCTTTATGGGAACGAAAAGGCTGAACGTCAGCGTCAGGCAAGTCTGGGATTGAGAGAAAGACTAAGATGACGATGTGAGGAAGGCAAACCTATCGCGGGTGGGCACCTGCCATCTCAGGCCCGAGTCGTGACTTCTTCTGGAAACTGTTTTTTGGAAGTCAAAAGACTGAAGAAAGAAATGCGCACCACGACAATGCAACCTTCACTCCGAACGAAACAAGGCAGTATCATTAAAAGATGTGCTAATGCCGGACTCTCTTTGGACAAAGCTCTAATCTGAGATGACTATGCATCTTCATAGCCCAATATTTTGCCCGGTGTGGACATGAGAGAGGTACGATGCCAGATCGTGGCAGGTAATTGAAAGACCGGAGACACTAGTCAGGGTCATCACTCCTTGTACAGAATCGATGACATTTTCTCTGCAACCACCACTCTCGTGTATCCTTCCCAATCGCCACAAGATTACACGTATATCAGCGAGGAGAGCTACTGTTGTCTTGACCAGCTCCTCATGTGCTAAAATATGTAAGGCGTATTGCTGTAGTCTCATATTGGATTCGTCACCTACTATCAGAAGAATGCAATGTTGCCTGTCCACCATGCCGGGCGACATTGTTCTAGTCCACCATCAATGGCATTGAGCTGGCTATCCGATCCAACAACTCGGTAATGCGTGTTGCATTCCTCGAGATGGCGTTGCCATGCCGCCCTTGCCTGAGATTGCCTTGGCAAGGGGTGTTGACTCTCTGTGGCTCATATTCGAGACGACCCCGACGATTATACTCCTCTTGGCACTCAAATCTCGCATTACACGCCAATTCGAGTCTCGATTACGATGAAGCTGGGTGCGGTTTCCCTGGCTTTTGGCCTTGCCACCTTGGTTAGAGGTCAAAACGTTGGAGCAGACGGCATCACGACTGTGCTCACAGCGACTTGTACAGCTACTGGTACCCAAACATATGCATTCGTTGATACCGCCGGTTCTACCTACCAGTACATGTGTGGTGGTGGGTCAGGAGGCACCGCTATTACCACGATCCCATCTGCCAGCGTGACTGGTGGTTGGCAGGCCTGCTTCTCATTCTGTGACGCCGCCAGCGGTTGCTCAGGTTTCTCATATGTGAGTCGAAAGACTATGGATATACTATGGCGACTAACAGAGTTTGTTCCTGTTGTTGCTAGGTGCTCAATTGACTTCGCTGACTAAAAGCATTCACTAGAACCAAGGAGCGGCCTATGGTAATGGACCTGGCCAATGCATTCTAAAGTCCGGGTCGCAGTCGTTCGCAAGTACAACAAATCTCCTCTCTACTCGTATCGCAGGTTTGAACACGCGATACATTGCTAGTACGTATCAGGGCTTAAATCTCGATCCTGTCTAGCTGACCACGAACAGAACCTAGCCCGACCTTTTCATGTCCGCAACAAGACGGGCAAACAGTGACCGACACTTATGGCGTAGCATACCTGATTTCTTGTGGAAACAGCACGTCTGGCAACTCGCCTGTTGACATGCAACCTCAAGCGCCCAACAACTTTAATGACTGCTTCGCACTGTGTGACAATTATGTTCCTGCGACAACCCAGACGGTCTATACCAGCTGCAACGCATTCCTCTTTATTGGGCAATCTTCTAACGGTGTAGGAGCTGGCAATTGCTACCTCAAATATGCAACACCGTCTGCTACGTTCATGACTGGCTCTTCTTCGAACTATGTCGGAGCTATTAGGATTCCTGCAGCAGCGACAATGAGCACTGCGTCGACTGTTTTCACATCTACGATCACACCAGCACCAGGCTATATCTCTTTGACTTCATCCAGCTCTTCGTCCTCTAGCTCTTCATCATCCAGTGCATCATCTTCGTCATCGTCTTCATCCTCGTCGTCTTCGTCATCGTCTTCATCTTTGTCATCTTCTCGCAGTTCAGCATCGTCCTCATCTTCTTCCAGTTCGAGTTTCAGCAGTTCTTCATCCAGCGTATCTTCATCATCAAGTAGTTCGCTTTCCTCGAGCAGTTCAAGCTCGGTATCATCGAGTTCATCGTCTTCGGCCTCATCATCAACCTCGTCCTCAGTCAGCAGCCTAGCAGCACAAATCACTGCATCGATATCAAGCAGCAGTTCTTCTTCATCAAGTTCTAGCTCGTCTAGCTCAAGTGCTAGTAGCAGCAACTCATCTTCTTTATCAAGCAGCAGCAGTTCAAGCGCCAGTTCTTCAAGTTCATCGTCAATGTCGTCCTCAATTTCATCGTCCGCAGGGGCAGCTTCTATATTGGCTTCTGTTTCGTCCAGCAGCTCGTCTTCTTCGTCAAGTTCGAGTAGTTCTAGCGTGAGCTCTAGTCTATCTAGCTCATCATCGTCAAGCGCTTCATCGTCAAGCAGCTCCAGCGTTTCATCCTCATTATCATCTTCAGCTTCTTCTTCGGCAGGTGTTGCTTCCATATCAGCTTCGAGCAGCTCGTCATCTTCATCATCATCTTCGTCTAGCAGTTCTAGCAGTTCTGTCAGCTCCAGTCTATCATCTTCGAGCAGTTCTTCATCCTCGAGCGCTTCATCATCTAGCAGTTCAAGCGTTTCCAGCTCCATTTCATCCTTAGTCTCGTCCTCGGCAAGATTGGCTTCCATCACATCGTCTGCTAGCAGCTCATCCTCATCATCTTCTTCGTCGTCATCATCATCATCTTCATCCTCTTCCTCCTCGTCCTCAAGCGCTTCATCGTCTGGCAGTTCGAGCGTTTCGAGTTCCATATCATCCTCAGTCGCATTCTCGGCAAGTTTGGCTTCGGTGACCTCATCCGCAAGCAGTTCGTCTTCATCATCTTCCTCGTCATCTTCGTCTTCATCATCGTCGAGCGCTTCGTCGTCAAGCAGTTCCAGTGTCTCGTCTTCACTTTCTTCGTCTTCCTCGTCCTCAGTATCGTCTTCAGTGTCGTCCTCTGCAGGTCTGGCTTCTGCTACCTCATCTGCCAGCAGTTCGTCTTCATCATCTTTCTCATCTTCATCATCATCATCGGCGTCATCGAGTAGTTCTAGCAGCGCCAGTTCCAGTCTGTCATCTTCGAGCAGTTCGTCTGTATCGAGTAGCATTTCTAGTTCTGCGTCGTCACTTCTGAGCTCGAGTCTGAACACACCATTTTCTTGCAATTCTACGGTTACGGTTTCGGTTACTTGGACACCGCCGTCGAGGATGGAACTTTAGCTAGGATAGGTGGAGAAAGAATTAGCTTGCGCATCCGTGTAAAGGAAGTAGTCATAGCATAGCAATTGAAAAGAGAATTCGAGAACGTCAATGATGAGCACAATTGAACAAGATACTATATGCTGTTACAATTTGTCCGGCCTCAGTATTTATAGTTCGAGCATGTAAAACAAGGCAAACCTTTAGGCATCACCTGTTTCGTGTATAAACTCATATGTCTGCACTTGGCTGTGGAAATTTATGTCCGAGCGAACTTCAATGGTATTCCGGCTCCAGCAAAGAGCGAATCGTACACTATAGAAAAGCACAATATTTTTCGTGAGTGGAGGCTTGTGCGCAGAGAGCCGAGACGTTGTTCTTTCTCAGCGGACCCTGTCCTGTCTCATGATAGTATTGTGAATTTTTATAGCTACACGTCTTGGATGTTTAGCACAAGGGGAGGGTGTTGATTTTGGCAGACACAACAGTCACCCTCCTCGCCGACACGCATGTACCCTCGTGGCGACTGGCAAGAACAAGAGAGCGGTAGTGGACTAGCGTTAAGGAACAATGTCGCCCCGCATGATGGATAGGCAACATTGCATTCTTCTGATAATGGGTGACAGATCCAAACATGAGGCCTAAAGCTTGTAAATCTTTCGCGCCCTCCATGTGCTATAGGTTGTCACGATCTAGCTAAAGAAATGCACAGTCATTTGGTGAAGAGTGTGGGTTCCAAGGAGAAGACATCATTCAAACTATCTCCATGGCCAGACTCGTATTTAGATCGCAATGGTGCATTCCGACAGCTTGTAGAGAATCATATGCGTGGAGAAGGATCAATTCAAAGACACACGAGGAGGGTTAGACGACTTACAGCGATTAGGTACACGCCTGCCTTCTGAGGCACTTCGAAGAAGGATTCTCATTCTCGATGGCTGATTGTGTTTTGATTCAATAGGAAGGAGGAAGGACAGATAAGGAAAGATTGTATCCAATTCCACTCATAATGCCTTTACATCTTAGAATGGGAAGGAGCTGATCGCGATCTTGCGAATCTTGAGTACAAGGGTAGGACACGGCGTGTCAAGAAGCCTCGGAAATCGTGTCATCCTGTCTATAGCAAAACAATAGTCCAGCGAAATCGTCTTTGCATGATGTTCCTGACTTGTCAGTGTGAAAACTCGCAATACGATGGTGCAAGAGGAGCTGGATGTCTCGTAGCATATGTGGCTGTGGTAGAAGAGCGGTTGGTTGTCCCTCTAGTAAATTGTGGATATATACATTGAACTAAGCAGCTCATGTGGCAAGAGATCGCTGTCATAATTTGTGCGTGTCGTTATGTGAAAAATATACATGTCGTCTAGAGCTTTTGCTTAAGGGGACGCCGGCTTGGAGCAGAATTAGTGTGCCCACTGCTCGTCGGATCATCTGTTAACACTCACTAGCCCAAGAGGTACTTGGCAGCATGGTCGACGTGATCATCGGCAAAGGTTGCCATAAAGTAGTAACTGTGGTCGTAGTCGGGTTGCATTCTCAGGTTGACACCCTTTTCGTTGCCGGACTCTTGAGCGGCCTTGGTCAAGTTCTCGGGCAAGAGCTGGCCTTGCTTGTAGAAGCTGTCGCCAGTACCCTGCAGAGTTGCGTCAGTGTGATTTGCGTTGTTTTGTCCGTCGAGTGACACGTACAACGTCGATGAGCATATCCAGAGGACCCTTCCACTTCTTGATCAGCTCTGTAGCATCGTGCTCTGCCCACTTTTCCTTCTGGTCCTCGCCAAAGTAACCAGAGAAGGCTTTCTTGCCCCAGTCGCAGTTACTGGGGTTGGCGATGGGTGCGAATGCGGATACGGACTTGTACTTGCCAGGGTTCTTGAGGAACTGTGGATGTCTGTGTTAGCTTCTGCTTCTGCTAACAACTTGGACGAAGGACAGCGTACCAAAGTCAAGGCACCGTGGCCTCCCATGCTGTGGCCAGTGATACTGACTCTGTCCGAGTCCAGCTGCTTGAAGGAAGAGAAGAGAGCTTTGGGAAGATCCTCGGTGATGTATGAGTACATGTTGTAACCCTTGTTGTAGGGCTCCTTTGTGGCATTGACGTAGAAGCCAGCACCTGAGCCGAAATCATACGAGTCATCCTCGCCAGGGATACCGAGTCCTCCTACACAAGCGATTAGACATGATTGTGGTGTGGACAGAGGGCTTGTGGAGACGTACTGGGGCTGGTGTCGGGGTAGACGACGGCAATGCCCTTCTGGCTGGCGCGGTGCTGGAAGAAACCCTTCTCGGAGCAGTTGTCGCCAGTGCAGGTCAGGCCGGACAGGTAGATGAGGACGGGAACTTTGGTAGCGGAGGTCTTAAGAGCTTGGGGCGGGAGGAACAAGTTGAACTTCATCTCGCAGTTTGTGGAAGCGGCCTTGTGGGCAAGCTTCAAGAGCTTGCCCCCGAATGAGGCGATGGTAGCAGTGGTTTCGACAGACATGTTTGTGTGGTGGCAGCAGAAGATTGGGACATGACAGAGTGGGAGAAGTCGATAGATATGATGGATATTAAGCAACCCCGCAATGACGAAAGACCAAAGCGGTATTCAAATCCGATTTTTCTCCTTTGGGAAATACAACGCGATCCCAGCATGATTAGGAGACTCGATTGGAGGACTCATAGGGGCAGGCTTTTGGATGTGTCTGACGATAACAGTGCAGGCAGGAGTGCTTGAAAGAAACGTGCATCTCGAGGAATCTTGTAGTGGCTGGGAGCAAGCTGAGCGTGACGCGCAGGCGGCAAGAGCACGCGGCCGAGAAAGAGCTCATGAAACCAAGATGTCAACCAATGTTTAGTGTTGCTATCGTTGACAACGCGTCTTCATGTGAAAGCTCTCGAGTTCCGCAACTGCCGCGCCAAGCCCCTAAGTCCATCGGGGCCCGGCGATAACTTCCTTACCCCAGACTCGGACAAGTTTTCGAGAAAACGCAGGCGCGATCAAGGTGGATAAACACGCTCTGAGCTCGACACGCATGACTGCTCTTTGCCCAAGACAGGAACCATGTGTGCTGTCGCCGGTGTCAAACGCAAATCTGCGTCAGAAGACTCAGTGGAAGTCGTCAAAAGGACTAAAGTTGACAACCCTCAAGAATTTTCAGACGGTACCCAACATCAGCCCATTCGTCATCACGAAAAATCATCCCTAATGCCTCGTCTTCCAGCAGCCAGCGACCACGACGACAATGGCCAAGACCACAACGATGCCTTCTCCGTAGCTTCACCTGCAGCCACCTCTCGTACTTCGACCCAACCCTCGACGCCCAAGTCGGCCAAAGCCCAATCCGTTCCTCGCCAGAACAAGTACGCCTGCGACTTTGAAGGCTGCACCAAGTCTTACTCGCGTCCTGTCCGTCTCCAAGAACACAAGCGCTCTCACACCAACGATCGCCCCTTTGCTTGTCCTCAGCAAGGCTGCGACAAGACTTTCCTGCGCGAGAGTCACCTGAAGCACCACATCAAAGCCAAACACGACGATGTTCGAGACTATGTCTGTGATTGGCCGGACTGCGACAAAGGCTTCCATACAGCCCAGCGCTTGAAACAACACAAGAAGACGCACGAAAATACAAAGCCCGAATTCCTCTGCACAGGCTTCCCTCCCTGCAACCAAAACTTCCGCAAGCAAGAAACTCTTGACAGACACATCCAACTCGTTCATCTGCACGAGAAACCTTTCACCTGCGACCAAATCGACCGTTTCACTGGCCTGCCATGCGATGCTCGCTTCAAGACGTCCACCCACCTCATCGCTCACAAGGATCGCGAGCACAGCGGCAATCGTTTCTGGTGTAAAATATGCTCCCCCGAAATGGATGGCATCGACCCGACCCTAAACCAAGACGCTTTTGTCAATGCGGTTGGCTTCCCTACATACATCGAGATGCAGCAACACATCAAAACCGTTCACCCTCCTACCTGCTCGCAGTGTGGTCACATTTGCGCCTCGAACCGCGATCTAAAGGCACATCTTGAGATCCAGCACGGTGATATTGAAGATCGCCGCAACTACGTCTGCGATCATCCTGGTTGCGGTCGTGGCTTTACCAAGAAGGGCAATCTCGTCGTTCACCAAAGAAGCGTTCATGCAAAGCAAAAGCAATTCATCTGTGGAGAGACCGATATAACTGGCTCGAAGCGTGTTCCCACCTGGGATGGCCGCGGTGCTTGCGGTCGTGCGTTCAGTGCAAAAGCGAATCTCGAAGAGCACGTCCGCACTCAACACCTGCACCTTCCTGGCTACGTTCGTCCAGGAAAGAGAACCAAGCAAGAGGTTGATGATTCTTTCGACGGATTCCCACCCGAGGACCACAACACCGTGCTTGCCAGACTCACTGGAGTCGGCTACGAACACGGAAGAGACATTGTCTGCATAGACGAAACTTGTCCGCATCGCTTCTTCAAGCCTTTCGATCTCGAGGTCCATCTTGAGATTGTCCATGGTTACACCAAAACTGAGGCCATCGAAGCCACTGTCGAGCGCGAAGCCTTGTCTGGTGGTCAGTTCTGGCTTGGTGGAGTTCAGCCAGATTTCGAAGAGCAACGCCTGGCACACCAATTGGACCTGGCTCTACACCCTCAGGGCGATTTGGTGAACCCCTTCTGAGCCGCACGAAGAAGCATCGAATGTTCGATAAATCCACTCTAAGATCGATTCACCAACAAACCAGTATCGAGGCAGGGATGCGCGTAAACAAGTACTATGTCTCTAAATTAGCGCCTATATCCATTAGCGAGAAGCATTGTGTTTTAAATAGCTCGATACCCTATAAAGTAATTGAAAGAACAATATCACATATGAACCGATGAACCATTCCGTCTAAGCCACTGGCGATTCATAGTTGGATTTCAGCAATGGTTGGCTGCAGAGTCGCAGGTGTCATCATCGCTGCTCGTCGACTTTGTGGGCTACTGGGACTTCCAAGATGTGGCTTTTATTGAATTCTCGAAAGGAAAAGTGATCAACAGAAGACTATAAGCACCCCGGATCAGCCTGTCATGCGAGTACCAACGAGATTATTGCATACACATATACACACGGAAAGGCATCCTTCGGCTTTCTTTAGCTTCAATTCAACGGCCAGAATAGCGATCGAGGAGAGCTGGAGGGTGGCTGGCATCCGATACAAAATACTGTATTCACATCTGAGACGGTTCGAGTCAAGGTTATCTAGGTTTTTCCAACTTGCATCATGCTTCCGACTATCTATATTTGCGATCCGCTGTGTGTAGTTCTGTGTCTTGCAGTTTTTTCGCAGGTCTCTTCCGCAGCGGCATGCAGGAATCGGAAGGTTTGATATGGTATTTCGGCTGCTTCCGTGTAAGACAAGACTGGGATCACATCCGTGCAAACGATGGGGAGATACGTGGTCAGGGATCTAGAAGCGATTCATCCAACATTCCCGCCGATCAAGGAAGATGCACGAGCAAGGGGATTGCAGGAACGCACAATAAAGCGTAAATAAGAAACTCGCCTACAGAATCCTCCGAGAGGGTGGGCGTTCGGTGACAGCGCGCCGTTGGCGCATCTCCAGCTCCTCCATGCCACAGAGATCCATGCTGAACAAGAGGCGGGCTGATGTGCGACAAAAAGAGGGTTCGCAGCTCACATGCAAATGTGCTCGACAAGGAAGCCACGACCGCCATGGCCGAGGCGCTAGTGATGGCTATGCGTCGAGGCTATTGGCATGGACCCGTCTTGTCAAGCTTTTAGATTGACCATGACCCAAACTCATTGACGCCCTGTAGGAAGCCGCAATTATATACAACACGATGGCGTCCTCTCAGTTGATCACACGCTCGCTTCTATACTGTTCTGACTGTCGCTCGTTGTCACATCTACAGTTCATATTCTTTTAATACTGGAAACACGACTAAAGCCGGGTTTGTACAGCACCCACCAAACTTGCGACACCGATTGTTACAGAATTCGTCATATTTTGCTCGATCTCTCTTGTTGAGACTGTAGAGAGAAATCGAGCAGCCTAAACTTCAAGGCTATCAGTTGATCATGAGAGGACGTCGTTGAAAGGGCAGGAAAGAAACCTATCGAACAACAATCATTACTTTCGCCTTGTTCAAATCAGCTTGCGCCTGCCGGGATGAACAGATGGGGAGCTTCTCCCAAGTGCCGTAACGACTTAACGGTCGGCATTGACTCCGATGCTGCTACACCAACGCCCTCGAATGCTCCTTCCTTGGTGGGAGAAGCATCGTATCCATCCTCGAGATTCACTGCGCGATGGCGCTGTGTGACAAAGTCACACGGAGTTTCACGGCTAGCATCCGCTCTCTTCTGTCTGATCATTCTGCTGTGTTTCTGCAGTTCACGTGTGAATGCTGCAGAAATCCTAAACGACACTGAGGAGCAGGTAACACAAGCCCTACCGAGCACTGAAAGTGTCCTGCTCTTCGACAGGAGTACTCCACCGGAGCCGTTCATGCAACACTTTCTCAAACGAGCAGAGCGCTCGACATCAACTTCTTCTTCGGCTTCTTCGTCCTCCTCATCCACTGCTTCTTCGGATGCACTTCCTATACCCTTCGATACTGCTCTGGGGAATAACTTCACGACTTCTTCTTGCCCTGCTTTCTTCAAAAGCTTTCTCTCCAACGATACTTTTAATGAATGTGTTCCGTTATCTCTTCTTCTACAGGTAGGTCGACCGAACTCGACGCACAAAGGATACGATCATGAAACTCATACATGCTTTCCGAAACAGACATCTACTTCTTTCTTTTCCATCCAACGCTCGCCAGTCAGACTGGCGCAGACACTTGGTGCATCATGCAGTGTCAACTTTGACAGCTGTAACACATTGATGGCGTCGCTGGCTCGACAGATCCAATCACCAAACAATTGTGCTGCCGACCTACAGAACCAGAATCCTACAGTTATGCAAGCCTATACTGGCTTTATAGCTTACCAATCACTCTATCATGCTGGATGCCTACTGAACAGCAACACAGGCAGCTACTGTAAGTCCATGAACCTTAGTTATCACCTCGAGCATGTGCTAATGGGATATCCCAGGCTTCTCGGATGCAGTTACGAATGCTTCTTCACCTACCGACAGTTACGTCTACTATCTGCCGCTCGGCATTTCATTGCCTAGCACCACAACACCCAGTTGCTCGAGTTGCTTACGAGATACCATGTCCGTTTTTGCAAGTGCGGCGACAAACCGTTCTCAGCCACTCTCAATGGTTTATGGCACCGCAGCAGCCATGATTGACTTGACCTGTGGTGCAGATTTTGTCAATGCTAGTATTCCTACTGTCCCTTCGACTGGCGCCGCCTCGTCGGTCCAAAGTGGCCTAGGACTTGTGGGAATCATTGCTGTGTTGTTGTCCCTTGTTGCTGTGTTGAGCTAAACAGTGCTGATCAAGCCCTTTCGATTCTTGTCTATACTTTTTGGTTGTTTTTGTTAGTTGGAGTCAAAAAATCCCGAGTGTTTCAGTTCAAGGCTTGCATGTACCTGGTCGGTTATTTTTTGTTACAATTAAGGAAACACACAACTGAAACAATGGTTCCTTAAGTTTTAGCGACTCAATTGGGTCCGACTAGAGGTTGTCATCACTCGGCTAGAAGGCGGATAAGCAGCCTGGCCTTGCTATCTGGCTAGATCTTTTCCTTATGCCCATCCACCACCTGAATTGTGAAAACATAGGAGTGTATGTATCTATCGTGACTGTCTAGTGAGATCATTAAGTCGATTGTATAGACTCCGTATGGCATTCTTTTCAACATTAGCCTATATCTGAACATCTAGAGCTGCAACTCGCTAGACTAAAAGACATGTGTCTTAGCGATGTCCAAACAAGGAGAAATTGGATGACATACTTGATGACTGATAAGGTCAAAAGTGGTGAAATAATGCTTGCCAAAGGCAAAACGTACAGCAGCAGGAGTTTTGTCATCCGGATTCTTAGTCAAAAGCGTGTGGTAAGAAGTAATATCTAAATCGAGGTAGAGATCGTATGGCTACTACAGCATTGCACAATAGCGTGCTCACGTATGCTTATCGGGACTATGGTAGACCCGAAAAAGCAATCGAGATCTGGAAAGAGATCGCATTGCTAGAATCGAACTTGGCCGCCAACGTGGAGCGAGTGTGTGACATTTTGAGGTTGGTTACAACGTACACCGACACAGGCGACACTGAGAACGCAACAAGACTCTTGGAGCAATGGTTGTCTGTCCGAAGAAAAGATGAATCTCTAGATGACAAAGACACACGCGATCATATTGGGCAGCTAGGCGAGCTTTACTAAGAACTCGAAAGGCATGAAGACGCCATCAAGCTGCTTCAAGAACTGGTCGATGTCGAGGAACCCGACTCTTGCCATTGGAAGACCAAGATCGTCAGACCGCCATAAATGCATTAGCTTGCGTATACAAAGCCTGCGGCGAGACATGCAAAGAAATGTAACTATGGCAGCCTCTGGTCAGTGACGAGGCCCCAAGTGTATTTCAGAGAAGCTTGACAAAAGCCTACACCCAGCTCGGATACGACAACAAATCCGTGCGATCTGCAAGAAAGCCACCGTCGAGATGGAGAGATGGGTCTAAGTTACTACGAGATCTCAGCCTGCGTTCCTAGAAGATGTTCGACTTTTAGTTGTTCTTTAGCTGTCGTGTACGAAGATATATTGCTTGATAAGACCTAAGCTACTTACTTCATAGCAAGAGGAAACAAACAAGGCTGTTTGCTAACTCGCGTTACACTTCTCACAGTGGCAGACGTGATCTGGAGATTGCGGTCACATGCTCTTTCACCAAAAGTCTATCATCCACAAAAGACATTAGAGGATTCGACTCATGCACATCGGACAGGATTCAAGGCTTAGGGATTGCCTGCTGTTGATCAACCAAGCCAGACCATACTATTCTTAGCTAATAAGCTATGCACAAGTGGATTTGCGGTCTAGACTGCATGCTTTCTTTCGACTTCAACTCTTACCATTTCTGTCTACTTTGACCTCTGATCGCTCATTCCTCTTTCCACGATTCTATGAGTGCCCTTCGAACTTGCCCATTTGTGCACAAGATTATTCATCAGGATTTCTCCAGCAATATTCACCAGTCCTACGCATCCGGTGAGGCATTTTCGACGATGCAGAAGAGCCAGAGCGGGGTACAGACCGGGTAGGTGGTGGCTGCGTTTCAGTGAACTGCTCTTTCCCGGTTGGGGAGATACATGGCATCATCCAATCAATTGAGCTTAGGAGTTCAAAAGCAGAAGCACAAGTTCAGCTCAAGGCTCAAATTGTCCCGATGGCTTCTGAAGGATTCGTGAACATGGGTAGGTATGTAGTAGGTATACATTTTGCTCTATAAAGAGCTCTGCTCCGTTGGCTTTTTGTGATAACCTTTGACTTTAAAAGCATCCCAAGTTCTCGAAACCTTGCTTCTGTCGAGACTAAAGCTACATACCAAAGGTATGATCTATATCCGTTAACGTGTTACTGTTCCGAGTATATACAACTGACACTGAGCGAGCAAGACCGCTACCTAGCCAAACATACACATTCACTCTCCTTGATCTTCACCATGCGAATGAGCAGAAACCTCCAGGACGGCGGGCCAGGCCGACAAGGCCTAGGCGGTGGCTACGGACAACCCCCGCCAGCAAGCTATAGGACCAGAAACCTCCAGGATGGCGGACCAGGCCGACAAGGCTATGGCAATGGCTACAGACAACCCTCGCCCCCAGACTATAGAACCAGAAACCTTCAGGACGGTGGACCAGGCAGACAAGGCCTAGGCAACCACAGACAGCCCCCGCCCCCAGGCTACAGAACTAGAAACCTCCATGCCGAATACAACGGCCCTACTCCAGCACAACGCAGAGAGGCCGAGCAAAGGCGCCGAATGGAAGAACAAGAGCAACGTCGCTATGAGGAAGAGATGCGTCAACAGCGGATGAGGGAAGAACTAGAGCGAAGAGAGGAAGAAATGAGACGTAGAGAAGAGGCAATGTATCGTGGAGGGCCGCAGGGTCGAGGTGGGTATCCGGGTAGAGGAAGTAGAGGAGGCCTGGGGCCCAGATTCTGAAGCAAGAATCTCCAGACAGGTCCTGCCTATATGGCTAGTTTGGCAGAGGAGGAACTAGGTCTGAATCTTGATACTCTTAATGTTCTATGCTATCTTACTAGTTTCAGCTGACTGTAGCTGTACGTGCTTAGTATCATGACTTTTGAATTCACATAGGCTCATTCACGAAGTCCACAATGAGGATGATTACGATCAAACAAGTCAAGGCCGTGAGATTTGCCTGCAATCACTACTACTAAAGTCCCACTCTCGACAAAATCATGAATCGATGAACATGCACAATTTTTACGAATCTTATAAACTGGCAGGCTGCGGATCACCTGGCTTGGCCCTATAACTGATCCTTCCTGCAGGCAAGAAGAACAACGCGACCAAAGCTCCACCACGCACTTCCGGATAATGATGCGTACCAGGTCCTGGAGACGTCCAACCTGCACCTTGCCAGCCTTGCATACCCTTCAACTCAGCAGTCTTGTCGACTTGTACGACACAATTGATCTCACCATAAGGATGGGAGTGGTATTGACCCGAGTACTAAAATTCATAATCACATCAGCAACATGGCCTTTTGGCAATTGAGCACCCAACATACCTCTTCTTCACTCTCCATGTACACTGTCGTAATCGAAAAGAATCTGTTTTCAGCACTTGGGAGAAGAACCTTGGAGCGACGGTATTTTGCTCCATCAAGCTCGAAGTTGGCGACCCAGCCTTCTTTCAGACCTTGACGGGTCAGGTCGCACAGGTCTTCGTAGATTGCATTACCAGGTCCGTAGTTTTCATTGAGATAGGCTTCGAGTTCGTGGCCTGGTGTGCTGAAGGATACAATCACATTAGCATGGAACGTCGCACGAGAACAGTGCGGGAGGTGACATACAGGTCTTCGACTTCGGAAAAGAAGTCACGACAACGAGATACCAGCTTCTGAGCTGTTGGGTAGGCGTTCAAATCGACCTCAGTGGGAGGCACATCGTTCTTCGATGGAGCGGTTCCGGTGTTTGAGGGCTGGGAAGAGCTCATTACTACGGCCGACATTGTTGCCTATATGGTAAGGTAGATGGAACGATATCTGCACTTCGAGTCTTTATTATATCTTGTAAGTGCTCATACGAGCAGATCTAAGGATGATGTACTTGATTTCTGGTATAGTAATCACAAAACACAAAAGTAAGCCACCACAAAGCAAGACCCCGCTCTGGATAACCGGCATCACTTCCTTGCGATTCACAACAAAGAAAGCTCTAACATCGAAAAGGTACGAACTAGTGGGGTAGTTGAACGGATGACGAGATGAGCAACTTAAAAGCTAGGCAATTCATGATTAAGAATGTTGTTGTCGTGCAACGTCGAGAAGATGCTGACTCTCGTGACCCCACGCGAAGAGCTAAATAGCATGTTATCTTGATAAAGAGCCTATATTGCATAGCTATCCTGTCTTTGTCTCTCTGCTTATTCCTCTATCAGCTGCCAGTCAGTACCAATAACCAGATCAAGCACAATACCACAATGAAAGAAGCTCACGTCGACGCTGACACCAATGTCACACTTCACGATGTACCAATACCAGAACTGAACGATCCACACCAGATTCTGATCAAAGTCATTGTAGCAGGATGCAATCCAAAGGACTGGAAAATGCCTGCCGGAATGCTTGTCACAATTGGTTTATGTGACAACAGCGGCGATGATGTAGCAGGTGATTATGTTTCGAACCGAGCCTTCTTGCGTCATCGTACTGACAATTCTACCAACAAGGCATCGTCTATGCTGTTGGCTCTGATGTCCGTGAGTTCCGACCTGGCGATCGCGTTGCCGCACTACATCAACTCGGTGCTCCGCACGGAACGTACGCTGAAATGGCCCTCGTCTGGGATCATACGACTTTCCATATTGGCGACCGTTCGTTCGAAGAAGCCGCTGCAATGCCAATGGCATATTATATGGCATCTATCGGCCTTTTCGGGATGTTAAGATTGCCGATGATGTGGCAACGTCCTCATGGTGAAGAGAGATCAATGCCGCTGGTCATATACGGCGCCTCGGGAGCGGTGGGCTCTGCTGCGGTCCAGCTCGCTATGAATGCAGGCTTCCATCCTTTGGTTTGTATTGCGGGAGGATCGGGACCGTCTGTGGTGCAGCCGCTCATCGATAGCAGCAAAGGTGATGTGGTTCTGGACTACCGAGAGGGATCCGAAAGGCTCGTCGAGAACATGAAAGCTGCTCTTGGCAGGCATGAGCTACATCACGCCTTCGACTGTGTGAGCGAGAAGGGGTCTTCAGCAAATATATGCCGCGTGCTTCAGCCAGGAGGACAGATAAGTCTGGTCTTGCCATCACGTGTAAGAGACGTCCCGTCCGGCTTCGAGGTTACCACGACCATGGCTGGCAATCTTTGGCCCGGCTTCAAGAACAAAAGTGACACGCATGGAGCGATGAGTTTGGCAGGAGGGATAGAGTTTGGACATTGTTACTCCAGGCTGCTTGGCTATTGGTTCAGTGAGAGGAAGTTACGCGTTCATAGTCCTGAGGTGGTCGAAGGTGGCCTGCTCGGGGTAGAGAAGGCACTGAAGGATCTCAGGGAGGGAAGGAATCATGGAGTCAAGTACGTCGTTCGCGTCCGAGACACGCCTGGGCTGGAGTGAGGACACCTCAACTTCGCACATTCCGCTCCAGTAGCTTTTGGCCACCCAGCTTGAGATTCAGATCTTACGTGGCTTATTATACTTGGAGTTAGTGACATGAACATCAATATGAGCGAGTGTTGAAGAATGATGAATCGCATCAGCAGTCCAGCCGCTAACACTCGAGCGTTTGCGAAATGCATCTCGAGATCTACAGACCAAAGCACAAATCTGTCAACGAGCTGAACAACCTATAGCATAAGTATCAATGAATATGGTTTGTGTCTTAAGAATGCTCTCAGATGAATTCAAGAGAGATACGAGGTTCCGTAATTGATCAAGAAAGGGTGTAAGTTTAGAGACAGGGTCGTATGCGTAGCAAGCACAAATGTTATGCAAGTTATGCTTACGAGGCGCGTCATTCGAGGGAGGAACAGCTATTGTCATCTCCCTTGTTCACTCAATTACTTTCCACCGACAACCCAATCGCGTCTTTTTGCTTCTATTCCATCATCGACATTACTCACAATACATTGATACATCAAAAACACACGCGTCAGAGGAAGAACGAAAAAGCGACAGACAAGATGACCGAATACACCAAGATGAAGAACGCCGAGCTCGAGGCGCTGCTTAAGGAGCGCAACCTCCCTCACACTGGCAAGAAGGCAGATCTCGTCAAGCGGCTCCAAGAACACGATGCGGAAACCGCCAATGGCTCTGCACCTAGCAAGGAAGACGAGATCGACTGGGACGACGAACCCACAGCAGCAGCACCCAAGGCAAGCACAGATGCCGCCGCCAGCGCAATTGCAGCCGGTGGTCAAGGACAACCTGCCAACCCGCAAGCCGTGCCCAACCAGCAGACCGACATCGACCCTTCGCAGACAGACGACCTCACAGTGATTAAACCCGCCGACGACGCGTCAACAGCCCAACCCGCAGACACTAGCGCACCTTCAGAAGCTCAACCAGCAGAACCCGCGAAGCCCGCCGTCGACTTCACCTCTGGACTCGCCAAAACAACTCTAGACCAAGAAATCGAGAAGCGCAAGGCGCGCGCAAAGAAGTTCGGCTTGAACGAGGATGAGGACGAGGCATTGAAGGCTCTGGAGCGCGCAAAGCGCTTCGGCAACACCGAGATGCCTGGCAAGCTCAACGAAGCTCTTCCCGAGCGTCGCGAGCGCAAGAGAGGTGCTCCTGCTGATGGAGAGCAGCAAGGTGCTAGCAAGAAACGCGAGAACAACGACAACAAGCGCGGTGGTCGCAGAGATGGTAGAAGGGGAGGAGGCGCACAGAACCAAGCAAAGGCATCCGCTCCAGCTGCAGCTGCGCCTGCAAAGAAGGAGAAGCCGCAAATGAGCGAGGCAGACCGGGCAAAGGCTGAGGCTCGCAAGGCAAGATTCGCAGCACCATCATCATCATCATAGTATGAATCGCACGGTACTTGGTACGAGGTCTCAATCCATATCGCAACCTCTAGATGCGATTGGTGCGTTGTCCAACGCCACCGCAATTGATCATCTTGATTTGGATGGAGCGATTGGCAGTCAGGTCGATGGTGTTTGAAAAAGACTGGGTATTCGCCTTCGGACTTGGAATCGCGGCTTCATAAAAACATAGGATAGCACGTAAATGAAAACACGAAACTTCTGGAATACATCTTTGTTCAACTCTGTCTGAGATCTGGTGTTATAATATGGAAGATGTCAACATGGTGTGCGGGGACAAGTCCCTCTCGCACTCTCGGAGTTGAACATCGGATGAGGATCATCTTTATCTTGGAATGCATTGCTTTGATGCGTCTACAGCTTGGCTCTGGCACTGCTCTGTGCCTCAGCCTCAGTATACATCTCATCGATGGCAGCGCGGTACTTCTTCGCGGTCTGAGGTCTCTTGAGCTTGAGTCTGTTGGCGTTTCTGTTAGCTTCTTGCATCGTGTTATACCAGGAGCACAACTTACGTAGGTGTGAGAAGTTCATTGTCGACAGTGAAAGGCTCGACCATCAGTCTTACGTTACGCACTCTCTCGTAACTGTTGAATTTGTTCTTCTTGCCAATCTTGTCAAGCTCCTTGAGGACGGCATGACGGATCTTGACGTCCTGAGCTGCAGCCTCCAAGGCCTTGAGATCTGTTGCGCCTAGTTGCTTACCGAGCACCTTGCTTGCAAAAGGTGCAAATGTGTCGGGCTGGATACCGAAAATGGCAACCAGGAAAGCTCTATCACTGTCTCCATGTACGTATGCTTGCGCGAACCAGGTTGTGTTGCCAAGGTAGACATTCTCGATGCGCTCCGGTGAGATGTACTCACCCTGGGCCAGCTTGAGAACGTTCTTTCTGCGATCGATGATCTTGAAACGACCGAGCTCGTCCACTGAACAGATGTCGCCGGTGCGGAACCAGCCGTCTGGGAGAAGTGCTTTTTCCGTCTCCTCTGGGTTCTTGAGGTACTCTCTGAACACGGTCGGTCCGCGAACCAGGAGCTCACCACGAGGGTATGGTTTGTCGGAAGCGAAATACTCCATGTCTGGCACATCCATAAGACACAGTTCTGAGGTAGGCATGACTGCACCGCAATTGCCGGCTGTCATGTCGCCATCAATCTGAGAACAGGCAATAGCGTATGTCTCGGTGAGACCATAACCTTGCATGAAGTTGTTTCCGAAAACCACTCGCAAAAACTGCTGCAGGGACGGGTCAATAGGAGCGGAACCAGACACCATGGCTCTGACACGATCCAAGCCGAGTTGAGAAGTGACCTTCTTGCCCCAAATACGGTCGTAGAAAGCATGCTTGTTTGTAGCCTGCTTAGGATCAGGATTGTTCAGGGTTGCTAACTTGGTCGAGACGACGTGTCTCGAAAGGGCTCCTTTGACGCCAGATGATTCGACGGTGGCCGTCTTGATGGCACCACCGAAACGATTGAATAGGCGAGGTACACTGATCAAGCTGGTGGGTCGGAGTAGCTTGAAGTCGTCAACGAGTTCCACGATGTTGCCGTGGAAGTAACCAATAGCACTGCCAGCCCAGAGAGCACAGCCCTCGGTGACGCGCTCGTAAATATGAGCCAGAGGTAGATAAGAGCACATGACATCGTTGGTTTTCATGTCGACCAGAGTCATGGAAGACGAGGCGGCAGCAACTGCGTTTCCGTGTGTCAGAACAACACCCTTGGGTGGACCAGTTGTACCGGAAGTGTAGTTGATGGTGACGATGTCTTCGGGCTGGGGAACGTTGTAGGGGCGGGGGTTGGCCGCACCCATAGCCTCGACATCGCGGATGTAGATGACCTGGATACCAGCTTCAGAAGCCAGAGCGTTAAGAATGTCGGCTTTGGAAGTTCCAGGTAGTTCGGAGCCCGAAGTCAGAGGGTCGAGCGAGACGATGATCTTGAGCGTGGGGCAGCGAGAGGCAAGCTTGAGCAGGGTCGGGACATGGTTCAAAGAGGAGGCAACAGCAGCCAGCTGTGAGTGGTTGATGATGTACTCGGTTGTGTCGGGGCCCAGAGTGTCGTAAAGGGAGACAGTGTACAAGGCTTGAGACATGCAACCCAGATCTGGTGGCATCAGCATCAGCATGTTTTGGACAAGCAAGAGGTGCAGATGGGATGCACTTACCAACAATCTGCCACTCGGGGCGGTTTTGACACCAGAGACCGACACCGTGCTGTCTACCAGTGATTCCATGTTTGCTGTGGAGGTGCACCATACCGATACCAAAGTTCTTCCTTCTCTCTTGAACCTGAGCATACGTTTCCCAGACATAAGGACCGTAAGTCTTTGTCATGGCGTCGTAAGGACGGTGTCCGAGACATTTGGCATTGGGTATGCGGTTGGCCGTCTCCTCGAAATAGCCATGGGCAGACGTGATCTAGTCGCTTTTGTAAGCAGGTATTCCATGACAAGCCTGACGCCATGCATACTTGAGGGTCCAGGGAGCGAAGACAACCGTCCTTGAATCTCCAATGCCTGTAGACCTTGCTTCGTCCCGACACTTCGCTACCTTCGACAGCAACACTGTAGGGTGCTCCGGGTGGTGGAGGCGCCGCGATCTCGTTCGCCCGTGCAACAGCTGCAGTCAATGCCATGTTGCTTTGGGAAGCCTTCGGTGGCAGAGGGAGGCTTCAGAGGATACTAGGGGAAAAGGTGTCTACAAGATCAAGTCAGCTGTTGATCAACTAGCCCAGAAGGGCGGCGCAAGGCCCTTCGGCGACTCCGAGAACGAGTCACTAAGCACATACAAGACAGGAACCACCCAAATGTCAAAATAATTGACAGGCGCAAAGTGAAGACAGCAATGTTCGAAAAAGGGAGACAGGCCGGATTATCTGTTGCTTACTTAGAGCAAGCAGTACGAGTACGATCGATCTGGCTTCTGGAACATCAAACTCCCGAGGCATCCAATGTCGTCGCTGCTTCTTTCTCAGTCACAAGCAACCGAGGCATCCCGCCTCTTGGCTGCGTCATGCGCGTCGGCCTCCACAACATTGACACATGAGATGAATGCATTCCAATTCTCTGGCTATCTTACCTCTGCCACGTCCAATCTTGGGCGTTGCTTCGACTCATGGCCGACTTGAAAGAGATGACGTCCGAAAATCTTATCTTGTAGATGTTGTACATGTTGCATTGCACGAGACCAGATGGTCGGCAAACCTTGTCTGCCAGTTTTAGCTTTCTCCACACACCGCAGCCGAGGCGGGGATGGATCCTCCGATTTTCCCCTTTCGTACTCTCGGAAAAGCAGCACGTGCAGCCTCTGCCTGGCGGCATAATCATGCTCCGTCTTCAAGCATAGAACATGTCGGGCAGAGGTGGGTACCACTATGGCTCGGATATGAAGTTTTTCAAAATATCCATCGCTCTGTAAAGTGGCCAGAAATGTCAAAAGAATATCCTCGCCATGCTATACCCCTATAAAAAACAGTTTCAGAAACCTCTAAACCCTGTCATAAATGTCTAGAAACCATCTCCTTCTTTCCATTCTCGACCTGCTTCTGCAGCCCGATTTCGAGGATCTCGTCCTCTGTTCCACGCCTCAGCTCTCAGTCCTCCAAGCTGCCAACGCAGCTTCTCAATCTCGTCATGAATCCATTCTTTGCGTCCAGGCTCCGGAATGACCAGATTGTCCGTCTCTTCTGGTATCCGGCCTTCATTTTTGGCTTCCATGATCAAAGCCTCGTTCTTGCGGATTTCGTGCGCCTCGTTTTCGTGATCTCTGAGGATATAGCGTAGATCAAAGAATTCGTCAAACTTGTCTGCACCTCCAAAACAGTAGCCATAACCATCGCAGTAACAGATGTTCATGGCTGGGCAGTCTATTGCAACACCACCGAAAATGAAGATCCAAATCTGCTCAAATACTCTACCCGACAAACTATCAGAGAGTGGTGTCTTCAAAAGCCAGTCTCGGTAGTAGATGTATTTGGACAGAGGGACAGCCTGGATACGTTCCCTACTAATGGCAAACTGTGCACAGCAGGGCTGCGATAATGTGGGTGGAATCGGCTCCAAAGGAAAGATCTCGCTCCAGGCTTCAGCAATGACCATTTCTTCCTGCCTTTGGGCATTAGCGACCAGCGCTCCAGGATGAATACCACTGATTTCTGCAGGACAGCCAGGAGACCAATGACAGCGAAGGTTGACATAGCCGTGTCGGATGACATGATTGGGATTGAGGTTCCTGATCATCTGCGCAGAGTCAAGATCCATGATATCGTTGTTGTGCCAGGCATAGCGATGTGCGTGCATGAAGATGCTGACATCGGAGAGGTTGTTGTAATTGTCAATGATGTACGACAAGTATACCATAGCCTCGTGTCCCTTGTTCTTTGGAGTATGTAGTTCTGCAGTCTTGTCGTCTACGACATAGATGGCGGTTCGCAGGGGTCCCTTAGGGGTTAGCATATCCTCCAATTCGGTATCCACCCAAAGTGTGTTCTCCTCTTTCTTGCGCCCGATCACCAAGGTCTTTGTGTACTCGGCATTTGGGTCTTTCGGAACGCCTGGAATGAAAGCAGGATTTGGATTTGCGAATGTGTGCATGTTCTTGGACTCCTGTTGATCCGGCAGGGGAGCCTCAGGTTCTATTTCTTCATCCTCGCTCAGTCCCATCACCTTCGGTACATGTCGCAAAGATGTAGTAAGGTTTGTTGTGTGAAAGACTATGAAGAAGAAGAACACTAAGGCGACAGCGAAGAGAAGGGGCGACAGACGCCGCTGGGTTGTCATGGTACAGGCGTAAGGGTGAGGGTCAATGGTTCGGGTATGCGACAATCGTGGGTGGGCGATAGGGATTGCGTAGTAGACCGGAGAGTCGGTATGTTTAGATCATGGCTAGTGAGATCGCAATTCAAAGAGTGACAAGAAAGGAAGGAATATGTACAGTATGTGCAAAAAGGATGGACAGGAGCGACAGCAGTAACAAGTTACGAGGCGGGTTTACGACAATCGATCCTCTGACGAAGCCTGCGCCCGCTGAGCCCTGAGGTATCATGATGTGCGCGACTTGTCGACGATCCTCCTTGTTTCGAATCGACTAAGCCGACATCGTCAAACCGCATCCAGTATCCACATAAAGATTCTTCCTGGCCGCGTGTTCAGCAACCACGACCAGTTTTGACTGACCTCCTGCGTTTCGTCCACGATTTTTTCACGCGTTGGACCCTGGACAACCGTTGACGTTCATGCAGCAATCCAAACTTGTGGGGCACACCCTTGTGCCTTTTTGCTTCGGACTGTTTCAACTTCAAACCAAGAAAATCCATCATATACATACTCACAAGGGTTGGCATCTGGCAGACGGTAGATTGTATCTCAAGGTGAGTACACCCGGGTAACCAAGTTAACAAGCAGCGCCTCGCTCTGATCTATATGCAGCACACAGTACATGAATGGAGGTATCTTTTGAGTAAAATCATTCAGATGGCCAGGAGAAAAAAGCATCCAACCAAATACAAAAAGGGCGAGAAAAGCCACCGTCAATATCCCTCCATTCACCATCCTGAAACAGGAACGGGAAACTTGAAATCCTCGTGGAGGCAACGAAAATGAATGTGCCACTACTCCTTTTGCTCATTATTCAATACCATCTCTACAACAATCTGCGTCTTCTCGAGCGCAGGATGTTGCATGACAATCTTGATAGTGCGGCTAGCAGCACCGTAACCAACAACGCCATTGACGATGCCGGTATTGGTACTGCCACCACTCAAGGTGCCGCCACCGCCGTCGTCAAGGCATTTGATGTCCTTTCCCGCGATAATTTGCTTTAGGCGGCCATTCTGTGCGTTCCGCACTTCGACAAACTCATTGTCAAAGAGCACGAGATAAGGGCCGTACAAGGCAGCGCTCTTTGCGTTAGCGACGAAATTCATGACGACCGAGCGACTGATCTCGCCATGTTTGTTAACGTAGACGGCACAGAGGTTGTAGCAGAGTAAGAACTCTTGGTCGGTAAGTCTAAGCATGCCCAGAGTCTCTTGCTTCTCGACGTGGCGTAGGATGTTACCAACCTCTGGAGCCTTCCAGTCTGGCACGCTCCATGGCTGCTTCTTGTCTAGGGTGAGTACCTCGAAGCCCTTGTCCGAACTGATGGCGAGACTGCTGTGGAATAAATTCATGCCGTGGCATTCGGTACCAATATAGAAATCGTCATAATCGCGGAAGAATTCAGTGTTTCCCCGTTTGAAGATGCCGTGTTTTTTCTCGGTTGATTTCTGATAAATGGGTTCCAAGACCTTGAAAGTTGATGAGATACCATCTCTCTTCTTGTAAAAGACCAAAGTTCGATCTTTCATGCGTCCAACGGCGAAGAAGCCCACGTCTCTACTGCCAGAAAGTTTTTGTGGGGCCTTGCGCGAAGATGGAGTTTCGGCCGTGCTGGAAGAGAGAGGCTGGCAAACTGCATCGAGATGGTATGCATAAAGGACTTTGTCAGCAAGAACCAAGAACAAGTTGAATTCTTCAAGCACCGCAACCTGAGTGACTTTGGTGCCTGCAATTGACTGTAGCACAGGTCAGTATGCATATCAGAGGTCATGAGCTTCCATAACACTTACACGAAACCAGCCTCTAGGATTATCCATTTCACAGCAGTAGACGCCGAAGTCTGTACCGACCGCAACCATGTGTTTTGTGTCAGGGTAGGACGTTGTGAAGCTGGTGGCGCAATTGACTCTTGCCCTGCAGATTGGCGCTGGGCGACCGCTAGCCTTGAATCTGTTCTCGACTTCTTTGACAGCACGATCCAAAGGCGTGCCTTTGATTATGACTGGCTTGCCAACCATACTGACGCCATACTGGTCTTTCGTGTTCGCATTCGAGTCGTAGTAGAATGCAGAATCAGCAATCACTCTAAGACGGAAAGGTTCGGCGTTTTGAGCGAAGAGAGCAGCAGCATGTTTGGTTTTGGCCTCAATGATCTTGTTGTACCATTCCGTTCTATTGCCAGCGTTATTGGCGAAAAGCGTATATGGCTCTTTGTTGCCCAAGTGCTTAATTCGGAATGGATACAAAATCTTTTCCGAATCTTTGTTGTCAAGTACGGTAGTGCTGGAAAGCTTCGACGGCGCGGAGGCGACGCTGTTCAAACTTGTCATCGACGAGCCCGTGTTGACTGAAGCCAGAGTGGGGTGAGCTGATTGGGCTGTTGTCATTCGAGTCATCTTACTCAGGTCTGGACTGGATGGCGCTGGTTTCGATGGCAAGGGAGTAACGGATGTGATGCCTTTGACGTACGAAGACCGTACGACTGCATCTTCGTTAATATTCTCCAGAACGAGTAGATCCATTGGAATAGGCAGCCTCGAAACGTCGTACTTCTCTATCTTGTTAGGAGCACCTTTTTGCAGTACTGAAACTGCCTTGGCAAGAACGAGGTAATGATCAAACAGTAGGGCGTGGCATTCGAGCCACGTGAATCGATTGGTGCCCATTCTCTGCAAGTCTCCTTGGTGGATTAGCTCTCGTCCGATCGATGTCAGGTTGAGCTCAACTTCGGAAGCCATTCCAGGTCTCAGCACCAGCTTTTGACTGAGGTCAGACAGATCGACCTTTCTTTGCTGATCAGCGACACGTGAATCACACTCTAGAGTGACAGCTCGAATTTCTTCGATCGCAGTCGCCAGGTTTGTCCTCTCCTCACAATCGTGCTGCATGTTTTTATGAACAGTCGACAAGAGTAGACTGTAACGCTGTAACCTTGTAATAGGCGCCTTGAGGTAGTTGTCCCAGCCAAGCTTGTTCGAGAGTTTGTTCATTCTCGCCGCTTCGACAAAGTTGCGGAAACTAATGTTCCTCTCGAGCTCTTGTCGCATCAAAGAATTGGCACTAGGAAAGCCTGTGGCATATTCAATATAAGCAGTCCTAGCCTTGCGAATCCATTGCCTGAAAATATCGCTAAATCCTTGAACCCAAGGCCCTTGTTCTTGTTGTCGATATTTGAGTTGCGGTAGCAGATGCTCAACGTTAGCTTTCTTGACCAAGTCCAGCTTACTGAACACATCTCGCAAGAATCTTTCCTGACGATTAGGGCTGATGATAGACGGATTGGCAGTGGCAAGTGGATCGCGGTACAACCGAATCATCACATCGAGGCTTTCCATAAAACCCTCTTCAGTCTGCACAATCTCGTGAAGATTATTCTGCAACTCAATCTCTTTCTTATCATGACCATCCACATCCTCTTTTTTGAGCTTATAAAAGGTCGCCCAATCTTCAGAGGCTCGAGTCGAAATGGTTTGGAGGTTGACCTTCTTCAGAGTACGCTGGCAGTGGTGAGAGTAGCAGCGGCCTGGGAGTATGTGGTTATGAACAGTATGCGAGTAACATCCATTTAGAGTCAATTGGAAGATGACGCCACTCATATGTCCTGGGCTGAGCTTGACCCATTCTTCGACTGGAACAAGTGTTTTAGAGGCATACATGTTTTCGACAACACGATTGCTCAAGACTTCAGCGTCAGCAATGTTCATAGTAGGAACTTTGTTAGTAAAGAGCGCAACAAGAGCTTCCTTGACCATAGATTCCTTCAACTCGGTCATCTTCTCAGGATCCGCCACAATGAACAACCACTGGAGAATCGAGCTCAACGCCCAAGGCTCTTCACACTTCTTGAAGTCGGACCCGCCAAGTTTCGCAGGATTGAAACGCTTTGTAGGAAGGCTAGGCAAATCAAGAGCAACAGTGCTTGCGGCAGGCGTGTTGTCAAATGTGTTATAGATGGAAGCTCGGTAACCCTGTCTGAGTCTGCGCTCCTCTGCATCTGTCTTCGACCTTGCAGGCTGGAGCACCTGCGGTGTCTGACTGTGATTCAGCAGAGATGCAGATCGTGGGAAAGTGCCAGCGCCGCTGTCCATCGTGGAGGGTGTATAGCCATCGGGAGTCATACGATACGGGGCCTGAGATAGAGAGTTTGAGCGCTGGTGCAGCAAACTTGTGTTAAGACGAGGAACAGCGTTCTCTGAAACAATTGGTGGAGGAGGCAAGGGCCTATCGTGGTTATGAATCGAATGACCGGGATGGAAGAACATGTCTGGAGGCTCGCCAGGTTGAAGGAGGTTGTCTGTGAGGCTGTACTCGTCGCCCTCATCAAAGCTCTGTCTACGATTGAGTGCATCAGGATCCGTGAATCCTCCCGTGTCACCGGCATCAACCCGAGCGACTGGCGGTCCGTGGAAGCCAAGGCTCATAGCATGATCGTATATGCTATCCGGATTGCTTGAGCCGATAGATCGTCGTAAAGAGTTCGAAGCCGATAAAGAATTGATTCCATTGGTGTCTGGGCCTGCAGCCAGAATACTGGGATCGCCTCCGTAGGACATGTGGGCATCATAACCTCCGCTGAGCGTACTCATATCCATAGGCATCTCAACATCATCAGCTTCGTTGGAAAGATTTGCCAAAGAAGAGCCATAATAGCCGAAAAGAGCACTGCCTCGATTCGCATCTGCTTCTTGAGCCTCTGCCATACGCATTGCCTCTAGCCCAGCCAATGCTTCGGCATCGCTTTCATCGCTGTACTCGTTGATGATGCTTGCAATTGCCATGCTATCTCGAGAAGGCTGAGCGGTAGATATTGCACTGCTTCTTGGTGAGAAAAGAGGTTGTGGAACGTCGGTCGCGGACTGCATTTGTGGACTTTGACGCCTTGCACTTGAAGCGGCACCAGCATTGAGCACAGCACTTTCGACCTGGCTGAACAGATCCTCCTGGGCTTCTTGCTCAGTCGCATAAGAGTCACGAAATCCGGGTTGGTGGAAATAATCACGTTCAACGTCTGGTTCGGGTGGGCCTGGAAGAGGGCGGTTTTGTGGATGGCGTAATGTATTGTTTCTCTGTGGAGCATTAATATGAGCATGAGCTGGCGGCGGAGGTGGTGGACCATTAGGAGAAGCTAGATTGCTTGGAGAGAACTGAGGAGAGACAGCAGAAGTATATGAGCCATAGCCAGAATGGACGGGTGGAGTAGGGAGGTTCAGCTCGTCAGGCGTCAGGGTTGTTGGGGCATAAGGTATGTTTCCATATGGCGCAGGTTGTGCACCGTTTGACGGCGACCAGACATGAGACGGCGGCGGTGGCGGAGGGGGGTAGTATGTGGTATTGTCTTGGAAAGGATCGGGATATGTATAAGGCTGGCCGGGCTCGGGCATAGGAATAGGTTGGGAGAAGCGATGCTGAGTTTGATGGTAACCAGCTGAGTGCGGTGGGGATACGGCAGATGGAGCATATGAATACGGAGCGCGCGGCGATTGCGGTGGAGGTTGAGACGGATAAGCTGCAGGGTTGTAGCCAACATTCGCGTAGGCCTGAGGGTTGTATTCGGCATGGGTGGATTGTGGCTGAGGTTGGTCGCCCTGGGCGTAGTAAGACTGGGACGGATGGACATAGTCGGTGTAATTGGGCTGTTGAACAGGACCGCCAGGAGCTGGATAGGAGCCGTAGCCGGTCAATTCGGGCGTGGACCACGAAGACTGGAGAGCTTGTTGGTGGGCGTCGGGTGTGCCGTTGGTCGGGGCATAGCGCTGGGGTTGCTGACTATGCGACTGACGTCGATTTGGACGGTTATACGACATGGTGCCTCATTTGAACAGCTTCGGTATGCGTCTTCAGTCCATCGGGTATGCGATAGCAAGATCGAGTCGAAGCACGAGCTATTGTTTGCGATCAGCAGCGAGCTTTCCCGCACTGGCTCTGGCTCGCTCTATAGCACGGCTGTGATCGCAATCTGCAGACGAATCGGTTGCCAGCGTGCTGGGTCCGAGATTGGCACAGGCTTGAAGTGCCTGGGAACAAGAATGGCGAGGTCGTTTCTAGGATAAGACGGCGAGCACGAGACGAGACAAAAGACGAAACGAGCACTGGGTTCAGTTAATCAAATGCCCGCGCTGCCACATGCCCGGTGCAGACGGGAGGCCTGTGCTTGCCAAGTCATCATCTCACGCTTTGAAATAAACCCCGTCCGCTCCTGCCTCAGATGTCACTATTTGCCTAATGTTGGTTGTCTCCGACTTGAGGCCTCACTCGTTGTTCGTCGCTTGTTTCCCGTATCATGTAAGCCCGTCTTTCGCGTATCCGCAGCTTGAGCAGTCAATCTCAGCTCATCGCGCAACCGTTAGATAGATGGTCTCGGCGGCAGTACCCCACACCATCATTGACCACCTCAGATCCCGACTTGTCACGCCTGAAATCCCATGCCGAGCCCGCATGGTCCGCTGTTGTCGATCTTCTTGTCATGCCATAGCATCTCTCAGCTACACATCTGGCTATCCCGTACGCTGACTTTGTTAAGGCCTCCTTGCAAGAGTAGAGTGCGGCAACAACATCTCAGATTTGTTATAGTTTTGGCTGCAACAGCATAAAGTCTAACCCCGCCACTGTACCGTAGTGGCTTGTGAGCTTTACCGTGTGTTCGAGTACCAGATGCAGACGATTATCCTCAACTAGATGCCAGTCTCTGCTCATCTAAGATGGCATATGGCCTCAAAGCTGATCTACATTTGTTACATCGATAAGTTGTGCTTGCTGTAGTGCCAGATGGAGTCAATGTTCAACTCCATGCATGACTGATGAGGTTAGCTCGGTCGGCTGTGCTGTGGCTGAGAACCAGATGCGCGGTAGTGACGCGCTCCAATCAGCTGGCCTTAGCTCTCTCAGAGGCAACTCAGGTGAATCATGATTTTATCTTGTGGAATCCCTTCTTCAATGGCTCGCGATACAACAGTCGGCGGTGCAGCGGCGCAGTCATTTCATTGAACACTTCTAGTTCTTGGTTCGCCCCGATCCTTCCGGAAGAAAGTCGCCTTGGCAATTGGCGCAAATGACATAAAGGAAGCTGCAGCCCGCTGTCAGAAGACAGCTCCACCAATCTTTCCACCTAAGGTATTTTTGAGGTTCTGGAAGCACCCAACATGAGTTACGGATATCCTCAACAAGGCTACGGCCAACAGTACCCTCCCCAGGGACAACCTCCATACCAACAACAACCCTACGGTGCACCTCCTGGTCCACCTCCAGGCCATTCACCGTACCCCCCGCAGCACGGTGGCTATGGCGCTCCCCCAGGTCCTCCTATGGGTCACCACCCATCGCAATCCTTTGGAGCCCCTCCTGGTCCCCCGCCAGGACACTATGGAGCCCCTCCAGGCCCTCCTCCTGATCAGTACGGCCAACCTCAATATGGTGCTCCCGCACAGTACGGAAGTGGCCCTCCAGCTCCCCCCTCCATGGGATACGTTCCTGGTCAAGTTGCACCGATGGACATGTCTAGACAAGCCGATGATTTGAGGAAAGCCATGAAGGGATTCGGAACCGACGAGAAAGCTCTTATCGCAATACTCGCACCAATGGATCCTCTCCAGGCTGCCGGCGTCCGCCAAGCATTCAACCAGCGTCATCGTCGCGATCTTCTCAAGGACATTGAGTCCGAGACATCAGGCTACTTCCGCGAAGGTCTCATGGCCATAGTTCGTGGTCCTCTTGAGCAAGACGTTCTAAACGCAAACAAGGCAATCAAGGGAATCGGCACCAAAGAGTCTGTCCTCAATGATGTACTTCTAGGTCGCAGCAACGCCGACATGAATGCCATCAAAGCACATTACCATCATGTGTACAAAAAGTCTCTCGAGTCTGACGTCAAGGGTGACCTATCTCTCAAGACCGAGCGTCTCTTCGACATGGTCTTGGCGGCACGTCGCAACGAAGAGTCATCTCCTGTAATACCTCAGCAAATCGAGGCCGATACCACTGAACTCTATCGTGCTACGGAGGGTAGCAAGATTGGGGCCGACCAAGTGGCTGTCTGCGCTATCATCACCCAGCGTAGCGATGGTCAGCTTCGTGCCATTTCCCAAGCATACCGTCAGAAGTACCACCGCGAACTCGCAGAGGTCTTGAAAAAGAACTTCAGCGGTCACATGGAAGACGCTCTCTTGTACATCCTACTCAATGCCGAAGATCGCGCTAAGCACGATGCTCAACTCCTCGAGGCGGCTATGGCGGGCTTGGGTACCAAAGACGATCTACTTGTGAACAGAATTGTCAGAATTCACTGGGACAAGCATCGCATGTCACAAGCTCGAGGCGCCTACAGACACTTCTACCAGCGCGACTTGGCTGACCGCATTCGCGGAGAAACAAGAGGTGACTACGAGAGGTTAATGGTAGCGATTGTGCAAAGCGCCTAGTTATCTCTACCAAGCTAATTCTTACAGTTGCTGATTGATTCTTGATGATTGGTTTTATGGCGGCTATCGTCTACCACGAAGAGTCGGGTGGTCACGAGTTACGAAATGGCGATGTAGACCTGCAATTATACCTCCTGGGAACTTAGTAGTATTCTTTAATTCGATGAATCGTCTATCAGAGACTCCTTTCCTTATCTAATTAGCATCGTGACTATGGCCCACACATGTTTTTCAAGGTCAAAGCATCGAGACGGATCGGGATTTATGCGTATTGTAGTACTCGCTTCGGCAATCCACCCTCGCAGCCGAGACCGAGGTCCTCTTCAAGAACACCGACATGTATAGACCAGTGCTCTCTGCAACAAAACAAGTGATCGATTCAACAACCAGGCGATTGTCACACCTCGGGTCGATGATTGGTCCTAAAGCGAACAGAACGCGGCAAGACGTGCTACTCTCGGCCGACTTTGACATGAAAGCCCAGAAAACCTGAATTGTGATAGTTATTGAGAATCTGAAAGGCTGTATGAAAGTTGCACTACACTAGATGGTCGAAAACTTGATCACTCACAGCTGTAAGTTTATAAAAGACCTCGCAAAGGCCTGGGATCGACTCTTAGATAGCACTTTCCAAAAGGACTTTCTGTTCCTCTTCAGTAATCCTGATATCCATCTCGTTCTTCAATCCAATATGATAGAGACAAGGAAAAATTCTTTGTACTCGTACGCGGCACCACGCAAGCTGGTAAAGACCAGGAAAGTCGACAAGGAAAAATCCATGCCAATCAACAACGATCACTGGGACGATGTCAACTATGCTCGGCCTTCTTTAGGACCTCAAGTAACAGATGACTTTGGGTCTGATGTCGCATGGGCCACGGCCTGGGACAAGAGAAGGAAAATCCATGTCTGTTGGTTTTCGAGAGTGTTGCGGAAGCTACGACGCAAAAATCAGAACGCGGCTCTGCATTGAATACTGCCACCACCAGCAAACAGCAGTCAACATGAGGTGCAACGTCTAAACGAAGAAGGAAGAAGAACATCGGCGCAAAGAGCGTGGAAGAGGGTCGAATCTTATGCATTATTCCTTGCATTAATATTTATGCTTCACCTCATCTCAAACTCCCGGCTCCCCACAAGGAAACGACGATAACAAGAAACAGCGATATTATCATCCTCCGACAACTTCCTAGGGCTTTGCGACCAGCGCAAGAGCACCAGCGACAGCACTGGCAATCATGATGGCAGCGCGACCGTAGTTGAGCTTGCGCCATCTCAGCTGCAGCTCTCTGAACTCGGTCTCAGCAGCCTTCTGTCTGCTATCCTTGTCGGTTCCATTGGCAACACCGGCCTTGAGAATCTCTGCCAATTTGGTCATTCTCTTGTTCATTGGGACCTGGATTAACAGTGCCCAGGCTGTGGTTGCAATGTTCAAGCCAAAAGCGGCAGCGAGCTTGGGAAACTTGGCCTCGGCAATAAGGTTACCGTCGCGGGCGCGCAGGAATGCAGTGCCAGTGAGGATGAGGTTGGAAAGAGAGCACAGAGCGTTGAGTGGAGGGAAGAAGTGCTCGCTGTTGTGGAGAAGGTAGGCGGTTTGTTGGGCTGTGTAGTGGACTGGCACTCCAACGACGTGGTCGGTCACAGTGGGCATGATCAGAGGCGATTGCAGTACTGAACCACCAAAGTTGACGGCGGCGCCTAGTGTTGCAAAGATCTGTAGAGGTTCGAAGAACCAAGGGTTGCTGATGATGTTCGATGCGAGCGCGGCCATGACTGCTGTGTGTTTCCTGGTTCTGTGGTATCTATCGTCTATAGTCGAGCAAGATTGGTCTGTTTGAGAGAAGGCGAGGTGGTGTTCACTCAATTCTCTGCCTGTGCAAGAGTATATATCTATTTCGGACTTCTACATGGGGCCGATATCTGTAGGAACACGTCCCTGTTGTTGCATGTGAATGCGGAGCGATCATCAACACAGATCTTCAACATGCCTCGTCTACCCTGCATCATGTCACCTGAGTCGAGCATATACAAGTCCTCAACGCCAGTATCGTCCAGCTTGCTAAAATTGCTTCCATGGTCTAGGAGTAATACCTGCTCAGTCAACTCAAGGATCTGGTGATCCTTGCATCTGTGCAACCATGCTGATGCGGGCATGCTTTCGGGACGGAGAAGCTTTGCGGATCTCAAGAAATCTCCGAACCTTTGTCGATCTTTGCACATCTCTCCGACTGCAACTCTTTGAAAGGCTCGAGTCGTTCTCATGATATGGGCTTAAGATGCGTACATGGCAAGCGCGGCACTGAGTACTGGAGAGACACGACTCCAGAGATGCGACCACTGGCATTTCCGCTTGACAGTACAGAAACTTGGATAAAGTTTCCACAGGCGGCATTCCCATCAAGCATCAATTCTTTTATGTCCGAGTCTTTGGGAACACTGCCTCCTTGTTCTCTCTTTTTGTCATTGTGATAACGCTTGACAGACGCCATGTCTGGTTACATTAGGCCCGGGTCTTGTGCGATGACCTACTCACTCTCCCAAGTGGTCAAAGGGTTAGGGTCAAGCACCGCAAGACGAAATCATACCGGGTCCAGACCATCCATCGCCGGCTATGCCTGCTTCAAGAGCCATCATTTTTAGAAATCAGGAAGAGGTAGTGCTTCAATTGTGCTGCCCTACAAGCAGCGCTATAACCGGTATAGCTTGAGTGGACATCATCTGAGACATTTGAGAAGCCTCATCTTCGCTTCATGTTGCTACCACAACGGCTTTCGCCAACGTTTTGAACACCACAGTTCTCCTCAAGATGAGAAAGTTAATCCATCTATATGCATTACTGCGGCCTCACGCCTAGGTGATCAAATCTCCTGATGCGCAACTGAGCTCTGCGTGGAACAGAAGGTTTGTTTCTTCAATGGAGAAATTGCCGAGACCAAGGCTTCCGAATGGAAACCACGTGCTGTATCGCGAACGCTTACACTTTTTCGTAGCTTACATGAGGTCAGAAGCGAAGATGTCTCATTCGACAAGTGCAGCTTTGCTGTCGCATCTGTTCTTGGAGAGCATGTAGGGCTGGTTTGACAAGAGGAGGAAAGAACCGAAGGTGCCGGGCGTTCCTTTCTGATGAAAGCATTGTCCGCCTGGACATCCTCACTCGACCACCAGCCACTGCGATATGATGTTCAACCACATTGCTACAACAACTTTGCCTTGGAAATAGTGTTGAGAGCTAATCTTCTTCTGTATAACATGAGTCTCTGCGACTCTGACATAGATGTTCTCCAGCTTCACCTACATCAAACCAGCTGTTCATGGAGAGAATGCTTGTCCTCGTTTTCCAGGTATGGTTGTTAATACGATCGCTATCTCGTGGCGCTTGTCCGTTCATCAAATGTTAACGGCGAACCACGAAACGTCCATCGTGCCATTGTCAGAGACTGAGATCTCCACCTCCGCCATCCGCATCTAAGACATTCTCCCTTCCTTCCGCTAGGCGCCACAAGTTCCAGTATAGAATCACCTTTCCCAAGATGCCATGGCCAACACCAGGTCTAGATGTAGGTCCAGGCGTCCGAAAGACATGCCTTCCGTAGGTATATATACCTTTTTCACTCCTCTACGCTCGAACATGAATCATCAGTCAAGTTCTATCTACTCATTTCCCATCTTGATCTACACTCTTGACTGGGCATCCATCTTTCTGACCCTTTTCCATCTCCTCACATCGGTTCGTCATGCGTGCCGTTATTGCTCTCGCGGCATGCATTGCCTTTGCCAATGCCCAGACCTTCGATATGGACATGATTTTGGCTGCAGAGCCTGTCCCTACCCCGGCTATTCCTGTCGTCTACGTCACAGGTGACAATCCCACCACGACAGCATCTGCTACAACAGTTTCATATCTCGAGAACCAAGCTGTAGCGTCGGTTTCTTCTGAGATTGTCGCTGCAGCAAGCAGTACTGCTCTTGACAAACGTGCCGCTTCTACCTGCGTGCCTCAACCTACTGGAATCTCTTACAACTCGAGTCCGGACACTGCTTCTGCCTTCTTGGCCGATGGATACTACTCGAGTGTCGCATCTGCCGCACCTACTCCTGCTGGTTACATCAACACTTTCACCAATCTTCAGGCTTCAAACAACGCTTACGGGTATGCCGTTGCCCCTCTATATATCTCAACTATGTACTTCTTGCTAACTGGTAAACAGATATATGGGCTACCAGCTGCTGAAAACGTACGATACTCAGCTGTGCTCTCAGAAGTGTGACAAAATCAATGGATGCCTTTCGTTCAACATATACTACGAACGTGATCCTTCTGGTGTGTATGAGAATTACTTCAAGCGTGACACATACTGACATCGTCTAAAGTCGACCCTAATGACGCCTCCTGTGAATCGCCGAGCTCAGTGGTTCAGATCAAGTGCGTTTTCTGGGGAAGCCCTGTGCTTAAGTCCAATGCCCTCAACGCTGGACAATGGCGCAGCAAATTCCAGGTCGTTATTGCCGGATCCAATGGCTACGTAAACAAGACCATCAGTCCTGCTGCTGGTTATGATGAGCCTGTAGATCTTGGCGATGCTACCATCAATGCTCCTCTGGACTGCTCTGGACACGACACTTTCATGCAGTCCAAGTTCTTTACCTCTGGCCCCTTTGATGCCAATCTGTGTGCTTCCGCCTGCTCGGCTCAGAGTGTTTACAATCTGGCCCATTCTCCTGCTGATGGCCAACCCAAAACTTGCCAATTCTTCACTACCTTCCTCCTCTACAGGAATGGCGTCGCTCTTGGACAAACTTGCTCGCTCTACACCATGGCGTGGAATACAACATACAACACAAACAAAGGATACTATTATGGCAACGATCACTACACAGTCGGCTACAGCTACGCATTCTCAAATTCGACTAGCCAGGGCGCCGCTTATGCTGCTTGTGGCTCTTCCAGCTCATCCTTGGTCGCCTCAAGCACTACTATGCCAGCTTCTTCTACTACCATGACCACTTCTACCGCGACGCCGACTTCTCCCCTTCCCGATACATCTTGCAGCAACGCTGGCCTTCAATTCGCTTATTACCCTGGCCTCGCCAGCACACAATGGGACTATCACTCCGCCAACTACGGTCTCGATGCTGAAAACTACAAGACTGTGACCCCCAACTACACTGGTGTGACAAATGCCATTGGTGGCTTCGCGTGGAACACCTACCACCAATCCTCTACCATTTACGGCAGCTCGCGTCCGTTCGACCACGAAAAGATGGTTCTCAACCACCGAGGCTATTTCTTCGCACCCACCTCTGGCGACTATACATTCAGCATCCCTACTGTCGACGATGCTGCATTCTTCTGGCTGGGCGATGTTGCATATTCTGGATTCAACGAGTTTAACTATCTGCTTCTCGACAACCAAGCCGATGGCACTCAGAATGCCACCGTTACTCTTACGGCGGGCAGTTACTATCCCATCCGTCTGATATATGGAAACGTTGGTGGTGGCCCTGGTAGTCTGTACTTCCAGATTACGCAAGGCAGCAAAGTAGCAGTGGATTGGTCGTCGACTGTTTCGCCTTACTTTGTGCAGTACTCTTGTGATGGAACTACTGCTCCTGCCTACCCTGCCTTTGGACAGGAGATCTAGTAGCGGTAAGACTTTGCATGAATGAGATCTAAAAACGTTTTTTCTCTGTATATATTACACCTTTGTCTCTTTTTTTTTTTTTTTTTTCCACTCATTGTACATTCCCAGTCCTGTCAACAGCGATGAAATCCTCAGATCATTACGTCTTCAGATGTTTCAAGCTTGGAGTCCCAACATGGAAATGGCGATATTCTGTCCCGACTCCAACAGGTCATTGTAACAGGATGAAAACTTGGGTAGCAGCTATTGAAAGGTGGGAACGGAGTAAAGACGGAAATAAATGAGGCTCAGCCAAGCGAACGTGACCCCAGATTGATGACGCTGGAAGCTTCGGCTGGCTGTGCAAGCGCCAGTGACCTACTCGCCGCCTCTTTCTTTCTTTCTTCAACAGTGGATAAATAACCTGAGAACCTCTTGTTCCGCACATACACCTCACCTCGACCAACGCGACACTATACCCAGCGATGGCATCAACTACCAAGTATCAGGCAGCGCCGACGCGCGACTCGTTCGAGGAGCAGAGCTACAGCCAGCCCCCTCCGTCTTACCAGGCAGAAGCCTCTGCCATTCCTGGAATCCCCAGAGACGAAGACGACAATGTACCCGATGATTTCAAGGTATGCCGTGTTGCTACTCATTCATAGGAAATCTTCTTACTAAAAGACTACAGTTCGGTGGCTCCGTCTCCGAAGCAACTCTCGACATCCGCATGCAATTCGTCCGTAAGGTCTACTCGATCCTGACCGTCCAACTTCTTGCGACCGCCGCTCTTTCTTCTGTCTCATTCTTCAGCCCCGGCTACAAATCATGGATTCAGACCAACCAGTGGATGATGTGGGTCTCACTGTTTGGTGCCATCGGATTCATGCTCTTGACCTTCTGGAAGCGCAAGTCTTATCCCACCAACCTACTCTTCCTTGCTGGTTTCACTGCAATGGAGGCGTACTCGATCAGTGTTGTCACATCCTTCTTTGAGAGCAAGATTGTGCTTGAGGCTCTAATCTTCACCCTCGGTATCTTTGTCGCACTCACCCTCTTCGCCTGCCAGACCAAGTACGACTTTACCAGCTGGATTCCTTATCTTGCCGGTGCACTCTGGGTTGTCATCATCTTTGGTTTCATGGCAGCCTTCTTCCCTCACACCAGCACCATCGAGTTGGGATACGGCATTGTTTGTGCACTCATCTTCAGTGGCTACATCCTGGTTGACACACAGCTAATCATGAGACACTACCATGTTGAGGAGGAGATTGCAGCTTCCATCTCGCTCTATTTGGATATCATCAACCTGTTCCTGGCCATTCTCAGAATCCTGAACAGCCAGCAGAACAACTAGAGTTGAGCCGACCACTGTATCGCTAACGAACAAATTGACATGCCTTATTAATTCATGAATGCGGCGGAGTTTTGGATAGTGGGGTTGGGTTGGGTTGGTTATGGATGGGATTTTCTTAGCCTTGCAGTCACAAATAACAAAGACACAAGTTTCATGTTGCACCGCTGAGTCAAGAGTATCATGTTGGTCGCCAATTCGGACCTTCTCTTGCAGGAGATGTCTCAGACTTTGTCCGTTCGTCTCGGTCGCGCGTGAACCAATGAGAAGGTGGGATTGGTGGACTCGGTGGAGATGGTCAGCGTGGGTTGCATCATGGCGCAAGGGCAGTGTGGATAGTGGATAGGGGTCGCCAAGGGTCTGGGGTCCGTCCGACGGCGTTGCAATCGACTTTTTGATCGTTTCAGCGGCTGCGTTTTGATACGCGTGTCTTCAGCCATTCACTGCCACGCGATTTTTTGTCTGTGTCTTTGGGGAGGTGCTGCTTCTTGTTTGGATTCATTGCCAGCTTCCATCTCAAGTCCGAACTGGCTTTTCTCGTGTCCGGTTTTTTTGTCCTTGAGCTTGACGCCCGCTTCTCCAGCTTTGAGTCCCGTCGGCTAGACCGTTGAAAGACAACAACTGGCTGAAGACGCTTGACTGCCCAATACGTCCTCACTCTCGCTCCAGCCCTGTCAATGCTGCTTGTTTGAATCGCTGCATTCCACTGTCCATTCTTGCCAATGGCTTCGGTCGCTTCCAATCCCGCTTCCGCGGATGCTCAATCGTTCCCGCAACACCTCAACACCAGATCGCAGACCAAGAAGAGGTCAAAGAGGAAGCATGAAAGTCTCTCGAGCTCGCTGTGCGCTACTCTCGTTGAGCACCAACTAGGTACATCAATGTTTCTAGGCTCTAAAGCTCTAAGACGACGACAGCAATGCTGACCTATCCCAGGCCTGTCCATCAACGTACTCATGCTTCTCGTCTTGACACACGTCTGCTTCCCTAGCCTCCGCTCTTCGACAATTCAATACTTCACCCTGTCTTACTATGACGCTCAAACCGGCCTCTACAACCCAGGATGGCAGGACTTGAAGTTCGTCTCGCTGTGCATCATAGTCTTTACCGGCCTTCGCGCTGCCGCCATGGACTATGCTCTTGTCCCAATGGCCAGAAGATGCGGGATTCACAAGAAGAAGGCCACCATTCGCTTCGCCGAGCAAGCATGGCTGGTCCTGTACTATGCCGCATTCTGGTTTCTCGGCACAGTGCGTACCGCCCCGAACCCACAGTGTCGTGTGTTGCGAGAGCTAATGTACCAAACAGTATCTCGTTTACGAATCTCCATACTTCAACAACCTGCCCGCAATGTGGTCCGCCTTCCCCACACGCTCCATGACCGGCCTCTTCAAACTCTATTATCTGGCTCAATTCGGTTTCTGGTTGCAGCAAATCATGGTTATCAACATTGAGGAGCGCAGAAAGGACCATTGGCAAATGTTCACTCACCACATCATTACATGCCTGCTCTTGATCGGCAGCTACGGCTACTACCAGACAAAGGTCGGCAATGTCATCTTGTGCCTGATGGACGTAGTCGATTTGGTCTTCCCTGTAAGTTCACATATGCCGGACTGGTGTTGTCGAGTGCTGACCATTGTTTGTGCAGATTGCGAAGTTGCTCAAGTACATGGGCATGCAGACCGCGTGCGACATTGCTTTTGGCGTTTTCATGCTTTCGTGGTTCGTCGCCAGACACGTCTTTTACCTCGCTGTTTGTTGGTCCATCTACGCCGATGTCCCTGTCGAGATGCCTTACGGCTGCTACAACGCCGTCACTGGTGCCAAAACTTCCGAGGATGGCGGCAACGAGGTCCTCTCGAATGTGCTGCACGCTTATACTAGCGGCAATGGCGATGTTTGCTTCAACGAAAAGATCCACTACGGCTTCCTGGGTCTGCTGCTCGCTCTCCAGGTCATCACAATCATCTGGTTCGGCATGATCTGCCGCGTCGCATACCGTGTGATTTGTGGTAAGGGAGCTGATGATACTCGTTCTGATGACGAAGAAGAAGAGGAAGAGGAGGAAGATACCCTGGATACTGTGAGAGATTTCTCAACAAAGGAGCCTGAACTGCGATTGGCACCTCAGGAGGAAGAAGTTGGTGTCGAGAGTCTACGCTTCACACGCCGACCCAGTCCAGCGGCCAAGCGAACCTCTGAGAAGAGTCGTGCCAGTGGTATCAGCATCCCTGGCAACCACAAGGATCTGCTAGGTCGTATTGGCTGTGATAAGCCAGCTGGCGGGTCATGAGAACTCTTCCGCCTGGTCATGTTCCTGTTTTTGCATTGCTCAATTTTTCATGTCTGGATTTTTCTTTGGAGTCCTTCTTATCATGGTTATGTTTCTCTCTCCCCGCCTCTCGAAGACGGATTTCATTTTTTCCTTCATGACGTCGATGCATCATGATCTTTACTTAGACGGTCAGTCGCCTGCCGCAGAAGAGGAAAGAGATATAGAAGGTGTTTTATGAAAAGTAAAAAGAAAAAAGTAAAGCGTTTTCTTTTTCCGGAAATCATGATGAGAGATGAGATGAATGGAAACACTAGAATCCATATTTTTACGAAAGAATGACAAAAAATTACATTCTACTTTGTCAATTGCTGGAGAATGGATTGGACAACATTTTTTTTTTAGCAAGCGAGCACTGCGAATTCGATAACGAGTTGAGAAGGAGCGATCGCGCATGAAACAATGACGACTAGGTCCTTCTATTCTTGCTTCAAAGCTACAGTGGCAACAACTCTGGAAAGCTGTATCCCTTTTTCCAAACCACCACGCAGCGGAAATGATGCCCTGGGCATCAACTCTCCACAAAACCCTCTCTTGATCAGATCAATCAGCATCCCAAACTTACAATATATCCTCCCACCCCGGAGCAGTGCCATTCATGAGCAAATGCATCTGCCTAGCCAAAGCCAGATACCCCTCAGCCTCTTCCTGGTCATCTTCATCACTGCAGACACGAGACAAGTAATATAATGCTGTTGTCACTGTTGAGCCAGGTATTCCGTAAGCACCTCTGAGCTGAAGTTTGGGGTCTTGCTCCCAAGTCTTGTCGACCCAGAAACCTCTTTCGCGAAGGTATGCAATCGCATGTTTGCGGGTTTTGGCTTTGTCATTAAGGGAGATATTGATGCACATAAGTGCGGCTTGGAGGTCTTGCATGCCTATGCGAGGCAGGTCTGCGAATAAACGCTTTGAATAGATAGTTTCGAGTTTCTTGACAAGTCTTCCGACTTTGGATATAGTCTTGCCTTCGTCGACATTTTTCAGAGCAGCTTTCTGCTGAACTTCTGCGAATAGCTTTACCCAGTCTGCTTTGCACTGGACTTCGGCAGTGCATAAAGGGCATTTGCAGTCAAAGTCCCAGCCTTCACGCAGCTTGAAGCGATGCTCTGGCTCATCGGTGGTGGCTGGCCAGTAGGACGTTGTGAGCTCTGTTCCTGCGGGCATGTCGTTGATGGCACGGATGAAGATCATGTCGTTGATGAAGCTTCTGAAGGTGTTTTCGACGCAAGAGTGGTTCATGTAGGATGCTTGAATGTAGAGGCAATGTGCATGCTTGGTCGAAGGACTGACTTCATAGCTGAAACTGTTGTGGTCGATGATATCTTTGACTTGAAAGACATCGATGATTGCTTGACCGTCGACGACAAGTAGACGTTTCGGAGGCTTGTATGGTGGGCTTGCATGCAAGGCAAGCAATCTCTGAGCTTGTGACGGATTGGCAAAGATCTTTTGTACAATATCGATCCAAAGTTGTGCTCCTTGATCACGGCTTGAATAGGCATTCTTGTTCGAGATCCCCACTGGTTGTGCATATCCGAAAGCCTTCTCGCAAAGAATAAGATCACCGCGCTTGACGTCTTTCTTGAGGAACAACCCACGTCCGCGACCAGGTGATGTTCGTATCTCTGTCAAGTTGACGAAACTGGCGTGATCGAGGATCATTTGTTCTTTGTGCATAGCAGCAATGTCGTAGTATCCATGTCTCTCCTCACGAAGTCTGGCTGCAATATCCTCGCTCAAGGTACGTGCTCGATTGTTCTCTGGGAGAAGCTTCAAAAGGCGTTTGAGCAGACTGTGGGCCTGAGGGAAGTTGTGCTTCTGGCAAGCAGCATAGACGGCCTGACACAAGAACTTACGACCACCGTTCTTGATATCTTCGTCCTTGAGATGATGAAGCGAGGTCTGAGCATCCGAGAAGGATAGATCGTAATGGCCAGCACGCATGGCAGCAATGGATCGTTTGTAATGGAGTGCTCCTGACACATCAGAAGACTGCTGACTTTCAGATGCACGCTTTATGGCGTTGGAGTAGTAGACGATGGCTTTGGTGTATTCGTCTCTTTTCATCGCTTCCTTTGCCTGTTCTTTCCAATCCCAGATAGATCTGGAAGGGGAATTGGAATAACTTGAGAACGCTTTGGGCATCAACTCATGACCTTGTGGAAGAAGCATGATATCAGAAGGATGGATAACTCTGATTTTTGGTCCATACTTGCCCATCTCCAGACGAGGCGCTTTGATAGCCAGAACAATACCAGATGCGAGTATATCCACCACTGGTATAGTGATGGAGAAGTAAACTTCGACATGCATGGCTCTGCCTGCATCATCCTCGACAACATTCAGAACGGGAAGCAGCGGTCCTGCATGGCGAGGCCGACAAATGGTACGCACGATGATGGCAGATCTAGAGGCCTTGCTCCCCATACGAAGGTTGCTCAGCCGGAGGATTTTCAGATCTGCGAGTGGTTTCGTGCAAGGTGGGTCGCGGTGCTGGCTACGGCTCAACAGGGCCCATGTTGTTGTCCTGTCGGTGGCCTAGATGGCATTAATAACTAGTATAAACCCTCACTGAAGTAGAGACTTACCTTGTCATGATGCTTTTGAAGCACAGCTTCCCTGCTGTCCCTTCGAGGAGGCATTGCTGCGAGTCTGGATGGATTAGCGAAACTGCAGATGCAAATTGGAATAGAAGTTGTGACTCCAGTACTACGTGTTGATCGTTTCTAACTCCTTTTGTGTTGTACATTTTGCTGCAATCTCAGCATACTCTCACATCACCAAGTGTTGATGCGTTGTCAGTCTTGTCCAGCCTCACAGATAACGAAGCTTTCAGAAGCCCATGTCAAAGAAACACCAACACTTTGATCAACGGATTCTTTCGTGGCATGTTTCACATTATAGAGACGAGTGTACTATCGTGCAGAATCAGCGTACAAGGACGTATATTTGTTCTATAACTTCATCCACCGAGATGGAAATAAGAGGCAAGCAAAAGAAGAAAAAAGAAAAAGCAATTGCATCATTAACAAGCCGTTTGTAGCACCAGAATAGAAGGAGCTCGTCAAGTGTGTCGATCGCTATGCTGTCGTTTCGAGTCGTAAAGGGCGTTGATGTGCTGCCGCCATGCATTGCGTTTTGGATCAAAGAGAGGTAAGCAAAAATCATTGTGGAGAAACAAAAAGAAGGAAGCCCCCCAGTAGCAGCTGAGCACAAAGCAAAGTAGCTTGCATGTCTCAGTCTCATCGATACCTGCCTGATCGCTTCGAATCGTAGATGACCTCTCGTTCGTAGATGCGCTCATCGTACTTGGAACGAGGCTTTGCGGGTGGTGAACGTGGCTTGGGAGGTGGAAGTCTTTCGAGATGTTCACGTTCCCATTCAATCTCACGGATGCGGTCACGACGTTCGCGACGAATATCTTCCGTAAGCTCTACGAGTTGAAGCACGTCCTCCTGCATCGAATAGTTAGCATTCAGCTGGTAGTGTTTGGTTCATTCGTCACAACTTACATATTTCAGATATTCCATGACGTAGAAGAAGTGCTCCGAGTCCTCGTATTGATAGCCCATCTCTTCAATAGCTTCCTTGATGACCAGATCCTTGGCGACTTCAGTCCACATGTCTTTCGTGGGTTTACGTTTCTCCTCTTTGCGCTCGGGTGCAGGACCTCCGGGGCCGAAATCAGTTATGAACTCTTCGTCAGCAGTATAGAACTTGCTTCTTCGGGAGCCATTGTACTGTTGCCAGGTAATGTCTTGACGAGCACCCCCCAAACCATCCATCTGGACTCGTCTGGTCCCAGGAGGAATGTCAACGAGTCCCCAGTCTCGAGTCGCACCATTGTATGCTTCACCCATGTAGCCACGCTCAAGTGCTTTACGATTGTAATACTCGGCCTCGGCCGCGATTTCATCATCATAGCGACGCTGGGGTGCAGAGACCGAACGAGAGCGAGTAAGCTCAACATTTCGCTCCATCTCAGGCTCACGTGGACGTGCTGGGCGAGACACTTCACGCTCGAAAGTAATGTTCTCGTCATATCCTCCATTGCGGTTGTTGCGTCTGCGAATTTCAATCTCAAGACTTTCGTCTTTAGGTGCAGGAGGGGGACTCGGCGGTGCAGGGGGAGGACTGGGCACCGGTTCTGGAGCTCGCTCAATACCATGGTCGATGTGTCTGTGATGCGTAATAATTTCCTGAATGATGGGTGGACGGACGATAGGCTCCGGCGGTGGCGGTGGTGGCGGCTCAGGGGTTGGCTCTCTGACAGGTTCTGGGCTAGGCTCGCGAGGAACAGATCGCTCTCGTCTTCTTATGATGATTTCTTCTCTGTCGTCTCGCATAGGAGGAGGCGAGGGGTGTTCATGCTCGCGGCGACGGATGATGATCTCCTCACGCTCGTCTCTGGGAGGAGGTGGAGAAGGCTCGCGACGCCTGAACAACCATTCTTCTCTTTCGCGCGCAAGCGGACCAGGACTACGTCTACGAGAAGGTGGAAGGCTGCGTTCACGCTCGCGTATGCTGATCTCCTCTCTTTCCATGTTGCGCACGCTTCGGGCTGGAGGAGGCGGAGAACGTCTCTCTTCATGGCGAAAGATGATTTCCTCGTCGGCAACCTCTGATCTTGCGGCTTCAGAGCGAGGGGGAGGTCGACGGTCGCCAGCACCTCTTCGAAAGACTATCTCGGGCGGGGGGCCTCGAGGCGGTTCGGGGTCTCTTTCTCGTTCCTGTTCTCTCCTACGAATCAAGATGTCCGTCTCCTCAATTTCTCCTCTGTCTCTTGGCCTTGGGGGTCGCGACTGCTCACGTTCGCCACGGCGAAAGATGATTTCCTCGCGCTCGACATCTCTAGGATCCCTCGAAGGTGGTGGTCGTTCTCTGGGTGGGGGCTCGGCTCTGCGATCCCTAATCACGAGTTCGTCTCTTTCGACTCTTTCGCCACCTCTACGCGACATGGTGTCGACCTCTCTACGGGCAACATAGTCATATTCGTCCACTTCGCGATTCTTAACTACGAGTGGGCCGGCATTTGTTCGTCCATAATCGTCCTGGAGGAAGTCTGGAAGCTTTGGTCCACGGGTGCTTCGACGGTCACTCACAACAGTCTCTGGGCGGTCGGCATAGCGTGTGCGGTTGATGTCGACTTCGATGTCGTCGTAGTTGCGCGCAGGTCGAGGGCGAGCATAAGGATCGCGTTCGCGGTCGTCGTAGACATCAGCGACAGGATAACGCCGAGACATGACAGCAATGGCTCGTCGCCGGGACGTTTGAAACGGTCAGAAAGTGAACCTGAACCTCCGAGTCAGGCCCAACGTGGGGAAGTATCGAAACCCACAAGCGATGTGAAGAGACAAGGTGACAACATAAACAGCAGTTTGTACACCAGCGAGCAGAGGCAGAGCCGTCACACGAGAACCGTACGTCGACGAGCGGGAAACAAACGACGAGAACCTGGAACAGTGAAACTGAGAGGCTGGTGGGTGGTGGGGGTCATTCGTTTGTGGCTGCTTTGGTTGGTGCCCAAGCGCCTGCACCCTTGACGTATTGCTCTGACTACACCTTGATTCTGGCCGTCGAATCAGTATTGGAAGTTGTAATAGCCTGCCCCGGGATCGCAGTGACAGCTTGAGAAATTCACAGGACTTCGTGCATTCTTGTAGTCACACGTCTGACCATTCCTAGTGAGGAGAGGGGAACAGTTCTAATTACTCTCGTCGAGACGAGTCTGCATCTTGAAAACGATCTGGAGCTCAGCAGTCATCATAGGCAAAGATATCCAAGTACCAATATCAAAGGTTTTAAGTGCTAAACAGCGATATAAGAATGGAATGGCTTTCTGTCAAGGCAAGGCTTATTTCTTGGTTGAAGGGTCGAGCCTTCCCGAGCAGATGTGGGGCTTTCCGCAACCTTCATGTTTCAGCACAGGTCATCTCAGCCCGTTGACAGCAGACAACGACACACCTCAAACTATCAAGCCATCCCACTATCAGCAAAGGAAGGGTATTCTTTCATTTGTACAACAACTCATCTGGTAGTCATCTCAAAAACGAGCTGGCCATCCGCTCATCCTGCAATACTTGTGACAGCCTGGTGGCATGTGATCCAGGGTCGTCCACTGCCCCGGATAACTGGAGTGTCCATTAAACAGCAACCACGATCGGTCTTGATATTGCCAACACATCTATCCGCAAGCTTGAGCAATCAACTACAGAATATGGATCACCTATGAGTCACTTTGCGTATCATCTCAGTCTTCGCGTAGAAGGATATCCAAAGCTTCCATAGCACAACAGTCGAGACACAATCATGGACACTCGACGTCCCATCAGAGATACCGCTGAGCCAAAGGTGCTCTCAGTAGCCTTCAACAACGATTGCACCCGGTTTGCCTGTGGGTTAGATGATGGCTTGAGAGGTGTGTATACAGCCAGACATCAGCCTAACCATCGAACAATAACTAACCATGCTCAATAGTCTTTCGGGCAAAGGACTGCATAAGGACAATCAAGCAAGGCACGTCTATATTCTCCTAAGAAGAGATTGGATATCTGACTACTGCCAGCTCCTCGGCCTGGACACGGCATCGCCATCGCAGAAGTCTTGGATGACAGATACACAGCCCTGGTGGGTGGTGGAAGGCTGCCAAATTCATCGCCCAACAAGGTATGATGACAAATGACATGGGCGAAATAGTACTTACTGACCGCCGTAACAAGCTTGAGTTCTGGGACCTCGTCGAGAAGAAAAAGCTGAAAGAGCTCAACTTTGGCGAACCCATCATTGCCGTCCGGGTCACAGCAAAACATTGCGTCGTGGTCTTGTTAGATCGCACTATATCTCTGGCGTACACCAAGGACTCCGAGACCGGCACCATCAATCTAGGAACTGTAAAAGCACTGTATCGTACTGCAAAGAACCCCTATGGTCTCTGCTGCATTAGAGGCGACACTTTAGCACTGCCTGGAGAAACGCCTGGACAAGTTCAGGTGCTGACCTTGACTTCGAAAGATAAGAAGGTCTTCAAAGCTCACGAACAAGCATTGAGACAGATGGCTATCAGCAGGGACGGAGCCATTATCGCCACAGCCAGTTCACAGGGCACCATCATCCGCATCTTCAGCACTACGGACCCAACAAAATCTACTGAATTGCGTCGAGGCCTGGAGTCTGCATCGATATGGGGTCTCGCTTTCTCGCCATCTTCGTACTTCCTCGCATCCACATCAGACAAAGGCACATTACACATCTGGGACCTGCGTGCCCCAAGAGCACCAGAAGAACGTATTCGACAACCTTCCGACCAGCGAAAACGCAATTCTGGTAGTCGTGTCCATCATGACTACGACACGATATCTCATGCTTCTGGCTCTTCGTCACCACTGCCAGGTGCTGTAGCCACAGCTACAGGAGGCTATATGCTACCTCCACCAGACCTTCGTCACGCACCACCTGCCACTGCACCTTCACTGGGATCAATGCTAAGTGGTCTAGCCAAAGGCACAAGATCATCGACATCCATCGAATTTACTATCGGTTCTGATCCAACAAACTGGCAGGGACAGCCACGTTACACCAGTACAACGTTGCCTAATGGGCAAACAGCCAAACTCAAGGTCGACAATGTGGCTGTTCCTGGTAGACCGGATGGCAAACCGCCAAAGGGAGTGGTTGCTTGGGATCCGGAAGGCGGAGATAGGAGACTGTGGGTCGTAGAAGGCGGAGCAGATGCCAGATGGGAGGTGTTTGAATTGGCAGATGATTTGAGCACTGGTGGTGTCAAGATTGGAAGTACGGGCTTCAGAAATTATCTCACTAGGCAGTTTCCCGAGAAGAGCTGAGGATGGCCCAGTCTCGGGCTTTGAACAGGAGCAGGAAGCATGACAAGGAGGTCTCACCGATGCAATCAATAGCAAACGTGCGAGTGTGTGGGAAACGACAACATGGGAGAACCTCTAAAGGCTAATACGATATATTGGGTATCAAACATGTCGATTCTTCTATGCATTGTCTTCATTTCTATGTTTTACGTCTTACACACCAGCATCCCTCGTAGGTCGTGGACTGTTTTGCGCACTGTTGGCACCCCTTCCACCTTTCATCAAACTGGCGAAATAGGCTTCCAAGTTCTCGGTCGGCAGGTCTTTGGCAACATCTTGTGTTGTGCTGCTTGAAGACGGAGGTGGAGGGGATTGAGGACTGAATGGCGTACTCACGCCGCCAGGACTTGATGTTGTAGCTGGTTTGTTGCGTTCCTAAGATTCCCAATTGGTATCTGAACCTGGTGATTTCAGCAATGTGAACAAGGACGTACCTTCAAGCGTCTCAACACCTCGTCAGCGTCGTATTGGATACCGCCCATGTTGAACTGTACAGGGCCAACATGCTCGGCCATGGCTTTGGCGCCTGTTTCGTCGGTGCCTGTGCTTGAGGGTGTACCAGCTCCATTAGCCACACGACGGGCATCGCGAGCTTTCTTCGCTGCCTCGTCTTCCGCACGATAACGATCTAGACTCTCTGCTTGAGCAGCCAGGAAGATTTGATCAGGTGTGCATTCGACTTCAAGCTTCGGTTGCGAAGGGGCAGGTGGGTGTGGGTTTTGGATCTGTTGTTCGTAAAGAGAAATTGTGGTGTCTTGATCTGCGAGGGAGGTTTCTGCTGCTCCGCCAGCCGTTTGGGCTTCGGGTGTTGAGGGTAAGGTAGGAGAGTTCGGAGTTGAAGGGAGGTCTTGGATCTCGACGCCCCAGGCACGGCTGATGCCTTCGACGTCGAAGCCTTCGCGCAAGACACGAATCTTACCCCAGCTGTCCCAGCCGGAGGGTACGAGGACTCTGTCGCGATCAACAACGTTGTGTTTTGGTGGGCCGTCGGGTGAGGTGTTGATGTCTAGAGCGTGGTGGACGAGAGGTTGTATTGAGCCTGGTTGAGCGGGCATGGTGTAGACGAGACCAGCACCATGCTTGAGCAGGACAGTTCGTAGGAATTGGAGAATGTAGTCGAAGTGTGATTCGCGGTATCCACGCTCTTTCTCTAAGGATTCAATGTGCTGAGCGTTCTGGCAGACTACCAAGAGAGGCAGACCTAAGGGGTCGTCGTGCTCGCCGGGCCCCAGAGGCAGAGGTGTGTGGTTGTCAGTCATGGAAGTAGCGATATCGCGGTCGCGGCGATGCTGCCATGTAGACATGTTCTCTTGCAGGGCGGCTTGAGCAGATTCATCGAGCGAGGAGGTGACGAGGTTGAGTAAGCGGACCCATTGGCGTAGAGTGTGAATGAAGTCCCATGGCTTGGCCCAATCGAGTAGAATGACAGCAGCAGTATTGGGGATGGCATCGGGAGTAAGGAGACGGGTGAGCAGAGGCGCATACTGCTTGTCGGGAGTGGTCAGGGTGTAGAGGGACAGTCTTGCAACCATGTCGTCGTGGTCCGTGTCAAAGACGTTGTGGTAGGTGTAGCCCAGTCCAAAGCGTGTAGCGAGTACAGGAGCAGCATTCTTCTGGTCAAGTTTCCTCAGACGAGTCGTCTTTTGCTGCTGTTGTTGTGCCAGAGAGTCGACAAAGTCGCGCTGCGAGTCCATGTCACCGCCCAGGACGATCAACTTCTTGTCGGGCAGCCTCTTGCCGCTGGCCACTTTGTCCAGCAAAGTAGACCACATGTCGAGGTCGCTGCTCCCCGGCCGTGACTTTGACTGAGAGCGCGCCATCGTGTCTGCCAGAGTTGGTTGCGACGAGGATGCAGTGTTTGGGATTGGTGTTTATTGCAGCTTGGTCAGGGTGGCCGACAGCTTCACCGCCTTTGAAGCCAAACGACTTTCACATGCCATCAAGGTCTAGCTCTGCCTCTGTCTTTGAAGCTCCCGCGTCATCGTCAACTTTTTCTCTCCGCTCGCGTGTTTCCATCGCACAACGCCATGAACCAAATCAAGCAGGTCCAGCGCCTTAACGAGCGCGAACTCGAAAAGGTCGTCCCCTCCAACGCATCATGGCACACCGACTACCGCGACACAGCCTACATCTACGTCGGTGGCCTCAACCTCGACCTGTCTGAAGGAGACATCATCACAATCTTCTCGCAATATGGCGAACCCGTCTGGATCCGCCTCATGCGCGACAAGGAAACTGGAAAGAGCAGGGGCTTTTGTTGGCTAAAATACGAGGACCAAAGGAGTTGCGACCTGGCCGTCGACAATCTCGGCGGCGCCACTGTCATGGGCAAGATGCTCGCTGTCGATCACACAAGATACAAGAAACGAGACGATGAGGATGAAGATGAGGGTTATGTGGGTCAGGACAAGCAGATTGCCGGTGCAGACGCTGAAGAATCAGAACCCGAAGAGGAGCGCAGACCTCTGATCAAAGAAGAGATTGAGCTGGCAAAACTCATGCGCGACATGGAAGACGACGACCCCATGAAAGCATACATGATCGAACAAAAGAAGGAAGAGGTCGAGAAGGCATTGGCAAAATCATCCTCATCATCCAGAAAACACGACGATTCGCGCCGTGAGAGAAGACACCACCGCTCAAGACGCGACCACGACGACGACCGAGATAGAAGACACAGGAGAGCATCCTCGCGCGACGATCTAGACGACAAACGTGATAGGCGAGACGGCCATCGCTCGCGCAGACACCGCGATCGCTCAGATTCACCCAGAAGAGACAGACATCGTTCTACCAGAGATTACAACGATTCTCCACCCCGACGCGAAAGAGACAGCAGACGAAGAGATTACTCGAGATCACCAACGCCTCCTGTCAAAGAACGCGACTACAAGCGTAGAGAACGCAGGCGCTCTTCTACCCCACCTCACAGAGATGATTCACGAAGCATATCTCCCAGACCCAGGCGATAAAAAGTATTAAGTTCAATATAAATAGTTTTTCTACTTCTTGCGACCAACTTTTATAATTTCTCATTCATGCGATGTGCTTGATATCATTCACATGAGTATCTTTCGCTTGCGAACATCTGGGAATCTTGTTGGATGCCCGTTATGTGCTTCAAGAGTTGGAACATTTTCTGGTTTGATTGGAAAGATACAAATACAACATTTTAAGGAGGGTATATACAAAGTCTGGAAGAGAGTGACGGAAAAAACATTAATATATTGCGCAAAAAGCACAGCCATAAATCATACGTCTGACCAACTTCACTCAAGCCTTGGGCTGGCACGCAGGAGCAGGGTTGGTAGCGTTAGACGAAATGTACGACCACTCAATGGTGTACTTGTCAGAACCACGGTACTGGCCGAAGTTGGTGGCATACTTCTGAGGCCAGCTGTTGTCGTAGAGAGCACAATACTGACCAACGGGCTCGCCGTTCTTCATCAACATGTAAGTGTTGTAGAACTGGCAAGTCTTGATGTCGCCGCCGTTGGATGGAGGGTGGGCTCTAGCGTAGTCGGCTTGAGCAGTGCAAGCAGCGGCACACTTGGAAATGTCAAAGGGTCCTGATTGGAAGATGCGGACGCCGAGGTAGCTGTGGTCGTTAGCTTTGGAAGGCTGCAAGAGGAGCATGAAGGACTTACGTATCGTTGCCGTTGCAGTCGAAGGGAGCATTGATGGCGGCATCACCAAGGTAGATGGGAGTAGAGCAGCCAGGAGGAGTAACGATCTTGTTAGACACGTAGCCGTTGGAACCAGCAATGACTACGTGGAAGTCTTTGCGCCATTGGCCATTGTTCTTTGCATTGTCGGCAGTGACGGGACCTCCCCAGAAGACACACCTGTAAAATTAGCCTGATTCCAGACATTTGAATGTAGTAACTCCGCTTGGTAGCCAGAAGTCCACTTACTTGATGTTGGTGGTGCTGCTTGGGTTTGCACAAGAGGCATCATTGGCTGTCTGAAGTCAGCATAATATGTCATCAAATGGTTCTAGGTGGACATACGGTTGACAGTTGGGTCGCGCTCAAAGTAGATGTTGAAGGCAGCACAGCCCTTGATAGCATCGCACTTATCAGCACAGGTCTGTGTCGAATACTCGTTGAGCACAGTGTATCCCATGTATCTGCTCTCTGGTCAGCAAGAATTGTGAGTTTTTGCAAGAGAAGCAAAAACTTGCCCGTAAGCATTGTTTGAGGCCTGCAGGTCGGTGAAGGTGTTGTAGTAGCCCGATGGGGTTTTGGCCCTGTTGGCAGTGGCCGAGAAGTCATTGTAGGCCAGGAAAGCTTCAGGAGTATCAGGTGTAGGGACTGGGCCAGCACCAGTAGGTTGAGGCTTGCAAGTAACAGCTGCGCGAGCCTTGAGGCCAGCAGAGCTGACACCGGACGCCTTGACCTCAGCAGCGACGGAAGTTGCAGCAGCGGACGGTTCGTAGGTGACAGTGCTGGCTTGAGCACTAACGTCGACAACAGGCACCGTAACAGTAGGAATGGGAGTAAGGGCATCAACAGCAGCCCAGTCAATCTCCTGGGGGAGAGGGTTGGCTACAGCCAGAGCTGCAAAGGCAGCGGCCATGGTGAAGGAACGCATCTTTACTTGTGTTCTGGAACGAAGGTATAGAAGGAAATGTGCAGGAGAATTGGATGGGTTGTCAAATGCTTGTGGTGTTGATACTCGTTCAAACTACTGGGTCTTGGGCATATATATATACTTGAACCTGAAAGTTCCACTCTCCACTTGATGACACTTTGCCTGCAAACGAGCATTACCACCTCGTCGTCGGCAACACACGACCCGTCCAAGATCCTTTCCAGAATTCAAACGAATCGAGGCCAAGGAAGGATCGCGAACAAGTCTGCCCGTGAGCACTTACCGAACTAGCTGGCGAGTGCTGGTATCAAGCCAAATACAGAATGTGGAGTACGAATTGACACGAAGGAACAGGGCAACTGTGGTATAACGAGCACGGAGCCTCGCGATGGGGTCTGATGAGGGAAGGACGTCGCGACTCTGCAGGGTGCTATCACGGTGGCTGACTCTAAATCAAGCCCAGAGGTCGAGGAGCGTGCCGTTTGGAGGAGCCCTTCCTTGGCAGGATGGCCAAACTGAACTTTAGTCCTCATGATGGACTTTCGAGTTTGGTACGCCTGTCTGTTAGTGCAAAGACGACAAGTTTTGCCCCTGTTTGTGCCGTGTGGTTCCTGCTGTAGGAAGCGGATGATCTTCCGGGAGTGCCATTGAGTAAGGACTCTCCATATTCTTTTTGGTCATGCTCATCTCGCTTCGCAATTTCGATTGATGAAGTGGTGCTATGTCGAGAACAAGCAGGGAAAGGTCTGCGATGACGCTCGAATCCACTTTGAGAATTGACTTCTTGGCCCCGCATTCCTTCTGAGGTCGCGCCCGTTGCCTGAATGGTCGTTTCGAGATCGGCACGATGCTAAGTTTGGGGAGTGGATACAAAGCGCCTGGAGGATCTTTCCAGCTTCAGGGTATCGCCAAGCTTGACTTGCCTCGAGTACGAACAGATCGTTTCCATGTTTGCAATGCACTTGCGAGATTCCAGAAAGAACTTTGGGCTCTATTCGGAAGATCAAAGGCGCAATCATATCGAGCCTGGGAAGGAGTTTTGAGAGAAAGCATTTGCTGAAGCAGGAAATATCAAACGCTTCGTAAAACAAAGTCGTGCGTTCTGTATCAGCTTCCTACGTCTATTTTTTAGCCTCGTGTCATTATCGCGCCTCTTGCCGCCATGCAGCAGTGCGTGCAGGCCTGGCTATGCAATAGTGATCGCGCAGTGTCTTCGCGCGGGTCTGAAGGATTCATCCATACCCAAAAGTACGACCCATCTCTTGCATATGTCGTTGTGGGCCTGTTGAGCAGAAACACTGTTCTACTGTGAAAATGTCTCGGACGCGAACCAGAGAACGAAACGATTGTCGCAGGGCGAGACTGCAACTGTCTCGGGCTTCGGATGGCCTTCACACTGGAACCACACGAGTCAAGTTCAGGGCATTTGCATACAACAACTTTGACTCCAGTGGCATGCCAGCCGACGGCCCGTCTTGTGCGCTGTCAACTCGAATTTTTGGTTTGCGACTACAAGCGCCATAACCATCCTCCCGCGGCGGCCCTGAAAGTTCGTATGCGCAATGCACTGCCTTCTCATCATGGCTGCTATCTTTGCTGGTTATGATGTTAATAGTGTCCTGCAGGTCGATCATTAGTCTTTGCTTTTCGGAATTATTGGTGCATCCAGTGTTTGCCCAAACGACGATGCGGATGGACTGTGGATGCTTTGCGAATAATGCAAAGCATTAATTCTCCGAGCTGTGAATGGACTCAACTCCGTATCTCTCATTCGCACGTCCATCATCTCAGTTCCAACCCAATGATGGTGTTTGTGATTGAGTCATTATGGAAACCTTGCAGTCCTTCGAACTGAGACTACATTCTTGGAAGTACGAGCGACATATCTGTCTACAGGTCTAGGCAGGCAGCTGGATTGAACACACAAGGCGGATGCAAAGATAAGTCGCGATGCTAAGTCACCGAGAATAGTACCAACATTGCTCCGTGAAGCCAAAGTCTGATACCCTGAGGATCATCCTTATCCATCGATCTACCGGTTGGTCTGTGGACAGAGGCCGATCGTAGGGCATAGGATGATCTCAGATTATCTTGGTGGAATTTCGTAGAATGGTCCATAGCACCTCACCAATTCACGGATTCACCGAGCGATGGAATCTGGCACGTCGCGCCAGCAGCCAATTTGGGTTCTCGTATATTGTATACTCTATCCTTTAAAGCTGCCGCAGAACCTGTCACAGAAAACAGAGCTGATCAAGCATGAGTTACACAGAAAATCACCTGATTGCTGATTTGTACGCGAGGAAGAAATGCAACAAGAAATGGGCGGTGCTAAGAACGCGAACGGCACGCATTCTCTCGGCAATCTCGTAGGATACTTCGTTGGCTGCCAAATCTCGCGTGAGGTCAGAACATGCTACGCGACCTGCCAGAAACTGGAAAAAGAGATCAGCTGGAGTGGGCGTGTGTATAGTGCATGTTGCGATATTGTGAATCAAACCAAAGTGGAACACATGGTGAAGTATCCTGAATTTTCGTGGGTCTTGATTAGTGATAGATTAACATGCCCATACTTTTCTTGATGAGAAGGTGCATTATTTCTTCCAGGACATGATCGTCCATGCTCAACCCTGTACAGCCGCCATTGTCATACTCATATCCTCGTGAGGTAAGGGTGAAGGCCACTAGATGTTGGCCTTCTTAGGGAGTCATGCGACAGCCTGCTCGACCTTGGCCAGGCAGTCAAAGAATTCGTTCCAGTGATACATGATAGTGATAGCACCACACTCCTCGGTCAGCATCTTGGCCATCTTGTCAACTTCTTCCTTGTCTTCGTAAGCACCAACGTAGCCGATAAGAGGAATCTTGGCGTTCTTCGCGGCGGTAGCCCCAGACTTGCTGTCCTCGATAGCCACACATTGGCTGGGCTCGACACCAATCTCCTTGCATGCATGGAGATAGATGGCAGGGTCCGGCTTCGAGGTTGGTTTTTCGAGAGAGGTGGCAGCACTGTAGACGTGCTCTGCGGGGAAGAACTTGTCCTGGCCGACCTTGCGAATGGAAGCCTGAACTCTTGAGAGAGCCGATGACGATACAACAGCAAGACCGTACTTCTTGCTCTTGAATAACTTTTCGAGTACCTCGGTAGCACCGTCGCAGGGCTCGGCCTTTTTCTCGAGTGTCTCAACAACCTTGCCGAGCTCGCGGTCAACGTACTGGTTGAACTCGGCCTCGGGGATCTCGAAGCCGTACTTCTTCTGCAGAGACACCATCATGCCTCTGAAGTTTTGACCTACAAACTCCTTGAGGAGTTGAGGGCCAGTGTAGCGATCCGACTTTCCATGCTTTTCCAGAATCTCGTTGGCAAGCTCGGCGCAAGCCTCGAACGCAAGGTGTTCACTCAGGACGAGAGTGTTGTCGCAGTCGAACAGAATCTCTTTGATCTTTTGTTCTAGTGTTAGCCATCGAAGCCACTGGATGATGCTGATCCACAGGATGAGGTAGCCGAGGAGCTGCTCGAGGCTGAAACTTACGGGTGCCATTGCGAGTGTGATAATATGGTTGTCGAGAAGGATAGTCAACGAGTCGTAGAAGAAGCGGATTATATACACGGAGCGAGAGGAGGAGAATCACGAAGCAATGCGTTGTGCAATTAACAAAACAGCATCTTGTTGATTCCGGTTGCACATTCCCCTCATTGCCAACTGATCAACGTCACCTTCCCCTCCACTCAAACCAGCACGGTCCGCAGTGAGATCAAGACCGTCGCGATGCATACCAGTTCCGAGCTCTGGCGTGAACTTTTGCACAACTAGCCACCATCTTGCTCATTCAGACACAAGCTCTTTGCCGGCCATGTTCACTAACTTGCATCAAATCGCCAAAGCCTGTTGTCTTGAGCGCTTGCGAGGCATTTACAGACTTGCTGCTGTGACTCCACACCACGGCCAGCAGGCCTGAGTGGGGCAGAATATCGCTTCAATCTATCGACTATTGTGACAATCGCGCTCGCTGCCGAAACAAATTCCTGCTTGGGCGCAGATAAAGTGTAACTTGCGTTGTGCAGCAGAAGCCATTGCGTGGGCTTACTGCTCAATCAAACAATACTTTGAGCACCACCTCGAGCTTCTCGAATCCTGGTCTCGCGTACTGCACATCTTGTGCAATGTAGCAAATTCACAAAATTCTGGAGCCAGACCACCTTGCGACCATTCAACAGCGGACTCTGCTCAATCGTGACACTGCATGCTCCGGGATCACAGCTTAGTGGGCGATGAAGAGCGTGGCTAAGTCAGAAGAACATAGCAGATGCTCCAACACATATACGGGTTTGAGGAAGATATCGCTAGGATACGGGCGTAGAGGTGTCTGCAGATGTACAGAACGAGGAGCTTTGCTTCTCTAATCCCTGTTCTCCATCGCGGCCTTCCAGCCCCCCAACGTTTGTCTGGCTCTTGTGTTACCTGTTAACATTCTGTCTCTTGAAATCAAGCAGTGTACACCAATGCTCCGGCACAAGAACACCAACAAGATCTATGCTTCAACTCTGAAGGTTGTCATAGATCGCTGTTGAAAGGCATGTTCCTAAGTTTCAAGACGTCCGCTACTTATCACAGATGTTGCGAGCAGCGCCTTCTTGTCGATTTCTTTTCTTTTTCTTTGGTATTGTAGCACGTTGATATGGCAATCTGTTCTTCAAACCATGTCTGTTCACAAGCAGTCGAAATGACACAAAGTTGATACGGACGAATCGCGAAAAATTTCGTGCTTCGACTTTTGTTCAAATCCTGATAGGTGGCTGCTCCGGAGCATCCCATGATAATAATGCATATGTTGCTTTTCTGTAAAAGCATAGCCGACTCCTCGAGCATTGCAGTATACAGGATGGCGCGCCGATTGTCATAGGAGAACGACCAAATGTTATGAAGTAAATTATAGCCATTATGGCCAGGGTCTCCATGATGACACTGAGCATTGGCCATTCGAGCCACTCGGTTTACATCCTCATGTGTACTCCAAGGCCGGCAATCATCATAACGCTTGTGTTCTCGGTGCTGGTTGCTCAGGGTATAGTCCGGTCGAATCCGTTGTTTCAGTGCTCATAAAGAAGCCATACTGAGTCTTGGGTAGAAGTTTCGTGTCTGAGAGCTGTCCGGGTCAATAAAGCAACAAGTCTCTTGGCTATTTGCAAGAACGCGCGTGTGATGGCAAGAAAAATCGACCAGAAAGGTTTCGACCACGGCACTGACAGGCAGAGAACTTGGAAAGAGACGAAGTTGTCACCGCTCTGATGAAGGGCCATGACGAATACCAGGCTTCGGGCCGAAGATGGCGAAAGGTTGTTGCCATGGTTTCTGAAAATAGCACGGCCCTTAACCGTATCCTACCGTATTGCGCAGTTACAGCTGCGGCGCATCACCTTGATAAACAAAAGTTCATATCGATTGGCGAGTCGCATGGCGCAGCAAACTGAGAACCATCCGAAAGAGAGAAGATCTTGAACAAAAGACACATTTTTGCCAAGGAGTATCCGATCTTACCGTCGAAAAGGATTGCTTAGTGATGCTGCGGTAAGAGGGACGCGTTTCAGGGTTGGTGCATGTTATGGCAGTGCAAGGAAGAGGGGAGGGGATGACTTCAGCTGCATTTGCTTGCTGTAGCAACGGGCCTTGATCTAGTGCCGCTTTTGCCAATCTCCTTTCCAAAACCTAGAATATTTTCTTCGAAGTCTTGTGTTTGACTTGATACCTTGTCTATTACCACGTCTCTGTGAGGTTCTTCGGGAGTGTCGCTATCGGGAAGCGCAAACGCCTCGAGTAAACAAACTCCATATCAGCCACGATTCTTACGACTCTCGGATTTCTGACCGGCGGATCTTTGAAGCACGCCTGAAACAGCACAAACATCAAGAGAAAGGGAGAAGAAAGTGTTTGCGCATCCTAATCAGAGTCGCGTATACGGAATATTGCAGAGAGTGTCGCAGACATGTCGTACAACCGTCTTGGCCGTAAGTGCAATACCCAGCCTCCCAAGAGGAAGATGCGGCAGGAAGAGAAAGGGCAGAAGTGGGAGATTGAAGCCTGGGAGTGGCAACATTCCTCAGAAGCTCCGTGTTGGGCACGCGTTTCACAAGACCGAGTGCGAGTTTCGCTGACCGGGCCATTCTGTCGCAGCATACGGCCGCCATTCGCCTGACGAGGACGACGAACATTACGGCGCCCAGTCGCAAAACCCATTCATGGATCCTCGCGCCGGCAGATCACCGTCCCCCGGACATCCTTTAGAGTCGTATGCCTTGCACGATAACCCCTATACTCATGACGAACCGCTACACATGCCCATGGGTCCTGGTCCTCGTCCAGGCGCTTCGCCTATGCCTGGAACCTCCTCAGACAGACTCCATCCTCAGCCTACAGTGAGCTGATCATACATCTCATGTGAATACGCCCTGCTGACCACTTATCACAGTTCTCGGTAGAGCACGTTCCAGGAACTTACGGCCACAGCGACAGCTACGACTCGCAGCACCATTACCAAACAAGCCCTGTCTACGGTTCGGGTGATTATGCCCTATCTCCTGAAGACCACCATGACGCATATCACAATGAGCCTTACCAACCTGCTATCACTCCTATGGAAGAGGTGTACGGCCCTCCCTCTGGCGACCAGCATCCCCACTACTGGCAGGACGAGGTCGACACACACCCTATTTTGCAACAGGACTCTGCATATGGGCCTGATCCTCACCAAGTACCCACTCCAATGGCAGAAGAAGAGATGGAAATGAACGCAGACCAACCACAATCAGGAGGCGGTATTCGGAGATGGAAGACGGTCAAGGAAGTCCAGCTCTTCAACGGCAATCTGGTACTCGACTGCCCCATACCTCCGAGACTGTTGAACCAGATTCAGCACGCTCAGCCTCCCGAGCGTGACGAGTTCACACACATGCGCTACTCGGCAGCCACCTGCGATCCTTCCGAATTTTACTCAGAGCGTTTCACCTTGCGCCAGAAGCTTTTTGCCAAACCCAGACATACCGAGCTGTTCATCGTCATCACCATGTACAACGAGGAAGATGAGCTCTTTGCTCGCACAATGATTGGTGTTATCAAGAACATTGAATACATGAACTCGCGAAACAGCAGCAAAACTTGGGGCAAGGAGGCTTGGAAGAAGATTGTCGTTTGCGTTGTCAGCGATGGTCGTGCGAAGATCAACCCTCGTACCAGAGCCGTTCTCGCAGGTCTGGGTGTTTATCAAGACGGCATCGCCAAGCAGCAGGTCAATGGCAAAGATGTCACTGCTCACATCTACGAGTATACCACACAGATGACCCTCGAGCTTAAGAAAGGCGTGGTCTCTGTCAAGAAGGGAAATACCCCTGTTCAGATGCTGTTCTGTCTCAAGGAGAAGAACCAGAAGAAAATCAACTCTCACAGATGGTTCTTCCAGGCCTTTGGTGAGGTTCTCGACCCCAACATTTGTGTTCTGATCGACGCCGGTACAAAGCCAGGAAAAGACTCTATCTACAAGCTATGGAAGGCTTTCGACCTTGAGCCCATGTGTGCTGGTGCTTGTGGTGAGATCAAGGCTATGCTGGATCATGGCAAAACTCTCGTCAACCCGCTAGTCGCTGCGCAAAACTTCGAGTACAAGATGAGCAACATCCTTGATAAGCCTCTTGAATCTGCTTTTGGATTCATTAGTGTTCTTCCCGGTGCCTTTTCTGCTTACCGCTTCATGGCTCTTCAAAATGACAAGACTGGCCAAGGCCCTCTCGAGAAGTACTTTGCTGGTGAGAAGATGCATGGTGCCAATGCCGGTATTTTCACTGCCAACATGTATCTCGCTGAAGACCGTATCCTCTGTTTCGAATTGGTATCAAAACGCAACTGCTCTTGGATCCTGCAATACGTCAAGTCGGCTACTGGCGAGACTGATGTTCCCACTGAGATGGCTGATTTCATTCTGCAAAGAAGACGTTGGCTGAACGGCAGTTTCTTTGCTGCCGTCTATGCCCTCGCTCATTTCCATCAAATCTTCCGCAGCAACCACTCTGTTGGTCGCAACTTCATGTTCATGGTCGAGTTCTTCTACCAGGGTGTCAGCATGCTCTTCGCTTGGTTCGCTATCGTAAGTGCATTGACGCTAACCACGACACTTCAAAATCATCCACTGACATGTATTACTGCAGGGCAACTTCTTCCTCGTTTTCCGCATTCTCACAGGTTCACTCTCGGATTCAAGTCTCAATTTCGCGCCTGGAAAAGTGTTAGGTGTGCTCTTCGAGTGGATCTACCTTGCTGTCTTGATCACTTGTTTCGTCCTTGCGCTCGGTAATCGTCCACAAGGTTCAAATAAATTTTACTTGACTCAGGTCTACTTCTGGGCAATCCTCATGGCGTAAGTCTATCATGTCGATTCAAGACGTTTTGACTAATATCTGCCTCAGATATCTCATGTTTGCAACTGTGTTCATCACTGTCAAGTCTGTACAGGCACAACTCAAAGAGCACGACCACTTCACTTTCAGCATGTTATTCACCAACTCGTTGTTCCTGACGCTCATCGTATCGATGGCCAGTACCTACGTCCTGTACTTTGTCGCCTCCTTCATGTTCTTGGACCCTTGGCACATGTTCACGTCCTTCTTACAGTATCTTCTTCTCACGCCGACTTACATCAACATTCTCAACGTCTACGCTTTCTGCAACACTCACGACATCACTTGGGGTACCAAAGGAGATGACAAACCAGAAAAGCTGCCCTCTGCAGTCACCAAGCCTGGTGGCAAAGTCGACGTTACAATTCCCAGCGACGACCATGATCTGAACAGTCAATATGAAGAAGAACTTCGCGTATTCTCCACCAAATGGGTTCCTCCTGTCAAGGTTGCTTCCGCGTCTGAGAAGCATGAAGACTATTACAAGGGATTCAGAAGTGCTGTCGTTCTGGCCTGGATGTTCTGCAACCTCGCTCTCGCTGCAGTGGTCCTCAACACAGGAGGTCTGAACCGCGTCTCAATCGGCACTCAAGACGACAACCAGCGCAGCACCATCTACATGAGTGTCGTGCTATGGAGTGTTGCAGTTCTCAGTGCTTTCAGATTTATTGGAGCCTGCTGGTTTTTGGTGGTTAGACTTATCAGAGGTGTTTAGATGTTCTTCATGACCTCTCTCACGGAGTAATGATTTGGTTTTGGGATCATGATTATGCTTGATGATGTATTGTAGCGAGGCGTTCTGTCAGGTTCCTTCGGTCTATTTGATCTCTCATTCCCGCCTCTATTCTGTGCTATACAATATAATCTCTCCATGTCGGTGCAAGCATGAGCAAGCTTTCAATCGGTGAAGTTTCACTAATCCAGTGTGATAAGGCGATCGAAACCAAGCACATGTATGCTATGATGTAGCTAGCTAGCAAGCAAGATCGAACCAGAGCTCCTTCCCATTTGAACTGACATAAGACAGTCGTTTGAACGATTAGCAGCTACATCTCAGTCCTCTTCTTCGGTACCGTCCTGGTCCAACTTTCCGTTCCTGCTCACTTCGCTCACACCTTCCTCGTTTGACCGCGTGCCGTCTCATTGCTCTTCGCCGCGCTTCACATCCAAGTGACAGGCGCGCAGCCTTCTTCCTTCCACTATTTCAATCTTCCGCGCTTCCAAAGCAACTTCTCACCTTCCCACCTTCCAACCACAACAAAGCACTTTGACCTTTCGACGTGCACTTATCTCTTCCTTTGATCAACACGCCAGTCATCTTCATCAGCAATCATCATGGCTGACTGGGATACTACCGCTTGTAAGTAAATATCTCGCACTTTGTTGTGTGCGCACTTCGCAGTGCGCCTGCCTACCTCACATCTGCCTCGCCTCATTCTCACATCCCAATCCTCTTTATCAATTTACATCTTACTCACCTTCTTCATCGACTAAAATCTCACTCACCTTCCATCACTCCTCGCTTGCATCTTGCATTCCATCATCACCCTCTCCAAGTCATCACCACGTCTTACCTTGGTCAACTCAACCACTTCTACTCCATCTGCACTCATACACATCCACTCAATAACACACACCACTAACACCATGTCAGCTTCCGCATGGGACGCACCCGCCGCAGTCGACACTGCCGGCTGGGTTGAAAGCACCGCTAATGCTGCTGCTCCTGACGACGTTTACTCCGGCATCGACCCTGAGATGATCTCGAAGCACGACGCTGGTGATGACACCTGCCGCAAGTAAGTTCTCAATGCGATTCACCTTCCATTTCTCTTCTGACAACCTTTCAGCTGTGGTCAGTCAGGTCACTTCTCTCGTGATTGTGTTGAACCCCGCCAGATGACTGGCGAGTGCTTCAACTGTGGCGAGGTCGGACACAACAAGGCCGACTGTCCTAACCCTAAGGTCGAACGTGCCTTTACTGGCACCTGCCGCACTTGTGGTGCCGAAGGTCACCGTTCCGCAGAGTGTGATAAGGCCGTTTGCAAGAAGTGTTCCGGCACTGGCCACACCGCTGCTGCTTGTACTGAGAAGTACAACATCTACCCTGAAGGCCTTAACTTCACCGACGACGCTGACAAGGCTTGGGACAACCTGGTCCTCGCTGATGAGAATGGAGATGTCGACGACTTCTACCAGGCCTTCTGGATCTACTGCAAGGTCGCCCCTGAGCTTACCCTTGTTCAGCTCGAAGAGTGCTTCCGTGAGACTGGCTTCAAGTGGTACCTCATTGCCAAGGAGCAGGCCATCCCCTCACTTGTCCACACCAACGTCGACCTCCAGGGCAACTCCGACAAGAAGTATCAAGTTTCCTTCCAGAAGACTTCCAAGCCCCGTCGTGCCATCCTGGCTGAAGGTTGGCCCAAGGACCTTGAAGAGAATCTCCAGCGCCTTCAAGATGCCGGTTTCCCTCGCGACAACCTGAAGCCCTACTGCACCAACTGCGAGCAGGCTGGTCACTCCACAAAGGCTTGCCCCGAAGAGAAGCAGGTTGTTGAAAAGCCTAAGGTTACTTGCTCTAACTGCAACACCGATGGTCACTACATTCGTGACTGCCCTCAACCACGAGCCGTTCGTGGTGGCGGTGGTGACGTTGAGTGCAAGCACTGCGGTGAATCTGGTCACTTCGTTAAGGATTGCCCTACTAAGGTAAGCTAGTCTGTCTGTCATCTGATCATTGCTAACCAGTCACAGCCTGCCGAGAAGTGCAGAAACTGCCAGGAGGAAGGCCACAGGGCCTCCGATTGCACCAACGAGCGTGTCATGATTTGCCGCAACTGCTCAGCCCCTGGACACGCCGCTCGCGATTGTCCGGAAGAGACTAACATGGTAAGCTTTCCACTACGACTCTTTCAACCCACACTAACAACTGACAGGACAATGTTACCTGCCGCAATTGCGAGGAGAAGGGCCACTTCTCCAAGGAGTGCCCCAAGCCTAAGGACTGGTCGAAGGTTCAATGCCGTCTCTGTAGTGAGTTCGGCCACGGTGCCGGTCGCTGCCCCAACCCCGCTGGAGGTGCTGGTGACGATGTGTCGACCACTGCTCCTCAGGACTACACTGCTAGTGCTGGTCCTGCCGTCGCTGCCGAGGGCGATTGGATGAATGATGCTCCCGCTGCTGGTACTGATGCTGCCGGTGACTGGAACAACACTGCTGCTGAAGTTAGCGCCTGGTAAATGGTCGAAGCACTCCAGGGAATCGATATCGTCTAACGTCTTGTGATGTTGACTAATCGATGGCTGTCATCAGCAAGGTCTTCGTTGTACAATACCATACAGAGAAGGACGCTCAATAAGATCAATAGCTTCCGTCATGAGAACAATGCTCATTTGATGTTCAGTCTTGCAGTTTTTTCGTGATAGATCACAGCTTCATGATATTAGTTAATGAGTTTCATAGCACATACCAAGCTCGAATTGATCGTCTAGAACACATGCTTGATCGCCCAAGCCTTCGCCTCGAAAATTGATCGTCTCTGCTGATCAAGAACGCCTCACACGTGTCTGCCCCAGATCGACAAGTGACAAGCAAGATGGGGATATTGCTTTTGGGTATCACTTTTGCTGCATACGTTCGTCCGGTCTGGTTATCATCCATTGCAAGGGCTGCCGGCATGCTCGGTTCGTGTCATACCGCTTCCGTGAGTCTGCTGAAAACCAGCGTTTCATGGCCTTCCGCTAATCAGATGATTGGGTGAGCTAGACTCAAAGTACCTTCGTGGCATAGAGGCTCAAGAAACACGAGCTCAGACTTCTCTCAGCATCCGGTTGACTCGATCCGGAAGTCCGCTCATGGTCTTCTTCTTCTCATGAGCGGCTGGAACATCGTCGCCATGCTGCGAACTTCAAGACTCGAACGACATGCAAAAGCTCTCTGCAGATGTGCGACACTTGCTCATACTGCTACGCAGTTCTTTGCGATGCCGGCGAAGGCTCCAATATGCTACAGAAAATTAATGATTCCGTGGCGAGAAGACATTCATTCAGCGCCGGCAAAAGGCACCGGTAAAATCGAGTCAGAGTAATGCGGAGCACCCGCACTCTGTTCACGCCACTTATTCAAACCGAGCATTTGACCGCATACGACCGCGGTGTGGCCGGCCGTCGGCAGCGGCCGTTCATCTCGTATCCTTCGCGTGACTGGCGGAAGTTGCAGAAAACAGGGAGCGGTGGAGGCATCACGAAGAAGGACCGGGGCGATGGCCAACTTCCCCTCGGGGACGACCCACTCGGGGTCACTCTCCTGCGATTGTGGAGTTGACTATGAGACAGCACTCGCAAGAGCATCTTTCGCATCAAAGGCCACCCACGTCAGCGTGGACCCAAGGTCGTGAAATTAGAGTCACCGTTCCTTACGCTAGTTCGGATCTTTAATTGATCTAACGACGATATCGATGAACATCGACGAGAAGAGCTCCTGAGAGAAGGGCAAGATAACGAGATTCAACCTGCTGCAGAGACTGTGGGAAAGGATGCAGCATAGGTGCATAATTTTGCAGCTCATTGACCCTTTCTCCGCAGCACAAGAAGCGGATGTCCCAGAGCAGAACTCAAAGAGGCAACCTTTGACGCCCCGGACAGAAAAGTGTGCGTGGAGAGGAAAAGCCACCCCGTCCAACGGGACGATCTTTCGGTGCCGGACCTGCCATATCAGGCAATCCCGCGGGCTGCTACTACACGCCACAACCTGGAGATATTGTGGGAGTGTCGGGGACACACTTTTCTGGTCGGCACTGTACGTCACTCCGTCTCTGCAAGGACCATCTTGTAGTCCAGTCATGGACGTTTGTATGGGAGGCACGGATAGAGTTGTGCAGGGAAGTTCGTATCTCGTGGGCAAGAGCGGAGAACAATGGGTTAGCCAAGTCGGGTTGTGCTCAAACCTTCGATGTTACACTGGTGGGTACAGATGTATTGACTAGGAAGAGGGCAGACATATATTGCAACTGACCGCACTCTCGTTTTGCAGATCTCACTCTGACTTTTTGAATTCTCCTCTTGGTTGCTCTTGACCATCCACCATGTTCGGCAAGAAGTACTACGGCCTTACAGGCACCAACTTGAACATCGCAGTCGGTATTATTGCCGGTCTCGATTTTCTGTTGTTTGGTTATGACCAAGGTAAGAACAACTCGCACATACGACTGATTCGTCAAGACATGCTGAACAGATATCAGGTGTTATGGGTGGTCTACTCACTCTCAAATCTTTCAACCGCACCTTCCCCGAAATTGACGTCGATCACCCTCCTCATGGCCAGTCCAGCTCATATACTTCCACCATCCAAGGCATTTCCGTGGCCTCCTACAACTTGGGATGCTTTGTTGGTGCATTGGCTACAATCTGGATTGGCGACTGGCTTGGACGTCGCAAGACAATCTTCTTGGGATCTGCCATCATGGTCATTGGTGCCACGCTACAAACATCTGCTTTTGCTCTCGCACACTTGATCGTTGGAAGAATCATTACAGGAATTGGAAACGGCATGAACACATCTACTGTGCCAGCATGGCAGAGTGAATGTTCGAAATCGCATCGTCGTGGTCAGATGGTTATGATCGAAGGCGCTCTCATCACAGGAGGTAAGAAGCATATGTTGTTCGGAAGCAAACATCTGTACTGATAGACCACTAGGTGTTATGATGTCCTACTGGATTGATTTCGGCTTTTCCTACCTCGAACCTTCGACAGTCTCCTGGCGCTTCCCCATCGCTCTCCAGATCTTGTTCGCGCTCATTATTCTCATGTTTATCATGGGTTTACCCGAATCACCACGCTGGCTCATCATGAAAGGCAAGGAGCAGCAAGCCATGGAAGTGCTGTGCGCTCTCAACAACATGTCCGAAGAAGATCCATACATCGTCTCCGAGTTTTCGGCCATCAAGGACTCTGCTCTGGTCATGCAACAAGGCGGTTTCAAAGATCTCTTCACCATGGACGAAGATCGAAACTTCCACCGTGTCGTCCTCGCCTACGTCAACCAAATGTTCCAGCAGATCTCTGGTATCAACCTTATCACCTACTACGCCACCAGCATCTACAGAAACAGCATTGGCCTTTCTGATTTCCTCGCACGTATTCTGGCAGCTGCCAACGGAACAGAATACTTTGCCGCTTCCTGGATTGCCGTCTTCACGATCGAGAAGTTTGGACGCCGCCAACTCATGATTTTCGGTGCTGCAGGTCAAGCCGCTTCTATGGCTATCCTCGCTGGTACCACTTCGAGGACATCATCTGCCATGGGTATCACTGCTGCAGTTTTCCTCTTCGTCTTCAACACATTCTTCGCCATTGGTTGGCTAGGCATGACTTGGCTGTACCCAGCTGAAATCGTCCCCCTGAGGATCAGAGCTCCTGCTAATGCTTTGTCAACTTCTGCCAACTGGATTTTCAACTTGTAAGCTTCACTCTGATTGCACTGTCCTGCATTCAAGCTAACTTCCTTTCCAGCATGGTCGTCATGATTACCCCTGTCGCATTCGATACCATTGGATATCAGACCTACATCATTTTCGCAGCCATCAACGCCTTCATTGTGCCTTGCGTCTACTTCTTCTACCCTGGTGAGCATCCCTCTACATTGGATCGTTTTTGTCATTTTACTTACAATGGTCTCCATAGAAACCCGTCTTCGTTCACTTGAAGAAATGGATGACATTTTCCGCAACACAACTTCGATCTTCAATGTTGTCAAGGTTGCCCGCGACACACCCAATCGCTACGGCAAGAATGGTGAACTTCTTATCAATTACCTCGACACCGAGGCCGCAGCTGGCGCCGAAAGACGTCGCAGCTCGTTGGTCGAGCCCAAGTACGGCAAGACTAGTGGCAAAAGCGATGGTGAGCAGGTGGAGAGATTGGAGAACGGTTACGGATCCAGCTCGGCGGCATCACAGAACGAGAAGGTGTAGATGGAGAGGGCTTGAGGTCTTCCCAGAAGCTCATTCTTTGACGACAACTTTCATTTCGATATTCCATAGGACGGTCCTTGAAGGACTTCCTTTGCTTTCATGTTTTTAGATACCACTATTTACGTTTTTGTCGGCTCATGAGCTAGACCTCTCGACATGAAAAGAATCATACTTTTTTTTGTCTATCTTAATTATCGTTTTACTTTTCGGTGTGTGTGACGAAGAGATGTCGAATCGATCGAAACGGAGTCCTTACATCTGCCGTGGCATGGAGCCAAACCTGATCAAATCATGTCCAACCTTGGGAGTCAAGTCTCAAACTATCATCTCGCCTTCAAGCTGTTACATGCTGCGTTGATATTGGTGTAGTTTCTTTTTGTCGTACCAATGAAGCAGATCAGACTCTGTATCAGCCATCACCTCATTAAAGGAAAGATATCAAGACCACAGAGAAACTTAAAGAAGCGACCAGGATGGAATAATCCTGAAACCCGTCACAGTGTTGAAACTTGGATGGAAGTTCGAGGAAGGAGGTGGAGGAAACAGCTCGGATGTGCCAAGGCCGGAGCGTGTGTGAATGATGAATGCCGGAAACCATCTTTTGCGTCACCGGACTGCTGCTTTTTTGTCAACCTCGCTTTTGTCTGTCGCTGTTGTCTTTCTTCAGCCTGTAATAATACTAGTAAGCGCATAGCCACGTCTACACAATATGGCCTCGACAATCCCCGCCACCCAGGCCGCCTCGCAGCCCAGCTTCGTCAAGCTCGAACCGTCATCATCAGTCTGGGATCGCATCACAACTTGGGCCTCGGAGCACAGGGCTGCTGTTTACACCATTGCTGGTGTTACCCTCGTTGCTACCGGTGCCGGAATCTACTACTACACATCCGAGTCTGCTCCTACGCCGCAAGACCTTGAGGCTGCCGCCGAGAAGAAGAGAGCTCGCAAGGAGAACAAGAAGGCCAAGAAGAACGCACAGAGAGAGCAAAAATCTCCTTCGCCCGAGACCAAGTCCCAGCGTGCGTACTGCTAGATCCAAGTTTTCTAACCTGTCCGTCCTGACTCTCCCGACCAGAAAAGCCACAAGGGGCATCAGTACAGAGCGAAGATGACGTGCCCGAGGTGACAGAGTCCACTGTCGCAAGCCTCTCAGATGAGACCAAGAAGGACTACGCTGCCAAGCTCAAGGCTGCTGGAAACAAGGCCTATGGATCCAAGGACTACAACCGCGCGATTGAGCTCTACGGCCAGGCTCTGCTGTGCAAGGCTGACCCCGTCTTCTACTCGAACCGTGCTGCATGCTGGAATGCCATGTCCAACTGGGAGCGCGTAATTGAGGACACAACAGCTGCTGTCAACCTCGACCCCGAATACGTCAAGGCCCTCAACCGCCGCGCACACGCCTACGAGCAAACGAACAAGTATAGCGAGGCTCTCCTGGATTACACCGCCAGCTGCATCATTGATGCTTTCCGTAACGCGCAAGCCGCCGAAGCAGTCGAGCGTCTGCTCAAGAAGGTGGCCGAGCAAAAGGCCAAGGCCATCATGGAGAAGAAGCAGCGCCGTCTGCCTAGCGCTACCTTTATCACCAACTACCTGCAAAGCTTCCGCGACAGAAAACTCTCAGACACCATTTCCGAGAGTTCTGATCTGGCCGAGAACAGCGGCAAGTGGTGGTTGCGCAAGGGTCTGTTGGCCATGGACAAGAAGACGGGCGAGGGCTACAACGAGGCTGCCGAAGCTTTCGAGAAGGCCATCGAGGCCGGCGATCTTGGCGAGAATGAGGCTCTCGCATACAACATGCGCGGTACCTTCAAGTACCTGCGCGGCGAGACTGACGCCATTGACGACCTGAACAAGAGTATCGAGTTGGACGCTACCTTGACCCAGAGCTACGTCAAGCGCGCCAGCATGCACCTTGAAGCCGGCCGTCGCGACGAGGCGGCAAAGGACTTTGAGGACGCAATCGCTCAGAACGACAAGGACCCTGACGTTTTCTACCACCGCGCACAGCTCAACTTCATCCTCGGCGACTTCCCAGAGGCAGCTAAGGACTACCAAAAGTCGATTGACCTTGACCCTGGATTCATCTTCTCCCACATTCAGCTTGGTGTTACACAATACAAGATGGGCAGTGTCGCATCATCAATGGCCACTTTCCGCCGCTGCATGAAGAACTTCGAGAAGGTGCCCGACGTCTACAACTACTATGGTGAGCTGTTGCTCGACCAGCAAAAGTTCCAGGAGGCTATTGAAAAGTTTGAGACTGCTGTTCAGATGGAGCAGAAGGAGCGCGTCACTGGCATGAACGTTCTTCCCCTGATCAACAAGGCCTTGGCTCTTTTCCAATGGAAGCAAGACTTCTCGGCCGCCCAGGAGCTTTGCGAGAAGGCTTTGATCAGTAAGTTATGCCTCTTAGCCGATCAACACGTAACGGGAAACGCTAACCAAACCTCGCAGTTGACCCTGAGTGTGATATTGCCGTTGCCACCATGGCACAGCTACTGCTCCAGCAAGGCAAGGTCCCTGAGGCTCTCGAGTACTTCGAGAAGGCTGCCGAACTCTCGCGCACTGAGCCCGAGATTGTCAATGCCCTCTCTTACGCCGAGGCCACCCGCACACAGCTGGAAGTCCAGGAGAAGTACCCTCAGCTCGCCAGCAGATTGCAGGGTATGCCTCCTTCGGCCGCCATGCGATAAACGACCACTGGAGAACACGGAAGCCAAGAAGGATTGTCTTGGAGGAGGTTGATCCAGGATGAACACGCACACGAACGAAGAACGGATTTCGACACTCTCCAAAAATTGGTGCTGAGAGTTTTCGAGCTGTAATGTGTTCAGCAAAAAGGGGAAGCGATGCGCGAAAAGGTGTCACTATTAGTTTGTTGTTACACTTTTCCGGAGACTCTCCCTCACCATTATGTACATTATATTTCATTACTTCTGTCATATTTTTGTTGCTCTCGATCCATTACGCTTTTTCTTCTGACATGTTGCACAATCGAATCAGTTGAGAGTCATGTGAATCTTCAGATGGTGGCTCATGGTCTCTTCCGAAGAAGAGAATTTAGAAGAAGAAATAGATTGTTCAGGCTGTAGTGCCCACCCTGTCCTTGATGTTCTTCCCATTTGTTCTCATGGAAGATCATCCGTAGGTTCTTCTCTGCGCAAAGCGATATTGATTGCAGATTTGCAGGCGTCTCACCATTATCTTGTTATCGGACGAGAAAGTCAAATGGTTGTGATCGGCTTTCTTGTGGTTCCACTGTTGCTCAATGAGAGCAGATACCTTTTCTTAGCAAATCTACTCTGTAGTGAGTGCCGTTCACAAGGATGGAAAAATTTCCTTGAAAAGCGACAATTAACGCTCAGACAAAGTATAGATGATTTGACCATCAGGTTTGTAGTTCCACGAGGAGCTGGAACGCGATAATGGTCCATGTACTTTGTACATACAGGGACCGGCTGTTCTCGCAGAGGTTCACGCAGCTGGGGTTGTCCCAAGATGGGGCCAGCGCGCGAAAGCAAAACAAAGCGTCCAATTCTTGACGTCCAAGGTCTTGGTGCCCAGAGACCCCAGACCGTTTGGTTTCATGCTTGACGTATTGTTATTCCCATGCCATTGCCAGAACACTGTGAATGTAAGATGCTCGATTACCGACGCTGCCGGTTTGTTGGTAGATGGCCGTCATCAGCAGCAGCAGTCAACGTAATCTCTCGGACGCGAAAAACATTGAACCGAATAAGCGCCTCATTGTGTTGGATGGGCTTATTTTACTAGGTAGATTGCGGTGATTGCGAGACCGGCAAAGTCGGCCGGCCAGAGCGAGCGAGCGCGCCTCCGTTCAAGGGAACCAAGAAGCGCGGGGGCATTCTTTCTCAACGCCCAGTGCCCACACAATTCGACTCTCAAAACCTTGCCAGTGCCGCGTCCTGAAACTCCCAGTGTCCCTTGACTCTCTTTCATCATCCACTCGAGTCTGCTCGATCATCTTCCGCCTTCTGCCGTACCATGGACTTCGATTCTTGTTGATACCCCAGCTCCGTCTTTCTTAAAAACCTCTGGACATCCCACATAATTCGTCCCGCCTTAACTTCCACCACTACAAACCATAATGTCTCTTTGAAAATTAGCCTGAACCGCTGTTCCCGCCAAAATTTCATACACGACCATCTTCATCCCAGACGTCCTGGATACTCACCGCTTGATTTCACTTCGACATGTTGGATGAAATTCCCCTCGAAGATCAGTATGTCTTCACTTCACTGCGCTATGATGGCTCGATGAAGCGCAATGCCCAAAACCCTGTGTGTTGTCCGGACTCCAAGGCCGCATATCTCATCAAATATCACTATGAGCGTCTCGTCACTGCAGCCGATCATCTGGGCTGGTACGACACGAATAAGAGGCTGAAAGGCCCCGTTGATCTGTTCAATCGCATCCAGACCGCTGTCGCCGAACACAAGAAGAAGACCGGCAACAAATGTCCATTCAAGGTACGTGATTTGTTTTGTTCTTTCTTCCTGCAACCATGTGCGTCATGGTTCTTTGTTCCAAACAAAGACGCGCATGCGCCACAGGCACGCGATAGTCTCCAAGAGATTGTCACAATCAAAAAACTTCGTGCTTGTACAATGAAGCACCAAGGCTGACAATGTCTCACAGGTTCGAGTATGCTTGCGTCACAGCGGGAAAATGGAGATTGGAGTTGAGCCAATCATGGCCATGAAGCAGCCACTTTTGTTCCCGACCACATTGGATCTGGGCAAGTCAAATCAGGAGGCGGCCTCTCCAACACCCATCTTCAAGGCCGTACTGGATGTTCTGCCAACGCGGACTACGACTTTCACCCGTGCCAAGACTCACTACCGGACAATGTACAACTATGCCAGGCAATGCGCTTCAATTCAATCATATCAGGATGCCAAGGAAGTAATTTTGTTTAACCGCGACAACCAAGTCATGGATGGATCTATTACAACTCCTTACTTCTACCGTGATGGCAAATGGGTGACCCCACATACAGATTGTGGAGGTCAACAAGGAACTACTCGCCGCTGGGCTATCGATCAAGGCATCTGTCATGCTGGCATTGTCGACATTGCTTCCATCAAGCATGGAGAAATCATTTGGCTTAGCAACGGTGTCAAGGGATTCTTCACTGCTCGCTTCGTCGCCTGCAACGATCGCCTTGCTCGCACTCCCAGTTATGAATCTCGCATCTCCCAAGTTTCCCGCAGCGATAGCGGGATCGAGGAGAAGCACACTATCCCTGCTCACCAGGATGAAGTCGCCGAAGACGACATTGAACCAGGACGTCTCAAATACGCCCCTGAACCCGGAGCCGACGACTTCCGAAACTCTGCTTTCAGTCTCGATGTCTTTGAGCGCGCATTGAAGCTGTAAAGATGTTCTCTTTTACTCTTCTACTTTCGATTCTTTTACTTGATATCCCCATGGCTCGAATAGCCTTTTACTCAATACAATTTTTCTGTTTTGGATTTGCTGGAGAGTCGAGAGGCATGGTTGGCTTGTGTTGGAAGGTGGCATCCTCGGACTCGCAATGGACGTTTCGTCGATATGGAGCCAAAGAAGCATATGGCAGGCGCGAAAAGTCAGACTTTACTATTAGAGCTGCTGCTACGAGAAAATGGATCGTAGTTAGTTTTTTTTTCCCTCCTTTGATTTCTTTTGTTTCTTTTTGTTGCAAAGAAGCGATTATAGATATACCCTTTTTTTTTTCTCCTTTTAACAACTCTGCCGATTTTGTTTTCTTCTTGCTCTTACAGTTCTCAAGTCATTGCCGCTTCCTTCCGAACGAACCGTTTTCTCTGACGTTGTTGAGGATGTGATGTAGCTGCGCGCGTGCCGGGCACATCCATCTTCCATCGCGATGGGGGGTTGCCGCATTAACCGTTCAGCCCCGGCTGATGTGCATGGAGGATGATGTGCTTTGCAGAGTACTGTGCAGGCTGCAGGTCGCACACATCACATGCACCACACCACACTTGCTGCAAGGCCATTTCTAGCGTCGAATACGAACAGGGTCTGATTTCAATCAGCATCGCAGAAACCACAAGACCATTTTCTTTTCTAGGAGAAGAGCATCTGAGAAGACAAACAGCCTACTAGAGATGGAACAATCTTAAACACACTTTTCAGAGAAGAGGAAGAGAAAAGGTAATGTACAATAAAAAGTCGTCATACTATATATACAAACATTTCCATCATCGATCTTATCACACGATCCTGCCGGCAACACTACCATCCCTCGGTATATCCTTAGGAATATCTTCAAGATTATCAGGTTTTCTGAAGAAAGCCTCGAGCAACACCGCAACACTCGAGCCAACGTTCAAACTGTCAACGCCGACATCGAGTCCAGGAAGAGCAGGCTTGGCACCTCTGATGCCTACATTGGCATCGGCCTTTGTAGCAAGATTGGCACGAAGACCTTCTCCTTCAGCACCGATCATCAAGATACTTGGACTCTTCGAGAGTGGCGAGATCATGTTTGAGGTGACCAAATTACCCTTTGCCGATTTTGCAGATGCGGCGTTGGGAGCTACGGCGGCATGAACGGTCCAGCCGCGTTTCTTGCAGGTAGTGATGAAGTTTGCAGGTGTGGGGATGGAGAGAATAGTTAATGCTTCTGCGGCTCCTGAAGCTGCTTTCTGGACGATGGGTAGATTCACGGGTGCGCAGGTGTTTGTGCAGATGGCGACTGCGTCGACGCCGTAGAAGTGTGCTGTGCGCAGGATGTTACCTAGGTTGCCTGGGTCTAGGATGCCGTCGAGGAGGAGGACTAGAGGGCTGCGCCATGTGTGGGCGTAGTGGAAGGGGATGGTTGGAGGGGTGCCGTTTACTTTTGCTTCTTCGGCACTTTGGTCGGCGAGGTCGATGGGGATGGCAGTGTCTGTTACACTAATCTTGCCTAGCGATTTTGTGGGAAGTGTTGGCAGGGGCGAGGCTTCGAGGATCAAGCCGTTGTGAGGACGACCTTGAGCCATCTTATCCATCTTGGGAAGGAAGGAGTCATCGACATCTGTGAATCTTACGCCAGCCTGCCTGCAGAGAGTTTTGATGTTGCTGGCGCTTGGCGAGTTAGAAAGCGCGCGGCTGTGAATATAAACATTGTACATCTGGCGGCGTCTGGCAGTGAGAGCTGCAATGACAACGTTGAAGCCGTACAAAAACTCCGAGGCAGCTGTCGTGTATGGAATCGAGACATAGGCATCCCTGTCATCACGAGACGATTGTGGTAATGAGCGGCTGTCTCTGTCTCGCCTGTCTCTGGGCTCCTGAATCTCCTTGTTTTTGTTCTTTCTGTCGTTGTTCTTTTCCCGATTGTTGTTGATGAGGGAAAAGAGTTGGTCGTCATCGAGTCGACTTTCTTCTTCGAGCTTTCTTCTTTCTTTTGCTTCCCTGAAAGCGTCCTTCTGCATTTCTTCATCTCGTCCCTGAGATTGCCTTGCTGATTTGGCAATGTCGAGAGCAACTGTGAGCTGTATAGGACGCAATGGCTGACCGCTAACAATAGCAGCTGCATTCTTGTTGACAAGTTCCTGGATAAGAACGCCACGCATGTCCTTGCTTAGCACGGTCATCTCTCGGAGCTCTTGGGCCCAAGTAGCAGCTTGTTGTGCTGTAGCTGGTGGCTGAATAGGATAGACGGATGCTCTGGTAGCACTCAAAGGATCGCCTCCCTCAAACCAAGGCCTACCAGGAATGAAGATGTTATTTGACCTTGCATTCTTGAGAGCGTTACCCATATGTTGTATCACACGCAGCCACTCGCTCTTTAGGCGGGACATAGTAGGCTCGACAGTGGCAAGGTCTTGCTTGAAAGTCTTCTTGAGCTGTCTTTTTACATTGAGCGCGGCAGCAGGCTCGTCCTTTTCGAACTGTGGCAAAGCAGAAGGGCGGGTTGGCAGAGCTCTAACATATTTGTCCTCGGCTAGCTGAACAGCGTCCATTAGACTGTTCCAGTTCTCTTTGGTGAAGTGGTGCTTGTCGGTGAAGGGGACATTCAAAATATCGTATCTTGGATTGTCATCGATAGCATTGCCTTCGGGGCGCTTGTTGGACCTGCGAATGGTGAAGGCTGCGTTCTTGTCGGCTAGATTCCGATTGTGGTCGCGGCTTCTCGATATGTGCCTGTCCTCGCGGTCCTCATAAGCGGCAGATGGATTGCGAGCATAGTCATTGGACCTGGGGCGGTGGTTGCGATCTTGCCATGGGAAGGTGGCACCACGTTCGTCGTTGGTCTCGTTCGGATGATCAAGGGCTTTGCGGCGGTCTCTGCGGATGCCCTGATCGAGAGTGCGGTTGATGGCCGAGAGGGTGGATTTACGGCGGCATTGCAGATAGAGTCTAGGAGTACGCGCTTGCGCAGAGGCGGCGGCGAGCATTCCAGTCGAAAAGAATTGGTGGCGGTATTTAGTGTTGTACAAAATAATCAAGTCAGAGAAAAATAAAATGCCCCAGAAAGCATCATGGTTCAGGGTCCAAGCTCGGTGACAGTCGCGTCCGGCTCGGTATCTGTCGCGTCTTCCCTTCTCGGTCGCTCTTACTCAAACTGTCGCGACTTCCTTCAGTGTGATTCATTCGTCTCAAGTCAGGTCGACAGCCGGTCTGCTCTTTCCTGGCAAGCTGCGCATCTCTATCCCACTTATACGCCATCTCTTCCACCCTCTCTCTGGCTCAACGCGCGCTCTGTTCTGTCTGCGACGTGCGTGCGAATGCCCATGTACCATAATCAACCATGTCCGATTCCGAAGATGAACTGAACGTCGACCTCTCCCGATGGAAGCCTCGCACAGTCAATACGGCCCCTCAGCCTTCTGCTCCTGCTCCGCCTCCAAGGACCTTTGCCTCGATTAACACTCCAGCCACTGCCACTGATACTGCCAACCACTTCGAAGACGACGATTTTGATATTGACGCCATTGTTGAGGGCATCGCCGTCGGCCATGAGGATGCTCTACAACCAAGACCCTCCACTTCCCAGTCTGTCGCATCTACAAAGCCCAGGCAGACTGTCCAGGTTGTAGTCACCCAAGACCCCGATTTCAACCGGGACGACTACACCGACTGTACATATGGTGCCAACATTGTGCGCCGTGTCTTGAAAGAGGTTGCAAAAAATGAAGATGTATACTACAATGTCGAGTTCGTCGATAGACATACGGAGCAGGTGAGCCCTTTCACCACTACCTATTGACACTACCCATCGTTGCCTGCAGCGCTGCCTTCCCATTCACACCACTATATATCTGTCGCGAGCTTCATATACCACTCGCCCCATCACTATTTCTTCCTTTTCACTGTCATCGACCTATATGAAGGTTACAGAGCTTCATCCTACGCGCACACACTTCTCTTTCAGTCTTGCTATAACTTCTTCATCTACCGCGTTCACGAAGTTTCGAATTTCTCCAGCCTCGTCGGCATGCCTCCACGTCGTATCAAGCTAATCCTCCCTGCCCGCAAGGTCTCCTTCAACGATCTATTACAATATGAAAACGGCCAGGATGCTCTACAAGAATACACAGAAAACGTCCAAGATGCCGACGATTATGCCGAGGAAGAAAGCGAGGTCGAACGAATTCAGCGCCCGAAACCAAGCAAATCTGGTTACGTCGATACTGTTGAAGCGCTTGACTACCTTGATCAGGAAGACTATCCTTCACGCTCGAGAAAATCGCGGAAAGCAAGAAACTACGACAGCGACTCCGAAGATGATGGCCCAGCTCCTCGTCGCTCTGGAAGGGTGGTTCCATCAAACACCGACTCTAGAAGAACTTCAAGACGGCTCAAATCCATATCTCAAGCTGACTCAGAAGACGATGATGATGGCTTCGTTCTCCAGTCCGATGTTCTTCCCAGCAGGAAACGCAAGCGTTCTCTGAGGTCTCAAAGCAATCCTATCAACTACGCCGATGGAGACGAAGAGGAACTGCAGTACAACAACTCAGGATCTCGCACCTCAAGACCTACAGGTCAGGGTGTCCGTCAGTCTGGTCGTTCAACCCGTCACCAGGGTGACATGCAGGATCCGGGTGTTAATGACATCTACCGCTCCGAGTCAGAACCACGACCTGTCGCTCCTCCCAAGCCTGTTGGAGCCCGCGAGTCTTTTAAGGATCTACCACGATCTGATCCTTTCCGCGCTCGTCACATTCAACATTGTGACTCGTGTCAGAACGGTACTAACTTTGCCCCTCTGATCTACTGTCAAGGCTGTGTCTACGCATACCACAAGAGCTGCATCGGCCACCGTGGATCGAGAGAGCATCTGGTCACTAAAGTCGGTAAGAATGACTTTGTGCTTCAGTGTCGTCGCTGCATCGCATTCCCTATGAAGAAGGACCATACAGCACCCGATCATGGAAGGTGTTCTGACTGTAAGCAACATGGCGCTTCATGTGTGCCTTTCCGAGAGCGTAAGACCCCTCAACAGGAGCAAAAGGATCGCGAGGAGAACAACGGTGAAGACCCTACCTATCCAGTATCCCCAAAGCTTATCAACAACCCTGACAACGTCATGTTCCGCTGCACCGCCTGCTCAAGAGGCTTTCATTTTGAGCATCTGCCGCCCAAGTCAGACAGTCTCATGGATCTCGACAGTGATGATGTGGCAACTCAGAGGCTTCAGGACTACAGCCAGGATTGGAGATGCAAAGAGTGTCTCGATTGCCCAGGCAAGGTTGGATCTCTTGTCGCATGGAAACCAATCGACGAGGACAACTACGATCCAAGCTACGGCTATGACAGAGTTCCGGAAGATGAAAAGGCCTACCTTGTTCGCTGGGACGGAAAGTCATATTTCCAAGCTGCTTGGATGCCCGGCCCCTGGGTCTGGGGTACTACGGCTGGTGTCATGCGAAAGGCATTTGCCAAGCGAGATGAAGCACGTCAACCGAAAATGAGAACAGAAGATGCAATCCCTGAGGACTATCTTCGCATCGATATCGTGCTTGACGTCAAGTACACGAGTATCGTCAACATCTCAACAGAAGAGGTTGACAAGGCACGTATTCGTGAGGTCGACACGGCTTTAGTAAAGTACAAGGGTCTTGGCTATGAAGATGTCGTCTGGGAGAAGCCTCCTACGCCTGATGATGCCGATCGCTGGACTGACTTTGTAGTTGCTTACAACGATTGGGTGCTTGGTAGATTCGTGAAACAACCCAAGCCGCAGCAACTCAAGACTCGACTCGAGAAGGCAAGATCTCTCGACTTTGCCACCAAGCTTGAAAAGAAGAAACAGCCCAGTAACATCACCGGAGGAGAGCTCATGAAGTACCAGATGGAAGGTCTTAACTGGCTCTACTACAAGTGGTACACGCACAAGAACGCCATCTTGGCTGATGAGATGGGTCTTGGAAAAACTATCCAGATCATATCTTTCCTCGCCACCTTGGTCCAAGACTGGAATTGTTTCCCTTTCTTGGTAGTTGTTCCCAACTCAACTTGTGCCAACTGGCGTCGTGAGGTCAAGCAATGGGCCCCATCTCTGAGAGTTGTTGCATACTTTGGCAGCAAGGAGGCTCGCGATCTTACCTACCGCTATGAACTCTTCGCTCGTGATAGTAAGGAGCTAAGATGTCACATCGTGGTCACGTCTTATGACTGTGCTGCGGATGAGAGCGCTCGCAAATTCTTCAAGTCCATCCCTTGGCAGGCACTGATCGTGGACGAAGGACAACGCCTGAAGAGTGACAAATCGCAACTCTACTCTGCATTGGCGTCTCTAAGGGCTCCGTTCAAAGTTCTTCTGACCGGTACCCCTCTGCAGAACAATGCACGCGAACTGTTCAATCTTCTACAATTTCTGGACGACACATTTGATGCCAGTCAACTTGAGGAGAAATTTCAAGAGCTTGACCAGGCCAAGATCCAGGAGCTGCATGGCATCATTCGCCCCTTCTTCTTGCGCCGTACTAAGGCTCAAGTCCTTACCTTCCTTCCTCCCATGGCTCAGGTCATCGTGCCCGTTTCGATGTCAACAGTTCAAAAGAAGTTGTACAAGACTATTCTTGCCAAAAACCCTGATCTCATGCGCGCCATTTTCCAGGGGGCGAAGGAGCTCAGACCTACAGAGCGTGCTAGTTTGAACAACATTCTCATGCAGCTGCGCAAATGTCTTTGCCACCCCTTCGTCTATAGCACCGAGATTGAAGAGAGAAACGTGTCACAAGCTGTCAGCCATCGCAACCTTGTCGATGCCAGTGGAAAGCTACAGCTGCTCGAAATGCTTCTCCCCAAGCTCAAGGAGCGTGGGCACCGTGTGCTGGTCTTCTCTCAATTCCTTGACATGCTCACAATGGTGGAGGATTTCCTCGATGGTATGCAGATGAGGTGTCAACGTCTCGATGGTACCATCAGCAGTTTGGAGAAGCAGAAGCGTATTGACGAGTTCAATGCACCCGACTCTCCATTATTCGCTTTCCTGCTCTCGACTCGTGCTGGAGGTGTAGGTATCAACTTGGCCACTGCAGACACTGTTATTATTTTGGATCCCGATTTCAACCCTCATCAAGACATTCAGGCTCTCAGTCGAGCCCATCGTATTGGTCAAAAGAAGAAGGTCCTTTGTTTCCAGATTGTCACTCGTGCCAGTGCGGAAGAGAAGATCATGTCTTATGGTCGACGCAAGATGGCACTAGACCACGTCTTGATCGAGCAGATGGATGCAGAAGATGCTACAGACCGTGATCTCGAAGGCATCCTTCGCCACGGCACCAAGGAGTTGTTCGATGATGATGGAGAAAAAGACATCAAATACGACTCAGCCTCGATCGACAGATTGCTCGAAGTTAGTCACATCGAGCACACAAAGGCTGGCGAAGACAAATCCGCAGAATCTACTTTCTCGTTCGCCAGGGTCTGGGCCAACAACGAGCTAGAAGAAACTGCTATCGAAGGTCCAGAGGCCGCAGAGGTGGCCCCCGATCGTGATGTGTGGGACAAGATCCTCAAGGAGCGTGAGAGGATTGCAGCAGTCGAAGCTGCTGCTGCGGAGCAGGCGTTCGGAAGAGGTCGTCGAGCCAAAGCAGTAACGTACACCTTCTTGAAGTTGACCAAACACTCTCGCTAACTACGACAGACTATTGACTATGGCGATGGCGCTAACCAGGATGGTCCCGATAACATCGAAGGACCTAAAGGCACAGATCAAGGCTCGCCTATCCGTGTCTCCAAGCGGGCACAACTGGACGAAGACTACGACACAGACTTCCAAGCCGACAGTGATGAGGAGAGCATTGCAGCGGAAGAGGTAGAGGACGTTGTTGATCCGGGAGAGCTACAGATCCCAGACCAACCAAAGACAGCGTCTAAGCTGGTCAGACCACCTGGTAAGGAACTCTCCTTGAAGAAAACTCCCACCAAACCACGCAAGAGTCCAAAGAAGACCAAAAGAGCGGTATCAACACCGAAGAAGAAAGCGGCCTCAACGCCCAAGAAAAAGAAAAGCAAGGTGCCTGCTACACCTACTTCTGTTCCTAGATCTCAGACCCCCTTTACTCCTACAGCATCCAATAGCAGAAATGCCAGAAAGGCCCAGATGAACATACAGCAATTCGGCGCTGCTGCAGTGTCTGCAGGATTCATTGATCTTACTGCGGACAGTGACGAAGATGTTTCCATCATTGGCGTTCAACCTCTACCTCCACCACCTCAACAGACTGAAGATGAAGCAGTGATCTGAACATAGGCTAACCCGTGTACTATTAACCAGCCCCACCGACCTTCCGTCGCGTCGATGTGCCAACGTATCGGAACTATGATCCCGAGTTCACGATCCCAGCATCCAACGGCAACCCTCCTCGCAAGCCCCAAATGGCATCTTGCGTAGCATGTCAACATCTCCATCCCTTGGGAAGTTGTCCTCTCAAGCGTGCTGGCGTTGAATATTGCGGTCTTTGTGGCCTCGCCCACTACGGCTTCTCTCGCATCTGTCCACACATTAACTCAGAGACCCAGGTCAGAGAGATGATACGAGCGGTGAAATTATCATCGGAGCCAGGACATCTCAAGTCAGAGACTTTGAAGTATTTGACTGGACTAAAAGGTACTCTGGTTCAAAAGAAGAAGAAAGAGGCTGAGAAGAAGGCTGCCGCTGCTAATGGCAGTGCACACCCGAGCGCTGGTCCGTCTGCAGTGCCAGGACAGCAGCCATTTCACATGATGTAAAAAGATGAGAAATAAACGGAAGGAAAACACACGAGTCTGCATATACCCCTTTTAATGCAAACGATGATGATAATTCGTTCTTTCCTTCTTACAATGTTGATGACAGTCAACATGCGCCTTCTCCGCTCACAGTCTTGATCAATTGTGTTTGTTCGCCACCTTCTCTTTTTAGTCACGAACTGGCCAAGCCCTGAAGTGTTCATCGGATATAGAGACACATTTCATCTATCAATGCTTTCCGAAAAAAGGCCACCGTCAAGCCAGAACTCCGTGCTTGTGAAAGATATGCGCAATGCCCTGAATGTCCGTCTCCAGTTCCCACGCACAAAACTCCGGATCCATGCAGGCTCAAGTATGTGATAACAACATAAACAAAGCAAGAAGCAAAAACAAGAGCAAAGAAGCATGTAAAGTGACATCAGCCACTAAGCAAGTTCATCCTCTGATCCATCATCAGGTTCAGCCATCGCCTTCTTCTTCAACATCTCTTTTCTTCCAACCGTCTCTCTGATAGGAGTACTAAACCGACTCGCTGACGTACTGGGCGTAGCGGCTGTCTTGGGCGTGATGGAGGATATACTCTTCCTCATAGATGCAGATGGGGTCGATATGTTCTTTTTACGGAGAGATGAAGTTGGAGCGGACAACTTCATTCTTGCGACTTCGCCAGGTCCAGGAGGTAGCAGAGAGTTATTGGTTGCTTGACGGGTAGAGCTCCTCACGCTGCGTTGCTGGCCCTCAGAAGATGATGTCTGAGACGAAGTTGGCGATGGCAAAGGCGGTGGAGAGGAGAGTGGCGAGGAAGATGGCGAGCGCAATCGTGCCTGTGGTGCAGACACCAAGGGGCTTGGGGGAGGCGGCAGGTTGGTGAGGAAGTATGGGCCGTTGGTCGTAGTTGTCGTGTTTGGTGCATCGGCATAGCGTTTCGCTGTCGCTGGAGTATCCATTGACGAGTCACTAACATCGCCATCGTTCTCTGTGTCGATGACCACAGGCTCAGTACGACGTGTAAGAGGTGTGTGTACACGAGGAGGTGTGCTTGCTCGAGATGGTGGATTGGCGCTGTAAGGGGGAGGCGGATGAGTTGGCAATGGCGAGCTTCCTTGGAAGACAGACTCTGTACGAGGTCTGACAGGTGGAGGAGGCATCGTTGTAACTGGTCCGCCTGCATTACCCATCCTTGCGGTACTGCTGCTCAGATGTTGATTTGCCTGAACTGAAGACATTGCACGAAGCTGCGATGTGGCCAGACTAGCAGCAGAAAGACCCTTAGCTTTCAGATACTGCTCAGCGCGTGCAAAGAGGTTGATAGTACTCGATGGCGTATTTGCCAAATCGCCACGCAGATGAGGTGCTGAATGAGTGAATCTCATAGTAGTGTTCTGATGTGCTTCACGAGGCGGATCTATCTTGTTTGGTCGTTTCTGTGGCTTGGTCATTCTTAACACGCCAAATCCACTGGTCGGTCCATAGAAGTTTAGATTGTGCTCCTCAGCAGTATACCGCGCGGGACTGTCGGTGCACAATATGCCAAAGTTTCCGGCCGGAATTGAACTGTCGAAAGTGCGATACCCTATTATCGCGCGTGAAGGGTCTTTTTCCTTTGCGTTTTTCTTCTTCTTCTTCCTAGACCTATCTGGCGGCGGTGCAGAAGAGTCGCGCGAATCCGTACCATCTTCGTCCCCAATTGTAATCGGCATCTCACCGCTGTCTCCGTGGCGGGCAATTTGCTTGTCCATAGCACGTCGCAAGAGTGGAGTATGGAAAGGCGACATTCCAGACGCATTGGCCGTATCTGAGGGGCCTGGAGTCGACAATTCGTCATCGTCACCATCCATTATCTCGATGATCTCGCGCTTGATCATTACGGGTCTGGGCAAATCCTTGAGAACACGAGTATAGCGTCCGGATAGACCTCCTGTGGTTCTGCCAGGCATGCGTGCCGTGATCTGTTGCCAGGTCAAGCCATTGATCTCCTTTAAGCGCTTGATCAAATCGTCTTCTTCTTTGGAGTAGCGGTTCCTTGACGAAGGTGCATCCGAGAAGCCAGCGTCGTCAGTCAAAGCAGGATCAAGATCGAATGAGGTTTCAGTATGCTTGAGGAGCCTGCGACGCTTTTTGGGGCGTGAGGCGGCTGGTGCCCACAAAGATTGGCCGCCAGAAGGAGAATCCCAGACCGAGGGAGCGCGATGAGGTGCTGGAGTGATTGCTGAGCGTTGACGGTCAAAGAAGGAGGGCGGATCGAAAGCATCTTGAGGCAAAGGCGGAGCAGACCAAATGTTCTGAGACTCATTGGAGAACTGAGGTTGTCTGTTGATCGAGGTGGCACGCATGAGAAACTGAGCAATCTGGTTGGCAATATTCTGACCCAACTGTTGGATGGCTTCAGGATCGATATTTCCATTGGCGTCCTGGTGTGGGACGAGCTGGTTCAACGAGTCGACGATAGAGATTTGCGGCAGGGAGTGGTTGATTTCGGTAGATGGAATGATGGAGGTACTGTGGTATTGCTGATCTGGGCTAACCCTTACATCAGACTGAGCAAGTCGGGGATCGAGAGCGAAATGGTCTTGCTCGCGGCCCAAATCGTCAAACTCATCGGCCGACTGCTCGTCGCCAGCTTCAACAGCCGCATCCTCGTCTTGGTAGTCGGCGTCCTCGTCATCACTGACGTCCTCCTCTTCTCGTCCATATTCGTCCTCATCTTGACTGTCCTCTTGACGGGGTTCCTGTTGAAGTTCATCCTCATCGTCGTCAGGGACTTGTTGTAGTTCATCCTCCTCTTCAGGCTCTTGTTGAAAAGCGTCATCCTCATCATCGTCATTGTTGTCATGGCCATCCTCGACCTCCAGCTCATCGGCGAAAGCTCGTACGAAGCGAGAGGAAGCGCTCTTGCCGGTGTCTCGCTCGTGTTGCATGTATTGCAAATGACCGTTGTCGACGACGACCTCGCCGGTTTCCATGTCGATTTCATCTCCAACGCCAGTAAAGTCCCTGGCATATTTCTCAAAAATATGCTCAAAGGTGCCTTTGAGTTTCAGGTCAATCCGCTGTCGGCCGCGTTGGTATTCGTCTGTGTCGTAGCTGTTGGCGTCATCTCTGGATGAGCTGCGAGCTCGAATGTATTCATCGAACGCCATGGCGCAGGTGAGGTCGGCGTGGTGGTGGTTGGCATTTCACATGTCCAGACTTTGTGTCGACAGGTCAAAGAAATCAAGGTGGAAATGGACGCGTTCGAGTCGTGAAATGTTGCCGCGGGGCTGACGCAACTTCCCGTTCCGGCAACTTGGCCGACTCGATCGCGCCTTCCACGCTGCTTCCATCAATCACACGACCTGCATACGAATACCATCAAGCACTCGGCTAGTTTCGTTTGAGCGTTGCCAACACATGATCGTGCTCGTCGTTACCTCACAAGTGTACAACCTACCCTTCCAGCCTTCCTGTGCATAGACTGCTTCTCTCTCATGCTTCTGCTCGACACTGTCTCTATATACCTTGACCATGTATTGTCAAAAATGCAGAACTCCTTTGAAACTCGACTCTTCTCTTGACCATCTCAACCCCTCCTCGTTTAAGATTTTAGTCGGTATGTATAACAATAACTAGTTTGTATCGACCAAAGCTGACCTCAAAGACTCGACCCCTTCTCTACCATCCCACACCCCCCAACCACCCAAAACACTTGCTGCTCGTGAGCGGAGAGATATATATGACAAGGCTGCACAAAATGCTGGTCCAGCCCAGCAGAAACGCTCTATACCGGCGCCTCAGAAGACTGCCACTAACTTCAATCCTGCCATGTCTTATGTTATGTTGAGCGAATCTCAGCTTGGCCCTCTGTCACCAGAAGAGTCAAGTCCTTCGAAGAAGGTCCTCGAAAAAGACGCAAAGTCAACCGATCAGCATGACTCGACTAGTCTTTCTGCCGAGATGGAAAAAAGCTTACGATTATGGGAGATCTTGTCCTCTCGCTCAGACATTGACCACCCAATATGTTCGGAATGTACCGATCTTCTGCTTGCAGGCCTTCAACAGAGGCAGACTACCGCCAACCGTGAACGTCAGGCATATGCCGAATTTCTCAAAAAGGCCAAGACGGACGTCCCATCAGAGGAAGAGCAACGTCAAGCACGCGAAGCCCTAGCTGCTGCCAAGCAACAAGAACAGAAAGCTCTAGAGGAACTTGAAGCTCTTGAAGCAGAGAAGGCTGCCATGGAGGAAGAGATTGCTGCTCTTAATCGTGAAGAAGCCGAACTCGAAGAAGAGGAAGCTGCTTTCTGGCGACAACGCAACGAGTTTGACGATACCGTCACCAAATTCAGGGAGCAGAATGACAGCCTTCTCAACCAGCTACAGTTTGACACCAAGTTACTGGAGTCTCTACAGCGGACGAATGTGTACAACGACTCGTTCTGCATCGATCACGACGGGCCTTTTGGCACCATTAATGGCCTGAGGTTGGGCAAACTGGCGGATCATTCTGTTGAGTGGCCAGAGATCAACGCCGCTTGGGGGCTTTGTGTCCTACTGCTGACTGTAGTTGCTGAGAAGTTGGGTTACACCTTTCATGGTTATAGACCTCTGCCGATAGGCTCTACGTCCAAGATCGAAAAGCTTGAGTTCCCGGCGAACGATCAATCGCGGACAGGAAAGCCCAAGATCACCACATTGGATCTGTTCTGCAATAGTGACCTTCCTCTTGGTTTGGGCTTCCTGCACCGTGGGTTCGACAATGCGATGGTCGCATTTCTAGAATGCCTTCGACAATTGGGTGAGCACGTTGAGCAATCTCCCTCTTATGTTGGTGCTTCTGCCCTCAGTCGCAAGCTACCCTACAAAATAAGCAAGGACAAGATCGGTGATAACAGTATAAAGCTTGGAACTTTCAACCAAGAAGAAGCTTGGACGAGGGCATGTAAATACACTTTGACGTGCTGCAAGTTCTTGCTCGCGCACGCAAGCCACGTTGACGATTTGAAGCAGGATGGTCAGACTACTCGATAGAGAGACAAAGATGAGCTTGCGTGCTACCTACTTCTGTCTACATGTCTCCAGACTGTAGGATCGGAATATATGCAGGCTTGGCACATGTTGCTTCGAGGGGCGGTGATGAGTCGAACTCAGGAAGCAAGGGATCAGAAATACCCCTCGATCAAAAGTTCTTGAGATGCACTTCTGCCACGTCCGCCTGTTGTTCACGTAAGTCAACATGGCGGTGTTAATCTCAGCAGGCCCCAGAATACAACTCATAGCCGGACTATTGCTTACAACAATTCCACTTTGGCTCTTGGCCTGGCACTTTCGGGTGCGAAACCCTCTCTTCGTCAGCCATCAGATCCCGATACACAATGCGTGGACCGTGAATCGCGAGACATTCATTCAGGAGTGGATGGAGAACCAGATCGGCAATCCACCCAATCGTTCAGCTCTCGCTCTACTCTGTCGTAGACCTAACATCAAATGGCGACCGGACGTCGTTATGGATCTAGATGATGCCAATGGCGGCATTGGCAATGTTCGAGGCAACATCTTCGACTTTCTCGGCTTGGCCATCTTGACCGGATCGTCAATCATGCTACCTAGTTTTCAAGCGCGGTCAGCCGCAGACTTGAGCGCTCTTTGGAATGGCAAGATACCTTTCAACACTTTCTTCGACACCGATCACTTCGTAGCCACATTTGCAGCAGCATGCCCGAAGATGGATATCTACATGCCATCAAAGGACCATTCTCTGGTTCCTCCCTTACAGAATCGATACGGCATGCCCAGCATGCGACTGGACCAACATCCCGAGACTCTTGACACACCCACACCAAACACGCCAAAAGGGGTGGTGGAAAATTTCAACCACTGGCTATCTGTGCAGCCAGATTATGATGCAAAGAAGACATCTCTAGTCAGCGTTGGCCGCACCCTCTGGGAAGGGCTCGACACTCGCGCCCTACCTGCAGCCGTACGTAGAGATTTCGGCGGCTCTCTTCGCCTGATACCCGAAGTACGCAGACTGGCAGCTGTAGTAACGTACAATCTTGCTCTCAAATATCATCTTCACAGCATCGACCCAGGCCTTTCGTATTATCCATCGGCTTTCCTGGGCGCACATCTACGTACCGAGAGCGACGCGGAAGCCGCTGGCTGGCTCGACGATGAGAGAGCCGCCGCACATGCAAACTTTACTGGTCAAACCGATGCCTACCTTTCTCAAGCCGTCGAGCACGATCTCTCAGTCATATACGTGGCCAGCGGCAATGCTTCTGAAATATCCCGCTTCGCAGAAAAAGCATGGCATCTTCACTCTTTCAACGTCACATCAAAGTCTGACCTGCTATCTGGCTCTGACCTCGAGGCTCTCAACAATCTCACATGGGACCAACAAGGGCTTGTTGATTACGAAGTGCTTAGACGAAGTTCGAGTATGGCGGGTTTCGCGAAGAGTAGTTTTGCTTTCAATATCGCAATCACGAGAAACGAGTTTGTCGATGTCAATCAGGAAGTGTTGTGGTTGAGGCCGGAGCATCTGAAGAAAGAGGATGTGGCGTTTGAGGATGGATTGAGCAAGATTTGGGGACGATTTCCGTGGCAGGAGGAGAGGATGTTGAGGGGTGCTTGGCCTTGATGTTTTGTGTTCGTTGTTGCTTTCGTCGCTATTTCGTTGCTGTTGTGAGAGTCTGTGGAGACCAGAAAGGGAAGTAGCAACAATGATCCATCGAAATATGTTCAGGTGCTTTCAACTTTTTTACAATGTGAAGAAAATATCGTACAGGTATAACCGAGAATAAGAATAAGGCCACTTCTATGCTCTTCCTTGTCTCATCTCCTTCTTGCCTTGCTTGCCCTTGGCCATGGGCATCTTTGCCTCTGCCATCATGGGAGCCTCGACACTAGCCAAGTCAATATTCCTGGCCTCCTCAATCTCCTTGATACCGTCAATCAAACCAGCCGGGCTGTCCTTCCTTGTCTGCTCGGCCAATTGTCTAGCCTCTCTTCTAGCTTCCAACTCCTTCTTTCTCTCCTCAGTCAACAGCCACTCCTCAGGGAATTGGTATCGCTTCTTCGGCTTGGCGTGTCTGAAGTCCACAGGCACATCCTTGAGCCATGCGCTCTCTGGTGACTTTGCCTTTGCGATCAATGCTTTGATGGTGTCGCCCAGGTAGCGCTTGTTCTGTGCTTGAGTTTCATGGTCTTCGCAGCTCATCTTTACGAGTTTGGTGGTGGGGTTGTAGCGGACGCCGGCTAGCTTGATCAGGTTTTGAGTGTGGGCGGGTGAGAGGGAGAGGTCTTGAGGATCGAATTCAACAACGACTTTTCGTTGGGCGGGGTGTTGTTCACCCATGTAGGTTGTGTAGCGGAAGCGGAGGGGTGTGGCTGCTGTAGGTGGTGTGTAGGGTTTTGTGAGATCTGTGATGTCGCTGTCAGTATGCAAAGATGAACGTCTGAAGAAAGGGTCAAATCAAACGTACTCGCCAGCAAAGGCATCTCCCAACCAGCCAAACGTGCATACTCTCTAATCTCCCTCGTCTGCTCCAACTCGGCATGTCCCAAACTCGAAATATCGTCTCCCTGGTAATCATCCTCATCAGGACCAATATCTTCCTTCTCGCCCATCTGGAAGAAGCCTTGGATCTTGGGCGCTCTTTCCACAGGTCCAGCAGGGTATGTCATTTCCAAATGCTCCAGCTCGGCTGCAATCTGCTCTTCCAATTCGCGGTGGGTACGGCTGTCGTTTGCGAATTCGTCGCGAAGGGCGGCCTCTACTTTTTCCATCTTCTCGCGGTCGGCAGGGGTGAGAGTGTTGTATGTGGCTTTGTCATCGCGGTCGAGGCGGTTGTAGAAGGCCTGGTTGAAGTAGCCTGCAGAAGATGCCTCTTTCTTGTCTGCTGCATCGGCGAGGGTGCGGCGAGTGCTGCTGAATGGTCGTGTGATGGGTTGGATGTGCGAGTATTGGTGGCTGCGCAATTGGCGCGCTGCTGCGCGGCATGCGCTCTTTGCTGCTGAGGCCATGGCGAGGAGGGACGGAGTGTCTATAAAACTGCTGCTCTGCCTCGCTGGCGCTTTGGTATGCACGCCGAAAGTTGAAAGATGCACGGTAAAACTTCGGAGTTTTCATCTTTGCGGGAGGCTCTCCCGAACATCGCCGCTTGCTTGTCCATGTCTCTTCTTGTCAATGCCATTGTCAAGAGTCAGAAGATCATGATAAGATATCACATGCGAAAGACGTTATATTCTCGAGTCTGATGGGCTATCCAGTGAATTGCTGAGCTTCGTCTCTCTACAAAAGAATATCCCTGCACCATGGAGATATATCGTATCATTAAGAGGCAGGGCACGTGGTCTGCTTGTCCATCTCTGGACAAGTTATTGTTTTTAATTAAAATCCATCTATCACTCTGGTTTGGTTCCGAATCTGTAGTAATTCTCGACATGTCAGGAGGACAACCGTGCAAGAAGTTATGCTGAAATACTGCTTTGGGATACTCATTGATGATGGACTAGACTTGGGTTGTTTTGATCGATCTGCTGTAAGACTACCCAAGGAAGGATCATGCTCAAAACCTGGGAATCTCAGTCGGCAATCTCGACCCAAGGAATCGGCAGCCAGGTGAAGAGCCTCTATGTCTGAACGGAGCGATAAATTTGCTCTAAAAGCAGGCTTTTAATGGGAACTAGAGATCATACAGTACAAACCAACCCTTTCATCCAAAAGAGCACAATCTCACCTACAAATCATGAAACACGATGGAGAGTTGGAAACGTAATGTCAATGGTGAATGTATGCATGTGCTTTGTACGCATCGCTAGCAACAGAATCTATATGCTTCGTACATTTTATGCAGCGACTTCTCTTTTCAGTTTGGACTTGAGACTGGCCAGATCGACCTCAGCCTTCCGCTTTCCAAGCACACCAGCACCATCTGGAGTAGTGCTTCGAGCTCTATCACCTCCGCTGGCTCTCTTGACCTCATCATGACATGAAGCATGGAACACACGACCTCCCACCTTAACGGCGTCCATCCATACCCATTCCTGTGCATCTTCATGCCACTCAGTCTCGAATTTCTCCTGACAAATAGGGCAAGCGACATTTGCTGCAGCGCCAGTTGGTGCAGGGATGTACTTCTCACGCACGCTTACAGGCTTGGTAGTAGAAGCCGTAACGGAGCTCGAGTCGACAGCGGCTGACGAGGCATCTACCTCTCGCAAACGGATCCATTCCATCTCATCAATATACCAGCTGCGAGTAAGACCAGCAGCAAGAGCTGCGTCGGCAATACGCTGGTTGCTGCGGAAGTGCCAGTCGAGATGGCGAGCCTTCTGAGCACGACCTTCATCGGTGGACAAGAAGCGACGACCGCAGGTCGTGCATTGGTTGGGTTGCGCATCGTAGAGAGTGTGGACAACCTCTGGACGGAAGCTGGAAGTGATATTAGTTCGATGGTTCAAACTGAGGACTTGCGGAGATACACACCTTTTTAGTGCTGCAGCGTTCATAGGAATGCGGACTTTGGCAGGAGTGCCTGGAGGCGGCATGGGTGTACTGCTCAACTTTGGTGCAAGGCCTTGAAGTTGTTGTAGGATAGATAGCGCAGGGGCAGGGGCTGTAGGTGGAGGGACAGGAGGACCTGACGCAGGCACGGGAGTGGCACTGGATGATGCAGGAAGGATGTTTGCAGCACGGAGAGCATCGAGAAGAGGATTGCCGATAGGTGCAGCCGGGGTTGCGGCGGCTGTACGAGGTGACTGAGTTGTAGGTGGTGGCGGGGGCATCGACTTCAATGCAGCCTGAACTACAGGTGTGCTTGGTTTCTGCCCGTTCGCAGTCGACGCCAGCAGTTGCTCAAGAATACCGGGTGCAAATGCAGGAGGAGCGGCGGGTGGCTGTGTTGAAGGAGTGGGAGCAAAGCCCTGAGGAATGGGTGGCGGAGGCTGGAAAGGAAGAGCAACAGGAGTGGGAGCTTGCCATTGTGATTGTTGAGGTGCGGCAGAAGGAGGAGGATTAGGCTGTGACTGCACTGCTTGCAACTGTGCCACCTGCTTCTTGATCATGCCAATGGCATCGGAATTCAGCTGTTGGGTCTGCACAACGGCTTGGAGGTCGAGCAGAGCCTTGAGCTTAGTCTGCACCTGCGAATCGTATGGATTGCGCGCAAACTCGGTCTGGAAACCTGCAATCAAACCATGGATATCTGCCTTTAGCTTGTTGAGATCATCTTGTGGGTTAAGCACGGCTGACAGTGAACGTGCGAGGTCAGGAGGCAGCTGATTCGGTGCGAACTGTTGTGGCGTGGGCTTAAACATGTTAGTCGTGTTGGATGATGATACAAAAGTGTCGATGTATACCTGTTGGCTGCGGAATCCGTTCTGGTACGGATCTTGTGGAGGCGGTTGGAATTGACTGGCGTTGTGTGGTGGGGTAGGAGTGTTTCTGTAAGTCGTCGACATGGGCCTTCCTGGGATACCGAGAGGAGTGCGATTTCTGGTTTGCAATTGCACCGCGGCAGTTCTTGCCTTGATGAGTGCATTCTCAATGGTGCGAGTGACTTCTGCAGGAAAAACTGGTCTTGGGTCCATGGAGCCAGGCACCGGTTCCTTCCAGGTCTTCAACATGGCTTCCATGCTTTTTCTTGTCTGACTATCTACAAGAGTGTACGAGTCCATGAAGGTAGAAAACAGATTCCTTCCAAGGTAAACTGTGTATGGGGTGCCAACGTTCTTCACAATCGAGTCGAGTACATAGAGTGCAGGCAACTTTCGTCCAGGGGCAGTCTGCAGTCGGGTCAGTCACATGTTCTTTCGAGGGTTGCAGACTCTGCTTGATAGAAAAATAATTCATGAGATCTCGTTTTGCTGAGTCTTACCGTTTTGATGTGCTTCTCCAAAACCATAGCTATAGCTTGGGCATGTTCCGTGTTCTCCTTGGCGATGATGGTCAAGTTGCTAATCTCATATCTGTTGTTGTTCTGGAGATCTTGCAAGGATTCCTGGAAGTCCAGAGCGACCTCGTCAGAAATTTGGTCGGCAGACATGATTCTTCAAGGCAAGGTATTATTTGCAGTAGCAGAAAAGAAGAGAAAAAGAAAAAGACTACGAGTCACGGATAGCTTCCTTCGGAAATGGCTCAAGAAAGAGACAGTCAACGTGCTATCCGGTCCGTAGACAGAAGAAGATGCAGAGCCCTTCGGTCGGATTGAACAACCACAAGAGGTGAGTAGATGGCAAGCAGCAAGCGAAAACTTGCTTCACCAAAAGGCGTGAAATCAGAAGAGTGTGATGGATCAATACTAGCTATTGTCTCTTCCCGCCCACAATAAGCAGCCCACTGCTCTCAATAGATGCGTGAAGAGCCGGCTCTTGATCTTCTGCGAAGACGCTGTGAAGATTCCTCCACTTTCACCCCGATGCCTTGTTTTTTCTGCTTGCGCTCAAAGCTGCAGCGGCGAGCTGTAAAGTGGTTCTCTTTGTCCTTGCTCTTTCTGGTCGTGCTCTTTTGTCTCTATTCGCGGACAGGTGACGATCACAGAGGTTAGTGGTGACTTTGCAAGAGCTTCGTTCAGTCGGACAAGCGTATTTGGCGTAAGTCGCAGTCGATGTGCGCGAGATTGCAGGTCGGATGGAGTGGTAGCGGTGAAGAAGATCGTCGCGAGTAGTAGTGGTGATTATGAGACGTTCGGTCGTTGGATCATTGTCGCACGCGGTCGAAGAGCAGCGTCTGGCTTCTCTTAGTCTGGCGTCTTGGCGGAAGTAACCCGAAACTCACATCGCCTTGGCGACGCCGATGACCGCATACCTAGGCAACTGCATTGTACATAAAGATCCCCACAGCCCTGCCCATCGGCACCACCTAAACCACTGCTTTTACCAGAATTAACACCAAGACGTATAACAAATTCATCCAATCAACATGAAGTTCACCATTCACCTCCTTCTCATTGCGTTCCTGATGGCCCTGGCCTACGCTGCCACCGAGAGCAAGCAGATCATCGTCAGCTACCCCAAGGACACTCCCGACTCTGTCATCGAGCAGGCGATGGCTGTCATCAAGGAAGCTGTAAGTAATTTTTCTATTTTCTAGCCGATCGGTTACCGAAGCTGACGAACATTAGGGTGGCATTATCACTCATGAGTACAAAAGTCTCATCAAGGGCTTTGCAGCCACTGCACCCACCAAGGTTGTCAACAGTGTCAAGGCTCTAGGCGAGAAGTACCAAGCCATCGTCGAGGACGACCAAGTTGTTTCGGTCGCTGGATCATCTTCGTAGGCAACACTAAACTCAACGACCAACACGGCATAGGGACAGGGAAAGGATCGGGTGTTCGGATGCTTACTGGTACAGGCTCAAGGGAAACACTGATTGAATCATCAGTTTGGGATGGGATGGGCTATAACACTCAAGAGAAAGGCGCAATTAGTAAATTGAGATCACTTCAACAAGCACATTTAAACCACATCCGGCCAACTCGTCTTTTGTCACTGTATTATGAGTATTTGTCAATCGAGAACAAGCATGTGCTCATAAACTAACACTTCTCACGTACCTTCTATCTTGGATGTTGTCGTGGGAGTACAGACATTCGAAAATCCATGTCACATGACGGAACCTTCTAGTCCCATCACAACATACCAATCTTTGTGTCACCTACCTCACACAATCACTTTCTCAAAAACTGTTCAATATTTGACATCCATCAGAAACTCATACAGTGTCGATGACCTGACCGCGCTTTCCCATATCTCGCCAGCCGTTGAGAATTCGGCTGTTCAAGAAGCCGCCAAACACCAAAACTCTAAAGATCAATGGCGGGACCATCAAAGAAGCACCATGACACGGTACACCACAAACAACATTTATAATGGATGACGATGTTGGACAACTGACAGAGCAAACAATGCAGATTATGGCAAGAGCAGTCATGCTGCCCATCACAAACTTCAATCCTGGCACGCCTCGTTTAGATGGTGTGGAGCCGCGTCTGAAGCAAATGATTGCCAACTCCGACGCTCTCGACAGCCAAGTGAGGTGAGCAGAACACATTTCAATTCCCTCAGTAACATGGATAAATGTTTTGACAACGATATCTCGACTAATTTTTGGCTTCTTGTTTGCAAAGTGCTAAATCTACCTTTTCTACCATCTAGAAACCGAATGTTCAATGCCGCATTTGCACCTGATGCCATAAGGGCAAATGACACACGTCCAGAGATCTCAGAACAGACAACGGCCGAAGTGCTCACAGCTCTGGACTCGCTTCGCAGGGTTGGGGAATACAATGCTCGCGCAAAGGAGTCGAGGCAATTCCTGAACGACACGCTGAAAAAGTACGACAAGTCTGGTGCTACTGCTGGAGCAGAACGCAGAAAGAGCGCTGGCTCAGCTCCTGTTGCGCCGATGAAGGCTGCCCCTGCGGTGGCTACGGACAGCGTCAAGCAACCAGCTGTTGCGGCACCGACTGCGCCCATGATGGCTGCTCCTTTGCCTGCACCCTCTGCAGCACAGACGATCCCACACTCGACGAATCCCAACATTGATGCAAGCAGAGATCCCAGAAGACGCTAGGTGCGTGAGACTGTCGATCGTGTGGCGCCAGAGCACGCCGATGCTTAGCTTTATTCGTTTCTTTCGTAGCGCTTGTTTTGCAGCATGATACCCAAATGATACATGTTTACTTTTTCCTTCAACCATAAGGAACTGAGGATGGGGGAGCCGAGATGCCTTCGTTAGCCATGCTGAGTCTGGCACAAAGTCCCAGGAATACCACAGTCTCTGTGGCAGCAAGGTAGTTGAGCGCATCCAGTAGGATCTTCAGGTGTCTGGTGAAATTGTCCTCGAAGCGTTTGAGGTTATCGTCGAGCTTCTCCAACCTGTGCGGATCGTGCTCTGTTTTGCCGGCCTCGGTCTTAGCGAGATCTGGATCGCTCACAGCAAGGTTTCGTGACAACGATGCAGTATAATTGGCGAACATGGTGCAAGTAGCCATGACTTTGGAGTTGATCTAAGCAGAGGTTAGTTATCATACTGTAAAAGAGGGTGTGCACAACATACCCTAAGGAGTTTCGAATTCGTCAGCATGCACTCCTTGAGACATGTTGCCAGAAAATCGACATGGTCTTGCATCAGTTCATCAACGGTGCGCTTCACTTTTCCACCCTCGGCAACACTTTCCAAAGCTTCTGCCTCACTCAGTCGAGTCATGAAAGCAGTCCAATTCGGCTCTATGACTTCGTTGGTGCAAAAGTACAACAGCTGCTGTACGAAACAAAGCATTCGACTTCGCAAACACCACGCTCTGCGCTTCCAGTCTTCGATCCGTCGGTCAGAGCTCTTGTGGCGCCAGCTTGTGACTTTGGAGTGATCGATCCATGAGCTCACTAGTAGCTGCTCAAGGTGGCGCAACGAAAGAATGTAACGGAAGAGCAACTGGTATCTGGTCAATGTCACCCTGGACACGACCAGCGAGAGAGGGAAGGGGACAGCATAGTCAAATGTAAGCGCATCGAAACCGCTGATATCCTTGTCATCTCCGATGACACTGGCCGCTGGTGTGTAAGATGTGATGCTTCCACCATCAGCATCAAGACCCTTGACGTTGACGACCTGCATCAACCATCCGGTCAGACCAACCTCGTTCATGACAACCTTGACATCTTCTTTGAATGGATCCTCGGCTGCGACACTTCCAGGTTGTCGCAATACAATATCGAGAAGTGATTGCAGTTTTCCGATATTAACGGATTTAGCAGGCTTCTTAAGCTCTGAGTGACCAAGCTCGAGGAAGTAGGAGAAGAAATCAGATCGATCCAGGAAGAAATAGTGTTTCAAACTGCGAAGGCGTGCAGGGAGAGCATGTGTGGTAAGCAAGAGGGTGAGAAGCGAAGAATTGGCGAAGGCGTAGGCAGAATTGGCGTTATCCAAGAAGCGGACATCGTCGAAAGTATGCGGGACTTGATCGTCCATGTCTCTTGACACATCGACACCGCCACATTCTCGAACGACGTTCAAGTACTTTCCAGCCAGCAGTACCTTGTCTTTGACAGATTCAAGTTGTGGTGGTACATCTTCGAGGCGGATGGTATAGCGCTTCTCCCAGTACTCATCAGTGTAATCTTGCTCCAGTCCTTCTCGGCGAATGCTCTTCTGCTCCTTGATGAGAAATTCGGAATGTGGGTCTCGAACGTTGCCGTGGTGAAGCCATTCGTTCAACATGGCCATGTAAGGTCTAGAAGACTCGCGCAACAAAGTGGTAAGTAGTGTTCGAGCGGCAGGATCGCCAGACATGGTGGCCAAGCGCTTGGTGATGAGTCGCAAGACACTGCCTCCCTTGCAGACCTTCCTCCCGACGTTCCCAGCATCTCTGCCCTCTCGCAAAGACTCCAGGATATTCTCAAAGTCGTCAGATTCGTCTAGATCATCGTCGTCATCCTCAAGCATAGAGTTCTCCTTCAATATTTCGTGTGCCAGGCTGTATAGTTGAAACATCATGTGGCTAGTAGGTTTGGTATGGAGATTCAGGACGTGGAGAGTAAAGGATTGGTTGGTCAACATCTGGTGTTCCAATTGAGCGATAAGAATCAGGTAGTCCTTGAGCAGCTTTCTCATGGCGGCGCAAAGTGCATGGTTGACAGCGCCAAATTCCTCTCTGCTCTGAACTTCGACAAAAGCTTCGACAGCAGCATAGTGTGTAGCCATCCTCAGCATGGATATAGTCAGATCCCTCAAGCTTGGGTCCAGACCGGGCAAGACTCTAAATTGTGGACCAGCAAGACGACTCTTTTCCTCAAGGGGCTGGTAGGCATCGGTGTAGCGAACATACTGGCCCTCGAAGCCCATGAAGATGAACAGAAGATCTTGGATAATGGCAGCCTCCTGGGCATCGAGAGTCATAGAAGACAGAGGTTCGGGCTGGAGAGCAGAAGGCGCATGGGCGGCCAATGGTGGAACAGAGACGCGAGAGGCTAGGGGAGCTGAGGTATAGGGTATCAAGGACGCTTGGGGCTTCCAGGCAGGAGTAGGCTCGACATTACTGGGGAAGGAATCGGACTGTCTCGATCTCGAGGGCTGAGACGAGTGGGCGGTAGGTTTGTGGACGCTCCGAACACGGGTGACGGTAGCAGAGCGAGACTCATGTTGATGCGATTCGACGCGGACGTGGGCGCCTCTTTGCGAGTAAGGATCGGGTTGAGCGCTAGCACGAGGAACTCTCTGACGGTGCGAGGCCGAGGTTCTTCTGTCGGCAGCTGACATATTTCAGTGTTCGCATGGCTGCCAGCTGGACTAAGTCGGACTGCAGGCGCGTTGCTCTGTCTGGCTGCGGAGGACGCGTTCTGCAAGTCGGACGGGAAACACAGTCCAAAGTGTCAAAGCTTCCTCCACCAACAGCGGCGCAACTGCATCACCGCCGCCGACTGCTTGTTCGTGCTTCACCAGACAATCAGCTCGCCCACTGTAATTCACAACTCTCTCGCCTCTCAACTTTCTCCCATCTCGTCGTCCTCCTCTTCAACGAATCAACGCAACAGTTTGCCCCGCTGTCCATCTCACTAAACATTCACACATACCGCCACCACTCGCTCTTCCCCACCAACTCTCGCAACCATGTTCATTGCTCGTTCCGAATATGGTCAGTATGCCTCTTGATCTTCTCTGTTCGGCCTGCTAACATGATGCTCTAGATCGCGGTATCAAGTGCGTTACGGTCCCCTGCTACACTCCCACACATTAGACTCATTCCTCTCTAGCACCTTCTCGCCCGAAGGCCGTCTCTTCCAAGTAGAATACTCGCTCGAGGCCATCAAGCTCGGTTCCACTGCCATCGGGGTATGTCCCACCGCTACATATACAATCGCATCTTCAATCTCTGACCCACGTACAGGTCGCAACCTCCGAAGGTGTCATCCTTGGTGTTGAGAAGCGCGTTACTTCAACACTGCTTGAAACCAGCTCCGTCGAGAAGATTGTCGAGATCGACAGACACATCGGTGCCGCCATGTCAGGCCTGCAGGCCGACGCTCGCAGCATGATCGAGCACGCCAGAATCACTTCGCAAAGCCACGCCTTCAACTACGCCGAACCTCTATCCGTCGAGAGCTGCACCCAGGCCATCTGCGACTTGGCCCTGAGATTTGGTGAGGGTGCTGAGGGTGAGGAGAGCATCATGAGCAGACCTTTTGGTGTTGCGTTGCTCATTGCTGGTTTCGACGAGAACGGCCCATCACTGTGAGTATCCCCATCTCACCTTCTGGTAAACATACATTCTAACGATTCAGGTATCACGCTGAGCCTTCAGGCACTTTCTACCGCTACGACGCAAAGGCCATTGGTTCAGGTTCAGAGGGAGCACAGGCCGAGCTGCAGAACGAGTTTCACAAGTCATTGACACTGGCAGAGGCCGAGGTCCTGGTGCTCAAGACTCTCAAGCAGGTCATGGAGGAGAAGCTGGACTCAAAGAACGTGCAGCTGGCCAGTGTCACCAAGGACAAGGGCTTCAGGATATACGGTGACGACGAGATGGCATCGGTTGTGTCCAGACTCGAGGCCAACTAAACTTACGTCATGTTCATTCTATGTATTAGGCGCATCGCATCGGCGCAAAAGAGGCGTAATGATAAATGCATAACAAGAGGCAAAGGCTCGTGGTTTCGTGGTCGTAGCTTTTGGAGGATGGGATGGAAGGTCTAGAAAACATGCAATTTATGCTGCAACCCCATTGAATTTAATGTACACAGCAGCCAACTCCAGATAGCATCACCGTAGTGGTTGAGCATTTAGAAGGGGTTGTCCTCGGGGGCGACCTCTCTGATGAAGTGGGAGCCGATGAAGGGAACCTTCTGCATGATATCCTTTCGTACACGGGGGATATCGGCAAAGAAGAAGAGGGCGAAGAGACCAGCAGCGGCACCGAAGCCGGCACCCATGAGACCGCTATGAAGAGCTGTGTTAGCGAGACTATACAAGAATTCAATGGTGTTCAAGTCGGGAATCTAGGCTGGTGTGTCGGAAATGTATTGGAGGAGGTGGTGTTGTAATAGGAGTGAGAGGAGCGGCGATTGACGTACAAGGCTCTGGCGCGGTGGATGTCGATGCCGTGGAAGTTGGTGCCGATCTTGTAGCTGAAGAGGTATCGAATCAGTACGTCGTTGCGATATTGCGAGAGATTGGGCGAGGCTCACTTGGGGCCGTATTTGCTCTGGTAGGCCTTGTAGTTGGGCATGCTGACCCAGGGCTGCATGCCGTGATGGCCCTCGAATCTGGTGCCGAACTGGGCCTACAGAGTCGTCAGTATACGCGCATATTCGGTGGATTGGACAAGGCGTACGGCTCTGATCTGCGACGACTGCATTGTGAGTTGTGATGTGTGTATGAATGACCTCTAATCGACAATTCGCCGTCGTCGCTTTCCCAAGTTGCTACGGCTTCCGCTGCTGACCATCCGAGAAGGCGTGACAAAACTCTCGGCCCGCTCGGCCACAAGTCGCCGTTCCTCCAGCTTCCACCTCCCTATCTAGGTACTTTCTAAACCATGGCACCTTGTGGTAATCAAACATTCGCTTTTCCACAAACTGCTCTCTGTTCCTCTTGTATCCGTCCGATCGGCATCCAGAACAATGTACTAATTGCCTGTTATGCTTGGTAATCTGGACCTCTGGCATTTCCCTTGGTACACCGCAATCGCTCCTTAACCTTGGTCGCATTCAGCTATGGAGTCCACCTTGAGTTCAAAGGTCACTGGTGCGTCGCATAACCTTTCACCCTACTCTTTGTTCTTACATTTCGCCTAGTCGAGTACCATGACCCCTCTGGTATCTTCCCTTTGATCTCGCGTGACCTATCATCCAGGTTACCTTTGCGCAATCTGAATTGGAAGTCTCCCTCAAGACCATTACGCTCAATAGGCGCCCTCCATGTCGAATTTGTTCCCGATGCTCAGACCGAAGCTTCAGAGAGCGACAAACTGCAGCGTGTCGACTCCTACGGCTCCAGAGCTGGCGCTTCCTCAGTCGCCAAAGAGAGACGACATCAGATTCCCGGCCTTCGCCAGACTCCCTACCTCAGAGTCTACCTTCTACGATGCGATGACAAGGATACATACAAGGCTTCGTCACGTCAGCTGCTCCGCGACTGGATCAATAATGTCGATCCATCTTCCAAGAGCTCCTCCGCTGTTAATCGATCCGAGGACCACGACGCTGCTGAATGGCTCATCCTGCACGTGGTCATTCCTGACACCATTGCCGCTTCCGAACCCCGCTGGACCGCCGCATCCAAGAAAGACCCCGATGAGTTGGTCGAGAGGCCGTCGAGCACTACTAAATGGCCCGGTAAGAGCTCAAGGACTGTACTGGACAAGATACGCGCCGATTTTACCGCTTCCTCCAAGTCAGGTCCAGAGCGTATTGCTCAAATCAGACTGCAAAAGAAGGATGTACCTCCACAGCTGCTACCACAGACGCCTGTCACCCAACCTTACATTGAAAGCCCACAAGAACAAGACAATGCCTGGCAGGACCTCATCGCGAAGTTCAAGACGTTAATCCTGATGTCTTTTGATCTACGTGTACTACAGTATGAGGATGATATTCGTGAGAAAGACTCTCAGCGTTCTCTACCTGGTTGGAATTTTTGCACCTTCTTCACTTTGAAAGAAGGCCTAGCTCGTGGTTTCGAGAGTGTTGGCCTAGTCGAAGATGCTTTGGCAATATATGACGAGCTTTCGGTAGGGCTTGACTCTGCTCTACGTGATCATGGACCTGGTGCTTCTCAAGGTACTTTTCTCGGTGACCTGAGCACTCAGAAAGGTTCTCTTTTGGAAATGATCAACGCGTCAACAGACACATCCAAACTTGAGCAACTAACTTCGCAGTTCCGAGAGACATATAAGCTGCCACTGGATCTGACTAACAAGGACTATCGCGGTGAAATTGTTTCGAGCACCATATCTCTTTTGGACTTCCGACTATACATCTTTGCGAGGCAAAGAACACTTTTGCTTCGTCTGAGTGCTGGAAGTGGCAACCTTCAACAGGCTAGACCTTCTAGTGCCAGGGACAACCCCAAAGAAGACAATTTGACTTTTGCTGCTGAAGTTTGTAAGAGAGCGGCCCTTTTTGCTGCTACCAATGCTCGTGCTCTTCGCAGCGGCCTTACCGAAGGGTATGGTCACATTCTCGTGCATCAGATAGATTCTTTTGTTGATAGCTGTGTAGGTCTGAAATCAATTCTCATACTTCTTCACTTGCGGAGAACATCGCTTCCTCTTGGACATATGCTGTGCTTGAACAGGTCCTCGACGAGACTGCATCAAAAGATTCTCCACCATCCGGCGAGAAATCTTTATTGCAAACGCCAAACCAAACATCGGGTGTCTATTCCAGGAAAGAGGCTGGTGGTAGTTTCAACTTTCCTCAAGGTGCAAACACTCATCCTACGCGGTCTAGCTCTTTGCAACGCACTGTGTCGTCCTCATCACAATTGACACCACAAACGATATACGAAAATGAACGATATTCCAGATCTAGCCCCAATACTCAACCAGATACTGCAACCACAAATGGAGCTGGCATTGCTGTCCTTGCATCTGGTCGGGCCCAGCTTCTCATAATGCAGCGGAGGATCATTGAAGCTCTCGCAAAACAGAGGGGTTGGCTTTCGGGCTGGGCGGCGATCCAATCGACACAAACCCTTACTGACATTGATCTTGACGGTGAAAAGGTCCAACGAGAGGAAGCAGAGTCACAGACATCGACATCGCCTGCAGTAATCGAGAAGATAGCAAACATGCTCCTTAGTGCTCCGCTGTCGACTGCGCTCGCATCTTTGGAAGAGTTCAGAGCTGTCTACGAGGTATTATCTGTCCTTATGCGCTGTCTTTCGTGGGTTGCTAATCTTCCATAGCAATTGAGCGAGCTAGCAGTGTCACAATTCACTAGAGCGAATCACACCAAGTCTGCTGACTCTGTCCTAAGCGACCTTGCTATACTCAAGTAGTGAGTCTTCCAGAACACAATGATAACGCTTATCTTGGCTGACCATCTACCAAGCCAACTTGGTGATGTGGCTCAAGCAGCTACTTACTTCCAGCGCTCATCTACAACTTTCTCAAAAACAAGTTGGTCCTACGTCCATGGTGAGATGTTGAGGATATACGCCAAATGTCTGAAAGAACTGCACCGACGGGACGAATACATGAGAGTCATGCTAAGTCTGCTGGGCAAGGTTGTTGCACGTCGTACAGCAAGAGCATTGCCTCGAGTACGCAGCATCTCCGCATGGCTAGATGAAGAGACTGTTGATGTCAGTGGTGTCCTCGGAGAGCTCGTGAGTTTCTCAGATGAGTTGCCCTACAATTTCACAGCTTCGATGTCCGATTTCTTTGCTGGGATCGACGTCAGTCCGGAGATCGCACTGCATCCAGATCAGGATGGATTCGGCTTGCATGTCCGCTTCAAGCATCTTCTGGATGATGACCTTCAGGTTGATCGTGTTAAACTACGACTGGTGTTAGCAACCGACACTAGCCAGGAGATACTTCTGCAGAGTGATGGTCTTCTAGAGTTGAAACGAGGCCCTACAACCCTTCAAGTTCACTCGAACGTCACAACCTATGGGCATTATCTGATCGACAAGCTGGTATTAGAGTCTAGGAAGCTACACTTTACGCACGAATTCCAACCAAAACCACAGACAACACCACTGGGCATAACTAATGCCAACGCATCCGAGAGAAGATCCAGCATGAGTGGACCTTCATTGCTAATCTATCCTCATGGTAATTCTCTGGAAGTCCAAGCAACGTTGGCCAACGAAATACACATCGACAAAATACGATCGGTCGTGTTTACAATCTTGACAGGGCGCAACAAGACTGAAAGCCTCGATCTCCGATTGAAGTCTGCCTCTGCTGGACTGAGATTACACACTGCGGATGCTGCAATCATTGAGAGTGATCATAGTCAGCTAGACACATCGCAGGCTGGCATGCTCAAGCTTGGTGCTGTGGAGGCAGGAGTTGTTCTCAAAGTCCGAGTGCCATATAGCACAGAACGCAGCCTTGAAGAGCTTACCATGAAACTAGAGGCGAAGTATCAGACCAGTCAGGGGATGTTCTCGTATCTCCGTACTTCAACAATCCCGGCTGCGCTCCCTCTGGATGTGGATGTTAATGACATCTTCAAATCCCAGGCTCTTTTCTCGCGCTTCAGCATTCGGACAACAAACGCAATACCGTTGAATATCACAAATGTACAGGTTGAAGAGTCGCATGCATACGGAGTGCGAGCTCTGCCTTGCCCCTTGCCGATGACTGTGTTTGAGAAACAGCCTGCCAGCCTTACTTACAAAGTTACGAGAAAGGACAGCGAAGGAAGCGAACTAAACAAGAAGGAAGCAGCATTGGCACTAACGGTCGAGTACACGCGTTCAGACGAGGCCATCTTCGAGAAGCTTGGCAATGTGTTCGAGAAGGCAGTTGCAAACAGTCCTTATGCGACTCTGCGACGCTTGCTCGTGCCTACCTTATCGAACAGAGTCAAATATTACGCACCTGCTCAGCAGCTTGAACAGGCTGTGCTACTCAATGAGTTCCAAATACCTTCGTACGAGGCAACGGGCTGGGGAAAAATTGTCGGCAGTCTCACGTCTGACATGCGACAAGGTCTAGACGAGTGGTTGCAAGAGTGGCACTCAGTAAGTGTTTCTCTTTTTTGATCATTGTAAAGCCAGGTCTCATGCTGACTTCTCGTACAGAACAACCAGAGACTAGTTCTTGACGAGTCCACGGTTGCTAGCCTGTCAAGAAAGATCACGCTCTCAGTTGAAGTCCCAACAGTAGACGTCTTGCACACTGTCACCCTTCACCTTGATAAAGACGACTCTACTAGAGCAGTCACCATTGGCCGTCCAATATCCGCCATACTTGCCATCAAACACACAACACGCTGGGCCAGTGCGGACCTAACGACAGACACACCTCTAGCCTTTTCATACACCATCGATGCTCCTACAGACGGCCCATGGCTCGTGGCTGGACCAAAACGCTCACGATTCAACTACAAGCCGGATGAAGAAGAGACCAAGATCCCTCTCGTTCTGGTGCCCCTGAGACCTGGCATGCACCTTCTACCTTCTGTGGACATTCAACCAGTCACTACTTCTACTAGCAGCTCTGATTCGAGCGGACCATCAAGATTACTGAGTCCTGGACAAAGTGGTGGACCTCTCGAGGAAGACACAATGCAGCCCCTATTCAGCTGTGAGACTGATTATCGCAATTCTGGCGAGACTGTCCTGGTAGTGCGAGAAGCAAGAACGACTACAGTGACGGTGAGAGAACGGGATCTTATGCCTCCACTGCAGAGGATACCCACTGCTACAGAGTCGGTAAGAGCGAGTGTTGACAGTACTCGAACATCCAGGCTCCAGTAGAATGGAAGTCTATGGATTCGGAGTAAGTAGATACGCATCTTAATTGACGTTTTCCGTCAAATCCATTTCTTCCGCTTCGTCACTACTCTCGTCACTTGCTTGCAGAATCTTCTCGCAATACCTCCCTGTTTGCTTGGGTCTAAGCAGCTTCACTGCTTGTCTATCACTACCCATGGCGCTCGGACCTCCTTCTGCTCTATATATCGATGCGTTCAAGATGGTTTATTCTCTTTCTCTCCTCGCCCTCCACCAAAGATTGCTGGTCGGTACATTCTTCTGTCTCGATCCATAACAACGATCTCAAGTCTTATTCGATCATCCCTTATCAACACGCAACAGTGCGCAGTGTGAGTCCATTGCTCTTTACCCTCAGCAGAGAAAGACTGATTTCTAACTCCTTAGATCGTCACTGCATCTGGCATCAGACAAGCCCACCGAAGCCTCGTCACTTTCCCACGATCTCTGCTCAATAAGCACAAGACCTTCTTCCCGTTCCGACTTTCATCAGCTACGCAATTCCACCATCTCAACACCGCAACAATGACTGTAAGCATTCCTCGTCCTTACCCCTGTTCCTTCTCTTCTTGTCCCTTTCTGACATCTCCTTTTAGGGAGGCAAACGCACCTTCATCGTCCTCATCATCGCCACAGTCACCTCCTTTGTGGGCAAGCTGTTCTGGGACGGCAAGTACAAGAACCCTCCCAAGGAGGCAAAGAAGAAGTCCAAGAAGAGCAGCAGAGGAGGCTCTGGTTACAAGCCTGCCAGACATGAAAACTATGATTCTGAGGCTTGCAGAGGTTCTTACTTTGATGATTGAATGGGTTTTTGGTCGTTGTGCTTCTTACCTCAAAAGGAGCGAGGCAGAGACATGCTGAGAAGGAAAGGATTCGGAAGGAAAGGACTTCTAGAAAGGAAGGAACCATCAGCGAGAGGCCTTCGAGAACCATGGCTTAGTATCGTAACACACGATGGAGGGAAATTAAGGAAGCAAGACAAGAGAGATCGATCAAGCAATTCACATTTCCTCTAAGTTTCGAAGAACGCTCGATCAAAAACAGATCGTAATTACACATTCCGGCTATTCCTCATGTTCCCTGTTGTTACGCCACGGCTCAAACAACACTCCCTCTGTAGTATCAGATCAAAGACTGTCTATGTCTTCAACTCGTCGCTGCCTCCCTTTGTTCACGTTCCATCTGGTCGATAAACTTCTGCCACGTATCGATGGTCGAGCGGAAGTACTGGCAATTGGCATCGGCAAGTCCACCAAGCGTCTCGCGGAACTCTGTTGCCTTGATACGCTCAAAGTCATCCACCTCCTTGACGACTTCGATGTCAAAGGCCTCGCTCGTCTTCTTGGCAGCCTCGACTTCGTTCTGCAGACGTTCGATCTGGAGCTCGAGTTTGCGAATACGCTCTTTACGGGCTGTTTCGTGGTCGACACCACGTACATCTTCGATTTTGGCACGGATAAAACCAGAAGCGCCCATGCTGGGTCCTGAAGCTAGGTTATCACGCTCGCTGGCTGCTTTGGTGAGGTATTCGGATAGGCCTTCAAAGTCGAGTTGTTTTTGCTCGCGCGTCTTGAGGAGGGCTTTTACTGAGGCAATGTAGGCTTCCATATCACGCAGACTGCCGAGGTAGTCTTGATCGGTATATTCGCGCAAGTCTTTCCATGCCTGTGAGTTTGTTTGTATGCTGGTGCCAAAGCTGGTGAGTTCGTTTTGCACGCCGGGTTCGAGCTGCGCGAGCTTCTGGAATTGTGCTGCTAGGTCGGCGTAGTCACCTTCGAGATCAGATTCGCGGCGTGCGAGGCGGGAGACTGATTTGGAAACGGTGGAGAGATCATCATCGAGCTTGTCGGCGCGTTCACGGACGTCGACGAAGCGGCGGTCGGTCTTGTGGGCTTTGGCAAAGGCGTTCAGGAAGCTGTCTGTCCATGTCTCCAGCACGCTGGGTGCAGCGGCCTCACCAGCGCTCATGCCGCGAGCGGCTCGGGAACGCATGGTCGAGTTCCATGAGTCGCTTTCGAGGAACTGGGCGAGCAATGCAGCGCGTCGGAGGACAGGATGTAGGGTGAGACGATTCAAGAAGCGGTTCAGAGCGTGTGCGCGGCGCGAGGTGAAGTCAGGGCCGAAGCGGTCGCCGCGGACGTACTCCATCTTGTGCTTGTCGGGCAGCGGCGGGACAGCACATTGCGGGTACTCGCGCGTAAGGTGTTTTTGCAGGAAGACAAAGTCTGTGAAGCGGCGACGCAGAGATGAGTGCGAGTTGACGAAGGACTTGAAGTCGGTATCGGTAGTGACGAGGTACGAGATGAAGGGGTTCTGGGTGCCCTCGTTCTCCTTCTGGGGGTCTGAGACGCGGCACTCCAGCTTGCCGTGCAGACCGGGTCCGGCGAGGTCGACGTTCGCATCGTCGGCGGTTGCTTCGTACTCCATAGCCATGTGTCTGTCTAGAATGCGTTGCAAGGATTGCCAAGTTGGATGTCTGCGTCTGCGTCTGGCTCGGTCTCGGTCCAGAGAGCTGCCACTGCCTGAGGTGGATCTGGGGTTCGGCGGCATGACGTACCCAAGCCGATCCGCTTGCCAACCTCTCACTATCGACAACGTCTCCATCTTTAATTTCTACTTTTCGTGAACTTGCCATATAGAATCACCAGAATTGGACTGTTTCCTGCTCTTGAAGAGTTAAGTACTAAACTTCTGCCTCGTCTACCAACACCTGCTCGACACATCGTACCTTGTCACACCCCGACCATCACCCCCACAAACGCTATGTTCAATGTCTCATCTGCTCACATCGTGTCCGAGATGGATTTCCGAATGTTACTTTCGCGTTCTATTCCACCTTGTCTATGTTCTGCCTTCGACACTTGCAAAGCTTACTTGTCAGATATGTCCGTCCCCCGAGTTGTATCGGTAGAGTCTGCGCAATAAATCCTTACAGGTCGATACATAATCTAGCAGAACCAAGAATATCAGTACAGATTGTAGTTATTAGCTCCTACTTGATGTTTGACGCATCACATGTAGCCTGACAGAATAGAAATTGATCAACGAGATATATTCACCAGCATAGCTAACTTATCGACCTGCTCGGAAGCATTTTGCGATTCGATCGTAGATCAGACAGGGTCATCCATGTAACAACCCTGAGCCAAGGCTATCCCGCTCTGTATCAGAATCTTGATTTATCAGAATTGACCGTGTATCTATCTACAACCATACTCAATTTCATCTCAAATGCCTCCAAAGTCAAAAGCAAAGGCCGCAAAACCTTCCGCCGCACCTGCAGCAAAACAAACACCAGTTGCTCGTCCAGATTGGCCAGCTCTTACACCTGTATCTCCAGCTTCAGATCTTGCGTGCTCATCTTTATTGCCCGCTCAGATATTGACTATACCACGCCTTTTTACCTCATCATTGAGTGTCAAATATGTTTCGTTTCTGAAATCTCTGCCACTGGTTACAACTCCTGGAAGGCCAAAGCGCGGCGACGCTGTACGCGTCAATGATCGCTACCAAATTGACGATCAAGATTTTGCACGCCATTTGTGGGAGCAGACTGCACTCAAGGAATTGATCACGACAGGCGAAATCGATGGAGAGTCGCTCGACGATAAACAACGTCAAGATCTATTCGGTGGCGAAGTTCTAGGCCTGAACCCGAACATCAGAATCTACAGATACTCGGAAGGACAATTCTTCGACCAGCACTATGACGATTCCAACAATTTAATGTTTACCAAGGAAGATGGCACTAGCGTTCCAGCAAAGACGACATGGACGCTGTTGCTATATTTGACAACTTGCGGAGGAGGCGAGACTGTCTTCTATCCTGATCCGCCATCCAGAAAGGCCGCTCCCCCACCACCAGTCGAGGCAAGCCCAAAAGTCGGTCTCGCATTGTTGCATCGCCATGGCAAGGAGTGCATGGTCCATGAAGGGCGTGAAGTGACGAAGGGTGAAAAATGGATCATCAGAAGCGACTTGTGTGTCAAGCGTTGAGATTGTCGCTTGCCTTTGCACGCACCTCGGATACTGCTGTCGAGATCAAACTGGCCACAGATCGGTGGAGAAGGAACTAGTCGCGAAGGTCCAGACAAGAAAAAGGAGCTTGCTCAACCAATCGAACTCGAGCACGAACTTATACCAAAGCTTTCGAACACTCATGGCACCAAAAAATGGAAACAGAAGCCTTCCGATCCCCTCGATGTGTTTGCAAATCTGGTGCATTGGCGAAGAAGAAAGCACTGTCCGCTAACACACGGATGCGGCAACCATATCGAAGCCTAACGCCAGAACCATCCGACACACGCGAACCACCAAGGTCGCACCTTCTCAAATAAAATTTCTCTCAGAACTCCTGGACTACGCAAACAAACAAAAACTCACACGATAGAACCCATGCCAGAAGCAAGGCGTGGACGTGGTGCAGTCTGCACGTTCGCAAGCAAAGCTTTCGGCCTCTACCCATATATACTCCAAGAATAAGGACCCCATCGGAGGCACCACCCACTCAGCTCGGTTAAGCGCAGCATCCTCGATGGCGCAGTGGGTAGGATTTCGTCCCGTAATAAAGGGCTGAAAGCTCGCGAGTTCGAGCCGCGGCGTCGTGGATGGCTATCACGCTTCACTTTCCTTTCCCAAAGCGGCACCTTTGGTTTTGCTCCTCGTCCACAACCTCTTGTTGATTCTTTTCTGCTTGACAGCTCTTCTCTTGTTGTCATTTTTCAGAAGTATCTCTGGTTTTTGCACGAACCACCACGATTAGATGTCTGTCGAAATGCACGATATCATGAATGTTGAGTATTGTCCAATGAGAGCCCGATAGAACATCTTTTCTAGTTGGGCTCTCTGTGGACACATCTCTGGCTTGTAAACCATCGTGCATCTTGAAATGTATCCGAAACAGGGTAAACCCTGAGCAACAAGCAGTATCCAAGCTGTGCGAAAAAGTCGATTACAATGAGAAAGCGATAACGACGACATGTAATTCACATCATGAACAGAGGAACAGAAGGGCAAATAAAATCTGCCTGAGCAATAGTCGTTTCTATGCATACCGTCGTGAGGATGATGTCTAATCTGCTGCCAAAACTCCCTTTTTGTACGCCGTCCTTCCGCAAAAAATTTGTGAGCAATCGTCGAACTCCCTTCCCTCAAGCATGTGCATCGTCCATGTATGTGTCGTATTCAGACTCAGCGTCTTCCTTGACTCTTTTCTCCTCATCCTCTGTACCATCCTCCTTGTGCTCCAAAGCTCCCGCAGAAGCCTCGTCGTCAAGAACAGCCACATCTCTTCCTTCAAGGATGGCCTCGAAACCTTCCTCACTCTGATGAATGATGTCTTCGACTGTGCCTCTCAAGCTGCGCTCCCATTTAGGCATCATGACATCGTCGACGCGGACGTTGCTCAAGACCTGAAGATAATCTCTACGCATACCAACAAAGACCTGGTCAGTGCGGTTGGCCATGTGCTCTTCGACATCCTTGATGAGGTCTGTAATCATGTTGCGGACGACTTGAGTGGCTCGCTGAAACATGGTGTCCTTCTGAGCGGTGACATGGTTGGTCATGTGGGTCTTCATTCTATTGTATTGACCCGGTCCAGCTTCTGCCGTGCAGATGTTATAAACAACGAGCATGGCGTTGCACACATTCGGAGTGAATTCACGGTTGATGTCGCGCTGGCGCTCGTTGATCAACTCAGTCGTCTTGCTGCCAAGGTCGCCGAACACGGCCTCATAGTTCGAGAGCTGCTGCGAAAGCAGACCAAGGCGTGGGTTGCCTCCATGAGAAAAGGAATGGACTTCGATGGCTTTGTGAAAGTCGCGCAGGTCCTTGGAGAATTCTTTGGCACACGCCTTGAGGATATGCGGGAGACGACGCTGGAACGCTTTCTCCCAGCCGTTCGCAAGATGCTTGTAGATGGGCTCAGTGCTATTGTTGGTCAGCGAATGTTATTTCTGTTGAAGATGATCTAATCTTACAGTTGAGCGTTGAAGTCAGAAAGACCGCCTGATCCTGTAAAGACACCTTGACGACGGACGACCGCCTTGTACGTGGCCCAGTACAGACCACCCTGACTTCTATGCGCACCCCAGCCTTGTGACGTTGGCAATGCAGCATTGGCAGCAGCGTTGATAGCAGTTCCGTAGTTCTCAAAGATGTTCTCGTTGAGCGTTTCCTTGATCTCTGTCAGGGTGGTGTGAACGTTTCTCTCCAAAGCCTATTACTCACTGTTAGTCAGAGCCCAACTTTGTACCTTGGCTTTCTGCGTACTTTTTCAAGGTCTTTCAGCTTTCGGGCAAGAAATCTCTGTTCGGCATCTCTCTGCTGGTCCGTCTTGTATGCACCAGAACCGTCGTTAGAAGACCACAGCGCCAGCGACGTGCAAAGTTGACTCAGCAACGTCAGAAAGCGACGAGACTTGATAGATCGCACTTTCTCTGTAAGTCTCTTGCAGTGCGATTTGAGAGCGGGAATCTGAGATGGTCAGCTTCGGGACAGGCGTGCGGAGATTGTTGCATGAGGAAAGGCAGGAGTTCTTACTTCGGTTTGCTCGACGTCGGTGAAACCACGAACAGCATTGTCTTTGACAAGCCGACCAGACAACTTCTGGTATGCTCTGCTTGACACGCAGTACACGGGCAGGTCTTTAGCGACCTTTTCATAGTCGCGGAGGTCTTCCTCAGGGTTGAACGTATCAGGGTCCTCGTCGGCGGCAGTCTCTTGATCCAGCTGCACGACAGATTAGTTCTAAACAAGAAATTGTACTAAGAAAACTCACTTCTTTGATGCCGGCAGCAAAATCCACCTGGATAGCAGACTTCGAATACTGATTGCGTGCGTCGATGCAAATCCGACTTCTGGTGTCTTCGATGTTTCGAGCTTCGACTTTCAACTCCTTGATCTGGTTGTTCAGGTCTTTAACCTGTGCCTCAATCTCGCTACGTCCACGACGAGCTTCTTTCTTCTGGTCTTTCAACTCTTGTATCTTGGTCTCGATGTCCTTGGCTGTCAAGGGAGCACCACGATCTGAAGCCTGCGACTCGTTGTCGGAGTTGTCACTGCCCTTGTCCTCGTTCTCGCTGTCAGATTCTGAAGAAGATCGTTTGCGTTTCTTTGTCTTGGCGGCTGGAGCGTAGACAGTCTTGCCGTCGTCCAGCTTCTCTTGCAGAGCTTCCCATTTCTCGATATCGTCATCACAGTTATCCATGGTCTCCCTGAGCGAAGACTTCTGATCTCTGAGCTTGCTGGTCTCTTTCTCAGCCGCCCTACGTCTGCGTTCAACCGATGTGAGCTGTTCCTCAAGCTCTTCAAACTCTTCTCCAAGACCCAAGCTATCGGCAGCCTCTGTATTCGAGATGTCGTCTGTTTGAAAATTAGCCATGCACATGCCGAGGAAGGGTCTACCACTCACCAGTCTTTGAGCAGATGAAGGTAACTGCACTGTAGGTTCCATCGTACTTCAGCTGTCGTCTGAAGGTGGAGCCGAGGAGGTTTTTGGCTGCCTTGTCATCCACAGCACGGTTGATCGGCGATACAATCCAAAGACCTGTACATTGCTTCATGTAACCTTCGGCGACGGCAGCACGAGCTGCATTGGAGTCCGCAACACCTGGAAGGTCGACCAGAACAGCACCAGTAGAGAGAGCATCAGCCTTGACATACAAGCGAACCACCTTGATCAGAGGCCAGAATTCTTGTTCGCGCTTTCTTGTCTTCTTTTTCTTTTTGTCTTTGTCGCCACTATCCTCATCTTCATCGTCCGAATCCTTGGTCAGCTCCGGTTTCTCCTTAGAGTCAACATAGTGCTGAAGACTCTTGTAGAATGTGTCGCAGTAACGGTCTTTGATGTACTTGGTGGTACCAAGCAGACCCCGAACAGACTGATCGGCCATGAGTTTCTCGATCGAACTTGCAGTCAAGTCATCTCTCGTGAGCCGCCAGTAGACGGCACGGATTTTGGCATAAGCAATGCCGGCTTGTGAGTCTGGATTGCTGACCTCTCTAGAAATGTTGCCGCTACCATCAATGATTTCCTCGAAAAGGACTCGAAGCTCTTTCTCCCATTCTGCGGGCTTGATGAATTCGACCTCGGCACGGTATTTGCTGCTTTCGTCCTCGCTGGGGTTCCAAGACATCTCTGTGACCACTGCAGTACAAGCTCGCATGCAGTTGGTGGGAACTAGACGCTCCTCATCCAAGATGGCGTTGATGACCGAAGACTTTCCAGCTCCAGTGTTACCAACGACACCGACAACGGTTCGAGCGCCTGTGGCTTCTTGTCTGACAAGCTCGATCTGTTGCAGCCATTGTCTGATATCTTCCGTCTCCTTGCCGGGGTCAAGTGCCTGCACTAGTCGATCCAGCAACTGTACACCGTGCTTCACGCCAGCTTCCAGTTTCTCAGCCGATTCATCTTTGGACAAAGCTTGCAGATGAACGCTTGATTGAGCGTACTGAGGAGCTTCATCATGGGCGTCTTCATCAGGAGGCACACTACTCGTGTTGCCCATCTCGTAATCTTAAAGAGGTTGCAAAGGCAGGGGGGCTGGCAGAGGGACTTCAGGTTTGATCTCCTAAATCTATAGTAAGTTTGCTGATCTTTCACAAGAGGCTGAAGCTGGACGGTGAAAAGACTTTATGATGTGGGATGCATGATGAGTACAAGGAACGAAGCAGTTGCTCTGTGCCTTTTGAGGCTATGAGACCACAAGCATAACAAGTGAGACTTTCAGAGACCGCGTCTTGGTGAACTCACGCATATGGACGCCACGAAGGTTCACACGCAACTAAATTGCAGATGAAAAGCAAACTTACTGGATGTGTATTATCCGGACGGGTGGCAGCTGAGCCGTAACCGTTGCCGTTAGGTTGCCCATGCTGGAGTGGGTCTTGCGGTGTTCCTGAGGATAGACTGTGTGGTCTCGTTGAATATTGAAGAGGCCGGGCAGCTTGCGCATGAGCCGCCGGTGTGTGCGGTTCGCGCTCAGGGTACAGGGGTGGAAGTAATTCGTTCTCTACGAGAGGAGAGCCTGAAGCTCGAGCATACAAAGAAGGCGTGTGCTGATTGGGGCTTTGGTGCTGAGCATTGGGAAGAGCCAAATTGCCTCGAGAAATGCCTCCGGCTGGTGTTGAAGGAGCCGGGGCATGTTTTGCAAGTGGGGATTGAGGATTTACTGTGTATCCAGACATACCGGATAGCGAAGGTGCTGATGAAGCATTAAATTGTGCAGGGTGGTCAGGACTCAATCCTGATGATACACTTGATTGTCTCGCAGTGGGTTTTAGTACACCCGTAGATGGGGTACCGAGATGTCCATTCTCGGTTGGTCCAGATGCGAGGTGAGGGTTGAGAGACGCTGAAGTGACTGCAGGAACAGTGGCGTTCGCCGTGTTGTCTGAACCGGCACTGCGTGCGTGGAAGACAACCACTTTATCACCAAAGTTGTCGAGTTCTGAAACCTTGGCAGTGAGTGGTGGAATGGTGGAATCCAGGTGCAATGAGATGTCGGAGGGCGCCTCTTCCCTAGCAAGGTACGAATCTCTGATCCTTTCCACACTAGTCTTGCTAGTGCATTTCACGAACATGAAAGACTCGCGAGCTGCATCGTTCAGTGGCAGAGGGATATCGTGCCATAGCACAGCGACGAGAAAAGCTGTCGGTTTAGTCGTTAGATGTTCTAAGAGTTCGGATGCAACACCAAATGCTTGGTGGTGAAGGCGTTGGTCCATATTTGGAAAGGCGTGCGACGAGCCAGTAGGTCAATCCAAGACCAGTCTTTACTGAGCTATTTTGGTGACATGCTAGGTAGCGTAGGATTCAGATGATACCGGTGCGTTCACCTAGATGTCAATCAAGAAAGGCGAATGGAACAGCCAATGATGATGCTAACGGCAGTTAGAGGTAGGTACCTTAACTTTTTTGGCGGCACGTCTGCCTCAGAGAGTCGCGTCGACACCAACGCGACGGCGGCAAGCACGATCATGTGACTCAAAATGCCAAGACCTGATCACCTGCTCGATTGGATGACGAACGAACGACAAGTCAACCTTCGTCGCAAGAGGATGTGAAGCAAAAAATCGCAGGCGAGAGCAACCTGGGGTCGAAAATGCCTCAAGCCGTCGTGAGATACCATGCTATTTGACGATAGCCTTCGAGACGGTATGCAGACTGTGAGCCGGCCAAGGGGCATGAGAACGACAAATGCCAGCGAAGTTGCTTGCCTTCCGCAATTGTAGCACTCACAAACGTGAGCTATCGAAGTACACAATGGACAGTACAACCGACCATGCTGTCTGTTCTCCTAGCATACAGCTCTGTCTTGCAAGAAGTCGTGATTCACTCCTTCACAGCTACTCATACAATCAAGACTGACTTCATGTTGACTGGGCAAGCTGGGCCTATCATCAGCGGCACCCCAGATTTGGTAGCTTGATGCGATTATCTTTGTTTCACATGCTTATCACTTGTAGATCCTCTGACAAGCAGCAACACTCCGTTCTGGTTGGTTCTCAATGATTTTGAGCTGTCGCCCAACGTTTAGCTCTGCAGTGCCTATCTCGGGTAACCACATCGAGCAAGAGAAGTTGCCCGCTCCTCCATATCTATCCATCTCAGACATATAGCATAACTCGCCAGTGCCCAGAGTCTTCCACATCTCTGAACAAACCCAACAGCCTGTGGATTGTACAATCTCCATACGCTGTCTCGTCTGTTGACCTGCACTCATCCTAGAGTTATCATGATGGCAGATGAGATTATCGCCGAAGAGTCTGCCATACCAGGTACCGTCCACCTGGTCGATCTCGATGGCACCATGCACGCTCAGCATGCCCGAGGCGGGCAGAGAGATATCGTACTTGTCCCGACTCCCTCGCAAGATCCCGACGATCCATTAAATTGGTCACCTCGAAGAAAAACACTTTCGATGGTTTGCATGGGCGTCTACACGCTGATGGTGGGCATTGCAAGTGCAGCTATTTACTCGATTCTGGAGCCTATCTCCGAAGAGACCAGCCTGACGCTCAATGAGCTAAACAATGGTACCGGATGTAAGATGTTAAAGCTTGATGCAGTTTTGATCCACCAACTGACTAGTTTTAACAAGACATGTTTCTCTTCTTCGGTTGGGGCTGCCTCGTATGGCAACCACTTGCACTGCAATATGGCAAGCGACCAGTGTATTTGTTCAGCATCCTTGCGACTATGGGCATCCAACTTTGGGCACCGTACACAAAGAGCAATGGTCAATGGATCGCCAACAAAATCCTTCAGGGCTTTTTCGGAGCACCGATTGAGAGTCTTTGTGAAATTTCTGTCACAGATGTTTGGTTTCAGCATGAACGTGGAACGTATCTAGGTCTTTATGCTCTTCTTCTAGCAGGTTCCAACTTCCTTGCTCCGGTCCTTGCTGGCTTCATCGCAGATGGCCAGGGATGGAAGTGGGTGCTCTACTGGTGCGCCATCTTTTGCGGGATTGGGTTCATTTTTCTTTTCTTTTTCATGGAAGAAACGAACTACTCCAGGCACTCGATCACTGGAATGGCTCCCGATATTGGTGTTCAGCCTGAACGGACCTCTACTGCTGTCAAGATGAATGAAAAGGATCCACAACCGGATGACGGCGATTTATCTTCGGAAACCGGTCTACCTGCTGCTTCTGACAAGTTCAAGCAGAAGACATATCTTGACAAACTCAAGTTATGGCAAAACTCTGACCTGCGAAAAGACAACCACATTGCTGGAATGACCACTCGGCCGCTCATCTTTCTTACCTTTCCTGTCATTCTGTACGCTGGCTTTTCTTATGGCAGCAATCTGATCTGGTTCAACGTGCTCAACGGAACCGCTTCTTCAATCCTTGGAAGTGCTCCGTACAATTTTCCAGCTTCCATGGTCGGTCTATCATACATCTCGCCTTTGATTGGTGTGGCCATTGGATCCTTCTACACAGGAGTAATCGGCGACAAATTTGTGCTTGCAATGGCACGCCGCAATGGAGGTGTACTCGAGAGTGAACATAGACTCTGGCTATTTCTCCCTTCCTTGCTTTTAATCCCTGGCGGATTGATATTATGGGGAGTAGGTGCGGCACAACATGTTATGTGGTTTGGTTGTGTCTTTGCGATGGGTGTCATTGCTTTGACCAACACCATTGGCATTCAACTGAGTATCTCTTACGCCGTTGACTCATATAAAGACCTGGGAGGCGAGGCAATTGTCACTGTCATCTTGGTTCGCAACACAATGAGTTTCGCCATTGGCTACGGCATCACTCCATGGATCGATGGCATGGGCTTGCAGAATGCGTTTATCACAGCAGCCTTTGCGGGTCTTGCACAATGCCTGACCTTTCTCGTCATGGTAAAATGGGGCAAGGATCTCAGAAGAAAGAGTGCTAGCAGGTATGCCAAGTATGTTCAGAAGATGGCAGAAAGCGGCCTTGTGCACTGAGAGACGAAAAGAGAACGTTTCACTCCAGTTCTTTACTGCATTGGTTCTTAACCTCTGCTCATGATCACACGGATTTAATAGGAAATTAGAACGCATCGCTTCACACTGGGAACAATGAACTCATCGATCACTTTTCTATCGAGGTACCTTTCACCCAAACAATTACGTATATCAGAAAACAAGCATGACTTCAACTATAGCTCGAGAACCGCAAAGATATGTTCATGGTCCTTACATAAGCCAACATAAGTGATCTGAATCGAGGCACTCGCTCCTTCCCCTCAACCTTCTACTACTGCTGCCTGCCTATCATATCAACCTCCACGCGACTCTTCTTCTTCTCAGCGTCAAACGTTTTTCGAAAATCTTGATCTCAGCCTGCATACAGCAACTCAGGGTCGGTAGGCGTCTGGGTTCGAAGGCGACCTTGAACATCTCTTCCAACCATAGCCATCAATTCTTCAAGCAGCCATTATTTGCCGTTCATAGATCTCCCTCTGATCAGACTCCAGTCGAAACAGCTTCAAGTCTTAAGAGCCTGCTCTCCGATGACTCAACCTTTCACCAAGATCAACAACTTCCTTCAACAACTTGCTTCCTCGCCCTTAAACTCTCGAGTGTGCTGCACAGAGCTTGGTAGACGTGCATCGTATCCTGTCTTGGGGTAGCATACGTATCCTGTACGCGCTCAGAATGCATCACTCATTTCCACGTCAGGCTGTGACTTCTTCCTCGCAAAAGATTGTGTAACGTCTTCGTATTCCTGCTGGTGACGATTAAACAGATTGTACATATCAGTCTTGATCTCGTCAGCCAGGGTAGTCGCTGTCGTTGTGTCGGGTAAGGGAACGGTATGAAGCCCTGCTGCTGCCTCCTGGCGATACGCATGGCTCAAGGCAAGATACTGCGTCCTCCAGGTGTTTGCGGTCTCTGTTCTGAGATCTTGGTGCCGTCTTTTGCACAGACAATAAGCAGCAAGCTTTTCTATCTCCTCGTTGACCCAGGTGGCATTTGCTCCAGCTGCCATGGCATTCCAGATTCCTCTTGCCAATTCAAGATTTCGTTGGGGTATGGCGTAGCCGCATCTTCTGCTGCCATCTGTGTATACGAAGCAAGATGTCGGGGTACCAGATGCGAAGAGGCCTTGAATGGATACCGGCGTGGGGTTCATGATGTTGAAGATGAATTTTTGTTGAATGATGGTGCTTATTCAGGTAAAGCTGCTGTGAGGGTAGAGAGCAAGATGGTTGAACACCAGCTGGCACCAATGCACCTTTTTATCCTTTTTACCCCAGCATACCTGCAAGCTTGAAATCTGACGCAGGCTCAATTGACGAGACAGTCAGAGATGCATCACAGGTATGAGTGAACACATGGCCGAGACACGATGTCTTTGAATCTGTTGTTAGTGTCTCATTCTGATTTTACATAGAAAATGCTTCGGCAATGAAGATCATGGAGCAATCTAGGCCTAAATCGTGTTTGAGAAGTAAAAATTTGTCTTACATACCGCATGGCTATGATCATCTATCTTATGCAGATACCGAATTCAACAAAAGGACCTCTCTGATGTTGTCCAGAAACATAACAGAGTGTAATCCGAAGGGAAAGACAAAACACTGGGGACCCATACAATAATCAGATAGGAGAGATGTCTTAAGGTGTAATTGTCTCATTCATCTGAGCACATATATACCAGCTAACGAAAGTGTTTAGTGAACGTCCCACTGGCTCGAAGCCAAACCCATACTACAACAGGTCGCTCCTGGTTAGGTGGTATAGTGGTGATATGGTTCGCCAATAAATCCTTCCTCTATATAACAGTCTTGAGTTCGAGCCCAGGCTGAGCGCCTGAGGGAGGATTTCCACGAGTGACGGCCAATCGCAGTTTCCGTAAGTGACAGTCGATAACAGCCCGAACGAATGTTTTGCTTCACTTTCATCAGTCACAATCTTGGTCTGAACTGGCTGGAGCGTGTTTTTTCCTTCCTCTTTCACTCATCTTTATCTTCTCTTGAGCACTGCAGCTTCCTCATAAACCATCCTGCCATCTCACATAAGTCATGTCCAGTGGATTTTCTATTCTGGCATCAAGACCAAAAGCCACAAACTTTGCTGAAGAGGTCGCGTGTAGCAACAGAAGCTGCGACCAGTGTTCTGACAGGTGCCGGTTCCGCGACCATCGATCTCTTCTGATCGTCAACAACAGAATTGGCTTCGTCGAATCTGGGCTCATTCGTGTTCTCGAGTTCATGCATCCATGCGATGACCACATCTGATAGTTGCGTTTGACTACAATCTTGACACAAACACAATCTAGCCAACTTGACAAGATAACCTGTTCCCACCCAAGAAACATCACTTTTGGAAAAGTGCTTCGAGATCGCACATGCCACAGATCGTATGTTGTGAGAAAGCATGACTTTGCAGGAATCGACGAGTATACCATGCCCCTTCTTCCCGATGCAGCAGTGGATCATGCAAGTAACAGATATATCTGCAATTGTTGGTATACAATAAGGAGGAGCTTCGATAGAGGATCCACTTTCGAGACAGGCTTTGAATAATTCATGTAGTAGAAGTAGTCAAGATCCGAATTTTTAAAAGTGCTTCCAGCCATGGTCGACAGACAAGAAGTTGTGGCGTTGATAGTTGTCGACACGATGTTCGTGAATGGCAAATGTTCAGATGTAGGTTGTTGAATGAAAAGACTCATAGTGAATAGATCTAGATATATTTGAGACTCGATGAGATTTGGTGAGTCAGGGTGAGCATGTTTCTATTAAGCAAGACACGACTTCAGATCACCCATTACGTCTCACTTCTCAAAGCTGGAGGTTGTAGAGAGACAGCTGCTGACGCGATAAGATTTACTGAAGACAGTGGCTTCTCGTCATTCTCAAGTAGTCTCGTTCATCTGGAGAATGAGAGTCGTCGCTAGTTCACTGATTCTCCCGTAGTCGCGACTCAAGACAATGCAACCATGAGGCGCAATATGGTGACCCGAGGGTTCATATCGTACTAAGAAGAATATTCTTGAGAAAGGAGTGCTTGAAAATTGTATCTGGACGAGAAAACACGATCTTTCATTGACACAAGAGATATATGAAACCACGTATCGTCCCCAGCCAACCAATGCCATCCTGTGATAGTCCCTTTCAGCACAGTATAGGCATCGTTTCCCACTTTCTGTCTGCGACTGTCACCTAATTCTGCTTTCTGAGGTTAGAAGTTCAAGGACATCTCGAACCAAATGCGGCAGGATCATTCGCAAGTTGTCAACAGATCTTCAGCACGTCTGAAGATGGGACAGAGAATCGGAGCCTTTCACATGGGCTCAAGCGTAGTGACCACATGTCGAGAAGTCGGTGTCAACCAGACCTTGTACTGCTCGCCGTAGCATTGTGCCAGTCCCGCATTCATCTCCTTGATGGTGCCGATCATTTTGGCCATGTCTTGATGGTCGATCGTTTGTTGGTCTCGCATCTGTTCTTGTATCCACAAGTTTTGAGATTCCGATCCAGCAATCTTTCTCATGAGCTCTGCAAACTTTGTTTCTGCTTCGGCAATCATTGCAGCATATTTTGCTTCACCAAACTCGATCATCTGTGCGTGTTGGTGCTTGAGATCTTGGTGTTGGTTGCGTTCATCCTTTAGTTCTTGCTTGAGATCAGAGATTTCTCTCTTGAAGCCATCCGTCTGACGCTCCAGCGATTTTATTTGCTTTGCAAGCTTCTCGAGTTGATTGGGGTGACAGCTACGTCGCTCTTTACGTCTCTGGGGCTCAGTCTTTATGTGATCGAATCCAGATCCATATCCAGACTCGTATCCAGACTTACAATCAGACTCAGAGCAAGCCTCCAGTTCTTTAGCGAGGTGATCCCTCAACTTCTTGTGATAGTCCTTGATCCGTTTGGGGTAGGCCTTTTGACAAGGACTGCAGAAGCTGCATCTGGCGAGCGTCCAGAGGTCGACTTCATAGTTGTAGTCTTGATCATCACGAATGTCCTGGAATTCAACGGATCCCAAGATCTTGCCAGCCACCTCGTAATCGCGGTCACTGATCTTGTGGTGGCAGTATTCTTTTCGGCGAAGACACAGATCACTGATCTTGCCCGTTCTGATCAGGCTTCTGAGTGATGGCGACATTGTGGATCTGCGGTTTCTTATGATCAAAGGATTGTTTGCAAAGAGCTGAAGAAAGAAAAGAGGGGGAACCGTTTGCGCTGTGTCGCTTTGACTTAGTAAGCTTATTGAATGTCGATATGAGAATATGCAGTGGTGTCCGTCTACGCTTTATAGATACCTTGATGATACAATAGTCTATTGTTCAGCAGCATAGCCAGGCTCGAGTACCGAGTGTGTCGATTCAGACAAAGGGTCTAGGGCGTGGACTCGACATCTCTGCTATAAATAGTGTGTTGACTCTACGACCCTTTGTGCTTGTGGAACAATACTTCGCAGGAAGTCTTTGACCTAGCGACGAAAGTGATGTCTGAGTTGATGGTAGTGGTGCAGTGCGGAGACTACAGCAGTGAACTTGAAGCAAAGGGTGACTTGTTTACTGATATGAGTCATCGGTTCCAGGTATTTGAATTTTCCGATGGTGCTTTCACTTCCTGGTGTCAGTGTCGTGACTTCACAGTAAGCTCTTGGGTGCGCCCTGCTCTTCATCAACTACCTTGCTTGCAAGCAGAAAAGAGAAAATGATCATAGAGACGACAGGCACAACAAACCCCCTTCCCTGCGGCGTGATGCTTAAGGGATCAAGAAAAGCAAAAGCCTACAACAATATTCTGACGATGGACAAGGGTTGCCGAAGGATCTCTGTTGATTTACCAGCCCTATGGATACGTTACTGTGTCGGATCAGTATGACCCCTAGTATTGCTTTTTGGTGAACGCCAATACAAAATGCATAGACTGTTGCTCTGTCTACCTATGCACGCCAGACAGATTGAGTCCTACACACTGAATCGTTTCGTTCATTCAGCTACATGATCTGTTATATCAAAGCCTACACTACGAGCCAACTTTAATGCGTACTCCCAACCAAAGTTGACCTTCCACTTGGCGCCTGGCTCCAGCACATCCCCACCAACGACTGCCGTTCTCAAGAGCAATCTCAGAGAACACAAAGTTGCCAATTGCGTGTAAACGTCCATTGTCGGCGTAAGATCATGCGGCAGCACTGCGTGAAGGATGGCAAGTAGCCTGTCGAGCGGAAAGGGGCTAGGTGAAAGAAGATGTCTTGGGATCTTTCGATTCTTTGATTCACGGCTGGCAACGGCACCGCCTCCTTTTCTACGCCTCTTTCGTTCTGTCGCCTTCATGAAGTAGATGTTGTCTTGACGCGGTGGATTGAAGGATGCGAGATACGCAGCACATAGCAGCCACTTTGAGTAGTAGGGCAGATCATGGGTGACTGCAACATGGTCAGTCAGCAAGCGTGTTCGGATCTAGCGGTCAGGACCGACACTTACCATCTGTGAGTATGTTCGTATCCTCTTGAGGCTCATCGATAACAGAATCCAGCAGACAGCTTTCCGCTTGGAAGAGTTTGCGTTGCGCTACCATAAGCTTGCTGAAATCTCGAGTACCGTAGGTGCCATCGACAATTGGTTGTACAAAGGGCCGCCAGAGTCTGTCAAGGATGGATCTGAAGGTGACGATGTCTCGAGCTGCACCGCTTGCCAATGAATCCCAGACAGCAGCACAAAATCGCGACCAAAGCCATGCATCATCTTCAGCCGCGAGCTCTTCCGGATAGTTCGCAGATGGTGACAGAGGCTCATTGAAGATGTGTTGCGGTTGGCAAGAAGCGATTTGGATGGCTTGTTCACGGGTATAAGGTGAAAAGTAAACGTGCGGTGCACCTGGAAGATGAAGGAGACGTGGATGAGGAAATGTGACAATCATCACAACGCTGAGGCCGGGAATCAGATGACCAAGACGTGCTAGAGATGGCAGTAGAGTCGGAGGAGCTTCTCTTTGCTCGTCGATGCCGTCCAGAACCAGTACAAACTTGTCGACGGGTTCAAAAAGACGTTCTAGAGAGCTTGTCAAGGTGCTAATATTCTCACACCTTGAGGGAATGATGCCGTCTAGAGATGTGTCGGTCGCTGTTTCAATTGCTTCTACACAAGCCGCCAGAGTCCGCTCCAAGAAATGGCGGCTTGTAATGCACTCGGAGCATGGAATAAAAGCATGTTTGAGACCAGAAAGCTCCAGATAGGATTTCAGTAGGCCCGTCTTTCCAGTGGCCTCTGAGCCATGTATCACCAAAGTTCCCGAACTGTTCATTCTAGGCTACACAAAATCAGTAAGTACGCGGGCGTTTGCGATGGGCATACATACAGAGAGGAGGGCAGAGAGAGTTTTGATCTGCAAGTCTCTGCATGGCCATTGGTTGGTTAGGGAAAGGATGACTTCGTCCGGGAGCATTTCTAAGCCCATATCTGCTTCTTGCCGTGTCTCAGGAAATGTCAGGCCTCAATATCTCTTGCCTGTTTGCGTCGCTGCTCTGGCTCCAGTGGTTCCCGGGAGCTGCAAACGGGCTTTGAATTTTTGTCGAACCTTCAAGTGCTTCTGCCCATAAATTTTATACTTGCAAAGTGAAATAAAAGCGCTCTGGGTGAAGAAAGCGCAGTTACAAAGAGCAGGAGCGGGCGTGACAACAAATCAACACCGCGTTGCACAAGCAGAAAGTATGGAGTTGGATTGAGTTATGCAAGGAACCGGCGTTAAGCACGGTTGATCCGAGCAGATCTGGGGAAGAGGACGCTAGCGATGAACCGTGCACCAGAAATTATTGTAGAGGAAGTTGCGACATGTGAGACTGTGCCTTCTTTGCAGACAGACGATGCAATAATGAGTGAAGAACAACGAGGAAGGTCCGCACCCCCGGGTGTTGGACCTGCTTTCAGCCCCGCCGATGCTGCCTCTCAAGCTGACCTGGACGGTCGTGACTCTCCCTCATCCTCCTTCATCGACGACAACGACATGCCGCCCACCAAACCCGGCCTCTGGTTGCTGAAGACTAAGGCAGAGGCTCGCGCCTCGACTGCCACTGTTCAGGCATGGACGATAGAGTTGCCATCCAGAGCTGCTAACACCGTCCTGGGGTACGCCCTGCTTTGTTTGCGCGCTGTGCTTCATCTCGCTGACTTCCATATGCAGTCTCATCAAGGACAACGTTCCCGACCTCGATGCTATCGACTTGCAGCACATCCGTCGCTTTGCAAAGGCCCGCTTCCTGCCTACCCACCTCATCCCCGAGACCACCGCCGTCAGCCGCAGCAGAAGTGGCAGCGAACATCACGCCGATGGCTCCTCTCGTGGCTCGTCTCGCTCACGCTCATCGCGCAACAAACGTCGGGGTAGTGTCCCGGCCACGCTGCACCTGATCGTTAGTCCCGTCAGCTGCATTGGCGAAGATGCCCTTACCGAACTCCTTCTTGCCAACCCTCCTTTCGTCGACGACGGCTTTCCTCTCCTCCTCAGAGAGGTCACTCTTCCTCTACTGCCCCCCACCAGTGCTGAGCAAGCCGAGCAGTGGTCTCAGCAGTACTGGCCAACCATCTACCGCAAGACCAACCCCTTCGGCCCTCACCCTAGCATCATCGGCCGCGCCGAAGAGGAGGTTCTGTCTAACAACAACGTGCCCCGCCTCATGGAGATGGCCAAGAAAGTTGCTGGAGAGACAAAGGCAAAGTGCTGCGGCGCTGGCGTCGGATGCGTCATCATCGAGAGACCTACCGGAAAGCCCATCGAAGTCATTGCCGTTGCCGGAGACGGCCGCTATCAAGACCTTGACGAAGTTGCTGGTCAACAGAACCCTATGGCCCATGCTGTTATGCGAGCCATAGGCATGGTCGCACGCAAACGTGTCCGCAGTGCTACTCGCGATCCCTCGAAGCTTAACCCTGACATGGCTGCCCTGGATATCAACAAGCCTTCTCACAAGCCCGCTCCCGGTGCTCCCCAATTCGTTGATAAGACTCTGCTTGACTACCCTCTGACGCCCATGGAACGCAAGGCCTTTAACAAGGACAACCTCATCCCTGACGGCTACCTCTGCGTCGATCTTGAGATTTACCTCACTCATGAGCCCTGCGTCATGTGCACTATGGCCATCTTGCACTCGCGCTTCGCTCGCTGTGTTTTTGGCATCCGCATGCCCAAGACTGGCGCTTTGACAGCTGATGGAGGCGGTCTCGGCTATGGACTGTTCTGGCGTCCCGAGCTCAACTGGAAGTTCTTGTGCTGGGAGTGGAAGGAGAAGGACCCATACGATGGCGACAATCACTTGCACCTCTTCCTCGACAAGAAGACTCAGGTCTGATTGCGTCCTTCCTTGATGAATCTCCGAACTTCTCGCCACATTCCTCAACCTGGGCTTTCTTCTTTTTTCTTCTTCTTTCAGTTTCTTTCCTTGTCTTTGTTACCGACATGGTTAGGTAGTGTGTCGGCCCCGCTTGAAAAACTGGGGGAGGTTTCGTTTTCTGCTGAAGACTGCCTATGAATGAATGGCAGCAGCATTATGCACATAACAGCGAGCATGGAATACAGGCGTCAATATGGGTTAGCTGGTGGCTGTCTGGTGAGCTTTTTTATACCCCTTTTCTGCGAATGAACAAAACGAGATGGACGAAGTTGCTGAGTCTCTGGGCTTATCCCAATGTCAATATATCATAAATGGAGTTTCTCTTACTCGAGTTTGATATCCTTTGTGATAGCCTCTCACAATATGCACGGCGCGTGTTATGGGAATGATCGTGACACATGATAATCTGGTAGACTGATTGTGGCATGATGATATGGTTCGTAGACTTCGTTTGATCTCAGAAATGGGACAGCTCAAGAGCTGCAACTGCACTGCATCGCACGCTTGATGTGAGGCACATCACCACAGAATCTATCTTCCTCTTCCTTGTTCCAGCCCCATGATTCTTCGAAAGGATTGAGTGCCATCTTCATGACGCCTTGAAGAATTTCACGCTCGCCTTTCTTCTCTACTCTGTCGATCAGCTCGTCCAAGATCCATGATCTGGGAATGAACTGTGCATAGAAATGTCAGTCTTGATCTTTCATAAGCGATGTTGAGGCATTTCTTACCTTGGGGTTGACCTTCTTCATGGCCTCCTGGCGCTCGACATCCTTGCCTTCGCCCCAATCTTCAATGACACGGTTGCGCCATTGTTCGAGCCACTTTGCGATTCTGGTTCGGGCATCGTCTTCGCTTGCGCCTACAGTGTTGCCGAGACCTTCGCCATGGAAGAAGCGGCCTGCAACTTCCTTCCTCTGTTCCTCAGACTCGATCTCTGACAAGTTGATATTGCTGAGTTTGCGGAAAGTGTGGTTGAAATCGAGCTCCAAAGCCTCTAGCGTGTCCAGTAGCTCGGAGAAGAGGACTTCAAAGTCGGACTCCTTGCATTGCTTGAGGCCGAGACGTGCAGACATGAGACGCTTGTATTCTCCCATGAACACTGCGCGGAACTCTTCGCCAGTCTTTTCGATTAGTGTTTCGGCACGCTTGATCAGCTCGTCCGCCCAGGTCTTGCTGACGCCTTCTGTGACGAATTCGTTGTCATCGCAGCGGGCTCCGGCACCAATCAACTCGCCCAATGCCTCGCCTAGACGCACCAAATTCCACCAGATGATGCTCGGTTGGTTGCGGTAGCTGTAACGAAGCATGTGGTCGTCGTGGTTAGGCGTATAGCTGGGGTCGAAGTTGTCAAGGAAGGCAAAGGGGCCAAAGTCGATAGATAGGCCGAAGATGGACGTGTTGTCTGTGTTCAGCACGCCGTTTGTAAAAGCGTAGGCTTGCCAATATGCGACTGTCTTTGCATTTCGACGGGCAATCTCGCGGTAAAGACGTGTGAAGCGGTTCTCTTCGTGTTCGTTCTCGCCCTGTACGATGGTATCCGCAAAACCGCGGTCTGGGTTAGTGGCCGTCTCGGCGACATCGCCTTCTTTCAAAGCACCTGGAAGGTTCTTCCAACCACCAAAGACGTCTTCAGCAACATATGTGGCCAGCTTCCGGATCAGAGCTCGATCACCACGAGAGCGTAGAAGGTCGAAAGTACCGAAACGCAGCCAGCTTTGAGCGAAACGGGTGACAATGGCACCAGGCTCGATACGCTCTCTCAAAGCCTTGTTCTCAGGGGTAAAGGTCAAAGCCAGTGCTCGAGTAGAAGGGATTCCCAAAGCATGCAAGCTCTCGCTAACCACAAACTCTCTGATGCTGCTTCGCAGAACAGCTTTGCCATCGGCGAAACGACTGTACGGCGTTTTGCCTGCACCTTTGAGCTGAACCTCGTAGCGGACGTCTGAGTTGGGGTTTGTGGCCTCGAATAAGGATATAGCGCGGCCGTCGCCTAGCTGACCTGCCCATTGACCAAACTGGTAGCCGCCATAACATTGTGCCCAAGGATATATCTGTTCTCTTCTTTGTTGCTCTTCAGGCAGCATGTTTGACTCTGAAGCCTTGGCCTCGTCCCATGTCAAAATCTTGCTGCCAGATACTGTGTCTTTGAATTCCTGTGAGTCTGTCGAAGAGGGGTCGATGGCGAGAGTTTGGAGTGCGGCAGGCGACACGGCGAGGACTTCGTACTTTGTAGGCGGGTCGGGGCGGACGTATGTGTAGAGGGCGCCTTTGACCAGACGAGGGCCGAGCTCTTTTCGCTCTGCAGCATGCGAACTGGACGGAGTAGGGAAGTTCTGGTCTGGTGGAAGATTGGTGGTGAAGTTGTTGGACTTTGGTAGGCCGGCGATAGGGTATGTCTTCTCGTTGGTCTTGGTCGCGTCGTACAGGACATTGTTTTGCCCGCTGGTGGAGATGTGTGCTGCCATGAGTGCAATGCGGGAGTGGGCTAGCGTTGGACGCAGGCTTCGTGCTCTCGAGAGCATATACAAGGTTGATCGATAGGAATGAGCTGTCTTGGTGGGAGGGATATGCAGAAGAGAAGAATTTATAGAAACAGATTATTCGTAGAACGACTTGTATAAATTCGCCTCGACATGACAAGGCATTGACGATGATTGACGTCGCCGTGATGGCCAGCAGCACATGGCGGCATGTGGGGTCACCGCCTTTGACCCTTGAGCCTCCTTCCTGCGTCTCGCTAGGAGGGCATTATCCGACACTTGATGATAGAATACCATCCCATGAGGACTTGTCTACTATCTTGGTCCTTTCTGCCTTCATCTTGCTGAACATGACAGCTCCGACCAGGTCTTTCTCCTGCTTATGTATCTTAGTTGTAGTGACTCTCATCTGTCTCGACAAGGTGCCGGGTTGTCTAGGCATTGCAAGAGACCTGACCAACAACACCTTCACTCTCACTTGGGCCGGACGGCAATGTCAAGATTGCCTAGTATCTGCTTTTCTCTTCTCCATTCTAGCATCCCGCTCGCTGCTCCCTGACTTGAATTTGTTCTCCTCGGTTTAGGAAATGACAAAGTTGCACTTGCCTCAATCGCTAGGTAATCATTGACTGCTGCTGCCTTCCCCACGCTCTGAACGTGTGCGACTTTTCAAAACAGCCGCCAACAACAAGACCTCACAATCCCTTGCATGCGCGCGCTGAGGCGCATCATGTGCATTGCCTAAGGCCAATTTTCTCATGATCTTCTTCACTTCGATACAAGCACGCGATACGATGCAACTGAAGACATCGCCCGTCCAAATTTCTATCTCTTGCAAACCCGTCGGATTCCTACCTTCGCCTGGCAGCAGACATGAACCCCGTAGACGACTACAGGAAATATTGTGGATCGAAACTTGTATACGACGCATCCAGTCACAGACGACCCGTCTTCCTTCAACGCAACCTTCGAAAAGTTCTTGATCATCATGAGCACAATCTGAACCTTCTCAAGCATTCGTCAACAAACTCTACCTCGGATTCGGCACCAGCAGACATGCTTCCGAAGACGGAAAACTCACGCTTTCTTCCTAGCATGAACATGTTGTACAATGCCCTCAAACCTGCCCGGCAAACACTCAATGTTCAACCAAAACAAATCATCAAGACACGAAACTCTAATGGTGAAAGGATAGAGGCATCGGAGGTTGCCAAGCCTGAATCTGCGAATCCAACGTGGCTTCCTACCCCTAACCAGATCCGAATAAGATGCAATGTGCATTGCAGCGTCGTTGTCCATCATGCTGAGGATGACAAACCCACTAGCGTTCTATATACCGACTCGCGACTGGCCCAACTGACTGAGACCAAAGATGACAAAGGCGAATCGGCTTTTTGCATTGAAATGAAACCTTTCGTGATCAAAGAAAATCAGTTGCTCACCACCCAATTAGCAAACCACAATACCAACGGAGGCAGGAGATGGAGAACAGAGCGCCATCCCCAGGCTGCACTCATTATGAGCATCAGTTGCTTTAATTCTGAAGATGCCTCTCAGCTTCTTTCTGTGATCGATCCGTACACCAGCTCACAACCAATCCTATCGCCCAAACAAGCCGAGCTGAGAGCATCTTGGAAAGACTTATCGGGTTCAATTCGCAGTCTATCGCCCCTTCGACGATATCAGTATGAGCCTGAGGACCAGTCGAAGCGTTCGCCTTCCAAAAGTGTGGACTTTTCTTTACGCGCAGGTATCTCATGGACCTCGGTCGTCAATTCACGCGGTACTCCGCTAGCTATGTGTAACCATATCATTCGACTGCTCGAAAGCAAAATTCAGCCCAGAGTACCAGAAGTACCAGAAATGACGCGCCACACGCAGACCTGCCGCATCACATATCTCTTCGATGGAGGTCCAATAGGATCGAGAAGTATCCTTCGTACCAAACTCAACTGCGTCTTCTGCCCGGACCGTCGACCTCATCCAACGTTTGACAGACTTCATTTTCATTATCTGAGCTTTCATGACCATTTCACCTTCAAGGTGCACAAGCCAGCAGCAACGGACTCTGATTCAATCATCCGCACAGTGCGAATTGAGCTTTCAGCTCCAAAGTACGAGCGAGCCAGCGACAATGTGTGTGATGAACGGGAGATCAGTTGGATCAAGCCAGACATTCCATTCGATCTGCAGCAGTACCTCTCTGAAGGTGGACACAACACCTGGGCTAGCGGAAAACAGCTGGCACTCAAAGCGTTCCCTAAGACCGCCAAACCGGTCTGTATGTCTAAAGGAATTGCGCGACCAAACCCCATCAATGAAATGTCAAGATTGACGCCGAATAATCGCCATTTAAGGGTGGGGCCACCTGAAGAGATCCCTGAGGTACCATCAAGAAAGAGGAAGAGATATGCGGTTCCTGAGATCCCAGGCGTCGCTATATTTCGTGCAGAGTCTAAACGAGAGGTGGAGCCTGGGGAAGTGCTTAGCGAGAGCGATGCTGAACCCGATGATTCATGGCTTCGGACCAAGCATAGGTTGGAGGGCTTTCCGCAGCTCACTGGTGCGGCCAGGGAATTTGCGGTTTTGTTCGACGAACACTTGCAAGATGAACCACGAAATTTGGCGAACGTACATGTTTGCGAAGCAGTTATTCGATTCGTACGGAAATCTGCAGCACGGTTAAGGCAGCCGCATCTATTAAAAGAGCTCAAATCCAAGCTTGGTGAGCTTATGGATATGGACTTGATCCCAGAATCCTACGTTGACTACTGTCTCGCCTTAGTCGCGGAGGAAGGACAAGCTACTATGAATGGTACGGGTCAAGGACATGTCACCAGCGGCCCGGTGGTCAAGAAAGAAGCTGTACCATCATCAACAGCTCAGAAAAGCCATAACAGACTAGATGTCATTATGATTGACGACAGTGACACGGAGCCTGGCGCCGAGGTCTCTCCAGCGGTAGTCCCTCAGACGAACGGCAACGACGTGCACATGCAGGATGTCGCTCACCACGCACCAAATGCTTGTGTATGCGGCAAAGTGGCTTCTGGCTCGCGCAAGGTCATCACTTGTCGGAACATTGTAAGTTCATTGCGCCTTGATCACAAATACATTGTTCACTGACCATTGATCCAGCATTGCCCACATAATGAGTTTCATATGGCTTGCGTAGGTCTCAGAGAGCGAATACCCGATTGGCGATGCGAGGATTGCAGACCAGCAGCAGACTAACAGAAGCCACTCAACACAACACTTGACTTTTTCTTCTCACACGTAGCAAGGCTTTGTTAAGCCACTTGACTTTGTGGCATTCGTGGCGTACACCAGGGGGTTTTGGACATATTTGCTTGGGCGCATAGGGAACATACTTAGCGGAAGGGGGATATTGCATTCTGTAGTTCTTATCAGCGAACGGCGTCGTGATCTTGCAGACGCTAATTATCTTGCTGTTGCAATCTTTACTTGCTCATCCAGCATACATTCAAGGACCAACAAGAAGCTCCGGATATTACTCTTTCCCTCAATTTGCTTGCATTCACAAAAACATGCTGGAAGAGCTCATCAAGCTTGAGCTTCTTCGAAGCTGTTGAGGCCAGTGGACGTTCAAGTTGTGAGTCTGCTCTACTGTTTGCTTGACTCGAGATCCAGTCACTGCCAAGTTCGTTGCACTTGCTTGTTCTTACCCACTTGGTAGACGTCGTTCCCTGAGCTTGCCACCAACACATCCGTCATTGTGCGCTCAACCTCAGCACGAATTTTTGTTGACAGCTCTCGAACAAAGCGACCCTGCCCCAGACCACGACTCAGAAAGCATAAACGCTTGGACCACCTCACAACGTCATTCTCAGAACACCCCGCGATAGAAGCGCAGTGAAGCAGTCGCAACAAGTGAGGAAAGAGCTCTACAAAGCCGGCCAAACAGGGCAATTGCCTTTTCGAAATAGCTCGAAGCTGCAAGTAAGTTCCCGGAGTAACTAGATACTACAATTGAGTCGAAAGTGACGAGGCGTGGCGAGATAGATGGGTCCCAGAAGACAGAGGCAAGTAATGGAAACATGTGGAAGAAGATGGAAACCACCCGCAAATTCTGGCTGTGTCCGAAGCAACGCAACAACCGCCCGCTGCGCACATTTATAAAACTTACTTCTCTTGCTCACACCTCCCCTCACCACTTTCTTCTTTCACACTCAATCAAAAGCTCTTTTCTTTACGACTTGACGACATCTCTTACATCGTCAACAAAAAGCCCTCTGTTTGATACCCCTCTTCTTTTTCTTCAGTTCACAACACATACATCATGGCTCCCGCTATCGGTATTGATTTGGGTACCACCTACTCATGTGTCGGGTTAGTATTTGTTCCAATCTGTATGCCAAAGACGACTTACTGACTGTTCCACTAGTATCTACCGTGATGACCGCATTGAGATTATCGCCAACGACCAGGGTAACCGCACCACTCCCTCGTTCGTTGCCTTCACCGACACCGAGCGTCTGATCGGTGATTCGGCCAAGAACCAGGTCGCCATGAACCCTCACAACACCGTCTTCGACGCCAAGCGTCTCATTGGTCGCAAGTTCGCCGATGCTGAGGTTCAGGCCGATATGAAGCACTTCCCCTTCAAGGTCATCGAGAAGGCCGGCAAGCCCGTTGTTCAGGTCGAGTTCAAGGGCGAGGAGAAGACCTTCACCCCTGAGGAGATCTCCTCCATGGTCCTCACCAAGATGCGTGAGACCGCCGAGTCTTACCTTGGTGGCACCGTCAACAACGCTGTCGTCACTGTCCCCGCCTACTTCAACGACTCTCAGCGCCAGGCTACCAAGGATGCCGGTCTGATCGCTGGCCTTAACGTCCTCCGTATCATCAACGAGCCCACCGCCGCTGCCATTGCCTACGGTCTTGACAAGAAGGTTGAGGGTGAGCGCAACGTCCTCATCTTCGATCTTGGTGGTGGTACTTTCGATGTCTCTCTCCTTACCATCGAGGAGGGTATCTTCGAGGTCAAGTCTACTGCCGGTGACACTCACTTGGGTGGTGAGGACTTCGACAACCGCCTCGTCAACCACTTCGTCAATGAGTTCAAGAGAAAGCACAAGAAGGATCTTACCACCAACCCCCGTGCTCTCCGTCGTCTGAGAACCGCTTGCGAGCGTGCCAAGCGTACCCTCTCTTCGTCTGCTCAGACCTCTCTCGAGATCGACTCTCTCTTCGAGGGTATCGACTTTTACACCTCCCTCACTCGTGCCAGATTCGAGGAGCTCTGCCAGGACCTCTTCCGTGGCACCATGGAGCCCGTCGAGCGCACTCTCCGTGACGCTAAGATCGACAAGTCCTCCGTCAACGAGATCGTTCTTGTCGGTGGTTCCACCCGTATTCCCAAGATCCAGAAGATGGTCTCCGACTTCTTCGGTGGCAAGGAGCCCAACAAGTCCATCAACCCCGATGAGGCCGTTGCCTACGGTGCTGCCGTCCAGGCCGCCATTCTCTCTGGTGACACTTCCTCCAAGTCCACCAACGAGATCCTTCTTCTCGACGTCGCACCGTTGTCTCTCGGTATCGAGACCGCTGGTGGTGTCATGACTGCTCTCATCAAGCGCAACACCACTATCCCCACCAAGAAGTCCGAGACCTTCTCCACCTTCTCCGACAACCAGCCCGGTGTCTTGATCCAGGTCTTCGAGGGTGAACGTGCCCGCACCAAGGACAACAACCTTCTCGGCAAGTTCGAGCTTACCGGTATTCCTCCTGCCCCTCGTGGTGTCCCCCAGATTGAGGTCACCTTCGACGTTGATGCCAACGGTATCATGAACGTCTCTGCCCTCGAGAAGGGTACCGGCAAGACCAACAAGATTGTCATCACCAACGACAAGGGCCGTCTCTCCAAGGAGGAGATCGAGCGCATGCTTTCCGAGGCCGAGAAGTACAAGGAGGAGGATGAGGCTGAGGCTGCCCGTATCGGCGCCAAGAACGGCCTCGAGTCCTACGCCTACTCTCTCAAGAACACCATCTCCGACCCCAAGGTTGAGGAGAAGCTCCCTGCCGATGACAAGGAGAAGCTCCAGGCCAAGATCAACGAGACCGTTGAGTGGATCGACTCCAACACCACCGCCACCAAGGAGGAGTACGAGTCTCAGCAGAAGGAGCTTGAGGGAGTTGCTAACCCCATTATGACCGCATTCTACCAGCAGGCTGGCGGTGCTGAGGGTGGTATGCCCGGTGGCATGCCCGGCGCCGGTGCCGGTGCTGCTCCCGCCTCCGACGACGGTCCTCAGGTTGAGGAGGTTGACTAAACAACTCGCTTGTATTTGGTCAAGTCTGCAAACATTGGCGTTTCGGGTAGCATGGTAGACCATTTCTGGGTTTTCTGCTTTTTCTTCGATACCTTTTGTCGTGCAAGAACTGCACGTATGCAATGCACCTTCATCGGTGCTCTTAATGAGTGAAATGAAGATTTTAATTTCTTTCAAAATGTGTTTTTCCATTAAATTCATGTGACTGTAATTATGATTGTTCTTTCAAATGTTTGCATCTTTAACCCTTCGCACTCTCCATTGATGATACCCTTCAAAAGTAGTGCTGAAATGCACAGTCCTTTGTCTATAAGATCGTCGTCCAGAGAGATACCCCCAGCTAACTACTCTCAGTGGTCAATGTCTGAACCCACTAAAAATTGTGCATTTCAGCAGCTGTCTTCGCATTCACGCATCCACTGAGAGCCTGCCTTGCTCGAGGTTCTCATTGAAAGTGGTTTGGATGTGCAGAGACTGTGCAGCCTATAGAGAGGACCGTGGTTGTGCAATCAAGATTTGCTTGTTTTCGTGTCAAATCATTGGAGCCTGTTCTTGGATTTTTTTCCTTGCCTACCTCAACTTCCGCTCGACTCTTGACGTCCAGGTCGTCTTATCGCTTATCAGTTTGTAGGGGGGTTCTGTTTCGACATTCTTCTTGCTCTGTCTTTGGTTTTTAGACAGCAGAAGGACATAGAACAGACAGCAGCGAGACACGTATTGTATGATTTGATTCGTCCCTTCCTAGTACATGTTACCTTACACGTCCAGGTTTTCTGTATTGTAATTTGTCGTCCTTGAATTATGTCAAGTCAACCGTGTCATTGCAGATACCCTGGCATATAGGCGTTTTCAAGCTGATCGTTGAAGCTTGGCGTCGCTCAAGAGCACTCAATTTCGACTACGTGAAACACCTCTGGCCCTTTTCAGTGGGTCGAAGGATTCAATTCAACATGTTCGCGTCGCGATACTCGCGGTATTCCACGATGGAAAGAGCCTGAGGCTATGTCAAAGCTCAGCAAGCATAGCGACTGCTGGTCACCAGACATCTTCTTGTTCGCGCATGCAGCTTTGAGCGCTATGACAAAACGTCCTCGACTGACCCCCACAACTACTTCTACTTGGACTGGGCTTCTTCTTTGATAATCAGATTGTAGGACATTCTACTTCGCCTTGCCTTGAAGACAGTTTAGACTGGAGTCCAACCCCGGCGCGTCAATTACAGCTTGTTGCGAATTTTTTTGCCAGTCTCATCAGGTCCTCGTCCTCCCAGTCATGCGACTAGCCAAGGCACCTGTCCTCTATACCTCGAACCATGTATCCACCTCAGGTTGAGACTCGCCCGTACTCTCCCATCTGTAGAAGAGGTTCAACCTCTCGAATTTTCAGGAAGTTGTTGACCAAACTCGAAAATGCTGCTATCTACTTGACACCTGTCGGGGGCTTGGCAGTGTTTCGATATCAAAGCGCCTACAGCTCTTCCATACGAGACTTCTTGGCCCTGTGGCTTTTTCACATCACCAAGAGTGACTATGGCTGATAGTATGTTTCAACATCGATCTTTTTCCCATGGCCAAGACGTGCAGGGACAAGCTATGCCGTTTGCGCAGCCAGCTCTGGTCGGGCAGGCTATCTTCAACTGCTATTTCTGGCTGTTTGCTTCTCCATCAGACCTATACACCACACAGATTGATGAGAGATGTCTATGTTTAGCTAGACTCACATATCAACTTGTTCTTTGCTGAGCTCACGTCGTGTTTGATCAGCCTGGGCAGGTTCGCTAGAAGGGTTGGCAAGCTGCAAGTTGATATGCCATATCGGCCTTCAAGTCAGGCGCATCGTATATCAAAGCTCAGCATGGCTATATAAGTACCTGAAAACTACCTCAATCCAGCTCTTTCTTTCTCATCCAACACTCATACATTCGTTAGATCGTTTCACTTCTCTTCTTGTCTGCAGCCGGCTCTGCCAAGTAACCAACCTTATACACATTTCTCACGAAACAAGCTGAACATACTCGACCACAATGCATTTCACCGCTGTTGCCCTTGCTGCTCTTGCAGGATTTGCCCCTCTCATTGAGGCCCACTACACCTTCACTCAGCTGATGGTTAACGGTGCCCCCGTCGGCAGAGACTGGCAGTACATTCGTCAGCACACCAGAGGCTACATGCCTACCAAGTTTGGAGAGATCCTTGAGAATGACTTCCGCTGCAACAAGGGTGCCGGTTCGGGCGCCAACACCGAGGTTTACACCGTCAAGCCTGGTGACAAGATTGGCATGAAGCAGGGCTTCGGTGCCAACGGAATTGAGGTGAGTTGACAGAATTCATGCTTCTTGTCTGATAACATATTGCTAACTTTGTCTTGCTTTTCAGCACCCTGGTCCCGCTCAAGTTTACCTGAGCAAGGCTCCTGGTTCAGTCAAGAGCTACGATGGCAGCGGTGATTGGTTCAAGGTTCAGCAAGACATTCTCTGCAAGTCTGGTAACCCTCAGGCCCTCAAGACCGATGCATGGTGCATCTGGAAGAAGAACAACATCGAGTTCACTGTCCCTGACAACATCGTAAGTCCTTTATGATACAGCTAGCTCTGTGCCACCAATACTGATGCCTGTGTCTTCACAGCCCGACGGCGAATACCTCGTCCGCAGCGAACACATCGCCATCCACGGTGCCCACGACGGGCAAGCCGAATTCTACTACTCCTGCGCTCAGATCAAGGTTCAAGGAGGAAAAGGCAACTCTACTCCCAAGGGTGTCAAGATCCCCGGTGTCTACCAGGTCAAGGACAAGGCTATCAACTTCAGCGTCTGGGGTTCTGCTACTACCTACCCTGATCTGCCTGGTCCTGCTGTTGTTCCGGGCGGTCGCACCACTGGCTCTATCGATGGCAGAACTTCCGGTACTACTGTTGCTAAGCGTGCTCTTCAGGGTGGCTCTCCTGCTGTCAGAGCTGCTGCTGAGGTCAACAATGCTTAGATTGACTGAATGGATTGCATGTGATGGCATATCACCTTCATTTGCGAGACGTGGTCGTATGAGCATCGCAAAGTGCCGAGGAGATTTGTGTGTCATTGGTTACACCTGAAGCCTAAGTGATCCGGACACTTGTGGCTTCAAGGTCGCTGCGACATTTTCTTTATACATGCCTATTGGAGGAGTTGCACTTTTCTGTTGTATATATTGCAGGTCAATAGTCAAAAAGACAAAACATTGTGATTCCTTCATTTTGGTCCCGCACCTGTTGCCCGCGCCCACTTGACGGCAAGTTGCAAAATCAATCAACCCAACGAATAGTTACCACAGAACCGCGGCTTGGGTTGGGATCGAGAGCAAAACAAAACGTACAGCAGCAGGGATTCCCACGTGGTCACCCACCGTAGTACTAATCTGCCGTTCAACTGCTTATGTATGGCAGAGCGGACGGGATGCCCAGTTTTCAGCTGACTATGGCCGTACGTGATGAGTGCGCTATCTCCACAATATATAAAGCCAAATCAATGACCTCCAAAGACAGTCAGCTTGGATGATCTATTCCATAGTCTCTAGAGCTAGTATGGCTGTGTGTATGGCTACTTTGGCTATCGCAACTTTGTTCTATAACAAGTATGATGCATCTATCGCCGCTAGCTTCTTAGTCGACCTTTTCTGCTTCTTTACTCCTAGTGGTCTTCTCGGTACTAGCTTTCTATGTTATACCGAAGTGACACCCATAAGATTGCGTGTCGCTATGGCATCCATCTCTATAGCAGCGACAGTTAAGGGATATTGCTGAAGATGATTTTTGCGCACTGGATACCTAACATGGTATTGATGTCGCTTTCTAATTTTAGCTCAAGTGTTCGAAAAAATATGGAAAGCACACGATCGATGACGGCATGGCGGAAGATGAGGGTATCGTTTGGCAAAAGACGTTACGGTTTCATTAAGGACAATCAACTTTTATCACACTTCGCCCCCCTACGTATACAAAATTCAGCAATCTAGGTCTCATCGTAACATGTTCAAAAAAGCTTGTGAAGGAAGCCAGTCTTCCTGGGGGTCTGTTCAACGCCGGTCTCGCTAGAGGTCTCAGAGATGGTCTTTTCAGCATCTGGCAGAGATTGCTCCTTACCCAGGCGAGGATTGCGCAAGCATAGCGAGAAAGCGATCAATGGAATGCAAAGACAGATACCAGTGATGCATAGCAGACGTTGAATATGTCTGTAGGACACAATAACAGCCTCTCGCTCAGGAGTACCAACAGGATAGTCGTAAATGAAGAAGAGAGGGTTGCTGTAAGCATAAACGGCAACAGTAGCGTTGTTTGTTACAGCAGCCAAGTTACGCTCGAGCTCTCCAGGAAGGACTTGAGTCCACAGAGCTCCAGAGATAGTTGAGCCGATGGCAGATCCAATGTTGTAGAGTGCGAGGTACAAGCCGGTGACCAGTGCAAGGTGTTCGTGTTGAGTGGCTGCTTGAATCAGAGTCTGGACGGGGTAAGGGAAGAGACCACCCGCAAAACCCAGGACGACCTCGCCTGCGATGATACCGGCGTAGGAGCTTTGAGACAGACCACCTCTGAAACGAAGTAGGATACCAAACGCAACCATGAACATCAAGGTGCCAAAGACGATGAAGGGCTTCAGATGTCTGATTTGCTTGACGAAGCGAACAAGAAGACCAAGAGCGACACCAGTCAGGACTGAGACAAAGCTGTAGAGCGAAGTGATACGAGTAGCAGAAAGGATGCTTTGATCAAAAGCGACAACAACGACCGTGTAGAGATAGCCACCTTGCATGTACCAGATGCTGTTGAGCATGCAGGCAACACCAAGGGCAGCCCAGACACTGCGATCCTTCAGGAGATGGAATGGTACAAGAGGATGAGGTGCGCGACGCTCATAGAGGACGAAGACAGGAATGAGGCAGAGACCAATGACCAGAGGAGCAATGACGTGAGCTGTGCCCCAAGTTTCCTTTGCACCACCAGCAATGGTGAAGGGCACAAGGATGAGAGCGAACATAGCAATCATGAGGATGATACCAGGAACATCAAGTTGCCAGAAGAGAGCAACAAGAGTGTTGCTCAAACCATTGCTCTGGAAAGCGGTCTGGTAGTTGGCTAGGGCGCCAGCCTTCTTTGCACGACTGGACGCAATGAAAAGAGCGAGGACAAGAGGCATGGCACACACGGGATAGATGATGGCCCACATGCCAATTCCCCAACGCCAAGTAGTGGCCTCCAAAACAGCAGACGCAACATCTCCTGAGACCTGTTCAAGCGGAGGCTGATTAGTATGTTTTAGATGATGTAGACGACTCTCAGACGTACCCAGGTGTTGATCAGGAATGGCAAGGCTGGAATGTAACTCCAGGCCAATCTTCCTTTGAGCGACGAGATGTCTCCAACAATAATTTCGACCAGCAGTGTAACAATAGTATAACCAATCTGGTAGAAGATGGCTCCGGCTGCAAAAGCACTGACGTTGTGGGCGGCAGCCTCGATGATAGTACCCAATAGGTAGAAGAAGATGGAGAGATAGACAAGCTCAACACGGCCAAAGACATCGGCAATCTTTGCAGCTGTGGGCTGAGCGGCAGCAGCGATGACGGTGCGTACAATGTTGACAGTCGAAAGCAACGAGTGCTCACCGATCGAGGAAAGAGCAGTACTCTGTCTGTGTTAGTTGTCTGACGCATTGTGTCGAAACGAAGCCTCGAAGAATTCACCTGATAAGTGTATCTGACGGTTCCATCGAGACCATAGGCGTATGCGATCAGGAAGACACCAATTCCGAGGAACCATCGATCGAAAGAAGTGAGGTGAGCGTTGATTGCTTCGATGCGTGCAACTCCAGGGCTCTTCTTCCCCATAAGCACGACCTGCTCGTTGAGAGTATCCTCCGACGTCTGAGCCCTGACTTCAGTGTCGGCCTCAGCCTTTGTGGCCGAAGGTACATAGAACTCGGTCGATGACATTCTGATAGGCCCAAGATAGCTCGTCGAATCAAAGGTCACTGTTTGATATTCTCAGGTGAAGTCAGACAAGCGATCGACGGAGCGAGTGAGGGTCGACAGAGGGGCACGCCATCTTTTGTATACACTGCCAAGGTATTGGGGAGGCGCGATTTGCAGCAGCAGAGCGCCTTCCGGACAAAAGAATGGGTCCAAACCAGGCAAGATTGGGTGATGGATTAGATTATCCCTCGTGGTCCAGAGTCAAATTTTATCAGATCATGCAGGGTCTAGCGATGCACCGCCGACTATTGGGTGACTCGTTGGAAGGCCGTTGCCCAGTTTAGCTGTCCAGCTCCATGAAGTCCGCGTTCTCTGCCGCGTGCAGTACCTTGGAAGGTATCTTGCAACCCGTCTGCTTGGTTGGGCACCCTCAACGAAGGTATGCAGCACGATTCCATCTCTGGTTGCGGATTATCATGGCACAGTTCATCGTCCAAGTATCCAACTTTCCAATGAGTTGATGTCCGCAGCGTACACACCGAGAAGAACTACCGTGATGGTGCGATAAAATTTTCATCTTATCAGATGCTTCAAACGGTAACTCTGGCGCTTTGGGCCGCCAGTGGCTTTCGACGCGGTGGCCGATGTGTCCACGGCTTGACAAGTGCTGATCCTTTAGAGAAGGATCAGGTGTCTAGAGACTTGGATATCTCTTGGCTTGCAAATATGTTGGGATATTGATGCTTTATCGATTCGAGATCTTATCAGATTTGCAAGCGAGCAACCTGACCGCCCAGCACGGGAAAGGCGTTGCCTACCAGCACAACCTTGCAGCCCTCGCGTCTCGTCTCAGAGCTTTTCTTGTTACTGCAAGAAAAACAGCGAACGAAGTTAGGGCTCCGAGCTGATGAGAGAGGCTGCTTTCTGATCCAGTCCAAAATTCTCTCCGAGAAACAATCCGCAAGCAGCTGGCAAATGTCAAACTTAACGAGCCTCCGACTACAGCTAGGTCATGACATATTCAACCCAAAACATACCTCCCCATGTGCCAAAGATAGTCACGGTGCAGCCGTCAAAATGCACAATACTTCCGTAAAAATGTGGTTTCCACAGAGAGTACCTACCCCTAAAGATTGTTCCAACGACCCGGATTGTTTTCGAACTACAACTATGCATTTTGATAGCTTGCAATAAATCATAACCTCGACATGGAGCAGAAGTAAGTGCCAAGTTGTGACTGTCTTTGGCACATGGGGGAGGTAGGAGCAGGAGGTCACAACATTCGCTGGTCGACACTGGGCGACGGAGTAAAGAAGTAGAAAGTGACACGTCTTCGTGCCATTAAAATTCATATATATGTCATTCATATAGAAAGTTCCCAGCAGGAGTGGCCAGCACCCTTTACACCTTCTCCTCGTGGACGTGCTCTGAGGTTTTGGCGTAAGGTACCTCCTCGGCAGTCATCATAGGCTTGTACTTGGCGTACTTGACAGTACCCAATACTGAAGGGCTGTCCTTGAAAATGGTGTCGAGCTCCTCCAGCGAACGGCCCTTGGTTTCGGGGTCTGAGTGAAAAATGTTAGCAAGAGTACAGAAATGATAGCAGATGTATAAGACTTACAGAGGAAGTAGACTGTGATAGGAATGCATGAACCAATGCAAGCGTACACAATGTAGTACTTGTAGCCAATGTTGTTGATAGCTACTGGTGTGATCATGGCGACTGCGAAGTTCCACAGCCAATGGTTGGCGGTAGAGATGGATGCCATGGCGACACGCAATTGCTTCAAGAGCTCCTGCCAAAGATTCGAGGAAAGAGCAGCCAGAATGTGCCTTCCCAGACGTTGATTTAGCAGACGCACAAAATCCAGCGTCGCACTGTAGAATCTGTAGAATCCTGTATACAAAATCAATCAAAATGTCATGGTCATTCGCAACTCACTGGAAGTCTGAAGGTCGTGTCTGGACTCTCGACAACTCAAGCCTGCCATCGGTGGATGGGGAACCCGTGGTACTCGACTCTACGCCAATTCCCGATGCCAATGACGTTCCTCCACCTTCGAGCCCACTGCGCGGTGAGCCTGAAGCCGATGGTAAGGTCGATGAAGAAGATGAGGACGAGGATGAGGAGATGGAGTGGGAGCTTCTCCCAGACTACAGCAAGGTATGACAATTGTGTATCGACGCAATTGCCCTCCTTTAGCTGACACTGGTAAGAAATTCAAGGAGAAGAGGAAGAAGAGAAAGGAGGAGTCCGACGACAAGGCCGCCTCGAAGAAGGTCAAGACCGCTGGCTCGGTAGCTGGAGCCAAAGCTGCCAACCCCGCCAAACCCAAGGCTTCCAAGGCTGCGAAGGCTGCCGGGTCAGCGGCTTCGAAGAAGCGCAAGGCCGACAGCGACGACGACGACGACGACGACGACGACGACGAGAACGAGTTGCCCGCAGAGGCAATGGTCAAGATCGAGACCACCTCACGTTCCGGTCGCAAGATCACGCGACCACAAACCTTCTCTCGCTGATTCAAAAAAAAAAAAAAAAAAAAAAAAAAAAAAAAAAAAAAA